CTAGAGATAAATAAGTATAGTTAGAGCTTTAGTAGTAGATTTCTCTTACTATATTTCCTTTATAAAGATAATTCTAAACTTGAACCTCCTAATTAGACTAAGTAGTCTTCTCCCTTTTATTATTTATATCCTTAAAGAACTCCTAATAATACTTTTAACTTCCTTACTAATAGTTAGAGACGTCTTAAAAGTTATTAATCTCTCTATTACTTTATTTAAAGCTATTCTATCTTTTAAATTAGGCTTCCTTCTCTATACCTCTACTACTTAAGAATTATACTAGCTATTAAAGCCTATAAATATAATTATATAGCTAATATTAAGCCTCTAGTAGCTATTATTTCCCTTTTTAATAAATCTTAACTAATTTACCCTATTTAACTAATTTATATTAATATATTCTATTTTAAGGTCTCTAGCTAGTAGCTAGTTATTATTACTTAGCCCTCCTATATAATCTTAGCTAAGACTATAGATAGTATCTACTATATTATTAATAAATACTATTAATAATTTATAGGTAATTTTACTTTTCTCTATATATATTAGCTTATCTAACTTAGATGGTAGTATTATTAAGCTCTCTAAAAGGTTAAGTAATAGGCTATTTAAAACTATAAAAGGACTTAGTATTTTATTAACTATTAAAGTAGAAGAGACTTATATAGCTCTAATAGAAGTATATTATAATATAGGTAATAGTATCTTAATATTTACCTAAATATATAGAAGTAATAGCTTAGCTATATCCTATAGAGATACTAAGTTATCTACTAGACTTTTTAGTATAAAAGGCTATAATATATTATCTTATATATCTAAACTTTAAGGGCTAAAGTATAAACTCTAAAGGCTATAAGTAGTAATATTAATAACTCTACTATTAGAATTATTAGTTATCTCTTTAATAGCACTATAAAATTTAATATTAACTTAATAGCTAGTTAGTATTTTTAGATCCTCTTCTTAATAAGTAGTAATAATTACTATTAGCTAACTAGAGAGAAACTCCTCTTATATTAGTATTAAAATAGAACTATAAAATAAAGGACTACTAAAAACTAGAGACTTTACTACTTTAAATACTAATAGTATACTTATTAGAGATAATTAATCTATAGCTATATCTATAAAAGTATATTAAGTATCTACTCTAGTACTCTAGGGCTTATACATAGCTAATAGAATATTAATTAAGTTTATTTTATAAATAATACTTTAGTTAGGTATCCCTACTAGAGAAGATATAAGCTTTAATAAAAAAAGAAAGTAGTTTATTTATTTAATACTTAAAGGGCGTTATTATATAGTAATATCTAGATATAGTATATATTTCTAAAGAGAAGTCTTTTTAAGACTTAAGCTATTATCTAAATCCTAAGCTAAACTTAGGTTTATATCCTAATTTCTATCTATAAAATAAAGATTAATTTAGTATATCTAAGAATCTATAGCTAGAGGACTAAGAGAGGTACTCTATAAGGTAAAAATTATACTTATAAAGCTAATATATTAAGTAGGCTTAGATCTATCTCTCTCTATAATAGTTTTATTATCTTTAGAATTAATAGAGTTTATTATAGTTTATAAAATAGTTTCTTTAATAGGTTTAGTTATATTAATACTAAGGGCTTTATTAAGCTTAATTTTATATTAGTAGAAGGGAGCTAAAGAGTTATATTCTAGCTATATAGAGGTATAAAGGTTAAGATTTTTAAATTTAGTAATATTATTTCTAGAGATATATATCTTAATTATAGACTAAGTAATTTTTAAAATATAGTCTAAGTTAATATTATAAAACCTTTAGAGAAACTCTTTCTACTATATATAGTTAGTAATATTTATAAATATTTAATAAATAACCTATACTAGCGTTTTTAATTAGATCTCTAAGTATATTAGGACTAATAGCCTTAGAAAACCTATTAAATAATAAGATTATATTATTAACTAATTATAGTACTATAATAGAAAATAATTTTAATAAATTTAGAAGTAGAAATCTATTTAGAGGGTAAGAAGATAAATTCTATAGATTAAATATAATAGCTTTAAGTTAATAAGATATTAGTCTAATACTTATATTTTATATAAAAGGTTACTATTATATATAACCCTTAAGTTATATTAAGGAGTATACTAAAAGTAGTACTACCTATAAGGCCTCCCTATTAAAGTTTCCCTCTCTTATTTCCTTTTTATATAATAAGGTATCCCCTTAGGCTTTAGAACGGAAAGCCTAGCACCTATTAAGGTATTTATCCTATTAATATAATAAGGCAGCTTAAAGCCCCTATTACTATAGAACCTTAATACTCCTTAGTGAGGCTATATAATAATAATATTAGGTTTATAATATATACTCTAACTTAATAAAATAGAGATTTCCTATAAATAACGCTAATATTTATTATTCTAAGTATTACTAAGCTACTAAAGAGAGAGATGTATAAAAAGGTAGTTATATATTTAGGTAACTATATCTATAGATAAATATCTTACTAGAATATACTACTAATAAGGTATACTAATAGTTAGGCGCTTCTTCTATATAAATAAGAGATAAAGAGAAGTATTTAGGTATATAGTTAAATAAAAATAGAATATATAATTAACCCCTATTTATAATACCTTTATAAGACTACTCTATACTAAGGTCTAAGAGGCTACCTAAAAGAATTTAAATAGTAAATATATATTATAGAACCTAAGTTATAGAGTATATTATTAGAGTATTATTAAGATAGCTTCATTAATCCCCTCTTAGCTATACCTTTAATATAGGAGGCTATTATTAAACTATTTAAGTTAAGTATATCCTAACTAACTAGCTAAATCTATATTTATAATCTTAATAAGAGCTATATATATACCTAAAAATAATAGCTTTTAAGAAAGCTATTATTAGCCCCTAAAATAATATTATATTACCTCTAAGCTATAAATATAACCTAAGTATTAGTTTTATATTACTATTAATATTAACTACTTCTTAAGAAGTTATTATACTACTATTAAGCTAAAACTAACCCTTATATAATTTTTATAGAAGTCTATTATTTAGATATATAAGCTAAAGATATTACTAAGGTATCTAGAACTTAATATATTCTTCTTATTTAGTACTATTTTAAGTTAAATATTTCCTAAAGTCTTAAATACTTCTCCCTTAGTTCTTTATATATTATATTACTTCCCTTTATCCCCCTTAAAATATATATTAATAAAATAAGGAATATAAGCTTAAATTTTATAGTTAATAGTATATAGGTCTAATAAGTTACTACTACCTAAGTTACTAAATAGAAGTATATATAAACTATATTTAGTCTTATTTTTAATTATATTAAAATTATTAATCTTATAGAAAATACTAAGATAGATATAAACTTTATAAACTCCCCTAATATTATTAATCTTACTTAAGAAATCTAAGTTAAAGATAATACTTACTCTAAATTAATAATTATTAATTTAATAGAGAAAGACCTTATTTAGTATAAGATAACTCTTATCTTAAAGGTAATAACGCTATACTATAATAAGAGTTTAGAGGCCTCTATATCTAGAGTATTACTAATTAGTGGTATAGTTACTCTTCCTAAAGTAAGAAGAGAGAATAAAGCGTCTTATCCTATATAATATAGAAGATATTATTTACTTATATAGGAGAATAATTAGGTATTTATATACTATAGCTATAGGTATATAAGTTATAATTTTTCTTATTACTTAAGGAAATATTACTAATATATAATTAGTTAATCTATATTTCCTATTTTTAAAGGGGATATAAAGGTCCTTATTATTTATATTTTAGCTTAGGGCGCTAATATAAGGAAAGACTTTTTAATATAGAATATCTAATATATCTAGAGTAGCTAACTTAGAAAAGGTAGTAGAAATTACCTTATAGTTATATTATCTATAAAAGATACTACTTAGAGTTAGACTACTATTTATATTATTATACCCTAATTAACTAGGCTATTATTACTATAGTTAGTTTAAATAAATAAACTTACTTATAGTATATATATTATTACTTCTATATAGATATATATATATATTATATTTATAAGAGTCTTTTATATATATATAGAATAAAGTAGTATATAGTTTATATATTTTATATTAGCTATATATAATATATAAGTAGTAGGTCCCTAAGCGACTTAGTTATATACCTAAGCTACTTTAAGCCCCACACTAAGGCAAGCCTAACTTAAGACGGTAATAACGCTAGCCGGATTAGGCCAAAAAGCCTCGCCAAATCAGTGAGACAACCGCTCTTATATCTACTCTTTTTTTCTAAAATCAACCTCATCATAATGTAGCGAACAATGCATTATGCTTGTTCAAATCTTCGTTCCCGACTGGAATTTCAAACTGAGAACTGAGCAAAAGTCACAAGTTTTCAAACACTTCTAACTCATCGCCATTTCATGAAAAAGCCGTGCTGTTGCGTGACACACTTGTTTTCAAGTTGGCAGTGAAACAAGTTTTTACTTTGAGCTACCTTGGAGTCATCGGATTTCAGAACTGCTCTTCTTTGTACCTTTCTCAATCTGAATATACTTGCTTCATACGTGTTCAGCATTTTCTTTCTTCCAAAGCTTTCTCCTCAAAAAGACCAATCCCAAAGTCTTTGTTGCTTTGAACTGACAGATAAACCCTGCGCTCAGCAACAAAAGACCTGGAGCATGAATTGAGGGCTCTCATGCTTTCAGCAGGTCATTTTGTCAGTTGTGTGCTCTTTGATCTACACGGAAACGTCCCTATGCAGCTTTGTTTCTCTTTGCGCAGCCAATGATTCATATTCCGCAGATATCTTCTTGTACAGCTACATATGCTGATACTCTCCATCATCATCTTCAACATCAATACCTCTTCTACTGACTTTACCTGCTGTTCATGCTCTCTTGATTCTTTTATGCTTTTTTCTCCATTTCTCATCTGTTGTATTTGCCGAGCAGTTTGTCCTCAGACAGCTTAACATGACTACGCAAGCCTCTGATTCCACGTCTGCTTCGTCAAATGAACGCACCAAAACTGTTACATCGAGCGAAAACATTTCAGCTTCCTCCGAGCGAGAAGTCTTGATTTCCCTTCTCAACGCTCGAGAGCCATATTCTGAAGACGACTTGGACGACATATCGTTCGCCCTGTTCGATGATGATGAGCTCGAAGAATTTTACACTCTCTACGATGAAGGCGGACTCCATCCTGTTTCTTTGGGTGATCAGCTTTCAGGAGGAAGATACACCATTGTCAACAAACTCGGTCATGGATCCTACTCCACTGTGTGGCTCGCGCATGATGAGCTGCTGAATCGCAAGGTCGCCATCAAAATCACTGCTACGACGAATGTCTGCGGCAAAGATGGATTTTCTTCGGATGAGCCCGGTATTCTTCGACAGCTAGACGACGACAAGACGCAACACCCAGGCAGTCGGAGCGTCCTTCGATGTCTTGACCACTTCACCCTTCGGGGGCCAAACGGTCTTCATCAATGCTTCGTCAGCGACCCGATCCGTGTCACGCTCGCGCAAACCAAGTTCAGAAGTGAGGGCTTATGGACGTTTCCTGTCCAAGTCGCGCGGGCAATCACTGCTCAACTCATTCTTGGCGTTGCCTATTTGCACTCCAAGGGCGTGGTGCATGGAGGTATTCCTAGTCCCTACTGCCTAAGATGATATAGGAGAAGTACTAATAATGAGAATAGACTTGCATATGGGAAATGTTATGCTGGACATGCCTGAAGAAGAGCTGGCGAAGCTCTCTGTCAAGGAAGTGGTCACCAAGTACGGTTTACCCCGTCAGTATCCCATCGAGCTCTGCCAGGCCGGGGTCGACTTTCACGGACCGATTCCCGAAAACGCTCCTCCGTACATCATCGGGGCCATGTACCTCGGGGACAGCTGCGAGAAGCTGCGCCTCTGGGACTCAAAAGTCCTCATCTCCGATTTCAACGAATCATGGCAACCCGCATTGAAGCAGAGATATCATCTCAACACCCCTGCCAAGGCCTGCGCTCCCGAGGCCATGGTTGCTGAAACGCTGAGACAGCCTATTGGATTTCCTGCCGATGTTTGGGCAATGGGCTGCATCATCTATGAGTTGCTCTCGCCAAGGGATGTTTTCGACCCGGTTTTCCCAAGCTTTGAGCTCGCCTGGTTGAGAATGATCAATATCCTCGGCAAACCCCCAAAGTCATGGTGGGATGCGTGGGAAGAACGAGCTGACTTTTTCGACGACGAGGGGAACTACAAGCCGAACAATAAAATTCCTCACAAGTACCTCCCTCAGCTTCTGGAAGATGAACTTCTGGCAGGTATTGAACGCAGAGAAGAGGATATCACAAGGGTGAGAAACATCGGCAAGAAGAGAGACGACAACGCAATCATCTCAAAGGCAGACGCCTGTGGAGATTTATCGGCCGAGGAGAAGCAGGATCTGGTGGCTCTCTTGAAGAAAATCTTCTGTTGGCTGCCGGAGGAGCGGGCGACGGCTGAAGATCTCGCCAACGGACCGTGGATGAAGAAATGGGGTTTGCCTGCGATCGCGGCCATGGAGCAAGCGTATGCCGACAAGGCTAAGGAGATACCGGTTACCACTTCTGCTATGGCAGTGAACCATGGATACGGAGCATTATGGGCTAACGCCTGGGCGTCCGCAGCAGCGAGAGGGCTCGGTCTCTTTCTTGTCCAACTCTTTGAGAGGGCCACGTCGGCTGTGACTGCAGGGTGGTGGTAAAGATTAAGAAGGGTGTTTGGGATTTGATCCAGAAAGCTAGATTGCTCCTTTTCTTTTGGCGTTTTGTTAGGATATCAGGAATACGTAGTCAATCTCTATACCTCAACTTGATGTGATTTTCAATATAATACTCGGTCTGAGTAGGAGGACTTCGGGGACACACCGCCACTAGATTGTATGACTGTGAATTAAGGCTGAATACTGAGCTCGAATCATCTACTGACATATTTCGGAATACGGGTCGGCCTCGTACATCCCAGCTTTTCATTTCTGTGGTGCAACGGCTTGGGGTTCACTATGCATGGATGAATGATTTATGTATCATTGAAGACAACGACGAAACAGGCGTCTTCGAAGTAACCTAGCAATGCCTTTATATAAGACTCCTTCATCGGAAACTCCATGACTTTTTACGCGGCATCGTGGATACAACTCATACCTCAGGTAAATTGTCCTCTCCAGTTCACGTCTCTATGAAGCATCCAGTACGTGTGAGGACATTTCAAGCCGGAGCCTGTCCTCACACCGCAAGTTATCCAGTCTTGAGCCATTCAAATTTCATGCAGATGTCTCTAGGACAGCGTATACCAAGGCTTTTCATATGGACATGCGCACCTCCGCTCGGGCTCGTTCGACTTCAATATCCGTCACGGCGGTAGATATAGCTGCGGAGAATACCCACATGTTGAGATGCTTTCTGAAGGCCTGGGTGAGCGCAGTCAAGCCTTCTTCACGAAGCCAGCTCACACGGCCAGTGCAGCTGCTAGATGTTGCCGTGGTCACCTACGGGCGACCTCAGATGGCAATGCAATTGGCTTTCTGAAGCTTAGAGACACAGATTCCATCGCCCATTATTGGGAAGGCTACCAAGCCAAGGCCCCAAATTCAGTGTTCTGAAATGCCTTAGTCTAAAACACGATACGCGGAGACGTTTGTTGCGGTTTCCTGATACCCTGGATAGGTTCTTCAAATGAATGGATCAAGAAAGCTGATGAACTTATGTTTGGATTTGCTGGCGGTTCTGGGGAGGCATTGTTGGCCGACGTGCCGCCAAAAACATAGGATGTCTCATCTGACGTTTCCATGAGGGACCTGGCACAGATAAAACCTATCTAGGTAATGGCTGCTTGTCTACAAGGGACATGATTCCGGTGACTGAGAACCACGTAGATGACATTTCACTATCTAAGGAAGTCATAGTAAAGGCCGATAGCACCAAAGTTTGAGCATCGGCATCCGCCTCATGTAATTAATACACCTGTGAGGTGCTACCTTTATGTTAAGTGACTATGCAAGGACCCATTCCGAGTCAAAGCTTCCTTGTTCTGTGTTACAAAAGATATCTGTAGTCAGGTGACAAATCTCCCAACTCCGTCTTCTCATCTTCCGTCAAAGTAGACTCTCCGGCCTTCCGGGCTCTGCTCTTATTCGCCGACCAGCAAGCAATAGCATATATCAAGCAAGAAATGCCGCTGAGGATGACAAATGCAATGCTGATGCTATATCCGGGGATATACTTTGGCGCATCCTTCTTCAGGAAAGCGAAAACCGCGATAATTCCTCCAATATTCCCGAAACCGACTTGCCACGCGCTACCGACCGAACGACGGTGATGCCCGCCGATATTACAGTTGAACCAACAAACTATAACTGGCATAGCAGTATAGGCCCCCATAGCCACGAGGAACAGAGCCGCATATTGAAGTTTCGTGTTGTTGTGGACAGAAATGAGGATCGCGAAGCCGGCGATGGCCACGCAAATCGCGAAGATGGCGAACAGGAAGCGGTGGCGCAGCTTATCCGAGATAACGGCGACGATCATGGAGAAAACGAAGGCCACAGCCCATGGCGGGACGCTGTGGAGCTGCGTTTGGATGCTGTCGTACCCAAAGGTCTGGATGATGCCCGGGGCGAAGTAGGCATATCCGTACGCCGGGACGATGAGGCCGAAGTACATGAAACCCCCGAGAATGATCTTGTAATCCTTGAGGGTGTTGCCGACGTCGCGCAGGGTGATGCTGCGCTCCACGGCCGAGCGGCCCTGGTCGATTCGGAGGCGGGCCGAGACGAACTTCTTCTCCTCGTCGGTGAGCCAGTTCACGTCCTCGGGAAAGTCGGGAAGCCAGAAATAGAAGAAGATGCTGACGACGGCAGTCAGGAGACCTTCGAGGATGAAGATCCAGCGCCAGCCCGCGTAACCTTGCACGCCGCTCATCTTGCCGATGGCGGCCGCGAGAAGACCGCCGAAGGCGCCGGCCAGGGTTGTGCTGTTGAAAAAGAAGGAGTATCGACGCTGGGCTTCGTGTCGACGGTACCACATGCCGATGAGGTAAAATGCTATTGCGAATCATACGTCGTTAGCGGGTTGCGCCCTAGAAAGTATGTGTTGAGACGGGGGGGCTTAGGGCGCGCATACCTCCGGGAAACATTCCGGTCTCAAACACGCCGAGGAAGAAGCGCGTTGTGCAGAGGCCGGCGTAGTTCTGGACGAATCCCTGGATCAAGGTGACCATGCCGAAGCCGAACATGTTGATGCTGAGCCAGACATGAGGCTTGAACTTCTTCAGAAGGATGTTGGAAGGGATCTCGAGGAGGATGTAAGGGACGAAGAAGACGACTAGCGCGTTGTTGTAGAGCGTGCCGTCCAGGCCCAGTTCTGTTGACAGGCCAAAGACGTTGGCGTTGGCGATGTTGACTCGGTCTGTGAAGTTGCATCATCAGCATGCGACTCTGGCTCGGAACTGCGGTGGTGTCTCGTTGCGAGCGGGGTGAGGTTCTTACCGAGGAAGGCTAGCAGGTACATGACGCAGAGAAAGGGAATGACTCTCATGTCCTTCGGCGCATTAGTCGTCTCATTCGCAAAAGTACTGGAGAGAGCAGCTCACAATCTTCCTCACGAGCTTGCTTTCTGTGGTGTGGGATGGACATTCGACGTGCTCCTCATCGTAGCCAGGGCGCTCGAGATCCGTCGCATGCTCGAGGGAGCGCGACGGCGACTCGGCCGGCTTATTCTCCTTGTCGAATTGCATCTTGGGGACTCAATTGAAGGGTTGTATTTCCACCAGAGACGCGCTTCGCGGATCGGGAAAACCCCAACAAGACTCGAGTGAGAGGAAAGACGGAGGAGTTAGGAGGTGCGGCGCAAACAAGCAAACGGCGATCCGTCCAGGGTCGCAGTCGGCTTTTATTTCGTCACCAACTTTTTTTCCCCCTACCCAGCCGTCGCAAAATGAGCTGTGTGAGTGTGGGTCGCGCCGCCGACCTCGGGGTCAAATGGTTCCCTGTAAGACAAGGCCGGTGATCCTCCCGTCTCCACACGACTCCAAAAAGAACGAACCAACACCACGTTGGACTGGAGCTGTCTTGTGTCTTGTTTGTGTCTAGCCCAACCGCGGTGTGGTGGACAAGGGTAGAGGTTCCAAAGGGTATCGATCATCCCCCCAATCTTCGCGAGCCGAACCCCGCGTTTCCGGCTCGTGGCGGCGGTCAGTTAATGCAGACTAGGAGTTTCTGGCAGCTGAGTAATGTGCTGCGTGGAATTGGTCCCTATGACCGAGTTGAGCTCGTATCCGATGCATATCTTCCGAACCAAATAGCTTCATAACTGAAAGGAAGAGCAAAGTCAATGAGCTATCCAGAGAGAGTCATACCCAAATATTAAAGAAAGCTCCATTACCCTATTCCCAACTCCACCGCGGCCCCGGACCGGACTTGGCTCTACTCCACTCCGTCCGCCGATGCAGGAACTGTGACTCTGTGAGTAATCCCGTCGACAAATCCCAATCCTCGTGGTTGGCTCCTGACCGACGGCACCTTGCGTCGGATCTCGCCGCCCAAGTATTTTTCATCTTATTTTTTTTCCTTCCTCGTAGCAGGAATTCCAAGCAAGGGCTTTTCGGTCCGGTGGGATCGAAATGCAGCTGTGAGACATCGCCGGACTTAAGCTCAGAAATTCGGCCGCCGGACACCCGGAGACCAGCCGCTTTCGGTTTAGAATGATGGGAACCACTGTGACTCAAAAGGCCGGCGGTTCGTCCGTTGCTCAGGTGCAAACACTTCCTTCGCCTGGACGGCGGCTCTTGACAGAAGTTCCCGACGGACGCCTCTTTTACCCCGCGAAAGCCAAGACGCGACGCCAATTGTGGTTTTTGGTGGTTGGGAACTGGCCTCGGCTCCAGGTTTTGCATCCAACTATAGAGCAAACAACTCAATGATTCGTCAACTGGTCATGAGGTTTTCAGCTCGAAAGCGCTCGTACTACGCCCAATCAATTACCCAGCCCCCAACACCCTCATCGGCAAACTGCGCTGGATGTGTGTCGTGGAACAATCACTTCGTGACGCGTTGCTTTCAATTTCTGAGGTCACGATGCTGGTCTCCGATCAATCAAGGGTTTCGGCCTCGAATCCAACTCCACATTCGAGATTCCAACTTATCGGATCTCATGGAAGGCAAGTCTGATTAACAATGAGTAATTGCATGCGTAACACATCATATGATCTCACTTATTGAAGCCGTCACGTGAATGCCGTGTCCGCAAGGGAAGGCCTCCTCACAACACTGCAACGGCGCAAGCAGATCGTAGCACCTAAAGCATTTACAAGGCTAACAGGATGTAATTTTGACAACAATTTGCGGTACCTCGAGTTTGACACATGCGCTGGCCAGAATCCTCGATCAGTAATTCTTGAATGAGAATCAATTTCAATCGGCACATATGCTTCATTTCTCTCTTCTAAATCACGACTAAACAGCCAACTTTCAGGTTTAATTCCGACCCATCCGTCCCCGTCGCCGAATACGCCGTCTTCAAGCGTTCATACAACAGTATCGATCTGTATGCCATCGACTCGTAGTAGTGGGTTTCTTCCCTCAACAATGGCGATATTCGTTGCTGAATCGCCTTGGGCACGACGAGGTGGGCAGATAGGTTCAACTAGAATACTGCCTCCCGACTATCTTCAGTCGAGAACCCAAGACGGCAATCTTTTCTCGCTTCAGTTCAGTCTCATCTCTTTGGTACTTCCGTGCGACGGTAGTCTACCAGCCAGATGCTGCACCGAAGCCAACAAGATACAAGCAGCACCTAGATTCGTCCGCAATAACTGAGCCGCCAGATCAATGTGCGTTTCTTTTGACAATTTCAGTGTAGTCGGCCACGATCTCCACAGGGACACACTCAGGAGAGTGGAGAAAGCGAACGGAGTGGTGGCCGAGGACGCAAAGACACCATCTCTGTCGTCGATAAAACGGATATGTCGCGCCCTCCAAGAGTACCCTCTTATCGTATATACAGTCATACGCAGGAACCTCTATGAACATCAGGCAAGCAAAGTCTAAGCAGTTAAGTTTTCATGGCGATACCCTAATTGCGATACCCTAAGGTACGGCCTGTTAGCCGTGTAGAAGTCGTTTGCGTGGTACATGTCGTTTGGCTATATGAATCGTCGGTACAAGAAGGAGACGTCGAATGTGGGTTATCCCTGAGACTGACGTGCTGCAGAGGCGGTGATGGATCTTCGATGCACTCGAGAGTCTCGTCAAGCTCATGAGCGATTGCAGAAGCCAGCTCTGCCTCTTTCTTCAAATCTAGTCCAAGATAGACCAGATAGGAATCACGCCTCCATATATAGTGTTCATTGCACCTGTTGACTTCTCTCCAGGGGATCACTCTAGTTTACCGTTTATGCAGCATTGATCAGCGCTGGAACGGTGCATGAAGGAAGGATAGAAGGAAGGTAGAAGACGGCAAAACAACGTTAGGAGCCTTCAAGAACGGGGCTGCCTTTTTGAAGTGGCCTAAATCAATTTATATCGATAAAATACGGCCAAAAGAACGAGAACGCTGGATGTTTCTCGGGAAACGGCTAATATGCTTCTACAGCTCCGCCACACGCGCAAGGCAAGGTTAGCCGCAGAGATTTCTCTTTTTAAACACAGGACGTGGTTTGGCTACTGCCAGGGGCCAAAGCCAGAAGTCCTGAAAGCCTCGCCTGTCGGACTGAAGCAGCTGATCGAGAAGAAGCTTTTGAACGCTCAGGAGGAGGGCAGGCAATCGCAACCTGGTCCAAGGACTTCGGCGGCTTGCACGTCAAGGCATGTTACCCGGAGTGGAAATGAAGGTAAAGAATCTGCCGATGCCCGACGAACAATGGACTATCTATCCCAGAATTACGCCGATGAGTATGCAGACGCTTTCGTCATGAATGAGCCTCTCAGAAACTCGCCCCAGCATGAAGAGGGTGTGAGGATCGTGGTGGAAACTAGTTCGAGGGGAATTTGGTCACGGATATTGAAAGAGACAGGAAGGATGAGTGTCATTCGGATGGTCTGGAAGAGATGAACAACTGGGAGCGTGTAGGTGCTAGAGGAAGGATGAGATGAAGGCGTGTCAACCTTTCGGAAACGGCTCACATGATGAGAACATAACCGCTGAGTGTTGATAGACGTTCCTACACTCAAATGGGCTGAATCCGAATATACTAGCCCTGAATTGAGTCGTTTCGACGATGGCTCATGCATGGACTACCTTGCCTTAGATGAGATGAACAAATGCAGCATGCTGTAGTCTGCGCAATACAATACAGCCACCCGTATGGTTTTGGCTCGCCATACGCAAGGAGTACACATTGAAGATGAGACGAACGACTTAGATTTCATCGAAAATGAATACGGTATTGAGATTTCGGCCCCGGGATATGGTCTCCGTGGTTTATTTGTAATGGGCAGGTGGGAATATGGTGGATGTGGTTGTAAATGGGGACAGCAATTGGCTGTGCTTACCCCGCACTCCCTCTGCAGTGGGAACCTGAGCAGTGGCGGGGGAAGAGACTGATAAACCTCTATTCCTCGATGACAACACGGGGTTGAACTCCAACTCAACCACAAAAACATTCAGCGTATTTGAGTAAAACTCTTCAATATGACCATCATTCACGTCGTTCAGTTCCAATTCAAGGCGCTTGTCCCAGCGGAGGAAGTCAAGACGGTGAGTCAGACATGCAGACCTGCTGAGGGGAATACATGAGAACTGAACGCTTACCAGATATGCAACGCGATGCTCGGTCTCAAGGATAACTGCATCCACCCGACATCCAACAAGACGTACATCAAGTCAATGGTCGGTGGTCTGGACAACAGCCCCGAGGGCATCCAAGACGGCATCACGCATGTCTTTGTGGCCGAGTTCGAGAACGCCGAGGACAGGGACTATTACGTGCAGAAGGACCCGGCGCACCTGGCTTTCGTCGCGGAGGCGGGGAAGGTTATCCAGAAGGCTCGGGTCGTTGACTTTACACCAGGGGTCTTTTAGATATGAGATAGCGGTGAAGATTGGGTGTTGAAATGAAATCGGCTCACTTGAAGTGAGAGGATCACTTAGCTCACTGAGTTCTCAGACAACGTTGATGACGATGAGAGGCTTTGAGTTAGTGGAACCACGATGACCGAGTCCAGGCCCGGCGACAGAGACCAACGCTATCAATAAAACACTTGGTTTCCAAGAACCCAAGGACCCAGGGACATGGGCGGTGGGATGTGATCTAGGATGAATGCAAGATGGCATCATTGTGCGGCCCGAGAATGAAGAAGGTGAAAAATGCGCGGTATGACAACGGAACCCGAATTGAAGGATCCAATGGCACAAGCAATGCAGGGACGCTGGAAGCGAAGCAATCAGGGTCCAATTGCAGCCTGGAAACCTGGGATCGCCTAGTGTCGCTGCCTGAGGGTCAAAGGCCAGAACCCAATCACGATCCTTGCGCTTGAGCCAATCACGACCCGGGAAACAGCTCTCAGATGGTCAGTGCTCGGGTGCAAGCGGGGCGGAACAGGGTACCAGGTCCTACGTCATAGGCGGCGTGATGGGAAAGTACCACAGCCCTCGAAGTATCCGGTTGCTTCTTCTCCTGCTTTTTTAGCTGTGCCCCGGCCAACTCGGTACATGGGCAGTCATCCCCGGGTCATTCCAGTGTCCGCTTCCCCCCTCCCCCGCCAACTTCCAGCTGCTCGCGTCCACTCTACCTGAGATCATCAACCGAACACTGCAAGGGAAAGGTACCGAGGCCTCGTGTTTCTAGCCCTTCCTTAATCTGTACTTTGTACGCTTCACTTTTCATGGATCAGGGGACCGTCCCTGGCTGAACTTCTCCCTAACGCCATACGCCATACGCGAACAGCCAACAACGAATACCTACCTACCTTCTCTTCCGCACCTGCTCGACGCATCCTATTTCTACTTCTTTTCTACCACAATTCGAGCATCGTGGCATACCTCTTACTGGTTAATCGCTTTTGATACCCCTTCACCGCCGCACCGGATTCCGTCCTCATCACCCCTTGCGCTGCTCGCCATACCAGGCATCTGACGACGGTACCCTTGATTACCCCGCCAAGCTGACTTGCCGTTTGCGACGGCGCCCTTGTCTGAGCCCGAAGTCGTTAACGAGAACGAATTGCGACTCCATCCTTACAGGAACATCTTCAGTCCTCTACCGCGACGACCGCTTCGCCATCACCAACAACCCAATACTCTTCAGCCACAATGGCATCGCATCCTACCCTGATCAATCTCCCTCCCCCCACCTCCAATCCAGACACCCCGTCTGAGATGCCGTGCGCAATCCCTTCCCCATCCTAGCCCACATCAGCTAACATCTCCGTCGCAGAGGCACCCCGACGAGCACCACAACGTCCCTGTCGGCCCTCTCTACCACCGCTATTAAAGATGGTCACCGAGGTCACCTTCCCCAGGGCCCCGCGGGCCGCGGCCACGCCCATCACCCCTCGACGACAAGCCTCGAGGCTGAACGCGCCGACCGTATCTCGCGCCTCGCCGGTCTAGAGCGAGTCTCGACACTACGCGCCCCGCCGCATCACCAGAACGCGGGCTCATCTTCTCTTTCTCCTCAGACGACCCCAACCTCTACGACCGGCTTTCCGCCCAACTACCCACCGAATCAACACCTGACCCCGGCCTACTTCGACGCTCATGGCCAGCCCACTGCTGCTACCAAGATGAGCACCGTCGGTACTGCCAGCGCCACTGAGAGCTACGTCGGCGACGACAACGAGACGCGCACCGCCCCCGGTGAACAGGATGAGGATATGCTTAGCATGGATACCAACTACCGCGAAGCCGACTCTGTGACCAGCATGGGCGCCGAGCCCGAGCATATGGATGAGGACATGGCGACGCGCTCGACTGGAGGCTACGACGACCGCATGAGCGATGACGGATCGGCTAGTCTTGTTGGCTTCGGCGAGGGCGCCAACAGCACGGTATCTGGCCCGATCTACCAGCGTCGGCCCATTCCCGGCGTTGCTGGCCAGGGAGGCATCTGGGGCCTTGAGAGAAGCGCTTCCGGCCTCAGCGACGGCATCCCGACGCAGCGCAATCGCGACGTGGCCATGGGCGGAGACACCCCCATCAGTGCAGCCGCCATGCAGGAGAGGAGAGACGCGCGCATGATGGACGGCATGACCAACGACGGCGCGGGTGTCCCTGACGAGGAGATGTTCGTCGACACCACGAACAAGCCTCCCATCCCCGTCTCGCAAATGGCGGGACAGACTCCGCAACCCAATCCGAGCACAACACCCACAGCACGAGATGCGGCCGAGCGCATGATCCGCGATCGTCTCGACGGAGGCGAGGGCCGCGTGGGCAATGCGGCGCTGGGAAGCCCGCAAAGCGGAGAGCGTCTGGGCAAGTTCTACTTCGAGGAGCGGAAATAGGCCCTCATCAAAGAACCCCGCTCAGCGGCAAAGCTGTCAGGATGACGCGGCCGCGATCTTTGCTTTTGTGTTTTACGAGGGAAAATATGTGGAATCGAGCGTCTGCTTACATGAAATGGTCGGTTTAGTTGCTTGGATGGGAAGAATACGGTTCGGCTGGGTTATAACATGGGCCTCTAGGTATGGCTGCTGGAATGCGAGTTATTGATCATTGCAAGCTTGATGACCTTTGTGCGTACATGTTGCGATCTCTCGGACATAAGATGCGTTGAAAGTCGCAGCAGGCATGTGACAAACATCGCGCTGCAGATAATCGTCCCGCACAGGAGCCAAGCAGCACAAGGTGAGATCTTGAATTGCTCATGTTCTTCATCGACGGACACCGTCGTATCATTCCAACCAAGCCGGAAGGCGTCGTATGTGGACCTCTTACCTCCCAAACCAGCATGATATAGCTTGCCGATTATAAGATTACTAAACTCTCATAAGCAGTACTATCCCATCCTCACTTCGCCATTCAAGAAACCAAGCACCATCCATCCCTCCGACCCGCTCCCCTCGCCGAAGACCCCGGAGCACGCCCGCGATGTAACGCTGACCTGACTCCACTGAGTCTTACCACATCTCTCCGTCCCCAAAAAGACGAGGCACCATGACTCCAAAGAACGATGGGCCTCTCCAACAGACCAGGCCCGTGCCATCCGTCCCAACTTCCGAACTGCCGGCCCCCTCATCTTAAGAAACGGATTGTCAATAGAGAGAGAGAGCTGGGATCGGGACATGGACCGGGCCTACGGAAGGATGGACACATCTACCGACAAAAACAAAAATCAAGATAGATTATCGTCTCCGCGCCCTAGCCCAGCCCGCTGTCACCATAAGGCGTCGTATTACGGCACAATGCCGTCCACCAGTCCGCCAAAATGCGGGACTCAAGAATCGCTTTTAAACTGCTCCCCCCGTTTGTGATCTTCGTCGCCGTCGTTGTGGTGTGGTACGTCGAGCCGGATACGATGAGGTCTCTTACAGTCTTTACCGCGTTGCTGCCTTTCATCCTCGGCGCGCCGCATCTCTCAGGGGGGAATGATGCCGCGGCGACGTTTCTTGAGGATCTGATCGCGAAGACGCGGGCTCTGGAGGGGTCTTCGGAGACAGGAGTGTGTCGGCAGACGTCGCTTACTGTGGACCTCGGATACGCAAAGTACGAGGGCTACACCAACGCCACGACCAATCTCAACATATGGAAAGGGTACGCGCTGTGATCTCCACGAGAAACCCAGGCCGGGTCCTAATAAACCTCTCTCACAGCATCCGCTACGCAGCTCCCCCGACGGGACCCCTCCGCTGGCAACCCCCGCAGCCCCCGTCCGCGTCTGCGTCCAACGAGACGCTCGCGGCGACGGACTTCGGCCCCATCTGCCCGCAGAACTACCCCGCCATCCCGGGCCTCCCCTTCGTCCCGGGCTCCGAGGACTGTCTGTACCTGAACGTGTACGCGCCGGCCGACGGCGGCGCCGCCGCGGGGGGCCTGCCGGTGATGGTGTGGATTCACGGCGGGGGCTACGGGTTCGGGGACGGGAGGCAGGATATGGCGGAGATCATCAACGCGAACGGGAATGGTTTCATCGTGGTTGTCATTCAATACCGAGTGCGTTTTTCCTCGTCCCTGTTTTAAAGTGTATTGTATTTAGAGATCTGCTGAGCTAACTAACACCTCCCGAAAACACAGCTCGGCGCCTTCGGCTTCCTCGCCTCCGCCGATGTCAAATCCCGCGGCGTCGTCAACGCGGGACTCCTGGACCAGGCATTCGCGCTCGGCTGGGTGCAGAGCTTCATCTGCCTCTTCGGGGGCGATCGCGACAGGGTGACGATCGCGGGGGAGTCGGCGGGCGCGAGTTCCGTCATGTACCACGCCCTCGCGGCGGGCGGCGGCCTCGGGACGCTATTCTTTTCGAACGTGAGAGAGCGGTTTCCTTCCCCCGGTGTGGTGTGGCTTGACTTGGAGTGCTGACGTGTGAGGAATAGGGCATCGCGGCCTCGCCGTATCTCCCGTTCCAGTACGGCTTTGACGCGGCGTTTCCGACGGAGCGGTATCGCGCCTTTGCGGCGAAGGCTGGGTGTGCGGAGGCGGGGGATGTGGTGGAGTGTCTTCGTGGGAAGGATAGTATGGTGCTGCAGCGAGCCAGTGCGAATGTTACCTCGGAGCAGACGTACGGGTTCTGGTACTTCTTTCTGTGCTCCGCTGAGATACGTTTTGGAAAGCTGACGAGATTCTCCCCAGGGCGTTCTACCCCGTCACCGACGGCGTCTACATCGAGAGTTTGGCTAGCGAGCAGATGGGACGGAAGAAAGTGAACGGCGAGCGATTCCTAGTCGGGGTGAGTCTTCATGCGGGACAGCTTTCCGGCGTGTCTGAAGCTGATGTGTGTGGGTGCCAGAATAACGCGAACGAGGGGCCCCTTTTCGTGCCCCCGAACATCGCGAGCGTCGATGATCTGACCTCCTGGCTCAAACTGGAGTTTTCGAATCTCTCGTCAACACAGATCGACGAGATCCTGGCTGCGAACCCGACAAGAACGGGAGCGAATGACACCCGTTTCGAGACGAACGGACTGACGGGTCTCACGGCCATGGATGTGAGCCAGGCTGGGACGGGGCAGCTGCAGCGAGCCATTGTGAGTACAGCCGAGCATCTATCGCCCGTCGTGGGCTTAAGTTGCTTTCCTCGCTCTCCTTCTCATTTGTTCACGCAAGACTCGGGACTAACACGCACCTCGCGACCCTAGAACATCTACGCCGAATCAACCTTCGTCTGCCCGAGCTACTGGCTCTCGACCGCCTTCACAAGCCCCTCGACGTCCGCGTGGCACTACCAGTACTCGGTCCCCTTCGCCTGGCACACCTCGGACATACCCGCGTACTTCGGCCCCGCGACGCCCAACCAGGGCGCGGACCTCACGCTCGCGTTCCGGCGGATCTGGGGCAACTTTGTCACTCGGAGCGATCCTTCGATCGATGATGAGGTGGTCAACGGCGCGTTGGGCGGTGGTGCGAGCGAGTGGCCGGCGTGGACGGAGACGGGGCCGAAGCAGTTGAATTTGAACCAGACGGGAGGGGTGGCGTACGAGTTCGTTACGCAGTGGGGGGTTTCCGTGACGCAGTTTGCGGAGCCTGGGCTGGTGACTGAAATTGAGGTCGTGCCGGCGGACGAGTGGGAGGGTGGACGCGGGGGGAGGTGTGAGTTTTGGAGGAGGTTGGCGCCGAGTATCCCGGCGTAGGTGGTACGCTTGGAGTGAGTTGCATTGACGTGTTGTGGTCTGTCGCAGCATGACTTACCACTCGAACACAGAATCCCGTGCCGAACTCCGCAGGCAGAATGCAAGAGACATAGATCCATTCGCAAGACGCCAAAGCACTTATGTTGTAATACACGCTTATTTCCACTATGTCAGCTAAAACATGGTGTATATCCAATGCATCAGATAACTAAAGACTTGATGACGCTGGCGATAGGGGGTATAGATGTGAACAAGACAGTAATCGTGCCAAACAAACTCATCGAAAGACTCGACAGCGCAGCCGCGCGGGGATCAGTCCGCAGGAGCAAGGCCGTCGCAATAGCCGACGAGTTAGCACCCAAAGTGACACCCCTCGTAATGTAGTCATCTGTCCAGACACATTAGCATCTTCCCATCGCCCGCCACAGACCACACTTTCTCTCTCACCTTCGGGAATCCTAAACCAAGCCAGCATCCGCTGCCCGACGAGAACGCCGACGATACCACTCATAATGGCGACGGCCGCGACGGTGTTCACGTCGCCCCCGAGATTCTCCGTCGCGGGGATCGCGAGCGCGAGCGTCAGGCTCCTCGAGGCGAAGGCGAGAGACCGCTCGGCGCTGATGCCGATGGCGAAGCAGAGCTTGGGGTACGCGAAGAGGCAGCCGATGGACATGACGATGTTGGGCAGGACGATGGCGACGAAATGCTGCTTCAGCTCGCGGCGGTACTGGTACATGGGCAGCGCGAGCGAGATGATGCTCGCGTCGAGGACGGTGCTGAAGATGTCGCCGGCACCCGGCAGCCGGCCGGAGTTGGTGTGCAGCCAGAGGTAGGTGTAGTTGGCGCCGGTGCGGAAGGAGCGGAGGGTCGTCGGGAGTGAGTCGCCGCGGATGGCGGCCAGGGCCCAGATTGCGAGGACGGAGAAGAGGGAGGAGACGAGGACGGGGTGGAGGTATTGGCGCCAGGTTGGGGGGATCGAGGAGGCGGCTGTGTAGATGAGGATGATGAGGGGGAGGTGGAGAGGCATGCCGTAGCCTGTTGCGTAGTAGATCGGGAGGCCGATGAAGACGCAGATCGCGGCGTAGACGGAGAGGTCGAGATGGGCGCAGATCCGGGCCGCCCAGAGCTGTGCGCGGGGCACGGGGAGCGGAGCTTGAGGCGGGAGGGAGGTGTTCTGGATCGTCAGGGCTTCGGTCGTGTTCTCGGGTGAGGGACTGTTTGTTGCCGGGAGGAAGTTGTGAGTTGCGTTCTGGGAGGGCGGCGGCGGTGCGATGGTGTTGAGAGACAAGGAGGATGGTGCGGCGGAAATCGTTCGCGATCCAGGGGTCGATTCGGTTCGCGGCGGGGTGTCGGCCAGGGGGATCTCGTCCGTCTCGTTGCCCATTTCTTCCGCGCGTTCTGTGAGTGCGCGTTTGGATGATCCAAGGAGGAGTTGAAGGCCTCGAGTGAGGTAGGCGGCGAGGGCCATCATCACGATGAAGCCGATGACTGCGAAGATTAGAAGACGGGACTGATGTTTCGTCGGACAGGATTCGCTCACTGAAAACGGCGATGATCTTCATGACTTCAATGATTCCAATGGACGGACTGAGAGGGAGCATCACGAAGGATGGCGTGAAGAAGACGTTGATCCAGCGGAGGGACCAACCAGCCTGGGATGGTCAGTCAACATATGAAAGGCTGCGTCGAGGTATGTGACCATACCGGCACATCAATCACGGCTACGATAGCCTTCGTCTTGTGGTTTCCGAGAACCAATTCAGAAAGCAAAAGAGCGAAGAAGAGTAAGATGAGGCAGGCGACGGATGCTGGGAATGAGACGCCGACGGTTTGGAAGATGACGCTCACCCCGAAGCACGCGGCGAGCATCACCATGATGCCGAAGGGGACGTAGAGCCATGAGACGAGGAGCTTGGGCGCGGATTGCAATGCGGCCTGCAAGTTTTGTTAGTAATGTTGAGGTGGGTGTTTTCCAAGATTGAAGAATAAGACGAACCAGTTTTATTGCTTCAATGGCATCGAGGCAATTTGTGAGCCACTGAGGCCCGGCATTAGGGCGGTTGTTCGAGGTTGTCATGATCGCGCTCCGAGGACAAATTTCATCGCAGGCCACCTTGCTCTGTGAAATTCCAGCAAAGAATGAAACGAGCAGAGTTTATATGCAACGATGGCTCAGGCGCAACTTACAAAGAAAAAGTATTCTCAGAGAATGACGTTAGAAAAGATGATTCCGTCACTTATCATGCCTGCATGAGACGATATCGCCGGCCAAATTAGTCAATTCCATTTTGGTTTTAGCGAATCAGCTCCGATGCCGCGCCGAGACTAAGACGCGGCGGGAACTCTCGGCAGCATGTGTCCACTGTAAAACGCCCTCTCAGTCAGCGTCTGAACTCCGCTAAAGAACGTTTGGGCCTGCGATTACTGGATTTCAGGGGTCTTTACTCTGTGCAGGCCCGCTGATCGGGATGGCTTCCGAGGGAGCGGGACACATCCGAGGGCGTGGTTGGTGATCCGCGCTGCGGCGTTATTTTGACGACGTGCATCTTGATGCTGATAGTCGATGAGGAGACTTGCGATCCGGCCTAGATGTATTCGTAGCCAAGTTGTTTAGTCTGAGGCCATTCGACAGACTTGTTCGGCTAATGTTTTGCAACGGCGGCAAACTGTTGTTGTGTTCATTCGTTTCGTCGCCAACCCTGCGTCACCTGGAAACTCATCAGCGTGGCATTCAGGTAGGCTTCAACAAATCCTGACTACAGCATTGTCCAAACGATGACACGTTGCAAGTCTCGGGCTGATGGAAAACACTTTTGTAAATTAATTCCTGGTAAGACTGAAAAGTATCCTTCCTCGATGTGTGTGAGCTCGCAGCCTAGATAAAAGTCTCTCAGCCAAGCTCTTCCCAAATCGCGTCTTGTGTAATTCCATTTGGCATATGGCTCCAAGACCTGAAAGTCGTCAGTGAGTATCCATGAGATCATCCAACCAGATTTGCCCTCTCTTTCTGAGAGAAAGCGCCATGTCGCAGAGTATCAAAGTCGCACCATATGAAGTAGTAAAAGCAATGTGTCGAAATCGTTGTAGATGGTCATCGTCTACTGCTTGGCGCCAGTCAATGTGATATAGGGTGCCATCAGCACCCGGAAACCGACGTTCTCGCGAGGAAACTCGGGGTATTTGATCTTGTTGTCTTGCATGATGAAGGCCTCCCTGGTCTTTTTGAGGGCGTTGAAGACATCAGTAACGGAAGAGATCAGCTCGTTGTTGAGACTGTGAGAGTTCTTCACCTCTACCCAGGTTCTCTTCTGATCGGTGAATGTCATAAGGCCTTGATGGCGAGCCTCACCTGGGAATACGATTAATATGGAATGCTGGTAGATAATGAAAGACTGAAAACTTACGCTCCTTGCGCTCCACGAAGTCCTTCACCTCAGCTTTGGTTTTTTTGATTTTGAGGTTTGTAGTCTTGAAGTGTGTAGTCTTGAGCAGAACTACCACGAAGACGTTCTCGACGTGGGAGAAGTTCTTAGCAAAGGCTGCCAGCTCGAAGGGACAGAACTTCATGTCCATGTGGCCTCTCGTCATGTCGGTAAGGGTCGGCCAACACTGCAAACGGCATTTCAGGCCATGGAGCTTTTCTTGGTCGAAGCGGATGGCGATGTTCCGAACGTTGGGTGCCACAATTCCGTGCGAACGCAGGTATCGCTTGCACTGTCTGGCATACTGGAGCCAGTTGTCAGGCATGACAGTGGAAGATTTCTCCATGGTGAAGACGAGGAGATCCTTGGCGCCACGTACGGCGAGACCGGGATTCTTGCTGATAGACTTGAAGTCGACTCCGAGGCCGAGCTTGTGTTCGATGAACCTCTTGAAATCCGGGAAAGCTTTGGCGAGCTTGAAGAGCTGCTGAAACTCCGACTTCTCCTTCTGCTTTCCCGACGAGATTTTGGCTCTTGCTTGAGGACCTTGGCCCTCGAGTCTGATTTCGGCCCAGACCATGGCCGGGTCGTAGTTGACCGCCGCCTCGAGAATCATGTTCTTGATCTCGGGTGGAAGCTGTGGGAAGCGACGGAACTGGGGCTCATCATTGGACCGGACAGGCGCAGGGCTGGTCATGGTTGCAGCATTGTTGATCGCGCCGTTCGAGTGTGTCTCGAGGCTGGTAGAAGCCATGGTGGTCGTGGGAGGCTGCAGCGAAATGTCAACGCTGCTGCTCTGAGGCAGGTTCTTGGTCGACAGCTTATTGGTAGGTAACGAAAGAGCAAGATATGGCTGCAGGGGAAGGTTAGCTTGTTGTCAAGTAAAGGAAGGAAAATGTGAACTCATACCAAGGCTATTGTGCAGTAGTAAATATCGCAGGTCGGGATAGGAAAGAACTCAAAGATTTGGGAGCAATAGCAAGAGGAAAGAGGTGAGGAAGGCGAGCGAAGGAGGTTGTTGAAAAGATGTGCTCATGAAATATTCTTGTTGGTATTTGTATTGAAAGTGAGGCGTGAGAGGTGGGTGAAGTTTCGGGAAACTGATTGAGGAAGGAGCAGCTGGGCTATCGGAGTGACGAGGGCGAGAGTTCGGAAACCTCGGGCAGTTAGGATAGAATAGGAAGTAACGGTGAAAGTAAAGGTGACATTGGCTCGGTTTGCGGCGTAAGAAGGTCGATATTTGGCCGCAATAGAGGCAGACGAAGGTGTCGAGTTGCTGGCTGTGGCAAGACTTGATTCGTGAAGAAAGGGGATTCTGAATGAAGAGTTGAAGAATTCGGGAAGAACTGAGGTTTGCGCGGTGAGGATTATGGCAAGTTGGTGGCTTCGGGAAGACTTGGCTGTGTTCAGAAATGGCAGCCGCCAGATATCTGGCCGGTTGTTCGGGCTGCAGCTGCGTCTCTGGGGTGTGGAGCGAAGATTTTCGAGAGAAGACCTAGTTTGGTGGTTTTGGGTGAAAGGATTTCGAAATCCTGCGCTGGGCAGCTTTGTCTTCTTCTGTGTTGACCTGGGTTAGTGAGCCTCAACAGCTCAAGTAATATCTCTCCATCCGGTCCCGAGCAATCAACCAATATCCATTCGTTTGAGCCGACCGAAAGGAGACGCCTTCAATTGGAACCGTCTCGGTATCTTATTGAATCGTGTTGCACTTGAGACTCGGGTCGAATGGTACGTTGATATCCGTAAAAGCTCTACAGGAGCTGTGTTGTCGATATTTCGCACTTCCCCAAGGTTTCTGGCGTTTTATTCCATCGTCATACCAGTTCTCGGGCGAAACCTTCGTTTCCTGTTGCGGTCCGAAACTGAAGGAAAAGGGCTTCTGGGAATTGGATACCTCTTGTGTGGCCTGTATCTTGACATACTATCGCTCTGGGACATTTGCGCGGTGTTTCCTCCCCTCCCCTGGTATTCTTAGTCGGGATACCAGCTCTCGAGACTGCCAGCTCGCCTCCCCGAGATTTCTTTCAGCAAGTGGGCGCTGAGCCTCCAGTCCCTGAAATTCGACTCCAGTGCTGGCTTCTTGCGATCGTTTCGAAGTGCTCATGGAGGAAGCCACATCGTACGTGGACGGGCCAAGTCGGAGGGTGTGGCGGAACTTAGTCGTTCGTAGATGAAGTCATATTCTGGGTCTCGGTTGGTGCTCGGGAGAGGTCGACGACGATGCCTGGTGGCCTTCCGGTGACTCTAATCTGATCGTTCGAGTAATAGCCGGACGAAGACCACCACACGTAGAGAGTGTTTTGGTGTAAGTTCTCGAGCCGTCGCCATCGTCCACGTACCAGTCGCATTTCAGTCGGTCCTTCGCCCTGCCCTCCGACGAGGAAGGAGCGCTCCTTGAAGCCTACTCCACGTCTCGGACTCGACATTATCAGCGATGTGGATGACGGACGTTATCTCCACGATGAAGACAAATTCCACCAGAATATCCCACTTCTATGGCAAGGAGACAAAATAGCATGTATGAAGTTCGTAGGCAAGACATCGTTAACCCAACCGAACTATCTACAAGAGTGGAGGGCTAGTGCTTCTTTCCGGTCAAAGACGGGCAGGCGCGCCCGCCTTCGTCCCTACCTTAGGTAGATACAAAGAAAGAAAGAAGGAAGCAGCGTTGAGATTGATCTTGCTTGCCTCGAAAGAGCAAACAATGAATATTGCTCCCACCAAAGTCGCACCTTTCCATCACACACGATCAACCTCGGCAAAGTCCAGAAGGAGCGACCACGCCCTAAACCGTAGCAGCCGATCCTCCGCCAGACCTCAACATGACCAATCTCAAAACCAACACCTCACCTCTCCCTCAAGCGCCTGATCCTCAGATCAAAGCTTCGAAGTTGACACAACAGCATTCTCTCGACGCCATCGAACCTATCCTACAAATGGATCATCTCACCGCGATCAGCCACGCCACCCAGCCCTCATCCCACCTCAAGAAGAACAAACACAGTCGCCACATCCTATTGTCACCTCCCGACTAAAACACCTCCCTCCCCGGAAAGCCTTCCACGCGGGACACCTCACTGACCGCGCATTCCGAGTCCTTGATAATCCCTCGTCTCCGGGAATGCTACTGGCGTATTTGGGAGGCGCGAGTCTCGGTACCGGAGGGCTGTGCCTGGGGAGGGGAGCGGGAGGACGCACTCTCTGCTTTGCCCCGCTGCCGACGATAGTCCCGTGGCAAGGCATGCCGGGTTCTCCGTCAGGGGCGGAGAGCAGCTCCCCGCGCCGACCTCGGTCCTATTATTTCAGAAGATTTGCTTCATTCTTGATCTGTTAGCAAAGTCGGGCAACAAAGGCTCTCAAGCGGAAAGGAGTAATCGCAGCCACTGCGAAAACCGAGTAGTATCTAGTTGACAGTCACGTGAAATCAAGCAACGAGAAAGATCAAGTGAGTGGGGGAGAACAATAGCATTTGCCATTCCAAACTGCTCAGACAGCTATCTAGCCCACCAATTCTGGCCCAAGACGCGCTTCGAGAGTCCGTCTCGGCCAAATCGGTCCAAAAGCCATCCAGTCCATCCAGCGATTCTCCCCCAAGTTTTTTTGTTGATTTTCTTGTCGATGTGAGTACCAAGAGCCGCTGGCCTTCCACAACACCAAACGAAACCGGGCTTCCGTCCAAGGGGCCGCTTTGTAGGCGACGAGGATGAAAACCGGCCATTGGGTGGGAAGAGCCAGACAGCAATAATGATACTCGGGTATTTCTGCGGTTGCGCGTCGAGCCTGCTCTGCCGAAGAGAAGCAGGGAGTATAGGTGTAGAGTACGTAACGGATGGCCAAACCACCGCTCACCAAAAGACATCTTGGTGTAAACCGACGACAACGCTCTTCCTCCTCCTGTCCCGGACGAGGTGCCTTCCAACCAAAGTCTCCCCATTGCCAAAGAATACGTATGGACGAGATGGGAAACCATGCCCCGAAAGACGCCGTTGGATGCCAAGTCACCCCGACCGCCGTCCGTGTCGTATCCCAACATTCAAGTCGTCTCCGCGATCGATTGATTAAAACTCAAAACACACCGCGGTGCTCAAACCGGTCGATGAGCTACCGGACCGCCCTGTCTCCGTGTTTCTTGCCGCCCTCGGGCCGCAAGGGCCAACTCCACTTTTTCCCCAGAAAAATCAAATATGGCCGTCTTCCATGCGAACGCCGCCCCGGGGCTGATGCCGCTCAGCCGCTTGTTGATCCCCCCAAAACGCCGTCGTTAAGAATTAAAGAAGCAAATGAACATGAAAAGATGGGATCGGGACGTTTCCACAAACAAGAGAAGGGCTTCGTTCAAGACCAGACGCCACGCCCTGTGGTGGTAGTTGTCGTTTTTTTCGTTCGTTCCATGAGAGCTGCCCGTCGTCTCGCTCGTTCTGTCGTCTCCAGACAGCATGCAGCTTCCAGCTCAGGTCGAAAATGCTGTCGTCAGAAAGCCGAAAGGAAAGGGAAAAAGAAGTCAAACAAAAGACCAGTAAGATCCTAGGGTATGGTACAGGCCGAAGTTTTCGAATATGTAACGAAGCTTTTTGTTGTTTGGCGACGGGTGACGGGTCTGATTGAGTGTTCGTTCGTTTGTTTCGTGATCGTGAGTGGGAGAGAATGTGGAAGCCCGTGTGTGTGTGTGTGGATGAGATGCCCGACCCTATCTGATCGTGCCCTGCCATCTTCAAAACCAGAGAAAAAGAAATATGTACAATCCAACCGCAGACGCCGTCGCGCACTCCATCGCGACGAATACTCCGCAACGCCTTTCTATAAGGAAAAGTTGAGATGGTTCAGCCTAGGACGCCTGTCCTTGGGGCTGCTGGGCATGGTGGCCTTGGCCTCCACGTCCGCGACCACCGTAGCCACCGCGGTTCTGTCCACGGTAGCCACCACGACCACGGCCACGGCCTCTGCCGCCGCCCTGGTAGCCGTTCTGTTGATGAGGGTTCTGTGTTTGCCAGTTGCCAGGAGCGGGCTGCTGGACGCCCGGCGGCACTTGCTGGCCGGATGGCGGAAGCTGGCCCTGAGGACCAGGCTGGCCGGTCTTGAAGTTGGAGATGGGTCTCGGGATCGACTCGGGGTTCTCGTAAACGTAGAGGGACTTGTCGATGCTGGCGGGAATGGGCTGGATCTCGGTGCCGAGGTCCTTTTCGATGTTGTAGAGGTTGAACCTGTCATCCCAGTTGATCAGGTTAATAGCCAGACCCAAGTGGCCATAGCGGCCGGAGCGACCGATGCGGTGGAGGTAGGTTTCGGCGTTTTTGGGGAAGTCGAAGTTGATGACGACGTTGACGGCCTGGATGTCGATACCACGGGTGAGAAGATCGGAGCAGACCAGGTTTCTGCAGACGCCGTTGCGGAAGTCGTGGAAAACGCGATTTCTCGCTTGCTGGGCCATCTTGGCGTGACTGTAGAAGCACGAGTAGCCCAGCTCGGTGATCTTCTTGGCCAGCAGCTCGACACGGTTGGTCGAGTTGCAGAAGATGATGGATTGGTTGATTTGCAGCTTGGAGAACAGGGTGTTGAGGCAGTGCACCTTCTGCTTCTCCTCGACGAAGGCGTAGTATTGGGTGATACCGCGGAGGGTGAGCTCGTCCATGAGGTTGATTTCGTAGGGGCTGACCATGTTCTTGTCGGAGAAGTCCTTGACGGACAGGGGGAAGGTGGCGGAGAAGAGCATAACCTGGCGGTCCTTGGGGTGGAACTGGAGAAGTTGTTCGATGACGGGGGTGAATTCGATGGAGAGGAGTTTGTCGGCTTCGTCCATGATGAACATGGGGCATTCGCTCAGGTCGGCAACGTTCTTGCCCGCGAGGTCGAGGATTCTGCCCGGAGTACCGACCACAATATGGACGGGATCCTGAAGACGGATAATATCGTCGCGGAGGCCTGTACCTCCGGTGGTGACCATGACGTTGATTCCGAGGTGCTTGCCGAGGGTTTTGCAGACTTGTGATGTTTGCATGGCGAGCTCACGAGTGGGGACGAGGATGAGGGCTTGGATCTTTGAGACCTTGGGGTTGATCTTCTCGAGGGCGGGGATAACGAAAGCTGCAGTCTTGCCGGTACCGTTCTTCGCACGGGCAAGGATGTCGCGGCCGGTCAGAGCGACGGGGATGGCCTCTTCTTGGATGGGGGATGGCTTCTCGAATCCAGCCTCGAAGATGCCCATCAGCAAGTCTCTCTTTAATTGGAAGTTTTCGAACTCCAGGCCCTTCGTGTTCGTGACATCCTGCGAGCGACAACGTCAGCGTGCACCTACGGCGTTCGGCGTCGGCGACTCTTACCTCGGTTTGTTGTCTGTTGTCTTTGGCGGGCAGCTTCAGGCTCTTCTTCCAGTCTTCCGATGCGGCGCCATCGCTGGGCTAGTCAGTGCTACGCTCACGGAGACTCGAGTACTGCAGATTGTACGAACCCCAAGGTCGTTGCCTTAAGCTTGTCTGCAAGTGCTTCCGCCATTTGAAGGTGTGATTGTGGGTTATGTGCCGGGTGGCAGGAGGGGGAGGAGGATCGCGATCGCGGAGGGGTGTGTGTGGTGGAGGGGCGTTGCGCGCAAAAAAGATGTCTTCGGACTCGAGGGGTTGCCGTGGCGCAAGTGGTGAAGATTGAGGGAGTTCGTGGAGCGCGATGTCGGTGATTGCTTTTGATGGTCGTAAGGTGTGTGGTTATGTGGGAGCGGAGCGGAGGAGAGAAGGAACAAGTTTGTGGTGAATGCCGTGCGGTGCGTCAGGCGGTGCGCCGCAAGTTTCCCTCCGGGGCAGGACCCCTTGCGTAGCGGGCAGGTAGGGCCACGTGACCTGCACCTGTGAGAACACTGAAGCTCCTTGGCTGGTGCTGCCCTGATGAACACAGTTATACAGCTGGCTACCTTGGAATTTATCTGCTTTTATTTACTTATCATCTAAATTAAGAGAAAAACAATAAGTATTAGTGGGAGTCATGCAGCATGAAGGAGTAGAGGAGAGACAGGGCACGGCAACTGGCCAGAATGATCGGGTATTTCCCGCCTCCAAGTCATCTATTCGAGTAACTAAACGTTTTATTCTTCCAAGAAAAAAGGCATGCATTCCATCAACTTCACGTGGTTTCCGCCAGGGTTCGCTTCGAAAAAGACTCGAAAAATGCCAACTGCGACCTTTGTACGGCAAGTCTTCCGAGGCTTCGAGGGGCTACTCTAGGTATCCCCCTCACCGGAACCTGAGTCCTCTCATTGGATCTATACCGAGGATTCCCCGCCCCAGATCCCACAGCCGATTGGCCAGAATCACCCCCGCCGGATCGCTGCTGCAGCGGAGCTATCGGATCGGGAGAAGGAGCACTGGGCGCTGAAGAGCAGGTGCACTGGCTCTGGCTCTGAGCATGAATGCGTCAGTTGAGTAAAGGTCGAACCACTCGAGTCTAACAGCCACAGCTAATTAATTCTCTCACATCCATCACCGAGCACCTCATTAAACCTCCGAGGCTCGCTCCCAAACAATGACCTCCCAACATCACTCTCCTGAACCCCCCTGAGTACCCGAGTTCGTCCCAGATCAAATCATCAGCATGGTCCTAAAGACAGCGCCGGCCTTCGCCATCTGCACCTCCAACAACGTCCTGAACCTCTTCGCGGCCCCCGCACACTCCAAGTCCATAACGTCACCACCCCGACGCCAGACCCTCGACGCCAGACGACCACAACGCAGCACAACATCACGATGCTACGCGACAGAGAGAAACACACAGTCAAATCCTTCTGACGATGGTCCCAAGGCATGCCCCGCCTGGCCGGCCTGCGCCAACCCAACACCCTACGACATCTTCGCAATAGACAAGTCCGCACCTTACACCAAAGCTCGTTTCGCCCAGCTCGTGAAGCAGTACCACCCCGACAAGCACCACTCAACCCCGCTCGACGCCCTCTCCCCCCAGGCACGCCTCGAGCGGTACCGCCTCGTCGTCCTCGCGAACGACATCCTCAGCAGCCCCGACAAGCGCAGCGCCTACGACTCCTGGGGCGCCGGCTGGCACATGCCCGGCACCGGCGTCCGCGACGACCGGGACATTAACGAGATATACCGGCAGGCCGACCGCGCATGGCGTCACAGTCCGAATAACCCGGGCATGAACGCGACGTGGGAGGATTGGGAGCGGTGGCACGGCCGCAACAATGGCAAGGAGAGGCAGCAGCCCGTCTTCATGTCCAATGCGAGCTTCGCGGCGCTAGTGTTGGCTGCGCTGGCGGTCGGGACGGTGGCGCAGACGACGCGGATGGATAATAACTCTGCCATAATTATCGAGAAGAGGCAGCTTCACGAGGCGAATATCAGTGACGCCCTCAGGAGGCAGAGTGCCGCCGTGGCCGGCAAGGGCAGGGAAGAGAGAATCGAGAGGTTCCTGAGGGAAAGGGAGAATCTGAATTATGACTTCGCGCCGGCCAAGCTTGATGCGAGGCACGGGTCGGATCCCAAGTAGACGAGCCGCCGACAGGTGCGTCTTCTACTGAGACGATGTTATGATACATTGTACACTATCACAGCGTTCTGAGACGCATTTACATGGATTTACACAGCGAATTTTAGCTCAAGATACCGAATTCAGGAGGAACTACTCCGCTGAGCGATGACGTCCCGCATCACCTTCTCGGCGTTGGCGGGGTCGATCCGCTCCGTCTGGCCGAGGCGCATCATCTTGCCGACGAGGTACATCAGCTTGCCCTGGGGGTAGACCTTCTTGGTCGCAAACTCCTTCAGCACCTTGTCCTCGCCCTCCACGGCGGACTCGGCCAGCTCGCGGTACTCAGCGGTCGATAGCTCGTGGAACCAGAGGTCATGGGCTTCGATGGCCTCCGTGACAGTTCCTACGCCTTCGAGGCTGCCCAGGTAGAGTGCGACCAAGAGTTCCTTGGCAACCTTGCCCGTGATGCGTCGGTTCTTGAGGTGGAACAAGATCTCGGAGATGGCCGTGACCGGGACGGCGTCACATTGGCCATCGGCGGTGATCTCCAAGGTTCGGTCGCCGGCCGCGGGGTCCGCTTTGTCCGCTGTCAAACGACCGAGCTCGTGAAGAACCCAGTTGCCGACAAGGGGCGCGTAGGTCTGAAGCTCCGGAGTAGATCCGTCAGTTTCGGCCAGCTGAGCTCCAAGATCATCCACGATGCGGTAGAAATATTCAAGCCGGCCGCCGTCATCAAGTGACATGAGTGAGACCGCATCCTTGGCCGTAAGCCCGTACTCGTGGATCAACTCATCCAGCTCGGCATCGGGCAGCTCCTTGACAGAATCCCGAACATGATTGACAAGATCCTCCCCAATCACCAACGGCCCGAGATCGGGGTCCGGCATGTACCGGTAATCCACCTCGCCCTCTTTCCCTCTCAAGCGGCGCGTGTGCTTCGAACCCAGCGTCCAACCGCGGGTCTCGCTCGCGATCGTCTCCCCAGCCTCGAGCGCCTCGATCTGCCTGTCCCGCTCCGCGATGATGGCGTCCTCCACGGCCTTGATGGTGCTCAAGTTCTTGATCTCAGTCCGCGTGCCCAGGGGAATCCCCGGGTCCCCGGTCCTCCGCACCGAGACGTTGACGTCCGCACGCAGACCGCCCGTCTCCATGCCCGAAACGCACGCGTCCACGGCGTTCAGCAGCACCTGGATCTTGCGCACGAAGGCGGCCGCCGTGCGCGGGTGGTGCAGCTCGGGCCTGGTGATGATCTCGATCAGGGGCACGCCGACGCGGTTGAAGTCGAGCCAGGCGACGTCGTTGGGCTGCGCCAGCGTCTTGGCGGTGTCCTGCTCCATCTGGATCTGCTGGATGCCGACGGTGACGCCCTCCCCGTCCTCCGCGGCGATGCCGTCGCGCGCCGTGAGCGCGATCCGCCCGTTCCTCGCGAACGGCTCGTAGTACTGCGTGATCTGGTACCCCGCGGGCTGGTCCCACCAGAAGTAGTGCTTCCTGTCGAAGCGGCTGACGGGCTGGACGTCGCAGCCGAGCGCGAGCGCCGCGCGCAGGGCGGGGATCAGGGTCTCCTTCTGGAACGCGGGCTGGCTGCCGGGCGCGGCGACGTCGAAGAGGGCGACGTGGGAGTTGGGGTCGTCGTTGAAGGAGGTGGCGGCGGGGGAGAAGAGCTTGCGCGCCGTGTTGAGCTGCGCGTGGATCTCGATGCCGACGGTGAGCTCCCAGCCCTCGACCGTCTGGTTGCTCCCTTTTGGTCTTTGGCCCTTGGACTCTTTCTTCTGCTGCTTCTTCTCCTCCTTGAGTTTCTTGCGCAGCGGGACGACGGGCGGTGTCTGGGAAGGCGCGGCTGTTGTCGCGGCGGTGGTATATGTTGCCTTCGACGCCGCTGAGCGTGGCGCGGATGGCCATGCTTGTGCGGAACGGGCCGGTAGGCGGGTGTACGGTCTTCGGGTCGGGGCCAGGCATCCTTGGCGGGAGAGCTGGCCGTTGAAGAGGTAACGCGCCAAATCACGAGTCGGTATGCGCGTCATTTTGATGATCGGGGGTGTATGTGTCTATCGTTTCTGGAACGGCGGTTGAAATTTCGCCGGAGATCAGTCCACCACAACAGGTTCTCGTGGGATGACAGTCGCCTCGTGAATCTTCGTGGCTCGCACGCGATTGGTCGTAGACAAGCCTCTTTGAGAACCCGGCGTGTATGCTGTACACCCTCTTTTGATATCCGAAGAAATGTGTTCGACGACGAGTGGCTGCGGGGTCTCGGGGGCGCCTGATTGGACTGGTTTGCTGGTCGATGTGGGAGTTGTCGAGGCGTTCGAGGTCGTGTTTAAGCAGCCATTGCAGACAATCGAATTGTTGGTCGTGACCCAGGCACACTTCCGTCAGTGTTTGGTCGCAATGGGATCGAGGAGCTTGCGGCTTGAGCTGGGGATAGCTTCAAGAGCTCAAAACTAGCTAGGTTCGGGTGAGCTCTTCGGGCCGCTCAAGGTTCCGGGTGGGATGTCGGCAGAAAGCTTATGTAATGTTCATGCCATGCGCTTGGGATCTTCAGCGCCTCCATGCCAGTCATTCAGTGGAGTCTCGCGTGGTATGTCGCTAACAATTGCCGGGAGAGAGAATAGAATTCCGTCATTTTTCATTGTCTTCATGAACATCTTTCAAATTCCATTTTAGGCGCAATAGAAGTCATCTTCAACTTACTAAGAACATCCTGCTCACCCGTCGACGTTTTAGTGTTGTTAACTTTGTTATCGTTGTTGTCGTTATTGTTACTGTCATCGTTGCTGTCGCTGTCGTCACTGTCGCTGTCGTCGCTGTTGCTGTCGACGTCGTCGCTGATGTATTCAATATGATACCTAGGTATGTCCAGCATCATGTTCTTCTGCCGCGAGGGTGTCGACTTTCCTGCCGTACACCCATTTCCTTCCGCACCACCAACAAAAGCAAGGCCAAGGAAGCACCGCCCTCCCTGCCTACAACTCAGCTCAGCTCGTTCGTTGTTGCGTTGCTCGCCAGTCACACCCCACCACTGTGCTGATCCAGTCTTCCTGGTCATCTGAAACAAATCCGTCTACGGCTGACACACTCACATCCCGATCATATGGCGCCCTCCTTTCCATGCCGTGGGCTTCTTTTTGCCAGTCGGTTGCGACTGAGCTGTTCCTCAAGCCCCAAATAGAAACCCCCAATCCTCCCTCTGCTCCCTACCTCGGGAAGTGATGATCAGATGCCACCCTCACCTTCGCCACACACACACACACACACATATACTGGATGCCAATCACCATGATGGCCCCCGTCTGAGAGCAGCAGTTCATCAGAATCCTGATCTCACCTGTAGTCACCCAGCCCGATCCCGTCCCTCCCGGCCGTTGGGCTCCCTACTCATCCATTAGGAGCTTTCAAGTCCCTTACCCTCACGAAGCTTTCTTCTTTCTCTACCCCGACTCTTCTGTAATGTGTACAACTATTGATTGATCAGCAATCCTCGTGTGTGCGATCGCGATAACCCTACCAGCTAATCTGAGACATCCTCGTTGTCCACCAGCCACGTTCTTCTGAACCACGAGCTTCACTCGACCTCAAACGGCGCAATCCGCCCCTTGAGCTTGATCCCGCTGTCAGTCTACAGGACAAGTTAATCAATCCGACTCATCACACCACGAATTCTTAATCGCCATGTCATCCGACTACCGTCCTCCAACGGTAGCCGATAACGCCCCCGATTCCATAGCCGACAGCCAAGGTTGGCTGGCCGCGGACCCGGGCGACGGACTCTCGCGTAGCTTGGACGCCGCTCATGCGCCGGCTCCGTTTCCCCATGGCGCCAGCGATAACGCTGGCTACGCCAGACATCACATGCCACCCGAAGACGACAACTCATCCTCGCCCGCGCGATCGCGCCCGAGGAGCGCAACCGTCCGGCGCACTTCATCCCTGCCCGTCTCGCCAGCGCACCAACCCGAACCACACATCGCGATGAGCGCAGGCGACGGTCAAGCTGAAGCCGCCGCGGACCCGGAGTCTTCCTCAGATGAGACCGTCGTCCAGGAAGCGACATACGAGGACGAGGAGCTGGAGCAACCGACGTCGCCATCCACATCGACTTTGACCAACTTCACAGCCATCACCGGCAAGACTCACAAATCGGGCAGCTCGAGCGGCAGCGGCTCGACAATCACCCAAGCATCCTGGCCTCGGCGCAGAGGCAGTGAGAGGTCACGACAGCACAACAAGTCTCAACTCAAACCCCGTCGCCGGAGCCGCTCTCCACGGTTCCAGCCTCAGCCCACGGCGCTCAGCTACCTCGAACCAGATTCCCCAGTCGTCACCCCAGAAGCAATCCAGCGCTCCGTCGAGCAGTCGTACTGGAGAATGCCGGACGGGAGTTACCAGTCCCCCTCCACGCGGAGCACCGCCTCGACGGCCTCGAGCAGCTTCCAGAGTGACGTCTTCTCGGAGCTCGACCATGAGACGGACCGGAGTAGTTCTCCGGACCACAGCGCCTATGGAGACTCGCCCAACTCGATACCGGGCAAGTTCGATGCGCAGGTAGCGGCGGCGCAGCAGAGGCAGAGGGGTTATCGCAACTACGGCACGCCCGAGATGCCCAGAGGGAACGCGAACCTTCCTCATCTTCCGCCGAATGCGCTCCAGCCACGGTTGCCGGGCATGCACCAGGGTCACCCAAAGCATCTTCCGAGGGCGGAGAAGCTACCTTTGACGGGCTACGAGCTCATCGCCTCTAAGCTTTGCGGCGGGGACTCGGATAGATCGAGTATCAAGCCCATCTACCGCCGTTTCGAAGCCCTCAACCACCGCCTGCTGCTCCATCTTCAAGACGAGCTCTGCGAGCTCGAGGAACAGCTCCATCGCCTTGACACGGCAGACACCCAGACACGGCGCATGCAGCAAAACTGCATACTCCCGGCCTCACGTCGCCAAGAGGCCCTCACTGCCGGCGAACTACAATGGCACAAGACTGACGTGCTCGGCAAGATTGGGTATAAGCTCGGGCAATACAGTGCGCACTCTACCCTACCGCTCCCCGCTCCGTGACTGACCTCTTTCAGACCACGTCTTGTCGTCTTTCAAAGACACCCAGCATCTTCCCGACGCGGATCCGCGGGACATCGACTACTACCGCGCCTATCTCGCAAACCACCAACCCATCGTCGAAATCGAAACGCGTTTCCTCGACCCGGCAGACGACCTTGTCTCCCTAGCGCGTCCATCCTCGTCGTCTTCCCGCGACACCGACTTCTCATCTGATGAACTCAGGACGCCGATGCCCCGGAAGCCGGTTTCCCTCTTCCACGGGACTAAGGCGGAGCGTCTTCGGAGTATTCAGACGTTCCTCGTCAACAGCTACCCGCTGGCCGTGGCCGTCGCGTTCGCGGCGGCGTTTCTGCTCCCCATCCTCACCTTTGCCGTCATCCCCGGCTTTGTCGGCCGGATGGCTGTCGTGCTTCTCGTTGCTGTTGGCGTGGCCCTCGCTGTCGTTCAGGCGGGCTTATTCGGGACGGGCAAGGATCGCAGCGGTGCCCAGGCTGCCACGGAAGGACTGCTTGTGTCGGGGTTGTACGTGGGGGTTATGGCTGTTGTCGCTGGGTTATTTGGCTGACTGTTCTTTCATCTGTGACATGGAAGTGCTTCTACTTTTTCAATGTATTTGCTGGAAGTTGGATGGTTCTTGAAGATACCCTTAGAGTGTGTATTACGATGATATAACTTATATATGGCTCACGAACTCTTGGTAAACTCAAGCTTTCTGGCAAGCCAGCACCCAACAGTAGCACCAGTTACCGAGCCGCTGCCATCTCTATGAAACACAACCGTCCAGTCGCCAGGAGCCGGCGCGTCCATCCCACGCGGACAAACGAGCGCCCAGATATCCTGTCCGATATACCGCATTATATGAGCAGGCCCTTTTCCCAAGAAACCATCAAAAGATCCGAAAAGCAGCCCTCCTTGATTATCGCAGTGAAAGACGGAGTCAATCTCAGCGCAACGATACGCGCCGTCAAACGACGCATAATCAACCGCCCCGCCCAGCGTAAGCCGGGAAGCTTCGAGGGTCCGGTTCTCCTTCAGCCGCCGGATCTTCAGCTGATCTCCTGCGATCTCCGCAATCATGCCAGGAGACTCTCCGCGTTTGGGATTCGTCAGGGTCACCGGCTCCGGCGAGCCAGAGTACGAAATGACAACCTTGCCCTTGACCCCCCGAGCCACCGTGATCGCCAACTGCGTCTCCTTGTCCAGGAACGTCCCGATCCACGCGGGGTCCGGCTCGACGGGGCTCGTCTCCGCCCTCTTCAGCCCGAGCAGGCCGCGAATGATCTCATCGGCCGGCGCGCCCGAGCTGCCCTCGTGGTTCAGCAGCACGACCACCGAAAGCCGCTCCTCCGGCGCCTGGACCCTGTACAGCCTGAACCCCCGCAGCGCGCCGCTGTGTCCGACAATCTTCACATTCTCAATCTTCCCGTGCCCGAGCCCCTGGCCGTACGTCGCCGGCGTGCCATCGCTATACGCCGGCGGCGTCAGCGCAGCCGCGTACCAGCTCCCGGGCTCCCTCGCGAGTCGGTCGAGATACTGCTCGTAGGCGACCATGTCCCCCAACGAAGCCACGATGCCCGCGTCGCCCGCCCACTCGATCCTGTTCTCCGCGGGCACGTAGCCCCGCGCCTCGTCCCCCTCGTACCCCACGCACGGCGGCGGCAGCCCCGCCGTGTCCGCGCACAGCCGCGCCGTCCTCATCCCCGCCGGCGCGAAGACGCGGTCCCGGAGCAGCGCGTCGAGCGGTTGCCCCGTGACCTGCTCCGCGACGCGGCCGAGGATGTGGAAGTTGGTGTTGGCGTAGGAGTACTCCGTCCCCGGCGGGAAGTGGAAACTCCGGAGCCGCTCACGCATCGGGCCGCCGTGCTCGGCGATCGAGAAGCGGCCCTCGGGCTGGGCTCCCCAGAGCACGCTGAGGGCCCAGTAGTCGCGGATCCCGGACTGGTTGTTGGAGAGGTGGTCGATGGTCAGGCCCGTGCCGTTGCGGGTGAGTTCCGGGGGGAGAAGCTCCGCCAGCTTTGCGGAGAGCTGGGCTCTGACGTCGGCGCTGCCGCCGGCTTTCGCGGGCGGGTTGTGTTCCAGGTCGTAGAGGAGGGCGCAGAGCATCTGTTTTGAGATGGAGCATATCGGGAGCAGCGTGTCGGCTGTCATGGGGATCCTGCGGGTTAAGTCGGCGTAGCCCCAGACGCGCTGGCCGATGAGGGCGCCGTCTTTGAGGACGGCGATTGCGCCGCCGGGACCGCGGACGCGGGCGGGGATGCCCTCTAGGATCTGGGCGGCGGTTTGTTCTGAGACTGGCATTGGGATTGAGTGATGAGATGTGTCTTGAGGTGTGTTTGACGAAGATGAATGAATGTGTAGGATGAAATTGTACGGCTGTTAGAGGTTGAGTTTGATCTTACCAAGATAATCTCGCTGTGTGGATGTATGGTCTACCCCGCTCACCCCGCCTTGACTCAAACCATGGATGACCTTGATACGCACGGCGAGAGTTGAACTACACAACAGGATGACCATTCCACGAGAGAGTAGCACAAGGTGTGTCTGACTTATTCCGAAACTTGATTGATCGTCGCACTGACTTGATATACTACAAGAAAACAAAAGCCCATCCGCCCTCATTCCCATCCTAGTCCTCAACCCCAAAGAATACCCTGAAACAGCCAGATAGGCTCGGTAGCAGCGACGGGCTCAGCAGGTCCAGTAATGAGAGACCAATCCACAGGCAGCATCTGCGAGCAGTGCAAGAAGCTCAAAGGGTGGTACTCGGCCTCCTCGATCTCGTCCTCGAAAAACTCGTCCTCGAATACCTCGGCCCCGATGGCCTTCACCATCTCGCTCTTCTCCTGCGCCAGGCGGTAGAGCTTCTTCTCCGCGGGACTCATGGAGCCATACATGCCGGAGCCGCCTCTCATGCAGTCGCATTCACTCTTTGCGGCCCATGCGAGGTCCTTGGGGAGGTTCTCCGCGTCGACGTCGCGCTCCGGGTCCCAGAACTTCAGCTTCCGAAGACGTTCCTCGTCCCAAAAGACCCAGCCGCAGCGCCGGAAGCCGTAGCGGCTCGTCTGGCTGGCGTTCTTGAGGAGCTTCCACGCGAGGTTGGCCTCGCCCTCGCGGACGCCCGGGTTGCGGCCGAGGTTGGTGGGAGGATCGTCGTTCTCGTCTCCGTCATCGCTGTTGTTGTTGATGATATCGTCGTTGTTCATGGTGTTGCTGTTGTTCTCATCACCAACGTCCCCGATCCAGAGCCAATCGGCATCGGCGCCGAAGTGCGCTGCCTCCGCGGGGTCCGCGATCTTCGCGAGGATGGCGTCGCCGTGGACGCGGATCCAGTGCTTGTAGGAGCCCTCGTCCTTCATGAGCATCGAGTGGAGGAAGTCCAGACCGAAGGTAGCGAGGTGTTTCAGGAAAGTGGACTGCGTCCAGACGTCGACGAACTCGAGCTTGCGGACGGGCTTGTTTTGGAAGCCTCTCTTCTCCATGTGGAAGAGGCTGCGGATGTGGCCGGCCGTCTGGGGATGGGCGGGATCGTACATCAGTACGAACCAAGAGTTCCTGTTGCGGGCCTTATTCCAGCCGGGAGTGTGGAAGTTCATGCAGAAGTCCTCGCTCGCGCGTGTGATGGCCACGGCCATGTAGTTAAGATGCTTCATCCAGAGGAGGGTGTGGAGATCGCCGACGTATTGCTGAACGCTGAGGACCTCCTCGACCTCCCAGGCATCGAAAAACGTCTTGAGGAGTTCCTCCTGCTGCCTCATCGACCAGAGCTGGGGACCGGGACGGGCTTGGATCACCTTGCTGAGGAGCTGGAAACGGCAGAAGGCCCTGATGAGGCGAACGCGCTCCTCGGGACGGTAGTCGAAGACATAGTCGGGGAGGATGGCGACCTCCTTGCGACGGTCCTTGTTGACCCACCAGGGGAAACACACCTGGTCATTCTTCCCGTTGAGATTCTTCGCCTTGTCCGCGAAGTCCTCGACGAACGGGATGACGGTCTTATCGATGAAGCACGCGGCGGCTCTCTTCTGGGCCTCGGTGCAGTTCTCGACGAGGTCCTTGTGGCGCCACTTCTCGAGGTGGTGCCTCATCAGCGTTCTCTGCGTCTTTTCGGGGGTCGCGCGGTCTACGCGAGGGAACGTGATGACGGCCATGGCGTCGGGGAATACGGCGGTGACGACGCCGGCGCCAAGCTCGGCCTCAAGGTACTGCTTGCGGAGAGGCTTGGCGGCCCTGAGCATCTCGGGGGACTGCGAGCAGATGCGGAAGACGTCTCTGCGGTTGTCGAGGGAGTTGAGGATCTTCTTACGGATCTCGAAGGGCAGTGCGCCGAGATCCATGATAGTGGCTTGTGAGTTGGTCGTTGGAGATAATAGGGTGACGGTTGAGATGGGTAGGAAAAGGGAGGAAGATGAATGACGAGTGTACAGAGGCGAGAGAGCAATCAATCCTCGAATCTGGGAAAGACTATATTATCTTGAGCCAGTAGTGTTGACGCTTTCCAGTCAGCTAGGACTCGGTGTCGAAGCTACGTAGGAGGGAAAAGACAGTTGGGCTTCACCATTTGTAGAAAGGTATTCAAACTGTTGAATTTCAGAGAAGAAGGAAAGGAAGGATTTGATCGTATCAAGGTGCTGTTCATCAGGGCTGGTCTTCCGATAGCCACCCACAATAACATCCACGGGAGCACTTTGCCCAGCTAAGCTTCTGAGATTGCTGCCATTCACCCACTCAACAGAGGCTCAAGATAACCCTTCGAAATTGAGGCAGCCTTTATCCTGATTCAAAGCTCTCTTTCTGTTTCTTTGATCATACTTCAAAGTGAGGCCAAGCTACTTTTGGAACTCATGAGCTGCCCTCTAAGCAACTTGCCTTGAGAGCTTCCAAGCTCTTTTAAAGTATCATTTCAGCTCTCAAATAATCATAGCAGTTATCTATGGTCATCATGAGTTTTGTGCACTGAAGCTGAGTTGTCTCCGCTGAATGTGAGTTGTCTGCGCTCTTCCAAAGAGATCTGCTGCACTCTTCCGTGGGTTTCCGTCACTGAAAGACCATCCAAGAAATCCCATCGCCAAGACAACCCACCTTGCAACCACCCCAAGCCTCAGACCTGGTCTGCTCTCGCCCTTTTGATCAAGACTCAGGAGACAGACCCGCCCTTGATGCCCTCACGACTAAGCTCAACCTAACACCCATCCTCCACCGGCCAATCATAAAATTCACAGCTGAAGGCTTTTCAAAAGCACACGATGTATTTCCCATGGCACCCGCCCTCTTTGGTCAAATACAAGAGTCTCCCACCAGCTGTTGACTCAAAGGGCTTGCTCTGCCCTCGCCTCGATCCCTCCCTCTTCCCCCTCGGCTATAAAAACCTCTCCTCCCCAAGGCCAGCCCACGAAACTTCCTCTTCTCTTCTTCTTTTTTCAGCTCTCGCAAATTCTTACACTTCACAAATCGCTACACTTTGCCAGCTCAATCGCTTATCAACATTCCTCTACTCAACCAAACACATCATTCATTCCATCAACAGTAAGTCCATCGCGTCGTTTGCCCTCCAGATTCTCATTCTCATGCTTCACCAGATCGCAAATATGCGCGTTACCATGAACTTCAAGATCGCCGCCGCCATCCTGGCTCACCAGGCCACTCAGGTGGTTGGTGCGGACTACATCCAGTTCGCCCAGTCCTCTGACCTTCGTAAGTTCTTCTTCCCAGCATGTCTTGGTGGTTCAACTGACATTTCTCCAGCGGAGCCCAAGCTGACCACCATCCTCGGTGATGGCATTCATCAGCCCATTCCCACTGGTGGCTCCCACGGTACTATGGGTAAGTCCTCATTCCATCCATTCTCTTCTGCCATTTCTGACATTTTCCAGTCTTCGAGACCGAGGTTTGCCGCCCGGTCACGACCACCTCCTGCGACATCTTTCGCGTCACCTCTGTCGTCTCTTCGACTCAGGCCGTCAATACCTCGGTTCCCGCCGTTCTGACTACTCCTGTCGAGACCTCTGAGGTTCTCACCACGGTCGCTACTGAGGTCCTCACTACCACCAGCGCCTCGACCTCGGTCAAGAGCACTGCCACCGAGTCCTCTGCCTCAGTCACTGAGACCCCCGCTCCCACCTCCGGTGCTGAGAAGCAGGTCGATGGCGCCGGCCTCGTTGCCGGCCTGGCTCTCCTCCTCTTGATTTGAGCAGTGACTTGAGCCATTCGGGCATACGCTTTGGATGGATTGACACTTGGGTTTCTGGTAGTACTGGCATTCTTGGCCTCAGGATTGGCGTCTAGGTAGATCATTTTGAGGATTGGGGTTTGGCTCTCATGGGCCGCGTGGGCAGGATTCATTCGTTGCATGCTCTAGATACCACCAATCGATCATCATCGGCACACACAATCGCTCTCTTTCCTTCCATGTGACATGCTTTGCGTAGTATATTCTCGGGGGTTGGCAGCGATTCTCAGGCTGAGTTACCAATGATGCGAGCGGACCTTACGCCAGGTTCGCCAGCCATCAGCGTCGGCCGGCAATTTACGATCACGAGTTCGTGGCGACACCGGAGTTTTATTGATTAACAGAAACTCCCTTTGTTTACAATAATAATCGCTTGAGTCAAACGACCACCATTTCATGTATTCAGAGTCTTAGAATGGCCTGGTAGGCCATGCCACAACCACGAAAAAGGGAGCGCGCGTCGCGACACGTGCCCTCAAAGGGTCTTGTTTTTTTCCTCCAAAAACGGAAACTCCCAGAAAATTCGATTTTCCTGGAGTACTGGTGAAAAACAGTGCCATTGAGGGACTACAGTCGGCCTCGGAAGCTGCTCCGGTGCGGCAGTCGTCCTTTGACTGGAGCCATTAGTGGAGCCCCGGGCCGGAAACTTCGGTGCACGCCAGCTGGGCTTCGGCCTTTGTCCGGAGTCGCGGAAAACAACGGAATATCGTGGGAAGATCTCTTGATAACTTGTATGAAGTAATTGGGCATTTTTATTTTATTTTATAGATATTTCGATAGATTGTTGGGTGTTGTGGTCATGGTATTATGGCTTCTTGGAAAATGACGGGAACAATTGTAACACGCAGCGCAACACACATGCGACAACGTCAGGAAAATAGCTGCCCCAGTAGTTTTTAAGAAGCCGGGAACGGCGCAGAGCACTCAGAAACATCGATACTGGGGTTCCAAAGTAAATAGCTGCTTTTTGGTGATTGCAAGCTAACAAAGCAGCCATTTGCTTCGGAGCCGAACCCGGGGCCGAGTGACGTGCGAGATCGCAGCGTCCAGCCACACTTGCGCCACTGACCTATCCACTACTGCCCCACGCGCGCCGTGGCGTCGCAGCGGTGACATCCATCCCGTCCCGTCCCGTCACCATCACCATCCTCGCCTCCCTCCATCGGAGGACCGGCGTCGCGGCGAACCCCTCCCTCCCATGCATAAACCCACGACATATGCAAAGGGCAAACGATATGGCATACTTGGATACCTTCCGGAGCTGGGCTCGAAGGAGGCCGTGCTGTGAGAAACCCTGTTGCCCCTATTTCTTCCCCGCGCAAGCTGACACTCGACGGGAAACGCAGATGGGATCTGAACGCGACCGTCTCCCCGCTCCTCCGCCTACCACCCGAGATCCGGAACAAGATCTACTCCCTCCTCCTCTCCTCGCGCCGGATTCACGTCATGCACGACCCGAAGACGTCGGGGTTCCACTGCGTGACGCTCCGGCCCGCCGCGAACCCGTGGACGTACGTCGAGAACTGCGACGACGAGCACGACCACGATAGCGACGGCGAGAATCAGGAGAAGAAGAAGAATAGGAGGAACGGGCACAATAAGAGGAAGAGCAAGAGGAAGGGGAAGCGCCACCTCCTCAGCAGGGGCCTCACCCTCCTCTCGCCCGTTTGCAGGCAGCTCTACCACGAGACGGACCTGATGCCGTACCGCGAGTGCGCCTGGAGCTGGGCGACGCCGGGGCTGATGGAGCGGTTCCTGCTGACGGAGCGGCGGTGGGGGGTGCTGCAGCGGCGGAGCGTGCGGGAGGTCTGCGTGAGGGGGATACCGGGGTACGGGAACCTGAGCAGGCGGCTGAGGGTGTTTCTGGGCGGTCTGGAGGTTGTTTGGTTCTGGGATGGCGGGGGTTGGATTTGCGAGGTTGTCGAGAGGTGGAAGGAAGAGGAGGCACTGAGTGTTGGGAGGCCGAATTGAGAGGTGCGAAGATGTGTGGAGTTGGTGGATGAGTGGTTGATTGCATGGCTGGAAAGGCCAATTCGGCTCCTGGATCTTAGTGACGATGGCTAATGACGACCGAATGAAAAGATGCCCAGGCGTAGAATAAGAGAGAAGGCCGAGTAGAAGTGGTAAGGGCATCAGCATCATATAAAATCACTAGAACATTCACTGACCGACATGAAATATCTTCAACAGGTTTAGAATGTCACCCTATCTTCCACAAAATGACACCAGGAAACGTCTTTGAGCTAGTATCCCTTGTAGCTTATATCCTGAGATCCTATATCTTGAATACTAAAGGCGGCTACTAAATGGTATCGCCTTTCATCCTCACTCTCGACTTCCAAGTCTCGCAGTGACCGCACATAATCTATAGGTCTTGCACCCAAGAAGGGCGGCATTTCACTGATGATAGTTGGCCTTTCTTCAGGGAACAGCATTACCAGGTCTTTGATGCCGGAGTAGGCAAATGAGACAATCAGAGACGGGCTTGGCAATGAGCAGGTCTTCGTACTTATTAACAGATTTCCATCGGCTTGAAAACATACAATTCAAGTCTTTTATGTATGCTGGCCGCGAGTTCTGTTGGTTGAGAGCTGCGTACCGTGCTATTCGCCGATGCCGTGCTTATTACATCACTTTATGTAAGTGAATCCTTCGAAACCGCGAACCAACCAGGATCTGCTTTTCAATCCACAATCGTTGATTCCTCACACTGCCGGTTCCATCTGTCCATGTGCCGCGGGCGGATATACCGAGTGAAGCGGGGTTGCGTCGTTGAGGTCAGGTGGTCGAGATGCGATATTTCTCTCCATTTTTGTAGTTCACGTTTCTTGAAATCTTACTCATACAAAGTGCGCATACTTTCTCCTTGACTCTGTGTTGCTATCATTTCTCCGGGACCGACTCACGCTAGACAATTGGTCGAAACAAGCAAGATCCACGATGTCCTCAGAACCGCCGACGATCATAACTCCAGACCAATCTGCAGACTTTGACCACCACAACTTGCTTGAGCAGCCTAAATTCCAGGAAAGTCTCAAGTTCTTGGACGACGTGAAAGTTAGTTCTTATGTTGCTAGATACTACTGGTAGACCAAGGTTCTCTCTAACACAAGAGTTACAGAGGCGATTTGAAGCAACTCAGCCGGAAGTTTACCCGGCGTTCATTCAAGCGCTCAGTAATTTCAACCAAGCATCTCCGACAACACAAGAGGAGGCCGACAGAAATCTTGTCGAGATTCACTCCAAGGCAACGGTGCTGTTTCAAGGGCATGAGGACCTGTTGGAGAGGTTCGAGAGCAGTCTCCCCGCAGATTACTTCCATCAAAGGGCGAAGTCGGAGAGTCAGGTTTAGGAGCAGTGTTTTTGGATAGATAGTTGGGTTTGTTGAATTAGCGCAGCTTCATCTATTGGTCAATAATATTCGCTTTACTTTCGAAACGTCTTGCTACTATAAGCCACGTGATTCCTCTGTTGTGCGTGTTACGTGATGCGTATGTCGAAGGTGCATTAGCACTAAACGAGTCCCGTAGCGGCTGTATGTCGACTGCTTCCCTGACGGCCGGAATATATTGTGTATATACCAGTTGCGTGAGCTCTCGATAAATCAAATCTCATGGAATGAACGCTCTAGACGTCTGCCTGTTGGGCAAGTCCTATGCTGAACAGCGTCAGCTTCCTATCACTTGAGCCACCATCGCCAACATGTCGTTCAATCATGCATAATGGTCAGTGCCAACTCCGATGCAAAGCCTTCAATACGTCTTCCTCACGAAAAGGGCTAGACGAAAGGCTCTTATATGGTATATCAAGCCCGCGTTCCGTGGATTGCGGATGTGACCGTTGAAGGGGCGTGATCTTTCCCCTCACGGTTCCCTCACGGGCTTACAAAATCCCGTCACGGATTCATCCGTAAGTGCCAACGCCAACAAACCAGCTATTGACCTTTTCCGAGGTTCTTTTCCGCAAAACAACCTATCAGCTCCCCTGCCTCATTACCCCAAGGTCTTGAAGCGACTCAATGAACTGACGAGTTCGCGTCTTCCCCATGTCCTGGCTAGCGGAGCACCTCCGCACTCTCCAACCTCCGCATTCCCTTCGACCAACCACGAATCCCCAATGCCGCTTCCCCGCAACATTCCGACCGGCGTCGTCTTGGCAGAAGAGAACCTCCCGGGCACATGCCCACGACGAAATGGTAGAAGGCCCATGGCAGCTGGCTCCTCATTGGTTTACGGCTCTTCCTGATGAGAGAATGCCACTGCCAGACCGGGAGTTGTCTTGTCGTTTGCAAATCTCAGCCAATGGCATGCAGAGCTCGGTACTCCATACCCCAGACTTGGCTCTTCTCGTTTGTGAAGTAGCAGCATGCCAGTCTCAGGCGAGAATGAGGAGTACGAAGGTTTGGATCTTCCCTGAATGTCCCTGGGGTGAGAATTAGCCAAAATGCGCTGATGGTGCTGGGTGCCGAGCCCTCCCAGTGGCATGGTTCGGACGCAATGATAGCCGGTTCGGTCGATGAGCGGGTGTAACTCGAACTTATGTATCTCCAGCTGTTATATATTCCCGACATACGACCCCTCGGTGCCACCTCTCACGGCTGCGTCTCCTATTTCCTGTCCTGCCGTCATAATTCACCCATTGGTCTATCACGCATTTCAGTAGTTTGGCATGGCATCCAAGGCCGACCATGAGGTCCAGTACCTCCGAAAAGCAGCTGAGAACGAGCTGGAGGAGAAACTGGGGCAGTCGGCCATCTTCGAAGCGAAGCAAGCTTCAGATGACGAGCACGCCCAAACTCTGATGCAAGCCCTCAGCCAGAACCGCAAGGCGGTCTTCTGGTCGGTCATGATCTCCATGTCAATCGTCATGGAAGGGTAAGGAAACATCTCTTTTCCGTCTTACATCCCCACGCGCATAGAACGCTGCTGATGTCGCGGTCAAGATACGACGTGATCCTTATCAACAATTTCTTCGCCTACCCCGAGTTCAAAAAGAAGTACGGGAGCTGGTACGGCGATGAGATCGGGTATCAAGTGTCCGGCCCTTGGCAGACCGGTCTCACCATGGCCTCCACCGTCGGCGCCATTTTCGGTATGATATCTTCAATCACGTGTGTCGAATGGAACTGATGTTTGCGCAGGCGGTCTTATGAACGGATTCTTCGCTTCCAAATACGGCTACCGATGGGTCATGATTGTCGCGATGGGATTTCTCAACTGCTTCATCTTCGTCGTCTTCTTCGCTCATTCTGCCGGCATGTTGCTTGTCGGCCAGATCCTGTGTGGTTTCTCGTGGGGTGTCTTTGCCACGCTTAGCCCTGCCTATGGTAAGTGAGCCCTTGCACGTACTCTGCGATTCATTTATGAAATACTGAGTTCATGATCAATCAGCTTCCGAGGTCTGCCCAACCAACCTTCGTGGCTACATGACGACCTATGTGAGTTGCGCTCCATTCTGCAGGATACGAATTGTCTCCTGATGCCGATGTCTAGGTAAATCTCTGCTGGGCGACTGGTCAACTCATCGCTGCAGGCGTCCTCCGAGGGTGTCTCAGCATCGAAGGGGAGATGGCATACAAGATCCCCTTTGCGATCCAATGGGTAAGCTCCATCCACAAGACAGCTTCGTCATCCTCACAGCCACCCGCCGATATCTAACCCGCACAGCTCTGGCCCGTGCCGTTAATGGTCGTCTCCTACCTCGCCCCCGAGAGCCCCTGGTACCTCGTCCGCAACGACCGCCTCGAGGAAGCGCGCCGGTCCATCGAGAGACTCAGCGGAGACAAGACCCAGGACCAGATCAACGCGCAGCTGGCGATGATGGTCCACACCACCAAGGTCGAGGCGGGCGTGACCCAGGGCGTCTCGTACAAGGACTGCTTCAAGGGCGTCGACCTGCGCCGCACGGAGATCTGCTGTGTCGCGTTCGCCGGGCAGGTCATGTCCGGTAGCAGCTTCGCGTATACACCGACCTACTTCTTCACGACCGCCGGCATGGATACTGCCAATGCTTTCGAGTTGAGTCTCGGAGCTAAGGGCATGGCTTTCATCGGGACGATGATGTAAGATTATGATGCGTTCTTGTGATATGCGTGGCCTTGCTCATTGAATTGCAGGTCTTGGTGGCTTATTTCTTATTGGGGCCGTCGTCAAATCTACGTCACCGGGATAGGGGCCTTGACCGTCATCTTGTTTATCATTGGCATCCTGGATGTATCTGCCGGTAAGAAAGGGCTGTGGCCGTCTGGGGGCCTCTGTGTCTTCTGGTTGTTCATCTACGTAAGTCCAGATCAGCCCTCCGAGATACGGTCTGAGATACTGACGGTTCTGCAGTCACTTACGATCGGACCGATTACCGTAAGTCTCTAGCAGTTACATACATACGGGCTACCTGGATGTCCAAACTAACAATTCATCAGTACAGCGTAATCAGCGAGACATCTTCGGTCCGCCTTCGTCCTCTGACGGTCGTGCTATCCCGAAACGCATATCAACTAGTCAACATTGTTTCGCAAGTATTGCAAACTTACATGATGTAAGTCAACCACCACAAGCTGGCCAATCGAACGACGATTAGCACGGTGTGTACGAGGAATGCATGCTGACTCTTCAAAGGAACCCTACCGAGTGGAATCTGAGAGGCAAAGCGGGCTTTTTCTGGGCAGCAACTGCCGGAATCATCTTCGTGTGGTCGTTTTTCCGCCTGCCCGAGGCCAAGGGCCGCACATACGAGGAGCTGGACATTCTATTCGCCCGCGGCGTGCCGGCTAGACAGTTCTCAAAGGCTCAGGTCGACGCGTATGCGTCATCGAGCCAGGCCGAGGATGTTCACGAGGCTACTCCTCCGAAGGAGGATAAGTGAGCAACGTCATGGCTACGACTCGTAGAATCGTATGCCCAAATCAGGAATATCTTTTGAGCACAGTCATCATCAATGTTCCGAGCTTTCCGCATGTATTCAGGTTATTTGGGCTTCTGGCCAGTGACAATGACGAAATCGAAGATGGGATGAGCGCCTCTCTTCCGAACTGTAGCTGACATCCCGGCGTTGAGCACGGTGACCTCGATCTTCGGCCAGCCCAGAACAACCTTGAAGAGCGCCGCTGCGAAAGCCCCCAGCCCGTCCAAGTGATTGACACCCATCAGAGACCCCATCCGCTTCAACCTCTCATCTTTGGGCCAGCTACCCATCGGCAACTTGAATCTCTGCTAATCAAACCTCGCAAATTCCGCCTTCTCGTCCACCGTTTCATGGACGACACAGGACCCATCGTAAGACCAATCTTCTCCCACGCCTCCACGAGCCTGTCTATCATCTTGATCATGGCGTTTTCGGGCTTCAGCGAGCTGCGCTTCAAGTACAGCGTATTGGACGACTCCTGGAACTCGACCAAGCCTGGCTTGGGATTCTCGTAGCTCAGTAGCACCAGCCGAGGCCAGTCTTTGATGGCCGGCCATGTACGGGCAGTGGATGTAATCGTAATGCTCAAACCCCGTCCAGTCCAGCTCACGTCGTCGACGATGGCATTTCACGTTGGGCGGGATCTAATCGGACCAGATGGTTCCGAGGTCGTTGCCGACGACTAGTTCAGCTTTGGCGGTGCTTGTCGCTGAATTGGATCGGCCATATCCCGGTGCCAGTGCACATGTCGAGGATCTTGAGGCCCTTGTTAACGAGAGCTAGGTAAAGCAGGTTGTTCAACAGCCTACAGAAGACGCAATGAATCATATCGAAGCAGTCCTGCTCCTCCTCGTCGTTGGGGAAGTTACAGGCGCCCGACCGGTAGCCATGGTACCAGCGACCGTGCTTCCCACTCTTACTTGGACGTGATGGAAGGAAGCCAGAGGAGTGCTGGTCTTGGAAGTCTCATCGCTGAACGAAGACTCGATGTCGTCGTGATTGACCTCAACCTCCACCTCCGCCGCTTCCGCCACTTCAGGGGCGGGACGCGGTGGCTGAGCGGCCGCCTCCGAGACCGGAGAGGAACCAGCGGGTGTGGGGTCGGTTCCGCCATTCCGGGCGGACAGCTGCGAGCTGGAATGTGTCAAACCTTGATTCAACGACAAGTGGGACCGCAAAAGACGTGACCCGGACAACTGGGACACTTCATGCAGAGGGAAAAGAGGAGACAGAAAAGGAGAGCCCGAGACCGGGCCGGGCTCCATCGGCTCCAGAATCCTGCAGCGGGAAGCGCGGTCTCAGGGATTCTGTCTCCACGACATGTTGCAGGCCTTTGGGTTGCAACGATCATGGAGTTCCGCTATGTGACGGGGACTGCATTGCGTGAGCATGGGTGTTTGATATTCTCCGAGACCCCGGCCTAGTTCGGCCCCGCCAGGCCCACCAGATCTCGGACGCTAAGGCAGACGCATCGGAGTGGGGGCGCAAGGGGCCCCGGAGCCTGTCCTGGCTCGATCTGACGGATCTCGGACGCACGATCAGAGATCGATGGCGCTAGGCCAGGGTCCAAATAAGAGGTGGAAGATCGGACGCGCTAGACATGGGACACATAGCGAGGTGTGGAGTGCACCGCTCGATTGCATGCGCATAACTCGGGAAACGCATGAGCATAACCCGCCCGATAACACGATTGAATTTCATATTGCATATCGACTGTTCGCATGTAGTCACCACTCACCATGACCTACATTTCAGAAAAGTGCGATCACGAATTTGGTTTTTGCGAATGATTTCGTATTACAGCTAGCCCTGGCTACACCCTTTTCGCAATCTCCCCCCAATTCCTACCATTCCTTCAATTCGTGTCATCGCACCATAGAAACTTACAAACAGACTCTGTATGTGGATGTCTTAATTCCAAGAATGTGATAATTCTATGGCTCTCATCTCAACTGATACAAGTGAGTTCGAGATTGAAACGCAAAGGCAAGCAACTCAAAGTTTTATGATAAGATGACCTTGATAGAAACTGGGCCTCTTGTAAATCCCAGGTATAAAAGGTTTTACTAATGGCCGGCTAGCAATTATCTTTTCCTCCTTGTTTTGGTTGCCCTTCACCACAAGCAACTTTCTAATCCCGAGAATCAGTCACCTCCTCATCCCCAGATGAAATAGATTCCCGCCTCGTCTCACTAGGCTTCTGAAATCTCAAACCAGTCTTCGTGGGCTGGACTTCTTGGAACAGCCGGCTCACATCCCTCAAAATCTCTTCAGCCATCGTGGTCTCGACGTCCTTGTATGCAGTTCTTCTTCCGGACTCCAGAAAATACCTCAGCTCACTCTTCAACCTCCACGGCTGCAACTCGGTCTGCCAAACCCACTCTTGGAACCCCTTTCTCTCTCTTGCCATCAAAAAATCCCATGCGTCGATTCGCTTGTAGACCCTCGGCGCTAGAGACAGGTATGGACTCCACGCTCGACGACGGAACTCAAGGTATCCCAAAGCATGCAGAAAGGCGAGCGACAGAGTCGTCTCATCCGAGTCTGCTTCCACCTCGATGACCTCGCCTAAATCTCCCTCCACCGCATCAGTCTCGTGTATGGTGAAACCTTCCTGCAGGAAACCGAGAACCTCGATGAACTCCGCGGAACGGAGGTTCAGAATTTTGCGTTCCATGACCACGGGAACCTCGATCAGTCGATGCACCCCTCTGTAGTCCTTGAAACAACACCGTCCCGTGTTCCAAACGCAGAATCGACAGAAATACAGCTTCTCGTCCTCCTCTTTGCCGCATTCGTCGCAGAAGTACTCGCAGAACACCGTTTCCTCGAATTCTCCGTCTTTCTCTCTGACCCATGCATCCACAATAAACGACTGCGTCAGTCGCACGGCCTCCTCGTCGTATCCGCCGCGGATGAGGAGCAGACGGGACAAGTCTCGGATGACGTGGAAGTGTTCGTCAAGCGTTATCTCCGAAGCCAGCAACTCCAACACGCACCGAAGAATGACTTCGTCCACCTTCGCTCGGCCCTGGGCGCTCAACTCCTTGTGAAGACCCCCCAGTGCAAGGTCCAGCGGCGTCAACTCTTTGAGGCTTTCGACCTCCATCATCGTCCTGAAGACGTCCGGTCCGTCTTTTGGTCTCAGCTTGTCGCACGCGCCAAGGATCTTTGTCGCCATCCGTGAAGCCGAGTCGGACGGAATGTTCGTATGCAAAACCGTCTCTCCGTAGAAATCAACGTGTCCGATAAAGTCAGCCAGTCTGAGATGCTCCAACAAGACGTCGAGAACCTTGACCTCCTCATGATACACGGCGACTTGCAGAGCGCTCCTCCAGCAACTCTCAAACGCGGTCTTGCCCGGCGCTTTCTGTCCTTTGACCGGATCCGCGCCCATGTCCAACAAAAGCCGCACAGTCGGCACATCCCCGATCCGGCACGCTTCCCCGAGCACGGTATATCCGACCGAGCTGACGACATCGTCCACGCCAAGACCGTGCTGAATCAGCGCCTCTATGATCTTGAACGGAGGCGCGCCGCTGTCGCGCGTGAGGGCTTTCGCGACGCAAGAGGCGCATGATGAGCACCGCGGTCTGAAGTCCGCGCCTTTTTCGAGGAGGAAGGTGACGAGTTGGAGGGATCCGGACTCGCAGGCTTTCATGAGCGGTGTTTCGCCGTCGTAGGAGGGGGTGTTAATGGTCTCGGGTGCCTTCTCGTAGAGGAGCTTCGCAATCTCGAGTTTTCCTTCCAAGCAAGCCGACCAGAGGGGAGTTTCGTTGTAGTGGAATGATCGTAGATCAGGGTCGGCACCCGCATCAAGGAGGCAGTTGACGATCTCGAGATTACCCTCTCTCGCAGCAATTACGAGCGGTGTTTCACACACCAGTCCCTTCTGGTTTTGGTAATTGACCAGCTCCGGCTCGCGTTCAATAAACAGCTTGCAAAGCGGCACGTTGTTCTCCATGACCGCTGACTGCAGGGGTGTTCTCGCATCTCCTGGAGAAAGAAACCGTTTTGTATCAGCGCCGCGGTCCAAGAGCAACGTCACAAGCTCGGGACTTTGCGCGGCTGCTTCGTTTAGAATGTGGTCGAAGCCTGTAGCGATGTAATTGATATTCGGCGGCAAACTGTTTTCGAGTAGCAGCTTGATGATACCAATGTTTCCTTTTGCCACGGCCGCTCCGAGGGGTCCGGGCAGGCCATACGCTTCTTCAAGGGTGGGATCTGCCCCATGGCTCAGCAAGAGCTCGACCATTGCGTAGTTTCCTTTGTCGACCGCCCTGGTCAGTGGTGATCTCGAGTAAAATTTCTTCTTAGGATCCAGAATATTAATGGGACTGTTGTATGAGAGCAGTAGCTTTGCTATATCCAGATTACTCGATCTATTCTCGTTATTCTCGCTAGGGTTCTGATTAGCTCGGGTCAACACTGTTTCAATAGTCATACCTTGAATCATCTCCACCCATCTTGGCAAAGTCCGCATCGATATAGAGCGGCGTTCTGTCTGTCGCATTCGGGTGGCGGTACGGTCTCGCGCCGGCGCGCAGGAGCATCTCGGCGGCTTTGAAACTGTTCCCTACAATGGCGAAAGAAAGCGCCGTCTGGCGGATGGACGCGCCGTTCTTGGACTTTGAGTCTGTGAGAAGTTCAAGGTCCAGGTCCGGCCGCTCGAGCAGATGTGGTAGCCAGTCCAAGTATTTAGGCTGTACCAATAGGTGAATGGCAGCATACCCACCGTCGTCGATCTGATTGACGTCGTCGAGGAATCGCAGGAGAAACAGAAACGTCTCGAAACGCATGCCGACGATGGCAGACGTCAGCGGGATATGTAGCTCCGGGGACGGAAACTTGATGTTGAGATCGGCGCCATGGAGAACCAGATCCTGGATGATCTTGTGCGATTTCGGAGTCCACCTGGTGAGTGCTTGGTGGATGGGAGTCGAGCCATCCACGGTCGCGATGTTCGGATTCGCTTTGACGCGCAGAAGCTCGTTGACTAGAACCAAGTTGCCGCTCTTACATGCCAACCAAAGACAGGTCTCGCCTAGGAAGGTCGACATGTCGACGTCCGCTCCAGCGTTTACGAAGCCGTCGATCATGTCCGCTATGAACTCCCCATCCGTGGATTCGGTATACCTACTGAAGAACATCATCGCCGTCGCGCCTATGGCGGGATCTCTGCGGTTGATTAGTTCTGGCCATTGGAGAAAGTGATTGACCATGTCCGGCAGCCCGCGAGGATCCTTCGCTGCATGCATCAAGGGCGTGAGGCCATGGGGATCCCAAGCCATGTGATAATGCCTCTCTCTGAAGGAATCCGCAAACTGCGCAACCTCTGGGAATCTCCGCCACGCGTTCTGTTTGAGTCGCCAGAAGAACCCCCACACGCCGGTTTGCCAGGGATACGTCTCCGGGTCGTCCATGATGATGCTCTGGTCGACGAGATGAACGATGTCGGCGGCGTTGGCCGGGATCAGGGCGATGACCAGGGAAATCACAGATTTCGGCGAGTCGAAGAAGTTCTGCATGTAACGACACCAGACCCAGTAAGACTTGGAGTTGAAAAAGCGACGCAGCTGAGGCAGCAGCTTCATCCTTTTGTCTTTCGAGAACCTCAGATGCCCCCGCCAACTGTTTGCCGCGTACTTATAGAACAGGTGTTCTCTGGCTCTCTCCACGGCTCCGAAGCCCCCTTCGAACACCGGCTGCGAGAGATACTTGATGCACAGCGACGCCATGTTGGCGTGCTGCTCCTCCTTGCTGATGTAGGAAGCGAAGTGGATCCCGAGCGATGGGTGAATCGGGGAGACCTCGTACGCGTCCGACACCTTCACGAGCCGAGCACAGCGGTGCGTCAAGATCGTCTGGATGTCGATGAACTTGAGCCGTGGGTCGTGGTGGAGGCAAGAAAGAGCGTCGCGGATCATCAGGCCGCTGACGGGGGTAAACGTGCCTAGAATGACTTGCAGCGCCGACAGAGCGTAATTCCCGTTATCGACGCTCTGGAAAAGAGGAAGAAGATCGTGGTCGTAATACTCTGCCAACTTTCGCGGGCAGGGAAAAGCTCGTCTGCTCATGGAATATCCGTACTCATGCTCCTTGGCCGTGGCTATCCCATCCTCCATTGCGCAGTGAGCGAAGAGAAAGAACGACCCCGCGTTCTCCTTGATCCACGGCCCTACTTCTTCCCGTGGGTCTTTCGTCGACTTCACCGTACACAAGTCTTCCATTGTCTTGTCGACGTATGTGCTGATGGATTTCCTGATATCCTCGTCTTTCATCTTGATTCGGGTAGCTCGGACAGACGCAAGAGACATTACTTCGTTCGGAGTGTACGTGAAGAAGAACTTGAATCTGACAGTCTCTCGCGGATACAACTGATTCGGCGGCAAAGGGGGTACCGTCGTCAGCGGAGGCACCGGCGGCGTGGCTCGAGCTCCCGGATGTTCCACCAGACTGGCCACGAGTTGAAGAAACTCCCTCACAAAGGCTGCTTCGCATTCATTGATCCCGTCTATGATTAGAAATACGTTCGTCGTCTTGGTCGACCCGAAATTCAGCTGCAGCTTCGTCATGAGCTGGCGGATAATGTCGAACAGAAATGCCAAGCTGGGCCTCCCTTCATCGTCCGGGTGTTGGGACTGAGCTCCCAGTAACTCGAACCAAACCGGTCGCAATCGAAACATCGCTTTTACGAAGTGCTCCATGATCGGGGGTCTCTTGTTTCCCGTGACGCTCACGTTGCAAAAGAACGGGAGCACGATGTTCTCGACCGGTCGAGAGCCGTCCCAGGACAGATGGTTCACGACGGACTTGGCCAGGTGCGTCTTGCCGCAGCCGGCGGGCCCGTAGACGAAGAAGTCCTCAGTAGCATTGGACTTGGACCACTGGACGAAGTAAGGATGGGTTTCTATCCATTTGCAGGTTTCGGGCATCGGGTTGATGTCATGTCCGAAATGTACGTCGCTCCAATCGCCGAGTTGGCTGACGAGGCGGTCTCGACGCTCCTTCAAGTAGTCTGAAATTGATTCAGCCAGATGCTCATTAAAAGTGGGATTTTGAAACCACGCCAGCGCATACCAGTACTCTTCTTCCTGAGCCAAATCTGATAGGAGCCGCCGCCGAGGTCACGCATTGGCGGTGCCATCATCGGCGGACGGCCAACCGGTGGACCTGGCCTATTTGGCGGATCTGTCTATCTGTCAGTAGTGCTCGATATTTCGTCCTCACTTGCTTACCTGGGTCCGGCGGTGGCGGCATGGGACCCGGGGCCCTCCTTAGTCCAGGCGGAGGCGGCGGAAGAAACAGTCTCTTTGACGTATCCACCAATGCCCTGTCCATCATGTCCGCGACTTGTTCTGCAAGCTGCAGATAGATTTTGTCCGAGGGTGAAGGGAATCGGGTTAGCTGGAAATGATTGCAGTCTATTTTGGTGGTCTTGCTTTGGGGCGAGTCCAGCTCTGCGCGCTGCTTCGGTACGACCTTTTCAACTTTGTCAGAAAACGATGGTCAAATATTCGAGTGAGATTTAATGACTGGTGAAGTCATTTGACCCTACTCACTAGTGCTTTGTGGGGTTCGGCGCCCTCGACAGGCAACTCAACACGTCTTGTCGCGACGAAGTTGAGAATCTCGAGCCCAGATGGTAGCCTGTCGATGAATGCAACGTTAACTTCTCGCACTGCGTCCGAATACTGCCTAGTATCCTCCCAGGAGGGCTTCAAGGAACCCTTTTGAAGAGCCAGGGCCGCAATCGTCTTGACTGCTGTAAGAACTCCCTCGGAATCCGATCCGTGGTGGACCGTATCCAGGAAAACGATGCCGAAAGTAGTATTACTGATGCTGAAGTATTCCGGACAGCTGAGGGCAAGGAGAATGGCCTGAATCTGATAAGCTTGTTCATCTGCACTGCGAATCCGTCGTCCGTACCTTTTTCACGATGATACCCCCAAGACCATGAGCTATGAAGATCGTGGGTCCTCCCCCCTAACACGAGCCTCGTGAGCGGGACGTCCATCGTGAGAATTCAGTCGAGACTTACGCCGTTGATGGTGTACCCCGTCACCATCATCGATAGAAGCTCATTGGCGTGGAGCGCGATGCTGGACGGGGTCATGTTCACCGCCGGCTCCGAATTGAAGCCGTACGTCCATACTCGAGCCGAGTTCGAGAAGTTCCCCAGGAACTCGGGATCTGATATCCAAGTTTTGCCCGAGTCGTCGTGGTGCCACGTCGTCTTCGGGGAACCCCCAATGTCATGGACGTAAATGAGACTGATACGCACAGTCAGCTGAAATGGAGTGGTTTGAGTTATGGGCGATTGCACACTTCACTTGAGATCGCCATCTCGGCGGCACCAGGTTGAGGTTCGGCGGATAGACGACCTCCAAGGCCGGGATAATCATCGCGAGGACCGTCCGAGGCCGTGGTATCGCGTTCGCATACGCGATCTTTGACTCGGCTTACGCTGTTGGAGACGATGATGCAGCCCCGCAATATGTTGTAGAGATGAAGATGGACCGGACAGCAAAGACTCTTGGTTCCCCTTCAAGAAAAGTACTCACACCGCCCGAATCAGGCTGCAGTCTCTCATGATGATGATGACTGCAGAGCCGCCCGCCCTGAAAGGCGGCCCTCATGTGAGGAATTCTCGCCGTCGGGGCTGGACGATTGGATCCTGCGCCACGCGAGCTGCATGTGCTAGTCTGGGGAGTGCCCGTTTGGCCCCCAAATCTCTAGAAGCGCCACGCGGAAAGGCGCCAATGAAGCTGGACTTTTAATATGCATTGCCAGCGCAGCCTGGCTTTAGCTGATGCGCAATCCTTGCTCTGTCCAACGTATATTCTCACGACCGCTGCGTGGTCTTTTTTGTTCAGTAAGCTGGGATTCACTAGTCCGGTGGTAGTCTGTTCATGACTGCCTTTTGACAACCGGGTGAAAACCGCTAAATTCAATGTAAAAGAACCATTTTCGCGATGCTGTTTATGTATTCGCTGAAACCATATCTATATTGATTCAATACTTTTCTTTCTAAAAGAAAGTCTAATGCATATCACTCCTTAAACCAATTGTTCGCCCGTTCTCCAAAAAGAGGCATCTCGTATCATGACAGGCCAGAAGGTGACGACGAGACGGACTCAATCAGCCCGCGATATCCCTCAAAACACCGCTTCCCATCATCTTTCTTCACCAGGCGCCCCGAAGACACCATTCTCAGAAACTCGATATCCTCATGCTTTTCCCACGAATAAACGGCACTGCAGGCGTCGCACTCGGTCGCCCTGGGACGCTCCACCCCGCCGCCGTCGTTGTGTTCCGAGCCAAACGCCCTTACAATATCCAGTCGGTCGACATGGGCACACAGGACCCGCCCGTACCGCCTCTCCAGCTCCTCCAGATTCCATTTCAGAAAATCCTCACTCGTGGTATTATCGGCAACATCCCGTTGAGCGCTGTTGAAGACGGGCAGGGTCCAGGAGACCTCCACCTCCGAAAAGACATCGAACCACTCCGTGTCGTGCGGGTGAACCGTCATGCTGGGCGGCCTGGCGAATCTCACAGCGGCGCCGAATTCGTCGAGGTTCAACAATCCTCTACACCTCTCGCAAGCCCTGACGAGGGGCTCTATCCGGTCCTCCTTCCCAGCTTGCCGGAGCGCGAGACCCGTGTCGAACCACTTCCAAACATCAACCATAGGCACCGATAAGTGACTACACACCCGTATGGACCCCGTGACGTCGTGACACATCCGCTCGCCGTGCGCCTTCTCGCGCTCCTCCTCGGAGAAGAGCGCCGAGGGGTGCATGACGCCGCAGAAGGAACAGAACAACAGCTCCGGCTCCGTCGGGGAGGGCGTCTCGAAGAGCGGGTGGTTGCGGTTGTACTCGTGTCGCCTGAGGTTCAGGGTCCATGACTGGAAAGGAAGGAGATGCCGGTCGCGGTCTTCGGGTCTTGAAGGTCGGCGGCATCTCTTGAAGGCTGGTATTTCGACGGGAGTTTGGTCGTTCTTCCTCGTGGGCGAGCTCGTGGTTTTCTTGGACGTTGTGTCGGCGTGCGTGCGTCTGTGTTTCTTCGTGTAGACCATGGGCTCCTCGAGGACGTAGCCGGCTTTTTTAGAGGGCACCGTCTCCTCGTCCCTCTCGGCGCACGCCTGGTTGTGTTTCTTCGTGCAGAGCATAGGTCCTTCGGATAAGTACCCCATCGTTCCGTAGTTCACTGCTCGGTCGGTTCGCTCGACGTCCAACACAGAAGCGCCATGAGTATTTGCCGAGAGTGATGGGGAATCTTCGCAATCACGGGTCACCGTGCAGTTGAGGTGAACCATTATACGACTACTGATATTTCTGGTGTCGTGATATGAGGCGTGCTGGTGATTGATATTGGGATTGGGAGGATATATGCGGGCATGGAAGGATATTCTGGGAGATGGATAGCCGCATCAAGCGCATCGCGCTCCCGAGACTGCATGTTTTAGATATTTTATACGTTTGGGTTGATTCCGCAGAGGTGTTTCTTTGACTTGGTTTGGTTTGGTCGACGTGGAAGGAAGGTTCAAGAGCTACCGGATCGAACGAACACAACATATCCAGGTAGTCTCGCAAGGTCGTCTAGGGTAGTTCCTTCCATAGACGAGTAGAGAAAAATCTCACCCATCACCGCCCGCGTTCTCCAGGCGCATTTGACCAACATGACAAGCTAACTTTCACAACTGGGAAAACGTCTTCACAAAACGGGCGATAAAGGAGAAGATGTCCGAAGACTACCGGGAACCAAGTAACTGTAACGGATCTGAACCGGGAGGTTTCTGCAAGGTAATATGTAGTAGGTTGGTTAGCTATATACGGACCGGGAGCAAACGGTTGGCCAAGGCCGTTAAACCGCACTTCATCATCATGGCAGACGGAATCATTTTCAAAACTGTTAAACATTTCAATCAAAGCGGCGACGAGGGAGAAAATGATGAATACTTCATCCTCATCTTTTTCCCCGTCCCTCCACTGGCCCTCAAGATAACCCCGTTTTGCCCTGAAACGCCGTGCCAATGCAAAAAAAAGAAGACTAAAAAGGAGGAAGCCTCGGGATGACTCTTCGCCACATCCACAACCCAACCCCGTAAAACACAAAACCGACACCTTGCAAGACTTTCGTTCGCTAAGCTCTGTTTTTTTTCCCTCGCCCGGGCCTCATCTTTCTCTCTTGGTAGATAGGTCATCTCCTGGTTGTGCGTGTGTGTGGCGTGATGGGCGGCGTGTCTATATCGTGTCATGTAAACTTCCCCGGGTTTTTGCTTTCTTCTCTTTTTTGTCTTTTTCTCTCTTCTCTTCCCTTTCCTCTTCCCCTCCAACCCACCGCCTCAAGACCTTTTTCCAGCCGAATCATATCATTATTCCACTGTGATCATCAAAAGTTTCCCCCCGATAAAACGCGCTTTTTTCAAGACTTGGAAACCGCGGCCGTGAGGACCTGGGTCCTGAAGAAGCCGCCCTTGGTCTTCTCGATGACCTGCTGGTAGACGTTGTTGGGCGGGTGGTTCATGATGACGGTGCCCTCCTGGGAGTCGATCTTGGCGTCGAGGCGGGTCTCGCGGATGAGGTTGACGATCCACTTCTCGCCGTCGTCCGGGTTGAGGCCGAGCTTGGCGGAGAGGTCGCGGATGTTCATGCGGCTGAAGATCTTGCAGTAGCTCTCGCAGATGAGGTGGCGGGCGGCGTCGACGAAGGCGTCGCTGGAGGACATGAGGAAGAAGTCGGCGCGGCAGACCTCCTCGGCCTTGCGGAGGGCCTCGCGGGCGGCGTTGAAGTCGTGGGCGACGTAGAGGGCCGAGACGAACTCGGTGATGGGGTCCGAGTACTCGTAGGCCTCCTGGCGGACGTAGCGGATGACGTCCTTCATCTGCTTCTGGTGCAGGCTCGAGTTGCGCGAGCGGGAGCGGCCGGTGATGACGGCGGCGATGACGTAGCGGAGGACCCAGGGGCACGAGGTCTGGATGGTGTTGATGTAGGCGGCGGAGAAGAAGAGGTCGAGGATGGGCTCGCGCGCGGCCTCGTGGTTGAAGAGGGGGAAGAGGGCCCAGTGGACCAGCATGGTGCGGTGGTCGAGCTGCGCGCGCGGGTTGTTGAAGAGCTTGGAGTCGATGCCCTCCTTGACCTTGAGGATCTCCTCGACCGAGGCGTCCCAGTTGGTGGTGAGGATCTCGGAGGCGAGCTTACCCCAGGTGGCGGACGAGACGCGGTCGTTGTCGGTGGAGAGGACGCGGAACTGGTAGAGGAGCTCGGCGGCGGCGCCGTAGTTGCCGCAGCGGAACTGGAACTGGCCGAACTCGTAGAGCGCGTTGACCATTTCGATGGTGACCTGTGGTTTGTCCGGTCAGATTTCAACTCGGCGAAATGTGGAGCACAGGCGCGGGGAGGAATGGGGCCAGGCCAGACTCACATCGTGGTCCTTCTTCAGGAACTCCAAGTTGGCAACCTTGTCGCTGCGCAGCGCGCCGACGACGTCCTCGCGGGTCAGCAGCTCCGAGATCTTGGCCGTGTCCTGCTCGTACTTCTCGAGCTGGGCGATGACCTCGTTGCGCTTCTTGGTGTACTCGGCGGGGGGCTCGCTGCCGCCGTTGAGGTCCTGGTACAGCTGGGCGACGTAGTCGGCCATGTTGGTGTCCTCGAGCAGCTTGATCTTGCCGGCGAGGATCTTGCGCGCCTTGTCGTCGTCGCCCTTCTCCTCGGCACGGCCGGCCTCGAACTCGATCAAGGGGAAGACGAGGTGACGGGAGAGCTGCGACGCGAGCTTGGGCAGGATGTTGTCGCCGTCGAGGGCGGCGTAGACTTCCTCCATGATGGGCGATGTGTGTATGGGGAGAGAGGGGTCGAAGTTGTAATCGTCGGCCTTCTTGGTGAAGATCGGTGAGGGATCGGAGCGGGGGGGTTTTTCGTGAGTGTCGTCGGTCGGCCGGTTCGACTTTTTTGCTCAACTTTTCGCTTCACGGACGGGCGGGCTGAGGGGCATAAAGAGTTTTGGGCATTTTTTGCCAAAGGGTAGAAAATTGGTGGGGGGTTTTCCCGCGTGCCGAGGTTTTCCCGCTCCCGCCTAATTTACGAGCCTTTTCCCCCAGCAGGACCGTGCACAAGCCGAACTCGTGATTACCTAATGGGAGAGAAAACGCACGGCTCACCTCCGGCGGGTTGTACCGAGCTTCTGCCGGCGCGAATCCCTTCACCAGAAACTTTTGGGAGCTCTGTATCGATAGACCGGCCAGCCAAGTGACCCCTCGACGCAACGACCGCACCAGTCACGACTCGCCTCCCCGGTATTCAATTGAAGTCGCCAGAAGCCGCCACAATGCGCTCCGCCATCACCAGAGCCGTCCTCGCCAGGCCAACGGCCTCCGCCATCCCCAGAACCGCCTTCCTGCTGCCCTCGCTACGATTCTCCTCCACCCAGAGCAGCACGCCTCCTCCTCCCACTCCCGCCCAGACGCAGACGCAGATGACCAAGGCGGCGAAGCCGTACATCATCGGACAGACCGCCTCGGGCTACTGGCCCGTCTACAAATCCGTCAAGTCCGCCGGCTCCAGCAAGTACACCATCATCAAGAAGATCCAGGGCGACAGGAACGCCCTCGCAGACGACATCGCCGCGCAGCTCGGCGTGCCCAGGGCGGACATCAAGATCAACCCGGTGACGGACCACATCAGGGTCAAGGTGCGTTCTCGAACCGAAATGGCTTCGTCTCGCTCCCATGGCGGGGTTTTCCTTTCCCGTTCAGCGGCTAACGAAATTCACTCCTTCCACAGGGCTCTTACAGGGTCGAAATCAGGAATTTCGTAATCAGCGTGCTGGGCGATTCCGACGCGTTCAAGAACAAGCCGGCCGATACCACGGCATGAATGAGTCGGGCGCGCTGCGGAAAACGGACAGAATTGGAAGAAATATCAGACTCTCAAAAGGCTACATGTACAACAAACCACCACTGTATCATACGGAATGGAGATGGGATTTGTTTTCTAAAATGAGGAGAGCAAAGTAGATGAAGACGTGGCTTTGCTCTGGGGGGGCATAAAAGCCCGACTGGTGAATGACACATGATCAAAGCTACTACTATCAGACTTGAAAATGTAGCATACTTCCTCGATAAGAAGGCCAGTGACGAACGATACTTGGAGGTATTCTTGCATTTCCGCGTCATATATACACCTATGAAAGATTGGCTCCTGTCAAGCAGCCGTGCTCCATGCTCCCAATAATTTCCCATCAGCGCACCCGTCTCTTTTTTTAGTTACAACACTTATACACTATCCGCGGCCCGCGCTGTACGGCGCCGCAAGTACGCAGCACTTGAATTGGCTGGCGTCATCCTCAGAGAGGCTCCCTCGATAAAAATGCAAGTCCTGGACTCCGTGTCTATGCCATGCATGGTCCCAAACATCGTAACACCAGAAGCTCTACCGATCCACTGCCGCGTAAGCCGTGAGGTTCTTGATCACACCGTCCTTGGTCCACTCGGGTGCCCGCATCAGCATCATCTTGAAGAGGCTCTCTTCGGATGGCAACGCATCGGCAGGGAGCGTCGATTTGGGATCGTTCGGATCTCGCGACTTCTCAGCCAACCGCCGCAGGGTCGAAATACCGCATGTCGCGATATATACCAGTCCTGTGTCTCGGCCGGCAGGATCGCCCTGACCGCTTCGCGTTTGCCAAGGCTGTTCGAACTGCGCCCCCAATACCTGGACGAAGTGATAGAGGCTTTGCGCAAATCCGTTGCCACTGGTGAGCCACGCCTTGGCGATGCCGGTCTCATGCCCGGGTGCCAGGGATGCTATGATATCAGTAGCGAGCAGACCCTGCATGAGCCACGGTTTACGGTCCTCGATGAGTCGGAAGAACTTTTCGGGAGTTTCCATGTGCGCCACCGCTGATTCGGGGGACTGGATCGGAATGACTGTTGTCGCAAGAGCAAAGGCCCGCGTCAACAAATCGTATTGCGGAGTGCTGTTGGCATCCATGGCGAATATTGTCTTGTAGTGGGTCCGGTTGGGCTCGTCTCTAGCGAGGAACCTGGCCAAGGCGTCAACCGCGTGGAAGGCGTAGGTGTGAACACCGGGCTGGTATGGGGGGAAATAAAGCTTGTCTTCTACCGCGACAGGACCTGGGGCCGGGGCGAATGCCAACAAGAAGTGCAGCAAGCAGAGCGCTTGCTCACGACCGGGTATCTCCACGGCACCCGCGATGTTGGACAGCAGAATGATGGCGTCTTTCATGAACTCGAGAGTGTTCGCGCTCGTCCGGAACAGCATGCTGCGTGTGCCGAGGAACCGAATGACGGCGCACAAAAACTTGATCACCAACTCGTCGCCAAGAACCATGTGGTTCTCGTTTGCCGCCTCCGGAAACGACAGGTTGCGCAGGATCGTAATGATGCACGAGAATCTGTCAACCGCCCGGTCGAGCTCGTACTCTGGCGATCCAAACTTGGGGAGTTCCTTGACGCCCATCTTCTCCGTCCAGCAAGCACGCGCCACATCCTCGTACGGTACAAGTTGAATATCTGCAGAGGACTCTTCCGTGTTCTCCACGAGGAAGTCTAGCTGCTCCTCTGCGCATTCCAGCAAGGCCTCGATTAGTTCTTCGCAGTACTTGAGATGGATGTGCAAAGCCTGATGCTGAGTTGCTGTGACGGTGGCCAAGGTATCGAGCGCCAGTCGAACTTCGCCGTGAATACCGGACTCCAAACTTCGGGTGAGCGCGTGCAAGTCCACGTAGCCCAGCTCGTACGGAGGCGGGATGTCTGGCTTCAGGCCTTGGAGCTCCAAGCCCTTCAGATCAAAAGCGCGCACGTTGATGCCGCCAAAGGCCTCAAGAGGGCGCGCGCTTGGGGTGTACTCCTCCGATTCCTGTGCAAGCCGAAGCATACGAGGCTTAATAGACGCAGCCATAGGGTTCTGATCCATGGTGGGAGGAGCAGGCATCGGCATTCCACCGGTCTTCGCAGAAGCAGGCGAAGCTGCAGGGAAATTTGGATGACCGGATGTCGGCTCTACACTTCGTGATAAACTGTTGCGGGCGTGACCCTGAGGAACATTTACTGGCGTCTGCTGTCCTGGTGGCTGAGGAGTCTGGAAACCGTTAACGGACGCCGGAGGCTGGCCGCTAAACGACCCTTGCTTAACAGGCGTTTGAACTTGAGGCGGCATCGGCGGTTGGCCTTGCGGCATCATCTGTTGCTGGGGTATTTGGCCTTGGGGAGACATCTGCTTGGTAGGAGTCCCTTGGGGCGGTTGACCAGGCATTGGTTGATTGGGCATGCCCTGCTGTTGTTGCTGCATCATGCGTTGTCGGTTCGTCTGCGCAACCCACGCCTCCTCAAACCTGAGCAGGTTTCTTTCGTATATCTCCTTCATCATCTGCGGCGCCTGGGGAATTTGTCCCGGATGAAATCCGACGCTGTTGGAAACATGCGGCCACTGGTTCCCTGCCGTGGTTGGTTTGTAACCGCCCTTGGCTTGAACGGCTTGGAACAGAGTCAACAAGTTGACAGGACGATTCCCAATAACGGGGCTAGCGTCGAGTTGGAGTCCCTTGGCTGTCATGAAGGTGCTGAGGCTCTTCATGAACTGCTCGGGATCGGTCCGGGGCATCGGGCGCTGCTGCTGCTGAGGTCGCATTGCGCCCGGGGGCATTTGACCGTTCGGCATCTGCATACCCGGGGGCTGCTTCGGCATCATGCCGCGACCTTGGGCCATGTTTTGAGCTTGCATCTGAGCCGCCATCTGCATATTTTGCATGTTCTGCATATTCTGCATGTTTTGCATGCCCTGCATGTTGCCCTGTTGTAATTGTTTCTGAAGTCGCGCCTGGTAGGCAGCCATTTGCTGCTGTTCCATCGGATTCCGGGGCTGCATGTTGGGAGGCAGCATCTGGTTCGGCATCTGGCCCATGTGTTGTGGCATCTGTCCCATCTGCTGGGGCATCATACCGCCGGCCATCGCGTTCGGGTTCGGGGAGGGTCGCGCGGGCGATTGCTGTGTCGGCGTGTAGTTGGGGTTGAAGCCCGGTGGCATATTGGGGACGTTTTGCATGTAGGGATTCGGCTGGGGCGTGCTGTGTTCGGATGGATTCGGCGATGCCTGGGGAGCGAATTGCTGGGCGCCAGGCGAGAAGGGATGCGGCGATGCGGTCGCGACTCGTTGGGGCACGCTGCCTGGGCGAAGCTGGTTCGCCATGATGGGAGATGGCGTCGCGTTCGCAGAGCCATTCTGGAGATGGGGATAGGGCGATGGCTGGCCTTGAGGTTGTTGGGGCATCGCGCCCTGATAGCCGGGGAAGGTCTGGGGCGTCTCGGAGCGCGACGTAGGCAGCATGCCGGGATTTTGTCGCGGTGAGCCGGCGAGGCTTTCTTCACGAGGACGAGGACGTTTGGAGGGGATGACGGAGTTTGTTTGATAGGCGGGGTTCTGAAAAGATGATGGCGAAGCGTTGCGCATCTGGCCATTCTGCATGGCGGCCATCTGCTGCTGCTGCTGTTGTTGCTGCTGCTGCTGTTGCTGGGCCTGCTGGGGATTGGCAAACTGGGCGGGATTGAAATGGGCAGGGCTGCCCATGAAGGCTGAAGGATCCATCATGGCTCCAGCAGCATTGGGATCGTTCATATGAGGGAAGCCGTTGCCATTGTGGTTGGGGACCGCGGCCTCGTTCATCCAGGTGCTCATGACTGTGGTCGGCTTTCGCGACCCATCGAGCGATTACTTGCAAAGTCAGCGACGGGATCTCAATAGGCGCAGGTCCATTGAGATGAAGCGACGAATGATGAGATGGGGGAGTGACACGGCAGCGGGACGTGATGGCGATGCAGACTTGTCGCGCGCGTCGCGGTTGTGTGGGCGTGGACGTGGACGTGGACGTGGTGCTGGTGCGGTGCTGGTGCTATGGTGCTGGGGGGAGCGAGCGGACGAGTAGCGGGTGTGCGTGTGGGAAATTTGGGAGTGGAGCGGCCGCTTCTGGTGCTTGCTTTGGCTTGCTTTGGCCGGGACGCTGGACACTGGACTGGCGACCGGGCTGTGGCCAAGTCTTCGGGGGTGGTTGATGGGGAAAAAGAACGAGCAAAGGAACGAAGGAGAGAGCAGGCGACCAGGGAGACGAGGCGAAAAAAAAAAAAAAATTAGCTAGGGACAGTAGGGAAGTAGCCCAGGAAACAGACAGCCTGGTTCCCCAGAGAAAAAGAAGGCGCGACGGCCATGACTTTGCAACAACGACTCGAGTCGCATTTGTCCCAAAGCCATCTCTTTTTTTTGCCTGTTGCTTCCCTTGTTTTCCTTTTCATTCTCGGCATATGCCTGTCTGCCTACTGCTATACGTAGTTTGGGAAACACCAGCATTAGGCAAGGAAAGAAATGGGAGAGACGAAGGAAGTGAAGCCTGCAATGCCGCAGTCGCGAACTGGCGCGTCCACGGCAGCATCATCAACTTCAACAGTCGTCATCCATCAAAAAACAGCACAAAAGCATCAAAAGAAAGTCACGAGACAATTAAAATAGGACCTACAACTTTATCGGCGGCCCGGGGGTGATCGGGAAGGGGGTGCGAGGATTGGAAAAAAAGGGTACGACTTTCGGGGCGGCGGCGGAGGAGGAAGACAGGAGACTGCTCGGGTCGTCGGGGGGGCCCAGAACTGAATGATCGAACAGAGAAAAAAGCAGACGGTAAGGTGCGGCGACACCACCGGACCAGCAATGAGAGGCTGGGGAAAGAGAGGGTGAGGGTGGCCTGGTCTTAGCTAAGTCTCCCGTCTGTCAAGCTGCGAGAGAAAAAGCCCCTCAGGCGGATTCAGGCTTGTCGATTGATGTGCGTGCTGCTGCAGCTGATACTGGAGTCGGAGTCGGGTTCGGGTTTTGGGTGGGAAGGGAGCGTGTTAGGTTGCGTGGATGAACTGGCGAGGCGAGGCGAGTCTGAGGTGTCTTTCTCTTTCTCCTCGCTGCTGACAGGAGGAGGCGCGAGTCGCCAAATCACCCTCAGCCATTTTCTGCCACTTGATTGGTTTCAACGCCCGGCGCATTGCAATGTTCCCAGACGCGCCGCTTGTCTGTTTGCGGTCTAGCGTGCCTTGGACTCCGTAAAGCCTCCAGCCGGGCACAGCCGAGAGCCAATCAAAGGCCAGAGTTAGTGAATAGTGGGTTCTGTTAGTGTTGCTGTGTTCTGAAGGTGACAACACTATCGCACTGTTAACACTTCTCATCGCTCATGTAGGCAGGTAGGCTTCAATCCTCTGCATCTTGTTAGCCATTGCTCGTCTCGTCACCGAGAATACCGTTCTGTGTCTTGGAGATCCCGTTTACAAGACTTGCTCTCCTCGAGTACGAATACCCTTCTGCCTTTGATCGTCGATACCCGTCCTCATTTGGATTCCGAGATAGTGTCGTCACACTTCCATTCCTCAAGCCGGGTAGCTTCGGTTGATTGCGCCTCATAGCTCTCGACGCCTCCTTCCACATGGCCTCGGTTTCTCATGTCTCAGGCTGTCTCTCGCGCCAACACAGGCCAAGATGTCGCAAGTTAGTGAACTCGAGAGGGATGTGTGATAGCAATGGTGCTGTTGAGCGGATTCGCGTCCTTCGAATGACGATGTTGCCCAGCCCGACAACTCGCTGTACTCAAGGTACTACTTCTCAGGCGCTTGCTTGGAAATAAACCCAGTTGATGGAATGTCAAGTTGACACCTCATCATGCCCTGCAATCCAGAAACGTGTCCGGTGGAACGTCCTCGCTGCTGCAGATCCTGGACACGGGGTAATGGCTGGATAATCGCGAATGGTGTATCTCAAGACCACCGCTGCCGTCCTTGTCCCTGGTTGACAGCAGAATGCTCCGCCAATGAAGCCCAAAGCAGGCCAACTTGACATCTGCAGGCGCGTCTTCCTGTAACATGGCCCTGGTTAAGGCGGCACCCACAATGCGCATCGCCAACCCTGCTCGAAACTGCCGGCCAGTTGTCATCCAAAGTGTTGACGCTTCCAGACCTCTAGGGCGGTTGTGTAGCAATTTGCGAAAAAGCAGTCGAACGCGTCGGCTTTTGATTGTCTCTGTACCGGCATCGATGCAGCGGTAAGGCAGAGGCAGAGGCGGTAGCGTCCGGGCTTTTCTGAGGATTTGCTTTGTCGTTTTTGGGGGGTGGGATCCCATGCCTGACGTGGTTGGGCCTGGCCCGGTACTGGCCCGTTAGGGTAGTGGCCGCGGTCCCATGGCTTGTCCTCTGGAGATCTCTTTTCGCATGATGAAGTGACTTTTCGGCCTGCTTGCTTGGGTTTTGGGTCGGTTGGGCTCCGGCTTGACTACCTCTTGGTCGGTTTCCTGGTGCTCTTATCCTCGAAGCCGGTGACACCGACTGTAGTGAACTGCCGGATCGTCGGGGCAGTTTTCATAACTTGGAGCGAATGATGGAGAATTGGTGGCCAGCTGGCCAGAGGTGGCACAGTACCCTTGTCGACGGCGTCCGTCAAGTGGTCCCAGCCCAGCCACTAGGTACTGACTGCGTGGACGCTTGGTGGGAGGGAAACTGCGCTCGACGGTTGTACTGGCGTGCTTCGCGAAGGCGGCGATTCTGGCGATGATTCTTGCTCTTCGTATACTTTTGTCTGTCGTCGCGTGTGGGCTGTTTTGCTGGTCGATTGAGTCGATTGCTGAGACTTATACAGCCCGATAGTGGAGGAACGATACGATCGTGAGGGCGAGTTCAAGGTACCGCTTCCAAGTCACTGCCTGTATCATGGAGGACAACAGCGGCCGCAGATGGGCAGCAACACGAATTGAAGCATAACGAAGCAGCAGACGGCAAGAAAAAGAGGCGACAGAGAGGCGGAGGAGAGATTTTAAAAAGGAAGAAATAAAGAAGAGAAAGAGGGGAGGAAGGGGGCACGTTGGGCGATTTATGTGCAGTACATGGCAAGAAGTACCTTACCGGCCGCCTCCTTCCCGCCTGCGTCCATTTTCTGTTTTCCTCCGTACGACCCCACAGTGTCTGTCCATCTTTCCTGACGGTGCCTCGATCCGCTCCTTCCTTCCAACCTGATACAGCGTTCTCCCAACCAACATACACAAGAAAGAAAGAAATATAAAATTGACGGAGATTCTGTCCTGATTTGTATCTGCCAGCAACATATCGAAAATATTCTCGGGGAGGGAAACAGCGACGGAAAGAGGCGTGGCATTGCATCGGATCACAATGGCACCAAATGCCCCTCCCTCCTTCACACCCACCTCACCCCATGTCATCCATCCATGCCGTCCCTCTCGACTACCTATCCATTTCAAAGCTTTCGAATTTGAGCTTGATCGACTTGCTCCATACTATCCAGCGTCTCTCATGGCACACCACCGCGATATCTAACCTGCTCCGCTTCGTGCTTGCCCGCCTATCATCGTATCCGTTTGCTAGACGGACTGCCCACTGAGCACGAGAGCGATTCTTCCCTCATCTCACCTCATCACTCTCTTCTTCTGCTCTTCCCATCCATCTCGCGTCACACACTTTTGCTACTGAGGAGTAAATGACCTGGCCAGCCTGTCTCGATCATGTCGCCGGGGGCTGGTGGCTTTTTACCTTGCTGTCTCGCTTCTTAGGTAAGTGGATGGAATGGATGTGCATCGCTCTATTCATTTGCCTGGATTCCCTGCTCTGTTATTTACCGAGCAGTTACTTTTCGTCTACTATTCTCATCTGTTCTCATAGTGCAGAGCATTACAGCTTTTGTTCATCATCCATCCGGGGTTGTCACCACGCCTAGCCGGAACGAGATGAGACGAAAAACGAGACTACAGCACTCTTGAGTTGCCTTCTCTCAATCACCCTCATCCCTGCGCCTGTGGCCACAAGACAAGCTCGTAAGACCCTCATCGCCAACGCTAAATCCCTACGTCCTGACGATTGAATCGATACCAAGATATTCCGCATTAGTCTCACCGCTCAGGCCGATTTCGACGATGCGTGCCTGGATGGACGTCGTTGCTCCCCACCTTTGGTGCGATGGATGGATGGCCTTAGCACCCGAGATGCCGGGTCTCTCCCCTCACAAAACTCGTGACCTTGTTCTCACCGAGCCAATCCAGGTCACGGGATCCACAGCGTCCAGTCACACACAGTCCGGAACGCAGAAATCTTTCCGCCGAACAAGAACCGGCAAGCCTCAACAATCTGTCCAGAACAATCAACACGGAAAAAAATGAATCGTCTGATGATGAACCGGAGCCGAAAAGTGAGCCTTGCATCATCGTTTTCATAGCGAAACGTGCTGGTAAAAGTAACGGTCTAGCGCAAACGTCGGCCCCGCAGAAGGGCACAGACCTTCAACGCCATCAACCTGGATGCCGCCCAATACAATGAGTGTTCATTGAGACGCTTGAAGAGGTCAACTCACCAGGCGTACCAGATCTCATTCGGCGACAACGTCATCACAGTCGCTTCACTTTAGTCTTTCAAAAATGAGTACATCTACATTGATCTTTGGGAAACCAATGAAGAAATTTGATCATGATGTGAAAACCTGAATGTAGGCTGTGTTGGTGCATAGAGGTATTTTCACTCTTTGGCTGGTTGAAGTACATGGCTTTGGTCCGCCTGTAAACTCATAACTCGGTGAGTTCGATCGAGAACACCAAGGTCGATCAGGTTCCTACATGTGTCTATCCATCCCGCCTCGATAAGATATCTCATGCGAATGGGATTCGCTGGAACGGCGCCAACCACTGCCTTCACTTCATATCGAAATGGAGACTTGATAACCTCATTTGATGCAGTCACCCAGGTTCTATTACCAAGTTCTCAATAAACTCTATTGGTGTTTTATGTCCTCGACTTCACCGAGCAAACTCTGCTTGTTGTCTCCTGCTAGTGTGATGACTTGCAACTCGTACGAATTTTACCCAGTCTTCAGGCTCTGCTTGCCCATTCAACCTACCAGTAGTCATTAGACACGGCTAAGATGGACATGCTCCTCAAAGACTTGTCCGGCTTCTTCACTTCCAACTCGGGCATCATGGCATGCATTGGAGCACTCAGCCTCATTCTGGCATGCTTGCGTATCGGAACACGCCGCAGTCTGAAGACATCTCGGAAGACATCAGAAGATCAAGTCCCAGCAACATCAGCCGACGATGATGAGGATCAAGAACCCGAGTCGTACGACCAAGTTACCCACCCGCCCTCGCAGCCCAGGATGGTTCAGGTACAGGTCAACGAGAACACTCAGCTCCATGATCTCTCCCCGTCCTTCCTGGTCCTGACCGCCGAACCTCACCAGCCATCCCTCATGACACCTCCCTCCAGACCTGCCCAAAGACAAAACTCATCCACCGAAACTGAATTCGACACCCGTACCAGCTGGGAAGTCGCGTTCGACCGGAACCTCCGCCACAGCAACATCCTCCGCCTCCCCGACGAATTACTACTCAAGATCCTGGGCGCGACAAACACCGCGGGCCTCTTCATGCTGCGCCAGACCTCGTTCACCTTCTGGCGGCTGTACCACGACAAGACCTTCAGCAGGTACCACCGCTCGACGGACTATTTCCGCCCGAAGAGGGCCGTCAAACGATTCGAGAACAGCCCCGAGACGGTCAGACAGGCCAAAAAGAGCGCCTTGTGCGGTTCCTGTCTGAGAACGAGGGACTCGGCGGACTACGACCGACGAATCATATTCATGCAACGCCAGCTGCACTGCTCCCGCTGCAAGGCAAACCACCGATACATACACTTCTCGCAAGATCAGCGAAGGGAGGTCGATAATCGGGCACGTGAATGCGTCGGCGCGCAGGGCAGGCTTAGACTGTGCGCCCACAAGACGGTTAATCCCGCGGCGCTGTTGCGCTGGGTACGGCAGAACGGCGGCACGTCGCTGAGCCCGCACGACAGATTCGTCGTAGACAAGTGCCAGCGCTGCGCGGACATCGCCTTCCACAGCGGTCTCGGGGGCCGTTCGCCGGAAGTCAGCCCGCCTGCGATATCCGTCTTGAGATCGACGTGGCCCGAATACCGCGGCAGCGCCGACGGGACTGGAATTACGTATCTCGTCGAGTGGACACTGCCGGTTCTCGAGATCCCTCGGAACGAACGCGTGTCGGACCAAGACGTGCGAAGGGCTTTGGAGGGCTTGGGGGAGATGTACGGGGACATCCTCTGTCCGCACTTCACCTTCCGGAACGGCCAGCTCCTGCGGCCCTTCGACCCGCGACACTGCGTCTGTTTCGGCCACGACACGAGAGTCGGCGGCGGCGGAACAAACTACGATTCCGATTCCGAGTCGGGTATACATGCCTTCAGCTGTCGGAAGCGAAGGTGTCAATTGCCGGGAGACCCGTCCAAGAGGACCTTCATATCTCATCCGTACGGCAGCAGCATGCGCCGCCATGACGTCGAGTGCGGCTGCTGCAAGACGACGTATTCGTGGAAGCGAAAGGGCGGACACGTCTTTCTGCAGCGGGTCTCCTACGCCGCCGTGGATAGCCCGAGGAAGAAGTCGACTGCGAGTTTTCACAAGTTTCTTGAGCCGCGATCGTACGGGGCGACGTCTGATGAAGAGACGAAACATCTCTTGTGGTGCGATGATGCTGTCTGCGAGAACGGCAGGAATTGGGAGGTGTATTCGAAACAATTCTAGTGATCAAGACATCGAACCATCAGATCGATACGTGTTAACTGAAGTTGCAAGATTGAAGTATACTCAAGTTCCGAACTTATGAATGGATAGTATCGTGACTTAGTGCTCAGCTATGTCTCTCGTCATGTCTTGCTGGTATATATTTTCCGTGTCATCGCTCTTATGGGAAGTGAGATTACATGTCACATGGGGCTGGATACGCTAGGAAGGAGGTTAATAGGACCTTAGAGACTAGCATGCGGTACGAGGTCGTTATAATTATAAAAGGAGCCTGAAGCACCAATGATTTGAGAGGGACTGATCCTTCATACTGTAGACTACTTGCAATAAAATCGCCTCAAGACCCCTCACTCTACGCCAACACCTCTGTTGCACTTGACTCAACATCACTTCTAGAATCCCACACGAAACTCTCATTTCAAATGAATTCGATTTGTTCGAGACGATTGCCAAGTCGTTGGGTGAGATTCCTTGAAGTCAAAGCAGGCTCCAGCCTCCGGCTCCGATCTAATCCGCGTCAACTGGCTCGGCCTGGATGCGGAAGGTGGTGAAAACCGAGTTGGATGGCTGCGACGGAACGTATGTTTGGGTTTTGGATCTATTTGAAATGTTATTTTCAAGGAGAGGCCGCTCTCGTACAGCAATAATCCGTCACCCTCCTCTTTTTCGCTTCGTAAATCTCTCGTCAACCCCAGCCCCTCCAAACCCGGACCCCAAACCAAGCCTTCTATTCAACGCCACGACTCTTCCCACCCACAACTCCCTCGACGCCTCCTACCCCTAGTCCCCCCTTCAAATCTTCAAACCCCAGCCGCATGCCTCTTCCGATGAAGCTCCTTCACCTCCTCCGCAAGCCCAGCAATCGGTCCCCGCACAGGAACATTCGGCGCGACCTGCCGGATAGGAAGCGGCGCCACCTTCCTCCCCGGCCGGACCCCGAACTCCTCCAACCACGACGCGTACTGCTCCGTCGAGGACACGTACACGATGGCGCCGAGCCCGACCCAGGCGTGCGCGGCCGCGCACATGGGGCAGTGCTCGCCGGACGTGTAGACCGAGGCCCCGGCCCGCTCCTCGTCCGTCAGGTTGAGCTGCGCCCAGCGCGCGAGGGTGAACTCCGGGTGCAGCGTCGCGTCGGGCCTGCCGGCGGTGCCGTCGCCCGTCTTGGTGCGGTTGCGGTCCTCGCGGATGACGGCGCCGTCCGCGCCCACGAGGACGGAGCCGAAAGGGTCGTCGCCCGCGTCGAGGGCTTCTCTGGCGAGTTCGACGCAGCGCCGGAGGATTTTGGGGTCGGGGGTTGCGGGAGTCATGGTTTGCGTTTTGGTCGGGGGAGGGTCCTTGATGAGGGTTGGTTTTTTGGGGAGACGGATGAGGTTGAGATAAGGTACGGCGTGGGGCCCGGCTTTGCGGGGCAGGGCACGCACCACCTGGGGCAGCATCTCGGGAGGTGGGTAACAACTTTCATCCGCCCCGCAAAGCCAGACCCCACCCCGAGATGCGAATCGGGCTTCCATCTTGATGATGTCTCCGATCGTGATTCACACAACGGGTTTCTTCATCGGTCAGCTATCAATTGTCGTGAGGTGCATCCCGGCTTGCGTGGCTGAGTTTCGAGACCAACCCCAGTTTCCATCCTACCGCTGAATACGACGCAGGAACCCACTTCTCTTTTCTTTTTCCTCTTTCCTCCTCTGCTTGGAGGTCCAGTTAACACCCCTGTATCCATATGCAATGTAATCGGGGGCGGGGCACCCATCACCTTCATCCATGTCGCTTTTTGATATCCACAATCATCACACCCCTGGACCGGCACGAACCCCCATGTCTTCAAACTCTCCCCTGCGCGTTTGATGACGGCTAGACTCTAACGCGGGGATGGCATGTCGACAACTTGATAAGGATGATCCCTCTGCCCTCTGGGCCCTATCCCACCTCACACATCATCCGAACCCATCATCTTATCTCTGCGGCCGAACCACCAAGGGCCAGCCAAGACAAGACATCCCCGAAGCCTGCGTCCTCACAAAACAATAAACGACGACAGCCCATCATGTCCGCCGCCGCCGCCGCCCCGATCCCGTTGCCGTTCCGCTGGGAGCGACTCCCAAACGGCCACTGGATAACCGTCTGCGCAGACCACAAACGCAACGTCTGCCGCGACTGCCGCAGGGACTGGAGCCACGACCTCGGCTTCGACGACTACCTCTCCGACGACGAGGAGGAAGAAGGAGGAGGCCTCTTCGGCCGCGACCCCGTCGACAGGAAACCCCGCAACGTCTCCTACTCCGACCTCGTCCGCAGCAAATGGGGCACCCGCAAGATCGCCGCCAGGCCGAGGCCCGTCCCCGCCGGCGGCCTCCCCGTCATCCGGGACGCCATCCGCGGGATCCCCTTCGCCCACGCCGGCGTCTACCCGTGGCGCCCGGGCAAGGCCAAGCCCCGCGAGGAGGGCCTCAGGCCGCAGGACCTCTATCCCCCGGCCCCGGCGGCGGCGGCGGCGGCGGGGGTGGAGGAAAGACGCGCCGGGTTCCGCAGCTGGCACCGGCCGCGCGAGATGCTGATCTACACGGACGGTGCGTGCTCGGACAACGGCAAGCCGCACGCCCGCGGGGGCTGCGGCTTCGTCTTCAACGGCACGGCGGACGGCCGGGTGTCCTTCAGGCTGGAGGAGGTCGGCCCGGACGGGAACAAGCGCCCGCAGACGAGCAACCGGGCGGAGCTCCGCGCGACCATCGCCGCGCTGACGTTCCGCAAGTGGTGTTTCGACGGCGTCGAGAGCATCGTCGTCGCGACGGACTCGGTCTACGTCGCCGAGGGCGCCACGGACTGGGTGGAGAAGTGGCGCTGGCGCGACTGGAGCGACCGCAAGGGCCGGCCCACCAAGAACCGCGATCTGTGGCTGCTGCTCCTGCAGGCGATGGACGACCTCCGCCGCGACCAACGGGTCATTGTCAAGTTCTGGAAGATCCCTCGCGCGTGGAACAAGGAAGCCGACAAGGCTGCCAAGGACGCGGTCGCTCTCAAGCCCGTCGCCAAGTACATGGACATCACCAGTGTCGGATCCTAGGTTTGGGATGCGCGATTTGGACAAGTGGACTTTTGTTTGTCATTTTCAAGTAGTATTATCAAGCTCGCAGAAGAGGAGAAAAAAAGACAGGCTATCCCCGTCGCATGCACTCGGCCCACCATCGTTACAGATTGATTCTACGCGGGCACATCGGCGCTTCGCTGCGTGCACACGGTACACCCCTCCCTGATGCGATCCTTGAGCAAACGCGCATGCGTGACCTTGCTACCCACTCGGTACCCGCTACGGATGGACTCCTCGCTTCCCGCGCCATACTCCGTTTCCAATTTCCTGCCCGGGTAGAGCACCTCGAGCAGATGGGAGAGGTGGAAGACGTGCCCGCATGCAAAGCCCACTAGCGTCTCCACCTCGTATTCGGAAAATGACTCATGACACTCGGCACAATGCCCCGGTTTGGGAGCCCGGTGCGTGTGCCCCGGCTGCTCCGACTTCGGCTGCAGGAAGCGGTCCTCCACCTCTTCGGCGCCGATTGGCGGATGAACGACATCCCGCACCCTGACATCGACGTGCTCGATCGATTGCAGGACCACTTCAAACTTGATACCCTTGCGCTGACCGCTGCGCAGCTCGTTCTGTGCGGCGGCGACCTCGCTTCGCAGGACCTTGGCAACACCGGAACTGATGCTGTGCTGGATCTCATGCTCCTTCATGATGTGCTTCAGGCCTTCGCGGAGACCCTCAATCTCCAGTCCCTCGGGGATGCGCCTTACGAGCTTGATGGGATTGATCGCGGTGCCTACTTCCTCGAGTAGGCCGCGGATGAAGCTCGGCTTGTCCATGCTATAGTCCAAGAGGTCTTCCCAAAGGTCCGGATCGTCTTGCTGCTTGGCAAAGTCGATGGCCTTCTTCACGTCCTTGAGTCGGTCGATGATGAGGTAGAGCGCCCGCTTCATCTGACCCGTCTTGGAGTAGAGGTAGACCAGCTCGTCATCGTATTTGTACATCTCGCACTCTTGCACCGCCTGTGGCTGTTAGCGACGTCCTAAGCCCGGGACAGGGTCGGCGTACCTTTTCAAACGTGTACGACGTCGATGATTTCAGGAAGCTCATCAGCAGGGCCTGATCGTATTTCGCAAAAAGTTGCACCGTCAAGTCGGCAAACTCGTCCACGAGTGACTGGCTTTCCATCAAAAGCCGGTCCTTGTTTTCTCCCGAGTGCTCTTCAATACCTTCGCCCTTGTAGAGGCCACGCAAGTAAAAGTACAGGTACAGTTTGAGGTTCTTCTCCTGCAGTTGCGACACGACGACCGATGGCTTCACCAGCCCATGCTGTGCCTCATCGACAAGTAGAGTTATTGCTTCCGAGGTGGCAGCCTCAAAGTCGGGTTCGCGCATGTGATCATGCTTGGAGGGCACCCGCAAGCCGATGAAGCTGGGGATGTCGTCCGCGACTGCTTCCGCGAGGTGGTTGTCGCGGATCAACCGGAACGCGGAGTCCGCGTCCTGGAGCTTGATGTAGCACTTCAACGACTCCCGATACCGCCCGTTCGCCTCGTGAAGACGTGCCAAGGATTCCATGACAATCTTCCAGTCGCGTCCCTTCTCCCCACCCTCGATGCTGTCCTCGCGAACATCGCGATACTTGAGCTGGTTCTCCAGGGCGGTGGTGACGGTCTTGATGTCGAAAAGGTCAGGCGACCAGCGGTCCAACAACTCCCGAAACCGCAGCTTGTCTGCTTGGATGTAGTGGTTGAGGACGACTTCGTAAATGGTGCCCGGGATAGGTGGGTACATGGGCTCGGACGGGATGTAATTGGTGATGTCGTCAAACTTGTCGGCGCCGGCGAACGTCCAGACCCATTTCTCCCACCGATCAGAGGATCCGAGAACTTTGCCGCAGACTCGCCCAGCCTCGGCCCAATTGCCAGCTTCAATCAGCTCTCGAACCCACAACTCGCCGATTCGCCTCTTTTCTTTCTGGGCCGAAGAGTTCGGATGCCTCGCGAGACCAACTGACCCCATCACAGATGACCCGTCGTCCAGCAGGTCGTCCTGGCTACCCTGCTTCTTGTCCGGTGTCGAGGGGACCAACTCGTGAAGGTTTTCCGGCGGCGATGCCATGATCTCGGGGTGCTCATCCAACAGCTCCCAAGCCTTTCGGTATTCTTGATGCTCCAACAGCCAACCCAAGTGGTCACCGAGATCCCGTTTCGTCGCCAGGATGAAGTCGAACGGGCTGTGAATGAAGATCTTGACACCTGGCTTGATCAGGTTGGGATGGACCGTCTGCGTTGCTTGTCGGCGGGGGCCGCCGGCCATGCTCGGGACTTGCGTGCTCGACACGTCGTCGCCACTGTTCCTGCTTCTGATACTCGCGCCGGAGCTGAATAACGCTCTCGGATTGGTGGCCGCACTCCACATGTCGGACCCGAACCCAGCAATGGTGTCGAGGGCTCCCCGGGACGCGGAGACGGCAGACGCCGCATTCTGGGCCGGCAGAACGCCAAGATGATAATCACCGGAAGTGAGCCTCTCATATCTGCTCACGCTGAGACCGTCTTTGTCGACTTCGGCCTGGGACGTGAGGTCGATGAGCCTCAGTTCCGGCGGAAGGTGGTTTTGTCGTCGCTTGATGCCCCCGGACGGCTCGCTACTAGTCGAGGTCGTCGAAGGCTTCGACTTGTGGCCCTTGCCCGCTCGTACCTCATCCTCGCCGCTTTCTTCGTCGTCGTCTGGCAGAACATATGCTAAAACAAGGAGGAGATTTTGGGTATATAACGAAATTCCAGAAATGATGCAATCCATGCGAAGGCTGTGCCCGTGTTAGCTCGTCGTCGCGCCCGATTTTGTAAGGCAACATACTGCTTCGCGATCTCGGCACGGCCGATCGTCCTTTCGCCGCCGCGTTTGCCAGTGCTGGGGGTGCCCGGGTGGACGTGGATGATCCATATGGTACCTCCCCATCCGACGACGAGTCTCTCGATGCTTTTGGAGCCGGACGAGGTCTGTTGTCTCAAGCCGTCGGCCGCAGAAGGCCCCTCGGCCTCTTGCCGAGGAGCATCGGCATCGTCCGTTTCCACCGCCTGCTCATCGATCCATTCGGCTCTGCCCTTCCAGACACTTGCCATGGTTTCCCATTCGTCGGTTTGGGGGCGATCGATGTGTCCGATGCGCTTCCAAGCGTCGTCCGAGTCGCCGCTTTCCAAGTGCAGCTTCGAACGCATGATCTTGACGCCGTGCTCGTTGAGCCAAACGACGTACTTCCCGGACAAGGACCACTTGATGGTGCTGATGGTGCCTTCTCCGGAGTGTAGAATTGTGTCCTTGCCGGCGTTGCCACCGAGTCCCATGCTACCGAGCCAGCCAGAGGCAGTTGCGGCCGCCGTTCCCACCGTCGTGGATGTGCTTCGGCCAGGCGATCCACCGACGGTCAAGATCAGTTGGCCAGCGAGGCCACCCGAAAGGTACGTCCGATCGTTCTTGTAATCGGGAGACAGTGCCACAGCCTGCACGGGGCGGGCGAAGTTGCGCAATTGAACGTCCTTCGGGTCGGTCAGGGAGAAGACGCAGACGTTGCCATCCATCGACGAGGTAGCCACGTGTATGTTATTGGAGGGCGTGTTCGGGATCGGGGTGGGTTCCTTGGGCTTTCGAGAGGCTGCCGCTGGTGATCCCGACTGCACGGACGGGGGGCGTCTTGCGACATTGTCGGCGGCTTCCTGGGCCAGTCTCTGGACGGCTTCGGCGCGTGCCGTCGGTAGTGGGGGAGGATTCGGCGAGATGGAGATGCTCGTCACGGATGCGGAGTGGGCTTTGTAGACTCGGAGCGACTGGAACATGGGCAATTGGATTACGTGCTACGCGTTTCGTCAGCAAGGGCGTTGCAGCAAGCAGTCAATACCTACAATAGTGCCATTATGCGTCCCGATGATCTAGGAGGATTGAGGTCAGCGTGCGACGAGACTTTGATGCGGCAGGCCATACCATCTTGTCGCCAGCCACAAGGAAGGCGCTGGTCGCGTCGCCATTACGGTAGATGGGGCCAAGGTGCTGTGTTAACCTGGCGTATTTGAGTCTAGGTTCCTCATCTTCATCATCATCATCGTCATCTTCTTCATCATCGTCGTCATCGTCCTCTTCCTCGTCATCATCGTCTTCGTCGTCGTCCTCCTCTTCGTGTTCCGCATGTTGGTCTTGGGGCTTCTTCTCCGCCTTTTGCCCCGCTACACTGGCGGGCGCAGGACCTCCGTCGCCATCATTGTCTGAAGACTCGGCTGCCTTGCCCTGTTGCGTAGGAGAGGCGGTTTCTCGGGACGGACTGGGAAGCTGATGATCGGAATCGGAGTCGGAGTCGGAGTCGTCGACGACGGGCTTCGTTTGGGCGTCGACCGGCGCCGGTTCTGGTGAAGCTTCCGTCATTGTGCCAGGGATGCGGTAGGCGTGAGCAGTGGCATGGCTAGCGGGCGATGCGACGGGCGAAGCTCTGGCGATGTCGATCAAGGTCCGGAGAGGGAGGTCGGGTTTCAGAGGAGGAGCGAGGTCAATGGCAGCAGCAGCAAGAGCTAAGCTTCCTTCAGTTCGGTGAGCTACGGTACCCGCTACGTCACGACCTGAACATTAGGTAAGCAGCCGAGGGGGAAGTACGTATTGACGGTCCGCTACGGTCCGGCGGTGTGCGGTGTGCGGTCCGGGCAGTGTCAGGCCCATTCCTCTGGATGCTTCCAGGTCCGTCGTAAACCTGGAAGGCCTCACTTTATTCCTCATTCTCACCGAAAAAGTTCACATTATTGATTTTACCTGCAACAGAAGAGATTTCGATCCGCGATAGGTGCCCTATAGGTCAAAATAAGCCCAATTACACATCGGCGAAATGGCTACGGACCGTCGGAGATTACGCAGCAATGCTCGAATGAACGAAGCGCCTCTTCATCATGCAACCTTCTCAAGGCGGACTCTCGATGCCGCTTATAATGTTCTGTGAGGACATTGCACCCGACTTTTATCCACGCATCCAAATAAATCAACTGAGATCTTCAGCCCGGCTACGACTCGGTTCCTACACCCGACGGGGCTGGGTGGTCTTCTAGCCAACACACCACCTCCATCCTGAGCGAGTCGGGAGCCATCAGTGCTCTCAGGACACAAGAAAAAATACCACGCAGCACGGCCATGAAGGAGAAAAGGCAAAAGACATCGCGCCCTCCACAAACACTCGAGAAGCAGAGTTTGCCGATTTGGCGGCCTGGCGCCACCGTCAGCCAAGGCAGCTGGTAGTCGCTATCTGTCGGTACCCACCAAGTCACCATTCTTCCGAGCATTTCCAAGTACTCCAGATAAGGTAGCCGTCGACATCAATCAACCTTTACGACCAGGACAAATCTCCGAAACCCAAAAGGCCTCAGTGCACGACTCTTTCTATGTATATAAGTTCCCCCCTCCCATGTCGTCCTCCGCCATGGGGAAATCGTCTCTGATCAGCCGCGCTTCTTTTCCCATAAACACCAGACATCCCACCACCATCGCGACATACTCCCCTCACAACGAGCTCGGCGCCGACATGACCCAAGACAAGTCAACCATGGCGTGCCCTTTGTTCCGCCTCCCCCGCGAGCTGCGAGACCTCGTCTACTGGCACTATCTCGTCGTCCAGGACGGGTACCTCTGCGATCAAGATACCTTCGCGACCGGCAAGCTCAAACGGGCCGACGGCCAGCCCCGATCCTCCCTCGACCTCGCCCTCGTCTACACCTGCAAGCGCATCGCCCACGAGCTCGACCGCGGCGGCCTCGCCCTCGCCCTCAACACAATCACCTTCACCACCCTCTACTCGGACCACCTCACCATCCGCGCACACGTCTTCGGAAGCCTCGTCGTCGACGGCCTCGGCTACCTCAGAACCGCCATGCTCAACTCCCTCGCCCCAAGCCTCCCCGAGCAAGCTGTCGCCCACATCCGCGCCGCCTACCCGCAGTTCGCCCCGCTCCTGCATGGCCTCCGGTCCGAACGCCCTCCCGTGCCCTCCCTCTCGCGCGTCGCCAACTGGCACCTCATGAACACCCGCCACGGCCCCTACGGCGAGACCCCCTCCGTCTACCGCGACTTTGTCAGACACGCCCTGCGCGTCGCCGTCGACAACCCCGAAGTTGTCCCCGCCATCCGCGCCTGGCTCCCTCCCTGCCCCTCGGAAGCATACACGGACGTTTTCGACCCGCGTTATTGGTATCCCCACGGAATCATCGGAAACACCACCGAGCCCTGGGACATACCGTCGCCAGCGGAGTTGGCCACCCTGGAGGCCTCGCTCTCCGCCGACCGCCATATCAAGGAGATCATCGCCCAGAACGACAGGTCCAAGTACCGCTTCTCCGCCGCCGCCGCCGCCATCCACTTCCTGCGGTCCGCCCCGCACCACACGCGCAAGCACATGCGCAAGGTCGTCCTCCGCGAAGACCACGAGGCCGTCGCCCACCCCGAGTCCCACGCTCTCGGCCTCGTCCCCTTCTGCCGGGAGTACCCCCTCCTGCGCATCGAGCGGCGGGTCAGCCTCTGGACGAACGTCTTTCTGCCGGATCTGAGGTACCCGACCCCCGCGGAACGGTGTGGCCACGTCGGTACCCGCAGCACCCCGAGCCTCCTGCACTCGGACCAGATAACTGGCAACCTGGCCCCCTGGGTCATGGAGGCCGCGGCGCTCGGCCCGGCCGGCATGCCCCCGGGTTCCTTCTCGCTCGTCCTCGCCGACGACGGCGTCCCCGAGCTGTGCACCCAGATATTCGACTGCGTCGTGCACCGGGACGTGGCCTGGCAGCAGGCCTGGGTCGCGTCGGTGGGCGACGGCCTGTCCTGGCCCGAGCGTAGAGGCCAGGACGTCTTCAGGTACGGCCGCCCGCATCCCCGGGCCATCATGTCCTACCGCGAGCCCCAAACCCACGAGGACCGACCGGGCTTCTGGGGGTACTTTTTCGAAGACTTTCCCCAGGCCGTGCGGGACATGGTTGACGGAACGTCGAACGTCCGCTGCGAATTCTTCCCGGGAACCCCGTGGGACGTCGCGGAGCTGATCGTGCAAGCGCGGACGTGGGGCCCGCGTGCCTGGGAGAAGGAATGGTTCAAGCACAGCCCGGCCCACTGGGAGACGGCGCCGCCGCTTCCCAACTGGGAGGCGATCCTCAAGGGAGAACTGAAGGAGCAGCTTACGGAGCGCGAGCTCAGGTGGAATGAGATCTTTGGGGCTCAGCCCGGTGGTCCTCGGCTTTATTAGTGTCAAAAGCCTGCACGCGGCGCCTCGCCACCCATGATCTCCGGGACATCTCAAGTTGGCAGGATGTTGGAGATGCACGACTGAGCAGTGTAGGAGTTCGAGTCTGCGGTCGTCTCGCAGGGAAGCACGGTGCATGACGGTGTGCTCGTTGGATAGTGGCGGACCTGGTTACAGCTTCGAGCCAATTGAGAACCAATCCCCCATCCCACCACGATCAACTCCCGGTATCTGACCATGTTCAACAGACATCCCACCACGATCAACTCCCGGTTTCTGACCATGTTCAACAGATAACTGAGAAAGCCTCCGCCTGAGCGACACGATTCCGACTTTCGACACGGGCAAGTCTCATCACGTTGCGTTCCGAAGGAGAATAAGACCAGAATTTCTTTTGTATAAAGGTGAAGTATAAGGTGATGGTATGCTCACCATTGTCAACAAATGCAATACGCCGCGCAATACAATGCAGCCACCCTTATAATCTGGTCATAGATATCTCGCCATACCCAACGAGTACACATTTAACATTCAATATTCAGAAAAGTTTCTTAATAAGCTTCCAGGCTGCCATGGAACCTGGGACTTGGTCAGCATGTCACATCAAGTATGCGCAGCGCAGAAGGGCAAAACACCTACTGCTGCAGAATTTGGCCCTACTCAAGGTGACGGCCGAGAACCTTGAGAAGGAGAGGACCTTGCGGAGACAGGCCAGACTGTCCCTACTTGAGGAGGCCCTTGTGCCGGCTGGACTGTAGGCGTCAGTGCTCATCCGCATGAAATGAATCCAGCCATCAACCTACCAAGGATGATCATCCCACATCTTCATCCCACATCTTCATCCCCATCATTCATCCTTGTCTCCTGAATACCCCCCCCTTGCCACTTCCTACCATGGCTATCCCTCGCTTTTCTGGCGTTGACGTGAACCTGGCCATAGGCCACAATTACTACCCAAGATGTGAGTTGAATGTTCCCATGCCTCAGCATTACGAGAGTGCCTACCTCGCAATACCACCTCCTCGATACGGCCACAAAGTACCCTCAGTTTTGCCACGACATCGTCGACTGCTTCCTCGGCGTCGAGAGGCCTCAATATCCCATGACGATTCGCGACAACCTCTCTCATCGGCAGAGAGTTCCTACATTCTCATCGTCAGTATGTTTCAAACCAAGCAAGGGCCAATTTGACTCACAGATCTTGCTCTTCGGGTACGAACTTATCACCACATCGTTCACGGGCAATGTCGGTATGCTGTGGAGGATCAAGGATACGCTTGGCGAAATTCTGACGCGTATCGACAACGGCGCCGCGTATGATATCGCAGAGGTTGCGAGACTGGAGGTGCTGGAGACTGCCGTTAGCAGTGTCGTCGAAGGATGATGGTGGTGACAACTCACAATGCCACGTTGGAGTGGAGGATGGAGTCGGTGGAGGCGATCAGGTGGTGTTGGCACTGGTCGGATACGCAGCAGTAAGTTGTCTGCTTCTTCCCCAAGTCAGTATCGTGAATCTTGAATTGCATATGAGCAGGAATGTGTAACTTACCGACATGCCAGGTATGATCTTCGACCCCTCTCGTTGAATAATAGCGCTGACATAGGAAAGGTAACACATAATAAAGATCCGAGGGGCGCAACTCCCCCGGAATGAAAAGAATCGTGATGAATTGGCCTACATACCCGAGAGTACATGGCCCACGAATCCATCCTTCAGCATCCTCCCGCAACTCCTCATCAATCCTCAACCCAATCCACCCAGGTCTCTTCTCATTCCGAACGCGCCTTCTGCTTCCTCTTCGCCTCCTCCAATTCCGCCCGGGGACGGTCAAATTGTTCGATGTCCAAGTACAGGATCGCCCACTCGGTCGCAATCGACGCATCTTCGGGTTTGGAGAGCATGCAGTAGAAGTTGTTGTGTCTCAGTTGAGACATTCGTTCGTTTCGGAGCTCCTGGAGCTTGGGGCAGTGACACAACATGTGCTCGGCCGTCTGCAGGCGCGTAGAACCGCAATCGCATCCTGCGGGAATTCGGCTCTGCAAACAAAACTGTGTCAGAAACTGATGTGTTTGAGTGTGTTTGGGGGGGGGACAAACATCGATACTCGCCTGGTAGGCCCTCAGGGAAATGCGCCCTGACCGAAGTTGGATGAGCATGGTACTCTTCGCCCGAGATACGTCCTTGATACACCTGAGGAAGGTTGACTTGTCCCAGTCTTCCACCACCGCAGGCTTGGTCCGCCGGAGAGTCGGCTCGTTCGTAAAAAGACCACGGGTCCTCTGATACTTCTGCCAAAGCTTCACAGTCTCCTGCTTGGCAAGATCGTCCACAAACTCCACGATGCGATCCCGCCGCTCTCGCAGCCAAGTGGCGTCATCCACGCCCGATCTCTTGCGCACGTCGGCGACAGTGTTCTTCGCGAAGTTGTAGGCAACTTCGAACGGATGAAGCTTCACGTTCGGAGGAACCGTCCTGCCGGGGAAGACACTGTATCGCACCGCCTCAAGAGCCTTCGCCGCCGGCGTGTCGACTTTGCGAACGCGGTGTCGCATGGCGAGCTTCTGGAGATGCACAGAAATCGGTTCGATCTGGAGTTCCTTGAGCAGAACCATAGCAGGAGTCCCGCGCATAGCGCCGGAAACCCACAACAAGCACTGGTATTCCAGCCTTTCGAGGAGCTTCATCAACGTCGCTTGAAACCTCCAGCGGCAATCCTCAGGCCGAACGTACCAGACCGGACAGGCGTACGAGATCATCGAACGAAGGCTGGTGACATAAAGTCGCTTCGTCTTGTCCACCTTCGCACCCCAAGTGGGGCCCGACAGTCGACGATATGAGTGAAGCTTCGTCATGACATTCGAGACGATCTGTCCACACGTTCCGTTAGCAAATGCGCCCCTGAAGACATCCCGAGGCGATAGTACTTACATCGACTACATGGTACTTCCAGGTGAGTTCATCGTCGACCTTGACACCCAACACGCGCATCTGGCGTTTGAGGCAATCGGCAGGCAGACCTGGGATCTGGGGGAGCAGGGTACACCGCGGGTCTTGGGAGCCGCGGATGCGGAAGTGCATGACCGCGTACTTCGAGGGGTCGAAGTGAATGCCCCTCGGCCTGGACCAGGTGTTAATGGTCTCGTGGATCCGGACCAAAACGTCGCAGTTCTTCTGCCAGCTCTTGGACTGGACCAGGATGTCGATGTCGTCCGAGTATGCGAAAGAGATGGAGGCGGCGCTGGGGTCATCGGAACGAGCGAGCTCGAGGATCTCGGCGGCCGACAGAATGAAGAGAATGGGGGAAAGCGGGCTTCCCTGGGGAACCCCCTCCTTGAGCCAGACAGTGTCAGAGGAATGGGAACCGGCCCGAAAATTGACGGAACGACGGCTGAGGAAACTCGCGATCCACTTGATCATCCACTCGGGCACGCCGATTTCGACGAGCTTGGCGAGGAGCTTCTTGCGATCCACGTGGTCGTAAGCGCCCTTGACGTCGAGACCGAGAAGAGTCGAATAAATCCGTCTCTGCTTGTCCGTGCACCACGCCTTGTAGACCGGGTCCAAGAGGTACTCGAGGGCGTCCACTGTGCTTGCGCCTTTCCGTCCGAACTGGGTTTCCGGAATGCAACCATGAGCGACGGCGAGCTGAGTGAGACGGTCGGTAATGACTCTCTCCATGATCTTGCCGATGGAAGACAAGAGTGTGATGGGGCGCCAACTACTGGGAAGCGAGTAGTCATCTCTGCGCGGCTTCGGCACAAGGACGGTGATGCCTTTGCGAAAGATGAGGGGGTAGTAGGAATGCTGAATGCTCGCTCTCATGAGGTGTTCAATGTGCGGTTGGATGATCTTCCGTCCGATTTTGAGCGCCCGGTTGTGGACGTTGTCCGGGCCCGGTGACTTTCGGCAGCCCAGAGCGTCCATGATCAGGTCGATCTCGCCTTCCAGCAAGCGTTGAGGTGACGAGCACTCCGGATTCGGCCGGTCAGGCAACGAAGAGGCGTCGAGGGGGGGCACACCATGCTCGTAGCCGTCGTCTTCCCATTCGATGTCGTCGCACATGTGGTGGGCGTAGGTCTTGAAGCTCTCCTTGACGTCTGCAGACTCCGTGCCATCCGGATTCTTCAGACGCGGGAACAAGTGAGATTGCCGGTGCTTTCCCCACGTCATTGCCCGCTTCGCGATACGAAAGATACGGCGGCCACGAGTACCACGTCCATCCAGATGCCGTCGGTAGCTCCGGCTCCCTGCTTGACGCTCGGCCTTCCTGCGTACGGACTGGGTGTCTTGGACCACGCGTGCCAACTCACGACTTTCAGGGCCGGGCGAAGCGTCCCACAGGGCACTCACTGCTCGGTCTTCCTCTTCGCAGGCTTGCTGAACCTCGATATCAGCGGCCGGGTCGCTCTTCCGGGTGCTGCTGTTTCGAGTAACAACTGGAACGTGGTCCGATATGGTCTTGACGATGACACCGACCAAGTCTTTTGCGTATTGCTCAACGCACGCCGTCGTCTCACAGGTGGGAAAGCCAAGCTTATTGAGACGTTGCCGCAAGGTTCGGTTAAAGGCCTTAACGTTCACCCTCGGCCAGTCCTGCCATTCCCCGTCATCATAGATCGGGGGAAGATGCAGGACAGTCTGGATGGGATGGTGGTCGGATACGAAGCCACGGACTTGGTCGAGAATCTTGGATTGAGAAGCCAGAGTAGCTAGTCCTTCTCCGACCCAGCACAGGTCGATGGTGAAAAAGCGGCCCAGGTCGTACATGGAGGGGTGGAAGGTCGGCAGGCCTACGGGCGTGGTGAGGCGCATGTTGTGACGCTGGGTTTCGTCGTTCAAGTAGATCGCATCCGGCTCAGGAGCCGTCACGCCTGGTCCTCCCCAGTTGGGGTGGTGAAGATTGAAGTCGCCGAGGAGGATGGAGTGGGGGTCCAAAGTCGAAGGTGATAAGAGGGTCTGGAAATTGACCGCGTTGTTACGGTTGTAGACGTTGTGAATCTCGATCCTTCTGCCAGTAGCAGTATCGAGACCTAATGTGACGACATGCTCGTGATTTTGAACATCGTCATCCCACCAAAAGCACTCGTAACTCCCCCGAAGCCGTCGATGGACATAGAATCCGACTGCGGCTGGGACAAGCATCTCGTGATTCACGTCGCACGACCGAGAGGACGCCAAAGGGTCGCCGGATTGGTCGTCGAGCACCTTGCTAGACACATGGTATACGACGTCATAGTCGCCAGACTTCCGGATCCCAAACTCGGGTGGCGGGTCCTGGATGGCGACGATGTCGATAAGCGGCTGTAAGATCTTGAGGTAGTGCAACAGGTCCTGGTGACGATTGTTTGCCCGCTTCAGGTTGACCTGGACAATGACCAAGTCGGCATCGTGGCACGCATCGGATCCGCAGATGCCGCAATCCGCGAAGCTGACGTGCCCAGTCAGGTCTCGAATACGTAGCGGACTCGCGACACTGGCTCTATCCGATATGGCTGTTGCTGAAGAAGGCCAACACCATGTTCAAGAAGAAGCCAACGACCCAAGAGGCTACCGACGTGAGGTGACGAGGGGCGGAAAGGATGCGTGAGGAGAGACGAGGGACGTGCCGCCAAGTCAACACCCCGGTCGCGGACCCAAAGCAACAGCAGAAGTTGCTCCGGGTCAGAGCCAACGAACCGACAGGGCAGTTGTCCAGCGAGGCGAGGCGGGGCGTAGCACACGGCGGGTTGACAAAGACGCAGAAAGAGCGAGGGTGGGTGAGGACGACGGATAGGCAGAAGGATGCCGGTGGCTGGCTGACAATGGAGCGCAAGAGAAAGAACGCGCGCGATGCCTGGTGATGACACTCAGAGCCCGAAGCAAGAGCCGGGCCGGCCTGAGGCCACACGAGACGCCACGGACGACGAGGAGGCCAGAAGAGTGTGGCACGTAGAGGATACGGGGTAGGGAAGAGCAGGCGATGAACGACGACAAGTGGTCGTAACTGGTGATGATGAAGAAGATGAAGACTCAAGTCGGGTATGGCGGGTGCGGCCGCTCAGCCGTTATATCGCCAGTGAAGCTTTTCCAACAGACTCCGGCGGAGCGCCAGTATCGCAGCAGCAGCATGACGAAGCAGGAGCAAATCGATACGAGGACTCACCACCACCAGGTACCTGCTGCTTGGTTTGCATCTGCCGTTGACTCCTGCCGACCGATGTCTATGGACCGATCGTCTCGCGCTCGTCGTGGTTTGGACCGTCGCTGACCTTCCCGATCGGGACTTTCTCCGGCATGTCGATACCTCTTGGATCCCGCATATCCCGCGGCAGCCGCAAGCCCTGGAACGACCGGCGTCTCCGAAGGAGGCAGGAATTGCGCCATCGCGAGGGGGACAGTAACGATGCGAATACGACGGGTCCACAGCGAAGTGGCATGGCAAAGCCGCGGTCCTTCGATGTCAGAGATCTGGCGGGGGTGGTCGGGCTGCGATCGCTCATCTGGTGATGTGTTCGAGGTGAACACCCATCAGCGGTGGGAACTCCCAAGATTCCTTTGCAAATGCGGGAGGGAGGGGGAGGGGAACGGCGCCGGGGGCGTGATGGTCGGTTAGCAAGCGAGTCTTCGACGCAGGCTGCGAGACGTCGATGTCTGAGACGAAACGTTGCCGTGGGGGATTCATCAGTCTCGCAGTCTTGGGTGATATTCGACGGGCCTGGGAGCCCTCGAGGGGATGAATCGAAAAGGGCTTACGGCGGGGACCGCGGAAGGGCCGCTCCTGTCCGACCCCGCAGGGCCATCACCATTCCCACGTCGGCGAACGTCCGGTTCTGTAGATGAGGGAAACGATCGAGTCAGTGAGTGACAGGAGCCTAGACGTGACGAGCCGAGAGAGGTGGCTTAGTCGAAGACTAGTGTATGCCACAGAAACGAAGAGATGTGAGGACAAAAGTCCGTCTCCACCCGTAACGAGGGCATAGGGAGAAAGAGAAAAAAGCAAATCTAGAGGATCTATGATGCCTATGTAGACCAAAAGAAGGTGTCGGTTGCGAGTCTGCAGTATTTATGAGCTATCACTTTTTATTTCTAGTAGCCGCTGATAAGGAACAATTTGAAGGTCAACGGGTAGTGGAGACAGTGGGGCCGGCCGGAGGATGCGGTCAAATCGGGAAACGGTGCTCCGGGTATCGCAGGGGCCACAAAAGGGGGTCACGGCACTGGACGGGACCGGGGGTACTGCCCATCGGGCCCCGCTAAACATTTAGGTTCGGCAAAAGCGGGAAACCGTGCACGATTTGCACCTATCGAGGCTCTACCCGTTATGCGCAGCTTGGGGAGCAATATGCATCTACAGGGGGACAGTCATATGCCCCTCCCCTGGGAACAGCGTGACAACACCAGAGCCGTGTAGGCGTGTGCTGAAGGCAATCTTCCTGTGAAGTCAAGAACTCTAGGGAAAAGATCCGGGGAGGGGAGGGAAATGGAGGAGGGTACCAACTGTAGACTCTGGTATGACGCGGAAGAGGGGCGCTAAGGAGAACTTGCTCTCAGAGGGTTGAAGACATCGGCACAGGAGATCAGACCAACGGTCAGTGGGCAGGATTGGTGGATAACAGAAGACAAGGCATTTTATTCGAATTCGGATCAGGAAAGGAACTAGGTACAGAACTTGGGCCAGGCTCTCAGGGTCGCGCGGTCGCTGGTTGGTCAGGTGCCGTCCTACTCGATTTCCAGGGCGTCTTCCTCTTGAACGGGTCGAACGGGTTGACCTTCTCCATCCCCTTCTCCGTCTCAATCAGCACCTTTCCACCGCCACCTTTGGGCATGTATGCGTCGGGGCTCAAGCCGTTCAAAAAGGAGTGCATAGGATCATCTCCGCGGCAGAAGTAGCGGTGGGGTTGACGGAATTGGGTGGCCTTTTCGAAATCATGGTCCTTCCCTCGTGTCAGTTCCGTAATTCTGTGTTCGATGAGATACCCTCTTGGATCATGCTCACCTATTATGAGGTGAGGGGGCTGGTCCGTGTCGCCCGTCGACTGTGGCCCCGAGCCCACGTCGAGAACTCGATGCATTCTCCCATCAGGGCCTTGTTCCTTTGTGGTGGCCACGCTGGTTCGGACTATAGATTTGTCCGTGGATCTTTCTGGGCGATCGAACCCAAGTCGTCCTCGATCCAAGAGATATCGTAAATGCTCGGCTGAGTGGCCACTGTAGCCGCCGGTCGCCACGCGTCCGCTCCTGGATGGAGCCGCTGTCGTGTCGACAGAGCCTTGATTCTGTGCAGCCTCAGTCGTGAACCCTACTATGATCGTGTTCTCGTCCAAGTCAGTCGAGGATACGACGGGTGAGGCAGGCGCAGGACTCCGTGGGTCTCCTCCCTGGATGAGATCCGCTGTGGACGGCGCAGGGCTAATGGCCATAGTGTCGGAGGGCCATCCGCGCTCTTGCGCCGATCCACGAAGTTCGGATATCGGGGAGCTTGGCGCAAGAGCCCGTGGGTCTTCTCCCTGAGCAAGGTCCGTCGCGGATAGCGCAGGGCTGGTAGACCAATTGGGCTGAGGTGTGGTTCGGCGCGGAGCGCTGGGCACGGGAGGACGACTCCGTTCGTCGTCCGGCGACAAGGACGGGGTGTTCCGGGGGCGATGGCGCCTCGAGCTGTCGTGAGCAGCGGCAGCAGCGTCCCGGTCAGATGGCGGCCCCGTCGAGGCCGGCGCATGGGGTTCATCGTCCTCAAAAAGCGGGTTGTCCGAAAAGTTGTTGTCGTAGCAACCATCGTCGTCGTAATCGTTGTACGCCGTCAAGTCGTTGGGCTTATGCGCAAAAGATTCACACAGTCGATTAATGAGCCAGCTCGGCGTCTCTTGACCCTTCTCTCGCAAGGATCGGACATATGTCTGCACGGCCTCATCCTGACATCCCGGGTCGTCCGACATGTGAGGTCCTCCGCAGTGACAGCACCGCATGACCAGGCTGACACAATGGTTGTGGTGGTGCGGTCCGCCGCATTTGCGACATCTGCGGGGCTCAAGGCAGGCCCGTTGAAAGTGGCCATGGTTCTGGCAGTTGTAGCAGATCAACGGTATGGTTCTGGCATCAACAGCGCTGGAAGTGACATTAGCGAGGAGGAACCCGAAGCCGTCGGCGTGAGTTGGTGGCCACTCACAGAGCTTGCGTACGGTGGCCATGGAGGAATACTTCTCTGTCAGCAGCCAGTTGTTGTGACCGGTCGTCGCTCGGCATGGCCCAGTACAAGACCTTTTGGACAAAGAAGACGCGGTCGATGTGGATGTTGTTCTCCTCGCTCCAGTCGTCTCTGCACTTGTTGAAGTCGGTGATCCAGTTGTCGGTGCGAGACTCGATGTAGAAATAGGCAACTTGGTTGTACTCCCGAATGATTGTCAAAGGTAGAATGTTGTTCTGGTACGCGATATTATACGTCTGGTTCACGGGGAAGCCGAATCGATCTCGCCGGGCCTCGTCGACGAAGTAGATGGAGCAGACGTTGCCGGCCCAAGCCAGTCCTTTGACACCCTTCCAGCCGTCGTGTCGTTCTCGCAGGATTGCAATCAAGTCGTTGGCATTCACCGCCGACAACGTGGAGACAGATTCCATCGGGCCGACCTCAAACCTCCTCATTGGACGTCTTGACTGCGCCGATAAACTGAGAATATGCTTGGTAGCCGCAGTCTGTTGACCTCTATCCTGAGAGCGGCGTGCGAAGCGCCCAGGACCAAGGCCTTGAAAACCGGTAGCCGGACTTCTGTGGCCTTGCCGTGGGCCTCGACGGCTGGGGGTGGATCGTCGCGACGGAAGACCAACTTGACTCATTGTGGTTGCGGAATCATGGGAAGGAGAAAAGTAAGCAGCAAAGAGCTGTGAGCTGGTGAGAGGATTCGTCGCGGGTGGTGGAAAGAGAGAAAGTGTGGCGGCGGGCAGTGGTGTGAGGCAGAGAGGGACAGAGGGAGGGTGATGTGGAGTTGGCTTGAGAGGACGTTGCTTACCGGCAATTCTCCAAAACGATATATGCAGTATGCCGGCTATGTATCATCCGATACAGGGAAGGGACAGAAGAAGGAGGGCGTCGTGTTGCGATTGATCGATCGAGGGCCGGCATCGCAATCGCATCCCATCGGGTGTTCACGTTGCCATCGAGCGATCGTCGATATCGAGATTCAGTCACTCGTATCCAAGATTCTGAATCGGTGGTCCTCGTTGGGTGGGCATTCATCTCAAGATGCCCAAGGTACGAAGTACACTGACCACCTTGGATTGGGGGGCTTTCGGACCGGGCCATGCGGGGAAGCGGAGCCTTGTCACGGTGAACCTGGAACCTTGGAACCGGGGCATGTTCGTCACATGTGGGGCACCAATGGGCTCGGACTGCGGGTTCCCCCCGGAGGGGGTGTGGGTCACCGGGTAGAGAGAGGTGGGTACGGGTGGGTGCACCACCAACCGTGACATTCAACGGCAGCTCGTCAACTCGTCTAACTCCTCAACAAGGTCACATCGCATTCCAAACGAAGTGAGTTGGTGTTTCAATCCACCATCGTCTATCGCCGTCGACCGGGGACGGCACTTCATGTTGGGAGAGGAGTGCCGAAACGGGAAGGTGGTACAAACCGGGCTCCTCTGCATGCACTAGCCGTTGCGGCCAATCCTGCACTCGACCGAGGGTGAGAAGTACACTTGGCGCCGGAGATACCGCCAGATGATGTCGCGGCACGTGCGGGTACAGAGATCCTGCAGAGTCCCTGTCGACATCGAACTGGCAGAGCAGAGAGCAGACCGGGCGGATGCCGGACGCTCCCGGAGTATCGGGCATCACTTGGACCTCAGACAAGAGCGAGGGGGTTAGGAGCATGCATCGTCAACAGGGAGAGAAAGATACGGGCGGTTAGGAATGGGCAACACAGACTGCAGTGAGAAAAGCTCCATCACACGTTATCCTGAAGCCTCGAGCATCGCATTCATCCAGGACGTCGTCACCATGGCAACGGGGTGATGGAGTCCATTCTACATGTTTGGGACTTGGGGAAGTACGCTTCGCGGCGAGGAAAGACGTGTATCTTTGTGTGTACTCGCCCCTTCTGAGAGGAGAGGGACGATGCGATGTTGTGACGAGACTCATGTTGTGATGGTCTTGGATCTCGAGATGTCTACGGGCTCATCATTCACGTCGTCAGCGGGTGTCCTAAATCCATAAAAGGCCTGCCGGCTGTCCTTTGACAACGACATATCTGATCGGAACATCAACGCCTTCACCTCTCACTCATCATTCATCTTGCCTTTTCTCTCTCACGAGCTCCCATACCTCCCCCAGCAAACACCAACGTCTTGGACATCATGACAACCAACTTGGCGGCCAACTTCAGAGTGGGCGGGCGGCCCAGAGGATTCGGCGGCGACGCAACCCTCTCGGGCATTGTCCTGACCGGCCCGCCGCAGTTCTTTCCTAGAGGACGGGGACAGTACATCAGAGGCCTGGGAGGAGAGTGTATGGCTCATATCCCAGTGCCGATCCCGGATTGGCTTTTGATGGAGCAGTACCGAAGGCTCCGCGGAGCTCACAACGGCACTCGACTTGATCTTATAACCATAAGCCTGAACTTCTCGACGTACAACGCCACTGCCGTCCCGCCGGCGAACGAAATGACCAACGGGTGGATGTCGGTCCACGGGCGTTTTCATCCGAACAACTTGACGTGGCGCGTTCCCGCTGGCGCCGGCGGCCACAATGATGTGCTCACGGATTACAGTGTTGCCCCCTTGATGGTGCGGGACCATTCTTTTAGCAGGTGAGGAGATCTATCATCTGGGTTGAATGCCGTCTCCCGATTGCTGACCATGGCAGAATTTGGCTCAGGGATGGCTACAACTTTGGGCCCAAGGACCAGCCGGACATCACGACTCTGGCGCCTGAGGGGTTCACCATGCCTCCCTACCTCACCTTCAACGGTATCATCCAGGGTTCCGGCTTGGATATGTTGCGGCCAGGTGTTCTGGACGCTCAGGCTGCGAAGCTGTGCGGCCTGGTCAATCTCTCGAGCTTCATCAACCCGGAGGGCGGCTGCACGACTGGCAGGGGATACTATGGATGTTGGGTGTTTGCAATCCTCCCTGCATTGGATGAGCATTACTCCAGTGCGAACACGTTGCTGATAGAACAGCCACAGTCCTCCTTCCAGTTCCGCGCTCCCATCCAGTGTGCGACAGCGAAAATTTGTGGGCTACTCGACAAGTCGGTTCTCAATGTGGAACTCCCAGGAAATGTGTACATTGTCGCATTGGACAGCTTCTCCTTCGAACGCGGACGACGTGGAATCCCTCCTCCTGTGGCTAAGAACCGAGTGGGGCATTTGGTCTTGAGGGTGACGATTCCCGTCGAAATAAGCTTTATTGCACTACAAGACGAGTCCACGCGCAGGGGTGCTCACCTGGGACCCTGGCTGGCGGCAGTGCAGGCGTTCGTCCGACGGATTCATGCAAGATCGCACAGGCACAGGGGCCCCGGTCAGCTGCAAGAGCATGAGGTGGACAGGGACGGCAGCAGGGGGCCCTGTCATGCAACTAACGAGGCGCGGGCTACGTTCCCAGAACCACGGCAGCGGTTCCGACAAAATGCTGCACCCCGGATCGTCGTCCCGTCCCGTCCCGCCGCATGTCCCTGATAGCGTATAGTGGATTTGGGTCTGATTTCTTAGTGGTAACTGGCAGCCGCACCGAACCAAGCCAACGGTGTGAGGCGCTCCCACGTGCGCTCCCGTCCGCTCCCGTCCCTCCCCGTCGCAGCCGTTACGCCCACGCGGTCGATTACAGAAGCCGGTGGAGGCTTTCGTTTCCCCAACACAACTTCCTGATGATTACTTTTATTGACCGATAAAGCCACGTCAAATCTAGGTACGCATCAACGCCGACCACTGTTTAAAGCGTATGCATCCTTCTCAAACGAGTCATCTCCAACGACATCTCCCCACAGGCTCACCCCCTACAAAGCCCCCAAAAGCCAAAATTCGACGCCAGGTCCAACACCCTCCGAGCGCCCCAATCGCACTATGCATCCCCGCGCACGAGTAGAAAAACCAACACTTCCCCTGCAGACGTTCTCGACGCAGCCAAACACAACCACGCGCGCGAGCCGTCACGGGAGGTCAGGCAGACTTCCAAACGCACAAATAACCACTGCCCAAATAGTCCAGCGGCATTATTGTCTTGCGATCACGGACGTAGGTGCTTGAAGCGAGGGTTACCTTGACGACGCTTCTTGGTGTTGCTTCGTCGGAGCCAATTCAATACGTTCCATCATCGCGTCAGTGGACGATACTACACCAACGTTGGGTTCATGCTGTACTCGGCCATTTCTCACAAAACCGGATCTCTCAGCATCTTTTCATTGCATCGATATCCAGGAGCCGAATTGCCCTTTTCGAATATTGAAGGACGCATCGTCGCCTTCCTCGGTTCAGCCTCCCATTACTCACTGCCTCCTCCTCCTCCTATCTCTCAACGACCTCACAAACCCAGCCCCCCCCCGAGCATCCCAGTACCACACAGCCTTCAGCCGGCAGTCATGCTTTATTTAGTACTTGGAGTCTGGGGAGACCTTAATAGGGATAGTTTAAGAGACTATTGAAGTTGATATGAGGCGCAGGGGATAAAGTGCGTAGCCCAGCTTTGCGAGGGCGCATGCAGCAGACCAAGATTGTTGCCCACTCTAAGCCGCTCCTGCGAGACACATATTAGGGTCGCTTTCTCATTGCTGTCTTGGATCGTGGACTGAACCAGTTTGTTTTCAACTCGACTACCAATCATCGCTCGATGAACACGCTACTTTCCGCTGCTTCACATTTCCAACTCACAAGCCGAAGAAAACCTCTCAAACAAGAACAAACACCTCCTCATCGCCAAACCCATCTCTAATCGTCTCGTCCGCCGACTCCTGCATCAGAGGCCCAACGAAGCTATCCCCCGGGAAAACCAATCCGTCTCCGGTCCGCCTCAAACCAAAAGGCACAGGTCCCCCATAGAGCAAACCACCACATCTCCCTCCCCACCACACGCCGGAGCCAGGCCGTAGAACCCACCCGCCGTCTCGAAAACGCGCCACTGGTCGCACGATCTCGACGTGGCGACGCGGCGACGCGGAACCGCGTAGCATCGCCGTCGCAGAGCGCAATGTCGAGAGCGTCGAACGTCTCGGGGGACGTCCCGGTCTTGTCGAACAAAAGACGGATGTAGGTGAGATAATCGGAGTAGAACTGGTTCTGGTCTTCGGACGCGAGCTCCGTCACTTGCTCGTAACTGTCGGTGAAACCGGTCGTAAGCGTCAAGGCCATCTCCAGAATGGCGGCGAATGGGTGCTCGTTGGTGTCGGATGGAAATAGTGCGTAAGACTCGTTAGAAGATGCCCGGTGCCAAATCTCGAGAAAAGAGAGGACTGGAAGCTTCGAAGAGAGAAATGTCCTCTTTGAATTGTTCGATGTCTAATGCCTCCGTCGTCCACTTGATGATATCGCATCGAACGCCGGAAAGCATGACCTCGCCGTCGACAGAAGGATGAAAGCCCGCCAAACACGGCAATCCGTGCTTGTCCCCTTCTTCCCAGGCAGCTACAGCCCAACACCCTTGGCCAGCGCGTGGTCCTCGCAAGCCCGGTCAATCGTCTCAGCCAGAGCAATGGCTCGTCCGGCCTTGTCTTGCCACATCATCCCCCCAAAGGCCCCGGAGCAACCATCCGTAGTAGCCGTCTAGTTCAAGGCCTTCTTGTCGCTTCGCTGATGCCTTCGTTCGACCGTCCTCTTCCGCTGTCCCCTCCTCTTGAACTCCTGCTTGTGGCGGAGATAATGGGGGTATTTGTTCCTGTTGACAAAGTCGTAGACGACCTGGTCCATCATCTTGTTCTCCTCGACGACCAGCGCGTCGTAGTCCGCGCGGAATCCGTCATAGCAGTACTCGTCCGCGACATCGTCGCAGGTCGCAGCCTCGGCGTCTATTCCGTCGCCGTCGTCGTCATGCTCATAAGTGACTTCGTCGCCGCTGTACTCGTCTTCTCCGTTGTACTCGAGCTCCACCACGGCTTCCGTTGGCGAGGGCGAAGGCGAAGGAGGAGGAGTTCCGCCCGGAGTGGACTGCTCGGGGGCTTCTTCGGCTTCGCTCTCGGGGTGCTCCACGACAAAAGTGGAACGGGCGACGAACTTTTTGCTGTGCTTGTTCTTGACGATGGTCCAGCCGTCGTCGTTGGTAGTGGAGCTGTTGCAGTCCATGGCCGGCGGCGCATTTTTGACTCGAGGCTTGGGGTTGCCCATGGCCTTCACGGCGGCGGCAAACTCCTCGTGGGGGATGGTCCGGAGGTCATCATTGACGAAGCCCATGGGCGGCAGTATCCCTCTGAGTTGAGGCTCGGGGCGATCCGTGACCTTCACGGCGGCGGTCCACCACTGATGGAGAGAGGCGAAGTGGTCCTGGTCGGTCTTGACGGGGTTGCAGGAGTTCAGGTTCAGCGGTCCACTTTTGCCTCGGGGCTCGAAGTCGCCCCTGGCCTTGGCCGCCCTTAGAGACTCGAGCCACGTCGTCATCGATAGAGGGTCGGCGCGGTCGTTGTTGATGGAGTTGTTGGAGGACATGATTGGCGGGCGGTGTACCGTAGTTGAGGTTGTGAGGGACGGGTCGTAAGTCTGGTGAAGGTTGTTGATGATGATGAGGTTTGTGTAAGATTGTGAAGATGATGTCAAGCAAGATGATGTTTTTCCGGTGCGCACGTCAGGATATATATGTCCCCCTTGCAAGTCGTCTACTTCATGAAAAGGGGATCTGTACTTCTGCTGGTGTAACGATTCCAGAATGTCAATGCAACCAGTAGATCAGAACCGAACAGACTATCAACATGCAGAACAAACAATCTCTCTGGAATCTACCAGACTTCCATTTGGCAAGCATCTTTTGTTTCATTATTTCAGACAATGCTTCTTGTTCTAGCTTGAACAAAAGACCAAGTCTCGCCTTCTTCTCTTTGTGTCATTTGGCAAAGCTCATGTCAGACAGAACAAGACACTGAGTGACCGGAACCCAGTTTCTGAAGCTCAGGATGCCGAGGCAACTACTTGGTTCCAGTCTCTTCCTTGAATAGATATCCCGTGCTGCGTCTCGAGCACCATTCCACGGACGACATGAAAGTGCTTGCTTCTATGGATTCTCGCTGCCTCGATATTCTAACGGAATGGGTTTTAAAGGTCGTTTTAGGCCATAATGTGCGAATTAGATATACCAGTCCTCGGTACAAGTTCCTGGTCTCTCGAGGAGCGATTACGGCAGAGCTGAGCATCATACATGACGTGTTTCGATATGTAGAAGATAACACGCTGCCAAGTTACGCACATGTCAACTGCAACAACGACATCTTGATACGCCTCGCAAAACAAAATTTACACCAAGTAACCATATACTATTTCAGTTATAAAGCAGTACCGCTCCCAAATCACCACATCTCCGCTTCCTCATCCCCCCCTCAACCAACCTCCACCCCGCCCCCCTCGCCTTCCTCTTCACTCCCATCGGCACACCACCTGTAGAGACCTCCAGGTCGCCATCGTCATCCTCATCATCAGACGTCTCCTCACTCTCACACCCATCATCATAGTCCTCATCCTGAGGGTCTTCAACCCCCTCATCATCCCCCTCACCAGAATCTCCCCGGGACCTCTCCAAATGAAGACATGTCTGACACACAAACCCCGGCTCGCGGTCCCGGAGGAAGGTCCTCGCGCAGGCTCGTCGACATCGCGCGCTGCGGTACCTGCAGACGACCAGTTGGCGGTCGAAGAGCCGGCGGCAGCTGGTGCATTCGTTGTCTTTCCACAGATAACGACACATGTTTCTTGTTTTCGTTTTGGTTTTGGGATAAGTGACTTTTGTCTTGAGCTGTGGGGGAAAGAGGAAAAGGCGGCGTTGGTGTGGAAAATATCAGTCCGAGTCAAATAGAAAGAGGGCTGTTGTGGTAAAGAAGTACTGGTCGTGATCACGAACGACGTCAGCTTCTCAATGGATGGGATTCGGGGGATTTGTGTAATCCAATCTTCGAGACCGGTTCCCAGAGTATATAATCTGATCCCTTTGTACTGCAATCCCCGGGACGTCCAGAAATGCCTTTGAATCATTATTGACACAGGCTGCAACAATGTTCATTCATCAGAGACTTTGATCTAATGTTGAATACAATTCTCGTTGTATGGTTGACAATGAGGTCTTTGTGATATTCGATGAGGTCCAGGCTCTTCGCTACTCGTGTCACCTCACACCTAACCCAAAGACCCTTTTACGCTTGTTCTCACATGTGGTTTCATTAGACATGTCTTCATAAGCCCCCCCCATCCCTTTTCTCCAATTACAAACCAGCCTCAAGCCCGTCCACCCAGGAACACACGTCCCTTCAACTCCTCCACGACGCTGTTGCGCATCCACCACTCCTCGTCCTTATCGTCCTGGGCCTTCTTCCCCTTGACCACAATCTGGTCTCGACGGTCCGCCCACTCGAACAGCATCTTGAGCCCGCACAGCCTCTCCCTGCTCGCCCCGTCCACGCTCCTCTCCAGCGCCAACCGCGCGTCAACCGACGATCCGGAGCTCTCGCCCGCGGCTCCCTCGGAGCTTGCGCTGCGGTCGAGCACCGTGGCGCGCTCCGCGTGCGTGAGGTCGCGGAGGGCGTCGAGGCCGAACAGCCACTCCAGAGGATCGTTCTGTCCGGTGTCCGTGACGTCCGCCAAGGCATCTCTGCCGAGCGCCCGCAGCGTGGACGAGAACGGCGCTTCTTGTGCCGGTCGGCGGCGGAGGTATAGCGACTGGTTTTGCATAAAGGCCTTCATGAGGGACGGGTTCTTTTCGAAGTCCATCTCGAGATCCCAGAAGGCGGGTCCCGCACTCGTCTGGATGCTCGCGATCTCGTTCAGAGGGGGTAGCAAGCACGGCGTCTGCCGTACCACAGCCTCCGTCTCCGTGTCTGCGGCCTCGCCTTTCTGCCGTCTCCGGCGTATTGATATAGGTGCCGACACGGGCTGGCCTGTTGCGACGTCCTTTGTGACCAGGCAGCGGGAGTCTGTTGCCAGGACCCAAAAGTGGCGGAAGGCCTGGAGATGGGAGCGGTTATCCATGACCGATGTCGGAAAGACTGGGTAGAACGCAATCAGGAGCGATGCGATGGCCATGTTGCTCGTGCCAAAGGTTGCCGTTCCGCAGGCGAGGAACAAGGACCCAATGGCGAGGTGAGCGGCGAGGTGGGATCCATATGGCGTTTCCGGATCGTCTCGACCGTGAAGGAGGCGAAGGCGACGCATCACGACGAGGTCGCCGGTGCCAGCCATGACGATTGCCGCGGATAGTGCCAGCACGTCCTGACACATGCGGGCGTTGGAGCGAGCGAGCTCTTCGTCATACATGGGGTGGTCGTTCGGCGGGGGTCGCTGTGTGGCCGGTATGCGAGAAATGCGGATAAAGTTGTCGAGGTAGTGTACAAGAAGATCCCGAACCTTTGTCGACGCGCTGCCCGCATAACGCAGCGCGATCGAGAAGCAGAGACCGGTAATGATGCTGAAGAAGGGGAGGTCGGTGCTCTTCAGCTTCGTCGTGTTGACGAGTTTGTGACGGATGCGGTACGCCTTTGGCAGGCTATTGAGGATCCAGTCAAAGCTGGGCTCGATTTTGCTCCACATGATCAAGTTCTTGGCGACTGTGCGCAAGAGAAGGATATCTGGGCGGATGTAGTCGAACTGTACAATGGATTCCGGCACATCAATCTTCCGGGCGACGACGTGGTCCTCCGACTTCATGAATATCAACGTGAGTGCCATCACAGCGCCGGCCGCGGCGCGGTCTAGCACATGCACCATTTCAACCTTCTTCGTTGCCGTCGCGTTATTGATGAGCTTCTCGGTGAGCTTCATATCGTGGAGACCTCTGAGGTCGTTGCCTTTACCCAGGTTAATAAGGCCCAGTGCGAAACCGGCAGACAAGCGGTAGCATTCGCTACGCAGCGGTTCGTCCTCGTCTTCCTCATCTTCGTGTTGGATCTCGGACATCATGACTTCCGTCATGCGACGGTGTTGGCTATTGCAGTAAAGGAGCCCGATGGCCATGATGCCGGTCGTCTGTGTCAGCGGCGACAGGTTGAGCTCTGCGGCCCCGCGTGGTAGCATGCGCGTAACATGCACGGATATCATGCGCGTGACGAGAGAGTCCATGGTGCCCATGTAGGATGCACCCAGGCCCAGGAGAAGGCCGACCGAGGTCATGGTGTGCTTCGGTGTGAGGTATTTGAAGGCGACCCATTTGGCCATCCCTCTAAGATGACCGTTGAGGCCAAGTGCTAGCAGGAAACCCGCGTGGCGGTTGCTCAGGTCGTGGCCCGGCTTGTTGTAGAGGATCCAAGACGAGTCGATCCCCTTGGCGTCGGGTGATATGGCGAGTCCCGCCGCCACACCCTGGTGGAAAAAGCCCCAACAGACCTTCTCTTCGGTGAACTGCGATTTGTCCACACCAACGGTCACGTTGGCAGGACGCACAATGCAGTTCAGGTTGAATCCCCCGACGTGGGTCTTCTGGGTCAGTAGAGGATAGCGGAGGCTGTAGTACAAGAGGGCACGACCGGCCGGAATGGCGAGGGTGCCAGTAGCGATCCTAGAAACCAATTCCTTTTGTCTTTCGAGATACTCGCTCTCAGTCCAGATTGTCAAAGGCTCGAGACGCACGATACGGGCTCTGTGCGTCGACAGAAGCTGTTGCGCCTCATTGAGACGGCGGTCTTCTCTGAACAAGGCTCGAATGACGGCCTGCCGTTCAGTGCCTTCTCCGTCATCAAAACCAGTATTGTTATATTCTTCAACGGTCTGGCAGATGCTCCGGTAGTCCCAGGTTGCAGCATGAGTAGGAGTCTGCGATTAGTTAGCGGAGAAACGCAGCAGGAGGACGTCCAACTCACAAGAATGTTGGCACCGCTCTTCTCGATCTTCTTGCCTGGGTCCAGTATCATGCTGACGTCCCCGCGGTTAATCAGCTCTAGCAGGTCCTTAGGCCATGACGCCGGCGGACGGGTTTGGCATCGAGTTATGCAGTCCTTCAGGGGTGTGAGCACAGCCTCAGGTAGCGTCTCGAGCACCGCTGTTGTGATGCCGGCGGAGTGCATAGCCTCGACGATGCTGGCTGGTGTGCTCTTTGGGGTGAGCTGTTCGAATAGACGCTTGAACATGACGGTCCTGGGAGTGATCGAAGCCCATCGAGAGTCCTTGGAGGAATCTTGTTCGCTCTTCGTATTCTGTGATTGATAGAGGTTTGCCAGTGTGAGGAAAGGATGATACTGGCTGCTAGAGAAGCATGCCTGGACCCAATGGAAAATATCAAAGTCGACACCAGAAGGCTGTGCCAGGGGAACCTCGAGATGAAGTTCTGCTGACACGTTAGCATCGTAACTTGTAAATCAATTAGGGGCAAACTCACCCGAGTCGTAACGCGGATCCAGCTCTTCCTGGATGCCCAACTCATACGTGGCGACGAAGTCATCCCATCGCAGCCATTTCGCAATCTGACACATGACCACCCTCAACTGTGCGGTTCCTGGAGACGAATACTCTGGTGTCATAATCTCCAGCTTTTGTTCTTCGAGCAGGAGGTGTACCGCGACAAAGATGTTCCAAGCCGCGTTGCCGCGATTCTCGGCACTCCGTTGCATGCCAGTCGGCAGATAGCCATTGGAGCCGACGGCCTTTTCTCCCAATGTGGATGACATATAAGCCCTTGCGTACTGGATATGAGTCGACATGAACTTGGACTCCTGAAGACTTGATGTGGCCGTCGCCTCAGAGTCGTCATCCATCTCCTCGTCCAAAGTCCATTCCCAGCCACGAGTTTGCTGCCAGCCTGGGCATCCCAAGCCGTTGGGTGTCTCATGAAGCTGCAGCGTATGCCAGTCCTCAAGACTCTGGATCGACCCAAAAGACCCAGAATGCTGGCGGCGCTTGCCCCTGGAGGGTTTCGATGGTGTCTTTTTGTTTTCGGACTTGCCCAGTGCTAGGTAGATGGCAAGGAGCTGGACCACAAGGGCGGACCATTCGGCATCGGCAAGTTCAAAGTCTTCGGATCTCAGCCAGATCATCACGTGCCACCAACCGGGGAACATCTTCTCAGCATGAGACGCCGGCAAAATGCTGCGACACGCATCCAACACCTTGCGCACGAGAGGGTTGTGTGGCTGGAGTTGAATTTGAATCTGATGGTGCCTGTCATCCCCATCAACTATGTCGACCACTCCTTTTGCCTTGGAGAACCGAAGCCGTCCGACGTTGCCATTAGAAACTTCGATGACCTCGGATTTGCGATGGCGAACATCCCGGTCAACGACCCGGCCACGGTAATGCAGACTTCTGACATTTTCCAAAGACATGGGCGGGAGGTTGATGGGAGTAATCTGACTCCACGGAGCTTGTATGCTCAGCTCCCGACGCCCCTCGTGGCCTTCTGACAGAATGAGAATCACGGAAATATCTCCGTCAGTTACTTTGCAAGAGTCTATAACGTGATGTGCTCGTCGAATTGCACCACAAGTCAGCCGAACGGGGTCCTCCGCAGAGGTCGCGGTTTTGCCGGGTTTCGGAGGCACAAGGAAACGTGGCCCTCTCTGCAGGTCGATTGTCAAGAGCTGAAGCCTCTTATCCAAGCAGTCCTGAATTCCGATGAGGAGTTCGCCGCGAAGAGGGTCGTCAACGGCAAATTGGGGAGCAGTCAAGATGAAAACCTTGCAGTGGTCGCGAGCGGGCTGTTTCGAGAGCGAATAGCGCACATTGGAGTTGTCGAGGGAAATGGTCTGAATCTTGGTGAACATCACCTCCTGAGCGAGTCCATCAACGACATGATCATCCAATCCCATGTTGTGGAAGCCCTCAAAGTCGCCGCCGGCTCGAAGCTCTTCCAACACGCCGTCGATGGGCGCCTCGAGCAAGCTCCCCAAACTTGGATGGATGGTCTGGTTGTAGTTGAAGGAACCGTATCCACCACTATGTCTAGGTCCTTGACTACCCTTCGACCCCCCAAGAGCCGGATTGTGAGGCTGGTCTGTGAATATGGATCTTTCCTGGGAGGCAGACAGATCGGCACGGGCCAGCATGGAGCTCACACGGCGGGATTGTCTCCTGTTCGCACCAGACTCCTTCTCCAGGTCGAGGGAGGAGACCAAATCCAACGGCTTCTCCAGCTTTTCGACTTTCTCGCTCTTCCTTGATCGTTTTCCGGGGAGGGGAGCACCGAAGCTCTCGCGGAAGTTTGGTTGGATCGGGGTCGAGGCGCCGCTCGCAAAGTTGGGCTGCATGGAGCTTCGGCGGCGTTCAGCTCGGCTCTTGTCCTTCTTAAGGCGGCCGACGAACGGGTCTCCGTTCTTGACATAAGTGACTCTCCACACAGCGTATGTGCTGGCTTCCCGGTTGATCGTGACAGCGAGTGTAAGCGGCTCGGTCGCGTTCGTCTTGGGTGCTCCCATATGTCTGATCTCCTCGATGTGCAGGATTTCTTCAGCAGGATCGAGAAAGCATGGGGAACTCGACGCGCCCTTCTTGCCTACCTCTCGAGCCCCAGCTTCTGGTCGCGTGACGACAAGGCCGAGTTCCTGTAGGGGGTCCATCAGGGACACCAGTCGGGGCCATTTCGAGCCTGGCCTGTCTGTCGGCGCTTCCCACATGTTTTCCAAAGTCGAGCCCAGCCTAAGGGGCAGCGACTTGGGCTTATTGAGTCCTTCAACGGAGAAGACGGTGTGTTGGGAGCTTCGCGGAGAGGTGAGGATCTGAGAGGAGACGAAAGAGTTGGGCGGGACCTTTGGAAACTTCAGAGAGACCGGGGCTTTGCTTTCGCTTCGTTGCTTTCGCTGTATGATGACGCCTCGGGGCGCGGCGCAGGCGGTCTCGACCTCGAATGGCATGTGGACGACATGGCTTGTACCGTCGAGGAAGTATACGTGGGCTTGGTTGGGCAGGAAGACGACCAGAGCTCGGCGGTAGGGCCCGTCCTTGTCGCCATCCTTCTTCTTGTCGTCGCCAGCATTCTTTTCCTTCCTTGTAGAGTTCGGCCCATCATTCGCGGCGGGAAAAGAGGCCAACAGGGCCTGGATGACGGGACCTTCGTGCTTGAAGTTGAACGATTTCTGGAATATTCCGCCGCGGCTCCAGACGACGCGGTGCTTCGTGACTTGGACTTCGTCCTCGATGTCGATGGCGTCGTCGTGCTCGTGCCCGTGCTCGTGATCGGGGTCGGTCGTGATGTCCCATGCCAATGGCGGAATCTCTTGGTGCGATGGCTGATGCAGCCCCAGCGACTTGACGGAAGCCATTGCGCTCCCCCATGCGCAATTGCTCTGTCGAAGTAACGCGAGGTGTCGCGATGTGAAGTGTGTGGAGTTGGTAAGTTAGCTGAGGTATCCGTTGGTGAGGTCCAGTAGGTAGCTGCAGTCTGGCGACGGGTGCTAAGGTACCGTAATGATTTTTGGGGGTGCGTGGGGGAGGGGCACCTAAATCCGTGGCTTTGATTGGAGGGAACTCGCGCCCAAGTAAACAACCCAAGATTTAGGATGTTTCTTGGTATGCAACCCGGTTGTTTCTCTATGCATCTCAGAGTCCTTCACAGAGTATTTTCTTTATGACAGGCGGAGTATTATTGTGAAGTCTGGGAAATGGATTAAGAAAATTGTTTCGTTACATTTGGAGGCAGGAGGCGTGCTCAGTGGCCCACTTGTGCACTGAGACACTACAATTCCTCGCAGCCACAATCAAGAGCATGCGCCGTGGCAAAAAATGAGCTTCATATCCAAAGAAAATCAGGGATGCATCTGATATTAATGAGAATTAATTTTCGGAAGAAAGGCGGCAGCATGGCCATGACTTAGATCCGGTCTGCTTCAGGCTGCGGAGCCGTACATCCAAGCCCTTTATGACATTCCCACCCACTTATGGATGTCGAATCCACGCACCAAGAGACACCGCAAGCGAGCGAGCGAGATTGAGTTGCTTTTCTATTTCGAAAATTGGTATGTTATATATACCCCGCGATAAAAACAGTGAGATTCGAGAACGCCCGCGCCGCATGATGATGCCCCTTAACCTGTCTATCTCCCAAAAACCTTCTTTATCGATGACCGCTTCAAGTGAGTTGTTCATGTGTTTTGGGTGCTCATTCTAGATAATCCCGACGTTCTTCTAAAAAGGGAGAAAACCCGGACTTCGCACCTTGCCCCAAACAAGTCACAGCATTCCGAGTCTCTCCCGGACCCAAATGCCGTGTTCTACTTTATACCCTTTCTACCCATCTCTCATAAAGTACCGCAAGAAAACGTTTCGTTTTGTCCTTTACACGACGTGCTTGACGCCGTTGGTGAGCTTGGAGGCAGCGAGCTGCTCCTGGATAACCTGGTCGAGGCATCCGGCGGCGGCGGCAATGAAGCCGAGGTAAGGTCTCTGCTCAGGATGTCAGCTTCAACAAGAGATTGTACTACGGAGGTGGGAATCTTACGCTAGGGTTGAGGACCTTGGACTGGTACTCGGCGTGGAACTGAGTTCCGACAAAGTACGGGTGGTTCTTGAGCTCGAAAATCTCCATGCGCTCGCCCGTCTCGTCCTTGCCGACAAAGTTGAGGCCAGCCTCAGAGAGCTTCTCGACGTAGGCCGGGTTGGCCTCGTAGCGGTGACGGTGTCTCTCCTCGATGGAGTCGACCTCGCCGTACAGCTTGCGCAGCTTGGACCACTCGCTGCCGGGCTGGAACTCGGTCGGGCGAAGGCCGAGACGCATGGTGCCGCCCAGGTTGTTGCGGTTGAGCTCGGGCATGTAGATGACGACCTTTTCTGACGCCTCGGCGTTGAACTCCTCCGACGTGGCGTTGGGAACGTCGAGGAAATCGCGGGCGTACTGGATGATGGCGGTCTGGAAACCCAGGCAGACGCCGAGGAAGGGGGTGCCGTTCTCACGGGCCCACTTGGACACCATCATCATTCCCTCGGTACCTCTCGTGCCGAAACCGCCAGGGACGATGATGCCGGAGGCGGTGCAGACCGAGTGCCAAGCCTTGTGGTACGTGGCCTGGTCCTCGGACTTGGCCTTGGGCTCGAGGTGCTCGGCGTCGACCCAGATGATGTTGAGCTTCTTGCGCAGGTGCATCGACGAGTGCTCCAGGGACTTGACGACGGAGAGGTAGGCGTCCTGCGACTGGACGTACTTGCCGACGAGGGCGATGTTGAGCTCGCCCTCGTACGGGCGGCTGACGACGGCGGCCCAGGTCTTCCACAGGGCCTCGCCTTCAGCGATGCGGGCGGGGGAGATGGAGAGGGCGTCCAGGTTGACGGCCTTGCGAAGCCAGGGGATGAGGTTCTGCTCACTGAGAAGGAGAGGGACTTGGTAAATGGTGGGCATGTCACGGACCACCAGAACCTGCGGGACGTCGACTTGGCAGAGCAGGGCGATCTTGCGGATCGTGGGCTCCATGAGGGGTTGCTCACAACGGCAGGCGATCTGAGGAAAGGTCAGCGAGGTAGCGATATGAGACAGGAGATGACCTTACCATGTCAGGAACGAGGCCGTAACTGCGAACCGTCTTCACGGCATGCTGTGTTGGCTTCGTCTTCTGCTCGCCGTGGATGGTGGGAACGTAGGAGACGTGGATTTGGATGAAGTTGCCGCTTCCTGCTCTGTGGCGCACTGGACAGGAGTTAGAGACGGATTCATCAAAAGGGAAACGGTGGCAGGGAGAACGAACATTGAGTCAATGCCTCAACGTAGGGCATCTGGTCGGTTATCAGCGAGCGTTAATGGATGGCAACATGCCGCAATTTGCTCCGGATTGACATACGCTCTCAATATCACCAACAGTTCCTCTGTGGAGTTGTCATTAGCTATGGCCTGACAAGGGGCGAGTACCAGTTTTCCAATATGACGCCAAAGTTCATATCATGAGGCTCAAGCCGTCCGGAAACGTTGGGGGATCGGAAGACACTTACCCAAGCTCGATAATGCAGACATCGGGCTCCTCACCCGAGTCATCGGTGGGGATCTTGGCCACACGTTCGATCCAGTCTTGGATTGCGTCGGTAACGTGGGGGACACTGTCCAGATGTCAGAAGACATGATCATGATATCGATTGAGGATTAAGATCGTACACCTGGACCGTCTTGCCGAGGTAGTCGCCGCGACGCTCCTTGTCGATGACGTGGCGGTACACCTTGCCGGTGGTGATGTTGTGCTCGCCCGTCAAGCGGATGGCCAGGTACCGCTCGTAGTTGCCCAGGTCTATCGAGTCTCGGAGTCAGAGACTTGCAATTTGATTGAATGGCGGCCGTAGTCCCCCGGCGTGAAGGGGAAAGAAGTGTCGCTTCTCATAGGAAGTTTACCTACCAAGATCTACCTCCATGCCGTCTTGCAGCTGCTTATGGTCAGCCCTTATCTTCAACAGCTTCTGGAAAATGTGTCCTCCTTTCCAGTTCCCGTGATTTACGGGCCGGTTGAGAGACACTTGTCCACCAAATTAAAATCATGTTGCCAAGGTAGGGTCAATACGAACCACGAAGCATTCGCCGTGCTCGGCCGGGGCCATGAGACCGGCATCGACCTACGTCTCACAATTAGTGATTGAACTTTATACAAGTACTACGGACAATTTAACTCACCGACAGGTAAGGGTCGATCTTGATGCTAGTCACCCTAAGTCCCAGGGTCTTCAGAAGCTGTTATCACTAGTCAGTGATGCTGCCTCATCTACGATTCCCCGCCGCTGCTCGTTGATTCTCATGACCATAACGGTAATATAGAAACCATAAACAAGGGGGCTTCAGGAAGTTCGTCAGAGAACTCACAAGACCCGTGGACGAGGCGATAATGCCCTTGCCCACTCCGGAGATGACACCACCTGAGACGAGAACGTAACGCATGATGGGCAGCTTCAACAAAATCAACAAAGATGTCTCGGTTCTCGATGCGTTTCGTGGGATGGAAATTCGTCGTCGTCGGTGCTTCTCTCTGTCTCACTCTCTGGTTGCTTGGCTATAGGAGAGGGGAGGGGAGGGAAGGAAGAGAGTCAAGACAAAGGCGGGACGCGAACGCGGTCGGAGGTAAAGAAATTTTTGGTTATCGATAACGCATAACAGGAGGGGCGCCGCCCGGTGCCTGCCCGCCCCGGTTGGGACCCCGCGGTTTGGCAGGCGGCACCACCGGTGCACCTGAAAACGGCGTGGACCGTGCGTTCGCGTAAAGTGGCTCTGTCACGTGGTCCTCTCACCGAATTCTGCGTTGGCCTCACCTTGAGAGACGAGCAGTGAAAGCGTACTGGAATTTAGTTGTCCAAAGTTTTCAAGCTCGGGTTTTTGTTTCTAATACTCATTTTCTTTCTCGAACTGCCAGAATATGTTGCATCGTTTAGGATCTAACTTAACAGAGTCGCTTGAGAGGTTGCCGACGAAAAACTTTAGCTCTCACCGAACTCTCACCTGGCTCACCGAAACTCAGCTTTGGACTGTGAGAGGGACAATGAAATAGGATCTTTAAGAGTTTGTAAACATGGACATGATACTTTCAAATTCTAATAAGTCCATTAGAACGGCAGCTTGAAGGAAAAGAACTGTACCTAAGTCGTGCAGCCGCGCCTTCAAGGTGCAAGGTGGATTTTTCGTAATGCGGAATTCGAGCCTAGGATCATCAAACTCAACTTTCAGAATTATATGTTCATCAGGTCTTTTTGGGGTAGGATTCCAGCGAGCCGCCATTTTGACCACCAGTACTGCCCGCATTTAAAATTCGGTTGAGATGAAATGCCAACTCAAGTGATGAAGCGAGTGACTCCAACCGAACCTCTCTGAGGTAAAGAAGATAGGGGAAGGTTAGTACGGAGAGATCATCGACAGGTGCTGAGATTTAGTGTTGAAGCTGTATGGTTGATATGCAACCTTAAAAACTCAATGTCACTTGATGTTTTGATAACTGATAAGAAAAGCCGTCACTCAGAATATCCCTTTTTCTCTCTTTTTGTTTTCTCCTCAATCTGTCTTCTCTGTAGCTTGCAATTCGCCAGAATTTGGCATTTGGCCCTGATCTCCTCTGGAAATGTGCTGAAGCGTGACAGGCGGGCGCAGCTGGGGCCATCTGCAGCTCATTAAACGCGTTGTGGGGCTTTCTAGGCGGGAAGTCGCGTCATGACCTCACGCAGAAAGTCCGGCGCGCGTGAAGCTCGTGCTCGACTTTCCTCGTCGACCACATCTTTCGAACTGCTGCCTATTGACTCTTCGCAACTCCTCCCTTTGCACAGTCCTCCGAAGACTTTCTCACATTCGCACGAAGATCTCTGTCTTCAATCTCAAGAGTGCCGAATTGACTTTGAAGCCCCGCAACAGCGACGCAAGATGGGTATCAAACAGCTCTACCAGATCATCAAGGAGGAGGCGCCCAATGCCATCAAGGAGGGCGATATCAAGGCGCACTTTGGCCGCAAGGTCGCCATTGTAAGTAGCACCGGTGTCTACCTCCGTCATCAGCGCTGACATGCCACAGGATGCGTACGTTTCTCAGTGACGAACCACGTCGCATCTGCTAACCCTTCTCCAGGTCCATGAGCATCTACTCCTTCCTCATCGCCGTGCGATCCGATGGCCAGCAACTGATGAACGAGAGCGGCGAGACGACATCACACCTCATGGGTCTCTTCTACCGCACCCTGCGCATGGTCGACAACGGAATCAAGCCCCTCTATGTCTTCGACGGTGCCCCACCTAAGCTCAAGTCGGGCGAGCTGGCGAAGCGATTCCAGAGAAAGCAGGAGGCCAATGAGAATCTGGAGGAGGCCAAGGAGACGGGTACTGCTGAGGACATTGAGAAGTTCTCCCGACGTACGGTTCGCGTCACCCGCGAGCACAACGCCGAGTGCCAGAGGCTGCTGAAGCTCATGGGCATTCCCTTCATCGTCGCCCCAACGGAAGCCGAGGCCCAGTGCGCTGTTCTTGCACGCGCGGGCAAGGTCTACGCCGCTGCCAGTGAGGACATGGACACCCTCACGTTCGATACTCCCATCCTCCTCCGCCACTTGACGTTCAGTGAGCAGCGCAAGGAACCTATCCAGGAGGTTCACGTTGAAAAGGTCTTGGAGGGTCTCGGTATGGACCGCAAGCAGGTGCGTATCCCTTGGCTCGTCTAGCTTTCGTCTACTGACCTGTCGTTTACAGTTTGTCGATCTCTGCATTCTCCTCGGTTGCGATTACCTCGACCCCATCCCCAAGATCGGCCCTACGACGGCGCTCAAGCTCATCCGCGAACACGGCACACTGGAAAAGTTGGTCGAGGCCATCAACGAGGACCCTAAGCACAAGTACACGATCCCCGATGACTGGCCGTACCAGGACGCCCGTGAACTCTTCTTCAACCCCGACGTGAAGCCGGCCGACGACCCGCTCTGCGACTTCAAGTGGGAAAAGCCCGATATGGAGGGCCTCGTGCAGTTCCTCGTCACAGAGAAGGGCTTTTCCGAGGACCGCGTCCGTTCGGCCGGTGCTAGATTGGAGAAGAACCTCAAGAGCAGTCAGCAGGTTCGGCTCGATGGCTTCTTCAAGGTGATCCCCAAGACGGAGGAGGAGAAGGCGACGGCGAAGCGCAAGCTCGACGCCAAGAACGAGGAGAAGAAGAAGAAACAGAAGCTTGAGAAGAAGGAGAAGGCTGCTGCCAAGGCGAAGCCTCGTGGAGCTTAGATGGGTATCGGCTGGTGCTTCTGGGGGAGTGTCATATTTCTTGGTGCGGGTGGCTTTCATACAGACCGTCTGTTAAAGACGGCACGACAAAAGTGAGGGCGGGACGGACGATACCTGAAATGGATTGAGCAGATCACGGCGTTAGGGGGTCGACGGGCGACCATTTGCTATTTCGATGGGAGGGAATTTGTACCAGCCACATGGTGTACTTGCTGTTTAGTGAGGAGAAATCACGAAATGGAGACATTAAAATATGCCGCCTCAAGACCGACTATAGCGTCGTTGACCGGCTCACCGCGACACGGCCGGCGTTGGGTCAAAGAACGGTCAGTGACAGCCAACCTCCCCGGCCTCCCAAGATCACCCACTCCAGCCCAACTCACGTGCTTCATACGGGGTAATCTTTCGGCATGCGACGCTGATTTCTCGCCAATCCATTGTTGTCCTCCACCTTGTTGACGGGACAGATACTGCGGTATGGCTGCATGAAGGCCGTGGAGGCGTTACCTTTCCGGGAGAGTGTCGCCGTGCCACGGGCAGCAAAACACGGGGTCGGCAAAGAGTGGGTCCGCATGACCATCTGCCTGCTTTCGATTGGACCAGAGAGACGAATAAATAAAAAAGATGCCGAGGTACGGCTCCACCTTGGAGGAAGCGCAGGAAGGTCAGTGGCCAACCAGCGGTCAGCAGAAACCTCAAGGGAAAAAGGAGCTTCGATGACATCAGCAAAAACAAGCCCGAAACAGAGAATTGAATCACATGCGTCGCCCGGTCGCACAGCAAAAACACCACAGAGTACGAATACCACCTAACGTAAAGGAAATTTCAATGGCACTGACTGGTCAGAATGGAACAGATGCAGGAGGAGGTGCACATGATGCGAGTTAGCGCGGAATCCAATCGTCAACCACGGGGATAGCGAAAGGCTACTGACTGTCCATCCCCCCAGCCTCCGGATGTCAATGTCAGTGTCTGCCACTGAGAAGCCACTGATTAGCGACTGACCGAGGGATCGTTCAGCACGTTTCCCCACACAACTGGCCCCCCGAGATGCCGCTTGCTGCATGCTGGAGGTGGTAAAGATTGTGGGGGCCACGGGGTAAACCAGCCTGGGAGCGCCATGTCTTTGACGATGACCTGATGTACCTCCCCCGCTCCGAAAGGGTGGGAAGATACTTTTCCTTCAAACAACATGCATCTGGGTGCGGCTGTGTCCGCCTTGCTGGACTGGACTCGCACCTTGGAAGCTTGACCGCAAGCATGTGATCGTCTGGATCAGCCCAAGGCCCAAATCCCATTGCCGACCTTGGCCGTCGCGACTCGTTCTTTAAACACTTTGTCCCCTGCCAACGCACACACGACTCGGCGCCGTTGTCCTTAAACATCATTACTCCCCCCTCGCCATCTTTCTTCCCTTGTCTTTGAAAGGAACCTTGTCTTCTTCTCCTTACCTGTTCAGATACCCCATCATCGTTGTCATCAATCCCATCATCCGAGACGACATCTTCCACAGCCATCATGTCCAAGACCTTCTCGACCAGCGACGTCGCGTCGCACAACAAGCCCGAGGACTTGTACATCATCGTCGACGGCGACGTCTACGACCTCACCAAGTTCCAGGACGACCACCCTGGTGCGTTGTGCTTCTGGATTTCTCTCCCGGTGACATTGACTAATCGTACCTCCAGGTGGCAAGAAGATTCTCCAGCGCGTTGCCGGCAAGGACGCTTCCAAGCAGTTCTGGAAGTACCACAATGAGGGTATCCTGAAGAAGTACCAGGCCAAGCTGCAGGTCGGCTCGCTCGACTCCAAGCCCAAGGTCGCCGAGCCTTCCGCCGCCGTCGCCGCCCCCCAGCCCGCAAAGGCTGCCGAGAAGAAGGACATCGCCAAGAGCACCGAGGAGTCCGAGCCCCTGGACCCCTTTGGCGACATGATCCCCTACGCCGACCCCAGTTGGTACCACGCAGTAAGTGCAGCTCAGCATATGTTTGTTTGTTGGCGACGTCTGACACCGTGAAGCACCACTCCCCCTACTACAACGAGACGCACGCCGCTCTCCGCGCCGAGGTCCGCGAGTGGATGACCAACAACATCGACCCCTACGTGACCGAGTGGGACGAGAAGAAGGAGGTCGACCCCGCGATCTACAAGCAGATGGGCGAGCGCGGCTACCTGGCCGGTCTGCTGGGTGTCCACTACCCCACGCAGTACACCAAGAACACCGTCGCCTCGGTACATCCCGAGAACTGGGACCTCTTCCACGAGATGCTCCTGACCGACGAGCTGTCGCGTTCCGCCTCTGGCGGTTTCGTCTGGAACGTTATCGGCGGCTTCGGTATCGGATGCCCGCCTCTGGTCAAATTCGGCCAGAAGAGCCTCGTCGACCGTATCCTGCCTGGCATCCTCAACGGCGACAAGCGCATCTGCTTGGCCATCACCGAGCCCGATGCCGGTTCCGATGTCGCCAACCTGACTTGCGAGGCTAAGCTGAGCGAGGATGGCAAGCACTTCATCGTCAACGGTGAGAAGAAGTGGATTACCAACGGTATCTGGTGTGACTACTTCACAACCGCCGTCCGCACTGGCGGCCCTGGCATGAACGGTGTCAGCTTGCTGCTCATCGAGAGAGGCCCCGGTGTCACGACAAGACGTATGGATTGCCAGGGTGTCTGGTCTTCCGGTACCACCTACATCACCTTTGAGGATGTAAAGGTGCCCGTCGAGAACGTCCTCGGCAAGAAGAACCAGGGTTTCAGAGGTATGTGTGCCCCATTTGCTTGTTACCGAGAGACCGTACTAACGCACCCTAGTCATCATGACCAACTTCAACCACGAGCGTATCGGCATCATCATCCAGTGCCTCCGCTTCTCCCGTGTGTGCTACGAGGAGTCCGTCAAGTACGCCAACAAGCGCCGCACTTTCGGCAAGAAGCTCATCGAGCACCCCGTCATCCGTCTCAAGCTCGCCCATATGGCGCGCCAGATCGAGGCGTCGTACAACTGGCTGGAGAACGTCGTCTACCAGTGCGAGAAGATGGGCGAGACCGAGGCCATGCTCAAGCTCGGTGGCGCCATCGCCTCCCTCAAGGCCCAGAGCACAGTCACCTTTGAGTTCTGCGCCCGCGAGGCGTCCCAGATCTTTGGCGGTCTGTCGTACTCCCGCGGTGGCCAGGGCGGCAAGGTCGAGAGGCTGTATCGTGACGTGCGTGCCTACGCGATCCCCGGTGGTTCCGAGGAGATCATGCTCGACCTCAGCATCAGGCAGAGCATGCGCGTGCACAAGGCGTTGGGTATGAAGCTGTAATGTGAGCTGTTGAAATGTAGGGGAGGGTCGAGACTATCATGTCATGTATCAATAGACACCTTGGATATTTTCTTTGTAGGGCGTTTTGCACGGAGGCAAAACTGGGTTCTGAGTCTAGATGAATACACGGCTCGCTGATTTGACATTTCATCTATCTGACTGCCTTCTGAAGACGAATAGTATGATATGATGAGACTGGAGCTAATTTCATTGAACCCAACCTGGAATAACACCAGCGCTCAGGGGAGGCTCGAGTGGTCGGGTGGCCATGTCAATCAGCCACAGTCGGACCTGTGGCTGGAATACAGGTGTCGGGTTGGCGGGGTCATCGTTTGCAGCCAATGTCAACAAAGTCACCACGCATTTTCACGAAACTGCATGCTACTGCAATCACTTCCGACTTTCATTTCCGAATTGTCCGATGAGGAAGGATGTACTGCAGTTGCGATTGATCACGCGCCCTGAATCTGCCAAGTCCCGTCTCTTCATCGGCGACATGGAAGGATTCCCTGAGCCCGTCTCCAGAACTACCTGCAATCAGACCGGAATGCTAACATATTCCAAAGGGGATGAGATTTTCGAGATAAGGAATCTGCCGGCAACGGCTGGGCTCCAACCACCTTACTCGACTGCTGTCCGGCCAGCCGTATTTTTGCAGTGCACCGCAATCACACTCACCTCGAATGTCTCATTCTAAATCCAACGCGAATGCCGATCGATACGACATTCCTTCGCAAGCCCCATCTGTTATCGCGCGATGTCTTCAAAAAGCCGGTTTTCGCGTCCGGATCCGACGACTTGCTTGCCAAGAACGAGCGTTCTCTTACGGATTCTTTTCCCACGCGATCCCAACCGGACGTACCTGTAGAGTTTCCGTTCCCCTCGTGTGCTTCTCGTGGTTTCCTGCCAAAAATACACCTTGCTATCCCAATCCAGGAAAATCATCGTTCGCCGCATCCACCGTGGCGCCCGCCAAAACGGTCCGAAGTGGCAGAGCGCACGCGGAGATCACGACATGTCGTATCCGTTTTCATTTTGTTCTCGCAATTTCGTGCATCGCGATGCCTTTCCCTCCATCCCCATGCTACCGTTCCCGGACTGACTCCCCAAAAGATGAAGAATCGCTGCGATGACCAACGGCTATATCAGACTCCTTCGGGCCTGCCCTTCAATCCCGTTTTCTCATCATCACCACACTCACAACTTCAAAGCAACTACAACAAAGATAACTCTCACTTGACCAGTCTCTCGTTCCAGGAACACACCAAGTCCCCCCCACCTTCGCTGCAATGGCCCCCCGCCTCCTCCTCGCCGCTGGCGCCGCCGCTCTCATAGCCGGTGCGAACGCCCAGTCCAACACCACCACCACGACCCTGACCCAGGCCAGCGTCTCCACCGCAACGCTGCCCGGCACGGACACCACCGTGACCATCGGCAGCACCTCCACTCTGAGCTCCACTATTAGCCCCACTTCGGCCGTCGACCCCGGCGTCTCGTCGTCTTCGGCGGTCTCCGTCCCCGGAACCGACACCGTCACCGTCTCGGCTCCCACGAGCACGAGCACAACGCTTCTCACCGGCACCGACGTCTCCAGCGCGACCTCCGTCTCCGTCTCCGTCGACACCTCCATCCCCTCCCTGACGCTTCCCCCGGCCCAAAACACAACCCTCCCCGTGCCGCCCGTGGACCCCAACCAGTCCTTCATCAGCACGACCGTCGTCTTCGGCAACCTCACCACCGTGATCCCCTTCGTCCCCATCCCGCCGACCCCGCCCCCAATCTCTCCCCCCTTCAACAACGGCACCGGAAACCCGACAATCACCCTCCCCCCGCCCCCCGTCGTCACGGTCCCGCCCCCGACCACGACCACAACCTGCAACTACAACGGCACCTGCACGACAATCACCCTCCCGCCCTGCGTCACCGTCACGACCTGCCTCGCCAACGGCGCCTGCGTGCCCCTCACCACGATAACCTACCCTCTCACCCCGGTCCCGCCCGTCGTCACCAGCCCGGTCCCGATCCCGGCCCCGCCCCCCTTCGTGACGACGTACACCCGCTGCAGGGGCAACGGCACCGCCACCGCCTGCTCGACCCTGACGCGCGTCTATCCCTCTCCCCCGACCGTGACCACCGGCCAGACGACCCGCACGCGCACCTTCCGCACCTGCGACCCCAGCTGCCGCATCGCGACCACCACGCAGACGGCGAGTTTCTCGCGCGTCGTGCTCCCGCCTCCGATCTGGACTACCAGGGGCGTCTCCGGGGTTCCCTCCGGCCGACCTTCTTCTGTCCCTGGTGTCCCCCAGCAGCCGAGCGTTCCCGGCGTGTCGAGGCCTCCTACGCAGCCTACTCAGCCCAGTCAGCCTTCTCAACCTGGTCAACCCCCCGTCCAGCCCAGTGTTCCCGGTGTCTCGAGACCGGTTGGTCAGCCGAGTCAGCCGGGCCAGCCTCCCGCTCAGCCTACTCAGCCCGGCCAGCCTCCCGTCCAGCCGTCTCAACCTGGTCAACCTCCCGTCCAGCCCAGTGTCCCTGGTGTCTCGAGACCTACTACCCAGCCCAGCCAGCCCGGCCAGCCTCCTGCGCAGCCGAGTGTTCCGGGAACTCCTCCTTCTAACCCGCCGTCTAACCCTCCTTCCAACCCTCCTTCGAATCCTCCTTCGAACCCCCCTTCCAACCCTCCTTCCAACCCACCCGCCAATCCTCCCCAGAATCCTCCCCAGAATCCTCCTCAACAACCGGCAACGACCTCAACCCGCCCGGTCACTCCCGGCACCACACCGACCCAGCCGACAACTCCCCCGCCCATCGTCACCGCCGGCGCGGAGACCCTGCGCGCCGACGTGCGCTCGCTGCTCGGTCTCGTCGGTGCCGTCGCCGTCGGCATGGTCATCTACTAAGACACAGCGGCCAGTACCTCAAACATTAAGAGGAAGAACTGCAAAGAAAACAAAAATAAAAAATGAAATAAAAGAAGAGAAACGTTTCCATTGTCGGCCTCCTAGATCACGGCCATAAAAAAGAAGAAGATAGACTGGGTGTTTGGACTAGAGTCGGAATGTAGCATGTAATGAATAATATTAATGATAATATCCATCTTACTTTGACTTGGAAAACAAGCAGAGTGTGATTTCCAAATCCCACCTGGTGACATTGTCAAGCTCCTTACCCGTCTGAAAAGAGTCTGGTCACAGAGCTTGACCTGATCTGGTAGAATTACTTTTTCAAGAAAACACCGACGGGGACGGCGGGATGAACCCCTCTTGATGATGTAGTGCGGACGTTTTTCTCATTCGTCAATGCTGACTGCTCCTACGAGATCAACAAAACTCTCGCTCCCGGATCGGCAGAATGGAAATCCTGCGGCACTCTCTTCCGACAGCAGAAAACACTTGATAAACGACACGAATGCCCGATCAAAATCAACCCAAACCCCGTCTCATATCGAACCACGCCGTTCCCATTGATTCATATCACCACACCCAGCATCATCACAAGCACTCCCCAAAAACATGGTCACCCTCAAAGTAACCAAAGGCAAAGTCCCCTTCCCCCACCCCTCCCTCCCCGCGAACTCAAACCCGCAAACATCCTACCTCATCCTCGGCGACCTCTCCGCCGGCGGCACGCCCCTCGTCGCACTCCACGGCGGGCCCGGCATCCCGCACGTCTACCTCCTCCCGCTCCTCAAACACTACCACAGACGCACCAAGACGCCCGTCCTGCTCTACGACCAGATCGGCTGCGGCGCCTCCACGCGCTACCCGGCCACCCGCGGCGACGAGTCCCTCTGGACCGTCGCGCTCTTCGTCGCCGAGCTCGAGAACCTGCTCGCGCGCCTCGGCGTCGGGCGGTTCGACCTCTACGGGCACTCGTGGGGCGGCATGCTCGCGGCGGTCGTCGCGACGGCGTCCGCCTCGCCCGCGCTGGCGCCGCGGGTCCGGAGGCTGGTGTTGGGCAGCGCGCCGGCGAGTCTGCGGCTCTGGGAGGCGGCGCAGCGGGAGTGGTTGCGGGAGATGCCGGGGGCGGTGAGGGAGGCGATTGAGAGGGCGGAGGAGAGCGGGGAGTACGAGTCGGAGGAGTATCAGAATGCGGTGATGGAGTATTACAAGGTGCACATGTGTAACATCTGGCCTTTTCCCGCGGTGGTGGCGGAGGCCTTTGAGGAGCTGGAGAAGGATTCGACGGTGTACGAGACCATGAACGGGCCGAGCGAGATTACGATTATTGGGAACTTGAAAAGTGAGTTGGTGCTCTGCTTGATTGATGGTGCGAAATACGGCTTGCTGACTCGCTGGTGAAGCGTATGATTGGGTTGAGAGGTGCCGGGAGATCGAGGCCCCGACTTTGATAGTCCACGGAGAGGTTGACGAGGCGTCGGAGTTGGTGGTCCAACCTTGGGCGCGGAACATAGCGGACTCGCAGCTGAAGATGATTGAGAAGGGGACTCATATGGTTCACTTGGAGCAGCTTGAGAAGTATTCCTCGATCTTGGAGAGCTTTCTTCAGGGTGAGTGATCAACTGCGGTGGTGGTCTTGACGTTCCTCCTGGACCCGATCATCTTCAACATGCCGTCCTAGGCTCAAGATATAAGGATCAAGTTTCTAATGAATTCGATTATACATGAAAAGACTGGGAACTTCTCATACCCTCTAACGATAAGTTCGCTCATATTCAGCACCGCGATCAAACCTTAACACACGTATCTAAAACTCTTCTTCTCCCAATCCGTGAGATCTTCCATGCTTTCTTCGACAGACAAGCTTCCCGGGATGACCTCGCCATACGCCTTGTCTCTTCTCCGGTTCTCATATTTAACTCCGATATAATACACACCCATTAGCACCACCGCACTGCTCTCGAATCCCAGAATGCTATTGTATCCAGTCGCATAGTGAGGTGCCTCGCTGGCACGAAACGTCTGCGGCGCAATGATGTTCGCCACGCAATAGGCCAAAAACACCATCGCATTAACCGTCACCTTCTTCGTGTGCCCACTCGTATTCGCCATTGGCAAACTCAGCGCGACAGCGTAGGGGCCCCAAAAGAAGTAGAAGAAGTAGTACGCTGTTAGAAGACCGGCCTTGTTGGAGGACGGGAGTTCGCGTATGACGATGCTGCATACGAGAGGCACGATGCAGCAGACCGCGGCCGAGATGCACCGGGTGTCTTTGATGTATCGGGGAGGTACCGTGGCGAGGATGGAAGAGAGGGCTTGGATGACGCCAGTGGGCATGCCGAGAAGGACGGTCTGGAGCGGGCCGAAGCCGAAGCTGGATACGATTTGGGCGGAGAAGGTGTTGAGGCCGCCGTTGGATACGTTCATGCAGAGGAAGAATAGGCACACGACCCAGGATTTCCAGTCGATGAGGGCCTCGCGGACTTGATACCACTTGAACTCCTGTAGAAGGGTTAGTACGTTGTATAGTGTTGGCTGATATTCACACCGACCTTATTCTCAATGCCAGTGTTGTCGTCCAGCTTCCGGCGTACCGCGATGTATGCCTCCTTTCCTGACAAGAACCCGCCTTCCTCGGGTCTATCCGGGAAGAACAGGAACATGAGCACAGCAAAGATGAAACTGATGCCACCGAGGACAATGAAGAGCAAACGCCATGAAGCTATGGCCAGAGTACTATTCCCAATTCCGTACGAGATGAGCCCCACGTACACCTGGCAGTGGTTAGCCCTATCCTCACGGACAAGTCAACAGCTTCGACATACCGACGCGACAGTCGAACTCCATATAGCCACACGGAGTGGCTGCTCGTTCTTCCGCCACCACATCACGGTGATCAGCGTCAGTCCAGGTAGCGCCGGCGCCTCGCACATGCCCATGAAGAACCGCAGCGCCATCAGACCGGCGGCGTTGTGAGTGACTGCCATGAGCAGCGTCGTAACGGACCAGCCGATGGCCGTAATTGCGAGAAACTTGCCGACTGGAAACCGTGCCATCAGATGTACAGCTGGGAACTCGGCTACGAGGTAGCCGAAGTAGAAGATGGAGCCGACCCAGCTGTACTGCTGGCCGACCAGATTATTGTCTTTCAACATGCCGTAGAGAGCTGCGTTTGAGATGATGACTTTCTAACGTTCCATTAATTAGCATATTTCAACGTATTCTTTGATTATGGTGTTATGAGAGATGTCTTACATCAACCGCAGATAGAACGGCGTAGCCCCAGAGAAACGGCATGATGCGCCAGTCTATCTTGCGGACTAGCCTCTTGACATCGTCGGTATCGTAATCGAAATGCTCCTCTACCGTACCCGTGATTTGCGACTTGGAATCTTCCTTGACGTCGTCGTGGCCCTCATGGAAGGACCCTGAAGCAGGGCGGTTGGTCATGTTCGCTACCGTTGGAATCCCAAGTTACGACTTTGGCAAGAGAATCGGCTGATGAGGTGGTTTGGCTGGACGTTTCTGGTCCCGGAAGCGGGTGGGCTTTTGGTAGATATCAGATCCACTGTATTGCTGCAAGTGCAGAGAAGCGGACTCTGGGACTCTGGGGTTTATTCCCGGCGAAAACTGAATTATCGATGCTTATCTGGGCCGTGATGCAGGCCGTAGTGAGAGTCGGACACTAGTCAATAAAGTCCGCTTCTCTGCAGGGATATGCCCACAAGGATACTATGGGCAAGCTTGCCCCATCAGTCGGACAAGAAGTCGTAGAGACGATGATGAGTCGAGATCGAGAGTCGGACTTCAAGTTTTGCTTTTAGATTGAAGAGTTGTCGAGGTCCGGAACTTCGATCCCTATCAAATTATTTTTATTTGTGGCCTATCAATGCAGACGGACAGCTGGATAAATGTTCATACACAATCTTGGTCCAGGAGGCCTTTTTCACCCAAGAATTTGCATCGTATGATTCTAGTACTCATGAAACAATCAGAGCATATCTGGCGCTAAATGTAGACCTAATGATAAAATGACGCTGGCAGTAAGGATGAAATCAAGGTTGACGATAGTACTACTGATGATGACGATAGAGGCGACAGAGACAACGACACCAACAACGCTGAAAATTATATCGATAATAGTGTATTAACTTCATTTTTCCCGATGGATGCCTGTGTTCAGCCTGGAAAATATTGATAGATTAAGATACATGTTCATGCTCATTGTGCTCATACTGAATCCACTGTGTCTCCTCTACCGATGGAGATGTAAACGGGACCCGGCCCTTCCGCATGGTTTTAAGCATGTTTAGTACTTTTTGTTGCACCTTCAAGTCCTCCAAATCAGTAATCAGCAGTTGCAAGGTCGCCGATTGAGGGGGCGAGATTGACCAACACTGAGAAGGGTCGCCGAACTCGACAACAGGCACGGCCTCCATCAGCAACTCGAAAACGTCACGGAAGACTTGTGCAGAGCTCCACTTGCTTGCGAAGTCGACGAGAGTCGCAAGACAGGCAAACAAGCCTTGGCAAACTGGGCGGCGGTCGTAAAGTGTCATTTGCTGGTGAGTGGGCGTTGCCCATAGACAGTAGACTACGCAGACGCCGGCTTGGAATTGGTGAAGAAGCTAGATGGTGTTAGCGAATGATGTGTGTGGCCTCGAGATCAACATACCGCAGTCCAAGTGTAACATGTTGTGTGATCTCTGACACGGAATCTTCGGAACGAAACAAGAACAGAGCAAGCTGCAGTCACGAGGTGCCTCGAGTCGCCTCCTCTTATTGCCAAATATGGGTTCGGGAATAACGAAATGGCCGTGTAGTTCGCCAACTTTTGTAACCAACCACTAGATTTGAACTTTCTTCGATGCTCTGCAGAGTCGGAAAGTGAGTCAATATCGTGGATCCAGCGATCCAAGTCGTGCCGCGGCCACGAGCGCCACAGGTTAGGAACAGGATGACCTTGTTTTTGCGCATCATGCTCCAGCTTCCTTGTAATCTTCAGAATACGATACTGAATACGGCGAAGTTGGAACACATGTTCTTCCAGGGCGACGTCAGCAGGCGAGGGCGTGGCTGAGTTGAACTCGAAAGGATCGTAGAGTTGCAAGTCCCCGGAACACACGGAACCGTCTGGCTCTGATATACCATCTTCATCCACTGATGAGTTCTCAAGGCAAAGACTATGTTCCATCGTGTTGGAAATCAGGATGTCTATCACGAGACACGTCCTTGTGACCATTTTCCGAACGACATCGTCAATGCCATGCTGCTGGGCTAGAGGAGATTTCCTCCGTGATCTTTGGTATGCGAGGTCGGAGAGTGCGCAATTCTTGACCGATTCCGAGGCGCAATCGAAAAGATCGCGAACGGAATCGAGATGCATTGCATGTACCGTCAGCAGTAGAGAAGACTGTGTCCGCAGAACAGGGGATGAGTCCTGTATCTCATACGACCTGTATTTTGCCATTGCGCGTTGATATGATGCCCTAGACAGGTCCAGGTGTTCGGATGAGGGAGTTGACCCATGAACTAGCAGAGCACCAATAGAAAGCACCATGTCCACGAAGAAGGTCTGCGAGTCTGGCGAGTCCACTTGTCTCGCAGGGCCAGACCAATACTTCCACCAGCCTTCCCACTGCTGGCTGTGTAGAAATGGCCACATGGGATGAGCACTTGTGAAATATTCTTTTGCATAGCGACCAGCCACTGACAGAGATAAGTAAGACTCGGTCAACCGTTCTGTTTGGATGGCAAGTTGAAGAGAAGGTGTCCTCGGTTCTGGATCCTGAACGTCGTTGGCCTCCAACGCCGGTTGCTCCACGTGAGACTGATTCGAGTGACGGTGTCGAGTAGGGCTTTCGAAAGGTGAGAGAGCTCTGCAGTCCAACGCATCAAGATCAAAGTTGACGCCGGCTTCATCAACCGCCCCGATCATCCAGTCCGTGGTAGCTACTGGGTCTGCATCAGGCAGCCTGGAAGGAGAATCAGGCCCGACGGCATCAATTGGTACATCGGAAAGCCTGCCCAAGAGATTCAATGGATGTACGGTCTCATGTGTCGTCATTTCTATCGAGGTTGGGGTATCGATAGGTCTCGTTCTTGCATGTGGGCCACTTAGAAAATGGTCACCGGCAATCGATGGGTTTGACTGTCGGAGGCGTGTTTCGAGCGTTGCGATGTGTTCTTCCAGGAGATGAACGTAGCTAACGACCGGTTGTGATGAGAATCCATTGCCCTACAGGTCAAATGGGAGATTGCTTACCCTGCTGGGAGTGTGGTCATGGCAGACTTCTTAGGTGCAAGTGGCACACATTCTAGATTCGAAACCAAGTCAATTTCTACCCTTCTTCTTGATAGGACTGGCTCAGAATCTCACCTGCACCGGATCTGGCGCATTCACCGCATAGAGGGCGGCGTTTGTCGCACTGGTACTTGGTCAACTCGAGAGCCAAAATTGCTTATCGACGTGGTCTTCTGACCTTCTTCTTACGCCGACGACATCGACAACAAGCGATCTCACGCTGAGCGCGTAGCCATGGGATACTATACAATGGTTGGCTCATTTCAACTGCATAGTTCTGCGATGCAGCGCAGTTCAAGAGGATGAAAGAACATAGCTCTCGTGCGAATGTCTCTCGTTGGCGCCGGCCGACCTCCGCTCCCGATATCCCGATTGGGATACGCATCCGCTCCGGATGGATCCCTTGTCTTGTCTTATCTCGGCATTGTCCCGCTGTTATCAACGTCGGCCCCATAGCGGACTTTATGCGCCATGTCCGCTGGGCCGATTTGAGGCCGATTCTTGAAGTATCCCCTCACATTATTAATGTCTGTTGGGTACAATTCTGTTACTTCGCAGTCATCCTGGCCGTCGTCATTCCCGCTCAGCTAGACCTTAACGGAACAGAGACAACACCCCGAAACGCACCATGACGGTCGTCACCCCACGCCGCAGATTGCGGATTGCGGTTCTTTGCTGCTTCCCTATTCCCGAAAACATTGCGAAAGAGAGGGGTCAATTCGACGACATCTTCGCCAGCTGGATTCTTGCTTCTGTCAACGCACACAACGCCAAGAAGCCGAACCGGAACGACCAAGTTGTTGCCGAGGTTACGGGCTTCGACGTTATTCACAAGGACCAGTATCCAACCCAAGTGAACGATTTTGATGCCCTCATCGTCACGGGGTCCGTTGCTTCGGCATATGATGATGAGCCGTGGATTCATAAACTAGCCGCTTTTCTCCGAGGTACGTTTCCACTTTGCCGAACCCCGGTTCGATAAAACTAACTAGCCATAGACGTTTATGAGAACTCCCCGACTGTGAAGATCTTTGGAGGCTGTTTCGGTCACCAACTTATCGGGCAAGCCTTCTTGGCTGGTCATGGTGCTCGCGTGGTGAAGAACCCCAAGGGTTGGGAAATTGGTGTGCATCAGGTGTCCCTGACGGAGAACTTTGCATCCCATTTCCCTTGTCTCAAAGGCCGCAGAGATATCTCATATCAATTTCTTCACCAAGATGTAGTGCAACTGGATGGGCCACTACCTCAAGATTGGGTGCAGATGGGCACATCACCCTTATGCGATGTTCATGGATTCTTGGTTCCTGGCCGGCTGTTAACCTATCAAGGACACCCGGAATTTGACTCGTTCATTAACGAATTGAGTACTTTGGCGGTGCAAAAAGCTGGCACGGGGCTTGTATCCGATGAGAAGAAGACGGAAGAGTATCTTAGCCTTGTCCGCCAAGATGATACGAGGTTATTAGCTGGAGAAATGGCGATCCAATTTTTCCTGTCCTAGCGGCGATAGAATAGAGAATAGAATGGTGCCAAGAAGAGAGTTATCTTTTGAGGTATTCAATTGACAAATATACTACGTTGAAGGCAAGGCTAATCTTGTGCACCCGAGACTGATTCAGACTCAAGGAGAGAGAACAGTTTACCCTATTCGTTGCTCTCACACTTACACCTACAACAGCACCTCACCGCATGCCAGCTTTCAATGCGAGAGAGAATTTGATACAATATGGAGATCACAGTATGTATACACCTCGCTAGTCATGCTATTCAACTTTTGAAAATCGCGCCTGCTTCAGCTGGCATTCTGGCTCCAGCAGGAGGAGAGCTGCGCGACTTGAACTCGTCGCAAATGTCTTCCATCTTCACAAACTCCACCCCGGGCTTCGTCATCAAATACTGAATCACTCTACCCAGCCCATTAGTACATGCGCCAAACGGAATTTCTCATATAGCTTACCTCTCCAGCATCTTCAGTGCATGAGGATGCCCGGAAACGTCGGGGTGGATTGTGACCGGGAAGCAGAAGTTGTCGTAGTTCTCGTAGAAAAAGTCAAAGTGATCCTTCCATAGATCCTCAACAACAGATGGATGCACCCAGCCGTGGCTGTTCTGCATGTTTTTGATGAACATCTGCACAGCTTAGCATTTCAACACATACGATACTCTCTGTTTCGCTTACCATGGGTGGGAGATCGTCCAGATACCAGCTCGCAGGGATTTCAACCAAGCCGGTCTCCTCACCTCTCACTAGCGGCTTCATCCACGTATCCGGGTGCTTTGAGTAGTCAATCTTGGTCCACTCGTCACCAACGCGAAGCCAATAGGGTATGGCATCGTGATGAGAAAATGAGTGGTCGTATTCAAGGCCTTTCTGGAAAGTAAGCCATATTGAAGCTTCAGAGGACACAATCATATTCGTCTTACCATATTCCAGCATAAGCTCAGCACCTTCCTTCGGAGTTTCCCACCACGGGACTACCGAGCCTCGTGGAGGCTTGCCACAGAAATCGGTGACCAGTCGGTATGTTTTGTCAAGGACAACCCGTTGTTGTTCGACGGTCATCTCCTTTGGGTTCTCGTGCGAGTAGCCGTGTAGACCGATTTCATGGCCCGCATCTCTGATAAGGGCGCACTCCTCGGGGAAGGTCTCCAACGTGTGACCGGGGATGAACCACGTGGTTTTGATATTGTACTTTTTGAAGAGATCCAGAAGACGCCGGACCCCAACAGTGCCAGCAAAATATCCTTTAGTTCATCGTAAGTGTTAAGAGACTCTGGTAGTAGGGAAGAAGAAATCACCTCTTGAGATGTCAGAAACGGATTCCTCACCCCCGTAGGATCCGATCCAACCGCAGACGGCGTCAATATCAACAGAAAAACAGCAAAGAGCTTTGGGTGCCATATTGGTTTGAGCTGTGACAGAAAAACAACTTTTTGGCAGGCTAAATTGCCATATACGAGTAAAATCAAGCATAACTTATGTATGCGTGGTGTTAGCACTTTCATCTGCGCCATTGAGGGTGGACTGTCGGACTTTTGTGCTGGTGTCCGAATGGTGCGGGGCGTCTGGGAGCGCTGCCAGTGACTCCAATCCTACAACAGAGAGATAAAGAAGCCTGGGATTACTTGTTGGACATGGAGCGAAAGCCAAAACGTTGACAGTTCACTTTTTCTCGCACACAGATATCTTCGCAATGGACCCTACACCCGAAGCACTCGCAGCACACTCCTTCGAGTATGATGCCTCGGCTCTGGACAAGCCTCTAGCCGGGTTTCTTCAACGTTTCTACACCTTCTCCGATGACAGAGAGAACGCGGATGCTTGGGCCGCATGCTTTTCTGAAGATGGCATCATGAAAAAGGCCGCAACCAATGTTCAAGGTCGCATCAGTAAGCTCAATCATCAATGTTGCCTCAGTCTCTTGACCGAGAGAACTCACGCTGATTCTTGCTATCTTGGCAGAGATATCCGAGGTGAATCAAAACTCTTGGAAGGGCCAATCATCAAGAAAGCACACAGTGTTCAAGGTCTTCCCTTTCAGTCCTGGTAATGCCGACGAGGTGATGCTGTACGGGCAAAGCAACTACGTATACGACGACGGGACGACAGGCGAGATGGGATGGGCGGCAAGACTGCATTTTCAACGATTTGACGACGGAAAGATACTCATTGACATGTATCACATCTTCCCGGTAAGTAGTATGAACTGTTGATGGAATTGCAGCTTACAAGACCTCAGAGCGCTCCGCCTCGTGCATCATGCAGTTGATGGGGAGACTAGGCCCGCGTTCCTATGCAATATGGCTGAAACAAGATAGATTAAATGTTCACTAAATCTCCAACAAAAGATGAAGCTTCTTCGACATTATTCACATTTATTCACGTGCTCTATGGCCTCGATTGTGCTTTCAAGTGCGATGCTGGCAGTGACTTCCCGATCTCAGTGCTGGTGATGCTGTCTCGCGGTTTTTTTTTTTTTTTACAGAAAAGACAATCCCCATCAGCAGGAAGTCTTTTTTCGATGATGCCAACTCGGCTGCAAATATCTTACCGTAGTCAGCAAAGTCAATAAAGAAATTAGCCGGAATGTGTTAAGATAGAGCGGCACGAAATCGTGACAATGATCGCAGGCGGGCCCTACCGTAGGCCACACACAAGCCCATGAAATTGAGACCATGTCTCCCGATTCTTATCGGTCCTGTAACATCGGGGTTACATAGTATGATAATGCAGGTACTATCACGAGCGGACATATGTGAGCGGACATTCAGGACCGCTGTCCGACAATTGCGGGTCGTGGGGTGGTATCGATATCAGCTCCGATCCATGCGTAATATGGAATTGTCCACGGGAGATATACCGAAATCCAAGGTATCCTGTCTCATGCCGTCTTGATTTTGCGGACAAAACGATTGGGGACAACCTTATTCTTCTTCTTATCTCCTGAAAAGGCCAGTCTACTATTTTGACCTTACGTCGTTTTGATCACACTTTTTTCTCTATCAGCAGACATCATGATCGCCAAGTGCTTCGCTTCTCAGCCGCATATCAATCTCCAGGGTGGGTGGCCAACGCCTCGCCTGCATCCAGTTGAAGCACTGGAGTCTGCATCTGCGTCGCTATTCCGCCAGAAAGACATCAACAAGCAGCTCCTTTACGGCCCTGAGTTGGGGAGTGGCAGCCTACGGGAGTCAATTGGAAGATGGCTCAACGACTTTTACGCGCCATCCGCAGGTTCCATACCCAGCGAACGCATTCTCATCACGAATGGCGCCTCCAACGGACTGGCGACCATCCTCCAGAAGTTCACAGACCCCACTACGCGGGCCGTCTGGATGGTTGAGCCGACTTATTTTCTCGCTTGCCCCATCTTCAGAGATGCTGGTCTGATGGGACGTATCCGTGGCGCACCTGAGGGTGAAGACGGCGTGGACTTGAAATTTTTGACCAAGGCACTCCAGGAAATCGACGACTCTTGGCCATCAGACGCTCCCTTGCCGCCAAGGAAGCTTACGAAAGCTGGCTACCCAAAGATCTACAAACACATCATTTACCTTATTCCGACCTTCTCAAACCCCAGTGGCAAGACTATGAGCACGGAGAACCGGAAGAAACTTGTGCAGTTGGCACGCAAGCACGATGCACTAATTGTCACCGACGACGTGTATGACATGCTTAGTTGGAGCGCAGACGATGAAGGCAGAATGACGTCTGGGGGTGTATCGCAATGCCCCCCTCGAATTGTTGACATTGACAGAGATATGGAAGGTGTGACGGCGTTTGGAAACTCTATGAGCAACGGATCGTTTTCTAAGATTGTGGCTCCGGGTATGAGAGTGGGCTGGCTGGAGGGCACCCCAGACTTTATTGCCGCCATGGGAACTGTGTAAGTTTCTTTTCCTCTTCATCAGTGTCTAATACTAACTCGGTGATAGCGGGGCGAGCGTCTCAGGGGGCTGCCAGGGTCACTTCGCGTCTCTTGTGATAGACCAGATGTTGCAGAGCGGGGTCATGGTGAAGCACATCAATGAGACTCTCATTCCTGTGTATCGCGAGCGTTACTTTGCCTTGACCAGTGCCATCAAGAATTTCCTTTATCCCCTTGGCGTCAAGCTGGTTGGAGAGAAGAGCAGTGTCACAGTGGCCGGAGGCTTCTTCCTGTACGTCTCCTTTGGAGAGTACTCAGGAGAAGAGATAGCACGGGTTGCGCTGGAGGAGTTCAACTTGAAGATAGCTCCTGGGTCAATATTCGCTGTGCCTGATGACCCACTGAGCGCGAACCGTGGCAAGTCGTCATACTTCAATGGTGCAAGGCTTTGCTGGGCTTGGCACGAGAAGGAAGAGATTGTGGAGGGTATTGAAAGACTGGCAGCTGCGATCAGGAGAATCAAGGAGACTGTATAATGAAAATATTCGTCTTTTTCTCACACTTCTCGTTATGATTTGTACACATCACAACCAAAACTATACTTCTAGAGTCTCATATAATCATTCTCATGAGTCATCTCACGAAAAGCTGCAACGTTCATTGTGATATTTACTGCGCTTGTCTTATTTTCATATTCGTACTCTTACCATTGAAAGAGCTCGGCCTAAGTTGTTTGTCGACAAGCCACTGAATCTTACTTAAATGGAAATACCCTTGACATTAAAATGTCAGCGTGCGACTTTGATTTACCCTTTTGGTTCTTCATCAGAGACATGATGTCAAGTGACTGCCACCGGCTGATCGATACATAGTCTTCACCCAGCGGACATTCTGTCTTGGTGTCCGACAACGCAGGGATCTCCATCCCTTATCTGCTATCATCGTGTTGTTGCCACGCGTGTGCAGAAACCTTCGGCCTGGTAGCCGTTTCGTGCTTGATTGGCCATGAGTTTGCTATCGCCGGATGATGGCACACAGCATTAGCGGATATCAACGAGGGATATAGAACCCCTACCGGTCTATCTTGGTGAGATGAATTCTAGCCATATTATTTAGCATCATGAACAGTCTCTCCGATAGGGAAGAAATTGGAACCATCCTCCACGCGTTTCTCTATCCTCGTTCATGCCGCTATGAATCCGAAATTATCTATCTTCATGCGAAGGTTCTCATGGGAGGATGTTGTTCACGCACTTGAGGCCCCTCAAAATCCGTACAGCTTCACTTCAGAGACAGCACCTGAGCACAACACCAAACAACATGTCTGGTCAAACCACGACCTCGACCCAACCGAGCCTGCCCACCGCACCTGGACATGGGTACACTACACATCCTTCTGGCTGGCCTCTTCATTTGCCACTGGCACTTGGACCACCGGAAGCGCGATGATTGCTCTGGGTATGCCGTGGTACGCCGCGTGGCTCGCCGTGGTTGTCTCACATATCATCGGCGCTGTGCTCCTCGTCGCGAACGGTCGCGGTCCGGCGGCGTACCACATCGGCTTTCCTGTCTACGCCCGCGCCAGCTTTGGTATGTGGGGAAGCTACTTTGCGATCTTGTCACGCTGCATCGTTGCTGCTATCTGGTTTTCCGTCAACTCGTTCTACGGCGCCAACTTCGTCTCCATCTGCCTGCGCTGTATTTGGCCATCATGGCACAACATCCCTAACGACATACCGGCCACCGAGGGCATCACTACCCAGACTATGATCGCGCTGTTCATTTTCTGGGTCCTCTCCATGCCTTTCATCTTCATCCACCCACGCAACCTCAACTGGTACTTCGTTGCCAAGTCCTGCATGGTTGCCCCCGCTTGCTTTGCGGTACTGATCTGGGCCATCGTGTTGAACGGGGGCTCCATCGGCCCCAGCTTTCAAGTGTCCCCCGAGATCAAGAACCCAGACTATTACGGCTGGCTGTGGATGAGTGCTCTGAACTCAGGGTTCGGTGGCTGCTCGGCACTCATCGTGGCTCAGGCAGATATTGCTCGCTGGGCTCGCAAACCCAGCGATCAGTCATGGTCGCAGCTTCTCACATATCCGATCTTCAGTGCTCTTCCTGCGCTGTTTGGTATTCTCGTGGCTAGCGCGACTTCCAACGTCTGGGGGAAAGCTTACTGGAACTTGTGGGATGTTCTGAGTGAGGCTCTGGACTACTACGAGATGAGCGCCGCGTCGCGGGGGCTGGTGTTTCTGGCCTCTTTTGCTTTTGCTATTGCAATCCTGGGCACGAACGTAGCCGCAAACTCTCTGCCCTTCGGCTCTGATATTGCAGGTCTTTTCCCACGTTGGATCAATATCCGGCGGGGACAGGTTTTCTGCGCAGTGCTGACATTTCCGATCGTTCCTTGGCGCATCATCAAGAGCGCGAAGAGCTTGCTGACGTTCCTGTCCGGCTATTCAATCTTGATGGGGCCGTTTGCCGCCATCTGCATCGTCGATTACTTCTTCGTCGCCAATGGGAACTTCTGCATCAGAGAGCTATACGTCGGAAACGAGAGTTCCCGGTATTGGTATTCTAAAGGCTGGAATGCACGCGCGGTTGCTGCGTGGGTCGTCGGGGTTGCATTGTCTTTCCCGGGTTTCGTCGGGACTTTTGGTACGGTAAAAATCACCTCTGGAGGAACGCACTTATGGGAGATGGGTTACCTTCTCAGTATCGTTATGAGTGGATTGGTGTATTATGGGCTTAGCTGTATGTTTCCTCCGGATACCAGGGATGTTGGGTCTCGATTCGAAACGATGGCTCAAGAGATGGACTTAGTTTTGGACGCCCATGAAGTTTTGGACCATGAATTGGGGAAGTCGATCGGAGAGGATGAGAAAAGAACACGAATTGTTGCTTAGCTTTGTGTTTTATACTGTTTCGTGCAGTTCAGAGATAGAGCTTACTAATATCACCAAAAAGACATTTACTTCTGCAACTTAAACACAGGTTTAGACTGATATCATCGGCATATTTCACCGCTCGTGCTGGGCCTTTGTTAAAATTGGAAAGTTACCTGCGACCTGAATAAGTAAAACGATATATACTTTAGCAACATGTCAAAGTCCGATCATCATTCGTGATCTTTTTCCTCAATCTGAAAATCAATGAGGATTCAAGTAATATCTATGAGAAGCTGGATGTGTCCAAAGCAGGATACCAATAACATTGAGCGGCAATATTCTAGGCTTGGTGATACATGTGGTTAAAAGTGTACAAGAGAGAAACCCAAGTGTTTTCCCCACTCCCTCAAAACCGATATCTAGTTAGGGCAAGTGACAGTGTTTCCGCTGATCGAGCACGTCTGGCCCAGCTTCTGGCGACAGTTGCCAGAGGTACAGGCTTGAATGTTGTTTCCATCTTGGCAAGCACCAAGCTGAATGCACTGGCCGGCCTTCGGAAAGTATTAGCTTAACGAGAACTCATTTAGAGAGTTGAAACTCACCAAGGCAGGTACTGCGAGGGCAGCGGCCACAGTGAAGATGATCTTTGAGAGTTGCATTTTGGCTGATGTTGATTGGTGACTGAAGTCGTGGAGCTGAGAAAGATGTGAAGTCGTTGAATTGATGCTGGTGTTTGAGAGATTTGTTGCCGAGGAAGACAAAGGACGCCTTCTTATACTTGAATGATGAGCAATATAGCAACTTCGGAATGGCAACGCCTATGCTTCTCAACCTCTACAAACACGAGTCATCGTCTAACTGTCTCATTCTGTGCTAGCACATGCTTGCCCGTTTGCGCAGTCATCTTTCCACAATGTCAGAGTGTCTAAGGCTCTTGCCAGCTTGCGCACCTCTGAAGAAACTCTAAACGGCTGTTCCTGAGTTGGTTTTCCGGAGTAACCGAAATCGGACTGCAAACTTGACCCGAGATCCGAAACTACAGCCCTTGGGCCGGATTCTGCATTGAAGGACTAATAATTCTCTATGAATATAGGAATCAAGCGAGGCTGTTTTCACAACTCTGGGCAAGACGAACCGGCTTTTTCTTTTGCTTTTTTATAACATGAACTACCTCTCTGGCCTTTTCGTTATCCGGATGCCTATGGAAGTGATGATCGTCAATCACAAATAGAAATTTTCTCTCTCATACTTCTCCATCTCGCTCTCGCTCTCGTCTTGACTCAGTTCATCCGTTGAGATTCTACAACTTCCATTCCCGGCAATGTGGAACCAGTATGATTCGCTGGTCTCAGCTTAGACCTGATAGGGGACCAGGAAGTTCGTCTGATGGACTAGACATCGGATCTTTTTGACTTTGTGTCAGTAGGCGACACTTTCCCGATGACATCTCAACCGGCGAAGTCGAATTAAGACGCCGGCGGAGGTCTCCGAGACTCCCCACCGACTCCCTTACGCGTGCGGAAAACGGGTGTTTTTCGCCGCCGTAAATCCCCGTGGAAACCGTGGAAGGCCTGGAACCCACGGACTAGATATCTGTGAGTTCAGATGCGCATAATTCACTTCTTAGCGCGCGCTTTTGAGATTGAATTGTCAGACAGGGCAGTGTATCAGTTCTTCTCAACCGAAAGAGACTGAGGCGTCTCAAACGCCTGGATGCTAGTTCAATCAAAGAAAATAGAACTTTCAGTTCCCGTTAGACGTTTGATTGAAATTGGCTGAGTGCATGCTTTCAATAGTTGTTCATCTCGTCTGATCTGCTCTTCCGATCTGAGGTGCTTGGTCCGCACATATGGCCATTCAACGTGAATGAGCGCTGTAGTCAACGCAGATTCTGTTCTAGTTGTCCAAAGGGTGGATGAGATTTGAATGACTATTAATCGCAAAGCTTCACTTTGCAGTCTTTAGTTTCAATATGTGCCTAGTCACTGCAACCCGTGGAACAGTATTCACGAACTTAACGTTCACACTGCTTAGCTTTACGTTACCCAGCTTCAACTCTCAAGTTGGACAAATAACAATTTCCCGTGAGAAACCCACCGATCCCACCATTTCGCAAGATTTGCAAAGACTTATTCCAAACTCAGTAGGTATTGAACCAGCCTGTCGCCACCGTTGAAAGCGTGATGGCTGCCAATTCTGGAATAACTGGTAAGGTTGTTTCCCGTAAACTAGAGTGGAATTTATATCCAGTCCTGGAGGCTTATTGAAATCAAGTGTAGATAACACAACACTCAACGTCAACGATTATTTCAGGTACAACATTATGTTAATCATTCGCTTACATACTAAAGTCTGGGTTCTCCTCTACGTCGAAGCGACCCAAGTTCTTGTTGGTTCGCAGTCAGCCTAGAGGGATTCTATGAAGTATACAAGGGTGTGGACTACGTCAACGCACTGTATGCAGCACGCTAAAACATGCGGACTACTATGTGCAGATTGCTTTCCCAACGCACAGTGTACATCATCAGGCAACCAAACTGGAAGCTGTGCCGCAATGCCTCACGCCGCCAGTCAGCTCCTCCCGTCATCATCCCCCTCCACCCTCGACATCCCCTCCTCTCTTGCAGTCTGAATATCCCATTGCTCCCGTTCTCATACTCCGGCAGACCATTTGCCATCTGTGTGACAACGCACTGATAATAACACAAGACCGTGATTACTATCTCTTCTACGCGAAGCGGCCAGAATCCCGGCTTACACCCAAGCTAGATAGGCAGGCTCCAGCTCAATTGTCCAGCACACGCATCGACATGTCCACATCTAGACGCCGGAGAACTTCGAACGAGGCGAACGGAAGGCAGTCCAAGGTCCCAAAGCGCAGTCATGTAGGACCCCTCTTTCCTGCAATTCCCGCCCAGCCAGTACCCGACCCTTTTGCCTCGTTGTTGCCTCATTGGCAGCCTACTTGTACAGACGACCTGGTGCTTGACACGCAGCTTCATCATGGTCCAGAAATCTATGGAGACGGCCCCTGGCCCCAAAGCCAGTACTTTGGTCAGATAGATCAGAACTTGGGAAAAGGCTTCCCTGTACACAGCCAATCAGTTGCACCTCCGCCGGCTCCGAGCATCGTCAGTAGCATCACATACTCGTCGTCTTCCATCACCTCGCAACCATCCTCGGCAGGCTCTGGTGTCTCTCCCTCGCAGACGGACTTTCCGTACCAGTGGCCAGCTCCGAGGTCAGCAACCATTTCTCGCGGTTCATCTCCTACCCAACGGACGGTGGAACGCGCTCAGAGCCGGTTTGTCTGTCTTGGCCCGCACTGCGATGAGGCTTTTGATCAGGAAAAGGACCTCAAAACCCACTTCAAGACAATCCACACCCACACCTGCAACTGGGCTGGGTGCAAGCAACCAAGCTTTTCTTCCAAAGACGGGTTGACTTGGCATGTCAAGCTCGAGCATCTCCTCATCTGCCCAGCGCCAGGGTGTACGGAAAGCTCGTTCCAGAGCCAGAGGATACTCGAGTGCCATCTCAGGTGTGCCCATCCTGGCTCGGACAAGGTCAGTACAAAGGCATTGGAGCCTGCTCTGGCGCCCATGGTTCAAACAACCAACGCCGCCGGCAACTCTGACGAAACTGCCCTTTCGTCCACATCTCTACAGAGAGACACGATGGAAGAGAAGGCTATCAAGCAGATACTCTCGGTTGCAGTATCGAAAAAGAAGTGCCGAGAACAATTGCGAGCGGTCGTCGAGAAGAAGTTCAGGAGACAGAATGGTAGGTCCCCTGCAGTCTGCGTCGACTCCTTGTATTTGCCTAACGCACTCAGGCTCAAATCCCCGCACGGCAGATAGTCCCGGTGACTTCTCGAGAGCAAAGTACTCTCGTCTCATCGAAACCGCAAGCTTCCCAGTCATATGGGAGCACGGTGTCCTCCCTTTCCTCGTCGAGTTCATCCCGAAATGGTGCGGACCGAATCATGTCATCACCATCACACGCGGCAAAACTGCAGGTTCCCGCCGGGTCTGCATAATGACCAATAAGATGCCATCACGAGCCCGGCGTCTTGTCATCGCAGAACACGTGCGGGACCTCTTACCAGAAAGTCATCGTTCGACTATATCCTTCTCCTTCTCCACCGGCTCCGTGGACCGTCTGGTTTGGGCTCGTGGCCTTGGCAAAGACATGCCAGACGACATCTGTATGGCCAGGAACCCCTACTACTTCAAAGACCCGTGTATGGGAGACAGTATTGGTCTTGCGGGGACAGATGATTTCAGCGAGACGACATCGACCCTCGGACCGTGCTTGATCGTAGGTGGTACGAGCTGCTGGCTCGCGAACTTCCACCCTTTCGTTGATGCGTACCCGCATCTCGATGTGGTCACAGTACAACATCCCTCGCCGAGTGACCGATCGAGATGCATCGAAGAACGGCACGACGCTATGGATGAATCGGCAGACTTTACGCTCGGAAACCTCACGGGTATGTCGGGCATCAACCTGAAGACGACTAGAATCTCCCATGATCCCTACTGGGAAGACTGCGACAAGGAACCTCCTCTGGTCGTGACAGATTGGATCCTCATAGCAGCTCAAACCCGTCAAGCAAACATACTCCGTCGCTTCCCATCCGAAACCATGCCTCTGCTCAAAGAGATCCCTATCAAAACAACGTCTCCCGTGGTTCCTGGCGCGCCAGTTGTCTCTACAGGTCGTACGTCAGGCCAACAACGCGGACAGGTCTGCGAGATCCCAGCCTATGTCAGCGCCGAGGATAACGGCACCGGCAAAGCAACTCGGGAATGGTTCATCGAGGAGCCTTTTCCGTTCGAAGACGAAGACGCCTGGATCCGTGGTGGAATAGGCGTGGAGGGAGACAGCGGCGCCGCTGTCGTCGACGCAGAGACGAACTCCCTTGTCGGTCAACTCTGGGGGCGAAACAAGTATTTCGGATCCGGTCCACGTCTGACATACTTCACTCCTATCAGTGATCTATTCGACGACATACAAGAGAAGTGCGGTGAACAGGGACGACCTCAGCTACCTCAATACCGCGACGAGTCGGATTGCTACCCGGTCTACCCCAGCTGCCGCCAGTGCTACGACTTACGAACCTACCTGGACAGCAGGCGCAGCTCGCGCGAGTCTCTCCGATCCATGATCGGGCGCAACGAAAGCAATCACGGGGACTTGACCTCCCTTGGAGGAACGTCTGAGCTGGCGACACCAAAGGACCACCCATGCTGGCATCGGCAAAGCGGTATCGAGGAAGTCGGTTCGTCGTTTAACAGCATGCTGTCCCCAACGGCAGTACACAACTTCGGCTTCGCCACTCAGCCGGGCACACCCGGTATCGTAGACGTCAAAAGTCCATATGCGCTGACCCTGAGTGCGGAGGATCTGTGCGACGACGAGGGCTTTACATCAACAGCTAGTGGGAAGCGGGCGGCGGCGCCGATGATGCGGAGTTCAAGCCAGGGTGTGAAGAGGCAAAGATTACATTAGCTGTAGTTTCAATGCAACTTGAATGCCTCAACCAGGCAGCCCCCCTCTCGCCATCTTTCTCGCCCTCTGGTCTCGGCGATTGTGGTTTGCCCTGGAGCCCTTGTTGGCTTCTTTCCTCCTCCGCGCCGCTTCAGTCTCCTTCTCCCCTGTCGGCCCCGCCACATTGCCGCCGCGTCCGCCTCTACCACGACCGCCACGACCACCGCGGCCACGCCCACCCCCTCTGCCACCTCTCGAGGAAGAACTACCGCCATCCGGCTCCGACTCTTCAGCGCCAGAACCACCAGGACTGGCCCTCCACGCCGTTGAAAGAAGTTCGTTTTGCGCGCCGGTGAATGCGGCAGCACCACTGTACTTGGCCTCAAGCCTCCTCTTCTGCGCCGGGTTCCTACCAAGCATGACGGCCCACCCCTCGATCGCCTCATCCGTCATGCCAGTTTCCTCCCTCAACTTGCCTCTCGCTTGGCCCCTTCTCGTCGTGGCCTGTCGGTCAAACAAGCTCGGGTCGGACTGGAACGCCTTGAACAACGTCTCCTCACTGGCATCCTGGTGTCCGTCTGCCTCCTCGTTGGCCGCGTTGTCGACTGTTCCACCCACATCGTCTGCGTCGTACGTGTCATCGCGCTCGTCGTCATCCGAATCAAAGGCCGCAAGCGCCGACAAGATGGCCGCTTTGTTGGGCGCGGTGGATCTGTCTTTCAGAATGTCGTCGGCCGTCTTCTCTGGCGACTTCTTTCCGAAGTGCAATTTCGAAACATCTAGTTCTAGTCTGTCTAGTTCATCATCATCAAAAACATTATGGCGTTCTGGGAGTTGTGGTGGCGTGGGTCTGGGTGCGATGTCGTGGCTGAATCTTCTCTCGATCTTTGGTGATCTACTTCATTGTTAGCAACAAATACGGCGAAGCGTCGAGTATGAACATACAGCTGCTCGCTGCGGTTAAGCCCCGAGAGATGTGGCGGCAGCGAATCCTCGAGTAGATGTGACGTGACGACCTCCGTGTTATCACCGTACTCATCAAACAGCTTGGAGATGAACCCGGAACCCAAATCAGGGAACAGATCTTGGATGAGCGCGATCTGACTCTGTCGGTGGATGTGGAGCTCAGCCTGCACGTCCCCGGCATCCGCGACACCCTTGCCCTTGTCGACCTTCCTCTTGACAAGCCTCTTCGGTCTCATGAAGCCGCCTCCGGGCTTCTTGAACCCCTCCAGGGCGGATATCCTGGTCTTCAGCGCCGTCGACGCCGCGCCCTTCTCCTCTGCCCGCTTGAGCAGCTGCTTCAGCACGGGTGTGACGGTGACCAACTCCGCGACGAGGGAGTCGTTGACGTTCAACGGTCCGGCCTTGTGCGTTTCCGCGGCGGACTTTAGGGAGAATAGCACGTCGGCGAGCATCCCGAACCGAGGCGACTCCCCATCCGTCAAGCCGATAAGACACACGTACGTCGTCGCGACGAGGACCTTGCGCAACGGCGGGTTGGTGATCTTGAATCCCGACACGAGACCATCGAGGAAGTCGGACCCCGCGATAAAGAATGCTGATGCGTCGGGGGATGCGTGCAGCAAATGGTTCAGTTTTGACAGCCTGCTTTCGAGAGATTTGAGGTCTGCTTTCAACCCTGCCTCCAGAGACTGCGTGAGAGACTTCTTCAGGCCCGCGAGGGATGTCTCGAGTGACGTCGGGTGTTCCTTCCATGCCTTGGACAACGTTGCCAGGGCGTTCTTGCGGAAGAGTTTGCTGAAGCCGCTGAGAAACGGTGGTGTTGTGAGCGGAATCGGTGGTGGCGCTGACGGCGTGGTGAGGAGGCGAGATGTCAGGGTGAAAGTTGTCCTTAGGAGCGTCTTTGCTTGGTGAGATGAGCCTATCGTTTCCGAGGGCCCCGTTTCCGCGACTTCGATGACGAAGGTTGAGAGGAAGTTCGGTAATGATTCGTCTTTAGTCACTGCTTTTGCGAGTTGGGAATCGGAGAGAGCGAGGTAGGCTTGGGAGAGCGTCGTCCAGGCTTCGATGAGAGTGTTCCAATCTTGCGGGGTGAGATGTGCCCGCCATGCCGCTGACGGGAACGGGGCAACGGGAGGGATTGTGGCCATTGTCGTCGCTTCAAACCGGGGGTGAAGAGTGAGGTGTTCCTATGGAGTTGCGGGGAGGAAGAAGCTCTACGCAAGAGCTGCCAGGAGTGGTTTTATTGCGCATGCGTCTTTGATGTTGAGATGTCGTTCGCCGGATGATTCATTGTCGCCGCAAGCTCCATGCCCGCTTCCAATTCGGCGAAGCTTGATGCGGAAGTGGGGTCCACGAAATCCACAGAACAGTACGTACCGACTTCCCGCACTAAGCCACGACAGGACTAGCGCGCCTCTCGGTAAAGCCCTACCTTCCAAACCCCACGAAAAAGTTCGCGATCGCGGAAATCCAGTCTTGCGAAAACCTTCAAGCTTTCCGACAGCCCAAGCCTTCATCACTTTGCCGCAACCCAGCCGTTCGAGTCGTGAAGGACATCAATCTCTCCCTCTTCAATCCCACTCAAATCCCCATCCGGACTTAACCTCCATCACAACAACCGTCAAGATGTCGTACAACAAGGACAAGGACTTCGGCGAGGCGCCCAAGACTCACAAGATCCGCATCACCCTCTCCTCCCGCAAGGTCCAGTCCCTCGAGAAGGTCTCCGCCGAGCTCATCGAGCGCGCCAAGTCCAAGGACCTCCGCGTCTCCGGCCCCGTCCGCCTGCCCACCAAGACCCTCAAGATCACCACCCGCAAGACCCCCTGCGGTGAGGGTTCCAAGACCTGGGACTGCTACGAGATGCGCATCCACAAGCGCCTCATCGAGTACGTGATTTCTCTGTTGCGCCCCAGGCGCTATGAAGAAAAATTGCTAACATAGTCTTCCTAGCCTCAACGCCCCCACCGAGATCGTCAAGCAGATCATCATCAACATCGAGGCCGGTGTCGAGGTCGAGGTCACCATCGCCGCTTAAGCGAGTGCGATTGGATCACGACGGAATGTTGTTGTTGTAGGAGGGACGACGGTATGGGCTTTGGCTTGGGAATGCTGCGTCGCGGGCGGGAACGAGGCCGAAAGGTTTCTGGGCCCGGCGACTGCGGCGGGACGAGTTAGGAGGTCTAGATACCACCCAAATCAACTAATGACCCCCATCTAAACATGTTGTGCAGATGCCGTGATGTTCCGCGGTTGGTGAATGTCTGGCTGAAGCACACGGGAAGCGTACTTACGACGCGATGATTTTGCTGTCAAGGTGCTTCGCATCGTAATGGCTTTTCGCTATTGATCGCTTTGCACCATTATAGCAGATACCCAACGACTTGTCCCCAATCCGACCCCATTTTCAGATCTATCCTATTGATATAACGCCATGCAATGCCGGTTCCTTTACACAGACTGCACAAGACCGAATTTTGTCTCTCCTCTCCCCTCCATTAATCATAGGTCCCAAAGGCAGAATTCTCTCTTGGGAGGCAACTCGGGCATCACGCTGCCCTCAAACTTCCCCGTCTGAGCAAATGCTTGCCACTGCAGCTTCGACTTATCATCATATGAATCGTCCGGAAGCTCAGTGTCCTTGTAGTAGTTCGGAGGCCCGTCGGGGAACCAGATTCTTGTCCACGATCCGTCGAAGGTACGAATGCCCGGCATGTTGTTCTGGTATGTGACCGGCTTGCCCTTCCAGTTCGACAGTCGTCCGTCCATGCCCTTGGAGCTGTAGCTGGACACGGGAGGATGTTGCCTCGAGCTGCCTGGGGGATATGGCCCGCTTCCGGCAGCGCCCGCTGGTTGGGCTGCTTGAGCTGCTTGAGGGGCTGGCGCAGCGGGTTGGCTGCCAAAGGGATTTGCTGCTGCTGTTCCCGCGCCCAGGCCGGTAGCTTGGCCAAAGGCTGGCTTGTTCTGTTGGAAAGGATTCGCGGCGGTCTGAGGCTGTGCCGGTTGGCCAAAGGCACTCGTGGGCTGGGTGGTCATCGAACCAGCACTGGGTTGGGCATCTTGCTTCGCGCCGAAGGGATTGCTCGCCGCCTGGGCCTGGGCAGGTTGTCCGAAGGGGCTGGAGGCAGCGGGCTTCGGTTGCCCGAACGGACTGGCCGCTGCGCCGGGTTGTGATGGTTGCCCAAACGCGCTCTGCGCAGGCTGCGCAGGCTGCGATGGCGCACCGAATGGGCTCGCACTCTGTGTCGGGTTTTGAGCTGGCTGCCCGAATGCGCTGGTGGTGCTGGTTTGTGCCTGTCCAAATGGACTCGCAGTGTTGCCTCCGCCAGCACTGCCAAAAGGACTTGATGTTGCCGCAGTGCCGCCTCCACCGAAAGGATTGGGCTTCTGACCCAAGGTGCTCGCCTGACCAAATGCGCTCCCCGTTGCACCAGGTTGTGACGGCTGGCCAAAAGCACTCCCTGTTGCCCCAGGCTGTGACGGTTGTCCAAACGCACTGCCCGTACTAGGTTGCGCTGGCTGCCCAAAAGCAGGCGTGCCAAAGGGATTCGGTTTCTGGCCCAACGCACTCGCCTGACCGAACGCGCTTCCCGTCGCAGCCGGTTGTGATGGCTGGCCAAAGGCTGATGTTCCCCCGCCCAAGGCACTGGGTTGCCCGAAAGCAGACGTCGGTTGAGATGGCTGGCCAAACGCCGGAGTCTGACTTTGAGCCCCGCTTCCGAATGCTGATGTCGGTTGTGAGGGCTGGCCAAACGCCGGTGTTGATGATGCCTGGCCGAACGCCGAGCTGGGCTGGGACGGCTGCCCGAACGCGGGTGTACCGAAGGGATTTGGCTTTTGACCCAGGGAGGAAGCCTGACCGAAGGCACTACCGGTCGATGATGGCCCGCTCCCGAATGCTGATGACTGTTGGTTACCAGCAGAAAAGGGGTTCGCCGTTGCCCCAGACGAGCCGGACGAGAAGGGGTTCTGTTGGCCGAGGGATGATGTAGCTCCATTTCCAACCGCAAACTTCCCCGTGGTACCACCCGTGTTTCCTTGTTTGCAAATGTCGTTTCGATTCGGGTGCTTCTGCTCTGCCGAGATGATGAATTGAATGGCGCCATCCAAGTCCGCGACCGCTGTCTTCATCTGCTGTTGGGCGTTCTGGTAGAGCTCTTGAGCTTGGTTGAGCTGGAAATAGTCAGTCGACCGCCCTCGAGCATCGCCCTAGAGTTCCTACCGCTTGCTGAGGATTTCCCGACGCTGTTGCCATGACATGGTGAAGCCGCATCTCCTCAAAGCTTTGTTCGCGCATCGATCCGCCGAACAGCTGTTCCGGTGCGTCCCTTCCCGGACCGTACGCTGACAGAATCCATTGTGGTGCCTCGGAGGTCAAATCCTTCTCGATCGCTTCCTTAGACAGCGAGTATGGTAGCGCTACGTGCATGTAAGTACGCAAGGTCGGGATCGGGTCTTCGAGGTGTACGAACAGTCGTTTCCGCCGCGGTTGAAGCCCCCTCCGGAGTTGGAGCCGAAAGCTGCAAATCGGTTGCTTGATTGGCCACCTCGTGGGTGCTCAAACCTACAGCTGTCTGTTTTGTCAAGAGTTAGCCTTCCGTCTTCAAGAAGCTTGCGATTGATGGAAAGGTGATGGCGCGACGTACTTCCATACCTGCAGGTCCCCTGCTCGTAGAACTTGCAGACCACCATGTTCGGTGTCGGTGTTGATTTTCGGCGCTACTTTTCGCACGGATCAAGCAACTATGGCATTGCGCGGGGCTCGGAGTTTGGCGGTTCGAGAATTGAGGGGAGGCAGCAACAAGCTTGTTGAATGTCACGAGAGCGCGCAGATTGGGCGTCGAAAGAATTATCTACAGCCTTTCGCAGCCTTGCTTTTGCTAGGTTTAGCGTGTCATTTGAACCAATCAGATAACGACAACAGACGCGACACTATGCATGCATAAATAAATACCTTATGCACGGATGCGCACAACTATTATGCACAACCCCGGTACTTAATTTCATGATGCCAGAAATCCCAATGTTCTCACTATCCACAAGCCGTACCAGTCGACTTCCTTTATGCTCTCCGAGAATCACCAAAGCACCGCCGAAGTCTTGATAGGGTTTGAACAGCGATTGTAAACAAGCGAGTCGTACCGTTTTCACGATGTCTGGACTTGGGACTTCGATGACGAACTGAAGCCTCCTCTTCACTCTGATGGACTATCGCTGAACGCACACTCAAATCGGCTTTCGGCGAAGCTTGAATCAATCGGCGATGTCGAGTTTCTCATTCAATCAGGTTGGATGGACAAATGGGAACACTTTGAGTTATGTGTTGACATTATTCTGACACTGACTGAGAACGATGTGGATTCCTCGTGGCGACTTTGGGCCCGAGGCTATTCAGCGCTGACATGGACGCAACGCTCAAGCATCTCCGGGATAATGAGCTACTAGACGATACATAGCAGTGACAACTGATGTGATGTAATATCTGCAAATATGATTAAAAGACTATCTCAGACCACCAGCTTCTAAGCCAATGTTGCAGCAATCATAGGCTTCAGCTGCTGCTCAACATAATCATTGTTTCTCCAGTCCGACCAGTCAACATTCAACAGGCCCCAAGACTCGTCAAAGTTCTGAGTGCCCTGGCGGATGTAGTAGCTTCCAACCAAAACCCAGATAAACCAACTGGCCTTGAACTCAGGAAGGGCCTCGGCCAAGCACGTGGCATAAACGTTTTGCCAGGTCGCGTCGTTCATGTTGAAACCGTACTCGGTCAACGCCACAGGGAAGACATTAATAGTCGCGGGATCGCTCTCGTTCATGGCCTGGAAGCCGCGGTTGTACAAGTTGTACTTCAGCGAGTCGCAGCTTCCGATCGTACCCTCGTAGTTGTGAATCTCGAGCACGAGCTTGTCGGCGTAGCCCTCGAAGTCGGCCAGGTCGAAGGTCTCGGTACCGGGCTCCAAAGCGGTGCCGCGGAAGACGGGAACGACGGTGGTATCGTAGTTCAGACCCGAGAGGTAGATGAGAACGTCGGGGTTCGCGCCGTTGATGGCGTCGGTGCCCTGCTGGATGTACTTGTACCAGTCTTGCCAGTGGTAGGAGGCGGCGACGAGATCCGGGTTGTCGGTGGCTTCGCGGAGTTCGTTACGGAGGGACATGGCGACGAAGGCGGTCCATGATTTTCCCTGCTCAAGTCAGCAACACGAATAGCAAAGCAGAGCCAGGTTGATTTACGTGGTTGGCCATGTAGGTCAGTCCACGGACCCAGTTCGCAGCATCGAACTCGCGGTCTCCCCACCAAGTGTTACCGTCGTCGCCGGAGCAGCACCACTTGCCCTTCGACATGTGGTTGTCCAGGAGGATGTAGATCTGCTGTTTGGCGCACTCCTCGGCGATGGCATCGTAGACCTATGATCTGTCAGTCCGAGACTTTATCAACCTCTACAGCCGTATGCTCTTACCTGGAGACGGGTGGTCTCCTCTGTGAAGGACGGGTTGTTGGCCAACACCTGGGCCAGAACAGCAGTGCCATTGGTCTCTCCAAGGCCATTGACAAAGGCCGTCTTCAAGTCGATGTCTTGACCATCGTTGTCGTAGATCTGGTCAACCAGCTCAATGGCGTACGTAAGGCGAATGGCGTTCATGCCCAAGCTCTTGATCTTGGAGACAACACCCTCGATGGAAAGGTACTGCAGACCTTCGGGAACCATGACCTCGCCATGGCCAGGCCAATTGGTGCCGGCGAAGGTGACCTGGTTGCCAGAGGCATCCACCGCCCAGCGGCCGCTAGTCTTGAAAGGACCATTGGGCCAGCTTTGCCTGGAGGTGTGAGGGAGAGCGGCACACAGGCCGGCGAGGCCAACGAGGGAGCTGAAGAACTTCATTGCGTCTGCCTTGGACCAAAGTGAAGCGTCCGGGAGGTTGTCGCGACACAGAGGGGGTATGGTATCATTCGACCATTCCCTCGAGTTCTTATATGAGTTCGCATTCGACCACACCGCGTACCATCGAGCTCCCCCTCACGGACCGAGAGCGGGACCTCCAGCTCTCCAAGGAACAACACTGACATCACGAGCATTGGCATAGCTTCCCCTCTCCGGACGATGTTCCCTGAATCGATGGTTGCCAATGTTCATGACTAGCACCCGACCATCGTTCGTAACCCGCAGCGGGGCATCTGTCGGGCGTCCCTCAGGCCATTGACTAACAACCTGAAGGACTCGGGGTCAGCTTTCTCCCGAGAAGACGAGCAGTGCCGAGGATCAAGAGTCGTACCAAGCCCGGGAAGCATCCGAATCAGACGACCAATGTTCAGCAAGAACAAGGTTACGCCAACTTCTTGGATCGACCACGTTCGTCCCGCCCCCGCATTGCTTGTCGAATGTGCCGAACGAGAACCCAGCTTTCCCCCACAATCGACTCGTTTCTTCCCCGCAGCGGCCAAAGCTCCCCAAATCGGCTCCGTTGCGCAGTCACAAGATGGCGGTGGTGAGGTTGCAGTTGGGGTGGAGAGGGCGGCAATGGCCGGCTCCGTGATCCCCGTGATAGTGACGCACAAATCAGAGAAGAAGCTAATCTCGTAAAGAAACAAAAAAGAAGCTCGCTCGGACAACAACGGGGCTGTACCTGGCAGGGACATGCCTTCTGCCGATCATGAGCTCAATGTGGCAGTTGGAGAAGTTTTGACAGAAGCTTCTGAGTGGTGCGCAAGTTCGGACGGATATCTGCTCGCGAGACCATCTCCACAGGCGTCTCGGGATTGGAATCTGGTTGTCTCATTTGTTTGGTACAGTTTGGTGTTGACATGTGTAAAAAACGTGACAGCAGTCGGGTCATGACGAAATGCTGCATACACATGGAAGAAGCGACCCCGGCCTTCGAACCGCATCCACGCATTAAACCTTTCTGTCCCGCGCATCCCGAGGCCGTGATCGAAAACGTCCAGAATTCCAAGACATCAACCAAAACGCTCAATTCTTGGCATCATAATCGCTTCTCAAGCTAAGCCTTCTCCCGGAATTCCACCAACGGGCCATCCTTCATACTCGTAAAAGTGTCATACAGCTGGAACTCCGAAACCCTCCTCCGTCCCTCTTCCAAATCAGCCCGCCCCTCGGCCGGGTCAACGACGCCGACCGCCTTGCGCATGTCATACAAGAACAATGTGCGCGCGATCGCGGTAGACATCTCAGCGTACGCGAGTCCCTTGCCGATGCACCCTCTCGCACCGATCGAAAACGGACAGAACGCGCTCTGCGCCCTCGCCGTGTCCGCCTCCGTCGTCTGCTGGCCCGAGACCGGGTTTGTCGCGCCGACTAGCCAGCGCTCGGGAATGTATGAATACGCCGAGGGATAGTATTCCTCGTTGTGGTGAATGGTGTAGTGCGGTGTTCCGACGACGGTGCCGGCAGGGATGTGATCTCCGTCGATGGTCATGCCGCCGGCCTGGACCTCGCGCGGGAGAAGGCCGCCCACTGAGGGAGAGAGTCTCATTGCCTCGTCGATGCAGGCACGCAGGTAGTGACATGAGTTGAGAGTCGCGCCTTGGCAGATCTCTTCAACGTTGGAGAACTTGCTGCGGACTTCCTCAGTCACCTTAGCGAGGGCAACCGGGTTGCGCACGAGGTAGAAGATGGTGGCAGCCATGGCAGTCGATGTCGTGTCAGAGCCGGCGATGATACTTCTCAAGTTAGTCGATGGCTTCGCTTCAATCATCACGAGGCAACTTACAGTAGGTTGGATTCTCCCCAGAGCTCAGGCGTCGAGAAACCTTGTCCGGTCTCCGGGTCGCGCGCCTTGAGGAGGTAGTAGAAGAAGTCTCTACGGTCGGTGTCCTCTCCCATTTTCGTTCTCTCGGTCAATTGGCCCTTGCTGTACGCCATGTACCTGGCGCGACCGGCCGCGATGGTCGGGAACAGGAGCTTATCGAGCTTGAGCTTGTCGACGATCGGCATCGTGCCGCAGATCAGATGTCTCTTGGTTGCAGCCGCGACCAAATCCAGTGCGAAGCGATTATCCGGGGCCTCGAGCATGTGGAATGCCTTGCCGAACGACAGGTCTCCGAGGATATCCATGGCGAGGTAATTACACCAGTCGGTCATGTTCTTGGGTTCCGACCATCCCTTGGTATCGGGCGAGCCACCACGGCCGATTTCCGTCGTGAATGATCGCACGTTGCCGAGAATGTACCGCTCCATCTCCTTCATCGCGCTGTCCGAGAAGGCGTGGGCGAGGACGCGACGCTTGCGGGCGTGGAGCTCCCTGTCGCGCGCGTTGTGGGTGTTCGGGGCGGGGTGGACGAAGGCATTGTAGAATTCGGCCTTGCGGACGTTGGATCGAAATCCGTAGATTTCTTTCAGAGATGTGGCGGAGTTGAATGAGACGGAGTTGGGACCGAAGCGGACAATTTTACCTGGAATGGTCGGTTAACCTCTCTGGCCTCGGCTTTCTTGCTCTGGGTAGAGCAGTCGCGAAGGAAAATCATACCATATTGGCTGTGAAGCTTATGAAAGTCAAGATGACGGTCACCCTTCCATGCGTGGTAGAGCTGGTAGCAATCCGTCACTTTCGCAAGCAAGGGGCCTGGGTATTTAGCCAGAGGGTGGAAGAATATCCGGTAGACAACAACTCCAGCGACCTTGTCCTCCTGTTAGTCTCACGTGCTCGCCCTTTTTCATTGAACGCGTAGTAACACTCACGTAAAGCACGCTTCCGAAGGCGGCGATTCCAAGCCAGAGCCATACATGATTCGTTCCTGGCGCCATGATGAGTATGACGGGCGATACTATGCGATAACAAGCTTCACCTCTCTCCGCAAGCTCGACGAGATTGGAAGAATAAGGTCACGAGGGAAATCAGAGACTCTTAAGAACTGGACCAGACGAGCTCAGTCCCATCAGTCCCGCCCGTCCCGACTGTCTTACATCGTCCCTACGGGTTCGAAATGGCTGTAACTCTTACGCAACCAGCGCCAAAGCCCCCTTCGGCTTTCACCGGTTTTTGAAAGCCGACGGCTTGCAAGGAGACAGCCAGCGCTTCCTTCGTCTCATCACAGCGCCCGCCAACCTTCCTGTTTCGGGACATTCGGGGCACGTAAGCGGTTAATCGCGGAGGAAAGAGACGTCAAAGACCGCGGGGGACCGCAGGTAGCCCGGCTTACCCCAAGATCTGTCCAAGATGCGGTGGCTTATCCCAGCATTTCTCCCCGCATTAGTTTCGCATTGGGGCATGTGAGCCAACGAGAGACGGTTTGATTACACACTCCCCGCACGTCAACGGGGGATTTTAGTAAGGGCGATCTGGGGTTGGGGCTGTGATCTACCGAATTGTTGGAGAATTATTCAAAGCCGTAAGTCGGCTTTCGGGTTTGACGTGTTATTGTGGGGAGATGGTTGGAATTCCGCCATGGGGCCGCGCTTTGTGCTCGTTTGGCAACGGCCCGAGCTTGAGAGGATTCATCTGAAAGTAAGCTGTCAAACTTGCCAATGACGCAATTGAGAAGTTTAGCAGCTTTTATTTGTAGGGTTGGAAATTTTGCAAACTTAAAGTGCTGTCTTCTTCAGCCGACGGTTGAGTCGACCATTGAATGCCACCACTTCAGGCTGGAGACGGGCTCTTAGACCGAATGCTCCAACAACGACGATGAGAATAGTGAGGATTGGCAATATAGACAGTGACAACGACGCCGACGACGACAAATCATAAAGACAACAACAACAACAACTGGGTTGGTCTTGAAGATGAGCTATTGAGTTTGGACTCGGCCACATGAAGGGCTTCTCGTAGTTGATCAACTCAGTAAGCAGCCTCGGATTTCCCAGTACAGCCGCACGGCTTGTCAAGTTGACATTCTCGATAACTTGTCACGGGCTTGAACGTGGAGCTGCATACGCCTCAAATCTATACACGACTTCTGACGACTATTCCAAACTGGTCTCGACACTACTAGACAGCTTGGACTGATGCCATTCGAATGTAACAGCAGGAACTGTTTATAATCTCTTCTTGAAATTCATGGCTTGAGGCCATGTCTACTACCAAAATGGGGTTGCGAAATGGGAAAGCTCTCAAGAGTCCACTATCATTAGCTGGGAGGGCTTGCATATCTATGGGCTAATAAACTCCCATTGTGTTGAGTGCTAGGTATTGCGCTTATATCGTGTTATTTGAAAAGTTGTTCCAAAAATTGTTGCATAATACGAGCTTTGTTTCCTTTTTTTGCAACACGAGATGATGTGACCACACGTTTTCAACTTCTTCATGTGAAACCATCACTGCCATGGCGGTTTTCTCACCGTTACATCAGTCCAGCGGAATAGAAAAAGAAAAAGACCTTCAGTCAACGATATTTCCTGTTCGGCTTAACGACGCGTTCACCCTCACCGATGTCAGACCTGGGCACCAACCGAACATTTCCTTCTTTATCCGCAACAATGCGATAAGTCTGCTTCAGGGCACTAATGTCATCAAAAACGCTTGTTTCCATCTTCTCGTCCTCAGGGGGATAGCTTCGCATTGCCAAAGCTACTAGCTCGGGCGTTGAATCCCAGCTTGAGCTCGTGATGCCACTTATCAAGCTCCATAGGATAAACAACACTGCCACGACACAGTATCCAAAAAGCCCAACCATCAGGTTCCTGACAGTCGTATTCTTATAGGTGTAGAAATACCCGAACGATTCGCCCATGAAATTCAACTTGGCTAGTCTGGCCTGATCCTCCCTGGGCACGTCAAAAGCCGTGTTGTTGAAGTTTTCATGAGTATCGATGGTGCCTCTATGAGAGAAGAAGTGACGCCACCAAGTGTCGTTGGCATCTTTGAGGCTCCAGATGGGACCTGCGTATGGTGCTGTGCGCGCCATGCCATTTCCAAGCATCCCGTTGATGATAGTCTCTACGGGGCCGAAAGTCCAGTTAAGACGTGTTTCCGCATTCTCACTGAGCCTAGCAGCCTCAGCTAGGTGCTGAAATACCCTGGCATCTGTGTCGCCAACCCGAGGATTCGTAAGATTTGCGTATGAGGAGTGAATGACGGTGATGTCTCCTTTCCATTGGGGATTGTAGGGCCAGAGATTGCCTTGAATTGGTTGATCCAATCTCGTTTCAAGAGTCTGATTGCGCCAGCGAGCATTCGTAAAACATCCGTACATAGCTAAAGAGCCATTCTGCAAGGGGATTGAAACGACGGAGCCGATGGAAACCCTACTTGCGAATGGGTCCGTTGGTTCGAGGTCGAAGAACAAGATCTGCGGGGCCGTTCTGTTTAGGCTCCCTATGAATGTTTCAATGCTCCGATATCTCATGGAAGTATCCAGGTACGGAGCCCCTCCCCACATGATGTTGGGGAAAAGAAGGGGCTGCTCTCCAATGAACAAGTCGGTCGGTCCAGATATTGTCGCTTGGCATCGCGTTTGAAGTGCGGCCACCTGGTGCCAAGAAGTAAACCTGTGGCCCGTCCCGTGCAAGTTGCTGTCAGTTTCCAATGACCTCATTCTCATGGCTGGGCTCCAAAATGCCTGCGCCCCCACCAACGCCGCAGCGGACGTGTGATGAGGCAGGTTCACCAACGACTCGATCCAGTTCAAATCCCCTAGGTTGAACTGTGGCCCTTCATTCGCGTAGGGATGGCGTGTGCGAATACTCATCAGGATGCGAGCTTGCAGCGTGGGTAAAACGAAGCTGTCCATAGGTTGCCACAACACTCCTTCGCGATAGCTGATCAGCTTTTGAGACGGAAAGTAGGCAGCCAGATGTTTGAGAGAGTCCCAGCCAGATGATGGACAGTGTGATACGCCCGCGGTTTCACAAACACCGCCACCCAGAGTATGGTTTGCATTTATGATTGTCGGGAATATGTCTTCGTTCGTTGCGTTAATGAAGATTGTTGTACCACCCATAGTATACCAGTCTTCTCTCGGCAAGAGGATCGTGGCAGTAGCCGGCGCAACAACCATGGCCAGTAATGCACAGACAAGCGTTAAGCATAACAAGAATGCCTTCTTCCAAATGCATGAGAAGGGGGCCAGGATCATGGCGAAAAACTCGTCAGACCAGACAAAACTTGGGGACTTGAAGTCGGTAGCGGCCAGGATTGCAGCCAGCGGCAGGCCCTTCCTGATGGTAATCTCTCTGAGAATAAAAGTGAACATCATGGTTGTAAGAGATGCAACCATGAAGAGTTCGAGGAATTTAGCCGTGAATTGGATGGCGAGATCGGCCTCTGTATCCCATTTGCCATTGGGAGTTAGGGTTCCGCCAACCCAGTGCTCTTTGTAAAGAAACCTGCTCATTACTGCAGTCGCGACGATCGGGGGAAGGTGTACGGCTGATGCCAAAAGTGCCATGGGCCGACTTTTGAAGATGACAACTTTCTTGTGGGTCTTAATGGAAGCTTTGGCTTTCTTTGTTGCTGCATCAAGGACGGTTTGGAATAGCCGGTACAGAGAATGGAGACCCCATGACTTGAGAGTATTCTGGGCAAAGGACTTCGGCCCGAGCTTGGGGTTTTCTGTCGGTTCTTCCACTTGAACGACGCTGCAGATAGGGTACTTAGCTACTGATACCAGCCCATGTTGTGCCTGCATACTTGGGCCTCGACATTATAAAATCCAATGGGGAAAAAGATGGAAGGAGTTGCAAGAAATCTGCTTACCCGATTTCCTGGGCATCTTTAACCCCTTGGAACAAGCTGCTGCGCCTCTTCAAAGTCGTTCTTGGGGCATTCTGGGGATCCTTCTTCGACTGGCTGAGAAGCTCCATTGTCTCCTGTGGATGATTGGGTTCTCTCATGACGGATTTGAAGGCATGGGAAGAGTTTTGCAAGTCTGGAGACGAAGTCGACTCTCAAATCTGAGTGTAGTATTAGAGATGAAGAGCTTGGTGGTTTTGATTGATAACATATAGCCCGCAGACATGAGCCTTCGGGTTCGGTATAAGTAATTGCTTCTACAAACACTCGGCCTTCGACGATAGGGGAACTTTCATCTAGACAACGAATTATACACCAATGGCGTGCTTACAAAGTATTGGACTCGAGGTATGTCAATTGCCACTCCGAGAAGAGAAATGTGACTAATTGAGAAGGCTGCAGCTGAATATGAGCTGGGCGCAGAATCTCACCTCACTTGGCGAGCTCTCCGATTTGTTCCAGGCATTAAATTGCGCGCGCTGGTGGACTATTCGGATATAGTGGGTGGCACAGCATCTGAAGGCTTTGCCAGCGTGGCACATCTGCAATGCCTCTTCTAGGCCTCAGTATCTTTTTTCGTGGGCAAGAAAGAGAGATAAAACCCCAATGATGAGTGTCAGGGCCGTATATTGTAGCTTGAGACACGTAAGCTTAAATTATCGCAAATAACCTCAAACGAGTTGAAAGACGATGAAGAAAGCCCAAAGAGTTTCATACATATCCCCTGAATAGATGATTCGGTAACCCTCGACATCAACACCTGCCCACCAGAGAACAATGTGCACAAGGCTACGCATACGCAGAGCCTGCGAGTTGATGTTGCTTCCAAATACAGACGACCAACAGAGATCGACAACCACACAAGGCACCGTAAACCCGTCTCGGCGCTTACCTGAAGTCCTGTCGTATTCTAGCGGCTCTCGGCACATCTTTCGACTCTATGCTATTGGCTAGAGTAGTCCAGACACGATTGAATTACCAATTTGAGCCTTCCTTAAGGGTGTTCGACGGGTTTGTTGATCTCGTACGTAGTTCGCTTAATCCTGCCGCTTATCCCAAGAGGCTCTCGAACGTTGACTGTCCATTCATGTGCCTACGGTCTCCTACATAGCTTACATTCGCAGAGGTGAGTCTCGACCTGATGTGACGAATGAAACAATCCCCCTAACTCTCAAGTCAACTTTTGGCCGTCTTACTCACGGAACCTGTGTCACACTTCTCATTAGCACCAATGTGTCGCTAGGCACCAAGACAGATGGGGATCACGTATATCTCTGAAATCCATTAGGGATCCATGTTTGATCAATTTGTTAACATTTATCAGTCCCTTATGTTACTTACACGGGGGGTTACAAATCGCGTCCTTAGCCCTGTATAGGTTGGAGGCATCTCAACGTTGACCTTCATCGTTGTCATCATCGCCATCATCGGGTACAATAGTGGCAACTCGCCGTTACTGCTCCTGCAAGCATTTGTCCAGGTTGCACACAATTCAAGTTCAAGATCTTCATCCATTCTGCTACAGTAGATAGTAGCTACTGTTGAGGTTTTACTACTTTTTTTTCTTCTTTTTTTTTTTGAGTGGAAATTCTCGCTCCTTGGGCTCAAAAGGTTGCCAGAATACCATTGAGGTTGTATTAAAGCAATCAGAAGCACGACAATTTGCGACCCATGATGGCTAAATGAAGGGTAAAACGAAAAGAGAAACGGGTCGCCCATGTGGTGATAATCTTCACAGCCCTCCATTCCTAAATTTGAAGTCACGACATATGCCGTGCCGGTCAGTGTGACCACAGTCTTCAATGTTGTATCAATCCAGCACGTAAGACGGCTTGGGTGGCTTAGGTTGAATGGTCTGTTGATCAGCCGCAAGTTTCGGTCACAAAAGCTTATTCTCAACTAATCTCTGTCGCTCAAGGTTACATGCGTCTTGCAGCAGAAGCATCTCAAAACTTCAATGGGTACAGTACCAGAATTTTGTTTGTTCACCATGATTCTGCGCAATCCATCTGATGGAAGTAAAACAATTGACCTATCAGTGACTTGCCCACCGCTGCGTAGTATTGCCAAGAAACCAAGATCTTGGCGCGTGAAGACGTTCCTAGATCGGGCAGGTCGATGCAACGGTGATGGAGCCAACCTCTCAATTGCTTTTCAAGCTTCCTTTTTGAGTTTCTCGTCCCGACAATGTGGCGCCGCTGATAATCTTCTCGAGTCAATCGATCCTGTCAATAGACGCTCTAGGAGGCTGGCCTTCCGGGGAAATTCATGTTGAATTTGCGATCTATTGGGTAATTCGCCACATCACCGGACCAAGTCGCAAAAAAGTGCCATCATCGATTCATCCCCAGCTTCCTTATCTATCGCCTTGGCACAATCACGCGAGATACTGCATGCATGTGCGACCCGGTTGGGGGGGTCAGGTACGGATACCTACGCACGCAATGCGAAAAGAAAGGACACAAAACCAGTCCGCTTCGCACTCTCTCGTCTCCTGTTATGATTTCCTCACCGACTCTCGCCTTCATCAACTTGGCATCCTTCTCAACCCAATTGCCCGAAGTCGGATTCCAGTAGCCCAAGATGAGAACGGCCGCTCTCGCTCTGGCCCTGCCAACCCTGGCCAGCGCCGTGAAGTGCAAGCCCTACGTCGACTCTGAGTCGCTCCAAGAGCTGATTGCGATCGATGACCTCCTTGCCGGTTCCCAGAAGCTCCAGGACATCGCCGACGCGCACGAGGGCAACCGTGCCTTCGGTGGTGGTGGCCACAACGCCACAGTCGACTGGCTTGTTGAGGAGCTCGAGAAGCTTGACTACTTCGACGTCTACAAGCAGCCCTTCACCGAGGCCTTCGCCGGCTCCAAGGCGACCCTGACCGTGGGCGGCGCCGCTGTCGATGCCCGGCCCATGACCTTCACCCCTGCTGGCGATGTCAGCGGTGCCCCCTTGGTCAGCGTCGCGAACCTTGGTTGCGATGCCGCCGACTACCCTGCCGAGGTCTCCGGTGCTGTGGCTCTGGTGTCAAGAGGAACCTGCAACTTTGCTGTCAAGGCGGGCTTGGCCAAGTCCGCGGGCGCTGTTGCGGCCATTATCTACAACAACGAAGTTGGCGCGCTTTCCGGAACGCTGGGTGAGCAGTCGGACGCATATGCGCCGGTTGTGGGAATCACTCAAGCGGAGGGTGCGAAGTTCGTGGAAGCTATCGCGGCAAGCGAAGATGTCACCGTTGTGCTGAACGTCATCTCCATCATCGAAGATCGCGTCAACTACAACGTCATCGCCGAGACTCGTGGCGGAGATCCCGACAACGTGCTGATGATCGGAGGCCACTCCGACTCCGTCTTTGCCGGTCCCGGTATCAAGTGAGTTGAACTCCTGAATCTCTCATCGTAACCACCACTAATCACTTTGCTTTTCCAGCGACGATGGCTCCGGCACTGTGGGCGTTTTGACCGTTGCCAAGGCCCTCACCAACTTCCAGACCAAGAACGCCGTCCGTCTTGGCTTCTGGGGCGCCGAGGAGTACGGAAAGCTTGGCTCCTACTACTACGTCAAGCAGCTCAACAGCTCCGAGGAGGAAATCTCCAAGATTCGTGCATACCTCAACTTCGACATGATTGCTAGCCCGAACCCGAAGCTTGCCATCTACGACGGAGACGGAAGCGCCTTCAACTTTTCCGGCCCTGCTGGTTCTGATGTAATTGAGAAGGATTTCGAGGAGTTCTTCGAGAACAATGGCCGGGGACACGTCCCGACCGAGTTCAACGGCCGTTCTGGTAAGCCCAACTCTCATTCAGACGCCTCATTGCCGTGACTGACAGATACGCTGCAGACTACGCCGGTTTCATCGAGAACGGAATCCCCTCTGGAGGACTCTTCACCGGAGCCGAGGGATTGAAGACCGAGGCTGAGGCTGCGCTGTTCGGTGGCGAGGTCGGCGTCGCATACGACGTCAACTACCACTTAATCGGCGATGACATCACGAACCTGGACAACGACGCATACCTTATCAACACAAAGGCCATTGCGCACACTGTTGCCAAGTACTCCATGAGCTGGGAGGACTTCCCCGCTGTCAACCTGGCCAAGCGTCGGTATGCTGCGGACACCGCTCAGCACCTCAAGAGGGCTGCCGAGCTCACGGGTCACTCTCACGACGGACCCTGTGGCGGTGGTTCTCACGCCTAATCGATGGGAGTAAGCTGGTTCATGGTCTACCATAAGTGAGTATCAGTCCTTTGGGACTCAGCTATGTTAACACAACTAAAATACGTAATGATAAATGAGAAAGTTGATGACCAAACGTTTTTCCGTGTCGTCTCTCTTTATGCCAATTCAGTTCGAAGCTGTGTGATATCCTCTCCTTGCTTCAAGCGACCAGTGCCTTGGGACACGTGGGCCTACTCACTGTTGCTATTTACACCTTGTGATCGACGTAGACTGGTGTGGGATTCATCGAGAAAGAAAGCCTTCAAACTTGTTGTAAGGGTAGAAAGAAACGTTGCAACGAGGTGTTCAAAGTGATTCAGTATTTATTTGTTGTTGCTATTTGTGATACAGAACGCAAGTGGCAACACTCTAATACCGTGATGGGACGGTTCCTCTACCTAATCTAAGGAAGCTCAACCTCAATCAAGCTCTCCACACCCTTGCCGCCGCCCCAGATCTTGACAATCTTCAGACCGGCAAGCTTTTCCAGCAAGTTGTACCAGTCGCCCTCAGTACGCTCCTTGGAGCAGAAGAGCGTGAGCATGACCATGTCAAGAGCCGATGTCTCCCACCAAGCCCCCGTAGACGGAATGACGTTCTCATTGATGAGCAACTTGCTGTAACCAGGCTTCATAGCGGCCTTGATCTGAGCGAGGATCTTCTCGCAGACATCATCAGGCCAGTCATGCAAGCATGAGTGCATGTAGTATGCGCGCGCTCCCTTAACAGGCTGCTCCGTCAGGAAGTCGTGACCCATGGGCGTGATAGCCGGGGTCAGCTCCTGGATCTGGCCGATGACTACTGGCAGGTCCTGCAGGATGAGCTTGCCCGGCGCGTCGGGGTGGTAGCGGTGGAACTCGGCCAGATCGTGGCCGATACTGCCGCCGATATCCACCAAAAAGGGGGCATCGGGGCTCGTGTCGGCGCCGGCGATGAGCCTCTCCTTGACGGGGAAGAAGCTGGGGGCCATCCAAGGCGTACGACCCTGTCGGTAGCCGGACATGTGGTGGTTGAAGTGGGTGCCATCTGCGTTGATTTTGGTCAGTACCCACCAGTCATTTTGTATTACAAGTAACATACAGCCCAGTGATTGTTGCCATGCGAACATGTCCTTGTCGGTGTTGTATGCGTACATCATGGATGTATCCTTCGCGTCGGTGGGGTTCTTGTAACCTCTCTTACGAGAGTACTCGTGGAATCGAAGGGGACCGGCGCCAGTGCATGATGTCCTGGAAGGTATCGTGTTAGCTAGTGAACAACAAATGAATGTACAACATGATTAAGTGAGCTGAGAGCGACAATGGAAAGACTCACATAGCAATGTACCCATCTCCGATCATAGGAATGCTCAACGACTTGGAGAAGTTGGTGGGCTGGTATTCATCAAGGCCAGTTTCCTTGATGTAACCCATGGCACCAAGATGGCGCATGAGACGGCCTAAACATTCACGGTAAGTTGTCTGATCTAGCGAAAAAGATGGCAGTCCTACTCAACAGGGCCGGGTCAACACCAAGGGCTTCGGCCAACTCGGCCACCTTCTGGGGCCTGTCGCCATTCTTCGCCATGAGCTTCCACAGGCCCGAGTCAACACCAAGGTTGATACCAGCCAGGGCACCGGTCTTTGAAGTGATTAGTCATTGGTAGTCGGCAAGATAAGGGACAACTGCGGTGTAAAAGCCTACCTGTGCCCAGCAATGCTTGATCATGGTCTCTCTCGGGGCTTCGAGAGCCTGGACGATCGAGCGAGCCTTAAGCAGGAGCTCATGACGGGCCTCATCGCCGCCGGTTGCCAAGGAGTCAACGCCTGCATTGAGTTCCTTGAGCAGGCCGGGAACCGCCTCGAGGTCGTTCGGTCTAGTGGCGATCGCCACATCGACAACGGGGCCGGTCTTGGTGCCGTTGGTGCCGTTCGTGGTAGACATTATGATAACGAACAATAAAAGGGATAAAGTAAAGAGCAGAGAAACCGAGACTTTGGGCCTATGCGGATGGTACCCCGAGGGCGACTAATTATACCTTGCTGTCAAGTCTAGCTAGCGAAACTTCATCGGAAATCGGGAGAGACCAATGGTATTCAGCTGCAGATACCCCCCACGTTCCGCGAATATGTCCCTCAAACCCCATAATTGCCGTGGGGAGGAAGGAGAAGCAACGAGTTGCGGAAGTGTGTCCGCCAGCCACTCGCTTCGAAGACCAACTACCCGCCATCGTCCCACTCACCGGGCCGGTGATCCTGCTTGATGCAGACATGCAGGTTGTATGTGTTTGCTGCGGGTACGGAGTCGATTCTTGCATGAAGAATTGATACGTCGCTTTTATTTGCACCAACTGCATGTATTCCCGAGAGCCGAGACACCTAATACACCCACTCACACCCAGGAGACCATGGAGAGAAACATTGGGCTGCTCAGATCCGCGTGCCTGTATGATTACAGCCCTCCAGATGCCAGTCTTGCATAACACCTGCCATTCAACTTTGGTCGGGTAGAAGGAGTAGCCCGAAAATCCGCTCATTAATCGGCCTGGTGCTGGAACTACCCGTTGGCATCGACAACCCACAGGATGCTCCGAATCCTAACTGCCGGGGGCCCCGGACTCCGGCCCCACTAGGATGAGAGTTCCGGATTAGGCCCCGTTAGGGGTTGTGAATGTTGTTGGTTGGTAACAACAGAACCAACTGTCGTGTTGGTAACCAACACGACGGCAGCGTTCCCATCAGGGAAATGATCGCGCCTTATCCTCACTGATTGACCCGCGTCCAACACAAGGTCGCAATCTGCCCAGTGCCCCTGACCCACGTGCGAACGTAGGAAGGAATGAAGCCAACAACTTATCACATCTCATCTGCAAAGGTGGCGTGCGCCAAGCGTTGGTGGCCGTTTCTTCAGTCAACACGGGCACCAGATTGGGAAAGCGATTTACGTACGAATTGCCGTGGGTCCCATGTGTGCAGATTTAATTTCTGGAATTGACCAATGCTGTCACCGGCCACAATATGTGCTCCCAATGGGGACTGCTTCCAACAGCTGAGACGAGTTCGCATCTCAACAGCATAGCATGTCCTTGTGCCCACCGGCAATGCCGGGACCCCCTGCCTGCTGCCTGAGGTGGTGTAATTTGCACCGCGTCTCCAGTCCACAACCGGTACGCACACGTACTTGGGATATCCACCGCCTCGAGAACTTCCGTCTTTCGCCTGTTCGTGAGCTGATCCCCATGGCAAAGGATCCTCAGGGGTGAGGCTAGGGATTAATGCGTTTGAACACAGCAATGCTACCAACAAGATCGAGTAGCCCCCTTGTTTTACACTTTTACGTCTACACTGGAAGAGATTTCTTGATGGGCTGGATTTGAATCGGGTAACGTTCCTACTTTCTAGGGCACCAACATGTCTTCAACTGGACTGGGAGAGTGCGTTTGATCGGCAACTTTCGAATTGCCCAGTTCACAAGCATTGGGAAGTGTGCTACGAGGAGCTGCTACTGTTTCCATATATCCTTCGGCAGCTTTTCTATGCTTGGACTCATTTTCTACTCTAGAGAATTATCTGACATTTTACCACCCCCACCCGAGAAGATTTCTCTACATCTCCAAAATGTCGAGTCCAGCAGTGGGATCGGATGCGTGGAAGGCCCAAGACAAAGGGCCAACAATCGTCGTTGTCTGCTGGATAGTGACCGCCGTCAGCACCTTATTCGTTCTCGGCCGAGTCTATGTCAGGGGAAGAATCATGAGAAAGTTCCACAGCGATGACTGGTTCATTATTCTAGGGCAGGTACGTGACCAAAGCTACAACAATCATTCTATTGCCAAGGATAACCAAGATCATTTTGATCCGTTTCGCTTTGAAGGCCAAATCTGACCCATCTTGCGCTTCAGATTTGCGGTTACATCTCAACGGCTCTCTCGACGGTCGCAGTATCCTACGGAAACGGGAGGCACATGACACTGCTATCGACCGAACAGCAGCAAGGCGCCATACTCTGGACCACGGCCGCCTTCTGTCCTGGAATCATGTCTTTCGGTCTTCCCAAGATGGCCGTCGTCTCTCTGCTGACGCGCCTGATGAATCCCGGCAAGTATCACAAGTGGTTCCTGTGGTGGATGGCGATCTGGTGTCAGTTGACGTTATTCGTCACGGCTGGGCTGCTACTTGGCCGCTGCATGCCAGCCAGGTCGCTGTGGGACTTCTCTGTTCCGGGAACGTGCTTCGACGTGAGCATTTTGGTGAACTTTTGCATTTACGCTGGAGGTAAGAAACAATAGTACTGGACGTCACAATGCCTTCGACATTTTGCTGACTTTGGTGTGCGCTGTAGCATTCTCTGCCTTCGTCGACGTCTACCTCGCTGTATACCCGGCCATCGTGCTTTTCAGCCTCCAGATGTCTACCAAGAAGAAGATTGCCCTGTCTTGTGCCCTTGGCATTGGTTCAGTGTAAGTAGGAGCGATTTTCGCGCCGTTCATAGCCAGCTTTGTCGTTCCGTGATGTTGACTTTTGTCCTTTTCTAGTTCTGGTGTTGTGGCCATCTACAAGACGACCCGTATCCCCTCTCTCGGAAGCAAGGACTTTTCCTGTGAGGCCATCTCCGCATCTTTACTATCCAAAGGCCTTCAATCTGACTCCTTTCTTTCTCGTAGACGATACTTCTGATCTAGTGGTTTGGACAGTGTAAGTTCTATAGCCTGCTTTGCGAACTGACTAGGCTGCCCGGCTTCACACAATTCACAATATTGATGCTAACGAAACATCCTGATAGTATCGAGGGAAGCACCATCATCATCGCAAGCTCGATCCCCGTCATGCAGCCACTCCTTGAGCTCATCTTACGACGCAACCCCTTCAGCTCCGGCAAGGGAACCAAGCCCACGCCACAATACTACGAGAACTACGGCTCGCAGAGCAAGTCCAAGTCGCGCGGAGGGACGATCGAACTCGGCCAACGCAAACCCAAATCCAAGCCTAAAGACGACCTTGGCTTTACCATCATCGACGACGGTGACAGCCAGGAGAACATTTTCAAGCCAGCGGCAGACCACCAAACGTCTGCGGCGTCGGGATCCCCAACACCCACGTCGAACCACAGCGACTCGAGTCACCGCGCCCCCGATGGGAAGATTGTCCGAACCGATTTCGTGAGTATATCGTACGAGGAAAAAGGGCAGGACCGTGGAACATCAGCATCAGACAGTTGGAGGCCCATTTGAAGGGATGACAGATTTACACGGAGGCAGTTGAGGGATAGTACGCAGTACAAGTTAACGCTTTCGCACTCACATTGTGTATCTACGCTCTTTCCCCATTTGATGACAGAGCAATTGAAGACATCAGAGACATCGGAAAGGAATTAAGTTTTATCGTGTCCGAAGAAGATCGATTGGAGCAGTGAATAATGCCAGCTACCTATATCTTCGGATTGAGATGATCGAAAAAGTCTTGGGTGTGGGGTGAGAATGGATTCAAGTAGTTGCATGAAATCAAGAAGTCTGCTGCTGAAATAAAGCCAGGCCTCTGACGTGGACATTATCCCTGCCTAAGCTTCCTGGCATATCAATACGCTCACATTTATCGAGATATGCCCAATATGTCGATCAAACTCTGCCTCGTGATGTCTTTGTCGTTCCCGAAACTCTTCTCCCTTTTCGTTCAAAGCATGTATAAAGCCCCAGATATCCATGCGACCGCGTTCGCGTTCCATCTCGGTATCGCTCCAATGAGCGTGCATAAGATTAAGCCCATTTCCGTAAAAGGTCTCATACGGCTCGGCACCAGGTACTAGCGTCGCGCCGTATCGAATCAGGTAAAGACTGACATGTACTTCGCCTTTGATAACCTGTTCGAGGAGTGTAAGAAAAGCCCCCCGTGGACTCGGTTCGTCTATCATCATAGAAAGGCACTCGTCCGAGTCGAATGCCCAGGATTCATCATATTCGAACGCGATCGACGGATAAATATAAGGTTGTGCTGAGAGAAACTGAATGTTGAGATCCCTAAGGGGATCAAAAAGTTCAGGAACGAGGGCCGGTGTATCTGGAAGCTGGATACAAATGAGATCATGGAAAGGAAGTAGACCGAACGTTATATCTTCCGAATGATGCCGAATCCGGACAGTACCACAACTTATAGGAATGCTGGTATTGTCTTCGTGCTGTCTTCTGATTTGCCGGATGACGACATTTCTCGACTCTTTGCAAGCTGTCCACATACCAAAGTCGAAGAAGTATGCTGAAGGATTTTCTTTCTGCCATGGAAACTTGAGCGGCTGGGGGAAAAGGGGAAGTGTTATGGATTTGTTGCTTCTGTTTTCGTCCTCTACCTCGCGCTGTACTGCAAAAAAGTGAACCCCTGGCTTATAGCAAGTCGTGGGTCGGACTGCCATTTGCCAAATGCATAGTCTGAGCTCAGGTGGTAGCTTCGAGAAAGATTGAAAGGTTTCAACCATGGGGTGTGAGATTTCCATCTTCAATGGTGGTGGATGGTTGGTGCTAGAGCAAAAGTGCAAATCTTCGGGGGCTGGCTCAGAGTGAAGGGTTGAGGTAGGCAAAAAGTAATTACCAGCATCCGTGTTGCAACGTACGAACTTAGGGTCAGCTTTATATGCGGAAGACTTTCAAGCTCAAGCCTTAAGTAGACCTCAAGGTGGCTCATGAGAGGTGGATTACACGTACAGGTATGGATGGCGTGGGCTGAGGTGTACATAAAGTCTTGCGAAACCATAGATTATCATTTTTCGAATCTGAGCTGGAAATGTGGAGTGTTCTTGATTCTCAGCCGGCGGAAAGTCTTAAGATGCAAGTAGATATCGACTGAATGATTGACTATGAATCGGTATCAACACGGTACATACGCTCCTACACTATATCCGAACAGTAGTTTTTGAGAGCAACCATTTATTTCGTCGGTCTGCCTGCAGGATCGCCTACTGGTTGCACCGCCACGATGAAGTCACGAATCAATTGCTGGTGTCAGGCCGAGTTCAACTTGCTTGACCACTCACATCATTTTCAACCCTGGTTCGGTATCATGCAGGCTGCAGCTTGCGACGGAAAGGCGGCCATAAGGCGAACCACCGGCGTATTCCGCTGAGAGGAAACAAAATCACGCAGCAACCCCGCATCTTGAGTGAGAGAAGGCAGTGTCCTCACCTTTTCCGACAACAAAGCCCAGGCCGTACGTCGCGACGATGTCGGACCCGTTATCTACCGCCGGGAGCGTGGTAGGCATTATTTCGCTGGGCATTCAAGTCACGCAGTCATTGTATGACTACTACAGTGCATTCAAATCGCAGCCTTCTGACGTGAGCCACACGTTGCAGAAGCTTCAAAGCCTGCAGACCGCGCTTCAGCAACTCTCATCTCAACTTACCGACCGAAGTCCTCCACCTGGGGACTCGGAGTTGGCACAAAACATCGAGACTACTGTCAGACAGTGTGAAGAATGCATCGAAGAATTGGAAGAAGAGGTGAAGAAATTCCAAAAGACCAAGACCGACAGCATCACGTCGAACCTCAAAGCCACAGGCCGACGCTTAGCGTATCCCTTCCGGCAGAGTACGCTGCATAAGCTGGACGAAGACATCGATGACCTCGTCAGTCGCTTGTCCTTTGCTCTGTCGTTACTCCAGCAGAAGACCGTCGATCACATACAGGATGATGTTCAAGATATGAGAGCAATCCTCGACCTCATTCGGGCACAACAAGTGTCCGACGAAATTCAAGACTGGTTGAACGCGCCGGACGCCTCCGTCAACTTCAACGAAAATCACAAGAAGAAGCATCCAGGAACCGGGCTGTGGTTGGTCAAGGGGCCTAATTTTGCCACATGGCTAGACAAGCAGAACTCGTTCCTGTGGCTCAAAGGGTTCGCTGGGTGCGGCAAGTCGGTTCTGTGCTCAACTGCAATTCAACACACCATGCGCCGGCGTGGGTTTGACTCTTCATCTCGGGTTGGTGTCGCCTTCTTCTTCTTCACTTTCAACGACAACACCAAGCAGAGCACATCAGCTATGCTACGTGCTCTCATACTGCAGCTATCTGGCCAAGTCAAGGATTCGCCCATCGCTCTAACTCAATTGCACAAGCAAAACAAGCGCACTGCCCCTACAGACTCGAGTCTTCTTGACTGTCTTCGTCAAATCTTGTCGACATTCCAAGATGTCTACATACTACTCGATGCTCTAGATGAGAGTCCTCGAGGGACCCATCGAGAAGCCGTGCTTGATGCACTGGCGGGAATGAGAGGTTGGACAGGTACTCATTTGCACCTGCTCGTAACAAGTCGGGACGAAGTCGACATAAGGGATGCACTTCAAGCAACCGATGAAGAGTCCGTTTCGTTACAAAGCGAGGGAATAGACCGAGACATTGCCGACTTCGTCTCGCAGCACCTGCGAGATAATCGTCGTCTTCACAAGTGGAGAGACTCATACGATGAAATCGAAGATGTCTTAACTCAAAAAGCCAAGGGAGTGTGAGTACTCACACCCAATGGGATTTTATTCGTCATCGCTGACTTTGGATAGATTTCGATGGGTGGAATGCCAGTTCAGAGATCTTGCCTCTTGCCCAAAGAGTCCGAGTCTCCTCACCAAGCTGCTTCACTCACTACCCCAGACGCTGGACGGGACATACGAACGCATGATTCAAAATATCCCGCCCATCTCGAGAGACTATGCCCGCCAGATGTTGACGGTTCTCTGTTGCGCTACAAGGCCTCTGACAGTTCCGGAACTCATCGATGCGCTTGCAGTCGACTTGAGTGGTACGCCCAAGTTTGACGCTAGGCGTAAACTCACAGACCTTGACGGCCTCCAGGAGGTTTGTCCAGGCTTCATTGAGATTGATCTCAATAAGGTCACAGGATCGATCACAGTGCGCCTCGCTCACTTCTCTGTTCAAGAATATCTCGAATCTGGTAGAATCCTCGAAGATGGTCTTGCAGCACCGTTCATTATACGGAGAAACCACGGGCATGGAACCATAGCATCTATTTGTTTGACGCTTCTTGTACACCCTCAACTGTGGTGTTTAAGTCCGGACGACGCCCGAACCGAGTTTCCACTTGCTCAGTACGCAGCAAAGGAGTGGCTGTATCACTACACCAAAAGCACCAAGACGGAGCGTCTTGATGCTCAAACTGTTCAGCTGATGGCCGGTGGGGATGAGCCATTCAATAGCTGGGTTCACATATGGAATGTGCTTGATACTGAGGGAAAAGTTCGCCGGGCCAACATTCCTACCGCATTATACTATGCCTCTCGGTATGGCATCCAACCCGTAGTGGAGTATCTTTGCAGACCCCAAAATCTGGGCCTCAACGACATGCTGAACGCCCAATACGGGGAGTATGAGACGCCACTACAAGCAGCAGCCGCGTATGGCCACACAGAGGCGGTCCAACTACTGCTGCAGAACGGCGCCAATGCGAGAGCAACACATTGCTATGATGACCTATTGAGCAGTCCACTTTATGCAGCCGCAAGATTTGGGTCTTGCGAGATTGTGGAAATGCTGGTCAATGGAGGCGCCAACATTGATGCTATGATCGATACAGGATATTCGTTCACTACAGCCCTCTACGAAGCTGCGAAATTTGGCCACTCCGTCCTCGTGCGATGGTTGCTAGACAAGGGTGCCAAGACAGACGACATTGCAAGCGACTCTGCTGCTCTATTGTATGCTTCGCGAAGGGGAAATCTAGAAGTTGCTGAGCTACTTCTTGCTGCAGGTGCTCGGATAAACTTAATTTCTGGCGGGACCACACCTTTGATCGAAGCATCGGAACAAGGTCATGTGAAGGTAGTGGAGCTACTTCTGGCAAATGGCGCCGATCCGCGACTCAAAGAGGGGACGGCATATATTGAAGCAAAGCGTAGGGGGCACGGCAGAGTAAAAGAAGTGCTCATCGAGTGGCTCCTCAACGCTGCCATCGATACCCCAAATGTGGATGATGTTGACTATGCCGCGTACTTGGAAGAAGCTACGTTGATGAATGACGTTAGGTTGGTAGACCTTCTACTTACCCAAAAGCATCATCTTGCCCATGGAGAGGTTGAAAACGACGCATTAAAGCACGCTTGTGGGCGAGGTTATGAGGAAATAATCGCATTGCTCCTCGAAAAAGGAGCAGACATGAACATGCATGCGGATCCTGATTCGCTCAGTTTGGCTGAACAGAGGCGTTTGGGAATAGCACTTCGAGAAGCTGCGGCAAACGGACACACACGTATTGTGCGACGACTTCTTTCGAAGCTCTTCCAGCAATCATCGTCAAGTTTGGGGTTCTCTTATATCCCTCAAGCACTGCTAAAGGCATCAGCCGGTGGTCATCTGGAGACGTTGGTATTGCTTCTCAAAAACACGGCAGGCTTTGGCGATGAACACAGCTTTCTCCAGTCCGCCATAGTGAAGGCTTCAGAACGCGGGGAGATCGATATATTTGATCTACTTATGACACTGAAAGCCGATCCATCCGAAAGAACCGAAACATACTATGAAGCTCTATTAGGAGCGTCACGGAACGGCCACACGGCGTTAGTCGAGAGATTACTGAATGAAGATGATCGCTCCAATGCAGAAGTTGGCAAGTACGGACCAGCATTGTCAGCAGCCTCGCGCATTGGTAACCTAGACATCGTCGAGAAACTCCTGAGGAAAGGGGCAGACCCCAAAGGTACTATCGCGCTTCAAAGAGCAGCTTTCGGCGGCTTTACAGAAATAGTCAGACTTCTGCTCGAGCACGGTGCAGACCCAAACGGGCTCTCACCAGACTCTGATGACGGTTTTACTTATGGGACGGCATTACATGTGGCTTCCCGTCTTGGTTTCGAGGAGATCGTTCGATCGCTACTCCAGAATGGTGCTCTTTCGAGCGTTCACATTCCGGGAAAGCCTTTCCTAACACCACTAGTAGCTGCATCATGCAATGGGCACACGCATATTGTCCAGCAGCTGCTATTCTACATCGCCGATGCTGAGTCTATCACCGACATTCAGGCAACAGAGTTGTCGGAAGCTCTTTTTTGTGCGTGTGAAGGAGGCTATGAAGAGATCGCACGTCTTCTCGTGAACAGCGGCGCCGATTTCGACGTTGAGCATCCGGAATCGAGATTCAACACTCCACTATCGGTATCATCAGCAAATGGTCACGTACATATCGTGAGACTTCTTCTTTCAAAAGGCGCTCGCGTCAATAACCGAAGCAAGAAACATACATCAGCAATCTATCAAGCGTCGATGGACGGCCACACAAGCATTGTACAGCTTCTTCTTGCAAATGGCGCCGAGGTCAATGCCTATGACGCAGGCACCGAATACGAGACGGCAGTATCCGCAGCATGCTACGGCTCGTCCAACTCTTTGAAGTTGCTCCTTGATTACGGCGGATTTGTGAGTTCACAAGCCGGCGATTGGGGATCGGCGCTCCAAGTCGCAGCTTATTACGAGGAGAAAGGTTCGATGGCACTGCTTCTTGAAAGGGGTGCGGATGTAAACTCTCACCAAGGAAGATACGGGACAGCCTTGCAAATAGCCTCACGGTGTGGTCGCAGAGACATGGTAACGATGCTACTCGAAAGGGGAGCCGACGTCAACATGACATGCGGTGGAGTAGGGTCTGCCCTTCAAGTAGTCTGCGGCGACGGAGGACACGGCGATCTCGCAGAGTTGCTCTTGAAACACAACGCCGACGTTAACCTCCAGAGTGGCTATTACGAGACAGCGCTCATCGCAGCGTCTGCTAAGGGCCATGGGGAAATGGTGGCATTGTTGCTCAAGCATGAAGCAGATGTGGATATCTGCAGCGACGTCCACGGAACAGCCCTCACCGCAGCAATCACAGGATGCCACCTCGATATTGCGAAGACGCTACTCGAAAACAACGCTGATGCGGACATTCAAGGTAACATGGCGGGTACTGCTTTACACGCAGCGGTTTCCGAGAATTTCGTTGCTACCGCCAAATTACTGATTGATCACGGCGCCGACGTCACCATACAGAGAGGATATGATGATGCTACGGCACTCAGCTTGGCGGTTTCCTTGGGCCACCTCGATATGGCCAAATTGCTACTTTGTCATGGTGCGGACCCAAACATTGACTTGCCATTGTTTGAAGCGATCAAATATGAGTATCATGACATTGTAGAGGTACTACTTGAACATGGTGCCAGAACAGACCTCCCATCACGGGATCATCAGAATGCGTTTGAAGCAGCGTTGAAGGTTGGAAATGACCGAAGTATTAGACTGCTGGAAGAGAAAGACTCCGAGATGCCTCACAGGTGAAAACGATTGGAATGGGAGTTTCATTGTGTTCCAGACTGTTTAGTTCTTCACTACATACTATTAACAATGATTCGGCCTCCGGCAATTCACCCTCTGTCATCAATGCTTTGAATACGCTCCCTTCGGCTATGCTTGTCGTAGTTGTTGTCCCCGTTATCTTCCTCAGTGCTCAAGATCCTTCTTGTCGTTCTCGTCATCCTGAGCTTCGTCCCAGTTGTCATGTTTACATAAACCATGCTCATTCAATGATGCAGTTGACATTCCGAGACGAGTACGCATTTTCTGAGGTATAAGGGCCTCCCTAAGTAGGGATAGCCTAGCCTATCTATAAGGTCCCATCCTTCTTAAGGTTCTTAGCTACTACCTTAAGTAGGGCTAAATTCTACAGTAGCTCTATAGTAGCCTAAACGCTTACTAAGAAACTTTATAAATACTAAGTATTAAATATATACTTATAAGGTATAGTGAGATATTGATAATTAGATTATAAGGGTAGCTATACTATATTGCGCAGTATCTTGCAATTGTACGCATTTTCTGCCGCATGGAGGAATTCCCGAGTTTAGCACATGACAATCTAGCATCATATGGAGAAATGCTTTGTACTGGCTCTCGCCAACACGAAATTGGGAAGGGTTTTGTTTGAACTGCGCTTCATTCTCTGAAGAATTGGGCAACGAACAACGCTGGCTGCGAATGGCGTCAGGCTCTGCCAGAATCAAATCCTTGTGTGCGATGACGACAGACCCCCTGCAACTCCCACGATCCTGAACCAACAATCATCGACTACAAAAGTACCATCTTCAGCAGTATCAAGGTCAGAACGGAGTTCTACCCACCTGATATCCCGTAGACCCGAATATCTATGCCTGAAATGGCGGCCCACGCAGGATCAGAGGCGAAGCGACTGCACGGGTTCATCCCCGCGTATCAATGGCTTCGCTAGTATCTGCGGCTGATAATCCAGGCCTCTTACTGGTTCCTGTTGCCGTGGAAGATGGTGTGCTGGCGTTGATTCTGTTTGGAGGTCCATTTGGTAGCATACGATACCTGCTCAGCCTGATCTTGGAGTGTGAGGCGTTGCACTACCACTTAGCCGCCGTCTTAAACACGTTTCTACGGTTGTCCGCACAAGTGAAACCTTCTCTTCTCCCCTTTTCTTTTGTGTCTGTCATCATACCTTTCCACACCGCTGCGGCTGACGGCAGCATCTCTGGCATGATGCCCTTTCCACGCATCATCCTGTTATGCATACTTTTGACAAAGAGCCACGCTCTGATCCAATGGGAGAACCCGCCGCCGGCAAACTACCCCGAGCCGAATCAAGTCTACACCGAGGGACAGGACATAGAACTACGATGGAGCACGAGCTTCGCGACAGTGGATATCTCTGTCACCCAAGGAACGAGCGCGAACGATCCGGCTGGGTACATCTTCAGTAAGAGCAACCTACCATACCGAAGACAGCCTGGTCTTTGCTCACAAGCATGCTACGCGACCCGCAGAAGGCGTGACCTCGCCCAAAACGTGGAAAGTCAACTTCGCCCAGATGGCATCGTTTCTCGATAGGAGCCTGACGGAAGTGTACTACTTCCGGATGTACGAAGCCGGCGCGGGCGGCCTGGATTTCGAGACGTCTCACTACTTCAACCTTACCGCGGCCGCGACTTCCGCGACGTCGACGCCCGCCTCTTCGCCGACGAGTTCACCTTCGTCCACCCCGACACCTTCGCCCGATCCAAATACGTTTAGCGGGGGTGCCGTTGCGGGAGTTGCGGTGGGGGCGGTGGCGGGGACCTTAATCATCGGTGGCATCGTCGGTTGGGTGATCTGGAGGCGTAGGCGAAAGGCGAGGTTGACGGCCGAGGTTCCGGTTCAAGGTCAGGATAAGACTCCTCTGGCGGCATCGCATGAGCTGCTTGATCAGAGCAGCCAACGCTTCGAGTTGAGCCATGAACAGCGCTTTGAGTTGAACGACGATGGATCGAGAGGAGCAAGACACGAGATGCCTTAGTTGGATCATGGTCATGAGAGCTAGAATAGTGATACCCTAATGCATAGTCAGAGTGAACATGATGATATCTGAAGCTCAGATGGACTTTGCGAAGGCCAGGCAACTCAGGCCGTCGTGTCCCTTCAGCTCTTTTCTTGCATGACGAACATCAAGATGAACACACGCAGGAATATTAATTGTCGCCCTGTAGAGTCCCTGTTGATATATAATCAAAATCACCCAACACCTGTCCGAACACGTCCCGAAACGCCTTCGTCAAAGAAACTAGACAACACTACGCATCAAGCCTAATCCCTCCTCCATCCAAGTCCTGAATGCAAGTCCAACACCTCTTCTTCTCAAATCAAATCGCCATAGTCATCCTCAAACTCCGAATCATCCATCCCAAGATCAATCCCCCACCGCTTCTGATCCTCCCTCATCTCATGATACATATCCCCGACCCCACCACACTCACACGCACGACTAACCCCATACGTGCACCGATTACACTTCTTACAATGCCACTCCCTCCAGTCCTGACACTCCTTGCAAACCTCGCAATGCCAAGTACACGTCTCCTGCACCCACCTCCCCTCAATCCCCCCCGGCGCCACCCTCCCATAACTGCCCCGGCAGAACGAGAAGTAATACTGCTTACAGCTCCGATCCCTCACCAGCGCGTACCGGAGCAACTTCTCCACGTGCCTCTTCTTCTCCTCCCCCCCCCTCGCGCAGCCCGTGTTTCGTCTCGAGCCACGCCTCCAGCCAGGGGTCGAACTCGAACGCGTCGTCGCGGCGCTGGAGGGCCTCGGCGAGCTTCGGCACGCTGATGGGCTGCTTAGACGTGGATGCGAAGGAGAGGAAGCACGGCTCGGCCTGCATCTGCTCCTTCCCGTCCCACCCGAGGGCCCCGAAGACCTCGTTGAGCTTGTTGGTGCATTTCCCCTTGGCGTCGGCGCAGGTGGCGCACTTGCACGAGGGCCCGCAGCCGAGGCCGTTCTTGACGCAGGCGCAGGAGCCCTTGCAGCCTGTTTTGCAGCCGCATTTCGTGGGGAGCTTTTTGCCGTAGTTTTGGGCCTGGTGGGATGTTAGTCGGTGAACGCGGTAGGTCGTGGAGCTGAGGGGCTTACCTCGGTCACTGGTCTTTCCGAGTTCTTCATCTTCTTTGCTTTCTTCGCGGGGCGGGCGGCGGGGATGTCGAAGGAGTCTGCGTCGGAGCTGGATCCGATCTCGACCGGCGACGACTTGCGTTTTCCGGTTGCTATCGCGGGGATCTGTGGGAGAGAAGTCATTTTGAAAAGCGGTACTTGGTGATCTGTGGTGAATGGCGGTAAAGTTTGATAATCGAAGGTAACTCGACTTGTTTCTTGCGACGTTTTGGATCAGTGAATGGTAAAAGGAGACGTGATTGTCTGCTTCGTCCCCGGATATCAATTGACTTTAATTGACTTTAATTGATCTCCAGACGCGCATCCGCGTCGTGGACGTGTCGACCGAGGCACGGACTTGATTGGAATGCCACAGGGTGCTCCTTGCTTTTTCATGACAGGCATGTCGTATCCGCGGTCTCCGGTGGTCGGGTTGCTTGGAGTAATTGCTTCTTCATCAAGCAAGACACTTAGATGACAGAGAATGGCCGGTATCTCGTACCCATCACAGATGCAAAGCTCCTCGATGCGTGACATGACTCAATTAGAAACATAAACTCATGGTATTAATATGTACATCTCTGAACAAATGAAAGCCGAACCGGATATTACCACCGCATCACCACGTTTTCGTAAATTCAATAACTCAATCAGTAGTCATAGTACCTCGGCTCGTTGAAGACGTGGTACCTATGATCGCGCACGCCCTGGCCCTTGAACATGTCGGGGAACTTCCATCCCTGGGGCACGCTGTGCTCGCTCACGCGCTTGTTCCGCGTCTGGTCGTCCAGGGCCTCGATCTGCAGCAGCTCGTCCTTGGACTTGGGGATGACGAACTTGGCGACCTGCAACTCCGTGTCGGTGATCGTGCTGCGGCTGACGCGGGCGTAGCCGGTGCGCTTGAGGCCCTTGTAGAGGATGTACTCGCACCATCTGTCCCAATCGGTCGGGTCGACGTCGTGCATGCCTGACAATGGGCTGACGTAGGTGTTGTAGTTGCCCTGGAGTGGCTTGGTGACGAGGTAGGAGAGCAGAATCGACGGGTTTTTCGACTCGCCCATGAGTTTGGAGAGGTATTCGGTCTGGAGACGACGATCCTCGGGGTCCTCTTCCTGTCCGGAGTGGAAGACAAAAACGTCGACTTCTTGGCCGTAGACGTCAAGAGTGGCGGAGATGGCTGGGGCAAGCTCGCCGACAGGGCTGGGAAGGAGATGGTGAGTGGACTTGAGAATGGGGAACTTGGAGAGAAGAGCGGATCCCCAGGTGTGCTTGTTCGGGCCCGGGCCGTAATCGACGTACATGCCGAGGTCTTCGGCGAGGAATTGGGTCGTGTCGCGGTTGCCCATGATAATGCGCTGGAGATCAGACTCAAGAAGACCAATGACATCAATCTCGAGCTCCTTGATGAGGTCGCGCATGCGATACTCGGAGGACCACATGTCGTTGTCGAGAGAGAAGTGGATTGTCCAGATACCGGCGGTGAGAATGCGGTCTTCGGGGTGGTAGGGCTTGTAGTCGTTGGTAGGGAAGCGCATGAAAGCCGCAGCGAGGAAGATGATGTTGACGACAAAAGCGGCGATGGTGTTGTACTTCTTATGTTGAGAGGCAGACGCGCGGCGAGCAGGCGGGCGACGGGCCCGCGAAGAGGTGAGGTCGAAGACGCCGGCGCCAATGAGGAGGAAGGTGGTGATCATGACCCAGTCAGTGTGCTCGCGGACGAGAGGGCCGCCGGGAACAAAAGCGTAGGCGACGACCCAGACGTGGAACAGGACCATGATGTTGTAGATGAAGAAGCCTAGACCAAAAGTAGTTCCGGGGCTTCTCCTGGCCGCGTTGGAAAGGAAGGGTACGGAGAGACCCATGAGGTAGAAAGCAGTCGTGAGAGCGCCGTAGTAACCGAACCAGTGGTGGTATGAGGTGAGGATCGAGGCACCAATGCAACCAACGCCATACGCAGACCATGAGCTCATCATACCAGGGCGGTAAAGACCAACCAGCAAACCGGCAGTCATCGCAATGATGGTCATCCATCCGTAAGTGTTGGATGTAGGTCCACGAATCGGGTATCCATCCCAGACCCAGAGAATCATGGTGCTCGTATCAGAGAGTAGAGAGTGGATGCCGAAGAACAGACCACCGACACCGAACGCAGCCAGAAGCGAAGAACCGCCCTTCTTGGAATCCTCTGGGTAGTCACCAGAAGTCAAAGGTGCCTTTCGAGTAAACCTCAAGCAAGCAATAACGGCGATGGCGAAGCCGGTGAAGTTCCAACCTCCATTGGCGGCGTGCATGACGGGCCAAAGAGGATTGTTGGTCCACCAAATGAACTTGGCTGTAGAAGAGAGAATCAAGCCAATGGTCCATGCCATGATCTTAGACTCAAGACGGGCCTGGTGAGCTCTCTCAGAGTGCCATGTGGCTGTCCAGCCAAGGCAAGAGGTAGCGACTGCGAATCCAACTGTAAACAACCGGCGCGCAGGGTCGAGAACCAGGTACGCCAAAAGTCCAACCAGGGAAATCAGGTGAACGATGCGCTGGTTGTTGACAACGAAAGACCGCACGGCGCGGATTCCCAGAATGACGGGCAGCATGGTAGACATGACGAAGGCCTCATAGCCAGAGATGCCCATGTGCCACAAGGGAAAGTACCACACCAAAACTCCCAGACTAGTCAGCATGGACCAGAAGATGAAGCCGTGGTAAACATCGGCGGCGGTGTCGAGGGCCTCGGTCCAGGTGAAGCGGGCGCTGAGAACGCCGGCGGATGCCTTTTCCTTCCTGGGGGCAGGTTAGTTTTGGCCGCGCAACGCAGGGATGGGGGAACCTACTCCTTCTCAAGGACGGCAGAAGGTACAGACGAGCGGTTTTCACTGCGACGAGCCTTAGAACGATTCCTTGAACTGGATTTATTTCTCTGGTCTGCTGTACTGGTATGTACAAGAAAGACTATTTCGGGAGCCATTGGACGTACCCCTTGCTGGCACCCTTGACATCCCTGATCACGACCTCGAAGGTGTTGAAGTCGAGAGCCGTCACGGCGTCAAAGGCAACGTCGAAGAGGATGAGGGCCCATTCGAAGAAGGCGTAGATCGTGTAAGCTGTCTGCGGTTAGCCATGGGGCGTTTGCGACTGGGGTTTACAGGGAAGCCCACCTCCGGCGACACGGTGCACCTTGTGCTGGATGAAGAAGTAGATCAGAGGCACGAGGGTACCGAAGAAGGAGCTGGCAATCCACTTGCGATACTTGATGGCCTGGGGGTTCGGCGGACTCAGCGTGACGCAGCCAATAGTCCAAGGGAGAGAGGCGACGATGTACGAGATCATGAAGATGTCGTGCCAGTCGTGGTCGTCGGTCGAGGTAACATAGGTGAAGCCGCCGCACATCAAGGTGCGCAGGATGCCCATCGCGAAGGTGAACTTGGGAAGCGCTTGGCCAGGTCGTCTCGTCAAGAGATACCACAGACCAACGAGGGCGAAGCGCGGGCCGGAGGTGATTGCGATGAAGAGCATGAAGAACGATCGTTCGGGGTACCGGTCGCCAATCGTCGCGGAGACGGAGGGGAACCACTCGTCCGGGTATCCGTACCACTCATTCTGAACGATCTTGTGGTAGTGAAGGGAGACGCCGACGATGAATGCGCTAATGAAGGCAGCTGTTCGCGGTGTCTCGTCAGCTTTCCGAGGTTCTCGTGGTGGCGCGATCGAGGGAGGCAGCAGAAAGGCCACCCCGCAAAACCCATGACGATGACCTCAATCGCAGGCGCAATGGTCCGACTTACTGTATGCGATGGCAGTATGCGACCAGCTAACCCACTGGCCATTGAAGGTCAGCACGACGCCGCCGTCCTTGTCCTTGTATCTCGACGACATCCTCAGAGACTGCTCAAGCAAAACAAAGGGAAGAGAAGCTCATCCGGGAGGTCCGGAACAGGTTGACGAGCGAGAGAGATGGAGGGGAAGAAGGGAAAGAAGGAATCAGAGCGGGCGGGAATAAGTGGGAGGGCAGGGAGGACTTGGACAATGTGAACTGTGTATCCGTAAGCAGCGCAAACGCCAATACCCCAGCCAGGTTGCAGTTTGCAGGTTGCAGCAGCGTGTGCCTCGGCGGCCCGGATCGCGTGTTTAGGTTCGTTTGTGTTGATTTCGGCATGCAAAGAGCAGTGAGTGCGACATTGCGGGCAAACCACCACCACCAACAGCTCTCACAGCAGAGGGGAGACCAGCGGCCCCCCGGGGCATTCGGGCGTCACAGTGGAGCTTGGAGCTGGGCTGCAGGGAAGATGATGACAGAAACGAGCGAGGGAACCCACTGAAGCTTCCGTTCAGTGTTGATTTTGGTTGACAGGGGATGCTTGATTTGAGCCAATGAGACGAGGTTTTGGGGCTTAGCGCCGTGCGGGAGCTTGGCGCAAGGCTGAAGGATCCCAGCAGCGAATCACGCCACATCTTGAAGCTCTTGGGGATCCATAATTTAAATTTGCCCCACTCGTTTGATGGATCCGTGCTCAGCCTCGCAACTTTTTTTTTTCTTCGCAAGCATTGCAGATCTCGATCTCGCGATCTTCTCACAAAGAGGCCGTCCGTCCGCACCACACCAACACAACCGCGAAAATGGCCGTCGCAGAAAAGGCTCGCTTCTACTTGGAGCGCTCCGTCCCCCAATTGCGCGAATGGGAGGAAAAGGAAATCTTCACCAAGGCAAGTCTCCTACTTTTCTCTCACATGCGATCAAGAACTATGGTCTAACATTTTTCTCCCAGGACGAAATCCGCACCATCGTCCAGAAGCGCAGCGACTTTGAACACCGCATCCTCGCCCCCCGTTCCAATCCCGATGACTTCTCTTCCTACGCGAAATGGGAAAAGTCCCTCGATGCCCTGCGCCAAAAGCGCTGCAAGCGCATGAAGATCGGCCACGTGACGTCCCAGCACGCCTCGCAAGGCCGCGTCCTCGCCATCTACGAACGCGCCATTAGCAGACACCCCGGCCGGAAAGACCTGTGGCTCGAGTACCTCGGATACACGGAGGAGGTCAAGGCCTCGAAGCGCTGGAGGAGAGTCATGGCCGCCGCTCTGAGAATGATGCCCACCGATGCCGAGATGTGGATCCACGCCGGCCGACGCTCGGCGAAGAATGGCGATATGGGCGGTGCGAGAGGCTACTTCATGCGCGGATGCCGGTTCTGCACGACCGAGGGAACGCTGTGGATCGAGTATGCGAGGTGCGAGATGGACTGGTTGGCCAGGATGGAGGCGAAGAAGGGTAGCGGGAAGAAGAAGGACGCCAACCCCCTGGCTGGCGAAAAGATGGAAGACGACGATGAGATCCGCTTCGATGATGACGAGGATGAGGATGGCGAAGAGGGCTTCAAGCTGCCGACGCCGGGCGCCGAGAAGAAGAAGGCACTCGACGACAAGGATGCGACGGCCCTGAAGAACAACCCCGCCATGGACGGTGCCATACCCATGGCTATCTTCGACATCTCGCGGAAACAACCGTTCTTCAACCCCGAAGTCGCAGAGAGGTTTTTCGACATGTTCGCCACCTTCACCAAGGTCTCCTCCCACGGAAAGATCATCCAGCACGTCGTCGATGTCATGCAAGAGATGGACGCCGCGCACCCGGCGACATGGAACTGCTATGTCCGCCTGCCGTTGGTGGGTGTCAGCTCCGATACGGCCGCGTTTGCCCTTGGACTCAGAGAGGTTCTGTCGAGGTTGGGCAAGGGTTTGGATGAGACTTCGGACAAGGAGACGCTGCAGAAGAAGAGTCTGGTATGGATCGAGCTGGTCCTCCTGTTCAAGAATCTGGACGAGGGCATCAAGGCTGTGTTGGAGCATACCAAGGGCAAACTGCAGTCATAGCTGCTGGCGGAACGTGGGTAATAATATACAAAAAGTGGAATGGGAAAAGCGGCGCTCGAATTGCGCATTTGACAGGAATAGAAATGACTTCGGATGGGACTTCGACCGGTGCCCAAGCCTTTGATACCACTTGAAGAGCCAGTCCATCGATCCGAATAGCATACTTCGTGGGTCTGAAAAGTCTTGCCGCAGCATTTCACTGACGCGTCTTTGTCTACGGCCTCTCGCTTCAGGCGAACTTCATGCCGCCGAGTAATTTGGGAACTTCTTCCCCTCCTCGACCGCCTTGTCCCACTCGTTATCCTCGTCAAGCTCTTTCGCCATGCGAATGACCTCTTCCCACTCCTGTTTCGTAACTTTGTTAACGCTGAGACGACCCAACTTGAGGAGCTGCATGTTTTGCAGAGGACCCTTGGGTCCGACTTCCTTCAAAAGGCTCAGCGGCACAATACGAGGGAACTTGTGCTCAATCTTGACATGGACGAGACTCCATTTGCTTCCGTCGTGAGGAGCGCTGTCGTCATAGTACGGGTTATCGTTGATGCAAGCGTTCCCTAGTAAAGTCAGCTCGAGATTCGTCGAAGAGTGGATACGGGTCTCTCACAGTCCGGCGAATGTTCCTTGACGATGCTCATGATACCAACGATCCCGGGTTCTTTGCAGTTGGAATGGTAGAAGAAAGCTTTGTCGCCTTTACGCATATCACGCATGTTGTTACGTGCAGCGTAATTCCGAATGCCCTCCCAGCCCTCCGGCTTCTTCTTGGCGGCCAAGTCATCGATAGAGAACTTGATCTCGTACCCGTCCTCGATGCGCACGTCTGGCTCGGACTTCATGAGCCAGTATCGTGTCTCTGGCGGATCCCGGCGCTCAGCATCGGGATTGATGTCCGGGACGGAAGCGGAAGCGTCGCGGAGGGCCTTCAGCTCATCCTTGGACTTTCTCGCCGGCGCCTCCTTCTTTCCGGCCGCAGGTTTCTGTAGATGAGGTCAGCTAGCCAGGTCTTTGACTGATCTAGTTCATATTCCTCTCACTTTAGCCTTCTTTGCCGCAGGCTTCTCCGGCTTCTCCTCGACCTTGGGCTCTGGCTCAGGTTCGGTCTGGGCGTCGACTGCTTTTCTCTTACGGCTCGCAGCAGTGGACTTCTCTGGTTTTTCTACCGGGGTTTTCTTATCGGCGGCCTTCTTAGACTGCGACTTGGGGGTGGCCTTCGGCTTCTCGGAGACCGCCGTCTTCTTCTCATCCGACGTCGCGGCGCTCAGTCGCGTAGACGACCTGCGGGTAGCAACCATTGTGATACTTTCCCGGAACAAATGGGTACGGAAGTTGGCCAACTTGATTTCTGCGCGTTCAATGCTAAAATGAATAGAAAGAGAATGAGTCCGTAAGAACACGAGGAAAACTGGGCGCGATGCCGGGATCAACCACATGAAGCTCGTGGTGACGCGAAGTTGCACTGAGCGCACAGTGTCGGCGGACCTGAGCTTCCCCGGACGCACGGCCCCGGTGTTCTCGGATGGATGACATAATCAGACCTGTTCTCACAGGGGACTCCCTTCAAGTTTCACCTCTCGTCAACTTCTCATATTCAATTCATCTCGATATCTTTTCAATTCTCACCAGAACGTCTACAATGGCAATGCCGTCAACCTCACATAACAATCATGCGGCTCCCTCGTCAGTTTATCATACGCCCCCGCGGTGTTGAGGTGAGCCGGGAGCTCCTCAAGTCGGAAACTCCACAACACCAACACAACCATCATCCGGAACTGCACATACGCCAGCTTTCTCCCGTAACAACTTCTAGGACCCATACTGAAGATCATATTCCGTCCGCGACTCGCATCAAAGACATCTCTCGTCCCGTCCTCAGACTTGACCAGCCATCTCTCCGGCACGTACGCCGCCGTATCGAACTCCGACTCGTCACCCATGGTCTTGCCTGCCGGTCCCTTGGCCGTTGCAACCGCCGCCCGCGCGGCCGGCGTCCGCAGCTTCTCGTCGACGTGGAACCCGGACTGGGTGTAACTCGCCTGGTTCCACACCTGGAAGACGACGGTCCCCTTTGGGATGCGGTATCCCAGGATCTGCGTGTCCTGCGTCGCGCTGCGCACGCACATCGGCGCCGTGAGCGATACGCGTAACAGCTCCTCGATGCTGGCTTCCAAGTACGGACACCGCATCTGCATGATCTCCTGCGGCGTCGGCACGCGCTTTTCAGCGACAGCTGCGGGGAGGGCTTCTCGCAAGCTGTCGCGCAGTTTGGTCTGCTGGTCCTGGTGGCGCGCCAGAGTTTTGATGGCCCATTGGTTGGAGTTGGAGGTCGACTCGTGGCCACCGAGAGTGAAGCCGTAAAGCTACGTTCCGGCGTCAGCGCTGGTGGGTTCTTGAGATTATCTTGGACTTACCTCGTCGTAGAACATTCGCGAATGGAAGGCCGCCGGTCGATGCTCTTTCGCTGCCTGGGTGCTCTCTCTGCGTACCATCTCATCCACGGCGCACCGGATGGCGTGTTCCCCTGACGCCGACTGCACCCTGGCCGTGGATAAGTCCACCTGTCGCCGGAGCAAGTCCTCCTTGAGCCAGATCGCTCTCCTCATTGCCTTCTTCTGGCGCACGACCCAATGCGCGGCCACCGGGAACAACGACTTCATCGCCGTCTCCAGACTATCTGACAACTTCAGCAAAGCCTCGATGACGGGGTTAGGCGGCGCATGCGGGAACACCACAGGCTTGTCGCTCCCATCTTTGCCGGTCTCCTCAGATGGCAAGGACGGCACTGATGAGAGGAAGTCCACGTCAGGTTGAGTCGCACTCGTGCCTTCCATGCCAGGACCAAACGTGAAGCCCAGAACAGCATCCAGCGCGCAGTGACTGATGTCCTTCAGCGCCCAGAACGGACGGCCTCTCGCAAGCCGAGCCTTCTCCTTCCACAGAGCCGTCATCCGCATCGTGCTCTCATGAAGAAGGGGCGCGGCGACCTTGTTGAGGAAGCTGGGTGTGAGGATATCCCCAATAAGCCGCTTCCGACTCTTGTACTCATCGTTCGTCCTCCACCTGCTGTGGTGCTCCGGAATAACCCCGGCCAGCACGTCCGCGGTGAACTCGGAACGGTCAAACTCCTTCCCCCTCCTCATCAATATGTCCTGCGTCTCGTAGAAGTCCGTGATGATGACCCACGGCTTGCTGAACGGCCGCCCAAAGACCTGGACGATCGGAGACCGGTGCTTGATGTTCTGCGCCCCGAGCCAGTCGTACATCTCCCCCGTCTTCTGCGCGTGGCCGACCATCTCCGGCATGTCGCCCAGGAGCGACTCCGCCGCGGCCTTGTTGTATGGGATGCCGGGGATGGGTCGCGGGAGGAGGGCGCGGTAGAGCAGCCACAGCGCGAGGGCGCCGACCACCGCCGTTACGGGCAGGGTAGTCGTTCTGGTGAGCGCGAATTCGGACATAGCTGCAACTCTGTTTATGACGTTTTGTGCACTTCTTTTTCTCGATCCAAGTGGTGTGAAAGGGGTTGGAAACAGCGCCGAGTCTAGAACATATAGTTTGAGCGCAGAAAACGCCAACATCGGGCATGTGAAGACGGGAGAATGGCTGACCAAGATGCACGCGAAGACACCATTTCATCTCACAACGCTCTGGATGAGGATATGTTGCCGCCGTAGGGCTGCATTAACTCCACGCTCATCCCATTTCCGGCACTCGCTTGCCTTCCCAAGAGAAGCCAACGTCCGCGGGAGCTCGAGATGTTGCGGCTCTTCCACGCAGTCCGAACGGAGCCCTCGTCGGCACCGGCCTCCCACGCCGCCTCGGGTTCACACTCGGCTCCAAGCTCCCTTCGCTCTCAACGCTGGCCGAATCGAGCTACGCGGGTTTCGCGTTCTTCATCCGGCCTCGTCCGGACAACATCTCATGTCAGACGTGGAGGGTTGGGGCACCAGAGTCGTCCATATTCTCGGAGGAGCCAGCCGGCCGGAGTCCCCTCAATCGTCCGGACGGCCCCGGAGACAGACTTGGAAATCTCGCGTGTGACTTTGGGACTGAACGAAACAAACGTTCAAACGAAACAAGCACCGAGTTGACGACCCTTTGTGAAACTGACACTGATCGCTTTGACCTCTCATCTCAGTTGAGCCAAAAGGAGAAACAGCCAGTTAACGCTGATAGGATTCGAACCCATCTCTGCCCATAAGGGACCGCCAGCAATCTCAACGTGTTAGAGCCAAATGACTTAGGCGAGGTGTTTAGTTTCAGCCTGATCTTCCCACGTCGTGTCAGATCTGTCACTTGTTTGTCACTCCTTACGCCGTATTCACCAACTGGTTCGAGCTTTCTCTTTCGCACAGACTCGGCGGCCCTTCCACCTTCTGCGAAGGGAAGGCACGAACGAATCTTGAAGAAAGTGATGGTTTGGTTCAGTCTATTGTTGATGTGGTTGTCTGTCAATGGTGGTGTGAAGACTTGCAACGGGTCATTGGTTCGGTAGCTTTGGCCTTTTCTTACTCAAGTCAACAAGATTTCCCGGAAACAAAGTTTGGACTCTTTTGTATCAATAATTATTGTTCTCTACCATTTTGGAGGGTTTGACGATACCAGGGGTCAACAATTCGGAAAAGGTTAAGAACTTCTTGGCTTTTTAAGCTTAACTAACCAAAGATGCAATTAATCTAGCAAATGACGCTGTTGCCACGCCGCAGGCCCAACAAGCTTGCCATCGGGATTCCGCTCATTACCCGCCGAAAAAGTCATGGTGTTATAGTACATTGTGACGTAAGGTCCCTCCTTGTTGAACGACAAGCCGACGTACGAGTGTCTCCCAATAGTGTTGGAGAAGTCCTGAGTTGGGCTGTCAACGAGGAAGATGTTTTGTTAGCTTTTGATATCAAGCAATGAGATGTTAACATGAGGGAATACTCACAATGCCTTTTGCACCGCCTCGACGTATGTGTCCGCGAGATGCGTAAACCCGCAAGCTCTGAAGAAGTTGCTGAGCGACTGCGCAATGCGCAAATCCGTTCCGCCGTAGTGTCGCACCGGGATGTACACCTTCGGCAGCGGCTCACGTCGATCGTGCATGATCTCCATGTTGAAGATGATACCCGCCGTTCTGTGCGTGCTCCTCGGGAGATCCTCCTCGGGAGCCGTGAGTCCCAAGACGTGCATGTAAAACGAGCGGATGAGCTCCAGGCCGCCTTCGATCTCGGGGCCCTTGAGGGAGCCCCCGAGAGAGTAGACCTCTTCTACACGCGCGAGACACGTCTCCTTCATGCGCAAGTAGAGCTTGAAGCGCGCGTCTGTGGGTTTGATTGCGTCGAAGGCAATGAGCTCCAGGCGGAGGATGTTGATGTTGTCACGTTCGTGCTTGTACTTGTAGACGAAGTCACGGACGTAGTCGAATGATGGCATCAGGTTCAGAGGCAGCTGAGAGATGACGTCTGTGATGAGCTCGCCGGCGTAGTTGTTTGTGAGCAGGGTGATGGGGATAGGGTAGAAGTAGACCTTCGGTGCTGGGTGATCACCTTCGAGATCAAAAGAAATGGTGTTCGTTGTCATATGTTCATTGGGTGCCATCTTCGACACGATGGTGTTGGCGTGTTTTGCTTCGACGTGAAGGTGCTTCTTGAAGAACTCCCACAACTCAGCATCGACGTCGCCCTTGCCATAGCGCAGCAGGCGCGACATGACGACCTCGGGCTCATCCTGATTAAAGGGATCTTTCGAGGTTCCAGCAAAAGGTCCGATGGGCTCGGAGCCGACGCGGATCTTGGACCTTGTCAGCCCTACGTTCCAGCTGAGCTCCGCGGGCGAGAAGTCGTCGGAGCAGAAGCTGTCAAAGTGAGGCAGGCGAGCGCCGGCCTTGTTGGTGTTTGGACGAGGGCCCAGCGACGAGACGACGAACCGGTTCACGAAGTCGGCGTACTGTTCTTGGTCCTCGACAGAATAGCCAGCACTCTGCATGAGGGAGTAGAGGGGATGAGAGATCTCGTCCCACCAGAACTGGGAGTTCTCCTCGCTCTGGGCTGAGCCGGGGCTGAGGGTTGCGCTGACCATGATGCCTGGCTGGGGTTCGGGTCGGGTTCTTTTTGCCAAAAGCGTAGGCTGTCGGGTTTTGAATCAACGAAAAGGGGAGAGAAAACAGCGATGAACTCGGGATGAAATAATTAAGATGCACAACGAACCAAGATGACGGTGATGAGTCGGGCTTATATATCAAAGGGACTTCGAACGAGGACTTCAAACAAGACTCGAGTCACTCAATCATCTCTATTTCGCGGATCACTCAATAAGGCTGAAGCGGACGATGTTTAACGAGATGTTACGGACTCCCGTTCGACACAGACAATTTTTGCATCTCTTCAACAACAATCCTCGACGACTTTTACGCAACGTTTAGCTTTCAGTCCGGGACCTCGCCGACTCGGCCGTGGCAACTGAATCCTTCCCAGCTCACAAATTCTGCCCAGCTTTCTCAAGTTCTGCCCAAATTGGCTTTGTTTTGCAAAAATACGTAACTGCATGACACTTGACAGAGGCCTTGTCAAACGAAGCAGATGCTAAGCGACTCGAACCGTCGGACAACACCGCGTTTAGCAATTCGAATCCGAGGTTCACGCGTTGATAGGAGCCTCAGCCCTTCAGGGCCCGGCGCAACGGAGCTCGGGCCTCGAGAATGTCGGTCCCATCCATCATCCGGTCTGAATCCGGGTGTCGGATCAACCGGATACGATCACGAAGGTTTTTGCTAGGAGGCCGACGACCAGCCTTCGGACCTCGGGGAAGGACCCGAGGTCGTCCGTCTTGTCCTTTTTTACCCCTTCAATGTCCGTCAACCGCCATCTGAAGAGTTGAAGGCTGCCTCAGACCTGGCACTGAGAACTCGCTATCCGTCACTTATTGAAGAAGGCGTGACCGAAACGCCGGTAAAGTCTGTGGACAGACGTCTTGCTGGACAGTGCTGGCTGACGGACACTTGCCAGGCGCGATCGCTTTCGCTTTCTTATTATAGGGTGTGCCACATGTGAAAGAGCTAAGAAGATCATAGCTCCTTGAAAGTAAACAACATCTTGTTATTGTGCCTCCTTCTTCTTCTAGTTCACTCCATACCGCTTTCGCAACTTCAATCTGGATATTGTAGCACAAGTCGTTTTGAACATGGATTCTACAGTTGTACCTTTACACTTGCCACCTCAATTGGCTGGTCTACTGAGCAACCCGCAGGCTCTCGCCATAGTGATAGCTCTGGCTGTGGTGGTTCCGGTTATCATCAACCGTATCACGTCGGACCGGTCCATACCAAAGATTACCAGCTCGAAGACATGGTTCGCGAGCAGGGACGACTTTGCAGCCCATGGCGTTGAGATTATCGAGAAGGGATACAATCAGGTGAAAAGTGGTGTTTTCAAGGTCACAGCCTTGGATGGTGAGGATACCCGTATTGGTCCTTCATCGGGCGGATGGGCTGATGCGATATATGAAGGCTCCGATTTAGTTCTGCTGGCGCCCGAACACTGGCTGGCGATTTGCAAGAAGAAGGATGAGGAGGTCGCTCCAGCGCGCAAGGAAGTTCGTTATCTTCCTTTTCGTACGTGGAAACACGCATGGCTAACAGGTTCAAGTTCTTCCTATGCGACTTGCATGGTGCCCCTTTTGAGGAGCCTTACCTCTACAAGTATCTTGCTGCTCGTATGCCGGGTTTTGGTATGGACTCTCGGTGCTCCAAGATACGTCATTTTGCTGACAGTCTGTCTTTGCGCTGAAGACAAACACCTGGATGTAATTTCACAGGCATTAGACGAAGGCATTGCTCAGGTCATGGACTTCGATTATTCGAAGGGAGGTGAGCTTCAAAGTCGCCATACACCCATTTTCTTAAGGTTGACTGACATTGTTTGTACAGCATCCAAGCCTGTCATTATGCAGCCGCAGATCTTACACGTGTACTCACACGTTATTTGGAGAGTCATCCTTGGCGACAGCTTCAGCCCTGAGGTGGTCGACATCTTTGAGAAGTATTCAGCGACACTGATACCCGTAATGAAGGCTCTCAAGGCGCAGAGACCCATAATGGCACGCATCACGGCCGCCTTCTCGAAAGACGTGCGCAAAGTCAACGATCAGCTAGAGCGGGCAACCGCATTCTTCACACCCCTCATGAAGGCATGTGCCGACGCCTTTGACCAGGGGCTGGAGACTAGTTCGATCAACAACGACTGGTTCGAGGAGCTCATCCGAATGGCACCGGATGATAAGCGTCGGGACTACAAGTACCTCACCAATGTCTTGATTGGTTTTGCCTTCACGTTTGTGTTCTCACCGGGGCCCTCGACGACTCAAGTTGTGTATGAGTTTGCGTTCCGCCCCGACTACGTCGACCTCGTTCTCAAGGAGGCAAATGATGAACTCGGGCAGCGCGTGGATGACTGGGTCTTCACGAAGGATAGTCTGCGCAGGCTGTCGCTTCTGGACAGCTTTTGCAAGGAGACTCATAAACACCACCCTACTGCAGCATGTAAGTCACATTTCCTCGGCCGATTGAAAGTCAAGTTCGGTTTGCTGACTGTAGAGGGTCGCAGCAAACCTCATGAAAAAGATCCACAAGACCCAGACTCTACCCAACGGAGTTGTCCTTCCCGCGGGCACCGTGTTCGAGGTGGTCATGACAGCGGCCCATCTATCAAATCCGAGCCTCGAGAACGCGGCTGAGTGGAACGGGCATCGCTATCATGAGCTCCGACAGAAGATGTCGACCCCCATCGGCGGTAACAAGTATGACTGGGGCGCTGCGACAAGAGACGATGTCAACTTTGGCTACGCCTCACACATGTGCCCAGGCCGCTGGGCTGGGTGCTCTATTGCCAAGATGTTCCTCATCAAGCTTCTCGCCCGCTATCAGATCAGCCCGGAGGAGGGTGTGAGTGAGCGATACCAAGACTTTCATTCGGGTCAATATGTGAGTAACCCAGCGATACGTCTGTTTGGTTGATGCACTTCCCGTGCTCGAAGCTGCGTTTCTGACGCGATCTCACCAGATTCTTCCGAACCCCACGAAGCATATTCTTATTCGGCCGAGGAAATGATGATAAGATGGAATCAAAATGTTTTTCATGATCCAATGACATGTGAGCTTGAGGTTTGGAAGGCATGCATGGTCCGGAACATTTGAATGATGTAGCTGAGAGGTCGGGAAAACAACGGTGATAGTAGATGTGCGAGGTCCGACCGGTATGCTGACGTTCAATTTAACGCCTTTTTAAGCTTACCGAACCACTCAAATCATTTCGTGATATGCTATTGGTTTGATTCGGCCTCGTTGGTAATTCTACGTCAGCACGTCAGACTCAGCCCCAATCTCTGGCACCAGAAGCCAAATGCTCCAGGCTGCGCCTAATACTGCGGAATTGACGCGGAAATGGACCAATCCCGTTGACACTTTTCTCATGAGGTATTTGTCAATACTCAAGTTCCGGGCAAACCTCGAAGCAGTGAGCCTGGCGGTGTAACCGTGTTCAGCTGGTGAAGGTCCATTGAAGCTCCAGAGAGTCTGCGAGGTCCTTTCGTCGACAGGGCTTGGGCGCAATAATGTCAGACATCTACAGTGATTAAGAGATTTGGAATGAATCTCACGACTGCTTTCAGATGCTTCATCGAAATTTTGAAGTAGAAATGGAGGACGCGATTTCGTATAAAAGCCATGTCAAGGCCAAGTGAATAATTGACTTGGATCAACAGCTTCATCTCAAGACAGACAGACAGTATCAACAACACCCTTTTAACTCAGTTCTCTCACATCATCAATATATCCAACACTCAAAATGTTTATCAACACTATCTCCATTGCCGCCATGGCCCTCTCCTCTCTTGCCATGGCTGCTCCTCACCACCGCAGAGGCGACAACGACTCTGCCACGGGTCTGAGTTTGACTGCCCAGCTTCAACTTGCGGACACGTAAGTCATGATCCAATAATAATACTCAACTCATCCACTAACACCATTACTTGTTAGTGGTGCTGCTCGGTACAAGCTTCTCCCGAACGACGAGGACTTCGTCTATGACTTCAACACGAGCCAGGTCGCCCTCGCCAACCGCGTGACCTTCCCCGCCGTGACCGGCCTTGGCGGAAGCATGGCAGTTGCCTCGTTGCCTGGTAAGTCACAGGATCGTGCAGTCTTCGGTGTAAGTTTACTAACAATAAGTCTCGAATAGCCTGCGCCATGAGCTTCCTCCACCTTCACCCCCGCGCCTCGGAGTTCCTCGTCGTCACTTCAGGCCGCATCTTGACCGAGATGGTGCCCGAAGCCGGCGTCGTCGGTGCTGACGGCAAACAGCGAGTGATTCGCGCTGATCTGGGCCCCAACCAGATGACCGTCTTCCCTCAAGGATCCTTCCACACCCAGGTCAACCCTGAGTGCGCTCCTGCCTCGGCTGTCGTGTCCTTCTCTTCCGACGAGGGCGGTACCGCCATGGTTGCAGCTCAGACCTTTGCTCTGAGCGACGACGTCATCACGACTTCCTTTGGCGGAAGCATTGCTGGCGAGGACATTGACAAGGTGCGCCAGGCTATTCCCAAGAACCTTGTTCTTAAGGTCGAGTCGTGCTTGAAGAAGTGCGGCCTTGAGAAGCGGGCTGCTTAAGCTGGAGCTCGAAACTATAACTTTGTCTCCAAATATTCGTCACAATCCCCACGCCCCGGAGAGTCAGCTTCAGCAGCCAAGGATGCCGATGATGCTCTCTTCTGTTTTCCTATTCTGTCTCATTTGATTTTGAAATTGAAGCTCAGAACACTCGTTAGAACTTGAAACTCTTCTTCTCCCACTCTTTTGACATAGATTTATGGTTAGATAGCTATCATATAACCCGCATGCCACCAACTCTGAGGATAGCCTCCAGTTGCAATGTGATGTTCTTCCCGAGCCTGCATACATTCAACAGTCTGGTAACCGATCCACCTTTAGGCTGAACCGTTCTGTCAGTAGTAAAGTTGTTTGCGCGATAACAGAGAAGCTCGGCATCTCCAATTCAAATAAGCAGGAGGTTTAAGATTCCAAAATTGAAGAAAACATAGGGTGCCAGGGTGGTCTAACAAAAGGCCTGCGCATACTTGGCAGTTTGTGCAACGGCGACTATGCATGCATATGCATTGGAACCTGAAACAAAAGCCAATGGCAGTCGGCCATGTTGAAAAGCATTACCTTAGCCAATTGCCATTGCGAGTTAGGACGCTAACGCCGTATGATGCTGTCAGCCCACGTTGATATGCATGCTACGGTAAGCATAACATAACTTACACGCAGCCATGTCGCCTCAATTTCCGAACTACACAGACGCCGCCGTTTGACTTGTAGATGCATGTTCGGTTTGCTAAAGTATTGATTGAATTGAATTTACTCGAGGCCTGAAGCTTCTGTTGAATACATTCAATTGCATGTCGTCGTTGTTGATTCCGAGTTCTTGAAGTCAATTCTGCTAACTTACATGTAACTTCGTGGGGGTACCATAGCCGGACACGATGACGTCTAAAGCCGGTAATGTTGCATGCTGTCTCAGCTTGCGGATTGATGAGGGTAAGATACCATAAGAATCGTTGGAAAGTACCACAAGACTGTTGAATTGAGATTTTCAGGACGTAATTGACATCTACAAGGTGTACACCAACTTCGCCCCGCTAACCTTACCCTCTCTAACAAGAGTAAGGCCATGGAGCACACCGGCGAGCCCGTTTCCTCCTTCATTGACAGTCGCCTTGTGCGCTTTGATCTTCCCATCCTCCAGCAGTCTCTCGGTATCCGCCCAGAGCTTCTTGGCAAACTCGAAATCGTCCGGGTTGGCTGGGATCGGCTGAGGACCAAACTGAAAAGCTTCACCAATGGCGGTGTACGCCAGGGTCATCTTCGGCGTAACATTGCTGTTGATTGATGTCACGACCTCAGCCGGCACAAGGCGCAAAGCAGAGTAGATACCTCCTGCCTCTCTGATTGCTTTGACGCTGATTGACGCGGATGGCTCCGTCGAAATACAGTCCAGGACGTGCTGCAAGTTACCGTCGGCGAGCTTTTTGATATCCTCGACGACTGTCTCGGAATGATAATCCAGGAAAACATCTGCACCCAGCTCCTTGAGATAGTCGAAGTTGTGCGGGGAAGCAGTCGTGATCACGTATAGTCCCGATAGCTTTGCGAACTGGATAGCTAAGGCTCCGGTCGCCGTACTTCCCCCGTAAATAAGAATAGGTAGCTTCTCCGACGCTGGCTTGTCAAAGTAAGGCAATCCGAGGCTCTGGTACAAGGCTTGTCCGGCCGTGATAATGCCAACGCCGAGAGTGGCGGCTTGTTCAAAACTGACGTTGTCCGGGATGTGGATTTGGATGTCGCCCTTCACGGTGATGTACTCCGCAAAGGTGCCATCCTCGTGATACACTGCGTTGGAGCCATGGGCGGCGCCGGCCACGCGGTCTCCTTTCTTGAAGGATTTGGTCACTTCGGAACCGACCTCTTCCACAATGCCGGCGTAGTCGCAGCCGACTCGAGCTCCGGGGGAGGCAAGCAGGTCGATATGAAGAACGTCGGTTGGGCTCAATGCGACGGCCACGACCTTGACGATGAGGTAGTCGTCTCGGAGCTTGGGGACTGAAGTTGTGACAATATCGGCTTTGCCGGCGGCCTGAATTACGATGGCGTGGTTGGAAGACATTTTTGATTTCTTGATTACGAAGTTGTTTGGGGGATGATATGCGTTTCAGTAGCTTGAAAGTCTTAGATACTGTAAGTGAAAGCACCATGAGTCTGGTTGAACGTACTTTATATTTGTGTCTTGGCTATGGATATTCTTGACCATCGTGGCCAAAGACATTACAAATGAGTTAACGGCGACATGACCTCCATCCACATCTTAGCACTGAGTTTGTCATGTGGTGAAGATGATGTTGCAAACGGCCTCCCACCGGCATGACCTTCATCCGCCTCTAAACACCAGGGCTTCTGTAGTTGTGATAAGCATGCACGAAGCGGACGGCATTATGTCAAGCGGCCCGTGCGGAGCACCCAGTCCGGGTATGGGCCGAACCTAAGTGACCCACTCCGTTGGGCGCCGGAGCATCTTCAAGCACGGCCCCACTTCCTCATCCTCGGGACGATTATTAAACATGTCCGAGAGTGGGTGCAACAGCCAGGGATTTAGAAACTGTAAATATGAGCTATGCATATCTCTTCATTTCCTGTTCCTTGCAAATCAATGTAAAACCTATACGCGGAAAGGCCAGCGAGCCGAGAGGATCAGTAACCACTGAGATGAGCATCCGCTCGGCGAGATACGACGTTGAAGTGAGCGTGAAATCAGATGTTATGAATTGATAAGCTTCAGTTCGAATATCATAGAATTGCAAGTCATTGAGATACGGTGATAATTCCAAATAAAGCTATGTGAATAACTACTTAAGTAAATATTGGAGTCGATGTTGTTATTCTGGCTGTTGATCTCACTAACATCAGAATCACACGTCCAGAGTCAACAAGTTGCACCAGTACGCCATGGCTCCACCAAACAAGAGAACCATTCTCATCACGGGGTAGGTTGAGAGATACTTCAATCCACGATCCCAAGCCACGTTGTTGACAGTAACTGGGGCAGATGCACTGAAGGAGGCGCCGGAAATGCCCTCGCCCTCGCCTTTTCTGCCGCAGGCTTACGAGTCTTCGCAACTGCTCGTTCACTCAAATCAATGAAAAATCTGCAGAGCAAAGGCATTGAAACTTTCGTTCTCGATGTAACAGATCACAATAGCATCGAGGCGGTGAAGGCAGATATTACCAAGCTGACGGGCGGAACTCTGGACATTCTTTACAACAACGCCGGCGCCTGTAAGTTTCTTCCTAGACCAGAAGGCAATTCCATGTTTTTTGATGCTGAAGTATATTATCTCAGTGTATGAGTCTCCCGCAGTAGAGGCAGACTCTTATCGCGTCCGGAAAATGTTCGATGCCAACGTCTTTGGTCTCTTCGACATGGTGTCAGCTTTCACCCCCCTGCTCCTGGCTTCCGTACCAGGGTCTAGCACCCCGCCTCTTATCGTCAACGTTGCTTCCGTTCTTGCCCGCCTTCCGGGCCCCTTCACGTCCGCGTATAACGCAAGCAAAGCAGCCGTTGCATCATATTCGGACACTCTCCGCCTTGAAGTTGCCCCACTCGGCATCAAAGTCATGACTGTTTACATGGGCGAGGTCTCGACTGCCATCATCCAGGCTAATAACGTCAAGTTTGATCCCGATAGCTTGTATGCCGACTTGGAGTCCAAGGTGCGGGAAAGAAGCAGCAAGCACGAAAAGACCACCATGAAGCCTGAGGAGTTTGCTCGGCAGATCGTGCCTGTGGTTCTCAAGGGCAAGAGTCCTTATGTCTGGAAGGGGACTAATGCCTTCATCGTTTGGCTGCTGAATGCGATTGGGCCAAGGACGGTCTTCGATGGTACTATGAATGGGGAAGCTGGGCTGAACGACCCATCTTTGATTAAAAAGATCTACCACAGGGGCCAGGAGAAAGTCAAGACCGCTTAGGAAGGATGCGTTTTGCAGTGCTTCCAATTCTTTTCAGGAGACAAGACGTATGTTAGTTGAGGCTTAAAGCGATCTTTTAGTATTTCAAAGTGTCTGTAGATCAATTTTCTTTCTAAATTTCTGTAAATATTCATGCCATGTGTATTGGGCCGCGAATGCCATGATGGTCACTCCCGTGGCCCTTTGGACGGTACTAACAGATCTTTAGCCGATAATGTTTCGCTCAAGGAACGCAGCTGTTCATGATACCTTTCACCATCTCCTTGCGTGGATATCCAGATCAACTTTCCACAGCCTGCGGCTTTTGCAACAGATCATACGTCCATTCGGCATAATAGTCCACCCTTGGGAGGGTAGGGGATGAATCCCAATCCCCTATCTCGGCCGTCGTCGGCGGACGTGTGGCACACAAGATGGGAGACCGTTGGACAATGTACATCGCCAGTGCAAGCGGTGTCTAACCTCCTAGAACCTTCATCGGACGACCGAAAGCCAAAAGCTTCCATGATGAACTTTCGGATGCTGCCGAATGTACATATAGATGTATGGCTTCCGCTCATATTGGAAGACAATCTTATGTCAATCTCACGCAACAGACTTCACTGCATCACATTTCCATTCAAGAACACATCTATCCGCCTTAATGATGTCATTGAATATTCCCGTCATAGTCGCTCTAGCAGCTATTGTATATGGTCCGACGCAGTATACCGATGTCTTTTTCGAAAGCCAACTCAGCCAACGTTTCGTTGGGCGCAGCGGCGTCAAGGTGCTTCTCAGCCTCAGTCTTATTCTGGGTGTTGGAAAGTGGCTCAACAACTTCTTCAACAAACTGGCCTTGAATCACTGGCGCCTAAAGGCACATAAAGGCTGGGCCTGGGACAGAGAAATAGCTGTCATTACCGGTGGTTGTGGTGGCATCGGTAGGGAGCTGGTGCTGGGTCTCGTGAAGAAAGGGGTCAAGGTCGCGGTCCTGGACGTTATCCCCCTTCCAGCAGACATGGCGACTGAACGACTGATATTATACGTCGAAACCGACATCACTTCAGCCAAAGCCGTCGCCAATGCAGCTCAGACCATTCGAGATTCCTTCGGAAACCCCACCATCCTCATCAACAACGCCGGCATTGCATCACCGCACACCATCCTTGAGACCCCAGCCGAGTTCCTGCCCAAAATATTCGGCGTCAATACTGTAGCTCTTTGGATCATGACGAAGGAGTTCTTGCCCAGCATGATTGAGCAGAACAAGGGCCAAATCGTTAATATCTCGAGCCTTACGGCGTACATGGCACTCCCGTCGATGGTCGACTACTGCGCGTCAAAAGCTGCATCCTTGACTTTCCACGAAGGCCTCAACTGCGAGCTCAAGACCAAATACAAGGCCGACGGCATTATTACGACGATTGTCCAGCCCAGCTGGGTGAGGACACCAATGTCTCCCCAGAACGCTGATGAGATTGAAAGAAAGCAGGTCAAGATGCTGTCACCCAAGGAGGTTGCCGACCGTACTCTGCAGCAAGTCTTTGCCTGCCGTGGAGGGCAGGTTGTGATGCCGGAAAGTTTGTGGGTTTTTCGTACGTTACAAGGTTGGCCTAATTGGGTACAGGAGTTGGTGAGAGATGCTATGGGTAGGTCGAGTCTGCTGTGAGCATGGCTACGAGGGCGGAATGGTGCTATGCGATCTGGGCAAAGGTATGACAGGCTCTGAAGTTGAAAGTGCGCAGCGGATTCTTGTTTGAGGCACTTGGGGTAATTCATATCAAAATCATTAGCGAAGACAGTTCACAACAAATAGTGAGATCAAGCCAGGAACTAAACTGAGATGAACGCCTGTTTTGCCAGGTTGATGCCGTAGCAAAGTCTTTTTGCATGTTTGTGAACTCTCCTGCGTCATAGATAAGTTCGGGTGGAAGAGCTCAAGAACACAAATGATAAGTACGTAAGGGCATGGCCTTGAAGCCATATGCATGCTCAAGAAGACATGAGTGAATGAGGTCTTGTGAAACTAAGGAGGGTTACGACATGACACCTACAGGTTGAATTTACTTGGATGGTAAGCCCGGTGACACATCACGCCCTCAACCAGGGCTCTACTAATGAAATTTGGAAGGATACAGAACAACATCGGTGGTCTGTGACCTAAGTCGGGTCAAATTCAGCCCGTAGACGGGACAACACCTCACCCGCTTCAGATTAGTGATCTCATCGCAATGATTGCATCATGATGAGATATCAACAGCAATCAGCCGTCGTCTATAAGCCATTGAAATGAATCATTCGGAACTCTAAGAATATCGCGATGACTCAGCTTTGTCCGGCTCGGGGGCCACTTCTAGGGAGAAGCTCTTGTAGCCCTTATCGTCAAGTTGCGGCCAACACTATAAACGTTGCTCCGGGCGGTGGAGAACCAGATTGGACCGGCCTGGACATTAGACCGATTACAGGCACGTTGACCGTGGCATGAGATCCTGGGACGAGGGTGAGATAGTAGATTGACAAGTTCTGCCATCTTTGATTTCCAATCTGGAATTTACTGCGGGACCTTTCGCAGAAAGCTTAGGAAAATAACACATCGATCAAATAAACTGTGATAGGACTTGATAAATGGCTGAAGATGCTCCACGAAAGCCAAGAAATGTTTGAAACCCAATAGCATTTCATCGACAATATGCGGTTTCCGTTCCTCTTTCCCGTTGCGATACTCGTTTCAGCCTGTCGTTCAGTCGCATTCAGTACCTTACCTCACAACATCTCAAGTTCTCTTCAGAAGTTCGATTTCCACGTTTCCGACTACCAGATAGAGGAGTTTCAGAACTTGCTGAAAGCCTCTAAAATTGGTTCCGAGACCTGGTATAACCAGCAGAATGACACCCAGTTCGGCACCACCAGACAGTGGCTTGCGGAAGCAAAGGAAGCGTGGCACAAGCTGGACTGGCGAGAAACAGAGCAACGCTTGAAAAGCTTCCCCAACTTCAACATCTCAATCGAAGATGGTCATGTTGGAAAAACGAACATCCATTTCATCGCCCTTTTTTCAGCGAATCCTGATGCTCTTCCACTGCTCTTTCTGCACGGGTGGCCAGGCTCAGTCTTGGAGTTTCTTCCATTACTGGACCTTCTCATGTCGAGGTATACTCCAGAGACTCTACCTTATCATGTGGTGGTACCTTCTCTGCCGCACTATGGCCTCTCTGGAGGGCCTTTGGATGTAGAGCTTACGCTAGATGCAGCAGCAAGGCTCATGAATAAGCTCATGCTTGGTCTTGGATTTGGCTCGGGCTACGTTGTACAAGGCGGCGATATTGGCAGCTTCATTGCCAGGATACTCTCGGCTACGTATGAGGAGTGCAAAGCATTTCACAGTAAGTGGTTGTCCGAGTGGTGAATCCACGGTGCCGTTGTATGTACTGAACGTCTCCTTAGTCAACATGCTCGCGCCAGGATCTCAGGATGAGATTCTACCCAACGCGAACATCACAACAGCAGAAGCTGAGCATGTGCAACGCATGTTTGACTTTAGTTCTAATGGATCATCCTACATTCTGGAGCACGGTCTGAGACCTTCTACAACCGGCCTTGTTCTCGCATCGAACCCTCTAGCAATGCTAGCATGGTAGGACTTCCTGATCCCACAAATCTGTATCATTAATGCGTGTCATCGAAGGTCCGAGCGGCACATTTACATATGGCTAACGGAATATTTGACAGGATTGGTGAAAAGCTTATTGAATGGCCCGATTCTAGATACCCTCTCCCTCTCGACACTATCCTCACCTTGGTCAGCTTCTATTGGTACACCGATACACTCCCTCGAAGTCTGTACCCATATCGAGCCCTTGCGGCAGCCGCAGCTGCAGATGTGCTTTTCACAGTTCCGACATCTCGAGAAAAGCCCTTTGGATACTCTGTTTTCCCGGCCGAGAACATTTTGATGCCTCAAGCCTGGGCCCAAAAGGCTTACTCCAATCTGGCATACTACAAACGGAATGACAAGGCATGTCGCTCGATGAATCTATGGGAAGAGTTCAACGTCTCTGTACTAACTTGTTGTGGGTTGAACAGGGCGGTCACTTTGCTGCGTTGGAGCAACCTGAGGTTTTCTTACAAAATGTAGAAGAGTTTCTGGGAATAGTGAGGCCTCTCATTGGGCTATGATGGACCAAGATTCTGTTAAATATCAATCTTCGGGGACTTCACGGTTGATTTCAATTTTCAGTGTCTCGGTCTTTACCCTGAAGAACCCGAGCTTGACTCCCCGAACATCTCGGAGGTCGGCCGGCTTCGTCGATATCCACCAAGCGGACACTCGAATGCACCCCCGTCCATGTCCGATTTTAGCTTATTTAGTGGACAGCCAGACAAGGCAATTTCTCCTGGGCCGCATCGCGCGGAACACGAAGTTCTTGCTGCCACAAGAAATGATCAAATGTCTAAATTTCCTGCCCCACAAAGATTGATTAGATGATCTGATAAACTTCGCATTTTGGCTCCTCTCATGACTCTCTGCAAGCGACCTGCCCCTTTGAGCAAAGGTTCGCAGGACTCCGGCCATTGCCAAGACCCGGGAGTTGCATCCAGAACCCCTCTCCCTGCAGGAACACCGATGCAACATTCCGGTTATCGGCGCCGTGACCCATAGCGTAACTGACGAAGCCTGGACTAAGCATCGTGACCTCGTCAGAGTGGATGTGCCGTTGGCGGCACTGAGGCATTACAGTAGGAGACTCGGACGTGCAATAAATAGCAACTCGAAACCTCGTAGGCATTGCCTTGGCTGCCATCCACGCTTGTCCCAAGGCTTTGGATTCCCGCTTCGCGTGTCGATCCATCGATCTCCATCGGAATCGCCATGGCCTCTTGGCGTGATATTTCGCAGTGGCTGTTGCTCGCTGCTGTTATTCATCCGGCGACAGCGGTAGCGGCGGAGGGCGGTTTTGCAAGCAGCCGTACCCGTCTGACATCCCCAGCCTCCGACAACGCGACGGGTCGATACATTGTCGAGATTCAGCCCTCGACTATTCTTGCCCGACAAGACTCTACCGTAGTCGACTCGGTTGTCGATAAAATCTCCTCCCTTGGTTACGACGCCAAAGTCAAGCAAGACTTTACTTCCATTTCTGGTCGCTTCCAGGGTGTGTCGGTGGAGATCACCAACAAGAACTCGACGGGTGCCCTCGACGATATCAAAAGCGTTCCTGGTGTCGTTGGCGCCTGGCCTGTTTACCCCATCGCCTTGGACGTCTCATTCGAGGTTACCAGTGGTTCGCAGAAATGGAACCCCCATATTGCTACTCGGGTCAATGAGCTTCATGAGCGTAACTTCACCGGCAGCGGGCAACGCGTTTGCGTCGTTGACAGCGGTGTCGATGTTGCGCATCCAGCTCTTGCTGGCAAGGTTGCCGGTGGAAAGAACCTCTTCGATACCAGCTCAACCGCACTCACGGACTGCGCGGGCCATGGAACGTTCGTCTCTTCGGTCATTGCTGCATCACACAAGGACTTTTCCGGCGTCGCCCCTGACTCCGAGATCTACATGTACAAGGTCTTCGGTTGCGACGATACGACATCCAACGACATGGTTCTGAAGGGCATGCTTGCTGCTGACTCGGATGGTTGCGACATCATTTCTGTCTCCATCGGTAGCAACACTGGCTATGCCAACTCCGTGTTATCACGGGTTGCCAGTGAGATCGCTCAAGACAGACTCATCATTATCGCCGCCGGTAACTCAGGCGAGATGGGTCCCTATTTTGCCAGCTCGCCGGCTGCTGGTCGTGGGGTCATCTCAGTTGGATCTGTCGAGGCTTCTCAGACGATGGGCTGGCCGGCAACTCTTGTCTCGTCCAGTGGAAAGTCTCTCGATATTTCCTACGTCACTTCTGACGGCACCAAGTTCAACGAGACTATTGATGTCCCAATTTCTCTCGACTCCGGCGATTCCTGTAATATCGCGGGATCTGGATCAGAGAACACGGCTGTTCTGGCCAAGCGTGGTGTATGTCCACCTGCTGGGTCCTACGCATCAATCGCCAGCGTTGGCTTCAGTTACGGTATCCTGTTCGACTCATACAAGCAAGGCGCGTACTACATGTCCGATGTGACACCTTGGTCCGACACGCTTCGACTCATGGCCGTGACAACGGCATCTGTTGGCGACTGGGCTGCATCCCAAGCCGGCAGAAACCACACCCTGCACCTTCGTATCCAAGGTGATGCCCAGCCCGCCGCATTCAGTGCCGAGGTTCCTAGCTCCGGTCAGATCTCGAGTTACACTTCTTGGGGCCCAACATACGAGAACGGCTTTTCTCCCATCATCTCTGCGCCCGGTGGCGTTGTGTATGGAGCTTTCCCTGACAACAAATTTGCTATCTCGTCCGGCACTTCTTTTGCCACGCCGTACATCTCTGGAGTTGCTGCGCTGTGGTACGCACACGCAAAGAAGGATCGCGCAGAGTTCGTTCGTCGATTGACGTCGACTGCTGTTGCTCTTCCCGGATTCAACAACAACGACGGCCGAGTCGTGTCAGAGGTTGCGTCTCTGGCGCAACAAGGTGCAGGACTTGTTGATGCGGCGAAACTTTTTGACTCTACGACTGTCTTGCTTTCGGAACCGACTTTGTCTTTGAACGACACAGACAACCGTGTGAACACGCACACAATCCGCATTCAGAACACTGGAACAGAGGAGGTAACATACAACATCTCCCACATTGGAGCCTCGACAGTTTCATCCAGGAATGTCTTGTTGTATCCCAACGTCTACTACCCTCCCACTGTTTCCGTTACCGGATCACTCGCGGAAGCAAAGACCGTCGTCGTAGCCCCTGGAGCAACCGAAGATATTGTGGTCACCATATTGGCCCCCGAAGTTACTGCTGACAGCGGCGCTCTATGGAGCGGCAAGATTCTTCTGGCGGGATCTAATGACGATCTAGTCACGGTTCCTTACATCGGTATCGAGGCTTCAACGTACAACTGGACCCCGTTGCACCATGGACCAGAGTCCTATCGCTATGACGATTCGAATGGCGACTTGCTCCCAGTTGATTACCAAGGCAAAGCATACCGTCCTGCCGAAGGCGATTCACCAGAGACTTACTTCGCTTTCCGATACGGAACGTACGAGTTCTCGCTCGACCTCGTTGGAGTTGACTGGACTACCGACCAGTTCTCGTATCCCCCTCAGCATGGTTCAGGATCCAAAGCCTGGCTCGGATCAGTCAGATCCCAGCCCATTGTCCCGGGCAACTACATGGACTTCCCTATGCGTGAGATCGTTCGCTTCAGCCAGGGTAGTTTCGTCACCTTCCGGTCGTTTGCCAACGGCACTGATATCCCCTCGGGACGATACCGCATTTTCACTCGTGCATTGCGTATCTTTGGCGAGGCATCCAACCCGAAGGACTGGCAACTCTTCCTCTCGGACCCATTCTCAATCCAACTTGGCAATGATCCTGTTCCCGGTCAAAATGCGACATTCACGACAAGGCTTCCGTCATCAACTGTCGCTGCCACACCAACGTCCGCAGTATCTGCTGCCACGACATCTGCGGTCACAACGACGGCTCCAGTCTCTGTGCCCGGCACTACAAGCACGCTGACTGCAACTGCCACGCCAACAGGTCTATCTGGAGCCTTTACATCTCTTCAATTGCAGCGCCTGCGCGAGTCCACCCCTTTCATCAATGACCCAGAGGCTTGGATGGAGTTGCATGTGCAAATTTCGCTCCCAACCCCGGTCGCGGCCGACTCCATTTTGACCTTCGCCGTTCCCTCCGAGATCACTGACATCGCTGAGGGTGATCAACTTTCCGCCGCTGGCGCCCTTGCGGGCTCGACATCTTTCAATTCCGAGACTCGTCTGTACACCATCACCCTTGGGGACTGGACGACTTGGAACAAGAACATGATCGGCGACTTCTTCCTGATGTGTCGCTTCACGCCAGAATTCGCGGCTTCCATGAAGCAGGGCACCTACGTTGTGCAGTTCCCCACCGTCGGAAGAGTCCATGAAGCCACTGTCTACTACACAGCCGTAGACAGATCCGTCGTCTACGATCGCATTTCTACCACACCATATGACGGCACTTCCCTCTTCACTGTCGAGGCCGAGATCCCGGCATCATTAGGCCCGTGGGACTATGTTCGTCTTGAGACATCCCACGCGACCGACAACGACGGTTTCGTTTGCGACAATTCCAGCGTCATAGTCGGCCACGAGTTTGACACCGAGAACCGCATCACGAGCTTCACAGACGTCACTGACGAAGCTGTCGAGATCTGCAACGTGAAGAACTTTCGCGCCGTGTACAACCACACCTTGACTGGCGATGATGTTTTGCGTTTCACGATGGGTAGTATTCAGGGAGATCGGCAAGCCTGGACTCTTAATGTTGTTTACTTGCTTGATGTTCAACTGTCAAATGGCACGCTCGTCCTGTACGATGCCAGAAGTTTGGCCTTTGAGAGGAATCCGCGGTTGAGGAACAAGGGGTTCGATGCATTCAGCGGCGAACGTGCCACTGAAATCAACTTGTAGAACGTTTCGGTTGATCTTTTCGTGTAAATATTTACTACACCGAAGCAATTACAGCCTGTGTGTACATACTTAAAACGGTGCCTGGGCAATAGACGTACAAATATCAAATACTGTGAACTACATAGATATAGAACTTGCCCCTAGACTTGACTCCGACTTGTCCCAAAGATTTAAGCTCGGATGAAGGAACAAACATAATATCCTTAAATGCATCGGCGCGCGTTGCAATTGAAAAATGCATCACATTTTCAGATGTCTTCTCCATGTCGGCTAAGGACCCGGCGCCTTCCGGGGACCGGCTGCCCGGGGTGGATCCCGGGGAAAAGCCAGCTCGGACCCGAAGCTCGGGCATATATCCGAGCTCGTAACAGTAAACCGGAGACCAACTCACGAACACCCGACGCTGAAAGAGCCTTTTTCACATGTGCTCTGGGGCTCTCCCGACTCAGCCATCTTAGCTTATTCTTTACATAAAAACTTCGTATATCAAAGTTCTTGGGTCGCATGGCGTGGGGGCCCGCTCGGATATGAAGATCACTTTGAGAAATCTGGTCCCGGGCCCAACAGGGATGTTGATTATCGGATGATCTGATAAGATTAGATGGCATGAGCAGGATGCAGGGGCTGTTTAGGCTCTCGGTCGAATCGGCCCCGCTGAATACACTCAAGAGCCCGCTTCTGTCCGGGATTGACCGGGCCCATTGGCACCTCACAGTCCTTTCGCCAAGATTCCTTTCAGTAGCGTGGGCGATATCGGTCGCCGCTGAAGAAGGGACGAACTGCCTCTTCTGGACTAAGGTCCCTGGGCGTGCCGGAGGGAGGAGTCAGCGTATGATTGATTATGGTCGAACATAAAAGGGGTTCTAGGGAACTCAATCCATTGTGACAAGAAGTCGATCTTCAGACTGCTCTCGAATCTTCTCCTTCAACTCTTGATCTCACAAAAGCTCCTCACAAACCTCAAGATGCGTTTCTCCATCACCTGCGCCGTGGCCTTAGCCGCCTCTCTCGCCACTGCTACTCCCCTCGTCAACCGCGACCAGGTTTCCTGGGAGTTCCCTGAGGCAATGCTCGCCAAACGCCAGGATGTTCCCGCACCCGGCACTCCCGCTTATCTCTGCCACGAGAACTGCGGTAAGTCATCTGCCTTCTTGTCATCACATGAGTTACACGCACTAACGTGTTGGTGGCTTCAGGCACCTCCATTACTCTCTCCCGCGAGGCTGGCTATTGCCAGAACTACCAGTGGATCGCCAGATACGATGCCTGCCTCCAGTGCGCCAACAGCTTCAACATCTGGCAGTACTACGGAAACTCCATCACTGCGTCTGCCGCTGCCTGCGGTCTGACTGCTACCCCTGTCTAAATGATTGGGTGGTCCAACGATCATAAGGCCTGATCCGAACGTGTTGGAAACGGCCGATTTAAGGGTATACGAGATGATGGGATGAGACTGTACATATTTGTAACCTTCTACGTAAATATTACGAATAACGCCATGTAACCAAAAGTTGAGAAACTGACAACGTCCACCCGAAGCCCTGCAATCCTGTGAAAAGTTGGCTCCTTCCCTGTTCACCTCATTACTCCGCAGCAAGTCCCGGCTGAAATTCTCTCATTCTAGATTCATGTCACAGTCGATGGCGCCGAAGTCTGCATGATTCCCATCTCCTTATCCATCGCTCTAAACTCTACACTTGTGCACGGCGGATCAATGCAGGTAGCACTAGAACCAGTACTCGAAGTGAAGCTGCTCTTCGATGTGGCTGGGTGAAGAAAGTGTTCGATCGGTTCCGAGGCCTGAAGATGACTTCTCTGAACTCCATCCTGACTGATTTTGAACGTGACCTTTGGTTTGTTGTGAGCCGTTTTACCGTTGGTACGAAGGTTGGAAGTCGGGATACTCGGTGCGCCGGCCAGCTTCACTTCATCTATTTCAGGGTACCTCTCCCTGATGTCGTCGAAGATGTCTGCAATGTGAGTGAAGTAGGTGATTCTCTGAATGTTGGTGTCACCTTCGTAGACATTGCGACCCCACAATTGTCCTACAAGTTCTCTTGTTTTGTCGTCAACGATAGCAGCGCCAGAGTCTCCAGGTATACCAACACCTCCGGTGATCCATTGGTCAGTAGACAACAACTTGGGGATGTTCTCTAGGCACCATTCTCGAGTTTCTATTCCACCCTGGCGCACCGCGACTGGTGTTTCACAGACAACGGCATACCTAATCCCACTAGTACGACCGGAGGAACGAATGATGCGTAGTCTTGGGTTCCCCTGGTATACACGATGGATCAGACCAGAGTGCTCTTGAAACTCTCTTTCACTTGGCGAGTAACGCATGCGATTCTCAAGAGGTGTTTGAAGATCACAAAATGCCCAGTCAGTCTGAATCTTGGCCTGGTCGCGGGGGAGCTGGAAGTGTTTCTCCAATGACCCCGAGTGTCGTTGCGTCTTGTATATCGGAAACCCGGAATGGGCGCGGAGCTTTCCGATGATTCTTGGACGCTCCCCTTCGGCACAATCGATGCTTGCCGGGTGAACCAGATGACAATCTGGAACTTCGTTGTCATGTTGAACTTCATTCAATTGTGGTGCTCCTTCAAACAGATGATAGTTCACAAGGCAACCCGTCTTGCCTCCGCAATCGAGAGCAGGCCCGATGGTTCCCGCGCTTGTTCCGCCCTGGTAGTCGACGGAGTCGCCTATCATCAGCGGGAAGTGATGACCCGGATTTCCTGGGGGAACGCACTCATCCTCGGTGCAGGTACTGCGCTTGATGTTGCCAACGGTGAAGGAGATCTCGACTTTAAGAGATGGATTCTCTCCGAAGACTTTTGAGACCGTTTCCGTCAACTTGCGGTTCCCTTCTTGCGGAATTTCTGTCTCCGTCATTACTTCCACGACCCTTCGAATGCGGGAACCACCGTACTCGGCCTGGATGGAGATGCTGTAGTCCGTGTGGATAATCTCTCTCAGATGTGGAAGTGCCTCATTTTCCCATATATGGTTGAAGTCTTCTGATGTTTCTCGTCGTTTCTCAAGTTCGGCCCGGAGCTCGATCAGCGCTTGGGATTTTGACATTTTGGACTTGTCAAAGGGAAATGTATGATGGCGGGGAGCCCTTGAGAACGATTCTTCAGAGCCGATGGATTGTGGTCCATCAATATCTTCCTCGGGGATTTGTAATTCCCGGGATCGCAATGCCAAGTCCGTGTAAGCTCTGACAGGAGGATCTTGAGAATGATGCGGAAGTTGTGGCTCAGATCGTGTCAGCCGCGGCATGCACACGAGCTTCCTGAATCCAGACGCCGCAGAGCGTAGCGAGCTTGCGCAGCTGCGTATGCTATTGAAGGTCTTCGCTCGTGATAGTTTCCGAATGAGTGGAGGTTGAGGCTGCGCCTCACTTTTCAGCTCGTCTTGTTCGGGCGAGCTGTCAGAGACCTCGCATTCGGGCGAATGCCGGATTTCCCCGGGTTCCGAGGGGCCAACGCTCTGGTGTAAAAGACTGTCCTGTCCCTCCTCTTCTGGCCTTTCTTGAAATTTCTCATTGCTACTTATATCAGATTCTTTGGCCCTCTTTGGCTTCTTATTTTGAAGCTTGGGGCGTGATCTGCAGGAAATGTCTAGGTTAGCAATGATTCCCCTGTGAGTTGGGTTGGAAATTAGGTTGGAAATACCTGCCCGACGTCTGCGGGTCACATCGTTGGGACCTATGCTCGCCCGTGGAGAAGAATTGCCTGACGTTCCTGGTAAACTTTCTGCATTCTTTTGGAATGTGCAAGCCCATTATAGGTCTTCGTAGTTTCCGTCAGACGACGTGCTGTTGTAGTTGGGAGTCAAGGCCGCAATGGGAGACGTCCACTCCTATGATGTCAGGCTCGTGGTAGAATCCCAAGGAAAGGACCTCTGATTTGGTTGCAGAAGACAAAGATCCCATAGGGAACGTTTTGCCTTAAATGAATCATGCTCTCAGAGCCTGATGGTTCTGCTTTCCTCAGAGATTGTGTTGTATGATCGATCGTGGAGCCTAACAACCTCGTGGCTTAGGGCTGGTTCGGTGTGCAACAGCAATCTGGAGAAGTAGAAAAAGTCGATTAAGCCTCCCAGGCTAGCTAGGGACAAACGGTCCAATTGGAAACGTCTTTCGGTGAAGCGGTTCGCTTATTGTGGTTAGTGTGGTGTCACCAGGAGGAATCCTGCAGGCTGAGCAGTCTTACTTGTGTCCCAGATGACATCCTTGCATATTTATATTTTCAGCTTTAGGCCTCTACTCATTATGGATGAACGCCAATATTCCGGATTCGGTGTAGGCCGCTGTGAGAATTGCACTTCATTTTACATCTAGAAATACCGGCGAGGCTCATGTCTGTCGATATGGACCAGTCTCGACTCTCAATTAGGCGCTTATGTCAGGAAGCATTATCAGTCAGCTTTGGAGGAGAGATCAAACTTGAAAATGCATGCGTCGTTATGCTATTGAATTCTTATCTTCTCTAGACATATTTGAAGGCCAGAAAGTTTTCCATCAATCTCGGCAACCTGGACACAACCAAGATTTACGAAGTTCAGTTTCCGCCATGGATGGAGAAAATGTATGACTACCTAGATGAAGCCTGTTTCTATGCAAGCAGGCGTTTTCCTCAAATACCTTATGCACTTAAATTCTGATCTTTGCTGTTTCTAGGTCCTGTTTGAACTGGTGCCTTTCCTTGGGCGTGTGTTGGTGAGCGGAGTTGAAAGGGCTTGATGCGTAAAATGCACAACCGCGCATGAATGGCCTCTTATGCGGTCAAAGCAACCCCTCAACAGCGTCAAGTCACTAGAGATTAATTAACTGGCTTAATAAATAAGACCTGGTCACATGACCTGGCAAACATCACCTCGATTTTATTTCGTTTCCTGGTGTCTGTGGTCAACCTCGCGACACAACAAATATCATCACCGTTTTTTGACACCCAAACATCACAGGAATCAACCAAAAGCCCATCATGAACCTCATCATCATTCTACTTCTTCTCGCCAGTGTCTTCGGATACCTCTACGACGAGCGGGAGGGCGAGCGTCGCGACAACCTCCCCTCCCCCTTCGGAGGCTGGCTCCGTGTCGCCGCCGCCCAGAGCGTCGGAAATTCTATCAACAGCATCTTCATCCCCATCGAGAGCGTCGTTCATGGTGCTGGAAACGAGGAGAACATTGACCAAATCGAGAACACCATGGCTGCCATCGACATCGACCTCCATCCGACTGAAGGTGCCCCTAAGGATCTCTTCGACCTCGGACAGCAGACCTTTGACGGTTCCGACATTTATCGCGCCATGAACTCCTACAAGAATCTCGTCAATTCCAGAAAGCAGACTCTGAACGACCTTGACCTCTCACCCGTTCAGAACGCCTTCAACAGTCTTCTGGACCTCGGACACGACACCATGGACAACGTCGACTTCTCAGCTGCCACGGATGCCTTTGAGAATGTCGTGAAGCGTGGAAAACAGATTATGGCCGACATGATTCCTCAAACCAAGATCGCTATCATCCCCGTCGAAGACCTCGGCGAGCTCGAGCTTCTTACCCCCTTAGCTGGCATTGAGAACGGATCGTGCCCTCCTCGCGTGGACCTCGACATCCTGCTCAACAAGGCGAAGGACCTGCTGGCCGTCGCGTTCGGCATCGTTCTCGATTTCATGAAGGACCTGTCGCTGTGGATTGAGATGGAGTACGAGCGCATCTACGACTGGACTAGGGAGAACCCGAAGAAGGCTATCGCTATCGGAGTCGTGGGCGTGGGAATCACCATCATGGCAGCTCCAGGAGTCGTCAGCGGCCCAGCCCTCAACATCGTGGGTTTTGGTCCCAACGGAGTCATAGCCGGTGAGTCACGAGGCATCGTCCAGACCCTATACCCCGAAGAGCTTTTGCTAACTATAGAGTTCAACAGAATCCCTGGCCGCTGCGGTCCACGGCATGATCGGCAATGTTGCGGCTGGTTCGTCCTTTGCCATGCTCCAGAGCGCTGGGGCTGGAGGATCCGGCCTGGCCGTCGTCAATGGTGTCGTTCAAGGCGCCGGCTTGGTGATCACAGGCTACAACGTCTGGGACCTGGTCGATGAGCTGGTTAAGGAGCAGATGTAAAGGGGGGGAATCCGGTGGGAGGCCTATGTGGTGTCCATCATCGGTATTGGCTTTGGTTGGCGTCCGGCGGGTATTATGGCCCCTGGCACCGTATACTACGTTAGCATAAGATGAGCTAATGTGGGCGTTACGTTCTCTTCAGTATTCGCAAGCTGTGTGACATGACCCAAAGAACCGTTAAGTGAGTAATTGTCTCTCCACATTAGCTAAAAAGACAAGGCCGCAGACTTGAGTGACTTGTACGATCACGGCGCAAAATTAAGGTCCATCCAGGATTCGAACCTGGGCTTACGGAAGTACTGAGTGTGAATCAGAATCCGACGTCCTAACCAACTAGACTAATAGACCGATGATCAGAAATTGCTTGATGACGACGCAATCTCGGAATGGGGCTCTTGTGGGACCTATTCCGGAGGGGCGGGTTGAGCCCTTGGTGGGGATATCCTCATCGAGCCGGACTCGATGCTTGGATGTCGTGTAGCTCTCAGAGGGAAGTTATGTGTTCGTGTTCTCACTCCAAAATAATACTAGGACATTGAATTTATAAAAGGATGAACGTAAGATTCATTATATATACTGTAGGCCTAAACTGGTTGCTGCTTGACTGGTCTTCGTGCCTCATTGTTCTCCGACTTTACGTGCCTTGGCCCCCAAAAACTGGAACTCCGAGTCCCCTCTAACACCAACTGTGAAGACTTTTGTTTGACTCATCGCCCTCTGGAACCACCCCAAGCTGAAGTTGAGGTCAGCAAGTCGACCGTGCAACTCGTCGGATGACAGCAGTTCCGTGTTCTCAGGCAGGTGATCAGGTGCGTTAGAGCCTCTCAGCAAAGCCGACATCGCCGCCATGCTATGGAAACCGTCAGGTGCCAAGCCCCTCACATGCATATCAAACGGCCAAGTCCTGCCCACGTAGCGTCGAGACAGTGCTGAACACAACGCCCAGATGTTCGCTGCGGCTACGATGCTGAGTATGGCGACCAGGACGTACGTGACCACGGCATTTTGTACAAGACGGCGCCGGCTGCTGTCGATGACTGTTGTACCCAAAGCAGGTAGCCCGCCAGCAGGAGGAGGACTGGTCTGTGAGCTGGCTGTCATGTTGTAGCGGTTTTCGATGTTGACGAGTTGAGCCGAGACCAATCCGTAGTTGTGGTGAAGATCCTGCAGGATCCCTTCGTCTTGGTTTGAGTTGCCCAGGTCTACCAAAGGAAACCTTCCGTAGGGCTTGATCAGAACTTTGAACTGCGAAGCGATCGTGCCTGCAAGGACATCAATAATTGTGAGCGAGGGATACGAGTCTCCGACATCCCGGGAGAGGAATTGTCCGTCGACATGGGGTAAATCCAGAGAAGGGCTCCACGGCTTGATGGTCGACAGATCGGGTTTCGGTGCAATCTCCGGATCCAAGACGTATGCACCATTCTCAGCAGCCAAAGTGACCTCGGTGGCTACTTCAACGAAGGTGTAGTTGCACTTCCACACCGACAAGGACTCGAAGCCTTTCTTCTCTTTGGAGAACTCGCCCCAGGCATAGGTCTGAACCCGCCAGGGTGCGTACTCGTAATCGCTTGCGTTGAGACCCATACCGCAAGGCATGTTGATGTCATTGACGTTCTCTGGCGATTTAAAGATATCGGCAACGAACGAGGTGCCCAGTAAGAATGTGCCCGCGCTCGGATATAGCATGTCCAGAAGTTCGGCCTGGGTACCGTTCGGGCATGTGAACGGCTGGGTGACGGCAGCCTGGAAGTAGGTGGTTTCCTCCGTCCAGCTGGTGACGTTGACTTTGTAGTTGCTTGGGGGCACTTTCGAGCAGGTGACTGGGTGAAGCTTGGCGGCTGGTATGGTGGCTCTGATGGTCGTGTTTGGCGACAGAGGTATGTCCTCGAGGCCTCCCAAAACCGGGAACACGAGGTCGTCGTATGTGTTCTTTGGGTAGGTCAGCGCGGCTTCGCCTTGGCGAGAAACAAGACTGCTGATCATCTGGCGGTTGCTTCGAGCGACATTCAGTCCGTCCAACCCTCTCCCGATCTCGGTAGCGCCAAACCAGGTTGTTTGCTGCAACTGGATATCTGATGTTTGAGGGATAGACTGAACCGTGAAGACGACGGATACAAGGGTTGTGAGGAAGGCACAGATGATGGCGAGAATCTGCGAGAGTGTGACGGCCCAGACTCGCTGCTTCAGAGAGTAGAAAAGGGCGCGAAGACCAAGCATATCCAACAGCGAGACATCAACCTCCTTCGCGCTGCATGATCGGGTTGAGAGATTTGAGAAGGTTGCAAGCGCCCTGTACGAGGAGTCGCAACAGCCAGCATACATAGCGATGCTAAGCATAACTAAAGCCGGAAGTGATGTCCACACGAAATGAAGGTACCCATCGTCAGGCACTGTCGCGAGCCCATCTTGAGTTTCCGAGACCCTCAGGGCGAACACGAGTCCAAAGATGACCCCGAGCGTAAAAACTGTCGAAATGGCCCGCGCCGAAGTCTTCAGTACCATAGGCGTAGAGCTACAATCACTCCAATCCGTTGTGGTGGTTGCGAGTCCGGACGTGTCATGGGCGATGCGGTCCGAGATGTCCGGATGGTCTCGGAAGAACATCATGTTGCCAAGGACAGTCGCAGGGTCTCGGTACCACACTGCAGTCCGACTGGTGTGTCGTACAAGAACTGCAGCAATGATGATGCTCTGGACTGCGAACAAGGCTGCCATGGCGATGCAGACCCATTGAATCACAATAAGCCTGTCGGTACTGGAGATTGTGAAGCCCGAAGAAGATGGCGATGATTCGTCCTCTTGTCGGAGTCGATAGTGACCAAGTAACGGGGCAAAGTTATGCGCCATGGTCATTACCGCGGTGTACAGGATGTCGTTTGTGTATAATGCCGGGTTCGTAACATCCACTGCCGTCCCCAAAGCTTCGCCCTTGATCTGGGTCAACGATGAGACGGGCCCGTAGACTCTGCCAGTTCCGGATGTAGTCCACCTCCCACCGCTCTCAGGCATAGACAACGAGAGCATATTCCAAAGGTCGGCGACCACGGGTATCTTGGCCTCGTCCGACAACGCTGTGACTTTCGGAGAAACGCCGTCATCGATGACTTGTACTTTCGAGACCCAGGAAGTCGAAGTACAGAGGACGCCCGCGAAGTCGATGAAAGCAGGCTGAGAGGAGTTGCTCGCCGATGGTCCCAGCCTGGTTGCGAAGTAGAGGGATTGGTTGTTCTGCTGCGGCAGGTTCGAGCACGGTTTGCCGACTGTCATCTTCATAACCCAGTTGCCGACCGATCCTGCGTTCTTGTTCAAGCGGTCGGTCCACATGATGCGGTCGGTTTCGGACGTGATTCTCTGGTCACAACCAGGAAACTTGAGGCTGACGTTGTAGGCGTAGTAGTCCCGGCTGGACACGACCGGGTCGGAGGCCTCATAGTCTTCCAGCTTCAGGCACTGCATCTCGGAGAAGTAGCCGTCGACAACGACACTCAAAGGGGCATCGGTGCTTCCTCTGGCTGTGCCGTTGGCGAACTTGAACGTCTGATACGCCAAGTCTTCTGTGACGCCGAAGGGGTATCGCATGTTGAAGCTGTCGAGGGCTTTGAACATGTAGAACGCGCTGCCATCCGTAACCTGCGTCGTTCGGGTCGTTGTGTTGAACGAATCGAGAAGTTGTACACCGGTCGGCTCTGCGACCCTGACATTCGCAAGACTGTAAAGACCTGGGGCCAGAACGATCTGGAGCTTGAGGATGAGGGAAACTATAGCGATACAAGAGACGAGGTAGTGTTTGTTACGAAATGACTGAAAGAGAATCATTGGCGACAGCATGGCGGTGTAGTCGAGGTTGTAGACATCCGTTTGCGTGCCCAGCAATTGCGAGCGGCGGTGCGCGATCCAAGGCATATATCTCAATGTTTGCAGCTCGACTCTACCCCAGAAAATAGACACCATTGTGAGAACTAGAAGTTTCGATTATCAGTGAATGACCTATCGTCCTCGTGTAGTTGAACTGACGCGCTGTAGGACCGAAACGCCACAGGTAAACATAGCTTTGCCGCGTTTGGACGAGACCGCTGTTGTTCTGAGAGTACCACAGCATCACTGGAAGTGCAACTGTGAACACAACGAAGATGGCGAGAAAGATCGAGAGAACGATGGGCCGAAGCCATTTCGGACGCCATCTCGCATCTGCAACTTGATGAACTGGGCTCTTCTCCTCCGGCCGGCTGCTGCCTTTATCGGAAATCAAAACTGACTCGCTCAGTAAGCCCCGATGGCTATCGAGGGTTGGACCAACATCCAAGGGGGTTTCGGTGTAGTCCAAGTAGCGTTCATTGCTCGATACTTGATGTTTCTTCGATTCCTGACCACGGCCTCCGGCGAAGTAGTCATCCCCTCCATACGCCACAATTCCGGGATCGACGTTGTTCGGTGCCATCTCGCTGTGCGTTGTGTCGTTCGAGGTCTAGAGACCCTTACTCGTGATATTCCAAAATCGTCATGCGTGCCGGCTAGCTCCGGGTTTCACTCGTAACTTCGTGATATCAAGTCGCTCAGTGGTGGCGATGTTCCATTATCATCAGTCGTCGGCCGTCATGAACATAGTAGCGTTTGCATAGCAAATAGCCAGCCGCAACTCGCAACGGGCACTAGAGAGTTAAGTAGAAATGAATCCCATCAGAATCCGAGTCTGCGGGGCCAAGTCTACGGCCAGGGTTCGGGCATGTCTCCATGTTCGCCAAACGTAGGCATAAAATTCGCGATCACGGCTTCACTGACCAATAAATGTGGCTGTGGGAGTGTTAGGCGAGCTTCAATACCCCTGAACTGGTGCACATAAGGTCCCGGATTGCCGCCTCAGCTGCTACTTGGCCATGCATGTCAGATTTAAACGCTGACGGATTGCCGGGGGTTAGCATCGACAGATGGCTCGATTAGACGCCGTGGGTGTCGTAATTAAACGTCTAAGTACCATCGAGGTGCGAAAAAGGAAGGGCGTATCCGATTGACTAAATGTAACCTACGACGGCTCATAACCGAACCGATAGAATAACATTTTTGACGGTTGCCTGATATTGAATGCAGCTTTCTTTACAAGTCGTCAATTTGCGACTCTAGGCAGCATCGTAGCATCAAAAACTTGAAACCCCGCTTTGCGATGGCTGGGTCTCTGGGTGGTGACATGAGCAAGGGTTGGTCTGCGGCCTGGGCAACCAAAGTTCCTTTCGCCCCCAAACATGAACCTGCGTGGCTGTGAGGCACGCGACAACATAGGTGCGGGCTGTTAATGACGGCTGCTCAAGGGATTTTATTTGTTATATGTCTTGCCCGTTGAGATCAAATACTGACAGCAGCGCTCTGAGATGGCTCTCGCAAGTGTGACCGGATGAGAGGCATTCAGTAATTAGCTTCAGAATAAGGTCATTCGACCATGACTCAAGGGCCTGGTTTTACTGGTTGGGTCGCAAGGGACACATGGCTCGCAGTGCCATGAGGAGACAAATCTCGCAAGTCATCAGAAAACGACCTGCTATCGCAATCATATGAAAAGAACTTCATCATGCAGGTTTCATTGAAAAGCCAGCTCCACGTGGTGAAGTGAAAGGTTTGAGTGAACATGACGAACAACATGAAATGCGGTCCGTACCGCGCAATGGCGTCCGGTTCATGCATCCTAGCCGGGGCCGGGCTGTGTTGGCTAGGTTCTCCCAACCAGCCTCTGTAAGGCGGAACTCATTCAAAACTTTCTCACACCGTAGATTGAGCAGCGGCTTCATGTCACCGGTCAGCTATGTACTGTTCTCTCTAAAGCTGAGGCTCAACAATAAGCTTCTCTCGTCATAATCCTAAGAACACCACACCGACCATCTCATCTGACAAGCCACAAACTCATGGAATTAAGTGTATTATGTCATCCTCGCGGTCTTTGGGCCGCAAAATCTTCAGGCCTTACGGCAATAAGCGCGGAAATCCACCCGTCAAGTTGCACTAAGCAGTTCTGAGGCCCCCGATGCAACTCCAAAGTGAGATGACGTCCTGCCCCGAGACGGCCATGCCGCCCGTAAAAACTTGCGATTAATTGGGTCCAGTTCGTTGAGATAAGGAAAAAAAAACAGTCCCTTGGTGATTCGCCTCTCCTTTCCTCCCTTTGATCACCATAGGCACGGCATGCTTCCCAGTTGACGTTAACGACGCTGGAGGCGTCGGCTTCATAGTAGAAGTTATCATTTCACGTTATCGATCCCCAATCCGCCGCGGCGTGAAAAAAGTCCTGATCTTCTTATCTTGGCTGCTCGCGTGCGCACGCGACAAGCGAGAATCTCCGCCCTCATGGCCGCTCCACACCACACCGACGACTTTGAAGAACATGAAGTCATTCCAGGCACGCGACGCCTCTACGATGAGAATGGAAGCACGCTCTCGAGCGATGCCTCACTGCTGAAGCATGGCGACATTGTTCTCGTCCCGCAGCCGACGGAATCGCCCAACGACCCCCTGAGATGGTCTCTTCCGCGCAAGATCTGGCACTCGTGTTTGGTGTTGTACATTGTGGGGCTGACGGCCGCGACTTCGAACAACGCGGGCTCCGGCGCGGACGGCGTCAACGAGGAGTACGGCATCAGCTACGATGTCTTTAACACCGGGGCAGGTGTCTTATTCGTTTCCATCGGTTATTGGACTCTGCTCAGTTCACCGCTCGTTCATCTGTACGGCCGACGTCTGGGTTATCTCATCTCCATGTTGGTAAACATCGGCGGTCTCATCTGGTATGCGCGCATCACCGACGTGAACGGCGTCGTTTGGTCGCAGCTTTTTGTCGGCGCTGCTGAATCGGTTGGTGAGGCCACCGTTCAACTGTCGCTTCTGGATATCTGGTTCGAGCACCAGACGGGTAGTGTGCTTGGTATTTATACCTTCGCAACTGCCATTGGAACATATCTCGGGTGAGTTGCTTTATCTTCACAATCTCATATGAGTCTTTGCTGATTGTAATAGCCCTCTGATTGGCGCGAACGTATCGAGCCACCTGGGCTGGCGATGGATCGGCTGGCTGGGTACCATCATCTGCGGTGTCAGTCTCATCGTCATCTTCTTCGGCCTTGAGGAGACCGAGTTCAATCGCGATAGCTACCTGACCAGTGGTAATGACCACTTCCCTGGCAGTAGAGGGGCTCATCCGGTCACGGAGAAACGTGCCGAGGACGCTCCACAAGGTGATGATGCTGCTGCTTCGAAGGAGACATCCCAGAAGCGTAGTCAGCTTGTGGAAGAGCACACCAGTCACGATGTCGATCTTGGACGGACGGAAACAGCTCGAACCCGTGCCTCCGTCTCGTATGCCCGACCAAAGACCTACTGGGACCGAATCCGCATCATCACTCCTGCCCCCAACCTGCAGGGAACGGGAGCAAAGCAGTACTTCCACCGTCTCTGGCATACTCTGCGTGTCTTCACATTTCCCGCCGTCTGGTACGCCGGTTGGCAGTGGGGCCTGCAGAACATCTGCCTGACATTCTACCTCACGGTGCAGGAAGATTGGTGGTACGGCGAGCCGTGGAACTACACTCCGGCCCAAGTCGGAAACATGAACCTGCCAACTCTGATTGGCAGTTTGATCGGCTGTGCGTATGGCGGTTACGGCAGTGACAAGTTCATGCAGTGGATGATCAAGCGCAACAAGGGCGTCATGGAGGCCGAGTTCCGGCTCTACCTCATGGCTCTGTGTGCCGTGGTTTTCCCTACGGGCATGTGGCTTTTCGGCATCGGGTCTGCGCGAGGATGGGATTGGCCTGTGCCGTATGTTGGACTGGGCTTCATCGGCTTTGGCTACGGTTGTGCCGGAGACTTGTCGTTGGCGTATCTCGCGGACAGCTTCCCGCAGATGGTGTTGGAGGGAATGGTCGGTGTTGCCGTCATCAACAACACGATCGCCATGGTCTTCACCTTTGTCGCCAGCTACTGGATTGACACTGGAATGGAGAACTGCTTCATTGTCCTTGGCGTTCTGAGTTTTGTTATCATGGGCACCAGCTTGCCCATGATCATCTATGGGAAAAGGACGAGGCGTTGGGCAAAGGACAGATACCTGAGATTCGTTGAGATCCGTGACGGATTCTCCAAGTAGATGGAAGACTCGCATGGGACCATTCATTCTTTGCCTTCAAATTGATTGCTTCCTGACGAGAGAACATGTGGACGTCATAGGACACAAATTATCATCCAACTGAGTTTTATGTCTTCTAAGTTAGTCACACTCTTCTGGGTGCTTTAGACACATATTTCAAAATAATCTCAAGTCACCTCCGTGCTTTCGGAGTAACCGCTCGAAAAGACTGTACCTGCCATCCTCAGCAAAATCAGCACATGCTGACGCGAGGAGCAAAAGATTATGATCAGTGAGAGGCTTGAACTCTCGGCCTTGGCATTACTCAACACATGAGATCACGTATTAGTACCACGCTCTAACCAACTGAGCTAACCGACCCGCTTGACGTCAACGACAACACCCTGTAGTCTTCTTCAACGGCGGCTCCACGGCACCCACGGAAGTGGGCCTAGCCATGAGAAAACCACAAAGGTATGAGAAAACCTGGATCGGAAAAGACTCATTGACTATAACGTGGACTTAGTTTAAAAAGAAGCGTTAGTAGAATGAGTGGTTACGGCTTTCTATTCTGTCTTTGACTATGTGACATAATCTCACGATATCTATGTGCGGTGGATGGCTAAGACGTAAGTTAATGAATGGGACTTCTCTAGTAATTTTCGTAGCTACTTATGTTTTAGAGAAAAGAAAAGGCCACTGAAAAATAGGCTCAGTAATGTAAGGTATACAGCCTGTCTTACGCCTTGCATGCCGAGAGATCCAATCACCACTGCGCGCGAGTTGGCTGAGATGTCTTCACTATCAATAGGCTGAAATCCCCAAACGCATGTTGAAAGCTCAGCCTTCTGCCACACGTGGACGGTTCCGAATGAAGTGAGTCGAAAGCACGCTCCCGATCCCGATCTTGATTCCATTTCTATTCACTGCAATTACTATCCTGAAACAAGAATAATCCCGATGTCCAACCCGGCGATGTGTCCCATGCTGGGCTGGTTATCATAGTCGCAACTCATCCGAGGTCCGTAACTCCGATCCATAAGATCTTACGGACATCCGACCGTGTAACGTCTATGTTTTAGTCAGGTCCTGCGCCGGGTTAAAGACCGAGAGCTCGGAATGAGTCTATCTCATGATTCCTGTTGTAAGACGGTCCACGGGCTTCAAGAAAAAATTTAAGAGCTCACAAAATCTCGTTTTCATTTTTTCACCCAGCAGCTGAATTATTGAGGTCAATCAGTACTGGGCCCCGGAAGAGTAACCGAGTAAAAGTTCGGGTTTCATGTGAGATGGGGGAGTACGACGGAGTTCACGGGGTAAAGCTGGGATTTGCCAGATCAAGTCAAACTTATGCAAACTTCGGATGACTTCCGTGGAGATATATCAAATCAACATGTCATGTCACCACAACTTCAATCCTTCAGGTGGATGAAATTGAAGCCTGTTAAGTCTATTCTAAGAATTCCAATTGGTCTCATCAAAATGTTGGCGAGCGACATACATGTACTCCGCGCGTCTGAGGCCTTCGGGCTGTCCTTCACGATCGGTGTTCTACTACATATTTTCGTCTTTCGACACGGAGAATGGGACCTATCGGCTCAACGGTTGATTACTTCATTCTCCCTGACATTTGTTGCGGCCGTGGGAGTAGTCATGGCTGCACCGATGCTGAAGCCCTTAGTGGGTCGACAAATCCATTCGCCGCCTCTCCTCGACGCCTTCAAGGCAGTCGGTATGCAGTTCGCGACCTTGGTGGGCGGTATTTGCACGAGCATGATGATTTACCGCGGCTTTTTCCATCGACTGAATCGTTTTCCGGGCCCATTTCTCGCCAAATTCTCCAACTTATATGTCACGTTCAAGATATGGAACAGGATGCATTTGCATGAAGACGTCAGGAAACTTCATGAGAAGTACGGTGGCATAGTCCGAGTTGGTAAGAGAGCAAAAGTTCTGGCTTTGATGTGAGAGAAAATAGTCTGACTTCCATAGGTCCGACTGAGCTTTCTATCAATAAGCCCGGTGCGATCAATGCCGTGTTCCTCGAGACAGATTGCTACAAGGGCCCTTGGTATAATCTACTTCATCCAATGGTATGGCCATTCACATACGAGCATCAACACAGCCTTCTAATTTGCACTCATTTTTAACTAACAGGTATCGATGCAAATGGTACGAGATAAAGAGGCCCATTCGCGACGTCGTAAGGCGTGGGAATATGGCTTCACCTCTAAGGGTAGCTCCTCTGCACTTCTCACTCACACCGAACATGAGCTAACCTGGATCAAAGCTCTTCGCGACTATGAGCCTAAGGTGCTGAAGTACACCAACCAGCTCATGGCGGGCATTGAAGCCAGTGCCGGCACAAAATTCAACGCGTCACTCTGGTTTAACTTTTACAGCTTCGACGTCATGGGTGAGTTCTCGCTCGGCCACGGCTTCCGCATGCTCGAGGACGGCGTCTCGCACTTCTACATGGACGGTTTGCATAATGAGACGCTTGCTGTGGGTCGTTTTACTCACGCCATGTGGGCGCTCCCGCTCTATCGCAAGATGTCGTTGTGGAATGCCGAGCTCCGACGGTTCAAGGGCTGGATCTCACAGCAGGTTCAGCAGCGGATCCAGAACAAGCCTGAAAGTCCTGATATTTTCACTTGGGTACTTGAGGATTATGAGTCCAAGAAGGAGAACAGTTTCCAGGATATGCTCAACTTGTATGGGGATTGTATCCTGATTACCGTTGCTGGAAGGTGAGTTGTGCCCCCTGATGTCATAATATGTAACGAATAAGAGCTGAGTAAAGGTACAGTGATACGGTCGCCGCTGTGTTGTCTTGCCTGTTCATGGAGATGGCTCGTCACCCGAAGGAGTACCACAAACTCCAGCAAGAGATCGATGAATACTTCCGCGAACACGATAACCCAGAGCACGCGCCGCTTGCAAAGTTACGATATCTCCAGGCTTGCATTGATGAGTCTCTTCGTCTGCACCCTCCAGTTCCCTCTGGGGTCCAAAGAATGACTCCGCCAGAGGGCCTTCAGGTCGACGATGTCTGGTTGCCTGGTGATACCATCGTCTTTGTGCCTTCATATACTCAGTATCGCGGTAAGTATGTGTGGGGCTGGGAAGTCATCGCGGCTGTGGTCTGCTTGAAGGAAGCCGAGTTAGTAGCTAATAACCTGACGCTTAGATCCACGGTTCTTCGATCGACCTGACGAATTCATCCCAGAGAGGTGGATTGATCGTCCCGATCTCGTCAAGAACGCGGCCGTATACGTGCCGTTCTCCACGGGCAAGTCTCAAGTGGACACCAGCAAAGACTGGATGAATCAATTGCTAATGAATCAAAGGGCACGATGTATGTATCGGTAAGCAACTGGGCTTACTCGAAACTCGTTTCGTTGTCAGCGCAGTTGTGCACAAGTATAATGTCAGGTATGCCGACGGCCAGACCGGAGAGAAGTTCCTGGAAGACAACAAGGACACAGGAACACTAACGGTTGGTTCTCTGAACTTGGTATTTGATCCAAGGAAAGCTTGAATTCAATCAAATATTGGCGCTGTCCGATTCTGGCTGCGATGCAATTTCCTGGTAAAACTTTTGCTTTGCATGTATGATACGGACTAGAAATAGGCTTCTGCATATGAGAAATATTACTGTAAATATTAACACCAACGCTGGGTATCCTTATACTCAAACAATGGGCTCGACAGAAAGCGACGTCTCCAGCAGGCTCATCAAAATCCTCTGCTCACGTCTTGCCATAGGTGGCCTTTATCCTCCTCTCAAGATGCTGCCAGCTCGTAACGGGCTTGGCACTCCCATATCCTTTCCTCTTGAGCACATCCAAGAATTCAGGGTCAACAACGCCCTCTTCGCTGACCGGTTTGCCTCGGTCTTTGAAAGGCTCCAGCAAAACATGGCGATCAGGTTGTATGAAGACCGGAATGCTCAACCTCCCCACGTTCTCGCTCGCAGACCTCGAAAAAGCCACTCGATGCACCGTCGACCTCAGCCTGCCCGCGGTCCAGAATTCCAGCGCATCCCCGATATTGACCACGATGGCGTCCTGTATGCATGGGACATCGACCCAAGCACCATGCCGCTGAACCTGCAATCCTCCCTGATCGGAGGGCTGTCGGAAGAGGAGCGTAAGCGAGCCGTAGTCCGAGTGAGCGCCCGCGCGGATGTCTTCGGGCTCCGGCGCTGCCGACGTGGGATCGGGAAATGAGAGTTGAGAGACAGAGGGGTAGTTGATCAGCCGCAATCGATGGCTCTCACCGGTGTGGGCCTTGGACAGGAAGTCTCTTGGCATCTTAGAAGCAGATTAGTCTCGGCGTCTACACAGCCTGTTGGTATGATGCACTCACGCCCAAGCCAACGGCTATTGCTTCCAACAAAGTCTTTGCCAAATTGTCACAGCCAGAGAAGAAGGTAGTCAAAGTCTGGCGTCCGCGCTCTAGCTGGGCGGGTAGCATCTGGGACGCCTTCCCGGGATCTGCGAGGTAGAACGATTCCTTGACATCGCCTGGTCCAGCTCCGGACAGTCTGGTTCCACGTAACGTCTCAGTACATGAAGACACGAGTTTGCAGGTACGATTGTCGAAGCCTGATAGGGTCAACCTACGTCTCTTCTCTCATTCCGGTATAGCCCTAACGGCGGTCAGCATACCGATTCCCATCGCCGATCAGGTGCAGAAATTCCCCAGAGACAACAAGTAAAAGCTCACCAAGTCGCCGCTGCCATTGGCGTAAACCAACTTGTCTTTCAGGGGTGAGCTGAAAAACGACTCGGCGAGAGAGAACAGCCCGGCTGCTACGTCGTCGCCGAGTTCGTGACCAACGACATAAAAAAAGCCAGGGTCCTTGCCGACGCGCATCAACTCCACCGCAAGGCTCTCAACCGAGTCGAAGGACCGCAGATCGACGACGGGCAATGCGGCTTCAGCGGCCGCAGCCATGGCTCGGAACCGGGTTACTGATTACACCGAGTGACTGAAAATGGCGATTTGCAGGCGTCTGAGATAATTAAAGAAGTCGATATCGACAGGCAAGAAGCAAACAAACCGGACGCTAACGGAACCAACAGGAGGTGAGCGAATCGGGAAGACTTCGTCCGATGCAGATTGACGCCACGGGGATGGGCAACAGGAAGCGAGATGGCGGGAAAAAGGGGGCGAATGCAGTCGAGCAAACAACATCAATAACAAGAACAAAAATGTCCAAGCTCCCCATGTTTAAGTATCCAAGACCAACGGCTGGAATGAACTGGACTGGAACCAACGACTGGTCGTCCGTCGCGATAGTGTCGCGGGGTTACGGATCTCAGCTGTTAAGCTGCTCAATAGGCAGTATGCACTCGGGATGGAACTCGCGGTTGGTCGTCATTCTGCAGCCGAGAAGACGTGGTCGGGGAACCAGCCTGCGGCAGAAGAAGACGGACACGGAGGCGGCCGGATGGCTGGAAACATCAGAGCCACAGGGTCCAAGGTATGACAACATGAGAACTCCTCAGACCGAGGAAGCATCCAACGTGGCGTCCCCTCAATTCGTACGACGCGGAGATAAAGAAAACCCATCGAACAAAGGTTATGCTGATGGACGGTGACATCCGCGATGAAACCAATCGGAACCCTTCATCGATGGCAGTCTGAACCCCAAGACCAACTCGACAGCGGGTAAGCTGCTGAATGAAAGAGCAAACATTGAGAAGAGCAAACAAGCAAACAACAGGGGTCCGCGTCAATGTTTGCTCCCTCCTTGCCTCCCTGCAGAAGCGGGGGTGAACGAAATCGCAAGACGGATCAAGTGAAAACGCGGATGGAATTTGGAGAGAAACAGGGAAATAAAGGAGAAATCTTAATTCCCAGAACCCCATAATCAGGGCCAATTCCAAAGTGCCCCCCTGTCTCTTCCCTCGTCAGATTTCCCCTCACCTCCCGTGTTGCCCTCGTCCAGCCCAGCCTCCAGGTGCTTGGGAGCGGATTAATTACTGTCACCTTTATTCCCCTGGAGATCCGGGATCTTCACCGACATTTGGAAGTTTGCCGCGAAAACCCCACGAACGAACACATGGGTTTCACGTTGGATGGATCTACAAGGCGTGATTCTCGACTCGAGCATGGCAATCAACAGCGCCGATACACTGGGTGTTCTGCCCATCTTTTCGCTTACTTTGCGATAGGCTTGTTTCAATGAGTGCCACTATTCCGCGCTGATCTCATCTCCTCGAAGACCATGGCAGCGTGAGCTGACCTGCATATTGCCCTTCGCGGCCTTCCCGGGACACCCCTTCATGGACTGAACCCTGTTTACGGCCATGCTATTCATCAATCTCGGCCGTTGGCTTCACTATCTGCGGTTGGTGCCATGGAATTTCGTACGGAAATCGGTAACACAAACTGCATGCTGCCACCCGGGTCTCTCCACCAGCCGTAACGTACGCATTTCTCGAAGCCATCGCCAGTCGCTGCCAACTCTCTGGTATTATATCATAAAAGATGCCACCACGAACGTCCGAAGTGAGCATGACACACACTGTGACTAGACCAGAAGTTGTTTCCCAAGTCTCTTGACTCATTCTACCAACCCTCAGCCCTCCAGAACGGGTGGTGAAACCTTAAGACAAACGCTGATGTGCGACCAGCTAAGCTTTCGAGCTAGGTCTGACAAGTGAGAAAGCCACCTCAGATTCGTCTGGTCGCTTACGGCCCAAGCCTCTTCCTTTGTTCTTGGGCGTTTGCGATACACCCCGAATCCCCGCAAAAAGGACGTCTAGTCCTCTCATCCCAGCCCTTCCCACCGTCGTAGTGTTCACCGCTTGCCCACCACCGCCCCGAGCCGAGCCAGTTTGGTGTCAGCGTGCGCCTATTCGCGATTCCGCGCCGGCGGCGCACACGGGTCAGCAGTGAGCAAGAAACCACACCACCACGCAACGCTTTGGAGTTACGATATGGTCTCATCAACCGCTCAACCGCGGACACACAATCCGTGGCACCAGAGCAAGTCAGAGGGTTATCACAACCCCGGAAATCAAATCGTGACATCACGAGACCACGACTTCGCCGGAAAGAGAGAGAGACAACATGACGCTGGCGGGCCTCATCCGCCGGATCGAAGTCTCCCGCGAGACCGATGTCGTCACCACGGCCTACATGAACCGCGACACCAGACCTCTTCCACCAGAGAGACGAACATACGGACCATGGCAGTTTGTCGGCCTCTGGGTCGTCACGGGCTCTTTCAATATTGGCGGCTGGACGACCGGCTCGTCTCTTATCGCCCTCGGCCTCAATGTCTGGCAGGCCATGCTGACTGTCATCATCGGCCACATCCTCGTGGGCTTCATCTGCGTACTGGCCGGCGGACCGGGAGCGAAATGGCACATTGGCTTCTCGATCTTGCAAAAGGCTTCCTGGGGCATGTATGGCGCCATGTTCCCGCTTATACAGCGCATCATGCTCTCCTTCATCTGGTACTCGACGCAGGTTTACTGGGGCGGGCAATGCGTTCGCACCTTCATCTCGTCCATGGCTCCGTCCTTCAACAACCTCGATAGACCCCTTGCCAACGGAACAATGACGGTGGCGGACTTTGTGGGATTCATCATTTTCTCCCTCCTCTGTCTGCCGCTGATCTACATCCGGCCCGAGAAATACCACGTCCCGTTCGCCGTGGCCGCCTGCACCGTCATCCCGACCGTCTTCGCCCTGCTGATATGGTGCGTATCAACGGCCGGGGGTGCGGGGCCGATGCTGAGGGACATCACGGCGACGGCCGGCGTCCAGCAAGCTACCGGGTCTCATCTGGGGTGGATGCTGGCGTTGGGGGTGTGCACCAACATTGGCGGCATCAGCACGCATATCTTCAGCCAGTCGGACTTCACCCGCTTCGCGCGCCGGCCACGCGACCAGCTCATGTCCCAGCTCATTTTCGTCCCGCTGAACACCATCTTGGTTGCGTTCATCGGCATCGTCTGCACTTCCTGCGCGGCTCAGCTATTCCCAAAGACCCAGGGCACGTTGGTCTGGGAGCCGTACCGCTTCTTGGACGCCCTGCAGGCGCATTACGATAACTCGGCCGGTGTGCGGGCGGCTGTCTTCTTCGCCAGTCTGGCATTCATCTTCGCCCAATTCGGAATCGCAGTTGCCGAGAATGCGTTGTCAAACGGGATCGATCTCTCGGCGCTGCTGCCGAGGTTCTTCAACCTGCGCAGGGGCGGCTATCTCACCGCGGCCTTCGCCTTCGTCATGCAACCCTGGCAGCTGATGAACGGAGCGAGCAAGTTCCTCACCGTCATGGGCGGATATGGCGTGTTCTTGGGATCGATGACTGGGGTCATGTTTGCAGACTACTACCTCGTCCGCGGCCGGATGCTTAAGTTGACGCACCTCTACGAGGCGACCAGCAAGAGCATATACTGGTACTGGGAAGGAGTCAATTGGCGGGCGGCGGCGGCATGGACTATGGGGACGTGGGCTCTCCTACCAGGCTTCATACAAAGAGTTCATGATCCCAAGGTTGAGAGCGAGGGATGGTCGCACCTGTATTATCTTGCGTGGCCTGCGGGTTGTTCGATCGCCGTTGTGACGTATTGTCTTCTTCACTATGCGGTTCCCATCGAGAATCCGCGGTTGATAGATGATGCGGATTACTTTGGGACGTTTGGCCCGAGAGAGGAGACGGTGCTCGATGGAGAGAAGCAGTCTCCTTCGGAGGTGTCCGCAGAGGCCGACGTTAGCTCCAAGGCGCAAGTCACTTCCGAGGAGAAAATAGCCTGAGGGATTAGATGGGAGTTGGGATTGGCTTCTTGTTGGCGTACAAGCGAGCATCATGTTTTCTGTTTTCTCCGGCGGCAGAACGGAATTATGTAGACAGATTGTCTTAACCTTAGTGGGAGGGCCTCACTTCCACGTACAAATCAAAGATACCCGGACATCGTACGATTCTTTTACGCTTTATGTGTGTCTCCTACCATGATGGACGCCTTGTTAGCGCTAAGCAAGAGGACCCAAGCTGCCGGGGCGATTAAGCTGATCAATTACGTCTCGGTTGCCAAATGCCGTGCGCGAGTTGGTATTTTCGCGCATATTTTGGCGCCGCCATGAGATCCCAAGACCGGTCTCGACACGCGGCAGGCGGCTAAGCTGCTGAATTCCACGACGGCCGACAGGAACAATTCCAGAACATGCCCGCTGAAAACGGGGTAGAGGGTAGGAGTGATGTCGTTTTCTGTACTTCTTCATCTTTGAATCGTCTCTGAGGACCTTAGATCGCGGTGTTTGTTTGTTTGTTAAAGGCGGCTGAATTCCCTCGGCGTTCCGAGTGAACAAGTTCGCGACCGACTACTACCCGACACGATGGCTGGCCCTCGCCCAACTACAAAACTCCTCTGCATCACCCCAATTTCGACCACTGGCATGACTGAGGATCTCTGTCGTTTATATCCATCAACCAGCGAACTTGATATTGTATTCATCGATGGACGAAATCTTAATGATTGTCCTCCTTGCATCGAAAATCACGAGCAAGCCGTGGCGTCAACAACTGCTGTCTTGCCTCGAGCAATAGAATACATCAACTCCAACAAAATCGACGGCGTTCTAGTCTGCTGTTTCTCGGACCACCCACTTGTTTATGCTCTCCAAGAATTACTCGACGTGCCCGTCACAGGAATATTCCAGGCCGCACTTCAAGAAGCGACAAAGGACGGAGAAAAGTTTGGAATCGTCACAACAGCAGAAGCTTGGGAAGAGATATTGAAGAAGTCGGTGATTGATCTCGGATACGCGAAGCAATCAGCAGGCGTGCTATCCACCGGCCTCGGAGTTTTGGAGTTGGAAAGCTTGGAACGAAGCATTGTTGTCGACCGCATAGCGACTTTCTCAAAAACACTAATCGAAAACGGTGCGACAAACATAATTCTCGGCTGCGCCGGCATGGCCGATCTCGAAGAAGATATTCGATCAGCACTTCCACAGACGGTCACGACGATTGATGGTGTACGAGCTGGGATAGAGATGCTGTCCGATCTCGCACGAAGAACATCCGATTTTGGCGACTCAAAACGGGCAAAAGACACAAAGCGCAATTGCGCAGTACAAAGCGAGGAGTTGGCCAGCCCACTGAGAACGATATTTTGAGAAGATTTGTCTCCGTCAAAGGATAGAGAGCGTGTATAATTATGCAGCATGAATGCGCCAGCCCTAACTCCTGGGACCTATCCTGTTGTCCACTGGTTGTTGATAGAATATTGCCAATCAATCTCTGGTGCATCATTAAATGCTGTTGTGAAGACGTTGCTCATGAAGTCCATCGGCGCAGTGAAGTTCATGAGCGGCATGCTTTGCAATTGGTACTGCTCCATAGCAGTCGTGGGCAACACCTGCATGATCTGCTGCCCACTGGATATTGCCGGTATTGGTATTTCCACCGCGGTTGACACATGTAGTTGCTGTTGGTTTTGTCGATTGATTTCATCATCGATTTTGGTGATGTACGTGAATAATTTGCCCGATATTTGTGGCGCGTTGGGCAGACAAGACCCCAGATTTTGTAGGAATATTGCCATGGCCCTCCTGCATTGGGTCAGTACGCGCCCCGCAATGATGAATGGAATTGATAGACTCAACTTACATGACATCTCTTAGTTTGAAGTATTGATGGGTGTGGAGGTGGCGGCCGATGAAACTGCTGAGAATGTGGCCGACACCGACAAGTTCTTGGAGCTGCGGAATGGTCAACATGACGGCCCTACTACTTCGGACGCATCTGAATATCAACGTACCATCGGATGTCCAATTGCACGCAGATACTCTGGCGGGACCTTGGTGATTTCGTCGATCAATTCAATCGCGGCACCACAAGCTTCTTCAAATTGATTCTCGCATGCAAATGCAGCCATTCGAGTGAGCTATCAATGTCAGAAATCGCTCCCCTTCACACTCTCTTCCGATGGGGGGTCAATCTTACCTGATACGTACACGCAATGTTGGCGACTTGAAAGCCGCATAGGTTCTCTTCGCGATTTGTCGATGACGGGAAAGCCTGAGAAGCATACAGCGGTAGCTTCATCTTCCGGCCCAACACCTCACGTAGCATCTCGTCAATCGACGGTAAGAGTCTATCGATGTTATTGCGATCCGTGTGTGCTGCCTGAACGCGCGCCTTGCGCATGCGGACGATGACGTGTTCCAGAATGCGATATAAATCGGTGATATAATTCCAGCCGACGAGCCAGCTGCCCGGGAAAAAGATCTCGGTTTTGGAATTTGCTGAGTTGCCAGAGACGGGCATCTCAGTGGGATCGAGGACACCAGAGAGACCAACGTGGACCGGATAGCCCACCCCGCATTGCAGCTCCGGGCAGCGGATGACATGGCCCTGAATGAGCGCTGAATGAACCTCGAGGCGGTACATGGACCAAAAGAACTGACGCCGGACATAAACCTCTGTTGAGGTCAAGTTGTCTCCCCAGTGCTTCTCAAATTGAAACTGGGATTGCGCCACGATGTTGTGGTAGCGCCCGAGATACTGCTCGAAGAGAGTGTCGTCCTTGATCTGGATGGCTGCCAAGGACATGGTACCGAGGACCTGGAGATACTGGAAAACCTCATTCTTCGGAATGTCGCGATTGTCTTCTGGAATGGCCTTGCGTCCATCGTCGAGATAGGCCTGTTGGAGCTCGTCGCGAACCATGTCTGGGACGACATCTGGATCGAACATGGCGCCGTCCCTGACATGGGATGCGCTGAGCGCGCAAATCGCCATCAGACGGGCGAATGCAGCGCGGTCGGACGACATCTTGGACTCATCCCATTCTCTCATGACGGACTTTTCATCATAGAAAGGGAAACTTTTGGAACCTATCGTCAGCTACTCTGCTATAAACGTACGTGATAATCGAGAGCAATTGAAATGGGAGACAAACACTGGGTACACCGTGTCGAAGAAAATGCAGATGAGACGGTGAACAAGGTCCCTACTGCCATGGCGGCTCTCATCGTAGAACCAACGGTCCGAAGCATCCCTGGATTGAGATTGCCTCGCAGAAGCCGGCGACGTCTTCGACTTGACACCTCTCTTGGCGGCTTTTCGATCCCAGGTGCATTCCGCTCCGTGTTCGATGCAGGTCAGACAGCTATGGTGACCATCGGGGCCAATGACGGGTGTAACCCCGCTCTCCACGGTAGCAGGTTTGCATTTCCGGCCTCGCCGATGACAAAAGTCGCAGGCCTTGGTAACGCGACGACGCTTGAGATTGGGTTCGCTGTGCCTTCTGCTGTCGCCGTTGGGATGAGGCTTCTCGTCGTCTCCCATGGTCCTCTCCTCTCCTCCTCCCGGCGTCGATATGCGAGCGAGCGTCCGGGGCGCGTTCGACGCGGGTCACGGGACTCTCATCCGGCCACCAAAGCGGAGGGATGGTGGAGCTAAACCGTCTGGGCCTGGGCCTTGAGTGTGTGTGTGTCGCGTCTCGGTGAGGGGCCGAATCCTCCCTCCAGTCCAGTCTTCACGGGTGCTGTGCCAACTGCTCACTCTCTCCCTTGTCGATGATGTGCAGATCCACAGGCGATGGACGGGTACGGACCGGAGATACTGGGGACGCTATGTACTGTGTGTTTGCGTGCTCCCGGATGTCTCTGAAGAACGGGGAATTCAAGGCCGTGTGGTCTTCTCCGTGTGGACGATCGGGGTGAGACGGTATTTGTGCAACGCTGGAGCAGAGTTACGGTTTCGACGTGTCTCTTATTTTTCTCCAAGAATAAACGGGGAGGGGGGTGAGGAGACGGGCTCTGCAGAGGTATGTTTGTTGAAATCGAGACGGCCCCCAAGTGGGGAATTCAAGCAAACATTGTTGTTCCCTGATTCCCTGACTAAGCCCTCCTTCATCATCCCTCCTTCTGATGGTCTTGAGTTGAACCAGGGGAATTAACTCACAGACACCGTCGCATCGTTGGTAAGTCCGGCTTGCGGTGAGCCGCCGCGGTACGTATTCCCATCGCACTCTGCCTTACTCGAAGAGTCCAAAGTCTCGAAGGGCCGTTCGGGGATTCAGGGGTGGCTGTGCCGCAGCCGCTGACCGAATCTTGGACGCCGGTTTCTTTGTTTTGACCCCGGTCTTTCAATTTCTGCGTCTATTCTTTCCCCGAGAGTCCCCGTCTCGCCGCGTCACAGCGTCTCCGGAAAAGGCATTGGCGACACAGAGGATTCTTCTGGAAGGCCCCAAAACATGATGATATACCGGTATTCTGAGAAACAAGAACGGAAGCTTCCCTAGTGAAGAAAGCTAAACCATGCCGTCGGTGTCGTGTTCCAGAGGACCAGCTTGCGATGGAGGCGCTTTGTTTTGTAAGACATCGGGACGTCATTGCCCTATCTCCGGTTCCAAGCTGCTGGAACCCAATGTTTCCTGTATCCTGTATCCCGTATCAGTGTTTGCTGCTTTATGGATATTGACGCACACGTGCAAAACCTGTCTCTTCCCACTGCCGCCCTTGCACGTGGGCGTGGAACTGATCCAACCAGGCGCTCCAATCCCGCCAAAACAGCTTCAACTTGACACCATGGTACCAGTTTCCGGGGATGCTGATCCGATACCCCACGCGGAAAAGTAGGCATTGCCGTGCCCTGCGTGTGGCTATGTGCACGTGTATGTTTGCTTCATGCGTCTCAACATACAGATCTACACGGTCTGGGCCCTGTCATCACTGCCAAATTGAGTTCATCGGGGGTAGTAGACCAACTGAGCGGTCGGGTCTGATTACAGGAAGTGACACAAAGTTGGCTGCCACTTACTTGGATGATATTGTTCGACAGTTCGTCCAATTGACTCGAATATTTTCTTATCATTAAGCGGCCAGCAGTTACATGTCCAACATATCTGTTACATCAACAACGTGCACGATGTGGTTCACCGAAAGTTGTTTAGTTATACTCCAGACAGTCGCCTCAACTGATGAAGCCCGATGACTGAACGCTTCCAGCATTCTTCAACGACCCGTTTTGTCCAGTTTGCACGTCTGAAGTTACGATAGCCTTCTCTTGTTCTGGCTCAACGTGGTTTATGTGGAACTTGATTCCACCCCTCGCAGTGTACGCTGCCTCCAGCTCATAGTTTGCCCAATCTGGAAACAACTACGACACTTGGTCAGCAACGCCTATGGTCGATCCGTCTGGGAGTTGTTACCTTTCGAAGGCCAATGAGTCCAACTTGTTTCAGAACCTGACATGTGCTGACACATCCGATAATGAAAGGAATGAGCTGCCCGGTGGTCTTGATTTCGTTGACATCTTGAACATTGTTCCACCCCAGCGTCAGCTCAATCGAGAGTATGAACCACAGTATACTAAGGAAGACCAAAACGTTCCAAACGATGCTCAGGATACGAGAAATGGATCTGGGAAACTATTCAGCATGGCCTCTTCTGGCGTCCCGAAAGACCAACATGAACTCACCTTATTCGACGTCTCTTACTAGCATCCGTCATGGCATGAGTTGCATCAGGTAAATGTTTGTGAGTCTTGGTATCTGAATGTCTTGGGGTGAAGAGCGAAATGCCAGCTCTGACGACAGCATGGATCCTGACAGTTGCCGGATCGGATAGGTTTGTGAAGAAGGAAAGTAGTTGAATGATCAAGATGAAGAGCCAAATGATTGAAATCAAGAATCGCAGACTAGGTGTTCGTTTTAGAACGAACTCGCTGACTCTAAGATAGTACTGTATCCTCTCAAAAATAGGAAGCAGTACGCGTCGAGCAACCTTGGTTGCCCGAGTCGCACTGGGTACCATGAAGTAAATGATATCTCGGACGGCACAAAATGCTAAGAGAGTGACAAGAAACCCAGCCGCAGACGTCAAGAGAAGACAGAGTGGCAGGACCAGAATGACGATAATAATTGAGATGATTTGCGAGAATATGATTACTGGCTCGTGAATGCGCTGTTTTGAGAAAAGAAATATGAAAGGAGAACCGCAACCCCTGTCGATATCCGGTGTTTTCATAACTGAACACCAGAAGTACACGTTGAAACCGGCAACGATACCAAGGATGGACGTTCTCCATAACACACCAAGCCATGATATATGACTGGGCTTGAAAGGTGTGAGATATTCGAGGGGCACTTCGAAGTTTGGATTGGAGACATAATTCTTCGCGGCCGCGTCTTCAAGGAAGCCATTGGCCATTCTCCAAAGGGCGGCACCCAGAGCTTTGAGGGGGCTCTTAGATGCCCGCTCCTCTTCAAACGCTTCTTGAAAGCGTTGTCGAGTCCAGAACCTTTCCCGTTTGAGTCGCTCCACCTTGCGCTTTTCGAGGATTCTGCGGAAATGGTGCCATATGAGCTCTATCCGTTCGGGCCGTAAGAAATGATTGCGAACTCCAATGGTGCTGAGGACCGTCATGAAGAAGCCGAGAGAGATTTGCAACATAATGTACAGCTCTATTGGGCGAACATCATGATGCACCTGAGCTAGTATCGTTGCAATGATGATAGCGAACACGAAGATGGCGTTGACTCCGTGGACATCTTCGGCGCTCTCTTCGTCGACCAGCATGTGAATCCAGGATGACATCCATTGGCAATAAACGCCGACCCGTACGCCGAGTCCGTACAAGTCTCCATTGCCATCGATTGAGCAGTTGTCGGTATCCATTTTGCCGAGGAAAAGCAAACCAGCGCTTGCAATGACCCGCGAGGGAAGTCTGGTGGGTGTTTGAGGGATGCGCACATGCAGGTGAAATGAGTCGGTAGCAATGGGCCCAATGGCAAACGTTCAATGGCCGTGTTTGGAAAAGACGCGAACAGAAATCATTCTTGCGTGCCACTGATGCCATGAGGCTGATCTACATCATGCAGCCCTCGGCCCATCCCGCTATTGCAGCCACATCATGTCTCACAACTTCAACTAAAGAGCGCCACCATGCTCGCAAACATTTACATTTATCTTGGCGTATCCTTCAAGGGCAAAAGCATTGAGGCCGCAAGCATCCTCTCCTACGGGCCATTTCCACAATCGCAACTGTTCACCTGCAGAATGCAGGCTAGGTAGACATAACTTTACGCAAGCAACCGGTTGACTTCGACCAAAGATGATATCCTACCCAGTACCCAATGATTTCTAACTTGGCTGAGTCTCTGAATCTGTTTCCGGCTGCCAGAGCTGAGAAATAACCACGCGTCCACGGCAGCTTTCCCGCGCCTTTGTCAAGGTCGAGAGCCATTCCAGAATGGAACATCCGTAAGGCTTCTGGAACTTGCCTTCCAAACGGAATACCCCTAAACATATGCCGCTCCACGGGTGTATCTTCAAGTTGTTGCTCTGGTCATTCTCGCCGTTTGTTGAAGCCATCCCAAGCTTCCCTTGTTCCGTGAATCTCCCAACCAATAGCCATTTGACAATGTTTGGAAACTTATTCGCAGCGTCCACAGCGCTGACCCAGTCTTCGCCGTTGTTGTAGCAGATACTAGCCCCGTTAAAAACCAGTAACTTTACTACATCCTCCCGGCCCTCGTGAGCTGCCGCCATCAGAGCAGTTCCGGCCGAAGACCCGTCAAATTCAGTGTCCGCTCCCATTTTCAGAAGCACTTTCACTTCCTCCACGCGCCCGTAATGAGCCGCAAAGCAAAGGACGCTGAAGCCATCAGAAGCATCTTCGCCTTTGAACTCGGTGAGCCTCCGCATGAACGGATGCCCGAGACGCCGATAGAACAGCCAAAGGCCCCGGTGCGCCGACTTGTCATTCTGAAGTCCGGTCTGCCACCAGAGTTTCCACCACGCTCTCTCCCGTACCTGTACCGTCAACGAATTGCTGAAGTCTGCATTGAGAATGAATGTCGCAAGTTTGATCTCGAACATGGAAGCCGCCCAAACAGGAATGCCGAGAGTACTTCTCTGGTCCGGTTTCATCCCGGCTTCCATCAACAGGCGAAACATGTGGGCACTATTTACCAAGATGAACCCGTTTGAGTCTTCGCTTTTGTTAATAGAAGCTCCTCTCTCAATAAGAAACGCTGTTGCTGCAATATTGTTGTTCCTAGCGGCAAGCTGTAGAGCGCTCTCGCCCTTCCCGTCTCTTTTCGAAAGTAAGGCACCATTGTCCAAAAGAAGTTTCAACATCTGGACGTTGTCTTTGTTGGCTGCTATATGCAACGCTGTCTTGGATCTCGTGTCTATCGCATTTAAATCTGCACCATGCTCGATGAGCAGCTCGGCGATGTCGGTGTTCTTCTTAATTGCCGCTAACTGCAAAGGAGTGAGATGACGTTTGCCGAGACCAAATACTGCAACCTGGTTGGCAAGTTGCTTAGACAAGTTGTGACCGAGAGACTTGCCTATCTCTTCAAGGCAAGCCAACAAACGACTCAGAGACCAGTAGTGATCATATTTTATGGCCAGATGCGCTGGGCTGGAGTTGTCCACAAGCCATAGGAGGTCGTCTTCTGGCACTGACTTAATCCATTCCAGCTCAGTCTTTCCGAGTCTTTTGTCTTGTATGAGCAGGTCGAGTGCAGTCGACCAAGACCTGCTGCTGCGTGGTTTCATTGGCTCTTTATCAGTCTCACTGTCGACCGAGGAGGAGTCAGACTCGCTACTGGAGGACGAGCTATCACTGGATGCTTCGCTTTTCTGCCAAGGAAACCTGCTGTGTAGTGGAAGACGATTTGCATGCTGACGACACGTCACGCCGCGGAAAGTTGCTCCATGGTCGAGAAGGCATTGTACAATCTTCTTAGATATCGGTTGACGCCTCAAGGTAAACAAAAGAGCCGTGCAAGTTCCGCAAGTCCGCATCTTGAGATCAGGTGGACAGCCTTCTTCCAAAAGCCTCTTGCATGTTGTATGTTTGTTCTTGAAAATTGCGTCCTGCAATGCTCTCGATAACGCAGCGTTATAGTGCCTTTGAGATTTGTCGTTACGCTGTTCAGATGTCTCTTGACTCGGCCCTCGGACTGAGTCCAGAAGCATGTTCGTGATGTAGATTTTCGGTTTCGAGACAGCCAAGTCCAGTGGTGTCCTCCCAGCCTTGGACATTAATAGTTTCGCGCCAAGTTTAAGTAGTAGGGTCGTCAAGCCTTCATGCTGGCTGTTGACAGCTATGTGAAGAGGACTCCATCCTCGTGCGTTCTGTGCATTGATGTCGCCACCTCGATCTACGAGGAGGCTGATGGAGTCAGTCTGGCCGAGCATCGTGGCAAAGTGCAATGCTGTGCTGCCATCTGCAGTCGTGGCGTTGACGTCAGTTGCGTAACCGCGATCGAGAAGCAATTTGACTGCATTAGCCGAACCTATTGTCGCCAGGTGCAATGCCTGGGCCTTCGAGAACCTGCGGATGCTGGTACCGTATCTTGACAGAGTAACGTTGACCTCGAAACTCCAGTCTGGTTGCGTTTCAGACGATGAACCCAGCTCATCCAGGAACTCAACCCATCCATAAGCGCAAGCAAAAGATACTGCTGTCCATCCATCGGCATCAGGAGTGTTCAACGTCTTTGCTGCCCCTCGCCTCAGGAGTAGGCGGGCGCTTTCGAGATATCCGTAATAGACATGAATGAGCAGCGCCGAAATGTTTCTCGGTTGGCTAAGCATATTAGGGTCCGCTCCTGCGTCCAGAACCTGCTGAACATGTCTCTTCCTCGGGCAAGTAAGTGGTTTTCGCTGCTGACTGTAACCTCCAAACGGGCCAAGACGAACGAAATGCCTAGGAATTGGCGGCTGGGGTACTGATGATATAGGAGGTGGGAATAACACGAATGCGAATACCGGAGTTGTCCATCGCGTTCGTGAGAAACACTCGCCGGATCCAAGCAGATGCAGCAAGCTGAACCTCTCTTCCGCATACGAGCGGGAGAGTGCATTCAACGAGCCCTTATCTGCTTTCTCTAGCAACATGAGGAGAATCCTGTAACTGTTCGGATTCTGCCAATAAGCGCAAACCACATCAAGCGCGTTCGAGCCGCGCTCTCTTTCATGAACGCTGGCGTCTAGACCGAGAAGACGATCTACCAGAAACACGGAATCGCAAGCAGCAGCCCACTTCAACATCTTCCAATCCATGCCGCTAGACTTCAGAAAGCTGGGGTCTGTGGTGGAATCAAATGTCGAAATGAAGACGTCCTCTAACACAGAGACGAGATCAGGGTCTAGCTTCACGCCTACTCGTATGTTACCCATGTTGAGCAAGTATTCGATCTCCTTCAAACCCGAGATATTGAAAATTTTCTCGTAGGACGCCAGGCAACCTGAGTCTATGAGGAGCTTAACAAGGTCGGCACCCCAGTCTACACGATCTTGCTGAGGGTAGGCGTGAATGGTGCGAATTTTGTTGCAGACAAATGCCCAGATGTGTCGCCTGGACGTATCAGGCGGTAGGGATAAGTCGGCAGAGATGAGTTCTTTCAAGCTCTCTTCATCGTATCGGTGGAACTCAGTTGCTGCCAAGTAGAGTTCAAGAGGACTTTTCCACAACAAAGCCTCAGCGTACGGATAGATGTCCAGAAGTTCGCGTATGGTATCCGCTGTTGATTCTCGTCCAAGGCAATGTAACGGAATCTCTCCTGGCAGCTTTGGAAGAAGACCCTTTTCGTATAGCTTTTTGAGGGCGCCTGGGGACTCGATGTCCCCAATGAGAGAGTTCACCGGTGGCGAGATGCTTTGGAGTAGCGTGGGATCTTCTTCGCAATGTCTGGTCATCATTTCGACGCATTGATGACTTTCGCACTGGAGAGCCCTGGCTAGCGGTGTCTGTCCATTGGAGTCGAGCATGTGTAATGCCCGCTCAAGCTGGGTCTGATCAACATGTGATAGAAGAGCTTGGAGGATCCTCGAGCCACAGTCTTCGTTCTCGGCTGAGAGGTGCCATATTGTGCGCTGCATGTTGTCCTTTGTGGTTGTTATGGCTCCGTGGCCGAGGAGACACATGAGCACGTCCTCCATGCGATTCTCACTGCAATTTAGAACCATCTCTGACAACCTGCCTTTGTCATGTCTCTGTTCGACATATGATGTGAGTAAGAAGTCGAGACAGGAGACTGCTGAGCATGAAACAGCGAAATCCAGATGTCTCGTCATGCTATCCCCCTCGAAAAGATGGCCGCTGCAACGTTGGTATGCTTCTTTGAGTGTGCTCAATGTGTCTGTTTCGATTGCTTTCCACATTCTCTCCATGAGCATGGTGTCCGTAATTGCTTCGGAAACTGGAAATGGTTCTTCGACCTCGGTTGACTCCGAAATGACCTTCTTGAATGCTTTCAAGTACGCGGCGGCTTCCCCTTCTCCTCTCTTGGCCATTCCGGCGAGCATGTCCAAGACTGCAGATGCGTCTACTAGTGCCGAGTCGTTAGGTCGTCCATTTCGCTTTCGGTATTGCGATCTGAAAATTTCGATCGTCTCGTCATGCAGCTGACCACCTGCTCTCACAACAATGGCAAATAAATCGTAGTCTTTCGTCCATTCGGAAGACTTGAGTGCCAGGGCCCCCATCGAGTCCCACGTATACTGACTGGGCAAGGACCTTGTACAATCAGCGCCTAATGCTACCAAGGCTCTCACAGTCTCTCTCGATGTTGTTTCGACGGGAGAAAGCTTGGTCCAATGACTGAGATCTTCCCGAACAGTGGAGAGATCATGGCAAGCAATGAGCCTTGGCCCCCCAAGTGCGCACTGCAACGGGGAGCCAATTCGGCTCATTTGGTTGATATTTGCTCCATGGTCTATAAGCTGTTGAGAAAGAGCCTTCAAACCCAGTAAAGAGGACATATGTAGTGGGTTGAAGTCGCCGCGACGGACGAAGTGGGCTAACCGTCTGGTTTGACCTGCAGGCCATTTCCAGTCAGAAGCATTTCTTTTCCTCCATCTCCAAGACTCCTTAATATCAGTCTGTCGAGATGGAGTCTGCTGATCTGAAGACGAGGACTCTGACGTTCCCAAGTGAGAGCCTGAAGGCCCTGTAGTGCCTTGAGTAGAGTCTGAGCAACGGGATTCATGCCCAATACCAGTGTTGACAGGTAAATCATCAGGTGCACCTCCGTGTCTTGCTTCATGGCGTTTTTCTTCCCAATTAGTCAACGATCCTTCGAGTCGGTAGAAACGACAGACTTCCAGAGACCATGCTTTGAAGTTAGGTGTTTGGTTGGGATGGCACAGCTCGAATGCCAGTGATTGGAAATCCTCGTCTTCCGCAAGGTGTTTTGCTAGTTGAGGCCAGACCAATGCAGCATACCTGTAAAATGGATATCTGTTTGCTCTGTTCTGGATGAACCGTTCTTCATAATTGGATCTCTTCGGAAATCGCGAAAAATGTTCGAGGTTGAGAAATCGAAGCGCACACAAGGCAACGAGTCGACGACATCGCGATTCCGACACGCGATATTCCACAAATTCAGAGTCTGAAGGGTCTATGTTTTCGAAGAAATCCCTGACCGTTTGATCTGAAAGTTCAATGTGATCTCCGTGATCTGACTCCCGCAGGAAGAGACTGCAGTGACTGAAAAGCTCTGTCTCGGCAAGCTCTGGATACTCCAGCCCAGCCGGATCCAGTCCTGGTAGGCCTGCCACTGATAGCGCTTGGCATATTTCATGAAGTGTGAGAGGTATTTCCGAGAACATTGCCAGTTGGATAGAGGCTTGAAACAGGACTCGCGTTGCAAGCGAGCCCTGGTTGATGCGTCGCAGCATAAGCCTGTACAAGGACTCTAGGGTTTGCGGAGGCTCCTCCAGAAAGGCTGCCCATTCATTGCTGACAGCACTTCCTGCGAGGAACTCAATTTGGCAAGCTATCAACCGGAAACTTTGTTACTGTTAGTCAATGCAAGTTGGTGATGGTCGGAGAGATGGTCCCATACCTTGCTCCATTTCCATGGCTGAGCCGCTCCAAAGCCTCATCTTTAATCCTTGGGTCAATGCTAGCCAGCCTTTCACAATTGACTCTCTTCTGAAGTTCCATGGCGGTGAACAGCTTGAGTTGCTCTGCCGAAGTTGTGATCTCGAGTTTTGATGGATTGGGCCATGTAATGAAACTTGACTCAATGTACTGGTTTGGCCTAGAGATCATAACAATGCTCAAATTCTGGCATTGGGACACCAGAGAAGACACCAAGTCCATGATAGTATTGCCGTAATTTGAGCATCCATCGATGCCGTCCACAATCATCAACACTCTCTTGAGCATCGTCGATGCCTTCACAAACAAGCTTTCCATACGAGAAACGTCGGGCTTCTCAACGAGCCTGTTTTGATGCAGCTCCTTGTAGTACTCCGAAAGGAGGCTCATTGCCGATGGATGTTGACGGCACAACTGTGAAAGAAAAGTGCCCAGAACATACTTCGCATCATACGTTCGAGGGTCTGAGGGGTGACAGAAAAGAAAGATGACTGCTGTATTGGCGTCGCTGTAACTTTGCAGTATAGCCTCTTCAATCGTTTGGGCGACCATCGTAGTTTTACCGCATCCCGGAGACGCTGTAATCCACAGTCTGAAGCTGGCGTTGCTCACCCAGTCTTTGATGGGTGACTCCCCGACAGCAACACATTCGACCATTCTGTTTCGCCTTTTCAAAATGTTGATGAGCAAGCCCCGCTGGTCGACTCTGGAGAAAAACCGCGTGACTGCAAAAGAATATCTCGATCCCACGTGGCGACCCGAGATATATTTATGGATTAAGTCGTCGTCTGTCCCCTGAGATTTTCCTTTCTGGTCTGAAAACATTTGGAACATCTCAGCGATTTCTCTCGCCTGTAAAGCTTTGTTGATAGTCTCGACATGTTGGCCCAGATCTGATAACAAGTCTTGGGTCCAGGCTCTCGTGAACGGCCATTTCAGCTCGAGTTGCGGTCCTTCGCGCTCTTGATTTTTGACATCGTAGGTAAGCTTTCTCCTGCTCAAATGTGCTTCAAGCCGTAGCAGGGTTTGGTTGCAAGAAACGATCTGCTGAGGTATCGCCGGTGTCCAGTTTCCGTGGTCATGGCCAGAACCATCCTCGTACTCGAAAGTAGAAGCCACGAGGGCGAGCTGATGCAACAGACCAGCGAGTCTTTGTATCTCGTTCGCGATTTGTCGAATTTCATCTTGTCTCTTGGCGTCTAGCTTGCGGTTCAGGTTGTTTCTGGCAAAGTCGAGCGTGTGTCGAAATGCGGCGTCTGCAATTCCCACCATGCTTCGAACGCTGTCCACGAAACCCTTGGGGTCCATGACTGCTGCATATCCTTTTGACGTTCTGACGGAAGAGTAGTTCAGAGGGTTCAAGGTCGAGTCCGTCAAGATGGAGGTAGTTGAGCCGGAGAGTCAGCTCCACGCGGAAACGCGGGAATCGTTGTCACGTTTAGGGTGAGATTCTCAACACCGCTTGCTGACTGCATCCGAATGCACGCGTGACGTGTCGCGCAATTCCCCCGCTCTCTGATATGGTTGGGCAATGTCAGACATTGTTTTGGTTGCAGCGGCTGAATGTCGGAAGGGTTTCGGGTTGGGCCAACGGATGCCTACACCATTGATGGCTGCAGACAAGAGAATAAACGCGATCAGGCCGTCAGTTGCAACTGGGTTGCCTGCGGCAGCTAAGCTGATTTCGTGGAATTTGTTTTTACATGCGTCTTTTACACTTTATATAAGCTCTATTAACGCAAAAGCCTTTTAAGAGATGTCATAAGTAAGGATACTAGATTGATTCAGCTTTTCATTCTGGCAGACCCAGAAAGACATGAGGACATAATCTCAGACTCTTATAAATCTCGATTTCAAAAACAGGCGAACGCAAGTTGACGTTATTATTATGTCGTCGAATCCACACCGTAACTCGATTTGGGACATCAGATTACAATAGCAGCCTGAACTTGCGGAAGAACGATCCCTTTTTTGCTACTCTGCAAATATATACCAGTGTATTCAAGTGTAAGAACTGGTAAATGGGTGCCGTTCCTTTCATCGTGAACCTCCCGATTGCAGTTTTGTCTCGAGTCATACATATAACACTCCCAACTGTCTGGTGGCTTGGTTGTGGGGAGGCATATCGCAGTAGCGCGTTATGCAAGGATGGAGCGCGGAACGGGTGTTTAGTCCATCGACGTCAGAGCCAATTTTGGTTACTTAGGCGTTGCCGAGATTACAGTCCACGCTAGCAACCGATCCCCAAGCTCGTATGGGGCAATACGAGGTTTAGCAGAATACTTAAAGTCGACCGGAACCTTCTCGTAACGGAGCCGAGTCCTTTTATCAGTCACACGTGAAGCGAATACAGCCATCATGCGGACTCCGCCTCTTCTCAACAACATTGCGTTGTTGCTCGCAACTGCAGCCGAGACAGCCTACGGCTTATCTGTCAACGACACCCAAATCCCGCAAAGAGTCGAATGGAGAGAGTTGTCGCAAACAGCACAAGCAGATTACATCAAGGCAGTTCAATGTCTCGATGGTCTCCCGTCCAAGATCGGTCTTGAGACTTCCCGCTACAATGATTTTCCCTATGTTCACGCCCACCTTAACCTTCAAAGTGAGTTCAAGGTGGCTGTCAATCGTTGTCTGGGCGTCGCAACTGACTCGGGCATAGTTCATTTCGTCGCTCAATTCTTGCCGTGGCACCGGTATTTCATACATATTTATGAGACTGCGCTGAGAGAGGAGTGCGGTTACACTGGACCGATGACATATTGGGACTGGACTTTGGACTCTGAAGACATGTCTAAGAGCCCCGTGTTCTCCAACGACACAACCAGAGGCTTTGGAGGAAACGGGCTGAACGGTGGCTTGACATCGCCGTCGCGTCCAAATCCATTGGTGATGTGTGTCACCGATGGCGCATTCGGCAACTTCACAGTCTCGTATTACGACACAACGCCACGGCCGCACTGCTTGAACCGAGGTTTCAATGATGGTGTCGGCGGCAACAACGGCAAGTTCCAAGGACACATGTATAGCCCCGACAAGGTCTTGGACATTATTGAAGGTTTTGGGAACTTCTCCGAATTTGCCACGAAGCTAGAGAACGAACCTCACGGCGCCATTCACCAGGCACTCGGTGGCGACATGATTCCATCTACTTCCCCCAATGGTATGTGTCAAACACCTTTCCTGGCACCGTCAACTGCTGAAATTTTTGTGTTCATAGATCCGTTGTTCTTTCTCCATCATGTACAGATCGACAGACTCTGGTGGTTTTGGCAACGCAACAGGACCGTAGATCGCACAAACGACTTCTCCGGGATCAGAAAGTCAGCTGCCGGTGTCACCGAATCACAGCCGGCGTCCTTGAATGACACGATGCCGATGCTGGGCCTTGCTCCTGATCTGCCCATCCAACACGTCATGTCGACGGATTCTCGCTTCTTGCGGTATAAGTACTAGGCTAGGATGTTCACTTTTGCTCGTAGCGAACCCTAACACGGCCATTTGACCGTGTTCTTCATGCAGTTGGTACCTTCCCGCATCTTCAACTACCATCAGGCTATGCCAAATTTGCCGTTAAGCGTTCTGCAGTGCATTCAACCGACCGTCCATTGGTTAAACCCATGGCCCAGGATTGAAAACCTGGCATGTATCACAATTCAGCTTCAATTTATCCTGGCGATCAACATCCGCTCCAGTGATTCTATATATTCCTCTCTTTAGCTTTAGTTCCACATCAATAATGGGTACATGTCTGGTAATCGATTCTTGCGAATTAAATCATGAGTTCTAACGACACTTCTTCGTCGGTGAGGAGCTCTTGGACGGACACATTCTACTCCCTGAACAGCGGGAGTGTGGATTCAGAACTCGAACGGCTGAACTCCAACCATTTTAATGTTTGGCTGCCGCTGGCCGGTCATGTATTGTCACCGTCTATACTGGAGGAACTCAGACAGACCCCACGCCCACGAGTAGCTGACGTAGCAACTGGTACAAGAGTGTGGCTGAGCTCCCTTGTGGGATATCTGCCAGAGGCCGAACTTTTCGGCTTCGACTTCGATCCCGTCAAGTTTCCAGACTCCGCTCCGTTTCCAAACATTTCGTTCAGACAGCAGAACGTCCTTCTTCCATTCCCTGAAGAGCTGCGGGGAACTTTCGACGTCGTCCATGTCCGGCTCCTACTAGTTGCAATCAAGGCAGGCGATTACAAGAGGGTATCGACGAATTTGTATCAATTACTCAAACCAGGCGGTCGGATAGTATGGGAAGAAGCATCCGCACTTTCCTTTCGATCTTGCCCGCCCAGCAAAGCATTTGAGGAGTTCACCAGAGTAGAAATCCTCCAAGCGCTCAATAATGGGCAAGACCCGAGGTAAGCGGCGACACTGACTATGGCCGGAAACTCGATTCTAATCACCTCGAAATCTTAGGGGCCCGGCGCTGCTTCCGAATGCGCTGCTCAACGCGGGGTTCCAGAACTGCGATACGAAGATCCTGTCAAGTTGGGCAGCGGATAAGCATGTCCAGGATGCAGCTTGCTTAGTTTCACTGGGCATTGTTCGGCCCTTCATGAAAGCAGTAGTTGAAGATGGTGGGATTGAGACTGTTCGAACAATTGAAGATGTCGAACGATTACATCGCACACTCACAAAGGAGTTTAGAGACGGGACTCGGGTTGGATTCGATTTTATCACGGTAGAAGCACATCGATAGCCATAAGCTAAGCTAACGTACTCGATTCTTCAGGGCCAAAAAAATGTGCCACGAGCACATGTTGTGAAACCTCCGAGAGCGATAGCTCCCACTGATTCTGGGTTCTCACCCACATTCGAGTATTTCGATCTATCGGACACCCGATGGCGGCACTATCGACAAGGGCTCATGGATGGCTTCCGTCAAGTTCTAACAAACTGATGTTTGGGCCGCGGTTTCCTCCCGAGTGACTTTCGAGTTAGCCGAGACCGGGAATAGAACGATCCCTATCACTCAATGGAACACGCATGATGCCCCGGACGCCGTCGTGAGGCGCCGCATCGATTCGAGTTGGTTCAAACTACGAGAAAATACCATGGAACCATACCTCTGCATTGCCGACGGATGGGCGCAAAAAATGTATGGCAAAAATGAACATGACAAGATAAGAGGCTCTTCAAAGAAGAACCCCCCTGAGGGTCTTGGGGAATATGCACGATGTGTTGATCAACACCCTGCAGTACCAAGTAAAGCGTTCTGGCTTCCAGTACCGGTCACTCCTCTTGACGAGAACATCGTGCCATCATGCACACCACAGATGCCCTTCATCTCCTGCGAGACAAAGCCCGGGTGGTTCATGACTTGCTGGTTTCCTGATAATTGGTTCTTGGATGACGTTCCGGAGCATCATTATCAAGAGAGATCCTTCACCATGAGGCTTCTGGATGCCAACTGCGAATATTGCGGAGAGCTAAAGCTTAATCGAGATGAGGACAACAGCCATTATGTCGAGGCTGACTCCAATTGCACCCCTGGAGTCGTCGAACTCGTCGCGATCCGTCAGAGGAGATTGCCTGAAGTCGAGCAAGGGACAAGATGCACGTTCTGTGGGTAGAGTGGGCGGATGGCGTGGCTGATCGAAAGGCTGTTAGATTTGTCTGGCTGGTTGCTTGGGAACGCCATGAGCTAGAGATAGAGAGTATTCACCTAGTGCTGGGCTAGCTTCTGGATGCTTTCCAGATTCTTAAGAGGACTCAGGTCTTTGGGGAAGATTCAGTCTCTGGATATCTCTAGGACTAGTTCCCGAGGGTTCAAATCTCAGTTTGTATGTCAATGCAACCGCTGGTGGGGCATTCTTCAGTAAAGTCATGCCAGGGAAAGTAGTTCGTGGGAGGGGTATCAAGCACGTCAGCTTAACCCGTCAACGGCGTCACGGATTTCCGATGTACCAATGTGTGTGGGCTTCCCCCCACCAGTCCACGCCATCATCCCGCGTCGGTCATCCCGCGTCGATCTTAGTCAACCGGATGTAGGGGTGTGGCTCCCGGGCGGTTGACTGAAAGGACGAAAATGGGCGGCTCTGGCGATGAAGTTGAATTGAGTTTTTCCCCAAATGCTAAGGTAGTGAAGAACAGGGTGGGTCAGTTCAGAACATTTCAACGTCTATTGTTGAGCAACTTCACCCGTAACATCACAGCCAAAACGCTTCACGCGTTTTCTCGTTCCACTCGGCATCGGGCCTCGTCTCTCGTGGACAGCGATGCCAAGGCGTTTGCCTCCGCTTGCTAAAGAGCCCAACGCTCATGCTGACGTTCTGGTCTTGGAAAATCTTGCTGACAGAAGGGGGCCCCTCGAGCAACCCACACCGGCCAGAAGACGTACGTGGGGACTATGGCATCTTGACACCCAACTTCCGAGGACAAATTCGGCTTTGATCGCCATCAAATTAGCCGGGTATCTCAAAGACCCTCGAAAACATCGGCGGTAAACGTTCGTTACGGCTGTTGATTCTCATTTCCATGTCCAGAACCCACACCGCTTGCGTGTTCCATAGCTATGTGAGACTCCAGTCAGAAATGTTGCCCAGTGAATGGATTATGCCATTGCAGACAATATCTACTGAAATCTGCGGGCCATTCAGCTTCGCGTGCCGGGATGCGGTAGCAAAAAGCGAAATACAACAGAATGGCGTATTTCAGAGTCTCTCAAGTGATGCAGGGTCTCACTTGACACTGGACGCAGCTCCGTGGCGATCAGTTGGACAACGGCAGCTTTCCACCTCCACCTGCGGTTCGAGCACTCTGTATGGTCGGAACTATCTCCTAAGTTGCATTCGCCTCGCCAACCTGTCCAATGGAACTTGAAAACCAAGAGGGACGCTTATCTTTCTCAAGGGTGGTTTGGTCAGGGTCCCCGCCTATTGACGTTTGCCCGTGTCTTCGCACAGAACTCGGCATCGACTCCGGGACCGAGTGACCAATCAGCAACCCCGGAGGCTCTCCGACGGCCATGACCCTTGCTTTTTTTCCCCTTTGCCCCGCTCCCTCGTTGACATCGATTGAGAGCCGGATGCCCTTAGAATTGCCTTCAGTACGGTGTACCCACAATCCGCAGAAGCTGGTCCGCCTATGGACATAACACCGAAGGCTTCCAACTGGATACAAATGAACGGAGCCAGTCTAGACTATTTGCTGGTATCTTTTGCCATCGATCTAGATGTCAGTTGGCTAGAAATTGCAGATCGAGAGAAGCAGCCATGAAGCTCAGGGCTCGCTCTAGCCTCTGATGCCTGTCTCCCCCTCGTATATCGCCTCCCCGTCATTCCAATGGACCGATTCGAGACACATTGAATTGCCCGGTGAGCCCTTAGAGACAAGAAAAGGATGCCTATCATTTGTCAGCGGACACACCTCCGGCCTCAAAACCAATTGCTAGGGAAGCGAGCATGCAATCCAATATCGAATGCCAGGTCGCCATTCGTTGTCAATCTCCACTCCGTACTTCTCATAGATCCCAAGAAACATCCGGGGCTTCAGGGGTACACTTTCCGTTGCAAGGTATACTAGGGGAAGGAGGCGAGTCGGCTGCCGACGTTTTCAGCGCCCAATTCAGACGTCATATTGGGTCCAGGCTTACCAACACTGGTGTGATGGGATCAGCTGGAGCATCAACTCATGTCCCTATTTTCTGTTGGCTGCGGGGAAGGTCCCAGACCAGTCTCGAACCCGGTGGCCGAGATTCATAAGGCTGGTTCTTCCCAAGATTCAAGGAAGGTAGGTGTACTTGATGCCAACATGAACTTTTCCTAGCGAAAAATCACGACATTCAGCTTAAGCCTCAATTGAGGTGTCCTAGGCTATTGCTCATCTCTCTACCTACCTAATTTGATTTGTTTGCAAAAAGACGGCAGAGGGACAGGTGTATCCACCTCGGCCGAGAGAACCACGATCGAGCCTGACACACCACGACGATAGTGGACACGATTTCACAACGATACTAATAGGAATTTGGTCGAGAAACATGACGAATGCTCAATCGTCTAATTCCTCATCGAAGAATGACCAACAGCGCAAGCTGAGAGTGTGCACTCGTGAGGCTTGCGAGCCATGTCGAGGGAAAAAGGCCAAGGTATGACCAAAACAAGCTTACGTTACTGCTTCGGCGGGCGAAGAGACTCGAACTGACACGACCTTGGTAGTGTAACGGGGAACTTCCGTGTTCTAGATGTGTTACCCGAGGGTTGGATTGCAAATACGAGGCGCGCAAAAGTCGAACGAAGCGTAGCTTACAGGCGGAACTCGAGAATTTGAGGGAGGCTCAGCGCAGGCGAGACGTTGTGATCGAGGCGCTGGCGATATCGAGCCACAGCCAGGACGTATTCCGTCGACTTCGCAACGGCGAAACGTTGGATGCAATTTACGAAGCCATTGGGTCTTCCTCGCTCACAGGGGTCTCTACTTCATCTCCTCTGGACGAAAGACAATTCTCCGATTCCCCAGATCAGCCAACACCAGAAACGCGCTGTTCCTCGGTCGAGTTTTCTCAGTGTTCTCCGAGTCTTCCAGAAGAAAAAAAACAACTCGCAAACATACAGACAGTTGCTTTCGAGATCCCAAAAGCAGCATCTCCCTCTGTAGAAGTCGCCTACGAAGAGGACTTAGCGCCAACCTGCGCAGGGGCGAAGGAATGTGGCACTATTCCGGATTTTTTCAACCCTTTTGCAACTTCCGCATCATGCTGCATTGGTCATCCGATTCACGATGAGCCGGAAATCCTACCCGAGAACATGCATTTTGGGAGTGGCTTGGACATGCCTGGAGACATTGGTTCATTTTATAATTTCGCGCCTTTCTCACAGGCACTGACGGACAACCATCAGTTCACGATCAGCCCCGACAGGCAAGTGTGTCGGACCATATTTTCGACCGACGATCCCGGCGTATTCAACCTCTGGACACCTTCAAGCAACCCTTCCACTGGTTCGGCGGCGGAATTCATTACTTGGCCTGACGACAGCTACGTTTACGAAACCCCGAGTCAGCCTCAAAACCCAAGTCAGTCGTCCACACCAACTCTTTCAACTCTGGAGCCGCCCATGGTACCTCCCACAGAACTGTACGAACATGAATCCATGCACCAAGTCGGCGATAGTCATGCCGGGAAGGACATCGCGATGGGCCCACCATCTAACGAGGGCGGTTCCAGTTTTGAAGCTGCCAGCCCCCCGACAATCATAGACGCTAGAGGCATTGCTGAGAGGCCAAAGAAACAAAGCGGAACTTCACCCGCAGGATTCCAACCCAGAGATCGACATCGGCGAGCTTCAACCCGCCACTGGCAGAAGCAGAAGCAGCGAGAATTGGACCTGTTGGCAGCGCAAAACGAAGCCGAGGCTCTCAACAAGGAGCTGCACCGGCAACACGTAGAGATCTTGAACGAGGTTATGAAGGCCAGAACCGCGTTGATGGACCACGCCAAGTGTGAACATCCGGCGATTAGCAGCTGGCTGGGAGCTCAGGCCAGAAACTTCGTTCTCGGCGGTGTTCGAGGGAGTAGGCCCTGGGAAGAGGGTGGGCTGACAGCGACGGCGGATGAGGCGCATCAGAGGGTCTCGACGCGGCTGGATGGGGCTGCGTGTGGGTGATTTCGTTTTCCGGTTTTGACATGAGTGCTCTATGAGAGGGTTGACGCATTGGAGTTGGGCAGCAAAAAATGGGAAAAGCTGAAGTAGGAATGAGGGGGCAAACGGAATAGTTTCCGAATCCAGGCAGGCGGCAGGCCGTTGGGACTGTGGAGTTTCGCAATTTAGCCAAGCGTTTTGGTTTCTGACGGGGCTGGCAAGGAAATGCTCCAGACTGAGCAGAATCTTTCGGCCGAGCCCTTTGGTATGGGTCTTTGGTCAGCCTGGGCCGGATATCAGGATATTTGGCGTTACGAGTAGACGTGGTTTCATGCAGCAAGCAAGTCTCAAGTTTCTAATCAAGCACTTAATCATAACTTCCCAATTATCTGCGACTCGTGGACTGTCTCAGAAAACAGCATCTTGACTTCTCATCACGTTAGCACATTGGCTGCTTTTGGGGGTTTTCCCGGCAGGCAAATAAGGGCTGGGGTCTATAGTCCCCTGCTGTCGGTCACTCATCCATTGAGTTTCAAACTCCACTGACCCTGGTCCTTCTGTGAGACTCCTGATGGTGCTTCATTCTTTGTCATGTTCTCGCCAAAGATCCAGTGTCCGGGTTATCTGTGGTAATGAAAACGAATTCTCGCGAGGGCCCTGACGTGACCGTGCACTGCCGGCCATTGACATCTTGTGTCGATCTGCAAGCCAGACTCGCGAATCGTGTCCTCCCATGCTACACAAGCAGCTGGTGGAATACATGAGCGTTGTTCATGAGCATTAATATGGATCATTCATGCCCCTAGGGTCTCAACGCGGAGTCGGCGATGAACGCAGCCCATTGTCTACTACCTATGCCATGGTTTGACCACCCAACCCTCTGCTTCACAATCTGAATGCAGGTACTGAGATTTGTCGGATCTGCTTCTTTCTTTTTGGTGTAGACATGTACTGCTCCCCGGTATGAGTCTAGTACTTGTGACAATGCCGTTTGGCACTCTCCGGTAAACTCACGCTCTCTGCCTTCGGGCCACCGTTGAACACGTCCCTGTCCCAGGTCATACAATGCTGGAAGGTAGTTAGACTGAAAGCCAGATACGTTTAAGGTTCATGATGAAGATCCATAGTCCTGGTTTTCTCAGGACTCATTTGATGCTGCCATCGTCCACAGTTCGTCTCATATCCAAGCTCTTCCAAACATCTTCCGTCGGAACAGGGGTAAGTGATTGGCTGGCGGAATTAACTCCGGTTGAATTACCCCGCTAAGGTTGAACCGGTAGCCTGTGATGTTTTGCGTGGCTCTTCCCTCAGCAGTATTTGACTGGTTCAGATTAGCATCGAACATCAATAAATGTTTTGCTTTCTGGACGTGTCGATGTGCTTCGGCCCCTCCAACGCTACACATCGACGAGAACCTCGCCCTACAGCTCTTGTCCGGGATGGAATAGACACTTCTCACGGGCTAAATGCCTACAACAAACGCGTCATCAACCGGAAATACCTGGATGTCAATTCGAGTCTAGAGCCTCTGTGAAGACAAACTTCTCTGACACAGCACAATTGTGTAAGGAAGATGTTAAACCCGGGTTTTACCTGAGCTAGTCCAGCTTATATTATCCAGGGAGGCTCGCGGATGCAGGCTAAAGCCTTAATAGGACAGACTAGTCACTTGTGTTTGTAGTTACGGCGCAAAGCTTCTGGTGTTCTCTTTCATTTCCATTGTAAACCCAGTGGTCTACAATATGCTGCCACTAAATAGACATACGTTTTCACGGAACAACACTAAACTACATGCAACCGCAATGGTTGAAATGTCAGTTAAGAGGTGTCCAGGAATAATGCCTGAGGACGTGAACACTAAAGTCTCTCTCAGTGACTTATATGTGACTGAGTCTAGTTACTTAATAGCGTGTTTTTTTCTCTACCCTCTTAGGCTTCCGTTCTCATTTACGATATAAACTCCAAGGAACACAATCAGCGCTGAAATTACTAGAAGATAGCCTCATTTACATGTAGGTATATACGGTTCATTAAAACCTCACTTGGACATGAGTACGCTCTTCTACCGTTGTACTGAGCAAATACTAATCGTTTAGTCCTGGTGTGATAATGCTTGAGTTCATGATAGCCTGCCCGAGCTACAACAGGCAACAACTGATGTCGAGGTTTTTATGTCGACCTAAACGGCATGCCTTCCAGTACTGCTCACAGTCTCCAGTCTGGTCCAGGAAAAGAGAGTTAGCTGTGGGTAACCAAGAAAAGAGAGAAATGAAGATGATCATCTTACATTTTGCCCATATGACTATGATCGCCCCATAGGAACAGCACCGGACTTCTAGATTCGACACATCCCCAGGTTTTCACGAGCCTCCTCCGCAGTGAGAAAGCGTAGAGAGGCTTAACACTAATCTAATCAATAACCTCACCGACTGAACTTCATCTAAAATGGCATACGCTTTAGGGATACTATCTGGAGCTCGATATGGCGTATTCCACCGACTGGGTACACGGGAAGTTGAGCAAATTTACTGGATTCATTGTACTCATCACAAGAATAAGACGCTCCATGGACGTCTCCATGCCGAATCTAGAACCACACCTGTGTCTCGCTCATTACTCCGATCATGAGATGCCGCAGATATCGAAGTGCATAATATTGTATATCATTATCGTCATTGAGCCAGTCTATATGTATGTATTCGTAAACCATAATATGAGATAGATGAAGCCATCGCGTCGTACGTCCTCATCTCCATCTTCGTCTTCGGGGTTTATTTTTTCGCCATATTGCCGGCAAGTCGGTTTACTAACAAGCCTCCAATGGTGGCCCCGACCGCATCCTTCTTGCCATAGTCCTTGGGGTTGTTATCCTTGAACGCCGCTATCGCAGCAGCTCCAGCCGCAGCCGTCGCCATCTTTGTGCCCTTCTTCTGCCAGGACGACTTATCCTTCCTCATTCTCCAGGCCTCCGCGGCGCCAGCCACTACAGCAGCGCTGGCAGCCGCCTGCAAGATGTGAGACTTGTCAGACTCTCGACGTTGCAGGCGCGACCGTGACGACGACGCCGGCGGCGGTCTGCCATCTCTTCGTCTGCCACTGCTGTGTCCTCTGCCCCGGCTGCGGTTCCGTCGTCGTCGCCGGTCATCCTCGCTGTCTGTGTAGTCCGAGTCGTCGTAGCTATCGTAGTGGCTGCGGCGTGGTGGCCGATGATCGAGGGATCTGGCACGGGTCTTGTGCCGTACCGGACTGATGTTGTCGTCGTAGCGGCCGCGGGCGCGCCGCGATCGCCCTGCCTCGGCGGCGTCTAGCTCATGTGCGCTTCGTGAAACGCGTCTGGGTGCTCTTGGGCGTTCATAGTACTCGTCATCAGAATCATCGTCGTAGGCCGCCCGGTCGCGGGGGTAACGATCTGAGTGGTTTCGTGACGGCATGGCTGATTCGCGGGCGCTTCGGTGTCTCGTGCGGCCCACGTGGATGTGAAAGGAGGATGGAGGGTGCCAAGCCTCGTGAAGAACGGATGGGGAAAGGCTCGCACAATGATGGGGAGAGCTAACGACGAGCCGTTTGCTTGGTCCTCCTTGTCCTTGGATGTGACGCGTTGATTCTCTTGCGGGGTTTCGATCCGATCGGAACACAAGATTTGCTAGGTAGGGGGTTGGAACCGATGGTGGAACGTGAGTTGCTAGGTTGAGGTCGATATTAATGAAGGATCATCCAATTCTGTTGGAAAAGGAAGAGGCAGAGCAACGGTCTCAGAACTGGACCGTGACTTCGTTTTGTTAAGGCATTTCATCTGGAAAATACCAAGAGTCGTGGGTAGCTGGGCCCCGGCACTCACCTGATAACCGTCTGGGCAAAATTAAACTTGATTACTTCCTGAACGGGGTGATGTAAAAGGATGAAGATCACTGCCGTTTTGGGGCGGAGCTGAGGCGTGCTGGGGCGATGGCAAACGTCAATATGATGCGGCCCGCTCACCCGTGCCGCACGGAATCAGTCGAAACAAGGAATGATGTCAGACCGAGGAGACCCGACCGCTGATGTCTCGGTGGGCCGCATGTTCACCGAGAAAGGAGCTTTACCGCCGGGGACTCACCGAGACAAGTCAGGGGTCGCCGATCTGGACAAGTTCCAGACATCATTGACTTTGGCCATTGACCAATCGGGTCTTTGGCGTTCGATCAGGGACGATCGTGGACCAAGCCTGAGGAGGCTGAAATGGGTAACAAGGGACCGCATTGCTAACGCACAGTTGCTAGGCCAATTCGACGATGCTTGTCTCGAGGTGGCGCCGCTAGCGGCATCGGCAATGCTGTCGCGAGGAGGAGGCTCCGTTTGATTGAAGCTGCACGGGACTGGGGACTGGGCTCAAGGCGCGTTGATGCGCGCTTGCTCGCGTAAATGAGAGCGTCATAGACTAATTATTGCCGACAATGATCTCAGTCACCACTGACTGGCTCTATGGTGTTGACATTCACCAGAACGCTCCCGATGTTGACTTGGTGATGGCCATCAATCATATATGAAGCAGTAAAACCCCAAAGGGCCATTCCAGATTGCGCAACACCCTCATCATCAACATCCTAACATATTAAATTTTACCTTTAACGCCTTTCTAACTCATCACCAACCCAAAAACACTCAACATGTCTTCCAACGAAGCTCCCACCGGTGACGTCCAGGATAACGAGTACGTCTCCCGTCAGCCTCAGCGCGGCGAGCCTATCCGAGTCCAGGCCGATGACGCCAAGGTCGAAGATCCCATCGACCCTCAGACAGCCGATAGCGATGAGCAGCTTGGTTAGTTAAACACTTGTGCAGCGTCACGTTTTTCATGCCATTAATACCCCCTGCAGAGCGTGACGACAACGAGGCTATTGACAAGAGCAACATCATTGACGAGCGCACTCGTTCTGCCAAGCCCCAAGGAACCTATCGCGAGCCTGGCGACACTGAGGGACTTGAGCGCGAGCAATTAGAGTAGATAGGTGTTTTGGAAGTACGATAGGGCGGAAGCGAGGCGTATGCAATTAGAACTAGTGTCAAGCAATGAACGTCAAACAAATGCAACAAGCCGTGCAATATAAGGCAGTCACCCTTATAATCTGGTCATTAATATCTCGCCATACCCAACTAGTACACATTGTCAAGCAATGAACATTTATTGCACTTTATGACAGACAACCACTATCTTTGAGTAATGCAGTTGCAGCTCCGGATTTCCCACCACGCCCATGGCCATGTACAAGAACGCACCGGTGATAGAACGATATCAACACCCTACATCTTTCATGTTGAGGGTAATACCTCAAGCCAATGAGGTCAAAACGGGCGCTAAGCAATACAACAATAACAACTACAGTTTGGGGGTATTTGAGCAGCCAGTAGTAATACGTATTTTCAAAGACAGGGTAATCTAGTCGACTGGTCCAGACAGGCCCTTGGTGCTGACTTTGCGGTAACGAATGACTTCATGTCCTTCATCGTCATACGTCCTTTCAGCCACGATTTTATACCCACCAAATGCTGGCCAGATTTTGGTCCAACACACCCAGTAGAAGGCACCGAGAAGTAGCACACCGACTCCCACGATGGGGAAGACGTAGTACGGGTAGCCTTCCGCTGTCCAGGATCCAGTTGGTGGGATAAAGGGCACGATGCATAGGAACACGTTGGCCAGGACGTAGAGAATGGTGATGGGGAAATACGTGTGCCACGGCGAGGTCCAGTTTTCCTGCTTGTTCCATTGAAGGTAGAGGAGACCGCTGTATGCAAGTTAGAAGACATCACCGGAAGGGTTTAGGAGCGATGACATACATTCCGACGAAGGCGTTGATCCAGGCACCAGGATATGTCTATGGAGTAGAATGGTTGTCAGTAAATTCACGATGACGACAACAAACAGAGGGAATTGGAGGAATTCGAAAGTCAAGGCAGCACAGGGGTATTCGCCAGACAGCTGCGGCGGTCCACCACCTTCCGAAAAGCAACAATCCGAGAGCCGGAACGAGATGATTCTGAATATCACTTACGTAGAGGTCAGTTATGAAGTTGTAAGCACTACCAGCCGGGGGCGCGGTCAAAACTATAATAGTCACGGCCCAGTGGAGGAAAAGCTGGCCTTCAATTAGTCAAGTAGTCATGCCACATGAAAATGAACACATACTGCGGCAGCAGGCGCGTTGAAAGGTTTGTTGGAGGCCCAGAAACGACTGAAAGGCAATAAACCTTCCTTTGCAAACTCCTGGTTCAGACGGGCATGGGCGAAACTGACGGCGAGCACGTTGCCCAAGTTGCTGATGGCCACGAAGGCAGGGAGTGCACGAGCGCCGGCACTGTTGCCGAAGACGTTGCGGAAGAAGACGCCGGCAACGATAACTTCGGAGGTTGCGAGTTCGGTCTTGGGAATGGCGGCAAAATAAGCAACTGGGATGAGTTGTGAGTAAATTTGTAACCGCGTGAGGACATGGTGGGTGACTTACCATTTGCCAGGACGTAGAGGATAGTGACACCGCCAATGGCCAAGGGAGCAGCAATGGCGAGGGTCTTCCTCGGCTCCTTCAGTTCGCCGACGACGTAGTTGGCGTTCTCCCAGCCTTTGTAACTGTAGATGATACGGAGCAGCGCAGTTGCGTATCCATAGACGCCGCCATTCCCATACCCCTCGCCCTCCTCGATCCGAAATGCGTTGTCGAAGTTGTGCGGATCAGGGACCCGACGACGGCCGGCGAGAGCAGCGAAACCGGAGAATACGATGAACAGCAGGACGACCACCTTGAAAACGCCCAGCACGTTGAACAGCCGGATACCCCACTTCGGCGTGACGGCGTGGATGCCGACAGCGAAAGTGGCACCGGCGATACCGATGCCGCGAGCGACCCAACCGTCCGGAGACGTCGAGCCCGACGCGAAGAGAACGTACCGGCCGAAAGCGAGAGAGTTTCCGGACGAGAAGCCGAGGAGGATCATCTGGGATGCCAGAACGCAGGTCGCGAGGTATTTCGGGTGCTTGTATGCGCGCTCGAGGTAGTTCTTCTCACCTCCGGACCGGGGGATCGCGAGGCCGAATTCGAGGAAGACTGACATGCCGCAGAAAGTGAGAATGCCGCCGATGACCCAGAGCATCAGGCTCACGCCGACCGAACCGGTGGATTGGAAGATGCCGGAGGGCGTCGAGAAGACTGTGCAACATTGTTGTCAGTACAAGCTATGTCTCGCGAGGACGTCCGAGACAGTGCACTTACTTCCCGTTCCGATCATCTTGTTGAGGATCAAGAAGACGGCGCCCGTGACACCAATCTTGCGCGACTCGGAGTAGGCGTAGGTCTCTTGGTTTTTGATGACTCCGACCTCTGCCGACGCATCGTCCCGGTGGACTTCGTGCCTGTTCTCGCCGACATGGTGATCGTACTTGAGTGGCCCACTCATCGCGTTCTCGTCGCGTGGTGTGTCAACTCAGCTCGGAGGGTGCGGAGTACGACGCGTGGGAAGATGAAGCTCATTCACCTTGTTCCAGGAACGAGATAGAGTTTGGAGCTTCAGGTGAGATGGGACGATCGGAACACAGAACCGAGTGGTCTCTGGGGAGGGGAGCTAGGAGATATATACGTGCCTAGCCCTGCATCTCTCTTCTGCATCGCAACCCAAGACAAACGGTGAACATGTAGTCATCCCATGCAGAGGTAGCTTCGCTGCTTCAATTCCCTGTGCTCACCAGGCCCCGCACGTCATCGCACTGCAACGTCACGCAAGGGTCGAGGCGATTCGTTACCAGCCCCGTTTGTATGGAAAGCCCTTGGATCACAGGCAAGAAAATCAGCGAGAGGTGTCCCGGAAGCTCCAAAAGGTTGTGCGAACCTGTCCGGTTGTGGTGGCTTGACGAACCAGGTTATGCGGAAACCACAAAATAGCCTCTCCAACTAACATTCCCACCCCACTCCGTCCCGTCAAATTTTAGAGTCATCTGCTCGGCGTCTTCCAGAAGGATGCATTGGCAGGGATCAGAGCTCCTTGTAGCATGGGGGAGCTGACGCGAGGCGACGAGGCGACGCCGAATGCGTAAGAAGAGCTGATGAGTCCATCTTCAACTGCCTCTTTCTCATGAATCGTCATGAATGCCGGCAAGCTCGCGAGGACGATGGCGTCCAGTGAGGCTTCCTCGTCGGCGAGTTGGCAGTGCCAGATTGCCTTTGAATGGCTCGGCCGGTACGAGATGAGAGACACGGGCAACTGCGCCAAGAGGGCGTCAGCAGGCTGGGCCGTCTCGGCGGCGGCGAAGAGACCGATCGACCGCGAGAACAACTCGAAAATGCCTTGAGCAGGACTTCCTCTTGTGGAAGGTCGTTGAAGGTAGCTCCAAGTGATACAGCGAAGGGATAGGCTCCAGAATATTGCCTACGACCCAAGCTTCTTGGCGGACTCTAGGGTCCTGGGGACATTTGGGGAAATCCCATGGGTAATGCGGGCGTTGTGGACTCGTGGAGTGACTTGGGCGCGTTGGGGTCGGCCCTGGAGCATGTTGGAGGCAGCTCGTTTGCGACGACTTGCAGTGTTGTTGCACCGCCAAGAGACCAGCGAACGAGAGAGGAAAGCCAAAAGGATTTTCGTCGATGTCGTGCTCGCGGGGGTGGAATGGCGACAGATGCCGGACCGACTGATGTTCATCGCTCACAGGGAGTTTGACACAGGCTGATCCTGGCTGTTCTGTTTCGTTTCGACTGCCAAATGCCCTGAACGCCTGGACTTCAATAGACAACTTTAAATGAATCATGTCTCTCATGGTGACGCTTTGGCTCAATTCTTATTAGTCCTGATTCAGTCTTTCGCGGTATGTAGTACTTGAATGTCAAACAATCCACTTCACGAAGTCATATGAAGAGTTGATTATTTCTGACTCTGTTTTCATTTCTCATACTGGCCTTTTGGGTTTATGCTGGACAAGCCGGGGGCCGCTCCAGCCCGGAGCTTCAGTTGAACCAGCGGGGTTCACATCAGCGACCCTGGTCGATCGATGAGCCATTTTCTTGGCGCTCTCGCTTTACATGAACAGCATAGCAACTGCTTGAATAATTCTTCGCATATGGCAAAACTCATTAGCTCAAGCTATATATGAGTTTAAGAGCCTCATAAATGTCTGAAATGTCCATAAAAAGAAAAGATGCTCATCACACACATGCCCTGAGTTGCTTCATATCATCGCCTAAGTCGACGTATCGAAGTGTCTTCTGGGTGCAACTCTAAGAAATTCCAAGTAACCTAGTTTCATGATTTCAATCTGGTTGTTGCACAATATATGCTTTATATCAACTATACATCTATTTGTTTATATGTAATCGTTGCTTCGAATGTGAAAATCTGCTTCTTAGGTCACGTTACCCTTGCGATCACTTCTGCCCAATACTCACCAACGCAACAACCTAAGTTTGTGTGCAACTTGGTTGCCAGTGCCGACAGAATCTGACGGGGACTTCACGACTCGAGGGGCAACTTTTTGATTCAATGATATCATTAATCTTAGAAGGCAACCCGGATGAGGCAGCTGGTAAGCTTATGTCATCCAGTGGACGAACTGGATAATGACTCATATCGTAAGCGGCATGTTTCTCCGTTAACCTCCACCAACATCTCATTAACTCCTCTTATGTTGAATGAAACTAATTTTCCCTTATGTTCATTTAATCTCAACTGTTTACATAATTGTGAGAAAATAGTTGCAATGCCTTCCAGCAATCATCTCAATGGAGCCAACACTGGCGAACCGAAATCATACGAGCTCGTCGACACAGCTGCGGCGGTCTCCAAGATGATCGATGCTATCAGTGTCTATACAACTACCCCGCCATCACTCTACATCGACCTCGAAGGAAACAATCTTTGCCGGCTGGGCACGATCTCTATCCTTCAGATATACTTGGCGACCAACAAATACACATACCTCGTCGATGTTCGTGCTTTAGGAAGCGCATGCTTCTCGACGCCCGGGAGTCACAACATGACACTCAAAGACATACTCGAAGCAAAAGCAATTCCGAAGGTGTTCTTCGATGTGCGAAACGACTCGGACGCTCTCTTCCACCATTTCAAGATCAATTTGGCTGGGGTTCAGGATCTCCAGCTGATGGAGTTTGCGACGCGCAAGTACAAAAGAAAGTTCATTTCCGGGCTGGCAAAGTGCATTGAGAAGGACTCCTTGATGACGGAGATCGAGTTGATGGAGTGGAAAAGTGTGAAGGAAAAGGGCACCAGCCTCTTCCGCCCGGAGTCCGGAGGCGGCTACCACGTGTTCGATGAGCGACCGCTCTCCAAAGATATCCTGATGTACTGCATTCAGGATGTCCAATATCTTCCGCGACTTTGGGAGCTTTACAATCAGAAGCTGACCCCGGAATGGTGGGAAAGAGTCCGTAACGGTTCGCAAGATCGAGTCCGCTTGTCTCAGTCCGCTGATTATGATCCGATTGGAAGAGACAAAGCTTTTGGCCCCGAAGGATGGGATGAATAGATTTTCAGGAAGAATACGACTGAAATCCAGAGCTGCGACAGCTCAATGGGAACACGTGTCAGAAAGTCTTCGTCATCGATACCTGCGTGTGAGACGGCGGCAACCTGATCACTCACATCATTTATGGTTAGATATGGCGAGATTTTAGTAGTACATGAAGTGACAAAAGTATCTGCATTGGGTTGTGCTGCAACTTATCATTGTAACCTGAAAACTCACATTCTTCGCCTTTGAATGGGTAAGGCCAACTCTGCTTGAGAAGAATTATGAGGTACGACTTCTGTACATAAATGTGAAATTCGGCCGACGGTGCTTCTACAACTTGGCCTGGATTCTGTTCTTCAAAATCTTCTGCGACACGTCGTGAGCCCCTCCACCCTTGCCAAACATCTGCCTCAAGTCCTTAGCCAGTATCTCAGGCCTCTCGTGTGCGGCAAAGTGTCCGCCGTCTCCGTGTGTCACAGCGAACACAACCGGCCCAAGTGTCTTCGCATGGCTGATGGGTGGGACGAAAAGGTCCCTGGGAAAGATGGAAACGCCCAGTTTGACTTTGGGGATCCACTGCATTGGCTCCGTGTGCTTCGTCGGGTGCCTCATCTCATAGTAGATCCTGGCGCTCGCTTCCGGACCAGCCCTCGAGAACTGGTAGATGGAGATCCATGTGAGAATCTCATCGTCCGTCCATGGGTATTCGTCGGTCCAGTCATGCAGCTTCTCGTAGATCCAGGCGAGGAGGGCCACGGGAGAGTCGGCCCACGCCAAGCCGACGGTTGCCGGCCGCGTTTGTTGTTCAAGGTTATAGCCGAAGCCCTCGCGCGCGAACCATTGTGATCTCTCGATGCCCTTCTTCTCTTGTTCGGTGTATGGCCACAGGCTCTTGAGATATTGTAGCGGGTTCTTGAAAAGAGAAGGCGGACTGGCAGAGGCCATGTTGATATGCGAGGCGAGGACATGGTCTGGGTAGTTGAGACCCATGAACCGTGTGATCGAGAACCCCCAGTCACCGCCCTGGGTCACTATCCACGCGTCAATACTGTTGCTATGAGTAGCTGCGTTACCCAGACTCACCATATTGCTCATAACCCAATTTGAGCATCACCTTGTGCATGACCTCGGCGTACTGAGGGATACGGAAGCCAGGCTTGTCAGGACCTTCGGAGAACCCGAAGTTTGGAAGAGAAGGCGCGACAACGTCAAACGAGATCCCGCTTGTCGCCATCGTGAGAAGCGGGAGAATTTTGAGAACCTCATAATAGCTGCCCGGCCCTATTTCCAAGTTAGCTTCCAGGTTGCGAAGGGGTTTTGATGAGAGTGTACTCACAGCCGTGACAGAACAATAGCGGGACGGCCTGAGGTTGCTTGCTCTTCTGCCAGACGAAGTGAATCTCGAGATCGCCGAAGCCGTCCACTGAGATTGTGGTCGTGTACTGCGGTACTTCGTTCAACTTGGCCTCCGCAGCGCGCCAATCATAGCCATGGCGCCAGTGACTAGCGAGGCGTTTGATGTGTGAGACGGGCGCTCCGTAGTCCCAGTTCACGGTGAGTGGTATCTCTGATGGGAACTTGGCTAGATCCAACTTCGCGTGCAGGTTCTCGATCTCAGAATCCGGCACGGAAATCTTGTAGGGCTTGATGGAAGGATCCATTGTTGCGGAATCTATTCTGAAATCAGGTTCGGTAAACGATCCGTGGCCAAAAAGGTTTTGACAATGTTTGTAGAAGTATGGCCGAATTTGAGAAGTGATGATGAAGATGTCTTGTCCTTTGGTAATTTGGCTTCGCGGGGAGCTCCGCAGATTTAGTAGTTCATGAACACGCCCTTAACTAGACGTGCAAATGGCGTCACAGTGTCGAGTCAACACGGCTTACTCATTTGCTGTCTCTGTTAACCTCAAATGAATTGCGGTTGAGTAATTACTAATGAACATGTGCGGGGGAGCTTCCCCGCGGGTGACACAAATTGTGTGACATCATAGACGCGTCTCACAAACACGGTGAGATCACCGGTCGAAAGGCGCGTCTTGACATGAACACGCGTTCAACGCTGAGAAATCCAGTGCATTTCACAGAATATACCACATAGCTTTCAGAAAAATCACATACAACCCCATTTGTAATGAGATTGGGTCCATGAAGTGAGTCATACGGTGAGGCAGAATGAGTTCTCGGAGGAGATGCACTGAATTTCATCTCAAACAGATGTATAAATGAATTTTGACTTCATTCATCTCATCTGCTAGCTCGCAGCTTATCATAGCTGACAACCGCTTCCAGGAGGGCCTGGGTGCCATTCGCGCTGAAGATTGTCAGACTCAAATCGTGTTTCGATCTCAGAAGAATTCTCAGATTCACTTACCAGTCCTCGGGGCTGCAGTACTCTTCGGGATGATGGCTTACTCCGTCTTTGCAAGGGACAAATATCATTGTCGTCGGGCATACTTTGCTCGTGTAGACACTGTCATGACCAGCACCGCTAGTCAATGGGAGCCAGCCATCATTGCCGAAAAGACCCTTGGCCGCATCCTCGACAGCCTGGATGCACTCTTTGTCGAATTTGGCGGCTGGCGAATCCGTGTCAAGAGTCCATGAGAGCTGGACTCCCCTGCCGTCTTCTTTGGCGATCTCTTCAAATGACCGGATGACCTGGCTCTGCAGCTCTTCGACAACGCTATCCTCCGGATGTCGGATATCCAGAGTGAATGTGACGTCTGAAGGAATCGTGTTGGTAGAGGAGCTGGGCGGGATCTTGATAACACCAGTGGAAGCAAGAGCGCCCAGATTCTTTGCGAGTGAATTGGAACTTGCAATCATCTTTGAAGCAGCGAGCAGGGGGTCAGAGCGAGACTTGAGGGGCGTTGTGCCAGTGTGGGCATCGCGACCCTTGACGGTGAACGTGAACCACCGATACGCCTGAGCGCCCTGTACAACACCGATCTTCTTGCCGTTTTCTTCGAGGATTGGGCCTTGTTCGATGTGCAACTCGAAGTGCGCACCCAGAGGGTAGCCGGTTGATGAACAGCTGACCGGACCGACGTATCCGTGCCTCTCAAGCTCCGACTTCACAGTCACTGAAGAGTCGAAGATATCGCCCATGTTCCAAGCTTTCTCTAGAGGAACCTTGCCTGCCCAAACACCGGAAGACATCATGGACATGGGAAAACGAGCGCCCTCCTCACTGATTTACGTTAATAGAGAATTCTTCTTGACCCGGTAATGTACTCACTTCGTCCAGTTGACGATACCAACATCGTATTGAGTCTTATAACCGTTCTCCTTCAAGGTTCTCATGACTTCCACGGCAGCAAGAACACCCAGAATGCCATCATACCGGCCACCTCTGGGCTGCGTATCGAGATGGCTTCCCATGGCGGTCATCGGCTTGGGCGAGTTCAAGGCGCCTTTACGCTTTGCAAACATATTTCCCATCTCGTCAACCGTGAGATCACAGGAGAGGTTCTGTGTCACTTCGTCGGCGAACCAACGCCTCACCTTGGCGTCGTCATCAGAAAGGGCCAAGCGGGCCATGCCGGTCTCTGTCGCGGCCCTGTCATCGATGATATGATTAGCGTCGATTCTGTTGAAAATGATGGACAGCCCTAGACTCACTTGCCATATCGATGAGCAGCACCCCATTGGCAGGTATGGTGGATAGTCTCTTGAAGTCGGTCGGCATTAATCTTCAAGCCTGATAAGGAACCCCGCGCCGTCGATGAGTATGCCCTAACCTGACGCGGGGTGGCAAACGAAGGTCTCAGGCGGCAAAGCATCTTAGCAGACAAATATTGGCGAAATTGCAATCGTGAAGGTTGCGCCAATTGATGAAAAGCCTTTGGTCAAGTTCGATATTCTATTCGATGGCAGAGGACTGCAAGTTGAAGTAGGCGCGGGGAGAGGGGCTGGGATTGATCGGCAAATTCACCCTGGTGCATCGGCAGAATGGCCCAACGCCGGGGGTCAAGCGGCCGTTAATGCGCCCCGCAAAATGTGTAGATAAGCTGTCATTTACGCCCAGGCTGTCTGTCGAACTCAGCCTCAACGGCGCCTTCGACAGTATTTCTGGCGCTTTTTTAATGGGATTTGAGTACGAAGACTGATCCATTCATATTCTTACGAAACTCTTACATATGAACAACAAACAGCCGTCTTTGCTTGCGAGTCTCGAGTCAAAATTGAACGACGGTTCCCGTCGAACTCCGCTTCGGCCCCGCTGTGGGCGGCGCCGTCATCTCCGGCCCCGGCATCCGGATCTCTCTCAAAACAAGCCTCCAGTATCCTTCACCGGTGCCAAAGTCTCCATTGTTTCAACAAGCCCAACCGCCGTTCCGTCAGCTCTCGCTCCATCCGGCACACCAGGGATTGCCGTGGCAGACGATAACACCTTTGCTCCTGTCTGTGCAGCAAATGTCTTGGCTCCACTGTAGACCGTTGGCCCCGGGATCTTGTACGGCGGAAGCGGGCTTTGTGAAATGTCGTACACCAGACCTTCTTCGGCTGCTTCATACAATTTTGCTCCCGAAATTCCGGCCGGAATGTCAACTCCGCCTCCGGTGACCTGGATGTTGATGCACTGCGGATAATGCTGTGCGCCCTGTCCAGGATATCTGGCAAAGTGGAGGGCAATGATCTCATGCCGGAGAACATAGTATCCCGCGGCGATCTTGGACGGGATTTGGACCACCCAGCTCGCATTATTCTGAATCAGAACATCACTGGCCCATATCCCTCGAGCTGTCGCAAAGTCGGTGGCATTCTTGCTTGGGTCGATCAGCCCGACCTTGTCGATGGCGAAGAAGTCCAACTTCGTCTTGTCGACAGACTCGCAGGATCCCCTTTGCGAACCACAGAATGCCATGTAGGTCAAGACAGGGCCGTGGTGTGACTCCGGCCAACCTTGCCATTGTATATCAATCGTTTCGCCGGCCGACACGGGCACGTAGCCAATGGGGTTACTTGCATCGCGATGGCACACGAGGTTCGGCTTTCCGTAGCTTTCAGTGCTGACCCAGCCGTCATCGCTGACGGTAGTTTTCCAAGCTGCGAGAAGCTTGGGATTATTCGGGATCTTTGCATTATAGCCACTGTATGAGGCGCCGTTGATGACAAAGTTGGTGATACGACTGTGAGCCGAAGCCACGCTGCTCAGCGTTAAGATGGCAATAAAGGCAATGATGTGCATCTTCTGAATGGGGGAATCAGTCTCTATCCAGATCTGAGAACAACAGGAAGGCGTGGAAAGAGAAGCATGGTTCGGCTGCTAGTTTTATATCGGACCGTGGAGAGGACCGCGGCAGGCCATATTAGTAAAGATCGCCAAAGCTTCTTATTTGATTCCGACAAGATCACGGCCAGCCAGTAACTAAGTCCAATCGGAGTACGAAGAAGCAAGAGAAAATAAGACTTACAGAAGCAGGGGGTGCTTCCCCGGACTTCAACCGGGATATTGCGTCGTATTAATGAAGCCATCGGCGCCAAGCCTCCGCATTTTAGGATGGCGGCTGGATGTTGGACGCGGGACTTCCAGCATGTCTACCCAAGGGGGCAATTAAACCAGACTGATTTTGCCAAAACAATTATCGGATGGCGCGGTTCGATTTTAAGAGCTTCGGAGCATCGTTAAGAACTAGTCCTTATGATGGTGATTTGTTACTCAATCTGAGAGGATCCCCATTCGGCACCGAAAGTCTTACATTTTCGCTTTACCCAGCCGAATGCGACCACAATGTAATTGAGACAACGGGTGGAAAGAGGCCTTGACTTTCTTCCCCAATAACGAAGTAGTGCTGTGCCTCGCGTGCCAGCACCATGAAACTGGCATTATCGGGAATAAGCTGGTAGCGATACTGCGTAGGACACAAAACGCTCCAAGCAGCTCGGCTAGACAAACCTGCAGGTTACCACAGACACGAGAATATCGTCCAGCGACTACGGTCACCGGCGGCGGTGAGCGCGATGCCGGTTGTAAGGCTACTCATTTCACGTGTTGGCATCCATCGACACGGGCGAATGGTTTAGTGGTATAATACTCGCTTAGCATGTGAGTGGTCCAGGGTTCGATTCCCTGTTCGTCCAATTCTTTTGCTTTTTGCCGTTTTTCTTGATTGTCGTCCGCTCCTGCTGGCAACGCCATGGACTCATCGTATTCCTGTAGCGTGACCTCGCTCTTCATGATCGTAGGCCTAGCATTCACTCTTTCTCATCCTGTTGCAAGTGTCGCGTGACCCATCTCCCCTTTTAGACGACATTTCAGTCTGAGTATTGTGGCGCTCGACGAGACCCGGCTATCTGGTATTCCAGCCGCAAGTCCGTAACTAGTAGTACTCAGCTGAACGGCACGGCATTTCCGTTTTGCGTTCCGCGCTGGACGGGCTGTCTCAAACAATAGAAAATAACAATGGGAGACTGAGCTAACCGCCTTAGCAGCACGCCACGAACCCGGGGTTATGGCACTAGGCAAATGGCTATGGCATTGTCCCCTACTCTCGACACCTGTTAACGTCTTGGCTTTTTGGCTACTTGCGAACTTGTCTGTTCCCAGCCCTAATTTGAAGTTGGATTCCTTTCCCAGCAATGCGCTGTGTTTCTGAGGCAATACCACCTTGGTTTCTTCTGTTGGCCGCTCATTTTGGGGTTTAGGCCGTGGTAATTATCCACCCGGCCCCATCGAGGGCATCGCGGTGTCCACCACGAGGGCTCAACCCGCTTCTTGCATCCCACATGAACTGCCCCAGTACCCCCAAGCAGCACCGAGCAATCAATCCTGATGAATCGCATGGTCTATTAGTCTAGTTGGTTAGGACGTCGGATTCTGACTTCCAACTCAGTCTCTTCCGTAAGCCCAGGTTCGAATCCTGGATGGACCTGTTCACAGCCTGCGATCATATCATCGTGAGGCTTTCTCTTTTTGGAGAGCTCATTTCTGTCTTGCCAAGCGGAAAGCCGCAGCTAAGCCTCTCTTCTATCAGCTCCAACTCCGCGGCTGGGGGCGTGAACCAGCTAGGATTAGCAAATTCTAGTCTCCCTCTTTTGGCGCGCCACTTCCTGGGTTTATGAGATCGTGTGTTAGATTCATCTCTTTAGTGCGTTCGCACGCAACCGTGTCCACCAATCCTCCTGAGTGTGGCTTCGGGCATTGTGTCTAAACGACGGCCCAAAGCGTACCGCGATTCAGCAATTCAACTTGCAGCATAGCAACAATGGCGTTTTTCATTTTTTTCAGCATCAGCCTCCCTTGCTTGTTGTTGCGTGAAGAGTTGACTGGCGTTCATAGCTGTCTTACGTTTTCGTAACAGAAACTCCTTCAGCTATGCCACAAGGGCCATGGAAAGATCATAAGTACACCATCGAACCGACACGATATGTGATGGTAGCTTCGTCGAAAACTATCAGGAGCTTGACACTTCTTTTCAGTATCACCACCTCTCAACATGGCGGCTCACAACCCATCATACCCAGATCTGGAGCAAGCTCAGAGGCCATTCACCCGAGACTCAGTATCAACACTTTGCGAGAATGATCCATGCAGCCGATCAACCACCGTTTGTAGCCTCAAATATCCATCTGGTTCTTCGAAAGAAGTTGAGGTTACTGTAACGCCTGTAGATACAACAGTATGGCACTTTTCTTGTACGAGCAGGCCTCAATACTCACGCAACTGTTAGGTGGCATGGGATGGGCCTGACGATCCAGAGAACCCGAAGAATTGGAGCAGACGACAGAAATGGATCGTAAGAGGTCTTCCCTTCCCACCCCACCACTCACTGCTGACTTCTGAGAATAGACTTCGCTCATTATTTCGATGTTTGCCTTCCTCTCGCCCCTTTCTTCGTCGATCGCCGCTCCAGCCCTCGGCCCCATCGGACACGACCTTCATATCAACAGCGAGATTGAACTTCAGCTGGTCCTTTCAATATTTCTTCTGACGTATGCCTTCGGACCTTTCATCTTATCGCCATGCTCGGAAATATGGGGACGCACGCCTATCGTCAGAGTTGGCAACATCATCTTCATCCTGTTCACCACTCTATGCGGCTTCGCCACATCGAAGGGACAGATCATAGCATTCCGGTTCATGGCCGGTATTGGGGGAAGTGCAACAACAGGAGTGAGTACCAGCCTCGTTCAGTATTTAGACCACTCATTAACGGGAGGCTTTTCAGATGGGCAGTGGGGTCCTGACGGACTGCTGGCGGCCAGAAGAAAGGGGCAAAGGACTTGCCATGATGCAGCTTGCACCAGTCATAGGCCCTGCTGTCGGTCCCATTGGTAAGTCAATCTTCAATTTCAGTCACCACTTTATTTATACTGACGTGCATCAAAAGTTGGCGGCTACATCTCACAATACGCCAGCTGGCGTTGGGCTTTCTGGACTGTTGTTCTCGTCAACGTCTTCGTACAGATCATTGCCTTTTTCCAACTCCGGGAGACCTATGCACCTCGGCTTCTCGTTTTGAAAGCTCGGAAACTCCGCCAAAGTACAGGAGATCCCTCATACCAGGCGGCCACTGAGTTACAGCAAAAGACACTCGCCAGTGTACTTCGAATCAGCCTGTCTAGACCATGGATCATGCTGGGGACACAGCCAATCATCCAAAGCCTAGCATTACTACAGGCCTTCAACTTCGGTCTCCTCTATCTCGTTATCTCAAGCTTCCCGACGTTATGGGAAAAGCATTACGGCTTGGAGAAAGGGCGAGCCAGCTTGAACTACATCTCAATCGCGACAGGGTCCCTAGTAGGAGTACTCATTTGTGCACCATCCATGGATATCGTTTACCGGAGACTGAAGCACCGCTTCGGTCTCGGTAAAGACCAGCCCGGTATTCCCGAATTCCGCATCCCGTTGATGATCCCATGCTCATTGGTAACGCCTTTGGGTATTCTGTTGTTTGCTTGGTCAGCACAACAGAAGATGTATTTTTTGATTCCCAATGTAGGTTACCTTCGAAACATCTTCTTCATCCCATGTACCGCAGAAACCTTTCTTACATCTCACAGATCGGCATCGCAATAACCATGGCAAGCACCATGATATCTTACCAATGCGTATCTGCTTACATCGCCGACTGCTATCCATTGTACACAGCGTCGGCATCTGCAGCATGCTGCTTCATGAGGTCGATGTTTGCATTCGCTTTTCCGCTCTTTGTTCCGGCGCTGTTTGGGAAGCTTGGTTATGGAGTAGGCGGGAGCATACTAGCTGGCATTGCATTCCTTGTCGGTATACCGGCGCCTATTCTACTTTGGCGTTACGGCTCAAAGTTGAGGCACACGAGTCGTTTCAGTGAACAATAGTAGTATAAAACAGGAAAGATCGCAACATGCAACGCAATTCCTCAAATCCCCCGCAATAGGTAGCATGCCTACGACATATTCAATGGTTCCACGCCAGCAGCTGCATCGATATAGACAAAATTTTGAAGTCCAGGTTTATTCAGCCTATGTGTTATTATTATTGTGAATTGGTATCCAGGCGTGCGGTTCACGACACGTATGTTCATTCCACAATGCTTCTCAATGCTTTGATGAACGTCTACGTTGGAACGACGCTCACGTCGTGTCATAACAGTGTTCTTGTCAGGCAATCCCATCGCCAGAATGACGGGAAAAGGTTCCCTGGCAGAAACACGTTAAATGGACTGATCAGATTTCCGGTTTTGTCATACTTCCGGCGGCTCCCTGACTCATATCTGCCGTTTCCATGGTCTTCGTGGACCTGAACTATGCTCAATATTGGGTTTTACAAGCATTTCCCAGGCTGTCTTCGGTGTCGTCCGAGGGCTTCGGGTGGATAGCGTTTTGGAGGCGACTAAAACGGTAAGGTTATCCCGGAGCAGCATTTCGTCGGATCAAATTCCGTCCAATGAAAATCTCATGCGACTGGGCTGGTTTAAGAAGCGGTTGATGAGTAAGGTTTGATCACCTACAACGTGCTTCAGAGCTCTCTCAGATCTGGGAATTGTCGCCAAATACGCGTGTAGATGGCGGCTAACAGCAGCTCGCTTGGATAGCTCCGCGTCAAGCGATTATATGCGGATGTTCAATACAGAAACCACATACTTAAGGCTGACCTCCCGGAGTCTCTATCACAAATCTCCTTGGTCATCTTCAATGCACTGGTGCAAACTTTCTACGTAATATCAGCCCGGTCCAGTGTCCGCAACGAATCGTCTGGTACGACAATCAGCTTAAACTTTAAACAACATCCTCCTCAAATCCCGAAATACTCCAACATGCAACTCACCAAGACCCTGGTCGCCCTCATGTCCGTCTTGGCACTTGCCGGTTCGTCATATCTACGTAATTCCCGTTCGGATATGTGACGGGAGTGACTAACTCTGTTTTACCATCTCGCAGAGGCGAAGGCATGCAAGTTCGGCACCTGCCAAGGCCGGTTCGGTGCTTGCTGCGACCAGTTCGGAGGGTGTGCGACTGTAGCCAACGAATGCCCTTGAAGTGATGAGCGGCGACAAGACGGCCGCAGGCAAGGGGTGGTACGAGTCTGTCATCAAACACACGGCGGGAATTCGACGAAACGGGTCAATAAGCTTAATTCTGGTGATCCTTAGCTATGTGTACTCTGATAATCATGAATAAATCCAACTTGGTTCATGACACTGTGGCACTCATTCAATGGAACATAAGTTCATTAGGCTTGTTGGTATTGATTTGACTCTCATCGTAACAAATACTGAGCCAAGCATTGTTATGTGATATTGCTTGGTTGACTTGAGACCTTGCCTTCTTCCGCCATGGCTCCCTCAAGCCCGACGAGATCCGGCCGTTGGCGACGAGTCCGGGCATTCGAGTATTCTCGGCGTGGTTCTTCCTCTTTTGCCATGTGTTTTCAACGAGACGAACGGCGTTGCAGTTTCATATCCCCAGATTAGGTTGAGATGATGCTAATCCAGGTAGCGTGCTTTGCGTTCTAACTTCTTGCTGGAGCCGTGTTGTGGGGGATTACCATCTCCTGTTATTTCTCGTCACTGAGAATTAAGTTAAGCTATCTTTGGCATGACTACAGACTTGAGTACAAGAGGTGGGTGACATCATCTGCTGGGGCAACTACCCAGTGTGCTATTACGCTTCTTCTGGCAAAGAGAGTCCTCTTAGCACCAACAGACCAGGTCATGGTATGTTCTCAAATCACGTCCGACCATTACGGCCGCACTTTCGCTGAAAATGTCTTGATACTACACCGGTAGGAGTCGCAATGTCATGGGTTTGTGATATCACTTTACTTTGTTTCAATTACTTTCATCATTCGTATGGCTTGCAGCTAGCTCGTAACCTTGAACGCCATTTATCCGGTTCTTGATAACCCCCAATTTCAGAGGTGCCATGTGCGTTTGGTATCATCTCATCCAACCACATCGCCAAATAAACGTGTAAACAAATAATCTATGTCGGTGATAATTACGGTCGGGTTCGATGTGTATCCTCCTCAACGTCAGAGTGTCTGGACTCCTGTTCCTTCGACACATCTCGGTCGTCACGATCGCCGTGCTCGGTTTCCAATGATGCGCGTTCGTGGTCCATGGAATGCCGTTCGGCGAGTTCCACATCGTCGTTCGTGTGGCCGTCTTCTCCCTCAGTAGAGTGTAGCCCAATCGTTGTTGGTGTACGTGACCGCCTCTGCTCCCATGTTTTTCGTGTACTGTTGCCATCCGGATCAAGCGGCAGGCTAGGGTCTTCTTCGGGGCGTAGCGTTGACAAACCCCTCGAGGCCCTCGATGGTCGTGTGAGTGTGCGAAGGGTCGATTCTTGGCCCGGAGAAGTGATCCAGTTCATCACCAGCGCAGAAAAGAAGACTGTGAAGGACGTCATGTCAGTACACGTGAGGATAGAAAAGGCTGGATGCGAGGGCATATCCTACTATCAGTGTTGCAGCACAGCAGACACAGCCACGCCACCTCTCCATTCAGTGCCCCAAGCACTGTTAAGTTTCTAGACATCTTCGTCAACATCGTTACACATTGCGAGTTGTCTGTGGTCCCATACGTCACGCTGCTGGCCAGTGTACAGCAGGAGCCAATGAATGTCCGGATAACAAGTCGTCGGAGTCTGACATTCGGAGGGGCTCGAGGTATCCGTCGGTTTCGCCAGTCGAGTGTCCACGGTTTCCAAAAGTTATATTTTACCGAGTGAAGACCTAGCATTCTGTCAACACATTTGCAGAGAGCGTGGTGATGCCACAAGGACGAAGTGACTTACTCAACAGAGGAAGGAGGAAAAGGATGGTAAGGTAAACCTAGGCATGGTCAGAAGTCACACTTCACAGCTAGGAATTACGACAGGTCTTACGTTGACAGCAGCATCGAAGGAGATGAGCAACAGTATCACGCTTTGTCCCAATCCAATGACACAGAGGCCATTTTGAAAGTTCGTAATCCGGAAGATGAAGTTCATTATCACGATGATAACAAATACCCCTGAGAATTGTGAGAACGCGTCAGAACGGCAACAGCACATGAACATACCGAGCATCCCAAAGGAATTGAATATATAAAGCTTCGACTTCAGACGCGGCTTTGACGTCTGCCGGATGATATGCTGCGGAGTGTGTTAGTACCTTCCCAAGGTTCTTTTCGCTCGACGTGGGTTCTACTGACTGCCCTGTCTACCATGAAGAGGTAGATGAACTAAATCAACAGTCAATACGCGACGTCAAATCTCAAGCAATCTCATCAGCACGCACCAGCTAGAGTCGAGTCCGATTAGCAATTGTTGATGTATAATCTGATGAAGTACTGACCTTTGTCGAAACATATGCCCCAAGGCAGAAAAGCGTTGCTGCAGAGCATGTTGCGTAGTTTAGATCGGTTCCGAATCCGAATTGTAGAATCGACGTTCCAAACACGAACAAAAATGAGAAGAAGTAGATGAAGACCACAACTATAACCATCATCAGCTTGCGCTCCTCGACCGTTCGCATATCTCCTTACGCCACATCGTCCATGGTAGAATCCTCCAATCTTTAACCGTCGTCACTCGGAGAGCTGCATCACCTGTCAGTGATCGTGTCTTGAAGTCTCGAAGTCGTTCGGAACGTCGGCAATGTAGTCGATATATTGCTTGGAGGTACTGACCGAACAGACTTGCAAGAGTGCATGCTGATATCAAGGCGACGATGATGCTGACGACCTTTCCCGCCAGTGGTTGTGGCTCGTGATTGATGCTGGCGCGGACGACCAGGTCGCTCGCTTCGAACGGAATCATGGCTCCGGCTTTGCTACTGCGTGCTGCCCTCGCCTGGTTATGTTGACCCCATCAAGATCTTGTTCATCTGTATGTCGACTCGGGGGAGCCGACCCAACGCGCCGAGTGGGTATTGTCGAGCGGGAGACGGAGCGGGACGATGGGGCCCGCGATGTTGTTTCGAAGCCCTTATGACGGTGTTAAGGGCCAACTGACGACGAACTGTTTCCCAACACGCGGCGGGAAGCAAGGTGCTATCGACTGGAGGGAGGGGAAGAGCGGGGAGTAATGGAGAGGTATGAAACGGGGAAGACGAGGAAATCCATTCTTGAGAAACTCTGCTGGCAAGCACAGGGATGGAGTTGATCGGAACTCCCTCATGTAGGGACTCTTTTCGTCCACACGGCACTCGCAGCCCGTGCTGCACGTGGGATCGGTGTTTGTGCGGGAATGTCCAAGCGGTGCGACGAGGAAATACGGTCAAATCTCTCAGCTAATAGAGTTTTAGTCAAACGCACCATGCAACGGTATGATGGCAGCCAGTTTGCTATCCTGACTCGTGTCTCTGCCTTCCTCCCGCCTTCCGACATTGCTCGCGGCAGCCAGAGCATTGTATTGGTTGCTACTCATCATGGCTTCGCCTCGCTCGGTCGATTTGACTTTGGAGCGAATGACAAGATTGGATGTTGGTGCTAACGAAACTAAAGCAGTCGACGCACGCCACGTGATAACGCCACAGGGTTGACCATCTTTGGAATCTTTCTTCCAGATTAACCTACGCAAATTCTTCGGGGTCTCATCAGGGCCGATCTTCTTCCGATCATTTAAGGTTGAAAGGTTCAAACGATCGTCAAGGGGCCCCAACTTCCGTCGGCTTATCCCGATTGCTTGGCTCACCGGGATCGTTCCCGTGTATAAGCTGGGGCTTCTGGGGAAGCTTGGTCTGACGCGGCTCAACTGAATCAATAGGAACTCCACCTTCAGAGACATTGATCAATTGTTTTACTTTACAATCTTTTAAGTATGGCATGGCCCAGTCTCAAGTTAATTGGGGTCATGACATTAAGCCAGTCTTTGAGCCAGTCACCAACCGTTCTTCATGTGAATAACTCAACGACTAGACCAGTCGCTCAACTGGTCTTCTGAATCTGCGCAATTTCAATGTGTTTCAGCGGTACTTGATTCCATTCTCGCCTTCATCTAGTGTCTGTGTTTCCGGGTAAGCAATCTTCCCCGGGATGAAATGTCAAACGTTTGTTGAAGATCCCGTACGTGCACGCACGTGGCGGTTCTTTTCTACGGCGCACAGACAAGGAGACGTTCCAGAGATAGTTGCGCAAAGACGAACAACGGACTACTAGCAGCAATCGTAGCGCGGTGATGGGCCATTTCCTCGGGGTTGAATTTCTCTATCCTCGGCGCAGACAAAAATGGATCAATGGTTTTCGCCCATGACCTTCGGTCGCTCTAACGGAGTTCCGATTCAGGTCTTCTGTAACTATAGGAAAAGACTTTCTGGTAATCCAAGTGCCTCTGCGAGGGGTCCCTTAGATTGCGGATGGCATAATGGCGCATGTGCAAAGACTTTCTCGTTCTCGGGATGCGGAACTTTCTCAGAGGATTTACCTAAGCGTTCAGTCCAATGTATCACAGCTGTTCGACCTAAAAGGCCGCAGATCTGAGTCATGAAAAGAGACTTGCAGAATCATTTGATGTCAGGCGTGCGTAGAACATAGAGTTAACGCCTCCGCAGCTGACTAGTAGCTCAACTGAACAGGACTTGTCGTGGCTGACGAGTCTTCCTTACTATCGCATTTCGGCTGAGGTATATACATGTCAATTCATCCCAGTCAGTTCTCTGCTTGCTGAGTCGATAGTAGTCTTTGATCTAGATCAGCCGCATTCCGTTCAGGCGTGACCTCAAAGGGCACTGGGGACTTTTAATACTTCCAGATTCCGGAGCAACGCCCATCGGGATTTCTCAATTGGACGCAGGTCTCAAAGAGACAGACAAATTCTTCATTCATCTCTATTCGCTTCCATGCTTCAAATGATACACATGACGAGTAAGTTGGTTGTGAGGCTTATCATATGTAGTCGGACTGAAAACTAAGCGACATCGAAACCTCATTTATATTTCCTGACTGGAGATAATACGCCCAACTTTCCGCTATTCTACGCTTACATTTCTCATCGTCTTCAACATCCATTGATGTGCTTCTTTTCCAATAACTCAGAAAGGCTATGACCAGTTCCTCGTGGTTCGCGCCGTTTTCGCTTTTTTCGCTTGGGACTATCGACAGTTATTTGACAGTTCGCTCTTGGGGATTCCTACAAAATTCAAAATGCGCAAACAATCATTTTTTCAACAAGCAAATGGCTACATCCACATAGGTTTGCTGAAGTGTATTGACTGCAGTGACTGGCGAAGAAATGTCGGAACCAACCAGCGGTTTTGACCAGAACCACAGCCTCCAGCTTTGAAGATATGTACTGCTTGGCTAGAAACATCTCGCAAGGATTATCGACGGACAAAACAAGTAAATGGAAATGTATTCGCAGCTTCCCGCACAAAGAAACCGGCCGAGATGACCATGGGGAACCATCAGTCTGGGCCGTCGGCTCGGACTAGCACATGGAGCAACTCCCTTATCCGGCAACTCGTACGTGCGGCGACGAGACCCTGATAACCTAATAACCAGATCCGGTGAAAATATCAAAGTAGGTTTCCGTCAGTTTCACAGGCTGTGAGTACTCGCCGTGATTGTGACGTAGCGGCCTTCCCCCTCATAGGCCCGAGCATCGGACATGAGAACGGACCATACCGTCGCCTGCTGAACCGCCAGCACCACCCCTTTATCAATATGAAGATGTCGCCGAAACGCCACCTAAGTCTTGTCAAATCACCACACTCGATCTTTTAATTGAAAATTTGGGGTCGCTCAGTACACTATGTCTTCGCCAAAGGTTCTTGTCATTGGCTGCGGTGTTGCCGGGCCGGTCGTTGCGTGTTTATTGAAGCAGAAGGGCTACGAGCCCATCATCTTCGAGAAGTCCGAAGCCCCTGGAGATGTTGGAGCATCTCTCATGATCTGTCCAAACGGCCTCAAAGTCCTCAACTTGATAGGTCCCCTACCCGACAAGCTGCTTCAGAACGGTCCTCCTGTGTTAGAGTTGTGCGACTACAAGGCTTCCGGAGAAGTGCTCGGCAGATCTGATATGCCAAACGAGTTTGCCAAGCGATACAGCCAACCTGCCGTTGGTATTAAACGGACACTTATTACTGCTTGGCTGAGAGAATTGGCCCAGGAGAAGGGGATAGAAGTCCGAGAGGGTTGGAAGTTGGAGCAAATTAAAGAAAACGAGAACTCGGTCACGGCATTTTTCGAAGGAGACAAATATGAGGTCGGCAGCTTCTTAGTAGGCTGCGATGGACTGAAAGCGGCGACTCGAAAAATCCTTCTGGCGCGAGGCGGCATAGAAGAGGGAGTGCCTTCCTTCACTGGGCTGACGCAGGTATGTTCTTTGTTTTGTTTCCGACGTCCTTTCCCTCGACTTCGCCCGTGATACCCATATTCAATCTCCGCCTGTTACGAGCTACGTAGTTAACGAAAATAGACGGCAGGGATTTCTCCAACTCCAGAGGCCTTCCGGAAAAGTCCCAGCTTGAGCAACTGGTATGGTGAACTAAGCCACGTCATCTGCTACCCTATCACGCACGACAAGTCGTCATGGGCTCTCACGCTGCCTGGTAATGAAGTAGAAGAAGCTTCATGGGGTCTTTTCGACGATGAAAGGAGAGCTGTCGAAAAGGAGAAGATGAACGAGATACTCAATCTAAAAACCTGGGATCCGGTCGTACTAGAACTGGTGAGCTCGGCGCAGAGGCTTATGAAGTATGGCATCTACGATCGACCTGAGTTGTCCGCCGATCAGTGGTACTCCGGCCGTTGCGTTATGGTTGGCGATGCCGTGCATCCAACTAGTGTTCATCTTGGGCAAGGGGCTAATCAAGCTTGGTAAGCGTCTATTTTCCGAATCCCTGGTACCTCCAAGGACTCCAGCCGGGCTAACATGAAGTAGTGAGGATTGCTACTATCTGTTCGAGAAGATGCCCAACTTCGAGACCACAAGTGCTTTGTCGAATTCAATTCTTACTGAAGCTTTCAAGTCGTATGCGGCAAAACAGCAGCCACATACTTCAACGCTAGTAAAGGGGGCACGAATGATAGGCCAGGCTCGAGTTGCAGCCCCTGAGTTTTGCTCTCAACGTGATGAAACCATCTCGAAGAGCATGGCAGACCGTGCAGCTCTACAAGAAAAGTTCGATTTCATGTATTCTCGGCCATTTTAAACTACATTTCTTCATGAAAGACTCATTGATTGACGTCATGCGACGTTTTCAAACTACTTGTGTATTCAACATGACTTTCTCTCACCGTTCTCTAAATAGTACATCTCTCTTTGGTCCATTTAGTTGAAAAGACATGAACACTACGCCGCTCTCAACCTTCCCTCTTGACCCGCAATAGTAAATGCATCCCTGATAAATTTGATAGGCGCTGGATACATTCTCTTGAATCTACAGCCGTTGATCCAAAGCCACGACATGCGCAACTGGCCGAGCCAGCCTGACATCCCGCAGCGTAATATGTTCCAGCCGTCTCCAGCTAGCCCCGATTGTTGAAGTGATGTTCCAATACATAAATCTCTGTAGAGGGTACACTGTCCGTAATATCGAGGCCTATCTCCATGGCCGTTGACCCTTCATTATTGTGCTGATAAAGGTCTACGCCCCTGTCCAGCAGAAATCTTGTAATAAGACATTCTTGTTGCCTTGGATGCTGGATCTGATGACAGACCCCACCTTGATCTTTCCAAAAGTTATTCATGGCCATGTAATGAAGCGCCGTATTGCCGTTGTTATCGGTCGTGTTTGCACCAACGCCCAGCTCGCGTACCAGAAACTGGACGACGTCGAAGTCTCTGTAAGCGCACGCCTGATGAAGAGCGTGTACGCCATCTCTCGTGCGAGTATTCAACGACGTCCCGGCATCGATCAGCATTTGCGCAGTGGCTAGGCGACGGCCGCTAGCATCTCCCATGACGATGGGACGGTCGTCCGCCCAAAATGAAGACCTCTTCCACGCCTCTCGGGCGCTTTCATCGGCGCATGCCTTGAGAGCGAAGAACAACGCATTCGCACCGACCTTCATTGACGGCAATTCGTTCCACTCCACGTCAATGTCGTCGTCCGGTCCGCAGCCGTCCTGAAATGTCTTGATCACCTCGACGTCGTCCTGGGTATGAGAAAACATCACCCGTTGACAGTGTTCATGCTCGACGTCTCCGCTGAGTGTGAGAGGTCCGTATTCTCGGTCATGACGTCGATTCAAGTATCCGACATCTGCTCTGTCGTGTACGCAAGCCCCCTTCTGCAACAACAATGACACGACATCTGCGTGTCCATAGAATGCCGCCCAGTGGAGCGCCGTAAGGTTTGAAGTGATCGGAAAACGCGAATAGTGGATGTAACCGCCATATTGCTCGTCTATTTCGTACGCAAAAGTAGTATAGTCGAGGGTGTCGATGTTTGCGCCGTGCGCTAGCGCCTTAGCCACGCCTTCCACGCAACCGTTTTTGGCGGAGAGAATAATACATGATGAGTGGTGTTGTCGAATATCATGAAGGATAATTGCTCGGTTCGTGGTGGCAAAAATGCGTTTGCAAGTCATTCCGAGGCGTGCGGCGGCTCTGACTCCCGGGAAAGGCAGAGGGCAATCCTCTGGGTCGAGGTCGCCGCCCGGGAAATAGTCGATAACGTCGTAGGAGCTCCTCTCATCAGTCACGAGTAGTTCATCCAAAATATGTAGGATGATTTCTGGCGGTAAGTATCCCAATGTGGGACGTATATACGTATGCGTATTGTCCATGATGTATCCAAATGCGAGCGGAATGCTTTGTGATAGCTTCGCCCTCCACTCCCTTCCCACGGTGGAGCGAGGTCGCCTTTTTATATGAGCAGCCAGGAGCCTTTCTCCGAAATGAGTCTCTATTTGGCCCCGGTGTCGTGTAATATGAGGTATGTAAGGGTTCTTCCATTCCACGTGTAGCATTGAAGCCAAAAACCGCAGTCTGGTTCAAGCTGGCTCAAGCTCCGAACAGGAAGAGGCCTCTTGCATTGATTGGACGGAGACGCAACATAAGTTCAAATAGCGCAGGCAAAGAATTCTGAGCGCTGTGAATGATGAGTGTGTGCACTTGTTGGGTTTACACGTGGGAAAGTGTTGATGTTGGGTGCATAAAAAGCCTATCAAGGTATCAGTTGGTTACTACCATCTGTAAAGGTCGGGATGGACTGTTGAATCCGAACAAGCAGCAAACATATAATTCTGAATATGCGTAACGGCGTCTTTCTAAGTGAACATATATGTTTAAGTTGGGCAGACCACGGAGCTCAAAGGATTTGAGGAAGGTGACCAAAAGGTGGGAAGACATATTGACATAAAGGTCTCCATATTCGAAAATACTGACAACATTGGAGTTTCCCTGCCAGTTAACAGCACAGTTTCCTCTTGCCTCTCTTCGGAGTGGCTCTGTCAATGTGCCAGCTCACGCTGCCGGAGTGGGGCCGTGTCGGCACCGCTGCCAAGGAACCGCCTCCGAACATTTCGGGATCCGGGATGACCAGATACTCTTTGATGCTCGCTCTGAAGATTTTACATTTCTTCATCTTCATCAGCTACTGGTAAAGATAGTCCTGCGCTTTGACTCAATCCAAGGAAGTTCTCTGTCGATCGTGCCGAAAAGCCGTCGACTCCCCCGAGAGTTCTCGTGAAAGTGCACCGGTATACCGGCATACCAAGCCCGGAGTCGAAAGCACGGCGCCAAGATGCGTCGGTGACAATCCCTTCCGGACTTGACTGATAGTTCAATAACTCCATCACGTGAAGTGGTTGTGGACTCAAAGAGATTTTTTCGCAACTCTTGGCAACTCCCACGTTGCCGCCACTAGCCGCAACTCGGATCACCCCCAAAATCGCCGACTTTGCCGGAAAACGGGGGTTCGTGAACTCTGGCCCTGCCGACTCAGCCTAGACATGTTTTATTTCAAAAAACAACCAGATCTACGGTTGACTGCCCGATCAGCCCCCAAAGAACTTATTGAAAAGAATCACATGACGGAGGAAAGATGAGAGGATCTTGAGACCCGGCTATCAGGTACGGAAATCTCCGACTCGGTTCCTCGTCTTTATTTCCGCCAAGACATCGATCACTTGGGAAAAAGATGCGTGAGCCCCAATGCCAAGACCGCCACCGTGGCCGAGCTGGTCGCCCGGCCTCATCGCTGCGGAAGGGAGAAAAGTCAGAACATCTGTGCCAACGAGCTGCCGTCTTGCGTGAGACGAGCCTTGGCCGGAGCACTGCCAATGGTCTGGGCGAAAGACGCGCGCTAATACGGGGTTGGTTGAGGCCGACGCCGAAGAATCGCATTCATTCGGGTCGGTGTATCGCAAACGAAACAGCTCGATGCGAGAACGAGATGTGCACCGCCTTGTGACAATAGCAATGGGGAGATGGGCAAGTTGCACGAAGGGTTTGAGACACATCATCATCGCCAGTGACGACGAATCGCGGAGAATCGCAAACAAATTGCCAAATTAGCGAGATTTCCTCTCGGCGCCAATCTTGTGCCCAGAAAGTCCCCCCCGATGATGGAAATCAGATCCCGATGGTTCACAACCCAAGAGCGAGCATTGTCGGCTATCGAAACCTTAGCATGACTCTCTGGTCTCGACATCGCGGCTGGAAAGAAAGAAAGAAGATTTTCACTGGAATCTTGACCGGCTCGAAAGCTCGTCATCTGAAAGCGCCCGCGCGTGCCTGTCACGCTGGCGCTTGTCGATCGGCGCCGAGGCGAGCGACTGAGTCGGTTGGCCGCGGTAGCTTGGCGGGTGCCAAGACGAATGAGTTGTTGTGCTGATCTGGGCGGGCGGCAAATGGTAAGATGTGAAGATGATTGTTGAGGACCCTGAAAGTCTCGCGATGTGGGCGGTTTTTCTCATTGCAACCACATGATTTGAGGTATATGGACGTCATTTCTTTTTTTCGACCAGAAACGGACTCGGTGTTCCATCGAGATATCGAGCGGTGCGATATGGCTGGTCGGTCTGGAACGTGGTCGTCGCAACGTTGCTGCAAACGGGGATATGTCTCGGTACTTGTGGTTGTACTGTAATCGGACGGTTGCAGTTCACACCACCGGCTGGTGGGAGGTCGAGATAATCATCATCGAGGTTTGAGGGAGACGGAATCGATTTCAACATGAACACGCCTAGACTGCCCGGCAAACGGAAGCGTCGTTTGCGCGACCTCAGAAGGTTCTTGCCCAGAAACCAACTAGTAAAACATGAGCAAATGGCAATTTCCTTTTCTCCCATCTCCAAGACGATCCAAGAGAAACATGGGCAATTCACGCGCGGTGAATGGCATCAAACGCTGGAATGCTGAGGTATGCCGAGAGAAACGGCGGCGCCAATCCTCGCCAATGGAGCACTAGCTGCGCTGCCATCACACAGGCACCGGAACAGGGCGTCTGAGACAAAATTCCATGTCTCGACCGCCGTGTCTCTTATGCAATGCCGCTGCTGCTGTCCTCCGCCGAAACGGCGCCGCAGCAGCACTCGGAGCAGTGCATTGCATCCCCAAGAAGCCTAGAAGTCTAGGCTTCTCTTTGCCTTTCGCTCACCGTTCCCTCTGGGCGCCAGTTGATCGCAGTTTGAGTGCGATGAGCAAACATGGAGCCTCGGGATGCCGCTTGGCTGCAACACTCCCAAGCCCCTCATGGCCTCATTCATAACTGGGCGGTTTTCTTGTGTCTTCACGTTTTCATGCTGAAGCCCGTCGCCTGGTGTCTTTTTTGTCTTTCTTGTAGGACGGCTGCGGCCCTCAAGCGTTGGCAGCGGCAGTGTACGACGACGCCTCCTTTTCTCAGCCCAGTACCGTATCGTACCCTCTACACATCGAACACATCCATCTCATAGCAAAGCATCCATCCAGCCCCAAACAAGTCCGAATGGCTTGGCTCCAGCTCCCCTAACCTTCCAAGAAAAACGTAACCCCAAGAACCCCCAAGAACGCCGGCTGGGCTCCTTGGTGTTGTCCTTCGCCAAAAGGCCCAGCGCAGCGCCAAGACAAGCACAGAAATGCCCCCCCTACAGGCCCCCTTAGGCGGGCCAAGACGGGCCTCTGTGGCCCATTCGGAGTCAGTGAGCTGATAGCGCGACTTGGCGAGCAGCTTTTGAGACCTACCCAGCAATCGTAAAATTCGCCCAGGGACTTGGCCTTTTTTTCCTTTCTCTGTGTGTCCTATCCCATCCCTTCCGCTAAACTTTTCTTTCCTTTCTTTCCCTTCTCTTGGTTTTCTCTTGGGAGGCGGGCAGATATGGTCAGGCGCAATCAGAGCGTTTTGCTCGGCGTATCTGGGCTTTTCTCACACCAGACTACGACGCGTTGCTAAAAGGACGCTGAAGGCCACCCCCTCCATCCCATTTTCATTCGACGTCATGTGGGCTTTATTTTGACCCTTCGTATCCCCCCTGACTTTGACCATTGAGAGTCCCATAATAAGACGACTTTCAGTTTGGGTCACTATCGATGAGCAGCAGCAACCGGTTTTGAACTGCGAATGAGAGAGAGAGAAAAGAAGGCAACGACATTGGAAAGAATCCACAGAAGGGATCAAATTAGGAAAGGGAAGAAAAAAGGGAAAAGAAAGCCAGACAGACAGACAGACAGCCATGTCCCTCCACAACGGCGCATACAGCCATCAGGGCTACTGCGCGCCGCCATACAGCCAGGGATATCACCACCCACCCGGCGGCCAGATGTACTCCGACACCTACACCGGCCGCGACAGCACGCAAATCTACTACACCCCCGACAACAACCCTCCCAGCACGGCATCGTCGACGCGCAGCTCGCAGCAGCGGTACTGGTACGGCCAGCCGGACACCCGCCGGTACAGCGGCGGAGGATGCTCGCCCGAGTCGGACCGCTTCAACAGGAAACGGAGGCGGTGCACGTACATGTACTACGTCCTCCGCCAGCTGGCCATCATCGTGCCGCTCGTCGTCGTTTTCCTGAACGTCAACATCTACGTGTCGCGGAGAGGGAAGTATCTGAACGATTCGACGAGCCCGAGCGATCCCATCTTTTACGCCATGTGGCTGTCCGTTCCGTTGGTATGTTTGATCACCGTGATGAGATGAGATGTGATGGAGTGTGTTTGGATGGTGCTGACGTTGAGTTTTAGTCTGTGCTGTTGATGATTTGGTCCATTACGACGGTCATCTTTCGCAAGCGGGATGCGGCGCGCGGCGGGATCCCGAAGCATTTCCATTTCGGCATGGAGTTGTGTTTCTCGCTCGGCGCGACGATTTGCTGGATCCTGCTGGTGATCCAGATCGAGTCGAAGAAGTCAAACGGATACTACGCATATCCGTATATCCAGTACGAGGCCGCGTTGGCATTTTTGCTCGGCCTCATCATGTGAGTTCATCTTGGTTGCTCACTGCCCCAAAATGAGTACTGACGTTCGCAGGCTGTCTGAATTCGGTCTTCTGGGACGGGCATGGTTCGAGTTCAGCAACGACAGGACGCGGCATGAGAGCGAGGCCATGGTGCAGGTTTGACGGTGATCATTGGGATTGTGCGGTCGCATCAGAAACATCACAGCACGGCGTTGAAAAAGGAACTGGGACAGGATCAAATGAACGGATCGAGGCCATCGGAATGAATTTCACAGAGCAAACCACAAGAGATACCCCATCAGCATAAAGATACCATTAATCAAAAAATCGCGTCGTTTTGACCTCATAATCTCATATTCCTCTCACATTACATTCATCATGTGATGAAAACCGTGCTCACATCTTCACTGCGACTGAACCCGTTGCGCAAGCCGACGCTGCCGATAAAGCCAAGCCCACGGCGCCAGCATGCCCACCGCGAACAAGATGGCCCCGAAGAGCGCCGTGATGGCAAAAATCCCCATCGGCCCGACCTTGCCCATGTCCGGCGGCGCCTGCAGGCGGAACTCGTCCGCCGCCGCAGTGACGGCGAGCCGCTGCGTCGTCAGGGTCCTCGGGATGTCGGCGCACAGCGGCTCGCTGCACCAGGTCGTCAGGGCCCCGCCGTGGAAATCCGTGTCGGATCGGGGGTCGTCGGCGGCGTAGGCGAGACCGCCGAGGCTGATCTCGGCGAAGGCGGCCGTGATGGCGTAGCCTTGGACGACGTCGGAGAGGCCTAGGGTCGTGGTGGTCGGTTTCGGCAGCGGGCTGGTTGTCGGCGGGGTGTAGACTAGCACGCTCTGTGTCTGGACGTGAGTTGTGCACATTACGTGGGCGGAGTCACACTCGTACTTGAGGGCGCTATCGATCATCATCAGTCTTGCGGCGAGTGCGGCATGGGTGAGGCGCGTACTCGGGGCAGCATATCACTTGCACCATCGCCGTTTGCCATCTTTCCGTCACCGTCAGGGGAGTCATGGTGTCGTCGAACCCTCTGCTCCAGTCCAGGCTGTGCTTGTAGTGCGAGGTGACGGACACGGTTTGGTTGCAGCCCGACGTGAAGCCCGTGGGACAGCCATTCCAACCCTCGGCGTGGAGAATTCGACATGCTGTGCGCTGCTTCTGTCTGTCTTCAGGGAGGAAGCGGCACTCTGGTGGAGGAGTTACGCGTGCTGGCGCGGGTGTTGTCATGCTCTGTGCCGCTGCGTCGGTGAGCTGCAAGAAGAAGAGGTGATATGGCTGGCTGGAATGAGTCCCGGTATGGTCTGCTGTTCAGTTGAAATGAGGCTCTCATGAAAGTGACGCGGCCGACATCTGCAGGCCTCCCTTTACGAGAGATCACTAGACCAGGCTCATTTAGGCCGTGTCTGCGACCCTGTGGCACAGCATGCTCTCATGTGTAAAGGGTCTTGATCCCTCATTTTGGGCTCATTGTGAAGTAACATAAATGTGAGAGATATGTAGAAGAAAGTCGGGGAGCAGACAGAAAATTGAAAATGAGTAACGTCACACAGTCTACATGAGTGAGCCAGATCTCAATGAATACTGACATGAGTTTCATGAAACGGCCGATGAGATCATAGCATCGATTGAGAGTGAGTTACGTAATCTCGGTGAACCAATGAAACAATCTTCAGGTGAGCCGGATAAGCTTCGGTGAAGCCCCGCCGGTCCCACCGTCGGAGACCCATATTAGGTAAAGCCGTTGCGGAAATGTGGACTCTCATGATCGATGATTCGCCATCCACCATCATCGTGGATTCTGATTCGCTCATCGCCGTCTCAGGGGCGTCACAGTTCCGCTAGTGTGGATTTCGAGGTGGAGACCGCCCGCGATTCCCGACCCGGCCGATGCCGTGTGGTGGTGCTGGTGGTGGTGCCGTCAATGGAACGAAGACGGGTCTCTTCCTGACTCTGCTGTTGGCTGTGCTGCTCCCAACAGATCCAGACCCCGATCTCGCTTTCTGACGCAGGTAGGGAAAAAAAAAAATAGAGAGAGAGAACTCCACTCCTGGTCAGGCAACTTCCAGTTCTTCCGTCCCGCAGCAGAGACACACAGAGAGAGGAGAAGCGAGCGAGATTAGCTTCATCAGCCTCACACCCACCCCTCAGGCTAGAGCAGAGCCTCAAAGAAGATCACCATGTCGACGAGGGCCATTAAGAAGAGCGCCTTCTCCTGCGAGCCATGTCGTCGGCGTAAGGTACGTTTTATTTTATTATTTTTTAATCTCCGATCTCCCTGGACCAATCTGCTGCTGCCCCCTTACCCGGTTCTTCATTTCATCCTTCCGCTTCCGCCTCCGCGCCACCCCGTACCCCTGCACCGGCGGAGGCGGAGGAGGCTGAGGTTAAGCGGAATGCCGCTTATCGTTTGATGATCCGTATTCCTGGGCTCAATGGCACACGTCCTTCCTACTCTGTGCTTGACGCCGCAGGGGTTTGACGATGGTGGTGGTGGTGGTGGTTTGATGCGCGTGGCGCGGATATCGCGGACTATCTCCGGAAAACACGGCGGCTGACCGGATCGGGGGTGACAGGTAAAATGCGGCGGAGAACAACCGACGTGCAATAGATGCGCAGCTCGCGCGGATGAGTGCGTATATAAACTGTAAGCCACACACACACGCAAACACAAACGCCGCCCCCCATCATCCCCATATCACCCGCATATCGTCACAGTGGGACTGACCGACTGCCGGGCCCGGCCACATGCAGTAACCCGACTTTGTCGTATACATCGCGCCTGGAGCAGCGCATCAAGGAACTAGAGGCCCAGCTGGCCGCCGCGAGGGTACACGCCCCCGGCCCCGCGGAGCCCTCGCGGACGTCGTCGCCCAGCCTCGGCCCGTCGGCGGGTCAGTCGCCGATGACTGACCCCCATCACGTCGAGTCGCAGGATGAGGAGTCCGTGAGCGAGAGCTTCAAGGGGCTCAAGGTCGACGACAAAGGCGCCATCACGTATCACGGCGCTACGAGTTTCTTCCAGTTGCCCGGTGATCGGCAGCTCGGTTCGAGAGACCACACGTCGTCGTCGGAGCAGGCTATGAATCGGCGCCAGAGGCTGGTTGCGAAAGCTTGGGAGCAGAGAGCCATGGAGAACATGTCGGAGATCCCGGTGAGTGTTGTTGCTTGTGTGAGCCGAGTCGCAGAGCTGACTTCGTGAAAAAGGAACCATTCCAATACCTGTTGAACGTCCATTGGTGCTGGATCCAGCCTCTTTTCAACTTCATCTACAGGCCCGCTTTCACCCGTGAGTTCGACCCGGGTGAGCTTGCACGCGCCGTGCTGACTTTTGATAGGTGATATGCAGTCGATGGGCCCGTACTACTCTCACACGCTGATGAACGCGGTATTATCTCACTCAATACGTTGGGGCAGGAGTGATCCTGCCACGAAAGAGAAGCTCGATGAGTACTACGACGGCGGCGCGCTCTTCGGCAAGCACGCTCGAAGTATGGTCTTCGAAGAGCTCAGCCAGGGCGTCAGCTCGATTCCTACCGTCCAGACATTGCTGCTTCTCAGCGCGCAAGAGTGCAGTGTCGGGAACAGCGCCCAAGCATGGACATACAGCGGTCTCGCCTTCCGCATCATAGACCACCTTGGTATCTGCGTGGACGGCCAGAGGTATCCCGGCTCGGTGCAGTTCAGTGACGAGGACGTCGAGATTCGGCACCGTCTGTTCTGGAGTTGTTATTTCTGGGACAAGATGATCAGCTTGTACCTCGGCCGTTCGCCATCGCTGCAGCAGACGTCGGTGTCGCCGCCGCAAATCATATGTACGTCCAACCCATCTTGCTGAACTTTCCAACAAGAGCTAACGTGACGTTAGTTGACGACTCGGCCGAGAACGACTCCTGGACGCCGTTTGGTGTCGTTCCGCAAGGCGGCTGGAAGTACCCTCCATCCCACGCATACTCCACCTCATGTTTCATGCAGATGTGCCGACTCTCCGTCATCTTCAACGAGATCCTCGTCCACATGTACGACCCAGTGCGCCCCAACAGCCAGGCCGAGATGCAAGACTGCCTCGTCAAGCAAGAGCCCGCCCTTCAACAGTGGTGGGATGAGCTACCCCCTCATCTGAAGCTGGAGTCCTCCAACCTGCCCAAGCTGGCGCCGCCATCCCACATCATCACGTTAAAGTAGGCACATCCCACCTCGTAGCGTAGCGCTGGGAAACCGCAGCTGACTTTTGATTAGCGCACTCTATCGGACTTTCAAGATCCTCCTTTACAGGCCGATGCTGTCCCAGAGGGGCCGCGTCGGGGAGAACCTGCAGCTGGTTCAGCGGTACCTGGTCGAGTGCGTGACGACGGCAACGTCCATCGTCGCAATCTTCGACCTCTTCTGCCAGTCCTTCGGCATCAGCCACTGCGTCTTGTCGCTCTCGTACAGCGTCTACATCGCCGCGTCCATCTTCCTCCTGCAGGTTCAGTCGAGCGTCGAGGACACGCAGGCTCTCCACCGGCTGCAGTACTGCGTTCGGATTCTCGCCTCTGTGAAACGAATCAACCCAGGTAAGTGGAGAGTCCCCCATCCCGGTATCGACATGTAGCTGACCCCCCGCCAAAGTCATCAGCAGTGCTCTTAACCTCATCATCCGCGAGCTCGCCAGCCTCGGCATCGACGTCGGCGCCCTCGGTATCCCTAAGACTGCCGCAACGCCCCCGATGGCGACGTACGGCATCCCGCAGAACAGACCGATGGACGGGATCCCCACCTCCGCGCCTCCGGGACCCGAAGCCACGAGCTCGCCGGAGCAGCTCGAAAACTTCTCCTTCGTCGATACCCTCGGCCCAGAGGCTTTCGCGATCGATCCGCAGGTCTTCCAGAACATGTCTTCCATCGAGCCTTTGAGCGTCCGGGTTGGCGCGATAGACGAATAACGCAGACGGCGCGCCAACTTTCCCGCGTCTTACACGCGCTGGAGATCGCCAGCGGCACCATCTGCTTGAATCGACTTGATCAGGCGGACCACCTGGTCGTACACCGTAAAAGTGATGCCACTCGAAAGCTGAGTGTGTCAGCAAACGGCCAAGTCTGCTTCACATTGCATCACTTACCGTCAAGCGGACTAGTCTAGGCGAAGTGCCTCTCCAAAAAGCCAACACGCCATCACCCCGAAAGACCTGCGCAGCGCAGTCCAGCATACCCTTGTACCTCGCATCAACAGCCTGCATCCTCGTTTTGATGTTATCAAACGGCATCGACGCATATCTGTAAATACAGTCAGCACATGTTTCCATCATATAAAAACAACACAACCAGCACACAAACGTACACCGTAAAAACACCACTGATCCCTCCCAAGACAAGCGTGCTGCCGACGCTCCCGTCGAGGCTAGGCCACCAGCTCGCGACCCGCTCCTGGAGCATCGCAAACGTCGTGAACCGCACCGCGCTGTTGGTCCCCTGCTTGCACAACACCGGCGTCAGACCGCTCCACAACCCCCTCACGCCCTCCTCGCGAACAAGCACGCCGACGGCGCCGGCGAGCCCTCGGTTCGCGAACCGTCCGCCGGACGACGACGACGACGCGTCGTGGATCATCTTCGTCTTGATCGCCTCGCCCGGGGTCACCACCGCGATGCTCTCCGCCACGCCGGCGCTGAGCCCGCTCACGACGTTGATCCACGCGGACCTCGGCCGCCCGGCCTTCGGGTCGGTCCCGTTCAGGCCATCGAGCTTGGCGCGGGTGGTCTCGAAGGCGAGAAACCGAATACCGGACTTGGCCGCGTTGGAGGCCGCGAGGGCCTGGACGCCCGAGTAGATGCCCTTCACGCCGGAGCGGCGTACGGTCTCGCGGACGATGGAGAGGGAGCTCGGCGGCGCATCGCCGGACTTGACGTGTAACTGGCGACGAGTCTTGACGAATTCGGCGGGGTACTTTTCAGTTTTGCGTCGTTTTGTTAGAGAAAGTGTACAAAATTTCAGGAGAGAAATGATATGAACAGTGTTTGTTTGCCCATCAAGTGACTCCCGGAAAGACACTGAGACTTAAGACGGAATGTGATGATGTGTTGTCGTTTTGTTGCTAAGTTTAGAAAGCAGCAGATCCATGGATCCTGAGACTTACAGTGACGAGTGTTTCTGAAACCCCCGCAACGCCGCCGGCCAGGATCTTGCTCAGCACTCCGGAATCCATCTGCTGATCTGGGCCGGTTTTGGAATCTTTGACGATATGGGCTGATATGATCTGATGACACGAGTCTAACGGCAAGGACGAACCTCGGTGTTCGTCGGTAAAAGCTAGCCGGGGATCGTGGAGTCGTCAATAGGGTTCTTTTTTTTTGTCACGAAATCGTCGTCGTCATACTAGTAAACACCAAGCCCACCCGGGGTGCCGGTTCTCCCGCACAAGTCATATACGTCTTTTGCTGCGCTCGCTCGCTTAAACGTTCCCACAGCATCGGGGTCTCGTGGGCTCGATTTTTACCCCCCGAGAAATTGAGGAGCTCTCCGGAGTATGGCCGTCTCACGACGACGACGGGGCTCCACTCGGACATGTTCCGAGCGTTTGGAGGGTTTCTCGCTCGTATATCGGTGTTCTTTCCGTGGGGGGAGGGGGATTTCGATATCATGAAGTTTCTCGTTCTGCATTCTTCGGCCATTTTCCGCGAGATCAGCGCCGATGAGATGGCGTGGCTCGGTGCTTTTTTGACATCCGTGGGATTCGTGCCTGCGTGGGTTTGTCTGTGTTTAAGCGACACGGCGACGGCGGGCTGGGCCGCTCGGCGGACGTGCGAGACAGAGAGAGAGAGAGAGAGCGCATGGGTTGTTCTCCGGGGTCATCTTGGCGATGGCCGGCGTTTTGGGAGCCTGCTTGTCTCGGTGATCAGATCAACAGCCCGGCTGAGCAAGTCCGCGAAGGTCTCTCAAGACTCAACCTCTCCAGGTCCGTCTGACATTCGGAAGTTGACCGAGAGACATCACCGGCCAACGGCGACGGCGATGATGATGTGTAAAGTTTTTGAGGGGGAGGAGATTCTGGATTTCTTGGAAAACCTGGGGGCCGCTAGCGCGTATATGCAAGATGCGTCCGGAGGTTACATGTGTGCCACACATGGCCGCTTGTCGTCCGCACCCTGAGGATGGACACGTGCCGGTCGAGCGGGATTGCGGGTGCTTGTTTCGGGCTATCTTTGACTGCGGAGGACCGAAGCCGTCTTGTTTCTGCGTTACCGGGGCCCATGTTCGGCGTGGGACTTTCTGGAGGAGCTTGTAATGGCGAAATAGGAGTGCGATGATGCGCTGTCGCGGGGTCCATTGCAGATGTCACGGCTAGGGTCCGAGGGGGAGGGAGGTCGAGCAGGCTCGGGACGTGCATCCGATCCCGACATGAGGGAACGGACTGCTTTGACGACCGCTGCCCTGCTGAGGACTTTTTTTTTCATTTTGAGTAATTTGCCAAGAGAAGAGTTGCGATGGCAGGATAATTATGGAACGGTTCTTTCCTCACGAGTCGGACCGTAGCGTGAGACCCTGACAAGAGCCGGACAAATTTGCTGACCGGTGAATTTCCTGCAGGTTTCGCTATAAGTTTCGCTGCTTTTACACGTGCGAAATCAGACCGAAAGGAGAAAAAGAAAGAGAGGAATCGTCGAGGGTGGGGACGAGACTGCGCCGACGCCCGTTGGCGGATACTTTGAATCCCGGCTGGGGGAACAGGTTGAATGTGGCTCCGGTTCACCGGCACGGGGGATGGCCGAGGTTGTGCGTTGCGTTCGTTCCATCACGGACTTGGGCCGAGGGATGAGGGCATTTTCTGGCCCTTCGCGTGCCGATGATTTAGTGAACTTTAATGAGGTTTGAAGATCTGAATTGGCGATCTTGCGGAGGCTGAGTGTGGAAGTTGACCGAGTTCTCAGAGGTGTGAGGTGGTGGAACAAGCTATAGAAGTGAGTGTCGTTGACGGATGAAGGGGACGTGAGAACAGGAGAATGCTTGATCCGGACCTGCGAAATCGAGCACCGAAATCGACGCCGGAAGGATGAGCGTCACACGCGTCATAAGCCGGCTCAAACGCCCCCTTACATAATCCCATGATATGCCCCTTTGGCTCAGTGGTAGAGCGTCTCACTCGTATGCTTCACGGATCATGAGAAGGTCCACGGTTCAATCCCGTGAGGGGGCACTTCTTTTGCCAATTTCAAGCAACTGATATCTTTTTGCACCTCAGTTGTCAAACTTTCCGTTCCCGGCTTTGGTTTTTGCTTGGAAATTGTTTCGGCGGCCCTGCGAGACAAGCAAGCTGTCACCCGCATGTAAGAGAGGTAGGTATCCGAACGCTTGGAGATCAGTGCTTCATCATTGCATTTGAAGAGGTGTCTCAACTCGACCGGAAACTCTCTTTCTTCTTTGACTAGTCGTATTATCATTAAACTCTCAGATAGTTGACATCCCAATGTGACTAAGTCATTGAATAGTTTCCAGTTGTAAGTTACGAGTAAGTCTACGCCAACTCATGATTCGTCAACATTCGGTTCGCCGTCTCATGCCAACTCAGCAAACCTTGAACTTGACGAACTGAGCCGCATCCTCCGCATACTTCAGGCCGTAGTTCTCGTGCGCGTCCCAGCTAGTTCCTTGAGAGCAGGCGGGGTCGTCAGCATTACAGTAGTCGCGCAGTCTGGCAGACCACCGGTTCAGCGACTCGAGCTGCGCGCCCTCCCGAGGGAAACCCTGGTATGCGTGTTAGTCATTATCCTCTTTCATCTCGACGCAACGCGGATCTCGCAACTTACGGACTGCATGCGGGCGCCAACGAGCAAGTTGTAAGTCTGGTTCGCAACGTGTCTCGGCGAGCCCCAGATAAGAGCAGCAGCGACTATCAGACACACACTCCGTCAGTCCAAAAATTCCCCACCAGCATATACATTCATCCGGAGGGGAGAGCGGCGAGGCGCGAAACTCACTATGATCGCCAGGGAAAACCTCCGGCGCAATCCCCTCGCTCGTCTCCTGCACGCAGCTCTGGCTCTTGAACTCCCCGCCGCCGCCGCCGAGCAAGTCGCCGACGACCTGGCCGCCCTGCGAGAAGCCGGACAGCACGATCTTGGCGTCCGGGCAGCGGGTGGCGTAGTCGGTGACGGCCTTGAGGGTGTTGGCGACGCCGCCCTCGACGGAGTCGCAGTAGTCGTGGAAGACGGCCTGGTACTCGACGCTCGCCCACGTGCAGTCCCAGTCCTTGCAGATGGCCTCGGCGATGGGCTGTTGCAGACCCGGGTACGGCTCGTTCGTGCCGCGGATGAGGAGGACGTGGACGGCGCTGCAGGGTGTGAGGGGGCAGAGGGTCTGGGAGGCGGCGGCGGGGAGGAGGGGGAGGAGGAGGGTTGCGGGACGCATCTTGCCGGGGTGTGGCGATTGAAAGAGTCCGGCTGGTCGGGAGGAGTGGGATTTCAAAGATTAGTTGGGAATTTCGACCCGACTTGAGAGAAGAGAGCGCAACGAGTGAAGCTTCTCTCCTAAATGTTGTTTCGATCCGACCTCATATTTATGAACTTCTCAACGTCACTCTCGCCAATAGTGATTATCCAAATATCCCCAGATTCGACGTCAGACGAACTGTTCCCCCGCAAACCCCAGATTCCGATATTGGCATCGCATCTCCCGTCAAAAGCCAAAAACAAGCTTGTTTTCCACCGCTGTGCCGGGATTGAATCATTGCCTATTGCTGGAGTTGTCACATAGAGGCTATTCTTTCCTGATTCGTCCACCGCTTGACATTGCGCCCAGAGCTCGGAACTCGGAGACCCCATGCGGAAGTCGGACGGCCTAGCTGCCAAAGCTGGGGGAGGTTGCAACAGCACCGGCGTCTCGTCTCGGCAATTACAAACAGCCAGTTGGAATCCGGGGATTTCGTGACTGTTCTTTGTAAATCCCCAGTCCCCATGGGACGAATTGTGGGGTAATTATTGGGAGAATTTGTCCGTGGAGTTTTTCATCGCTGTTTGTTCTTCAAGGCCACTGATCATGTTAAAAGGGCGTTTACACTTCCCTGACTCGGCGTACTGCGCAGACACACACAATACGGACAAATGGTAGGACTTCTCCGTGATAGTCTCTCTCTCGGCCGGGATAACTCAAGCGACGGAAATACTAACCCAAAGGAATTAGCAGCGAAAAGCTCTCCGGGGCATGGAACCATGATAGTAAGCCTCGGCCTTTCAGATCTCACCGACGCTCACAAAACCCCCCCGCAATCCCGCTTTATTCCCCGTCGCCTTTTCCGCTACAAAAGTTCTTCAGCGGCACGTTCAACATCTTACAGACCAGATCGGTCTAGACTCGCTCTTCTACGCGGACTCTCCGACCCACGGTGTAAGTCAGTCCGATCATGATTGCTCTTCCGCTATACACTCAAAGATGTACTTAGGGTCCTTTTGGTGTCCGTACATACTGGAATAAGCCAGTCCCGGCCTCACTCGGCCAACTTCCACGCTTCGCCCACGGCTTGGCGGCTTGCTTCGGTTCCATAAGTCTCGAGTTCGGCTTTGCTTTCGGATACGGAACGGACGGCGCGGAGGACCCGCTCCGCATTCAAACTAATGAAGTAGTTTGCACAATCAACACCGAGGATGGTGGCAGGTGCTGCTCACCAGAAACCAGAAGGATGTAGTAATACCGCAGAGAATGTGGGGTTGGAAGGAAGTTGTCCGATGACTTGGAACCGAAGATTACGCACATCGAACAACCAAAGCAATGTGTTAAGGTTGGTTTGGGACTTTGGATGATGGGCCTTGGCAACGGCCGAGCATGCGCAACAGCTCATTGGCAGCTGGAAAGCCAGTTGAACGTAGGTCGGTTGACGGCTTTTGATATTGATCACTATGCAACATTGAAGATGTCTTTGGTCTCAACGGACATGGAGAAATACTTCATTTTCCATTGGTACCATTACTCTTCCAGTTCACGTGGCTTATCATGCAATACCAACCATTCAAGGCTACGTAGGTTTGGACAGAGCAATGGAAACTCGCTTGACGCTTTGAAATGGCCCAGACCCAGGTTGTCGGTAACCAATGAAATGACAGTGTTCGGATAATCAAGCAGACGGTGAATTTCGCATTTGAGAGGAATTAATATTCTTTATTGTTAGGTTGTTGTCGTGAGTCATTCGTCGTACCCGACGTTCCTGCTGCCATCGCTATGCTGAATTACTAGAAAGGATGAACGAAGCTAACAGATGTTGTTGAAAATCATCTGCTGTGCCGTGTATTCCATAAATCCTCCGCGTTTCCTCTGAACAACCTGTCGACCAGGATGTCGTCTTTACCGCACCAATCAAGAACTGTTTCCATCCATGGCCTGATGTCTAATCCTTCGAACCGGGTATGCGGCCAGTCCGTTGCGAAGATGACTCTATCCTTGCCACGAAGGTTAAGAACCTCTCGTGCAATGGGCTCCAGGTCGCTATGGTCGGCCTTGGAGCTCAGTCGGTACGGAGCCGATAGCTTCACGTAGGTGTTACCGGCTCTAAGAAGCCTTGCCAAGGACTTGAAGCCGTTCATTTCGTATGGGTTGTGTGAAGGCATGTCTTTGATGCAAGGGTGGCCGAGGTGGTCGATACAGACGCGGACGCCAAGAGTCGGTACGATGGGCTCGAGAAGCTCGATCATAGACATGGGCATGTAAACTTGAATAACCCAGTCTAACGGCTTGCAATCCTCTGCATAGCGATGCAGGAGGTTATCGAGCTCGTTGGCATCAAGGGACTTGCCAACCGATGAGAGGTTAATGCGGACGCCTCTTACACCGAGCTTGTGCCACTCCAGCAGTGTACTTTGCGGCAAGCTACCGGGTTCGAAAGCCACAACCGCACGGCCACGGCGAGGACCCAGGGCTCTAAGAGCATCGAGGAGACATGTGTTATCATTGCCGTAGATGGAAGGTTGAACGAGGACGATGTTATCGATTCCAACCGACGATTCGAAGGTGAGGGCGTGCTCGAGACGGTGCGTCTTGGGGCAGTATATTGCGTCTCTTGCCAAGGGATATGCGGCCGGGTCGACGACGTGCATGTGTGAGTCCCATGCTCCGCGGGGGATCCGCTCTGGCAGGGTCAACCTCCGACGGGCCGTCGAAGTAATAACTGTTGGTATTACTTTGTCGTTTCTTGTCGACGTCGATGTCGGGTTTAGGAGAGGCTGAAGGAGGGCCATGATGGTTCTGATATGTCGATACAAGTAAGAGTGTGCCTGGAGCATGCGCCGCTGTACCATGTTGAGGGCAGCAGCTCTATGAGTGAGGGTTGAGGGGAGGGCCCTATCGGTAGAAGAAGTAGATGGAGGAAACGAGGGGGACGAATGATAGAGGCGAGGCTCGGGTTTCTTGCCGATTTGATGGTGACAAGTATCTAGGGACGGAGGGGTGGATGTGGTTGTGGTGGTACGCGGGCGCCTACTGGAAAGGCATGGAAGGGATGAATCCTTCTCCTCGCGAGAACAAACTGGCGACGGCACCGAAGGTACGACGGGGTTTTCGTCATCCGCAACTGACTGCAGGAACGTCAGAGGACCGTGATGGCGGCGGCGGCGGTGCGCCTGCACATATGGACGTCGGCCCATCGTGCTCGCTGAGATCCTGCCGACTGCCCGGCTCGTTGAGTGGATCATTGAGTTGCAGCATACTCGAGAGGAACCTTTCACTCCTCTAGGGCAGCCCGCAGTTTTACGGATTCTCCAGCAAGAATGGCAACAAGTAGTAGGAGCGATAGTGGAGGTGGTTGAGGGCGAATTCGTCAAGATGAGAGGTGCAGGTTTCTGGTTTTGGGGAGGGAAATTCTGGGCGGTGTCGCTCGGAGGATGTCCGATTCTCACAAGGTACAGCAACTGAGCAGCGGTTTGGCGTTGCGTATTGGTGGTTTGGGACGATTTGCGCGTGTAACTACACTACGCATATGCTCTTCAACTATTTTCAGAATCTTGCCTATGGAACATGACCGACGGCATGCATCGGCCATATGTGCACGGTAGGGATTATTTGCTTCGGGTTATTGGATAGCGGGCGACGACAGCATCGTTTTACAGGCGCATATGTGAGTGTGAACGAGAGAATACAGCTACTTTTCCTTTGCCACGAGTCAGGACGCGGACCACAGTTAGTGGAAGCCAGGCCTGCCGGAAGTTGACCGAGCATCGTTGAGAAGAGAGATTGAGCGAGTGAAAGTGAGAGAGACGCCTCGACAGAGAGAACACACACAGAGAGAGCCTGGACCAGCCGGAAGCGGACCGGGAATACCGGACGATGTTGAGGTATCTCACCACCATCATTCCGTGAGACAATACCTGGACCCTTTCATCTGAGAAGACAACCCACCGGCACTTGGAAATGGTGTGAAGGGAACTGGCACTGGATGAACGCAACTCCCGAGTGGAGATCATTACTAAGAAAGTCTCCAGTTCGCGTTTGCCTCCGGTTTTTCCTTTCAAAGTTGCGTGTTCCCCCCAAAATCTTTGTTCGGTCAACGTCCGACGTTTTTCATCTCCACTCTCTGCACGAGATCCTCCTCCACGCGCGATCGACTCGAACTGAAATCGTGGGGTTGGCTTCACGAACCGGGGCCGCAAAATCCGGAGAAGACTGAAGCGGGAGAACCTGCATCGCTTGGCCGTCTTACCCCGTGGAGGGACTTCGCTTCAACCCCGCGGTTGAGCGACGACGCTCGTTGAAGGAGGGGGAAAAGAAAGGCGACATAAGAAGTGACGAGTCGTCGGAGGCGAATGGTGCGTGACTTGGTCACAGTTGCGTGTCGGAAATAGGGGGCGACCGCAGAAAATTTCTCTCATTCATCTCACTCACTTCGAGGAACTCGCACAACCTGCGTTCCACGAACGCGTTCGAACCGTCAACCAGTTCCATCAGACCCTGGAAAATGGTCGACTTCAACGCCTACTATCTCTTGACCATTATCGTTATCGCGTGCGGGTCAATCCCCAAGGGTAAGTTTCTGTTTATGTACGGTCAAGTCAGGTCACCGCATAACGCGACCGTGATCTGTCATTTTCTCCACCAAAAAACCTCCGTTCGCGGTGTGCTGATGGGTCCTCAACAGGTTATGATGAGGGAGGCTTCAGCGCCTCCACGGGCTTGACCTCATTCAAGGAAGACTTTGGCCTCTTATCGAGTCAATGGGTAGGCAATGAGTCTGGACTGGCTGACCGCAAGGCCAATATCTCATCGTTTGGTGTTCTCGGCGCCGCCTTTGGCTCGATAATCGCTCTAGGTTTGAACGATAGGCTCGGTCGGCTTCGGACATGGCAGGTCTTCATCGCCCTCTGGATGACCGGCGCCTTGATGCAGGTATTCTCATCCGGCATCTTAGGATTGATGCTTTTCGCCCGCATATGGGGTGGGTTGGGTGCCGGCGGTCTCACCGTCGTGGCGCCGCTGTATCTGTCTGAGATTGCGCCCGCAAAGTCGCGCGGCATGGTGGTCAGCATATACATGGTCGTCTTGCTGTCGTTCCTAACCATCGGTGAGTTCTCATTCCAGGAAACGGCCCCTCCCTCGGCGAACCTCCGACTGACCGATCTCGATACTAGGTTTCTTCATCAATTACGCCGCCAACGCAACGCTAGCCGCGACCAGGATGCAGTACCGCCTCGTCATCGCCATCCCTCTCATCCCGGTGGGCCTGGCGTTCATCGCTTCCTTCTTCCTCGCTGATACCCCGCGCTGGCTGGCATCGCGGGACCGGGGCGATGAGGCGCTCGCCGTGCTTGCCAAGCTCCGCCACGCAGACCGGAGCGACCCGGCCCTCGACCTCGAGTATGAGGAGATCCACGAGCAGCTCCGCAACAAGCAACAGATTCTCGCGGACACTTCCACCTGGGCCATCTGCAAGGAGACCATCACCATTCCCACATATCGAACGCGTTTCCTCTTGGGGGCTGTGATGCAGACTGTGGCGCAATGGTCTGGCGGTAACGGCATCACGTACTACATCCCGGAGATCTTCCGGTATGCCGGCGTCGTCGGTGACAACACATCTCTCATCACGAGTGGTGCTTATGGCGCTGTCAAGCTCGTTTTTACGATGGTCTTCACCTGGGGTCTCGTCGATGTCTTCGGGCGTCGGCGGTGCTTCATCCTAGGTCTCTTCCTGCAGTGCATCACCCACGTATACATGGCTGTGTACATGGGCATCTGGATCGATGGAACCAACAAGCCTGCCTCGGACGCCGCTATCGCGTCCGTTTTCGTATACGCCGTTGGCTGGTCCATCGGGCTATGCACCGTACAGTACCTCTATGGCACAGAGATCTACCCGACGCGCATCCGTAACGTCTGCTACGCCACCAACATGGCGCTGCACTGGTTCTTCCAGTTTGCCGTTGTGAGGGTAACGCCCAATATGTTTGTGAGTCTTGACGTCTGGGGCGCGTACGTCTTCTGGGCGTGCGTGTGCGCGGCAGGACTTGTACTCCTCGGTCTATGGGCGCCTGAGACTAAGGGTATTCCTATGGAGCGGATGGAAGAGCTTTTCAGCGGTCCATGGTGGATGGGCTGGAGGGCGAGTGTGGATTTGGACTCGAGTGAGACGAAGCCCTTCGGGCGCGGAGATTCATCAGGGAAGGATTCGAAAGATTCGAAAGAGGGACCATTTACTCACGATCGAAAAACGGATGTCTGATATGCTTTCGACTTGTTTTTCTTTGTAACTCTACGTTCATTAGCATATTTCTTATAATGATCACACATTTTTTCTCACGACTGAAATGACTTAGAGGATTGATATCGAAGATGCCGGCTACGATGGATCGGGCCGGATCCGAAAATAGTGGGTCTTCACGGCCGAGCTCCCGGAACCATGATTTTGGGATGAAGGTGGGTGTAACGATAGTGTGCTACCATACTCGCAAATGTTTTGCAGCTGCGCAGACTTTACAAATGCAAACAGGTCTCCTGGGATTGTCATGCCAAGATACTAGACCTGAGGCAGGCCCATAAACATGTGTTGTCAATCTTGGAGGCTCCGGTTCTCGGGATGGAGCTCGTCTCCGTAATTTCACCGAGTACGGCTTTCAGTTCCACATGACGCAATGGAACAGTTTGTAACAAGATGTCAGAGGCATTGCAGATATTTCCCGGTTTTCTCGGTGTAATTAGCCAACTATTTGGCAAATCTTTGTACGTTCAGATCTAAAACGAGAATCCCTTGCGGATGATCGAAGAACGCCTGTGCTCACTTTCTTGAGGGGAGAGTCGAAAAGAACGAAACACATCTGACTTTTCCTTCCATTACGCGACACTACACAAGTCATTTGGCTTTTTGCCGATAAAACAAGAACAACGCCAGTTCTCGAAGTTGGAACGCTAGGTATAGCACGGGAAAAAAGAAGAGACCACAGGCGGTCAGTACAATAGAGAAAGTGCAGAATTCGGACACCCTGGATTTCGATAATCCGTTGGGGTCAGCCGTCAGCGTCGTCTGCATAGCAGCCAGCACTACTGTCACGGCACCGAAGACGAAGAGGTAGGGCGCCAGGAATCTTGAGAAGTAGTCGACATACTGGTGGTGTGTCTCGAGATAGTCCCACTCGCGCAGAAATAATTTCGAGTAAAAGTTGAGGCGGGTGAGTCGCAATTCCCCGTAGTGATATCGAGGAGCCACTTCATCGTCCCTTGTCTTGGCGACGTTTTCTATGAAAAGACACCAGTTCTCCCAGTTGACCTCCGTCGGAATCAGACCCGTTGCTTTCGCGATGTTGAAATCCGTTTCGTGCACCACCAAGCTCGCATAGGTCCTGAGAAAACCGTATGCTGCTGATCGGTAAGACGAACCAGGCCGTAAGAACTTTTCGAAAAAACCGTAGTTGAGAATGCAGTGCGGAATCGGCTTGATGAAGATACGGTCATAATACCATACGAGGTGTAGGTCTGGCCGCTCGGTAATAACGATCTGACGGCCTTTGATGGCTTGGTGATGCAAAGGACTGATGTTATTTCTCTTGGAGACGAGAAAAAGCATGAAGTACAAATCATCAAGCCTCTTGGTTGAAAGCTCTCTGCGGAGGAAGTTTTCGACGGCCGAGTTGTCGCTCATGGAGATGCGTGGTTGGCCTGGTACGGTATGATACGGCCTCAGCACATTTTTGGAAATTCCGGGCCAAAGTTCGGCCTTCAATGTGAAAGGGACGTGTTCTGGATCAATCACCATCCCATTTGAAACAAAGTGTTATGGTGCTGATCGAAAATATCTGATGCGTATACAGGAAAACCGTTCGCAATTCACGGCAGAGGCGAATTGATCGGATCCAAGTCAATTTGACCAACATATTCACGAGAGGAGAAACAAGCAGGAGGGCTGTGCCATAGGTCAAGTACGTAGCGTCGACGCGCCTGATTCCGAGCCTGACTGTTGATGAGCTGAGTTGACCAACCCAATGTGCATGTGCATAAGTCCAGCTGGCTGCTGTCATTGGATCATGACAGCAACAAGTTGACGTGGCGCAGGCTCAATGGCTAGCTGCAATGAGGCCTTGTGGTGGTGGCGTAGTAATATGTCTGATGCAGAGGAAACCAATCACGTTGTTGTCGCACCTAGCCGCTGACCATCAGCTTCATCGAGTGCTTACCGCTGCGGGGTTACGCGTTGAGAAAAGATCTCAGCACCAGGCTTGGAACACGTGACGAGAAAAGATTGCCTTATGACGCACCCAGAATCTCAGTGTCGGCCTATTTACAGCCTGATCATCCTCGCGGAAACACAAACTCCTCAACGCTGGACGAAAAGAACTGCTTTCGAGGATCGGATGTGAGGATACCGAGTAGGCACATGGACTTTTGAAGATGTCGGGACGATCGGAGCCGGTAAGTCTCGGATGAAGGGCGCAGTCCCCTAAGATCATGTGGCCTTTCACTGACTATGATTATCTCAAGCCGTCCGGGTTTGGAACCCCTCTGTTTGAGGGTCATGAACCTAACTTGGAGTAAGGCTCCTGGTAGAGTCTACTATTATGACGAATATACGGCCACTGATCCTCTCACTCTTAGCATAATTGCCGTCCATGGTATCGGCGCTCATAGAGATTACACATGGAGTGCCGGGGGCTCCAGTTGGCTCAGCAAGGAAGACATGCTACCAAGCTGCTTTCCAAGAGCTCGCATCATGGCTTATGGATACGCGTCTAACTGGCTCGGCCAATTGAGCATGGCGACCTGCCTGGTTGATGTGGCCGACCGACTTCTCAGCCTACTGCAGGATTTGAGAAAGGTAATACCCGTCATTTTTCTCTGGATCATTGCTGTGGCTGACGTGGTTGTGTGGTTTTTCTAATAGGATTGTCCTCATAGGCAACTCGTCTTCATCGCACACTGTTTTGGAGGTATCGTGATTGAAAAGGCCTTGCTCCAAGCTTTAGCACGAGGTACCTATCATGATAGGATCTTAATGGCTTCAATCTCGGGGATTGTTCTCTTAGGCACTCCTCATCGAGGCTCGTCGTCTGCGGGACTCGCACAGACTGTCGCAATCATTGCTGCGGCCCTCAATTACGCCCATAAGTCCCCTCTTTTGGAAACGCTCGGCGGAGACTCACAATTGCTGGACGACACAGTCAGAAACTTCGCTATTCAGGCGAACCGCTTGAAACTCAACATTCATTGTTTCTACGAGGAAAGAGAGACAAATATCGCCCCTTTAGCTCGATCATTGACGTCGAGTTTTATCCCGGTTTCTCGCAGAGTGAGTGGTAATTGGGGACTTTCAAATGAAATGCTCGCGCTCATGCCTTTGCACTAGACCACATTGGTTGAGAGAGAATCGGCCTGTCTCCAAGGGCACGGCTGTACAGCTTTGACTCTTGACCATTTCCAACTGAATAAGTTTACAGATCCCCATGATGCGAATTACATCTTGGTGAGACACGCAGTGGGGGAAATGCTACTCGCTGCTTCAGACATATGTGAGAACATTAGGGATGATCAAATATTGTGACGTGCCTGCTAACTGATTCAAAGCCAATCTGAAATTTACAAAATGCCTGGAAGAGTTATACGTCGTGGATCCTGGATATCAACTTCAAAACATCCAAAACACATGGGGGAAGCGGTACCAGGGGCCAAAAAGGTTTAGCACCAGTGACAGCCGCTTCCTTGATTGGCAGAACGACGAACATGGCCGAGTACTTTGGATTACTGGGAGCACCCCAGTCGAGCAAAGTGTCATCGTGTCCGGAATTGTCAGCGAGATCATGAACGATTCATCCAGCAAGTTGGCTTTCTGCTTCTGTGAGAATGGCCGCGACATAGATTCGATATCTGTATTTCGGATTCTGATCTGGATGCTGGTCAAGACACACCGTAAACTGGGACGATACCTCAAACCCTTCGGCACCCCTGGAAGAAGTCTTACAATCGATGTGTTGGATTCGGGGCTGCTCTCGTTAATGCTCTCAAATATGATCACGGACCCGGACATTTCGACAATTTATTTCGTCATCGACCAAATCCACACTTGTGGCGATAAAATGAGCCTTTTCCTTGACTTTGTATCTCTCAGCGCTTCTGAAAAGACTTCAAAGATCAAATGGATCATGTCCGGAAGCCAGCAGTTCCAAACTTTCTGGCTGGATGCCATCTGGGTCACCAAAGTCAACCTGGGGCAGTCTACGCAGCCGCTAGCAGCCACGCCCTTCAAGCCACCTACCATACAAGGCTTGGTTTCTAACACCCCGGTCTATTATAGAATTCGAGGACTCGGAAGCTCATGGTCCTTGAGCCAATCAAGACAGATTATCAGCGCTTTGTTCTCGGCCGATGAACAACACATCTTCGACTTCTGCTCGAGTTTAGTCCCAAGTTGTGACGATAACAGCGCGAGTCAAACTTTGTTGATGAAAACAGACTACCCACCAAACTTCTTGGCATACTTGGAAGGAGACTTAAGCGCAAACTGTTTTGTCAATACTCCAGGTGGAAGACTTTGCTTCGATCGCCATTTCCAGGGATTCACCCAGCTGTACGCGAATCCTCTGGACGAACCAATTAATGCAGAGTGAGAACATCGAGTAACTGGCCTTCCACAACGCTTAAATAGCTAACATTCAGCAGCGTTGTTGCAATTCCAGACTTGAATGGACATGCCTACTCCTCCTGGAGACCCGAGGGGAGCACTGGTGGAATCTGGATCCAGGAATTCTTCCAACAAGACCTGCCTCAATGCCGCGTTCTGGCCTATGGGTACATTCCTAAATTCGCCGTGGAAGGAATTCAGTCAATGAACAAATACTGCGAGGAGCTCTTGCAGTGGCTGCACTGTGTCCGCAAAACAGCCGAAGAAGCCCACCGACCGCTGATTTTCGTGTGCCACGGATTTGGGTGTCTCTTAGCTGCCAAAATACTCCTGAAAGCTGTCAATAGTCAAGAGTCTGGAGCTACGGGCGGCCCGCTGGCAGATAGCATCACTGGACTGATTTTGTTTGCGCCTTCCGAAAAGGGCGACATTCTCGATGAGATCCAGAGGATGCTTGAGTCTGAAGCTGAAAGCCCAAGTCTTGATCACGTTATTGACATGGTCAAGGATATTCTGGAAGAGCTGAGCGAGGAACTCATTGACTTTAAGACTTATCTTGAAGACAGTAAAATCCTGCATTTCGCGCCATCACGGCCGCCGAAAAGGGTCCGGCTGGACATGAAGCCGTGGTCACAACGGCGCGAACTTTTCGACCTCGATCCGCCTATGATCATAGACACTGCACAGAAGAAAGAGACTGTGCCAGGTTTCAAATCCAATATTCATCAGCTGGGGACAAAATCCTTACCCGCATACAAACGAATGCTTGGATTCGTTCGATCCCATGAGAAGGAGCAGGCCAAGATTCGCAGCCTAGAATGGCTCGAGGCCGGGAAAGTCCGACCGAAGGGCATTACTATCATGCATGATCCTCCGGCACCCATCGCTGATGTGGTTCTGATCCCGGGCCTCCAAGGAGATCCATGGGAAGCATGGTCCTGTACTCCAAGGAGCAGCACTCGCTCTACCACCTTGGGAAGGTTCTGGCCGCAGGTGTATCTTCCGACAACTCTCAACAACACCCGTGTGATGACGTGGGGTTCCGAAGCCGAGTTACCGAACCAGCTAGAAAGCTTCCTAGACCAGGCAGCGGGGCTTCTGCGGGATCTATCAGCTTTGAGGCCGATGGGTAGAAGTCTGGTATTCGTGGCACATGCAGAGGGAGGGTTACTCCTAAAAAAAGCACTGCTGCTGTCGGAAAGAGGCGTATCGGAGATTGAGAAAGATCTTATTAGATGGACATCCGCCGTTGTGTTTCTAGTCTCGCGTCGATGCTTGGGCAGAGATCGTATATCCTTCGACGTCCAGTCGCAACAGGCTCTCGGGAGCCAAAATCAGGAGTTCGCGAGAGGAGAGTCTTCATCAGACGTCGAATCATTTTCACTGCTACAGGAGACCTACGGCATACAGACCAGTTACTTCTTGGAGAGCTCGGTTAGGGATTACCGGGACTCGGTGCGATCTCACGTACGTGCTTTACCATCGATTCAGTCGGCAACCTCGACAACCTTCGCAACACCCCTGAAGTCAAAACCGGTCGTGGAGAGAATTCTTTCCAACGCGCAGGGTTTCTGTCGCTTTGAGAGCTGTTTAGACAATGGCTATGTCCGACTCTCCAAGGTTTTGAGGTCTTACACCGACAGCATCAAGGCTATGGGTCTGCAGTCGAGGGCGGTGCTGTTAAGTTCATTATACTTCACAGAGATCGATCACAGAGAAGGCTCCATTGAAAATACCGCGGTCAACACATCGGCATGGCTCTTTGGTCATCGAAACTTCGTTGACTGGTCCAAGTGGGCGTTTGGACCAGGATCCCCAGGCCTTCTTTGGATCAAAGGCAAGCCTGGTTCCGGAAAGTCAACACTGATGAAGAAAATACTGAGGCACCTCAAATCCACCGGTCTGCCCTCCTCAGTGTCCGTTGCTAGCTTCTTCTTCACTGCCAGGAGCAACGTCAAGCTGCAAAACTCGGCTCTCGGGCTGTTCCGGACGTTGCTGTACGTTCTCATCAGCCAAGACAAAGCCTTGCTGCATGCCTTCATTCCAGTGTATAGGGCCAAGTGTGCGAAGTCCGCGGCCCAGGAATTTGAATGGGAATGGAAAGAAGAGGAACTTCGAGCGTTCTTCGAATCTGCGTATGCGGGGAATTATCCTGGCGTCAAAAACGCCGTGGTTATGGTAGATGCCCTCGATGAGGTCCGCTCAGAAACCTATGACGAAGCATACCGGGTTGCTCAGGACCTCGTCCACTTTTTCCGAAACCTGGCCGCCAAAGGGAAACTCAAAGTCTGTCTGTCAAGTCGGCATTTTCCCAACATTCAAGTCCCCGATTGCGATCAAATCGTTGTTGAGGACTTTAATGACGACGATATCGCGAAATTTGTCAACGACAAATTCCCCAATCTTACAAGTAGCGGAAAGCTCAACAGCCTAGGAAAGAAAGTCGCAGAAAAAGCCAAGGGCGTCTTCATTTGGGTTACCGTGGTTGTGGGAAGACTCAAGGCCGGCTTGGACAACGAAATGACCGAATCAGGCCTTGAGCGAATCTTGGATGATTTACCTTCGGAACTGGAAAGGCTCTTTGAGGGCATGATCGACAGCAACATGAACAGAACCGAAGTCCAGAATGCCGAAGAAATCTTCCAGTGGATTTTGTTGTCTGAGCGACCGTTGGAGAAGGATGAGCTTCGGCATATCTTGACAATCAAGCGTCACCCCGACGACGAAGAAACTCCTACGACGTTGATCAATCACTGGTACGAGTCTCATAACTGCTTGGACTCAAACCCTGAGAGGTTCTTGATGCAGTTGAGATTGTATACCAGGGGACTTGCAGAAATTGTCCTGCGTCGTGAATCTTCAGAGGACTTATGTGAATCTTCTGGATCATCTTTAAAAGTTTCATCGATTCTTGAGAGCATTTCTATGCAGATTGAGAATTCGTATGAATCTTCAGGGCACCGGAAAGGCTCTTCTGGAGTAATTTTGCCAAATCCATCGAGTCTTAAGAACATTTCCACGCGACCCAAGAGCTTCGAAGAACCTCCAGAGCACTTGGGAGACTCTTCCAGAATAACTTTGCCAAAGTCACTTACACAAAGACCCGAGGTCGCCAGGCAATGTGGCAACACGCTTTTGGAGAATGAAGTCATGAAAGAAGAATCTGAAGCCCCAAAAGAACTACTTAACGCTATGAGAAAAGGTTCTGAAGCCAGGAAGAAAGACCGCGAAGTTAGGAAGAAAGACCTCGAAGCTAGGAAGAAAGACCACAAAGCTAGGAAGGAAGAACGTGAAGCTAGGAGGAAAGAACGTGAAGCTAGGAGGAAAGAACGCAAAGAGCAAACATCTGCAAACAATGAATTTGCGAATTGCGGAACAACTGCACCTTGGATAGGCGAGATGGAGCCCTGGCGCTCTGTTCCGAGTGCAGGAGAGAAGAGGCAAGAAAATGTTGGTTGGTCAGCGGTCCAGTTCATCCACGAGTCCGTTCGCGAGTTTTTCCTGTTTGGAAGCGGATTTTCCCTCCTTCGACCTGATGGGCTTAAACGCTCACTCTCCGAGAGACATGAGATACTGTCTGAATACTGCATGGCCTGTATTATGCAGAGCACGACTTATGCAAGCACAGCATCTGCCTCTGACCAGAGTCAGATGCCCAAGAGCCATCCCTTTCTTCAATATGCTCTATTGGGGGTGTTCTACCACGCTCGGCAAGTCGAAAGCAGCCAGAAAGTTGCTGAAAAGGTGCTGCACCAGCTTGCAGATACGCAACAAACTTTCTGGAGAGCGTGGCGTTTTGCTGCGTCTTTCTACAATGAAAAACGCAACGAGGGATGGGAAACAGGCTGCAGCCCGCTTCACCTGCTGGCTCGTCACCGGATGTTTCTTTCAATTTCCTTCATGCTGAAATCAGGATTCGACGTCAATGTCCAAGACAGCCACGGCGACTCGGCTTTGCATTACGCGGCTCGCGAGGGCATCGCTGACATGGTTGAGTTTCTGGTGAGCAACCAAACTGGCATTGAATCCCAAAGTCGCCACAGCAAGCAGAACGCGATGAGTTCTGTAATGGCGGAGGGTTTGATTGGTTGTGCTGCGAATCCCAATCTACAAAATCAAGCCGGAGAAACAGCGCTTCACTTCGCTGTTCGATCCAAAGATGTCGCAATTACCCAACTACTCCTTCAGCACGGGGCGCAGACAAACATCAAGAACAGCAGAGGGGAAAACGCTCTGCATATTGCTCTTAAAACACCAGAGTCATCAATGGTCCAAACGCTTATTGGGTATGGTGTTGATATCCACGCCCAAAATAATGCTAGAGAGAGCGTTGTCCACATTGCAGCAAAAATGTCAAATGTTTCGATATTGGAGTCACTCGTTCAACAGGGAGGGGATATTAATTCTAAAGACGGGCGCGGGATGACCCCAATACATCACAGAATCGCCCATCGATATGGGATTAGACCCCTGGTCAGGTTGGGCGCGGATGTCCGGGCCAAAAGCTTTGTCGGGAAGACGGTGCTGCACATGTTCATGGAGGATGGGTCGTGCGACCATGATAGCTTCAACGCTCTGGGAAGGACACAAGACTTGCTGTTCATTACGGACACCCAGGGCATGACAGCGCTCCATTATGCGGCCCATAAGTCATCTGCTGCGTGGGTGCAGAGACTATTGCTTATCCTCCCCGAGCAGGACACAATACTCGAGCTGTTGTCAAAAAGAAACCGACTGGGACAGACTGCAATTCACTTCGCCGCGCAAAGGGATAATCTGGATGCGTTCCGTGTGCTTCTTGAAGCCGGCGCCGATCTGGAAATTCGGGACAGAGACGGGATGACGCCGGTGGATTATGCAGCGGACAAAATCGCGCGAGAGCCATCGTTGGAGCGTCAACTGTATCTCAAAAGGTACCGGCGCATGCTGAGACGAATGAACGGCCGGATGGTTTCAGTCTTCACAAAGTAAATTGCCAGTGCCAAAAAGAGTTACGAGAGTATATATATCGACAAGTCTACACAATGCTTCATCTCCAGAGATCCATTATTCCCTCGAGTGATGGTTCGTAACCCAGCGACACTGCAAACATCCTAAGGGACGTTTACAAAGTTCTCCAAGGCATCATGAGTTGCATAAAATGCCCCCTTTGCCTTGTAGTTCTCGTCAAACATCAACGGGCTCGCGCCCGGTAGCCAGGTGTAGGCGTGCTTATCTGTAAACCCCCAAAAGCTAATATCGGTGATTCCTGCCTTTAGACCTTCGTCCATCACGGCACCGTAGATATCAGCCTGGAGGGAGGCATTATACGTATGGACATCTAGCTCGGCGATTGTCACTTCCAGGCCAAGCGCTTTGTAGGATTCCACCATGTTTGTGAGAATGCCCGGTACCGGAGCCGTTTCGGTGACGTGCATCTGGAGGGCGACTCCGTCGATCGGGACGCCGTCCGCCACGAGTCCAGCAATAAGGTTGAAGAGTTCCTGACGCTTTTCGGGGAGCGATTCGACGAGATTCTCGTTGATGAATAGTTTGGCAGTCGGGTCTGCTGCACGGGCGATGCGGAATGCATCTCCGATGTATCCTTGCCCGAGAACGTTGTAGAAGTCATTGGCTTGCAGGCCGCCACCCTGGGTTTCCAGGGCTTCGGTAACGACGTCCCATCGATCCAACTTGCCGTGATAACGGTGCATGACAGCCACGAAGTGCGCCGTCATCGCAGCGCGAAACTCGGTGGGATCGGTGATGTTGACCAGGTAGCTCGGGTTGCAGCAAGACGAGATGAGCCCATGTCCCTTAACCACCATGTCGTTGGCCTCTGCGAAGTCAACGAGGCGGTCGATGGTGTCCCAATTGTATTCTCCTTCGGCCGGGTTGATGAACGACCACTTCAACTCGTTTTCGGGGGAAAGACTGTTGAATTGCTTGGATAGGACGGCTGCGAATTGGGGATCATCCAGGTAGTCCGGATTGATCGCCCCAGACCCGATGAGAATGTTCTTTCTGGCTGCCTCCTCTCTGAGCGAGGCGGTTCCGGTGCCAGCGAACAGGCCAGCCGCTTCGGTAGCAGTGAGTATCGAAATGACTGTTGAAGTCTTCATGGTTCTGTTTCTTGATGCGTCGCGAATCTCAGGTATTGTAAAGTGAGTAAAGAGAGAATGATTTGCAACTACTACTTCAACATCATCAAGAATTATATAGATCTTTGTGGGGACGTTGAGATTGCGGCGGTGTTGCGCCGTCTTTGACACACCGCGTATTCATGATTACAATGACGTGCCAATGCAGCTTGAATGGATGAGGATTTGTGGTGAATCCCGAAATCGCCTTTTGGTATCTTTCATTGCTACCGGCGTCGACTGGGCACGGGCAAACCGAGAAACGAGAAATGGAGAATTGATTGACGCTTGTTTGCTGCGCCATGATATGCTGGTGATTGAGCTGGTAAGCCCTCGAGATGGACTTGCCGCTGGACTTCATCAAGTGCAAGCCAGCGAGAAGTCATGCTGTTGAACAACCGGGATATCCTTGGTCGCGATCACGTTGTGATGATTGAACGAGAACGACGAACGAGAGCAATAAGCGACTGCAGGGTTCCAAAGATCGAGAAGGGCCAACGCCTAAACGAGGAACGAGGGGAACGAGATGAACGAGGAGAGTTTACATACCCACCTGGAGGGTGATAGGGAGAGCTTGGAGCGGGGAGTTGAGCAACGAGGACCCCTTTCCATTGCCCACGTGAATTGTTCTTAAACGGGCAAGAATCAGTAATCATTTCGGATCTCACCGAGTTCTAGCCTTCGCCGTAGACATTTGATTTCCTAGCCTATGACATTCTCAGCTATGTATTTCCCAGCCCCAAAGTCAACAACCTTCAACTCCTTTCTACCCCAGTAGAGAACCGCAAGACCACCCGTATAGATTGAGGACCTGCTTCCGAAAGTCTTTCGACAAATCGAACACAGCCAATATCCATACTCTTCCCAAAAAACACCACGATGAACAACAAACGCAGAACTATGCGCTACGAGTTGGACGCGGGTGACGAAAATTACCTCTCTCCAGTCTCGCCTAACACCATCCACCGGGCTGCAAGCACTGGCGATATTGGTGGACAATTCTACCAACATGAACAGTTGGCTACAACTCGAAATCGCGACCCGTCGCCGCCACCCAGTGAACTCTGGGGAGGTGATGCCAAACTCTTAGGTAAGGCCCAAGTTTTACCCTCACAGGGAAAACTAATCCAACGTTTACGACTTGCAGATGAAGATGGCCGTGTCGAGATTGACTGCGACTCCAAGCTGGCGCGCGCGATGAGCATCATGTACAGAATGAGCAGAACCGAAACAGACGAGCGCCCGCCTCCCAGAACGCCATCTCCGGGGCCGTCGTTGCCGCCTTACGAGCGAGTGCAGGGAGAAACCGACCTAAAGGAATCAATCAGGCTCAACATTGTGATACAAGTCGTGGGCAGCCGAGGAGACGTCCAGCCATTCGTGGCATTGGGTGCGGAGCTTCAAAGACGTGGGCACCGCGTGAGACTAGCTACCCACGATGTGTTTGAAAAGTTCGTCAGGGACACGGGTCTGGAGTTCTACGGAGTGGGAGGCGACCCTGCCGCCTTGATGGCTTATATGGTAAAGAACCCGGGTCTCATTCCCAGCATGAAGAGCCTACACGAGGGCGAGATCCGGCGGAAGCGCGAAATGGTTGAAGAAATGCTCGATGGGTTTTGGGAGGCTTGCATATGCCCAGATGCTATCAGCGGCCAGCCCTTCGTGGCAGACGCAATCATCTCAAATCCCCCGACTTTTGCCCACATTCATTGTGCCCAGGCACTCGGCATCCCGGTCCATCTAATGTTCACGATGCCTTGGACGAGCACGGCGGCGTTCCCACATCCGTTGGCAAACCTGAAGAACGCCGGAGGTGATCGAGACTTGCCCAACTATATTTCCTACGGTGTTGTTGAGCACTTGACATGGCAAGGGTATGTCCATGTAGGGAAGATCGTTCTGCTGTCTCATATAGCTAGCGGGTTTGTTACTGACATTGATTCGCAGTCTCGGCGACGTGGTGAACAAGTGGCGAAGCAGACTTGATTTGGAACATATCGCCATGTTCGATGGCCCTAGGCTTGCGGAAGCATTAAAGATACCCTTCACGTACTGCTGGTCTCCGGCTCTTGTTCCAAAGCCCAAAGACTGGGGTTCGCATATTGGTGAGTTCTGAATCCTTACGCAGCTAGAAATATTTGCTGATTTGACCGCGACCAGATGTCTGTGGCTTCTTCTTCCGTGACGCACCCCAGTTCTCCCCTCCAGAGGATCTGTCCCGATTTCTTGCAACAGGGCCTCCGCCAGTTTACATTGGCTTCGGCAGCATCGTGTTGGACGATCCGGAACGAGTCGTCAACACCATTCTCGGCGCCGTCCGTGCAGTAGGAGTTCGCGCCATCATTTCTAAAGGCTGGTCTGATCTGGCGGGGTCAGAAAGTGACAACGTGTATTGGATCGGCGACTGTCCGCACGAGTGGCTGTTCCAGCATGTCGCAGCCGTAGTGCATCACGGAGGAGCTGGTACCACCGCCTGCGGCTTGAGGAACGGAAAGCCTACAACCATCGTTCCCTTTTTCGGAGAGTGAGTAACCCTTTCGAGACTATTGGTTCCAGAGACACGAAGACAGTATGTAAGCTAACCACAGACTATTCTCACAGCCAGCCATTTTGGGGCGACATGGTGGCAGAGGCCGGCGCCGGCCCAAGGCCTATTCCTCACAAACAGCTTACGTCCGAGAACCTCAAGGCCGCCATCGAGTATTGTCTGTCAAATCAAGCCGTAAGCGCAGCGCGAAAGATCGCCGCTCAAATGGAATCGGAAAGGGGCGTACAAGCGGCTGCGGACTCTTGGTGGAAGCAGCTGCCTCTGAAGCGCATGCAATGCGACTTGGTCCCAAGTCAACCGGCAGTTTGGACTTACACCAAGTCTAAAAGACCCATGAAACTGTCGAAGGCGGCTGCTGAAGTCTTGATGTCTCATGACGCGGTGCAGCAGAAGCATCTCTCGATGTACGTCTTCCACTGGCTTTGAGATGAGCTAGTTGGCCCAAATATTATCAGAACAATGATACGGCTGACACTGAAATCGGCAGATACCAAAGCAAAACTATTACGACCGACGTCACTCGCTGGGATCCAATCTCCGGAGGCGCATCGGCACTCATGGCCACGACAGTGGACCTAGCAGGATCCATCACAGGTATCGTGACGAAACCAATCGAAGAATACCACGACGAGAAACGCCGTAGAGCTCGGGAGTTGCAGAAGCAACAACAACATGTTGGTGTGGGCACTGCTGTCTCTCGTGATGGGTCTTTTGACGACCGAGTGTCCGTTGTGTCGACTGGCAGTGGGAGCGGCAGTAGCAAGAAACAACATTCAATGGCAACCAAGGTAGCGGGCGCATCAGCAAAGAGCATCGGCATGATCGGGCCAACTTATGTAAAAGGCACGCTGGTCGACATTCCCCTCGCCATTACCGAAGGCCTGAGGGCTATCCCGAAGCACTTTGGCACCGAAGTCCGCAATCACGGTCCAGTGACCAATGCCAAGAGCGGCGCCGTCGTGGCGGGGAAAACCTTTGCATGGGGAATCATGGACGGCTTGAGTGACTTGGTCATGGAACCAGTCAGGGGCGCGGGTAAGGAGGGAGCTCTGGGTGCTTTCAAGGGAGCCGGCAAAGGCTCTGCGAGTCTGGTGGCCAAGAGCGGTGCGGGCATGTTTGGATTGTTCGCGTACCCCGGTGCCGGAATCGCGAAGAGTTTGAGATCTGCGGTGCACAGCGGAACGAGGAAGACTATTGCCAAGGAACGGCATACGGAAGGGCAGTGGCTCGTCAACAGTCTCGAGGCGTTGGACGTGGATGCTGGTGAGATTGTTGCCTCATTCAATCGAGTTCGTAGTCTCAAATAGACACATAGAGAAATGGAGCGCAGTGGCTGTTTCTAAGAGTTCACGACGAGGGATTGTCGTTGTTGTTGGCTGGCTAATTTTCAGGCTTGAGATTTCAGCTAGAGACATTTCGGTAAACCCTAGCCAGAGCTTTCTTGTGTATTTGTACCGCTTTCTTTGTTGCCCTAATTCTTTTTCTTCTGCAACAGTTTCAAATGTTTGCTGATTATTGACGTCAGCCAACCGGCCGAGAAGCCGTGAGAGGTCTTGGTAGATACAAGAGCTGACGCAGTCTAGTGGGGTGTTTCGTTCCAATAAAACCCCTGAGCAATAGTCATTTTAAGCTTGATTTGGGATCCCCAAGTCCACAAATGCCAGGGATCAGCTCTTCCACAGCGTTGACTGTCCTGCTAAATTGACGGCAACCGGCTCGTTCATCTTATCGACACCTGCAGTGTGGGATTGACCCCAGTCACAACTTCCCCTCAGTCTCTTATCAACATGGGCTGTTCCTGCTCCTCATTGTTGGACGACACAGACGACCAACAACAACCACGTCCCTCACAGCCACCGATCAACATGCCGGACCGCCGCGACCACATCGTGACACTCGAGAAGAAATGGGGGTACCATGCCGTCGACGGGTATGAGCTCAATAACAACACATGGGGTTGCGACAGCGCGACGTCAGGCTCTCAGCGCACGCACTACGATGGACCTTCCGCCCCGGGATCCTCCGGTGCCGTTGGCATCGCGTGGTCCTCAGATTGGGAATGGCAAGGCGGCGAACACAACGTGAAGTCATACGTATACGGCGCGCGGCAGTTCCAGCGTCGACTTGTTAGCGAGATCACGGCGCTGCCGACTGAGGTGGAGTGGCACTACAGCACGTGGGATGTGCGGGCCAACGTCGCCTTCGACATCTTTACGGACCCGGACCGGGAGCATGCAAACAGTAGCGGAGAGTACGAGGTCATGATCTGGTAGGACTCGTCAGGCGCAATCGTGAAGAACACTTTGCTGACGGGAATAGGCTGGCGAAGCTCGGAGGCGTCTGGCCCATCAGCGAGTCCAAGGCGCCCATTGCGCATGTCGAGATCGGAGGCCATCAGTGGGAGCTGCATTTTGGATACAACCACGGAGGGAAAATGAAGGTCTTCAGCTTTCTTCCCGTCAACGGGCCGATACAGCACTTCAACACAGACGTGAAGCAGTTCTTCGATTACCTCATTCACGAACACCGGTTTCCAGCCCAGGACCAGTACATGCTCGGTAAGTGGGAATGAACGGATTGAACGGCGCATCGATATTCTGACAGTTTTGCAGTCTACCAGCTCGGAACGGAGGCATTCACCGGAGGCCCGGCGGAGTTTGTGGTGCCGAAGTTCATCGCCGAAATCCAGTAAAAATGTCTACGCCCCAGATACCCGGTGATCAAATCAGAGAGGAACAGATGCTTTTCTTCCCACGGCTTGCCGCGAGCACTCTAGTCTAATATTTTACAGTAGTAATACAGGATTGATACATCAACATGTTGAGTCGTGAGGTGAGACTTTCCGACACCGTCCCCGCGCATCATGCGATGCAGTGGTCAACGCCCGCTGTCAGCAGTAACTTGGCGTACTGCTGGTGCAAGAAGCATGCAAAGCCTCCCAAAGGCACACCCTTTCCGTCGCTCACGCCATCTATCACCATGGACTTGAGCTTGAACTTGGCCACTTGAGTTTTGGGGTCAAGCTCCGTGGTAAGTGTGATGAAAGTGTCCATCTCGCGCGGCCCTTCAGGTGCTACTCTGGGCGATAGACCACCACGAAACATCAATGTGTTAGGGGACTTGTCGATGACAATGAAGTCGTCCGCGAATATTGCGCCTGCGTCCGTGAGTAAGTGCTGGCTGCTACTAGGGACGACGTAGCTTGGGAACCTACCGACGGGATAGGAACTCTTTAACAAGTCCTCCTTCTCCCACATGTCACTTGCATTGGATCCGTCTTTCCTAGCCAATTCTATGATTTTGCGCTGAGGAGTGAATGCTGCAGCTGATTAGGACCCAAACACTACTCAGACATTTCTCGACTCACCATAACGACCCCAGAGACCAGCTGAATACGTTTCCACCAGTTTGGATCCACCATTCAGCGCATCTTCAAGCAGGTCAGGGCGTATCTTATCGAATGGAACGGTGCGTAAGTAGCAGTCGTGGAAGTCGGGGTTGTTCTTTGGGTTTGCCTTCTTGAGGAACGGGTGCTGGAAGACGGGATCCGTGGCCGGTGAGAACGATTCATCGAACGCACATTGGCGGGTCCATAGGTGGAAGCCGGTCGGCACCGCGATGGCTGTGCCGGCGACCAACTTTGAGAAGGTCATTAACCTCGCGCGTGTGAAGAGAGACGCCATGGTTTGTTGCAATTGGATGATACAAATAGGTCAAGATCGAAGAAGTGGTTCGCACGTGTAAGCCTTGATGTGACAGGAATGAAGATTTAGACTTAAAAAATGGCAGATTTTCCCGGGGCAAATTTTGAGTTGTTATCCGGATCGCTCCGTCTCTAGAAGAGCCTCAACCACGACGTATGTGCAATTGGGCCAAAAATTGGTATTCTCAGGGGTCTCGCGCTTTCGGCCTTCGGACTTTGAAAGTGCGAAAAAGTGATCATTTCAACCATGGCCAGGCAGAAAGACGGGTCCTCTTGCCGGCGGGAGACCCGCTCGGAAGTCCGTGGCCCCGTGGAGTCTCGGCCGAATAGGTTTCTTGCCAAGTGCGTCTCAAATAATGAACTGCTTCCCTATCTGTTTCTGTTAGAGATTCCAAGTCCTCTTCATGCTAATTGAGGGATCGTTCAACTACCACTCATTCAACTGGTCACACATTCACGGACCTGGAAACGTAGGCACCTTAATTGTGCTAGTTAATATGAACCGACCCATTCACTGCTTTATCCTAAGTTCATTTTGTTAAGACTTCATGCCAGAAACCTATATAACCATTTATCGGTACCAACGAGATTGAATGATTATTCGTAGAACAAGTTTCCTGAGACACGCAGAGCAGAACCAGGGCTCCGGCAAGTCGGAGCCGAAGTATCCACTTATTCCGGGGCCTAAGCCGGAAGCGGCGCGGTGGTGGATTAAATAAGCCGGCCGTTGCGGTATCAGACGAACCGAGCCAACCAGAGGTAGCCAATGCCGCCAGCGGATTCGTAGACCCCTCACCGGGCAACGTTATCTCAAACGCGTGTTTGTCGTCATCGTTGTTGTCACCAAGTAAGCTGACGTCTCACCTTCACCGTGTTTAAGACCAAGCAATGATCCATCTTGAATGATCAATCAATCGGAATTTCTGGGTCAGATCACACGCGAACAACAGTCATGGAGAAGCGACCAGATGTCGACGTGCGGCCGGCTGCACGATCCACCCGACCGGGGATCCGGAGGTGGCTGAAGGCCGGCGGCGCCGTCTGTTTGCTCGGAGCCGCCAGTCTGTACTGTCACCAACAGATTATCAAAGTCTGGACACTCGAAAATCAACCCCACACCGACAGCCCACTTACTCTTACTTGGAGGGAGTCTCCCTTCGGCCGTTTCCCTCTGCCCCAGGATCCTTTCAAGTTCATCCCTTGTACCAACACCTCGCTTCCGCCAGCTCTCGATGATCCTCACCCAGAGGATACCTGGGCTAAGCTTTTCGACGCCGAACCATCTCATTGGAGCTGGGGCAATCGATCCGACTCATCGCAACACGTTGATTCGTACTATGGTCGCGGCATCTACCTATGTGGCTACCTGGATGTGCCGCTCGACTACACTAACAAATCCGACCCCCGCATCGTCCGCTTGGCCGTGACCAAGTTCCAGGTCTCCGGGCTTGCTCGTGTCGGCGATCCTCTCAACACGAACAGAAATCCTCCACCAGGAGGCAAGAGCAAACGGACTATTGTGATCGAACCGGGTGGTCCAGGTGGAAGCGGTACGAGGTACACCTGGCAGGTCGCCGAGAAGGTCTCGAAGCGCTTCAGCGACGGCGCTTTTGACGTTCTCGGATGGGACCCGCGCGGTGTCAACATCACACGCCCCTCAATCGCTTGCTTCCCCTACGATGTGGACCGAGATCACTGGTCGCTTCTCACCGGCCAGTATCTGCAGGTTTCCGATCCCAAGCGTCAGATCAACCTGGCAGACGCCATGAACGAGGCCACGATGAAGGCTTGCTGGGAAACCCATGGCGACATCGGGCGTTTTCTCAGCACGACGTTCGTCGCGCGCGACTTGGAGGAGATCCGGAAGGCTATCGGCGAAGAAGAGTTGACGGGGTATCTTGTCAGCTACGGCACGGGTATCGGACAGACGTATGCCAACATCTTCCCCCAAAGCGTTGGTCGAATGATTTTGGACGGCACCGAATACGTACGCGACCACCGTCTACTTGGTGGCTTCGGCTGGACTGCTCTCGACAACGCGACGAATGCCTGGCATGACGGTTTTCTCGGAGAGTGCATCAATGCCGGACCGAATCATTGTGCGCTGGCTCGCTCAAAGCACGGAGAGCCTGTTGCCCTGGAAGAGCTGGAGACGCGCATGATATCTCTCATTGACTCGCTTATCGAACGGCCTATTGTTGGTTATACGAAGAAGAATGGTCCTTCTCTGGTGACCTACTCGGCTCTCGTCGCGGCCATCTACAGTTCGCTGTACAACGCAGAAAGCTGGCCAGCCCTAGCTCGAATGCTGTATGAGTTAGAAGCGGGAAACTCAACACTTGCGACCTCGTTCCTCGAGAAGTCCACTTGGGAGTATGACCCGTCGTTACCTGCCACCCCGAACAAGCGACCGTCATCGGATGAGTTGACCACTCTTGTCATATGCTCCGATTCCTGGGATGCGCCGCTGCCGCCCGACGGCTTGGTCTGGTGGGAGTCTCTTTGGGCCAACATGACTACCAAGTCTTGGGTCTCTGGTGATGCGCGATTCTCCGACGTTTTTCCCTGTCAACATTTCACAAAGTATTGGCCTGAGCCGGCGGGTGTCTACCGCGGAGATCTCAACCACACACTCAAGAATCCAGTGTTGCTCATTGCTGAGACCTACGATCCTGCGACCCCCTTGCGAAACGGTAGAAGACTCTTGAACGAGATGGGGCAGAACGCAAGATTGATAGCCCATCATGGATACGGTCACTCATCGAGAGACACATCGAACTGCACGGAATCGATCGCGAAGAAGTACATACTGCGGGGCGAATTGCCTAATGAGCAAGAGACTGCGTGCTACGCCAACGAAAAGCCGTACCTGTATGGTGTGAAGGACAAGAGCGTCAAGACGGCAGAGGATGATGAATGGGACCCTGTGGAGGTATGGCTCGAGGCCCTTCGCTAGATGGGAAACGAGATCATGAATGCATTAAGCACGTCAAATCTCCACTCTCTTCAGTCAGATGATGCTCAATAAGCGTGTCTCTGCTGATGCGATGTATGCGGGTATGGGTCAGCAATAAACCAGCGTAGAGGTTTAGTCTCAATCCTAGTCTCAAATGTATACTCAACTGCGTTGCATGTATCGCACTGAGCTGATTCCTCAAGAGAGACAAGCGGATTCACTCCGCTAAACCTTCGTCGAGTGAGCTGACGAAATTGACGGCAACTATTATCGACAGAATCACGTTTCTGACAGGGCGCTCAGCTTCCGCTGTCAAATCCCAACAAATACTGTTGATCATGCCGGCTAAATCAGAGGTTCGAAAATGCGGGCCACTGTGTCTATGCATATGCTAATCATGCGCAACAAAACTTTTATTTGGTCTCATTGAGCCTGAGACCTACATCACTTACTTGAGAACCCTTGTCTTCAGTCCCCACGGTTCGATGTCTCACCTTGAGGTTAATTCGGGTTTTGTAGCCAATGACATTTGATGAACTCATTCCACGTAAATACTCAACTGCCCTTGGCAGCTTGCCGGAGCGACTACCTTCTGCCCGAAACTAGGTGTAGACGGCGCAACATAACACAATAGGAAAGGCCTAGAGAAGGCCAAGCAAAGTTGACCATCGTCATATGTCGTATGATTCGGCCGTTGACACGACTTGCAACCTTAGGTATAAGCCGCATGAATGCGAAAAGTAAGCTCATCTTACCCGACTACTCCTTACAATAATTAGTCACGATATTGATCGAAAGCATGCGCAGGACCCCTGAGGTGTCTATTCGAGAGTAGTCGCTGCCAGACATATGTGGTCGGCCGCTAGCTGAAGCCAAGCACGGAACGGGTCGTGTCGGTTGCCCACAATATGCGATTCCACCTTGGCAGCGCGGGGGCTTACGTGGATTGATTGAGAGTCGAGAACATCATGGAGGGCGCGGGATCCGCGTTCCCACTTTCTCAGATTCAAGATCTTGAACTTAGATGTATCTTTTCAACTTCCATCATGAATCACGATGTCGGGCAATCGAGTCCTCGGCCTGTGGTCTTTTGATAATGGGTCGACAACAGTTGGTAATATACTTTTGGTGCGTATTTTCTTCACATGCTTTGCATCATACCATAAGTTGAATTGAAAGCCTCCCCAATTGAGAACCTTACAACGTAGAGAGCATAGTCCAACGATTAGAGCTGTTCATGAACAGCTTTAGAACATAACTTACACCGATGTTGCAATCGGATGTCATCCGAAAAGACTAATACTACCTTCCCTAAACAGATTTCAGTCTCAAAGTTGCGGATTCTTTGAGGTCAAAAATGGGCTTGTCTATGCAGCTGGATTGCTGACACAATGGTCTTTCATTTCCCCTTTTCATGTAATGTGTCCCTATCTGACGTGAGGCGGGCATGTATTTGGCCCACCTCACTGCAGGATATATGTTGAGAGGCGCGGGTACTGAACTCCGCTAGACCGAAATAGGTGTATGGAAGTCTTGAGATACCCGGACGATTATGATAGACTGTCCAAATCCGAGTCTGGAGAAAGGCTATGCGATCAGACAATGAGAACCAATGAGAGTTATGTGTAAATTCATGCAAGTCTTGACTATGTTGCCACAACTTTGCTTATACCTGATTGGATCATGTGTAAGTCTGAAAACCTCAAAGAATTTGGGCCAACGATGAGTCGTTGAACCGACTGAAAAGCCAAGACGCCGAGATCTTTCTGTAGTCGTCTCTGATATCTATAAAAGGTCAAGAGTGCCCTTAGCTTTCCTTTGGCTTCTGTCCTCAGCCAGCAAGCAGCCATCGCAGTTACCAACCGACACTACAAAGCCTAATCATCTTCCTTTCCCAGAACTCCGTCCACCTCTTCCAAGATGCGCTTCTTCCAAGTCCTCACCGGCCTCATTGCCGCAGTCTCTGCCATTGACATTCAGAAGCACTTTGGACAGAACTGCGGTGGCAACTACCGCGTCTGCACAGGCCTAAACCCCAATATCTGCTGCGTGGGCGCTACGGCCGAGAGCATCCTGTTCAGGTACATCCCCGCCAACTGGCGTATCGAGTGCAGGGGCTACGTCGACGGCGACTGCAAGACGCGCCGCGCCACCATCTTCTCAGCCGGCTCCACGGCTGTCTGCATGCGCTCCGGTGGTTTCCTCTTCACTGGCGCTGGCTACGGCTTCGTCAACCGCAAGCGAGCTCCCCAGGCCGACGAGACCTGCGACCCCAACGAGCTCGAGCTGGTTGACGGTCAGACCCAAAAGTGCGAGAGCTCGCAGGAGCCTGACACTCTGGTTCTCGTCGACGGTTCCGAGTACAACCTTGTTGGCCTCGAGGCCGAGAAGCTCGAACGACTGGTATGGATTCTTCTACCCGATGACACTTGAATCTTGACAAGATCAGCTGCTAACCTTTCTTTCTCCCATCTAGTATGCCATAATTTTATTGCTTCCCCCTTAATAATATCTCCCTTCTATCTCGAAAACTTTGCTAACCAAAGTCCTCCACCTTTCCAGCCTCACAATCGCCGCCGACCCTAACGTGACTTCTGCCGACGACATCCCCGAAGAGTTCACGCCCACTCTCAAGATTTAAGCGGAGAACGCAAACCGTCTTTTGATGTGGTACCAGAGGCAATGTTACTGGCAGGATGGGATGGGAAAACAGGGGAAGGGGGACGCTTCTGTTGCCGGTGATGTTCGCTTGGATGGTTGAGAGACGTGTCTGTCCAGCATGGCACACATCGCTCTTCCAATATTCCCTTCTCTGCTGTTGGCTGAAAGGTCGTTATTGTTGATGCTTATACGTTGGAACATTGAATAGCATCGTCCGCTCTCTAGATGGAAGGGCTCTGGCGCCGGATGTCCTTTCAGAATAAGAAAATACAAAAGTGGTTTCTAAAACTGAACATGTAGTATGTGAGCCTACTCTGGTCTCGATATATTCTGTTGGAATTTGAAGACCTTCCACCAGGAAATGGGAGTTCAAGGCGTCTTTTGTGCTCATCCTGCACGCATTCGATAATAATATTTCTGTAATACTGACTTCTTCTGCACATTGACGTGGTTTCTTACAAATCGGAACCCGGTTCTTACTTCAACAAGCCATACCCATACCATTCATTGATCGACAAAACCTCATGCATTCTTCCTTCGCCGCCATCTAAGCCATCTCACATCAATCTCAAACTGGAAATGAGTTGCAAGACTAGGAAACGGCTCGGTAGGATTGAAATTCGGAATCTACCGTTTGAACGCCCGTAGGAATGATTGAGATATGTATCCAAGCACGTCCGTGTACCCCCGGATTTGACTAAAAGATGACGAGAGTGACTTACGCAGGAATTTATAACACAAGCCAAACTTCCTTGTAAGGCAGCTAGCGCGCCACAAGAAACCCTTTTCGAGAGTTAAGCTTTTCGAAGACCAGCCTCCGCTTCTATTCAACTTTGATGGCAGCTAGGCTCCAGCGGGCGCTACGTCTAGTTCCTAAGCCACTTCGACCATAACGAGATTTCCCCGACTGCCACGTTTTGAGATGAGTTGTGATTTCATTGTAGGTCAGCAGCCTCCCCCTTATGATGAATCGGAACGGCAAGGATGATCTTCACCAGGCTGTGAGCCCCATGCAAGCCAGGGCTTTCCGTGAGACCGCCCTCATCGTAGGATTTCACCTCCATTCCCCGAATAGTACACCCTCCCGCATCTACTAACGGCATTCGACAGTCACTTCGTGCTCGATGGATGATGTCTGGTAGCTTGAAGGCTTTTGGTGATTTTAATCTGAGACTTGACGCCCGGAGTTTGTCGCTGCCTGCAGAGATCGTCTTCTTAAACCTACGTGAGAGAAGGCAAGCCATGTATCAGAACGTAACGCCAATGAGAAATACCCCGATGTTCCATCAGCGCTTGCCTGCGTCCCTTGTCGATCCCATGTGTTCCCAATCACTTCAGCTTCTGCCTCAGCAGAAGGCCGAGCATTGGGCCGACGATTTAAGAAGAGAGCTCAGCGACTTCGATGGCGATTCTGTCTATACGTACATCAACATTTCCGACGCCGGAGACTTCGACATGGACACCACCATAGCCCACCGGTCAAGTACCAGCTCAAGCACCGAAACGCTTGTCGAGCCGATACCAACCGCCTCCGACGATGACATGGTAATAGAGATGCCCACCTGGAGGAAATGGACCACGTTATTTGTCATCTGTTGGATGACGCTCCCCGCCACCTTTGCTAGCAGCTCTATCATGACTGCTGTGGCAGAGGTAGCTGCCGAGTTCCATGTCTCGACGCAAAGCACAACAGCTGCCAACGCTGGTGTTTTCATTGCCATGGCCGTGTCAGCTTTGATATGGCTTCCGATCAGTACTTTCATCGGCCGCAGGGCTGCCTATCTCCTGGCTACTATCATGCTGGCTTTGTGCTCGATTGGTTCGGCGCTATCTCAGAGCTTTGCAGTCTTCACCACAATCTGGATCATCGGAGGGACCACTGGACTATACTTTCTCATTGCTGGGCAAACAATATTGGCCGACATCTTCGAACCGGTAGGCAATCATGGAGTCCCCTGGAAGATGTTGTTGATCTGATGGAAACTGGTAGACCACTCGTGGCATGGCCGTCGGTCTATTTCTAGGAAGCTCGGTCGCTGCCAACTCCTTAGGTAAAGCTCTCAGTCCCAGGAATCAGTTGGATCTTACTGACCTTGTTGCTAGCCCCTTTAGTTGGCGGCATCATTGTGTCCTACGCAAGCTGGAGAGTCATCTACGTCGTACAAGCTGCCATCACCTTCTTCGGCTTGTTGATGGCGCTCCTATTCATCCCAAACGCAAACGATGTGAACCACAAACAAAGGAAAACACAACCTCCCTCGAAGAGTCCTCTGCGAAGTGTTCTGGGCACCATCAATCCCATGGGCGTGTTTCGCCTTTTCAAACATCCCAAGATAATCACCGCAGTGAGTCTCTTCACTGAAATTTAGGATTGGCTTCTTTCTGACTCTTGACTCCCATCAGAATATCGCTTGCGGGCTTTTAGGCTTCAACCAATACGGCCTCATAGCCTCAGTTCGAAGGGTCATCAATCCCCGGTTCAATCTGACTTCCCCACTCATCAGTGGCATCTTCTATCTCGCACCCGGTGCTGGCTTCCTGTTGGGGAGCATGATTGGAGGTGCCTTATCTGATCGAACCGTCAAGCAGTACATCCGCATGCGAAGCGGCCAACGCTTGCCCCAGGACAGACTCAACAGCTCCCTCCCCGCCCTCTTTGTGGTGCTACCTATCGGCACCCTGGCATATGGCTGGAGTCTCCAGGGCGAGATTGGCGGGATACCCCTTCTCGTCATCAGTTCTTTTGTCCAGGGTTTCGGACTCATGTGGTCGTTCAGTGGCTTGAACACATATGCTGCTGGTAAGATTATGTCCTGAGCCGCAATGCTCCCAGATACTGTGCAAGTCTGGTGCTAACCCAAGTTTATAGAGGTATTACCCGAGCAGAGAACAGCTGTAATCAGTGGGAAGTACATTGTGCAATACTTCTTTGCTGCCAGCGCAGTCGGCGGTGTGGTTCCCTTGATCGACGCCATCGGTGTTGGCTGGGCATTCACAATCAGTGAGCTCATCTCCGCCTCTCCCTCACTGAAGGAGACCGAGCATTTGCTAACGTCATTCTTTTAGCTGGACTCGGAGTTACTTTGGCCGGCGTGCTGGTCTTGATCATCATCAAATCGGCATCAACTGAACATGAAAACCACGCAAACAAGAACGCAAATGAGAAGGACGCTGAGAAGAAAGTAGACGACGACTGGAAAAGCTTTGCGTCGACGGATGAAGATGAGGATGGGACAATCGTTTAAGTTGATGCATCGCCTGCGACGCCCTGTTTATTGAACCAAAAATTTCCTTTGTGTGTACTCAGGCATTAAAAGTTCTGCATAGCATGTTGTTTACAGTCAATGGATCGCAAACCGCACGTATTGATCACTTCGCTTGCATATTCCCAAACACATAGGGATAGGTTGTACTCAGAATGATCGTATTTGATCCATATATAGCATCGATTCAGTGCATCTTATCAAGCTCGTGACTCAGAACACGAAAACGAACTCTTCGTTCTGCAGGTCAGTCAAGTTGTCAAAAGCCCTCGCTCCAACATCGCCGGCGCCATCCTCTCCAGGCGCCGCCATCTCATGGCCATCTCCGCCAGCCGGCTGACCCGCCTGCTGCATCCTCTCAGCCTCCTCCGCAGAGAACAGACTGGTGTCAATGATGACTGCGCTCTTGCCCATTGCCACACGGCGCTTGCTGTGCGACTTGTTAAGCCATGCGAGGTAGACGCTAGCGAGGCCGACGAGAACGATGATGACGCAGTAGAGGGCAAGGTTTGAGGTCAGACCGCGAGTATACTTTGGCGCTTCGGATGGCTTGTAGAGGAGGGGACCGATGACGTTTCCCACGGACTGGCCGATGAAGAGGGCTGCTGAGGTGCACTTTCGCTTGGTGTCTCCAGCGGTGTTGGCGGCAGACCAGGAGTAGATGAGGGGCGCTGCGTGAAATGTTAGTCGGAAGCTACATAGATCAAGCGGGTGACGTACTGATTCCTGGGTAGACGGAGATGAGGTAGTATCCAACCAAGCGCGCAGCCCGCTTACTGGCGCTGTTAGGAAGGACCATAAGCATTACGCATCCGATGATGGGTGGTATGCAAAGACCAACGATGACGGGTCCCTTCTTGTGGAACTTGGTCGCAATCCAGGAGCCGCCGACAGTGGAGACAAGCTGGACGAATCCGAAGGGGATGTTGAAGAGAATCGTCTGGAAGGAATCGAAGCCGAAGGACTGGACGATCAAGGGACCAAAAGTCGAGATACCGCCGGAAGGAATGCTGACGTGGTGTTAGTGGAACCCGGCAAACATGGAGGAAGTGGCTTACGAGATGGAGAAGACCAGAGAAAACCAGATCCAGGTCTTGACATCCTTCAAACTCTCCCAAAGATGATCCCATCTCCACTCACGCGACATGACACCCTGCTGGTTCATGCGCAGACGCTCGATGGCGATGACCTTCTGATGGTCGTTGAGGAACTTGGCCTCCACGGGAGAGTCGGGCATGAAAAGGAACATGACGAAAGAGAAGACGACGGTGATGATACCGAAGAACATGAAGATGATCTGGTGATTTTGTCGTTAGCGGGAATCTGGCCGCGGATGCAACTGGCGAATCTTACCTGGTATTCCTTCAAGGGAGAGGAGATGTGACCGAGGCCATAGGTGATGAGACTACCGAACTGAAAGAGGTCAGCAACATGTCGAAGCTCCACGACGCATTCAAACGTACCATGTTGGTGAAGCCGTTCATGGCATACCAGTAGCTGATTCTCAGAGTCTGCTCACGACGACGCCACCACATCTGCGTGATGGCGACGAAGGCAGGTGCCACCGAAGACTCAAAGGCTCCGAGAAAGGCGCGTGCAGCCAGGAGTCCGCCAAAGTTGTGCGCGGCAGCCATGCACGACAGAGTAACTCCCCAGAAGGCGACCATGCAACTAGTGAACTTGCCGATGGGCAACTTGACCAACAACCAGGCGAGCGGGAACTGCATCACCAGCTGAGCGAGGTAGACCACGGACCCGAGCCATGAGTACTGGTCACCAACGAGGTTGGTGTCCTTGATGAGACCAAAGACGGAGGCATAGGCGAGAGTAGACTTGTCGATTCCCTGGAGGAAGTACACAAAAAGCATCAGAGGAAGGATGACCAAGTCGATCCTCCTCAGCACATTCTTGTCATCCTCGGCCGTGACAACGACGCGGTGCTCCGGCGAGGTGCCGGACTTGCCGAGAAGGTCAGCGGCGGCATCGCGGCGATGGTTGGCATCGGCCGGCCGGGCGTTCTCAACCTGGTCCACAGGAGGCTTGTTCTGGTCGTCGTTGGTCGCCATGATGCCGGTATCGTCGTCGTCGTCGTAGTCTCTGCTGTGACCAGAAGTTTCTTCATGTAGCAAGGGCTCGAGTTCAGAGTTGGGCCGAGTCCAACTCGTCCAGGAGAATTGCGGGATGGAGAGTCGAGTTAAGAATGCCATTTTTGGGTCGGGAGCGCGTCGGCTGACTTATCCCGCCTACGAGTCGGTCGCCGAACGACAGGGGCTGACGTCGTTGGTGACCCGGCGGCTCATTCTCTGGACATCGGAACAAGAGGTTGCCAAGGGGGGAAACTGCCCAGACGGGATGGCAGAAGGCCTTCGGCGAAGATCCGTAGTCTTGGGATCCAGGGGTTGGGTGTGTATGATTGGTGTGGAGGAGGCTCAAGAACGGAATGGCACGGGATCAATGAGCTTGATGATGGGCCAGGGCTTGGGCCTTGGATCATGGTGACTACAGCATAGTAGGAAAGACTGCCGCGATATCGTGGGGGCCTATGAATTCTCGGGGAAATACTAGCCCGTAGCGTCGACGTGTGTATCGAATAAGAGAAAGATCCGAGTGCCGTTTTTGCTGTATTGCGGAGAGAGATGAGATGTTGGTCGAATGACAATGCAGGAGAGAAGACAGGGAGATTCGATTATTGCGGGAAGAAGACCGAGTAATGCAGGGTGTCGAGTGGTTTGATGAAGTCGGCGGTGTGGAGGTTTCTGGGGTTCAGGTCGTGTCACCTCCACTTAATCAGACAAAATGTCGGGGTTTCTCCGCGCGGGGAAAGGAGTGGAAGGTCTGGAGGTTTGGGGAATGTCGGGGCAACTCGTTGTGACGCTTGAAAAGCGCTACGAACTTCCTCTTGGTTCCCAGTTCCCCAACATTTTCTCCAGAGGATTATGAGGAGATGCGGGGAAGTCCATGAAGAATATTCTGACTTCCTGGTTAACGTCGAAGTCAAATGTTCAATCTGTGAAACTACAGAAAGAGATACTCATACTTAAACACAAACATATTGATGAAGTCTAAGAAGTTCATCTGTTGCCCGAGAACTCCCGAGACTTACATAATAGCAGCAACCGAGAGAACCGAGGATGAGTTAAGCCCGGTTTGTTGCCGTGTCTTGCTCGTTTCTCTTCATTCAGGAAAGACAACGCCGAAATGACAGAAAACATCCACCAGACATGCAACACGCCTCCACCAACGAGTCAGAGAATCCACAACGCGTGCTTTTGTCGTTCATGATACGACCGGAACATCAATCTTCCCTGCAGGCATCTCCTTGAATCCAGACCTAACCCCAACCTGGGGATGTGGAGAGTCGGGGGAACACGTCGGGGGAGGCCCTTTCTCCAATTACACCCCGCGAAACCGACTCGACGCCGAATCTCGGCCACGATTCTCACGATATCCACCTACTTGCGACCCGCGACTCGCGTCCCGATCTGAAAAGGGTAATAGCCGACGCCGTCCCGCTCTCGAAGGAGCAAATGCCGCAGAAGCCGCCAATGCCATGACACCATCTGGCAACTCCAACCCCGGCAACCCAACAAACATCGCCAACTAATGCTTCTCGGTCTCCAGCCGAACCCCCGTGACGACCAGGTCGGCCGAGGCCACCGAGACGAATAACGCTGCACAGAGCACTATTATTGAGTTGTGCTGAAGGGACTGCTGCCGCGGATCGTGACTGACGTTGCTATGCCCGGCCTCCGATGCGGTGCCCCTCCATCCGGGCACGTAATGATCAATTGACAATCCCCCACCTTCCCCTCCCCCTCCTCGACAATAAAACCGTCAGAACGCCACGGCGGAATCCTTTGTATTGTGCTGGAAGGAGTTCAATTGCTTCAACAAAGTCCTCAAAATGCTCATCCAAAACGAAAGAACACCCGTAAAATACGCGCCGCAAGAGGCCAAGGGCGCGTCCCTCGCCCCGGCTTCGCTGCAGCTGCAGTCCTCCGACAAGGAGATCGAACCTTTCAACTTCACCTTCGAAGTCGTCCGCCCGACGGTTTTCCGTACCACATACTCCTCGGCTTCCCGCCCAATTCCTCCGTTTCCCAGCGCCCAGCGTCCGAGTTTGGACGCCGCTCCCAAAGATGTCGAGTCCTCCTCAAGCGACAACAGCCGCGCTTTCACCACCTCCGCCGCTAAGGCTGTTGTAGAATGGTCAAGCGCTCCCGTTGTGTCCATTCACCTGGGCAAAGACACCTCAGGAAAGCCTCTTCACAAGGACCTGCCGTTCCGCTCCTACTCGGCTGACGGCGCCGGCGTGGCGCACTACTCTGTCTACAAGAAGGGCACCCTCCACGTCGGCCTCGGCGAGAAGGCCGCGCCAATGGACCTCAGCGCCCGTGGCTTCACGATCTCCGCCTCCGACACCTTTGGCTACGATGCCTACAACACCGACCCTCTGTACAAGCACATCCCGTTGCTCATCAACGTCACCACCGAAGGCGCCGTCGGTCTCTTCTCGACCGCGCACTCCCGCTCCACATGGTCTATAGGCTCCGAGCTCGATGGCATGTGGGGTGCCTACAAGGTCCATCGCCAGGCTCATGGCGGTCTGGAGCAGTACATCATCGTCGGCAAGACGGTCGCTGAGGTTGTTCACTCATACGCTGAGCTCGTTGGCTTCCCGCTGCGCGTGCCGCGTTACATGATGGGTTACATCGGCGGCGGTATGAAGTACAGTGCGATGGACTCACCGAGGGCACACGACTGCATCATGGGCTTCATCAAGAACTGCGAGAAGCACGATATTCCCTGCACAGCTTTCCAGATGAGCTCCGGATACACTGTTGCTGAGGTGGAGCCCAAAACGAGAAATGTGTTCACATGGAATTACCACAGATTCCCGGAACCGCGCGAGTTTACAAGAGAAGCCCACAAGCATGGCGTAAGGCTGTTGGCGAACATCAAGCCGTACGTGCTTGCGACACACCCGGAGTACAAGAGGCTTTCTGAGGCTGGTGCGTTCTTCAAGGACCCCGAGACTGGAAAGACTGCTGTCACAAGACTTTGGAGTGCTGGTGGTGGTGAGAGCGGCGAGGGAAGTCACATCGACTTCACCAGCAATGCCGGATATCAATGGTGGTATGACGGTGTCGTCTCCCTGAAGAAGGTCGGCATCGACGTGATGTGGAACGACAACAATGAGTACACTGTCCCCGATGACCAGTGGCAGTGTGCCCTTGAGAAGAAGGACCTGGTCCCTATTCCTGAGGGTCTCGACCGCAAGGACGTTGGTCTCTGGGGTCGTGCTATTCACACCGAGCTCATGGGTAAGGCATCCCACGATGCTACTATCGAGGGCAAGCCGGAAGAACGCCCTGTTGTTCTCACTCGCAGTGCTACCGCTGGAACTATGAAGTACTGCGGCAGCTCCTGGAGTGGTGACAACGTTACAGCCTGGGAGTCCATGAAGGGCGGCAACTCCCTTGCCCTCAACGCCAGCTTCTCCCTCCTCCACGTAAGTCCTCTCTTCACCTTGACTCACACATCTGTTCTAACATAACCAATTAGTGCTACGGTCACGACATTGGCGGCTTCGAAGGCCCCCAGCCCACCCCCGAGCACCTCACCCGCTGGATCCAGCTCGGCGTCCACTCCCCCCGCTTCACAATCAACTGCTTCAAGACCTCCGAGGAAGACAACCTCATCGGCGGCGTCATCGAGCCCTGGATGTACCCCACCGCGACCCCGACCATCCGCGCCGCCGTCAAGCGCCGCTACGAGCTCGTCCCCTACACCTACTCCCACAACCTCCGCGCCCACCACACCGCCATCCCTCCCCAGCGCTGGACCGGTTGGGGCTACGAGTCCGACCCCGAGGTCTGGACCAAGGCCATCAAGGCCGGCGACACACAGTACTGGTTCGGTGATGCCCTCATCATCGGCGGCGTCTACGAGCCCGGCGTCGACACGGCCAAGGTCTACCTCCCCAAGAAGAGCGACGGCAAGGACTTTGGTTTCCTCAACACCAACGCGCCGTACGAGCACTTCGAGGCCGGCAAGTGGCACACCGTTCTCTCGCCGTGGTACAACTCCATCCCCGTCATCGCCAAGATCGGTGCCGCCATCCCCGTCGGAAAGCCGTTGCCCACGACGTCGCAGAAGGAGGAGGACCCAGAGTTCCCTGGACAGGCCAAGGACGACTGGCGTGGATTGGAGATCTTCCCGCCTCCCGTGCTGAGGGGCTCTGCTGCCTCCGGCACGGTTGAGCAGGTTTCCAGTGACGACGTCAAGGGCGTCGTCTTTGAGGATGCGTGGTTTGAGGATGACGGTATCAGCCGCGACGTGCCGGCGGAGTACAAGTTCACCGTTAAGTACGAGGTCGTCGACGGAGAGAGGATCTCCGTTGAGGTTCGCGGTGCTGTTACAGAGGGTGACAAGAACGCTTGGAAGCCTCTGTGGGCTGATGGAGGTATCAACGTCATCCTGCCCGTTGGTGAGGACAGGACCGTTGTCACAAAGGGGGCTGAAGCAAAGGAGCAGTCTTTGGATGCCCGTGGACGTAGAGTGTGGAACGTGCCTGTTACCTGGGAGTAAAAGTCTTGCTATAACGATTGGAACCGGGCATTGGTATGTGAAATGAAAAAAGAATAAAGAAATGTAATAACATGTATGAGACACAATAATCTCGCTGTTTAATGATGTTCTTTCTTCTATGTTTGCCTGCCCATCAGATGTCGAGGTCAACGTAGCCATTAAGTTGACCCAGCTCAAGCTTCCAAACCTCTATGGACCGGATTTGAAGCAGGGGTAATCAAGCAGTAATGCTCGCTCCGAGGCAGCTGTGAATACAGTCTGCCTTTCGGGCCGTGATGCAGTTCTTCAATAAGGCTCGGGCGAATGGAGCTGCGACATGCTTTCCATGTTGTAACTGTGGTCTCAACTGTTTACAGATGCCTTGTCGCGCAATACAATGCAGCCACCCTTGTTATTTTGGTACATATCTCGCCATACCCAACGAGATCTCAACTGTTGAAAGCGGCATTGTGAAGCTTGAACCCAGAAAGTGGCCCTTCGCAGGAGACACTTCTTCCAAGTATTGGCTTATCTCTCAAATGCCACCAAGAGAGATTCTTTTACAACACTGCCTCCACGAATCCAACGTAATCTCCAATCTAATGAACGTGGATTCCAATCCAGACCAGCGAGTATTAAACCAACGCTTTCAGCTTGATTCGAACTTTTGCTATAAACGCATACCGGGGGCAATAGCTACAAATACGTCACAATGTATAGTTACTACAGCCGGTACCAGATCTCAAATGATTATATAAAATCGAACCGTGAGGACACTTTCTGCAGACGTAGGACATCATGATCAGTACCTTGCCAAGGAGTCGCGCCTCTTGCGGCCTCTGAAACAGATATACTGGGATAGATTCCAGTCTTTAGCCGGCAAAAAGGTCTCAAGGGCAGATGAAGTCCCGTCTTGCCACCCACTGGAATGGCCTCATGCACATAATATATATGTCTACAGGCTCTATTATCCACGGGCAATCCGTAAGCTCCGTCCGACCCGGGGTCCACCCGGAGTAGTCCGCCACCTTGATCGAATTCATTTGTATCCGCTGACTCCAGCATCCAAAGAAATGCTGCAGACGTATAGAGCAATCAGGGCATATTCAATGGACCAGGACCATCGAGGCCCATACATGCATGCGAACTAAACGCGGCCGCCGCCATACGTTTTCGGTACACCTCGAGTGTATGGGCCAATAGACTTATTCCTATATATACTTAGGATGCAAAAACTGAGCATCCAATTCGAACTCAAACGTGTGGGCTACTCAACTGCCATGCTACGACATCCCTGCCGGCAAGCGGGAAAGCCCGCGACCCCGAAGACGACCTACGTCGGAGAAAACCCACCTTATCAGGAACAACACCATATCGAATTTGACGTGGAGACAATTTTTGTGTACAAAAAGGCAGCTTTTCTAGTTCTTTTCGCTCTTGAACAATACTTTGACTCAATACACCATCAAATCCCATTAACCTACGAAGACCGCAAACATGCTCAGCGCATCGATTTCCCACCGAAAGACCGAACCCCAAGCCTCAACAATCAAAGATGGCGACACGAGCTCCGCCGAAACAATCGCCACAACCACTATACGTCACGCCAACACATCTGCGCGAGCATCCAAATCCAGAGGACCCAGCCTGCAGTGGTGGCTGATGGCCATCCCCTCCTTCCTCATCTCAGCCCACGGCGCCCTCTTCTTCACCGGCATGACCCCAGGCGACCCCGAAATCAAAGCCAGGATCCTCTCCTCCACCGGCGGATGCGTCCACATAGCCGGGTCCTTCGTCGCCATGGGCCTCGGCCCCTTCCAATTCCTCCCCTCCCTCCGCCGGCACTACCCCGCGATCCATCGCTGGCTCGGCTGGGTCTACGCCGCAGCCGTGACCTTCGGTGGCGTCGCGGCGTTCTATGTCACCTTCCACAGTCTTGCGCTGCCGTGGGGCAGGGTCGGGTTCGCGCTCTTGGCGTGTGCGTGGCTTGAGACGTTGCGAAGGAGCATTTTGGCCATTAGAAGGGATGCGGATCTGAAGAGTCATCGGGCTTGGATGACGAGGAACTTTGCGCTGACGTATGCTGCGGCCATGTTGAGGTGGCAGTTTCCGTTGATGCTGGTGAGCGGGATGGAGGCGCGGTTTGCGCTCTCGCTGACGGGGTTCAGTTGTTGGATTCCGAACCTGGTCTTTGTCGAGTACTTGGTTCTTGGAGGATTAGCGAAGTAGGACGAGCTACAAAAGACAGGTCGACCATACTCCAGAATATTCGTATTATAAGCAGTACGAAATGTATTACATGATCTTCCTTGACATTGAGTTTCACATGTGGTCACTTGATTCGGAAGAAACTGTCAAGCCCAAGATCAATGTGGTATGGAGAGCTACTTAATTCGAAGATTCGGCGTGTCAGTCATACATGAGGCTACACTATTACTCGTTCATTTCACACTTATATGAAGGGATAAAAATAGTTTGGTAAATTGATCCCTTCATGTAATTGATCGTCCGAAGTAAAAGGATTGGAGATGAATAATCTCCAAATTGAATTGGGATAAGACATGGAATAGTTGGTGGTGCTCGTGGTGGGTTTTGAGCACTTCAGGCACGACGAAGAGTTCACAAAATGGAGTTTTGCTACATCATCCATGAAAAGTCATACTAATGATATAATGATTGTCTGTCAAGCTGACTGCACGTCTTGGTGAATCGTGACAAACACAAACTTTGACCGGTAGAAACCCTGAGTCCCAACCCATACATGCGTTTATGTCAACTGTCAGGCTTTAGGAGTGCCAGAAGCTACCTGAAACGACGCCGAGTCATCATATTGGATTCGGAAGGAGTATTCACGATGGAGTAGCAAACCAGTCGCTGAACGATTTCCAACGACATTCATGGCCACCGACTTTTATAAATATACCTGGACGTAGCACAGAAAAGATTACAACTTACATGAAGTGCATTCTGATCAAATCTCAGGACATCAGTACCACAGTGCTATCAAACTAATTTCCAAGCAACATTTTATCTTACTGAGCAGAAGCCCTTCAATACAATGGCCAGAGAAAACGAGACCGCCCAAAACCCTGGCGAAGGACAATTCAAAGCTTCAAATAAGCCCAAGATGACGGGCTACGCGGAGAAATGCCCAAAATGCGGCGGGGTCTGGCGTGGCAACAAGTGCAGCCACTGTGGAAAGACGAAGAGGAAGCCGAAATGGAAGTACCTTCCCGTTCTCACGGGCGCTTGTAACTCGTTCCTGTTGATCTGCTTCCGTGTGGGGATGGTGACTGTGGGAAGGCTGGGCTAGTTAATATGTTGAGAATTAAATGTAGTTAGCATGGGATTAGATATGCAACAAAGAATAGTAGTTGAGGATGTCTCTATGGAACGTCGATAAAATCTCATTTGACTTGTATGCTCCCTATCTCGGAAATTATTATTACCATGCGCCTTTGTTAGTATGTTTTTCAGAAAAGAAGTCAGTTGAACGAGCTCTTTAATCATTAAACTCAGTCCAGGACTATGCCCTTACACGCTTCAGACATGATCACAGCAATAATGAAGACTTCGAGAACTCATTCTTGCAGAAGGCGTCATCACGTAAGGAAAGATTCGTTTACTTAACAGTGCAACATCAGTCCGACGCAGAGACAGTCAGTGTTTGAACTCTTGTCTGAAAAGAATATGGCAGAACTTTACAGGAAACCAGAGAATTACCCCGTTCATGAATCCTGTCGACTCCAAGTCAAACGAACATGACTGCTTGTGAATCGGGTAGACACTTGATGAGAACTGCTCCAGTCAATCTTTACCAGAGTCAACCGCTTTTCTGATTCGGTGTATGACGATCAAGAGATGTGTCGCAAGTGTTTGCTCAGGGTGGTGAGCTGTGCCTCGCCCGCGGACTCAATATGACTGGGCAAAAAAGAAAGCATCAATTTCAAGAGGTATAAGAACCGACAAGCTTTCCAAAAGTTCTGCTATCTCTCAGACCTCCACTTCAAACTCATCAAACCCAACCATTCACACAAAATAACCATCAGCAAATCTGCAATCCCAACATAGTTTCACATTGGTGAGTCGCTCGCCCTTCCTCCGGGCTTCAAGACAGAAAGATTCACGAACAAACTGACGCAACAGAAATAAACCAATCCAAACAAATCATCACCATGCCTGGCTGGGTCGGGCGCTGCGCCCGGTGCAACGGGGCGTTCCGCCGCAACCGGTGCGACGACTGCAAGTTGAAGGAGAGGATGCCGAAGGGTCCGCCTGTGGTGGAGCTGACGCCGCCCCCGTCGCCGGAGAAGAAGAAGGCTGGGCGGGTGGCTGCGCAGGATCGGTGGCATCCGTATGCCTGAGGGAACGTCTGACTCCTCTGGGGGGTTCGGCTCGCGGGAGCGGTGCTTGGGTTGGGGGATTGAGTAGTTTAGTAAGGAAAATGAAAGTAGATATTTCGGAATGAATACTGAGGTTATCTACTGAAGGCAAATGATGCTGTTGATTGTGAAGTCTTTGCTGTTGGCGGGGGTGGTGCATGTGAGGCGGCATGCCGGTGGCTCAGGAGCTAGCTGTGAAAGTAGTCAGACGAAATTCGGCGTGTGTCTGATTCGGTTCTACCAGCACGTCAGAAAAGTACCCGCAAGTGCGTCGTTTGAAAGCAGCTGTCGGACATGAGTGGGCGCCATCACCGGCCGAAGCGGCGATGTCTGACTGCCGCCGGATCCGGGTCCGCATTCGGTGCGGGCCGTGGCTGGCGATTAGGCTCGTGGAGCACGCATCTCACACACCCCGAGCTTATTCAGTGGGACAGTCTGGATGTACCGGTGCAGATAAGGTACATCGTCGACGCTTTACCTATTATGTCCGGTACGTAGACAGTAAGAGTTCGAAATGTTTCGCACGTGCCGTGTAAAATGCACCGTACAGATTGACATCAAGAAAACGGTGTACTTGAGGGCTTGTATCTCAGGTACGAGACAGCCTCGTTCTGGGATTTGCTGCCCACGACGCTTGCCACGTGCGGGACTTCAATCTGTGAAATCTAAGAAGAAAGAATGAAGATAGATGGTCCACTACCTTATTTCAACTACCGAAGCTGGTTGAAGGTCTGGTTGTCGTGGGAACATGTACGGGAGATCACGACGCACTGCTGTGCTCTCTGCCTGTGTCACCAAGATAGCATTGAGGATGCTGGCCAGCTCGACCATGCGATGCATGCGGTGAGAGAGATCTGGTCCTAATTGTCCTGATTTGGGACCCAGTCTAATTCACGTCGCGGCTTCAATGAACCATCGTGCGAGTGTCGATCGCAAGTCCGGAACAGATGCCGGTGATGCTACGAAAAGACGGTTGGACGCCGTTCTCAACACCGGCGAATCATTGATCCGCCCCTGTTAGTCAGCGCCGATGGTTTAGTGGTAAAATTCTCCGTTGCCATCCAGCAGCGTCGGGGAGCCGGGGGTTCGATTCCCCCTCGGCGCAATGTTTTGCTTTTTACTCCTATGTTATCTATGATCTTCTTGGTCGTCAATTGCATGTCACCTTTTGGCTTCGGGTCCGATTGTTCGGAAGAAACCCACCTACACTGAAGACACCACAGCGGGGAAGGTGTGATGAAACACGTCAGTCTATATTCCGTCTCCGCCGTTTGACAACGACGTGATCTGGATGCACCCGACATCTCGCGCCTCACCAGTTCCTTCCTCTGGTTGTTTGCCTACCTAGGCTAGATCAATCATCACTCAGCAGCGGCGATAGATGAGAAAACGGATAGATCTCCGTCGTCAGATTAGCAATAATCCTCCCAAAGCTTGTTCAGCAACGGCGCCAATGCCAGGCACCCAAAGCACCGTTTCCTCTTTGGGGAGGTTTACCACTCTGGGGTTGTTGTGTAACCAATGAGCGGTTCATGACGTTCACGGGATTGAGAGAGCGCCCCCCACCATGACACCGACGAGTCCCCACTCCCGCTCGCCGATGGAGTCACATTGGTCGAGCCCGATTAACGCCGTCGATATCGCCGGGCGAGCAAGTTTTGTCGACGGATACCTATTGGTAGTTCTAGAACCCGATGGCAGCGGCGCGGCGCCTCGCCCCGTTTCTATGCATGCCGGTCTGGAGGAGGGTTGGGATGGGAGGCTCAGAAGTGTGGCCGTTGCCGAATCCCGAGTGGAGCGACCGTGGCCATGTTTCCCCGAAGCCCGGGAGGCGGGCTGGAGTGCGTGGGGAGGCGATGATATCATTACAAATGCTCAGGCCTTTTGAAACCATGCAACGTCAAGATTGCTCCGCTTCTCAAGGAGAGAAAGCTGAAGCTGAATAATGAAGATGTGCTGGCATAGACTGGAGACGTCTTTTTGGGTGGGGTCGAGGGGGTTATAAAACGGAGCTTCCGGCCCGCCGGTTTCGTTGAATGATGTCGAGAAGTCAAGACGAGACGAACATTCTTTTTCTTCAGCATCACCTAAAAGAGCGTTCAACTTTTTCTCACAAAACTCAAATCAAAGATGGCACCCACAAGATTCCCCGCGGAGCCGGTCGACCCCGCGCCCCTCGCGCAGCCGCTCAAGTTCGAGTTCAGCGGCAAGACGGCGCCGAACCGGTTCATGAAGGGGGCCATGACGGAGCGCCTCTCGACGTGGGACCCCAAGGTGCTCGAGAAGCGCGGGGTGCCAACGCCGGAGCTCGTCAACCTGTACAAACGCTGGGGCGAGGGCGGGTTCGGGTTGATCCTCACGGGCAACGTGCTGATCGACTACGACCAGCTGGAGGCGATGGGCAACCCGATCATCCCGCCCGGGTCCAAGTTCGAAGGGGAGCGGTTCGAGGGGTTCCGGGCCGTGGCGGAGGCGGCCAAGAAGCACGGCAGCCTCGTGCACGCGCAGCTCAGCCACCCGGGCCGGCAGGTGGCCGACTTCATCAACCCGAACCCCATCTCGGCGAGCGACGTGCAGCTGGAGGGCAACGTGATGGGGATGACGTTTGGGAAGCCGAGGGCGATGGAGAAGGCGGACTTTGAGAAGGTCATCGGGGGGTTCGCGCACGCCGCCGAGTACTGTTGGAGGGCGGGCTTTGATGGTGTTGAGTTGCACGGCGCGCAGTAAGTTTTCCTTGCGACGAAGAAGAAAGAAGAATTCTTTTCGAAAAGAATAAATCGGAAAAGATTACTAATCGGGCGTTTAGCGGCTACCTCCTGGCGCAATTCCTCTCTCCCACAACCAACAAGCGCACGGACCAGTACGGCGGCTCTCTCGCCAACAGAGCGCGCATCATCCTCGAGATCGCCGAGGCGATCCGGGCGCGGGTGCCGGACCCTTCGTTCAGCATCGGCATCAAGATCAACAGCGTCGAGTTCCAGGAGGGCGGGTTCACGACGGACGACTGCCGCGAGCTGTGCGCGGCGCTCGAGGAGAACGGCTTCGACTTCGTGGAGCTCAGCGGCGGCACGTACCAGTCGCTCGCCTTCGAGCACAAGCGCGAGTCGAGCAAGAAGCGCGAGGCCTTCTTCCTGGATTTCGCCGAGCAGATCATCCCGCAGCTGAAGAAGACCAAGGCGTACGTCACCGGCGGGCTGAGGACGGCGGCGGCCATGGTCCAGGCGCTGGAGACGGTGCACGGCATCGGGCTGGCGCGACCCGTCTGCAACGAGTTCGACCTGCCCAAGAAGTTGATCAACGGGGAGGTGCAGAGCGCTATCCAGACGCTATTTGGGGAGGAGAACTTTGGGCTGACGAACGTGTTGGCCGGCACGCAGTAAGTTTCCTTCTTTTCGTCCGTGATGGTGGGGCGGGTGCTGACTGACATGTGTGTGTAGGATGAGACTCGTCGGTCAGGATAAGGAGCCTTTGGACCTCACCCAGGAGAAGTACAAGGACGTGTTTGAGAAGTCGATGCAGAAGTGGGCGGAGCAGATGGCGCAGAACAGCGACCTGACCAAGTTCGGGTACATTGACGTCGAGGGCACGAAGCTGGAGCCCTACGGCACGCCGTATGCCGCGGCTGCTTAGAGTGTTTGGAGTTTCGGCATTGTGAGATTATTTGCGGCCAAGTATGAATGTCATATGGAATAGATTTGGTCAAGATTCATAGGATGCATCTTCTCGTGAGCTTCTCACGAACAAGACCCAAAAATAAGCCACATTCAAAGTTCACCCACGCATAGCAACGTTGTTCATCTCATACCACATCAGACTACCAAAACTCAATTGCAAACCTCCAAATTAATTCACCGAGAACCAACACATGGTGAACAGAGCTGCATCTGGCACCTGCCTCACACCGAAGCAAGGTGAGCCCGGCGACGACGGAAGGCAGTGACGGAAATGGACCCCGCCTTCCCCCGCTGACCCCTTAGCCACCCCTGCCGTTTTCAGGGGGTGCTCGCTGTAGCTGAACTCAGCTTGCTGTCTGTCACCGGCCAAAATGTCATTTTCATCCCAACTAGCAGCTCTTTCTCTCCTCCAATTTCACCATCCTCCTCCTCCTCCTGCTCCTCCTCCTCCTCGCCACCATCGCCGCCACGCCTTCCACTTGCTCTCGCTCACGACGGCGATGATATTTATCTCTACCACAGTTCATACGCGTCAAAGTATTTGCTAGATCACCATTTAACAGCCATCAGCCATGTACGCGCCCAGTCCGTTCCGTCACGACCAGCAGTGACGTAACTGAAGCTGACCACCCGCAAAACACCACAGGATCGAGCCCTCCCTCCGCGTCCGACGCGCCATCACGGCAAACGACCCCCTCCTCGTCAAGCGAATCCTCAAATCCCACCCGGGCCTCCTGCACAACCCAGATCCCTCCCCCGAGGGCCTCTCCAACTCCAACCTCCACCTCGCCGCCTCCCTCGGCCACCTCCCCATCTGCCACGTCCTGCTCGACCTCGGCCACGAAGACCCCGACCCGGCCCTCAACGAGAGCCACCAGACCGCCCTGATGCTCGCCGCCGCCGCCGGCCACACCGACGTGGTGCACTTCCTCTGCGAGCGCACCCCGCACGTCATCCTTCGCCGCGATGTCCGCTGGCGCGACGCCATCATGGAGGCCAGCCGCGGCGGCCACGACACGGTTCTGCAGATCCTTCTGACGTATGTGCCGAGCGGTGCGCAGGACGCTGTGCGGAGGGCTGATTTGGACGGCAACACGGCGCTTCACTTTGCAAGCGGTAATGGCAACTTGTTGGTGCTTAGGACGCTGCTCGCGGCTGGCGCAGACGCCGAGAGGAGGAACATGTGGAGTTGGACCGCCATGTCGTACAGCGCCACCGTGCAGGCCGAGGTCTACCTCAAGGGCCTGGTCACCGAGGTCGAGAGGAGGAAGATGGTGCGGAGAGAGGTCGAGGAGTTGAAGAAGGCGGGTGGCGTGAGGGTTGTCGAGGAGGATATCGAGGTCGAGGATTGAGCTCCATGACAGATCCACGACATTATCACGACCGAGAGCCCTCTCAAAACATGCCTGCGGGGTCGCAGACGACGAGCACTCGTGGAGTGCATGAGCGCTGACGAGAAGCTGGCCCCCAGAGACGACTTCGAGGGGTACTGCTGGACGCAGCACGGGAATGCCGGAGCTCGACATACGGACCCATGTCAAACGGCGCCCCGCAACCGATCAAGTTCTCGAATCAGCTCGTCGACTTTACTAGCGATTCTTGGAGGAGCTGGACCTGTCGGCCACGGGCGCAACACGCATCACTGAGCATTCTCGTCGTCAACACAAGTCACACATCGCAGCTGCATCATGCCGACCCTATTCAGTTGCGCGACGAGAAGCTTCTCCCGTCTCCAGCTCGGAAATTGCCAATCAAAACCAAGCGGTGGACACGAGCACTACAGGCCGCGAACGAAGCTCGCGATTGGTTGAGCGAGCTGGATTGTACCCACCGATTCATCTCGAAGTTCATTACGCTGTGTGCGAAGAGGAAAGGAGCGGCTGAACTGATTCTCAGGAACTGCTCGGCTGGTTCGGTTCATCGCAACAGACGACGCTCGGACTGGTTCATCTTTTCAGCTGCAAGGATCTCTGCAATTGGGTTTTTGGGTCCCTGGGGAAGACTTGGAGAAAATGAAGTTGGAGAAAACAAGTTGGAAAAACGCCTGACACACTCTGTTGCGACACATCGCACGCCAAAGATTCACATCATTCAGATACCAGCCGCAAAATGCAATAAAAGTCAACTTCGCTCAAATCACTTGACATGCGACGCTTGACTGCAACATCACACATCATCTTATGGGCGAGCTGAATCGGTAGACTCACCGTCACTGATTCACTGCCGAAACATGCAGCCACCACATTCGTCGCATGTCGCAATCCCCGCAACGAGCTCACCTGGCGATGTTCATGTGCATTACACATGGCCTCATCTCAACTTCGACCGGCCGTCATGCTCGTCAGACTCGGCGACGGAACTCTCGATGATTCACTGCTTCGACACTGAAAATAATCTATAAATTTGCCCATCATGACTGCTCGTCTTCTCTCGCATAACATTCTACATCATCATCAGCCTGAAGCCTGACTGCATTACACAGCCAACAACACCTTCAATCCCCTCATACATCAATCACCGTGGCTTCTCAACAGTCCTCCGCCGACGAGGCTGAGACGGAGTATCTGCCCTACCCAGCAACCAAGCTGATCATCGGCCAGTACTGGCACTGCTCCAGGGACCCTCCATTCTGGGGCTGGCTCATCGTCGGCACCTTTTACGACCAGCACAACAACCCCGTCTGGAGCACCGAGATCTTTGCTTTCCAGCGTGACACGCGCGGTGACGACACAGAATCATCGTCCGTCGTCTCTTCTGACTCGGGTGAGTCACTCACAAGCACGCCCCCTTATTCACTGCAAACCAGCAAACTCCAATACGCCGTGTTATAAAGTCATCAACTGTTGTCGCTTACATCTTCCCAGATTCTTCTTCCGAACAAGACTTGGCTTCACAATTCTCGAATAGCCTCAGCTTTGACGAAACGAATAACTTTACAACCCCAACGAATCGGACTCACCAACACCCTCACTACAACCGCTTGTGGGACCCGTCAGTCGCTGGACCTGTCCCCGGCAGTTGGATCACCGCATACGATCCGCACCTCGGCAACTGGGTGAACACCTGGCAACCAAACCACCACCACTTCTAACCTCACCCCCAAAAAGACCGCAGCAATGTCCAACCCACTCAACGGCCCAGACGCCGACGCTCGCCGTCCCCCGTGGGGCCCCAACACCGGCATGCAGCTCCCCCGCTACGGCGAAGCCTACATGCCCCACCCCGGCTGGGCCCCACCCGGCCCCACGTACGGCGGATACGGTAACGTCGCCTACTACCCGTCGCAGTACTACTCATACCCATCCAACGCAGCCCCCTACCCGGGATCGACGGCCTACACGTGGCCCAACCCGGCCGCGGCCCCCCAGCCCGGCTACGGCACCTACCCCCTCCAACCCGGCGGCCAGTCCTACCCCGTCGCCCGCACCTCGCAGAACCTCCCGGCCCTCGACCCGCGCAACCCGGCCGCGCAGCTCACCAACTCCACCGGCGGCACCGGCTGCGAGCCGGGCTACAACTACTTCTTCCCCGCCGCGCACACCAAGATCCACGTCTTCCGCACCACCACGCCGCCCTGGCAGCTGCCCGCCAACGCGCGCATCCAGTTCTCCGCCTTCCACGTCCCCGTGTCCACCTCGCTCGCCGACGTCCTCAAGGGCTTCGGCGCCACCAACGCGACGCCCAAGAAGAACAAGTGCTTCGAGATCGTGCAGGCCGGCAACGGCAAGTGGTACAAGGGCCTCTGCTTCTCCGGCGACGACAAGGACATGATGAAGAAGACGCTCGCCGACGTCGGCTGGGACGCGACCAGGACGGGGCAGCCCGGGGGTAAGCCGGTCGTCTGCGTGTGGCTGGTCAAGGATTGAAAGCTCTTGGAGGGGGTTGGTGTTCTTCTGTATTTATTTACTGCGATTTTCTTGCTTTCTGGGATTTGGTTCTTGGGGTTTGGGTGTGGCGGGGTGTTTTGTTTGTTGGATTCAGTAGCGAGGAATGCGAGGCTCTACTCGAACAATTAACTTCGTGCATGGTGAAGCTTGAAGATGCGTGAGGTCTGATGTGACTTCTCCGAGTTGAGGTTCGCCGTGTTTGTGTGACTATCAAAAGCGCAAGCCCGCGCAAGGAAAATGTACATAAAATTTCTCATCCTGATCTGACAGGCATCACGTCCTTCAGCCTCTTAGGTCTGCAGTGGAAAGATTGGAAAAGGATGACATTATCGCAGCAACTACAAATGCAGCTCGCCGCGCAATATAACGCAGCAACCCTTATTCTTCTTATTCTATCCGACATCTCGTGATGTCCAGCAAGTGCGAAGTCATCATTTGATGTTCTGAGTGACATCATCGCAGAGACCCATTCAATAAATATTGTGATGTTGGCATGCTACGGGGAAAAGAAGGAAGGGCTCACGTCATGCAGCACCTTGATAACTTTCCACATGAAGCACAACATAAGTGTACCTGCTCAGCAATCTGACTCTATAGATCCCGAAGCTACCGTCTGCACATGGATGTCTTAAACGGTTGTGGAACTTCCTCTTTCACCAGTCGTGGTCTCCCCTCTTGACACTACGTTGTCCATGAGAATTTCCTTCCACTGAGGAAGGGGCGAAACGGTCTCCCAAGTTTTGGGATCGTGAGAATCCCACACTTCATTCCAGTCGTCGTGATCGTAGTCGCGACTTTCTTCGACCAACTTCCCCACGTCCCCCAAAGCCCCAACATCGAACGTGAACCGTACCACAGACCTCCGCGACGCGACATTTTCCATATCGTTTGGAAAGTTCTCAAAGGTCCGACCATCGCGTAAAAGGCCGTCGTCATTATCGCATCTCCTGTCCTCCCAAGAGAGCTCTGGGACATAGCCTCGGCGGACCGCCTCGTCACACGCGAGATGCCACGCTATATCCCGTTGTACGACTTGCTGAAATATCGCCTCGGCTAGTTGTGGGGCGGGGCCGGCGTCTAAGACGAGAGAGAAGGACCCGGGTGGCATGCCCGCAGAGCTGAGGATAGACGCTTCGACAACCCACACAGCCACGTTTCTGGTGACTTGGTTGGAAAACAGCTTCATCCTCTGAGGTCTTGAGATTCGTTGTTCGGGGGAGAGATAGGGGTGTTTTCGTAGTACGTTCCACCATAAGTCGGCGCGGCGCTCCACCCGTAGTAGGCGGTTCTCCTGGCAGTATGGGATCAGTCCACGGGCGTGACACGGGGATTCCGCAACAGAGTCCCGGTCCTCGTTTAGCATGATATTACGGATAAAGCTCCGCGTATTTTTGGGGAGTGCACTGAGAAACTGAACGGCCAACGATGCTGCTGAGAGCCGATATTTCGAGTTGTCGCTTTCTCTCGATTTGATCAATGCCTCCGGTGTCTCGTCGTCGGCGGCGGGAAAGCGGAAGTAACCATAAGACACGACCTCAAGCAGATCGTCTTGTGACGGTATATCCCAGGCTTCAATGGGGCAGTCGATGACTCGCAAAATGTCGAGCTTCCCGGGTTGCCAGCGCTTGGCACCCTTCTCGCCCCGGCACAGGCGATCCATTTCTTCGGCGAACCGTTTGGCGTTCGGGGATGATGCCAGCTGTAGCGCCCGCTTCACGAACTCCTTGTAAACCGACGGTGCTTCCCGGTAGTGGGCAGCGTCAACGATTGTCGTCGAGCTGCTTGCTTCCGTTGTCCTCATATGGTCCAAAAGCGGCACAAACTGCGGGTAGGCCGCCGCGAGTTGGTCGCACACCGGTCCCGTCAGAAACTCGCGGGCCAAGTCGAAGATCTCGATCCTCAGCTGATCGAGGCCGTCCTTTTTCCAAAAGTCGAAGGCGTTGAGGTGACATCGCAGGCCGTCGGAGTAAAAGGTGGAAAAGGTGATATTATTCGTCTGCAAGGCAAGACCTCTCATTTCGTTTGCGATTATTCTGCAGGTATAAGCGAGTGACAAATCGATGGGCTCGCCGTTGGCTTGCGTGAGTCTACCTCTTGCTTCCCCGCGGAGTTTGCTCTCCACCAGTATGTTGCTGTCGCATTTGTAGCCGCCATCGACGGTGACGTACATCTTGTAGATCACGTCCCGCAGCTCTCGAGGGAGACGAAGAAAGCCATTACTGAGGCTAACCGTGGGGTTGGTTTGCATGATGCTGAGTTGGGCGAGTGGTGGTGTATGACGATTCAAAAAGTGAAGTAGCAGAAACCGAATCAAGCGAGACATGTGTCGGTTAAATGTGAGGGATGCGTCTATTTATACCTCACCTCATTTTACCCCAATTCCGCTAACCCTCTCCCCCAACAAAATCCATCCGGTGTGGCACCTTGGTATCCGTGCTGCACCCCTTTGACCCAGACCACAACTGAGGCCAAATATCAACCTCCACCTTCTTTCTCCGACCAGAAACAACCAGCGGTAATAGCGACATGTCACGTCACGGTCAGGGAACGAGAAGTTTTGGGTAAATTTGATTTTTCAGAAGAAATGAGGACATCGCGAGCTACAAAAAAAAAAAACTCATATCAAGCCACACAATAGAATAACTTTCCACATAACGCAATATAAGTGCAATACCCAGCACTCAACACAATGAGAGTTTATAAGCCCAATGGATATGCAAGCCCTCCCAGCTAAGTTTTCAGCCCACTTGGTCTGTTGACAGAGCGGAGTTAGCGTTTGCGTTCAAGAGAAGTGGATTGGAGTGACGTACCATGAATGGCCTCAACCACCAAGGTCGTGACGACCTTGAAGGGCGTTTCCAGCAGGTATAAATTGCTGGAAGCTGTCATGCAAACAGTAAGTACATGCACTTGTCGAGGTGAGGGTGGATTGCTTCGTACACTGATGAGGCCCCCCCTGGCAAGAATCTGATCCTTGCCAACATCTCCAGCCACACACACCACACCGAGACACTTCTAGCAACCGAACGACTGACTTATCGGATTAGTTTGTGAGAAAGAAGAAGTGAAGGGAAAGCCATACTCAACATGACGTCCCGAATTCCAGTCAACCCAGAGGCCACCACGGCACACGCCACGCTTCTCGCAGACGAGTTCAAGAAGGTTCTTAAGCCTCGGCACTAGATGCAATCAGATTGAGGTCCATAACGTATCGCAGAAGGGACTACTAACCATCAAACACATGCGACACAAGATCAACAAGAACAACAAAAAGGCGAAACAAATACTCCAAGAGCTCAAATTCACACCTTCAAAGATCGACTTCGAGCGGTTCCCAGAGCAGTACATGACTGAAACATGGTTAGATGGGACTTGGGAAGAGTGTGAAGTGTGTTTTGGACTTACAGCTCATGAGGTTCACACTCGAACTCAACCAACACTATGGCTTAATAACAACAGAGCCAGAGAGGGGAAGACTTCAGGATGTTCTACATATATGCACGGGCATACAAATAGACCTCCAGAAGGGCACCCCTACAGAGCGGCTCTCACCCAGCAAGCAGAGCCTGGTTGCTGCGTACGAAGGACTGGTGTTCAAGTTAGGATTTCAGTCAGGATCCGGTTCAGGAATGCAGAACCTACCTCGAAGGGAACAACACGGTAACAATGATTCGACTGGCAAGACACGTGGAGGCGATGGACGAAGGGGATGACGGGGTTCTGAAGGGGCTGGGAGGGCGTATATCTAATCGAAACGGTTGGCGACTACATTCAATCATTGCAAGGGGATCAACTCACCCATGTAATACTACCCTGTGAAGGGACGCAATTGCACACTTAACAAGGCAGAACTTCCTTGTTAAGGGCTGATGGGAACGGTGTTGTATTGCTCTGCCGATGGAACTGAAACTTGAAGTACATGGAACCAAGTCCCGGAGCACCACAGGATCAAAAGCCAGTCCCATACCACAAACCTCATCAAGACAGGCCCATGATCACCACGTCCAACCCATACCCAGCACACGTTCAAAGAAGCTCGCAGCAGAGAACGATGTCTCACATGCCGGTCACCCTCAGGATTCGTCGTCCTCAGCGTCGTCATCGTCATCGTCGTCGTCGTCGTCATCCTTGTAGTGTGCCCGCCGCAACATGACCCGGTTGGTGAAGTCGAACTGGGAGAGTTCGAAGTATCGAATGGCGAAGGAGGCGACCTCAAAGCCGTGCTTGCTTAGATAAAGTCTGAGCCACAACTGCCGCGCGTCTGGGCTCATGTCGGCGGCATATGTCAATCGGGGGAATTGACGTTTTCGCGCCCCGGCCAGTCTGCGCCCAACTCCGACGTTCCGAAAGCGAGTCGTGTGGCGTTCGGCATCCGCCGACCCAGTGGTGGAGCCGGTGGGAAGGCCGGCCCCGCGATCCCGGGGTAGACGTTCCCGAAACGGCAATCTAAACGCAACACGAAGATGCAATATATCTCGCATTTTCCTCGGCGGGGTGCGTTTATTCATCTTTCCAGATTGTAATTCGTCCGCTTTTTCAGTCCCGTCCAAGATCCAGCGAGAAACAAGGTTCATCATCTTACCTATGTCAGTAACGTGTTATGCCGATATGGACCATCACGTCTCTCGGGCAATATATAAGATGAACGTGTTCGTCGACGAATTCATTCCATAACCCCTTTATTCTTTCACCGTACGATCTCTTAATACACACGCTCGCTTAATTGTCTTTAAGCCTCCCGCAAGATGCGTCCCTCCTCTTTCCTCGCAGCCCTCTCCGCAACCGTTGTGGCCGCCGCCCCCGTCACTTCCGACGCCGGCCTAGTCTTAATCAGAATCGCAAACGTCACAGCCAAGACCCTATCCAACAGCAATCTTTTCTTCGACTTCGACGTCGTCGATAATACCTCCGATCAGACCATTCACTGCTCCAACACATGGCACTTCAACCCCGTCCCCCACCCTCCAACGCGGAGATCCTAACCGTGCAACAGGGCCTTCGATGACACCCGCCCCACCCCAGCGTCCTGCTCCGTCGCAGGCTACTCCTTCACCGTCAGATTCCCCAGCAACACGAGCAGTATCGAGTCCTGGTCAGCCCTCATCGGCATCGAAGGACGCCCGACGTGGTTCCGCGCGGTCCTGGACACCTCGTCGCCAGACTACACCTGCGCCCACTCTGGCGAGGCGGGCGTGCTGAGCACTTGTCTCACCACCCCGAGCCTCCAAATCTCCGCCGCGCCGGTCTCTCCCGTCCTCCCTCCCGAGCCCGCCTACCCCGAGATTGAGATCACCAACGTCTCCGCCGAGACCTTGTCGAACAATAACCTAGTCTTTGAGTTTGACGTGGTCGATAACACCAATAACAAGACGGCGCACTGCTCCAACCAATGGTCGGACTCTCTATCCTCGACACATTTCAAGAGACTAACTGACATCTGTTTTGCAGGATCTCCGGTGCCCGATCCGTCATCGATAATGCATGCTCCGTCGCGGGTTATACCTCCGACATTGACTTCCCCAACGGATTCAACATCCAGTCTTGGACGGTGTACATTGATGTCGAGGGGAAACCCACAGCTTTCAAGGCGGATGTGAAGACCGGCACGCCTGACTATACCTGCGGCCATTCTGGCACGGGAGGCGTTCTCAGCGCCTGCTTCACTGGTGCTGGTGTCAAGATCGCCGCCGCTCGGTGGTCGATCTGGGGTCCTAGTTCGTAGGTCTCTCGGATTCATCACTTCGATGTGTTGATGCCAAGAGTCAAACGTGAGAAAGTCGATAGCCTCGACCTGATTCAAAGAGACAATGTGTAGACAAGTCATGTAGCAATTAGGACAAGTAGCACACAGTTAGGTTGGTAAGATCTACAGCTCTACCTCAACGCCCAATTAGGGAGGATATTATAATTCATCACCGGAATAAGGCCAGACTGAAAACCGTCCTAAACCCAGCCTCTCCATCCATGTCATCCAAACAGAATATTTTCAAGCTTGGCTCACCTCGCCAAAGACGACACCGCGGCAGCCGGAAGGGTGGGTCCATCACGACGGAGCCGAATGACCCGGCCCCACCACCGACGCCTCCGGCTCCGGTTGGCTAGAAATGTGTCCCGTCTCTTGTGAATGAGATACGTTCAAACTTGTGTATTTTCTAAGAATTTCTCACTCCTCGTGGACTCGGCCCATCCCTCGTGCGGAACAGCTAGTCGTGGACCCTTTATGTCGTCAACCAGCGTACCACTGAGCTGGCGAAGATGACCGCGCGATTGGCGAGCGTGCACGTAAGGCATTGGAGTATCTCTGGCCACTCCCCCGACCGGATCCGGTTCGCGGCCTCAAGTGGGTCGTTGACTCCGGGCGAGATCGGGAGACGTCTTACATGTGGACCTCAGAATCGACCAATAGGGGCCTCACTGCCTCCACCTCCGCGCCCTGGCGTTGACATTTTGATTTCTCAGCGTTTTTTTTTCACGATCATAAAACGCGCATCACAAGCAGCCGCGTTTCCGAAACTTCTCGCTCTTGTGGCTGTTGGCTGTGCAACAATGTCCGACGCGTCCAAAGACCTCGTCCTGCCCCGTCCGGGCGGGGCCTACGGCTCGCAAGCGCCGATACCGGGTGCGTCCGAAGAAGCCTTCACGGCGGCTTTCGGCGCGCTACTTCCGCCCGCCCAATATCTCACCACGCCCACCGGCAAAGCCGCCTACTTCGAGATACCCCCTTCCTCGCCCGGGGACGGCGCGAACGCACCCGATCGCGTTCTTTTTATCCACGGCGTGCAGACCCCTGCCCTGGGCATGCTGCCGCTTGCCAAGGCTTTGCACGCGTCGTTTCCTCAGACGCACTTTGCGCTGGTCGACCTCTGGGGTCACGGGCTGACCGACACGCCCGTCGTCCCCCACGAACCGAGAATCTTCCACGAGCTTCTGGATGCTCTGCTGGACCAGCTCGGTTGGCCTTGCGCCCACCTCGTTGGGTACTCGTTCGGGGCCGCCTTGACGGTGGGATACGTAGCCTCACGGGCGTCGCGGGTGAAGAGTTTCGTTCTCGTTGCGCCCGCCGGGCTCCTCCGCGCTTCTGAATTCACCGCGGAGCAGCAAAACTACTTGCGCGGCAACGACGTCGACGAGACTGCCGCGCGGAAGTTCACTCTTAACTTCCTCGAGGGTGGGGATTTGGTAGTGCCCACAGACTGGAAGGAGCGCGTCGCCAAGGGAGAAGTTGTTGCCGAGGCCGTGAGGGAGTGGCAGATGCGCGAGCATCCCGGACACACGGCTTCTGTTGTTGCCATTTTCAGGGACGGCGGTGTCTTTGACAACGATGCTGAGTTTGTTCGGGCGGTTGGCACTGGCATCCCGTCGCTGGTGGTGCTGGGAGAACTGGACGATTTGTGCAGTGAGGGTCAGATTAAGGAACTCGGCTTGAGAAACGTTGTTGTGGTCCCCAAGGTTGGACATGCCGTGGTCAGGCAAAGAGTACCAGAAGTGGCGGCATCTATCAGTGGCTTCTGGAAGAAAGAAGCTTGAGAGCTCGACGGCTGATACTAACAACATTGATTTTACGACGTTTACCTGAGTAGCATACAATAGAAACACAAATCATCATAGAGAGACTGCATGTAAGAATCACTGCATTGCGAGTTGCCCTCACCTCCATTTCCACACATTCTAGCCACTTTGATGATTGATTAGTCACAGGGATCAACTTTCAAATGAGCCAGGCAGTCGGGTTAAGACAACCCAGCGAAAAGCCCATGATCAAATCCATTTCCCCAAGCTTGAGAAACGCACCCAACAAGCATTTCGTCGTTCTTGTGCAGCGCAGCTTTCAACGATCGTCGATGATGACGACAGGAACATCTTCTAGAAAGGACTCCCCCGAATGAAGAACCCAGTCATCGGCTGCATGCTCGCGACTAACTCAAAAGCGTCACTGCAGAGACGAACACTCCGGGTAAAAATAACGTCGCGCGAAGGTTTTCTGCAAGGGCCGAATTAAATAGAAAAGTGGCCTACTGGCTTGCGTGTCATACCGATGCGGTCCCGACAAAGCGGTCACCGAGTGGACCAGAATGAAATCCAGGAACCGCAACCTTGTAGACCTACCTGTTGAACTTAATCTCATCAATGGAGTTGGCTGGATGTCTTCCTTGGCCTCGCAGACCGCATGGAGTGTCTTGGGTCAGCTTGCCTGAAAGAATGATGCATTAGTGCGCGTACGCAAGCGTTGGGGTACTGGGAATGAGGAAGCCTCGAAACACAACGTGTGACCACAATCATGAGAGATAGAGATCTCTAAAGTTAAACTCTTCGAATACTCAATGCTCTGGATATCGAAAACTGCAACCGGGTTGGAGAGAATTTACTCACGATCACTGCCGGAAGTAACCCTGGGGGCCCCAGTTTGAGGGCAGAGCAGCTCCCTACGTGAGACCACAGGGACGAGGGGTTCATACGATTTCCCAAGACCATGAAGATAGAATGTCCGTCCTACTAGTCAGTCAGTTGCTCGGCCAAGACAATTGACGTTAGGGCATGCAGAACTTTGATTCGTTCCCAAGAATAGGAGCCTTTCGAGGGTTGTCTCATGGGTCGTTGTGTTGAAGAGGCGTGCCATCGCAGACTAGACCAGTGCCTTACCGCTAGCCTCAGTAGCAGGATCTGATGATATTTCCACCCTGATTTCTGTCAAAAAGAAACCAAGTTCGTGAATGAAATACTAATCACGTGCATATTTGCCCCTGGATTATCTCTATGATTATCTCTCACACCTCGTGATTGTATCGCTTCACCCAAGGCTTTTTTGCGACATTCGCAATCCACAATCTCACCGCAGGCAGCCTATGCATGATTTGAAGCTTATCAAAGATCCGACATGCATTTGAATCGAATGTGCTCGCGTGAGGCGTGCTCGCGTGAGGCCATTCCTTCTTCGGCTGAGCTCCCTCGGCGATATAACTCCGAGGCACCGATCCGACCGACCGGGCCCGAGTGGGTCCGCCGAGCCCGAGTCAGCCAAGTTCCACGATCTGGCATCCATACAACAGAAGACATGTATTGCGTTGATGGCGTATTAATAAATGAATCGTACAGCAAATAGCTCGCAATTTGGCAACTCGATTGTACAAGGTTCTAGAAATTGGAACAGAAGTTGGTTCAAACAGCTTGACTGAACCGCCTCTTCGCGCGGCGAGGTTGCACAATATTACACCTTCCCAGGTCACTTATCCATCACCATCATCTGAGAGTACGTGGGTTGATGGCTGCTCCTTAAGTGTTCGTTGAGAAGAAGCGAAACAACACGATGTGCGGTCGGAATCCATCGACTAGTGATACGGTTGAGATCCGTTGGAGAGCCAACATTGAACAAAGTCACGAGAAGCGCAAGCACCGACCTGCCTCTTCGTTCCAGTCAATGTTGCATGTGAGACAGAAATCAAATGCATGGATTGTAGATACATACGCACAACAGCCAGTGATCTGATTGATCGGGCTATCAGGCAGAGATTGGCTTCAAAATTGTTATTATCTGAGAATATCGCTGTGCAGGATTAGGTCCATATTGGTTGGATAGTGTCGATCATTCTAATGGATCCTAATGAGCTATCATCACGAAGTATCTTCAGACCCACAGGAAAGTTCAGAATATTAGACATACTCTCACAACCGGAGACAAACGACAATCTCAAATATAAACGTGGTGGATAACAAGAATTACCTCAAAAACTGTAGAAAAGGGCAAACGGGGACTTGGGTCTAGGCAGAGATGCTTTTATTGCAGAGATTCAGGATGTTCATGATATAGGTGCCAAGAAATTCTTTGATAGTGCCGTTATAGATCACGTCGCAAATGTAGCAAACGAAGTTGAAAGGTGCTAAACGTCAAAACAATCTATGATTACCAGCCATCGAAGGCGAAAGCGATACCGACATTGACAAATGATGACACTGAAAGACACCCAACAGAGTTGAGGTCCTGGCAACATTCGAGGTGCCCACAAGAAACACGGAAGGAGCTCTTCCACCGATACCTACCACCCAAGGAACAGGACGCTTGTCTTCCCGGCATTGCTCCCCCGGGTATTAAGCACGGAACAAATAGTCTCTCTGGCTTCGAAAAATGTCTTTTGGCCGATAGAATCATGCCACCCGGCTTAATAACTAACTCGAAGTCTGTGAATTGTGGCGGTTCCGACCGAGCTAACGGCACTTGATGCCGTCAAACGGCTATCGGCATCTTCGACCGGCGACGGATGTCGAGTGTTTAGTAGCGTCTCGTACATGTAGTCAAGAAGGAACAGCACAATCTGGAAGCATAGTAACACGTATAGCAAAGTTCGAAAGTTCTGAGCCTCTCTTCGCGATCAGATACTCCGTGCCTCAATAACAGACCGTCCCAAGTCTCGGGCATAGCGGTTGCCAGCTCATACAGCGACTCCGATAAATCCCCGGGTCCGCGGAAATATGAAGTTGTTTTCATTCAGTAATGAAAGAATGGTTGATTCTTTTCATTGAAACCATGTTTTGGCATTGATGATGGGAAACGGTCAATATTCGACGAAGCAAAGTTGATGATGTGGTCTAAGCAGAAATCAACGCACAGTAGGATGGGACGCCATTGCGCAAAGACTAGCCAAAGACTCGGCAGCATCTTCCGGAGGGGTGGTCTCATTCTAGAACGAAAGGGCTTCGGAGGATAGTCCAACGATTCATTTTACCTAGCGTAAAACTGGCGGACTCTGGTCCGGTGCACTGAAACCATTCACAACTCCATCCGGCGAATCGGAACTCGACATGACTCTCCAGCACTGGATTCCGTGCACACAGCACATACTTTCAGAGCGAACGTATCGGCTCGGAATGTGTGTCCCGCCTTCCCATGTGCCGGAGAATGACGTCGATGGAGGCTTCCTGCAAGAAGAAGTCGCCAATGTCATTGGTGTATCAGAGACATCAGATGAGACCAGGTACACACCAACACTGCTATCAGATCTGGTGGTATCCGTGTGGCCCATCTGTCTGGCCCACTTCCCCTTTCGTATTTCTGGCCTCATGTTTCGCCATCGTATTTTCCGGTTCTCTTTCATGGCAGGAAATGGTCCCATGGGCACAGTGCAGCATTGAGCAGCCGAGTCATTGAGCAGAACATCATCTGAAAGTTGCCCGGCACATCCAACACCTATCGTAGCATCGTCATCGCATAGTATTGGCGTTGTGATGCATTGATTCATCCAGACGGACAATCCGATTACCAAGACTTCCATCATCCATTGTGTTCAGTGGGATCGTCAACCTGTCAATTGTTTCTTTCATGCTTGAGATCAAGAGACAGTCTTGGCAGACGACATTGAGTGAAGTCGTTGGAACGACCGCGAAGAGATGGCAAACGTGTTCTGTACAGAATCATCCAAAGTTCGGACTTGAACAAATATGTCCAAAGAAACAACTGTCTGTAACAGTGAAGTTGGCGATGCTTTTCCTACTCGGTATAGGATCCAACACCGCCACCCCCGCGAATGACGATGAATGGGGAAGATAGTGCGGTTTAACCTGAAGTTTTATCCCCAGCTCTTCGACCTCTCGTAGGCTCTTGCTCTTTGGTTGCAACCTTCCGTACCCTTAGCTTGCCGGGTCGCCCCAACGGACCAGTTCTGCATAGGTAGGAAAAGGCATGGCCCTCCCACCCGGGCAAGAGTCCGTTGATAGAAACACCTTCGTAAGATGCGCTCCACGCGCGCCACTTGATAAAACATCATCGATTACCAAGCCATTCATCTCGAACATGCTGTAATCGCCAAGCCAAAGATTGTGGGTTTCTTGGCGTTTTGTCTGGAAAAATTGGCTGTCACAATGTGACAAGCACTTTGCCTCCACTTGGCGCCTACACATTCGTGCGGGGATTGACTATGCTAACAGCATGTCTCCTTGTAAATGACTTGGGATTGTCGCAGGAGTGCCATATACTATCGATGCAAATGCCGTCGCCATGTTTTGTCTTGTCGCGGCGACGTCGTGGACATCAACGTCAGCGCCGCGTTGTACTTGGTTTGAAGACTGAGATTTATCTGACAGAAAATGGATCATGTAGACTAGACGTTGAATGACACTCTTGACAGAAATGCAATGCTACCTCAGATCTGCCGCTAGTGTAGAAAAGCCCCGAGGCTTGGCACAGCTGTCTGTCAAGAGGAAACCCTGCTTGAGCACGTCCTTTTCGTAGGGCTTCTCTTATTATTTCCCGCAGCAGAATGGATGAGAGCTTTCTTGGGCAAGAATTCGCGACTTGTTTCCGTGGGGTCTCGGCTCTGACAGCGTCCAAGACCTCGACCATCCCTGGCATCCTCGTGGCCGCGACGAAATGTTCCACTCGAGCCGAGTGCAGTCCCGTCTCGGCAGCGGGGAGGCGGCTAATCTTTCTACTGGTCGTTGGAGTTGTTGCCAGTTATGCTGCTGTGGCTTCTGAGACGCGACATCATTCGTCCGACCTGCGGTGTCTTTGGCCTCATCGGCGTTCTGTCTGCGTCGCAGCTGAACTTTTCGACGGGCTTTCACGCAATGTTTCGTTGCGTTACCCGTATGATCCCAGAGCTCCCCTATCCCTCCAAGTGAAGGCTGCAAGAGTGCTTAACAGAGAGACCGCAGTGGTCCACTGAATCCTTGTCGATGAAGTTCTTCGGACGGTTTTGGAAGGGAGGCTCGACCTGGGAACCAACTGCGCCTCAATAACCAAGATATAGCCAAGATGAAATATGGAGATTGTGGGAAGGGAAGAAGCTATCCCGCACACGGGAACGGAATGGCCACATCGACATCCATGTGATCCCGTCTTGGCCCCATGAAGAGATCTCGGCGCTAATGCAAGGGCCCTGAGCCGCAAATCTATAGATGCCATACGACAGTACAGAATCCGTAGGATTTGCGACTTCTGGAAAAGGATCCTATTGGTGAACTTGAGCAGAGGCGGGTAGGCGGAGCAAAGAGTCTCCCGAAGCCGGGAAGTACCCTCTTTGACGCCGAAACGCGGAGACGTTTCGCGGCCGGCCAAAGCGCCACTTCCCACCCTTTTCCCCCACCAACTCTTACATACGAGCAAGACCAGAGCCACATTTACCGAAGGCGAGCTCCCCAGACCGAAACAAATTTGGAGATTCGCGAGATCTATGCCTTTGACCCCGTATCATCGTCTCTAGAGTGAGATGGGGGTAAGGCTTGTAGTTGCGGTAGGTGATACTACGAGAGGTGAACACAGCGTCGCATTATCGCAGAGTAGCCAGAAGTCCATATTGACTCAGCAAGAGGCTCTTTTCCACCAGTAGTTGTCCTGTGCTTCCAAACATAGAGCGGCGAATCACGCCGGCTGAGTGTCAGGTCACATCGACTATGTAGATCTCAACAACATGATGGTGGGGGTTTCGAAGTCAATGGCAAGATGGAGCTGTGATGATGTCGAGTGTTTACATCTTTACGATCTGTGTCGGCCGAGAAGGGGGTCTGAGACGGGACTGGCGGCGCTTTGCAACCTGCGGTCGGTCTTGTTTCCCGAAGGAGCTGAATTCGTCCCATGATTGCTTCGAACTTTGGCCACTCATCCATCTGCAGATAGGGTTTACCCGGAAAGAGGGCGACTTGTCCACAAATCCCGTAAAGTTTGTGACTTGAGGGGGAACGCGCGCGGGATGCGTGGCAAACAGGACAAGCATTTGCAGGAATCCAGATCGCAACCACAAGATTCCGATCACTTGGCATAGTCATAATCACCATTGCGAAGCCCAATTGCGAAGCCTCATTGCGAAGCCAAGTTAAGCTAAGCAAAGCTAAGGTGAGCAAAGAACTTGCCGAGTCGTTCTCGCGAAATAGCGGTTTGCCGTGCATGGGAACATGAAGTGAACATCGCGTGAGCTGCTTCTCGAGGTATGATCATACTGGTCTTGGACCATTGCAGCGTGTGTCCAACTGGCGTAGGAATGGCTTTTTTGACACCTAGATTTCTCGGCATAACTCAAAGCAACAACATTCGGATGGTGTCAAAGTACCCAAAAGACCTGAAAGGCGGGGGATAATAGTGGGCGATACTTCCGGAGCGGCCCCATCAAGTCGCCTCGTCTGCATGGATTCTATCAGTCGAATCATGCGGGCCATCCGGGAAGACTGATGGTGTACAGGGTTGGATGTGTGAATAAGCGGGCGGCTGTTCGCTGGACGGACATCGCGAGGCGCGAGATGCGTAAAATAACAAGAGTAAGGGAGTACCTAGTTCAACGAAACGCCTTGGGACGTTGTGGGATATATCGTGCCATAGATAGTGAGAGGATGGATGGGCTGTGTTGCAAAGAAAAATGATCGGCGCATTCAAACAACAGACATTCGACGACGGCGACCCGGGGTGTGGGATGGTGTCTGTCCTTCTGACCATCTCGACAGACACACAGAACAGATCCGGGGCGTGGTTTTTGCTTCATGAACAGGGAGACGGCTTGGATTGAAACGACGTGTAGTACAGCTGGCGGACAGAGCGCTTGACCTGCCGTTGTGGCCGACTGCATCCGACGGGAGGCGTTTAAGCTCCCAAGTGCACCTGGGGCCTGAGAGTTTCCTACACCCACGTCGTCCGTGAACCCTTGCATCCATCCAGACACCCTGCTGAACCCAGCTCACACACCCAGACATTTTTCGTCTTCAGATGTGTTCAGACACAGAGCTTCAACCCATAAAAGAGAAAGACACCTCGCCCTCACTACCTCTGGTTCGCGGCTGGTTTGGTCGGTGAAGGGCAGGCGATCGCCAAGACAACAGAAAGAAGTAAGCTGGTCTTGACATATTCTTCTTTGGGACGCCTCATCAGATTCACAATACACGCCCATCATGACAATCGCATATTTACGGAGTCACAACTTCAAGGTGACCCATCACATTACATCTAATCTACTATGGGTCACCTTGGTGTTCGGTATGAGCGTCTTCACCTTCGGGTATGAAGGCTCAACGCTCAACACTATCCAGGCAATGACGCGTAAGTGATATTCAGAGAACTGTGTTTTGTGGATGATCAAACTAATTCATGTTATCTAGCATTCGAAAAAAGATTTGGAGACTACATCCCGGCGAAAAAGGCATTCGGTTTCACTTCGAATAAGCTGGCATACATGAACTCTTTCCCTCTCATCGTCTATGCCGTCGGCGTAATCATCGGTGCTCAAATCGGCGAGCGGTGGGGCCGGCGACTGGTCTTCATCCTAACCAACATTGTCTGCCTGGCTGGCACGATCACGGTATACACGGCAAAGAACTACGAACAGCTTCTCGCGGGTCGAATGATCGTGAACTTTCATGTCGGCATGGAGGCTTTCCTGATTCCGATGTTCCAGGCCGAGATCGCACCTGCCGCAGTGCGTGGTTCTCTGACGGCCATCTATGGAGTCAATGGTGTGTTTGCCGCATTCATCGCGTCGATAATCACCAACTTTACCAGCCACCTCAACGATGACCGCTGCTGGAAGATCCCTGTTGGCATCGGCTTCTTGTTTCCCGCGTTTTCGTTGTTTTTCTGGGTCTTGATCCCCGAGTCTCCCAGATGGCTCCTGCGGAAGGGCGAATATCAGAAGGCTGTTGAGAATCTCGACTACCTCTTTGGAGCCATGCCAGGATATGACGCCGAAAAGGAGGCCAAGCTTTTGCAGGAAGCCCTGAACTCCAGCGACACGAAGGGAAGGTGGAAGGACCTCGTTAAGGGAACCAACCTGGTAAGTTGAGAGTGGCATCTTCAATGAAGGAATATCTCTAACTAGCCCAGCGGCGAACCGTGAACGGATTGACGGCTGCCGCGTTGGCTTCGCTGTCAGGTGCATCATTCTCGAATCTTTACGGAACCATCTTCTTGAAGAGTCTGAAAATTGTCGACCCTTTCATGATGACCATGGTAAAAAGAGCTCTTTTGCTCGGCACTGCCATTACCTTCATGTTCATCATTGATCGGGTTGGCCGTCGGCGCCTCTTCCTCCAGATGGGCTTTGTTCAAACCGCCGTGCTGATGGTGATGGGTGGGTTGGGCACTATCGCTCATCCTACCTTGGACATCAACAAGGGCATTGTTGCGCTCACCGTCATGTTCCCAATCTTCCATTTCGTCTCATTCGGCGGCCCGTAAGTGTCCATACACTTCAGTTCGAGAAGTGCGTCGTTTACTGACACTGAACACAGATTGCAATTGACGAAAACTGAGATTCCGCATGTCACTCTCAGAGACAAGTCCGTCATGCTGTTTTGGCTCACAGCAAACCTCTGCAATTTCATCGCTTCATTCACTCTGCCCTATCTGCTGCAAGAACCGGCAAATCTTGGCTCCAGAGTTGGTCTAATATACGGATCCATCTCAGCCATGGGTTTGGTATGGGGATACCTCTGCATGCCTGAAATGGCCAAGAAGTCTCTTGAGGAGATTGACGAAATGTTCGCCGCAGGTGTACCAGCCTGGAAATCAAGACGTAAGAAGCCCCTGATTTCACTATCTACCATTCACTTTACTAACACCACAAAGACTGGAGAGGCGAGCAAGCCGCCAAGATCACCGATCTCGAGAATCACGGAGTATCCAGCGACAGCTCCAGTGAACGGAGTATCGAGAAGCCTGAGCTGGAACCTGTGGTTATTGAAAAACCTTCAAAAAGCTGAGATGGAAGCACGGCGGCTTATAATTTTCGCATGACTGTGATGAAGCACTGAATAGGTATGACAGCACGATAATAGTAATACTTGATCGTAAATATGACAAAGAAAACTTCATTTCAACATGCGCCTCACTGTTCTTCATCACGACCGCTCTCGCCACATGCGTTGGTTTCCAGCCACTGAGAACTTGTGCCATGCGGATGATGAGCTTCCGATGACTAGGTGGAGTGTAAAAACCAAGCTTAATTCCTCTCAGAGGACAGGCGCTTGGTTGGGGGTTGCCGGCGCATCCCAAAATCTTTCCGCGACATCATTTAAGTGTACCCTATGACGGCTTATTTCCTGTAATTCTGGGATAATCCTCGATTCTGCAAAGAACCCGCACCAGTCAGATTCTTTCTCGGACTCAACGGACCACACGCCGACTCGTGGGAACTAAGCGTAATTCCCGATTGACAACATTGATTGGTGATCGACGCCAGGGGGCGACACTTCCCACGAGACTGTTCTGCGGAACCTCTCACCTCATCGCTGCATCCTCGAGTCTTTCTTCGAACTCTCCCAGTAGTCCTCCAAAGTAAGAACTTCTTCTCTGCGGCTTCCCGCCCCTCTGCCGCGGCTTCCTCCTCTCCTGAAAACGAGGCTAAATGTAAGGGACAGAATTGTTCCGTTGCCACGAAACAGCGTCTAATCTTGTTTCTGTTTCTGGTCCCAGATCAGACGGAATGATGGTGTGGTCAGACGAAACAAACCTATGAAAGGGTTCGCCGACCGAGGCCGACTGTGCTCAATCTCCCACTACGCGCGCGGACGGCCATACTCAAGTAGGAAATGTTCCCTGCAGCGGCTCCCGCGATAGTCTTCACAAGCTGCATATTCCACGCATCCCGCGTTAAGTCTTTCGGCAAGATGGGCATACATTCGTAGACAATGGCAAAACCAACACGAGGCGGGCGACAGCCGCCGCAGCGGTAGTCCTGTCTTACGTCCCCGGATTCGACAATTAAACCCTCTCCGCCGAAAGAAAAGAACGGCGGGATAATCTGCGCCCCATAAAACAAGCTCTCGATTGAAAATTCCACGGCCAGGCGAGGGTGACTGTCATGAGCGGCTCCCTCCGTTTGGATGCAGACAGTCCGGGCTTCCACACATATGTCAAGCTCAAATACCGCCCATCTGCTGCCTTCGCACACCCTCCTGCACTATGTGGGTTAATGCTATGATCTAACTTCTCTGTACTCTCCTTTCTTTGATCACATCCCATACAAGTCCTTCCCTCACTGTAAGTGTGGTGCCAACACAATGGGCGTGTCTGTTCGATCATTGGCCGTCCTCGGCTTCGCCGGGCTCGTCGCGGCGCTCGCGGTTCCGAAGAGCTACGCCGTCGACAGAAGCTATAGCCTAATGTCCGACCTTGGCACCAACTACACCGTTTTTGAACACGCGGCGACGAACTCCAGGACGAGGTTCGTCACTGACTCCAAGATTTGCGAAACCACTCCCAATGTGAAGCAGTACTCGGGATATTTTGACGTCGGTAAGTTGACGTACTCCTCTAGTCTCGAGCTAAGGGACTAACATATCCTAAGGTACGGACCAGAACATGTTCTTCTGGTTCTTCGAGGCCCGAGACAAGCCAAAAGAGGCTCCCGTGGCGTTGTGGTTGAACGGTGGACCAGGCTGCAGCTCCATGTTGGGCCTCTTTCAGGAGAACGGTCCTTGCACCTTCAACGGAGGTGGCGACGAGCCCAAACTGAACCCCAACTCTTGGAATAATTACGCCAACATGGTAAGTTTCGACATCTCCAATGCGGTCATAGCCCCATCACGGCCCCATAGTGATAACACAACCGCGCTCATACCTCTTGGAAGCTGCTCAATGCTGACTCGTCCCATCACAGCTCTATGTGGACCAACCAATCGGGGTCGGTTTCAGTTACGGCACGAACGATGTCGATTCAACTGTCAAAGCGGCACCCAAGGTGTGGTCGTTGATGCAATCATTCTACACGCAGTTCCCGGAGTACAAGAGCCGGGATTTCGGACTTTTCACGGAGTCTTACGGCGGCCACTACGGCCCGGAGTTCATCAACCACTTCCAGACACAGAACGCCAAGATTGACAAGGGCGAGGTCAAGGGTGAGAAGATCAAGGTGGTCGCTCTTGGTGTGAATAATGGCTGGATAGACGCTCGTAAGTACGCATGACACTTGAGATGGAGCGTAGTATTAACTATGACGTAGGCAACCAGTACCGGGATTACTTGGACTACGCCATCAACAACACATACAACAAGCTCATTGACCAGCCCAAGTATGATGAGCTCGCCAAGGCATACGACAAGGATTGCGCGCCTGCCATGGATAAGTGCACCGCACCCGAGGGCAATAACGAGGCTTGTGTCGCTGCCGAAACCGCGTGTTTCAACGCCATTGAGGCACCCATCGAGGCCATCAAACAGTTCAATGTGTACGATGTCAGAGCGAAAGATGACAAGTTTCCACCCAACACGTACATGAAGTACATCAACAAACCCGAAGTCATGAAGGCCATCGGTGCCAAGTCACAGTACCAGGAGTGCCCCCAAGCTCCTTACGACAAGTTCACGGCTACAGGAGATGGTGAGTCGACCTGTTCTGTGTTGAGGACACACGATAACCAACTAAACCAGGCCAACGCTCGTTTCTCGAAACCCTCGGCAAGGTTACGCAGACCGATGTACAGGTCCTAGTGTGGGCTGGTGATGCTGGTGAGTCCTCAAGACGTCTGGACCGTGATAACAATCAGCTGACTCGAGAGCCAGATTGGATCTGCAACTATGTTGGCAACTTCAGAGCAGTCACTCGCATTGGGGGACCCGACTTCGAAAAGGCCGAGATGAAAGATTTCATGCTTGATGGGAAGAAGAAGGGAGAGTACAAGACGAACAAGAACCTGAGCTGGATGAGGGTGTTTGATGCCGGTCACGGGCTGATGTCCTACCAGCCCGAGGTCGCTCTGGTTGCGTTCAAACAAACGATGATGAAGAAACCTATCTCATCGCCGTAAGTATTTTTAGTTGCGCGACTTCTTGTACACAGTATTTGAGCGATGGCGTTGCCATGGCTTCATACAATCACTTCTAGGGCAAATATATGAATGATGTTCATGATGCAATACTCGGATCGCGCATGGTGCTCAAGACTAATGCACGCCACAAGGTATGGGTTCAATGGGTCTGGTGCGTCAGGTAGCTGCGTTGCTGAGGTTGCTGCTTGCTATGAGATATCTCACTTGGGCAAAATCTGGGTTGATACTTGTGCCGACTGAACATGGTCTCGATTTTCGCCAAATTGCGACGAGTCATTCATTGCTCTCTCGCAACGGGCTATATCAAATATAGGACGAACGCCTCAAAGGAACAAAAGTTGAAGTTCGCATCAAGACGGAGTTGGTCTAGTATTACGCGATCGGTGAAGGTCTGACAAACTGTAAGCTGCCGACGCTCATTTCAAGTCTGAAAGTCAGGCCGTCATCAATCGTAATTAAGTTGTCATAGAATAAAAGCCGATTCCTTCTTAAAATTTGTCTTCCCATCCGCCATTTTGAGAACCGGCCAGTGAATAATCCGTGGGACCACCTTCATTATGAACATTTCTTCTCATCTGCCCCGACGGAAAAGCAAGATTGTGAGCTGTTCCAAGGACGCCCGGCTCGTGTCGTGCACCCCGCTCACCCGAACGCATATCGCACCACTTCAGGATGGCAGGTGATCCGGCCGCGGCTACGAGACCCTTGGTGTGGCGTGCTTGGCGGGAAAATTACCGACCACGTACCGACGTCGCCAAGTTCACTACGCCTGCGGGGTATTCAGAGAGGCGGGAAAACAGCCTCATTGAAGCAGACGACGGGTTCGTTCCGTATTATCCGTCAGTCGTCGGAGCGCACCAGAAGTAAATTGCCAAGACACGATCGTGGTATGCCGGAGCCTCTGTCCAAGAATTCCAAGAACGCCATCGGTAACTAGTGCGTGACAAGCCTCTGGAATGACTAGAGTGCCAGAGCTTATCCCGACGACCTGAGTGGAGAGTTCAAGTTGCGAAGTGAGAGCTGGGAAGAGAGACTTTGAAATGGAGCCCTGATATCGCGTTGTTTCTCGAGTCCACAGTATTCGTTTATGCAGAGCAGCGGAACGCTCCCCGTGGGGAAGATGGAACAAACCGAGAGGCAGCCAAAGGAACCAGTCAACCAGTGCAGCTTACCCATGCTCGGCTATCGCGCAATCTCAAGAACGGCCGTATCTCACCGTCTCGTCAGAGCGCAATCAGTCCCACTGGAATCCCTACTCTGCACAGGAGCCATCTATTGCCATCTCCAACCACGTCTCCCTGCGGCCTCCAATCGTTCGACGCGTGCGCTGCAATGTGACGCTGGACGCGACGGACATGACGGATACAACCACGGATAAGCTTGGCGAGTGGCTTTTCCGTGTCGTCGTCCGTTGATTCCAACGGCCAACCTCGCCAGACGAACCATTTCCCCGCACCCCGCAAAACTGCCAAGTCTGGGGACATGGATCTCTGGGGATTTTAGCGGTGCGGGTGAAGCAGCTCCAAAAGCCCACAGGAAGCTGTTCCCAACCTTCTCCGCGGTGGACCTTTCTCCGCAGTGGATTCGTTTTATGTTATAAGGTGCTCCCGGCGAGATATAACTAGTCCGGGACTCTTGCGTCTTGAGTGAGAGCTAGGCAGGCTGAGCGACTCAGGAAGCCGAACGTGTCTCATCTCAACTGCTTGTGCCTTCTTCACGGCCAGACGCATCTTCTCACCTTCTCTAATTGCGAAACGATAACCTTCACGCAGTCAGAATATGGCCGCACACAGGAGCTCGCTCGACAAGAGCGAGGTCGAGGCTATCCAACACAGGCCATCCGGAGAAACCCACCTCGAGAAAGTTCCCGAGGCCATCGAAGTCGGCCCCTACCGCGTGTTTGGTTTGAGTCCTGAGGATGCGGACTTCTACAACAACTATCCGGACGAGAAGCGGAAGAAGGTTTTCCACAAGGTGAGACTGAACTTCGGGGTGCGCAGCTCACTGGGAAGTGACTAACGATTCAACTAGGTTGATGTACGACTGGTTCCGATGCTCGCCCTTCTGTACTTGATCTGCCACATTGATCGCGCCAACATTGGAAATGCCAAGATCGAGGGCATGGTTGAGGACTTGGGCATGACGGGCGTGCAGTACAACACTGTCCTTTCCATCTGTGAGTCTCACGACGAATGTCTTTGTTGTTTCGTTTCTCGCACTAACGCGCGACCACACAGTCTTCGTCCCATACGTCCTCTTCGAAGTCCCCAGCAACATCATCCTCAAGAAAGTCAAGCGCCCTTCCACGTACCTCGGCAGTCTTACCCTTGCATGGGGTATTGTCATGACTTGCACAGGCTTGGTGAGGAACTTCGCCGGCCTGATGGTTACCCGCATTCTCCTTGGCATCTTCGAGTGAGTACTCACACCATGTCATCGTGCGGCAACATCAGCTAATAATCCTTCTCACAGGGCCGGTTTCTTCCCCGGTGCTATTTACCTGTGCTCATACTGGTACATGCCCAGCGATCTCTCCGTCCGAATCTCATACTTCTACTGCGCAAGTGCCCTATCTGGTGCCTTCTCCGGTCTCCTAGCCGCAGCCATCGCCGAAATGGATGGTGTTGCCGGCATGGAAGGCTGGCGCTGGATTTTCATCCTCGAGGGCCTCGCCACCGTCTGCCTCGGCGTGGCGTGCTTCTTCCTGCTCATCGACACGCCGACCCTCTCCACGCGCTGGCTGGAGCCCGAGGAGATCAAGTACCTAGAACTCTCCATCTTCATCAAGCAGGGCGGTGGATCTCGCGACGAACACGGCGATAACAAGGTCAACTGGAGGGACCTCAAGATGAACCTCACCAACTGGCGCATCTACGTCCAGGCGTATTTCCTGGTCTGCCAGTCTGCGCTGTCGTACGGTATCAAGTTCACCCTCCCGACCATCACGAAAGCCATGGGTTTCGCGAATACCCAAGCGCAACTGCTCTCCGCGCCGCCGTACGTCGCCGCCGCCATCTCCGCCGTCAGCTTCGCCAAGGTATCCGATCGGTTCTTCTGGCGCATGCCGTTCCTCGCCATCCCACTCGCCATCGTCGCCGTCGCCTATTCGATCATTCTGTCCCTCAACGGCGCGCTTGCGGAGAAGCGAGGAGTCGCGTACTTCTCCGTCGTCCTCGCGGTCATCGGTATTTATCCCATTCAGGCAGCGGCCGCATCGTGGAACGCGAACAACATTGCTCCTGCCTCGCGACGTGCGATCGGTATCGCTCTCATGAACTGCGTCGGCAACGTTGGTGGAATCGTTGGCAGTTTTATGTACCTCGAGAGCGAGAAGCCCAAGTACCACACTGGGTTCGGTCTGAGTTTGGCGTTCGGTGGAAGTGGTCTTATCGTAGCCTTCCTTCTTGAGTGGAGTTACAAGGCGGCCAACGCGAAGAAAGCAAGAATTGCTGACGAGGCAAAGGAGAAGTACACCGAGGAAGAGCTGTTCAACATGGGAGACAGGTCGCCTCTGTTTAAGTATGTGCTTTGAGGCGCAAAGGAGAAAGGGTGTCGTTATGATAATGACGCTACTGATCTGATATTGCAACGATATGCCTGTATACCCAATACTATCCGTCATGCTTTGCGTTACCTGCACACAAATATTCTCAATTCATGCAGAAAGACAACAATTATTTGTCCCAAAATATTCCAAAACTAATCCTTCCGAATGGAAATCATCACTGCAGCCAAAGTGCCCGCACATCCTAAAAGAACCATTGCAACCAGGATCCCAGCGATACAGTCGTACTTCCTCCGACGCCTTCTAGCTTTGACAGCCAAATCCTCTCTGTAGCTCCGCGCATCAAAGCCTTTACTGCTCCCCGTCGAGGTCGGGCGTTGCTTGTCGGATTCGTAGGTAGGCAAGCTAGATTCTCGCTCGCGTTTCAGTATGCTGGCGAAGTATGTCGCGTCTGGCGGCGCAGGCGTCGTGAATGTGTGAGAAACCATGTTGGGTGAAGAGGATGTCAAGGTCGACGTTTTATCGCGCTCGACCTCGTGGACGAACTTTGCTTTTGGTGGGATCATGATGCTTAATACTGTGCGGCGGGGACCAAGCTACTAGAGCTGGGGATTTGAAAGGTGATGCCGGTGGATGATCGGAATTCGGGGATGTTGATCGAAGAAGGCCTTGATATATGATTGAGTTCAAGATCTTGCAGCTGGGAGTGGTTGGTTTCCATGTACGACTTGGTCGTCGAGGGTTGCGGCTGGTGTAGGACGGTTTCGGGATGCTGCATCGATTGAAATGTGGATACTGTGGTGATGGAGCGAAACCAGTCACACGATGACGGCTGCGAACATTGAGGCCAGTAAAGACGCCTTAGGTGAAAGTTTTCAAGCTTTTCTCTGAAGTCATTGCTTGAATATGTGAAGGGTTGGAGTCTACCTCTCTGTCAATGGCCCCGACTTGGCAATATCAAGGCACGGACCTCTACCGGCCGAGGGCCCGGCGAAGTGGGGCCGTGGTCGGCGATTCTAAACCGGCCGGGAAATTGCGCTCGAAAACGGACCAACATAGCAAGAATGTTTGAAGTATTTATTTGATACGTACTTATACAAAGAAAAATTGGCCGTAAAAGATACCGGCAAGCGAATGAACACGCGCCTAGACGCCCCAAGCCCCCTGCTCCTGCCATTATGCTAACACCCGTTATGCTCCTGTCCTTTTAAGCATCAACCTCGTCCTCGTCTAAGAATCCGAGACCGCTATCGTATCTTCTTCTTTTCCTCCCAGAAACCCTTCTCACGAGATCTCCGGAAAGAAGTCCCCTCTTCACCACGGTCCCATCCGCCAGCGGTGACTTTGGCAAGCCTGCGGATGCAACCTCAACGGCCTTACCCTTCTTCGGCGTCCCGGCCATGGTTTTCGGGGGTGTTCCCATCGGGGTTGTCGACCCGTCCTCTGGTCCCGTCAAGAACTCCGTACTCATGCTGACAACTCTCTCCAACTCCGCCTTCATCTGGTCAATGACCCTCTTCGCCCCGGCCTTCTCCTCAGCCAGTTTCCCCTGCAGACCCTTCTTCTCCACCCTCAAATCTTTGATGCCTTCGTACGCAGCTCGCAGGTTCTCGTTGACCCGCTCGATCTCTTCCCTCAACTCCGCAACCCGCGCGTCGCGCAGCGCGAGAGCTTGCCCGCTGCGTCGATTCAACGAGGCGACCTCCTTGGTCTTGCTCTCCTCGCTTTCCTCAAGCCTCTTCCGGAGAGACTTGGTCTGAGCCACGGCGTCGGCGAGGTTGCCCTCCAGCTGCGCGATCATGTCTTCTTTGCTCCTCAGCACGCGGCGCCCGACTTCGATCTGGGCATTCTTGGTGGCCAGGGCGTCGCGGTTCTCGCCTTCCATCTTGCCGATGACGGACTCGAGCTCCGTCACGTCGCGTATGTAGCCGTTCACGGCGCCCTTGAGCCTGTCGACGCTGACCTCGAGCTCCTTCACCGTGGCGTCTCTCTCGGCGAGTTGTGCTTTGGCACGAGAGAGCTCGTCGTTGAGGTCGTTCATCGCCGCTACGCGTGCACCGAGCTGTTGGCGGAGGGAAAGCTCTAGTTGGTGGTACTCGTCGATGGCACCCTCGTCCTCCCGGGCCCGTCTGGCGAGGTCGCGGAGGCGGGTGAGAAGGAGGTCCAGGACTTCTGCGCCGTGGGATGAGAGGGGCAGCGTTATCTCGCCGGGTGTGAGGTACTCGAGTTCTAGCCGCGCCGTACGCAGCGAGGAAGCAAGAGAAGTGATCATCTCGCTCGCGTCTGATCCTGGGAAGCCCAGGTTGCTGATGGAGTTGTTGAGCTCCAGAAGAGCGGCGGTGCGGTCCGATACTGTTTGGAGGAGGGCGTTGATCTGATCTTCGACTGTTTGCAGGGGTTCAGCTGCGTCATTCGTATAGTCGGAGGGTTTGAAGGCGGATAGGCGGTCCGATAACCGTGTTGTGAGCGAGGTGTAGGATTCAAGAGTGTTGGTGAGTTTTGACATCTCGAGACGAAGAGATGAGAGTTCCTCCTGCAGTATCTCCTTCTCGGGATCGGGAAAGCAGGCCTGGACAGCGGCGTGGGATAGGGGATGAGGTTCTGCTGATTCTCGGTGGGAAGAAGACGGCGTCATCGGGCCTTGCATTACGGGGCTCGTTGGTGGCGGCGTGAGAAACGAAGATCTCACCCTTGTAGGCGTACTGCACACGAACTCCGCCATGGTCGCATCCCCAAATGCCGTGTCGTCAGCCAGCATCCTGTCTCCAGCAACCGACTCCGCTTCGACGGTGTCTGTTTCCATGTAATCGTCCATATAGGGGCCTCGTGCCGCAAGAGTCCAATCGTGACAGCTCTTCCCCTGTACACCGGACCGACTAGAGAGCTCTTCCTTCAGACTCTCCACCTCTCGCTCAAGGGCCCAGATTCGGTCCGTGTCTAGGATGATGGTGGCATTTTGCAACTCATAAATCTCGGCGTCCTTCTCCTTGAGTTGCGTCTTGAGCCTGTCAATCTCGGCCTTGGTCCCCTGCGCGCGCCGGCGTTTCTCGGCAGCGATGGAATTCATCTCTTCGCTGAGACCATTGCGCCGGATGCGGCGTTGGACGCGACCGTCAAGGACCTGACGAAGCGGGAGGAAGTGAACTTCGCCGCTGTACGGGAGGTCTGACGTGGTGCCCGTACCGCTGCCGGAGGGGGCACGGGACACGGGGGCGGAGTGACGGCGGGCGCCACTGCTACTCGGGGTTCCCTTGTTCAGGGTTGTGCGACGGATCATCGGCGTCAGGCCGGTAGATGAGGCAGTGCGGGAGGCAGTTCGAGGAGTTGACACTGGGCCTGGATCTGAGAAGCGGACTTTCCTCTTGGATGTCCTGTGTGGTGTCGACACCGACGATGCGCTTGGAGAATCGGTAGCCATTCCTGTGCTTCGACGCGTGCGCCGGAGCGCAATCGGGAGGTCCTCGTTAGGCATGTTTGTAGGATCCGGTAGGTTCGAAGAGACGAGTCCTGTAGGTTGGACGGCAAAACCTACAATGCAGGAAGGATACGGCCAAACAGTACTTTGAGCGGGTTTCACGACCTATAAACAGACCATTCTCTCCCTTGTCGCAGAGCTCCAGAGTCCAGACGTGTAGGCCAATGTTGATCATTCGCACCACCCAAAAGTTGTTATCGCTACCATTGTTTATACATTTCCTATCGTGGCCTAGCGGCCCCGCAAGACCGCAATTCGGCCCCGCCTGCTCCGCGGTCCCCCGGTCGCGGCAGCCAATCGTCTTCGTTCCTGCCGCGGTCCGCCAAACAACTCTGCCCGTCGTACGAACATGCGGCTGTTTGAATCGCGACTTTTCTCATGTTGAGGCGCGTTCGACACGATGAGAGCGTCCGTGGACTTGGGGATCGCGCTTGAACGGTTCACGACGCGATTATTGGTCGCACCGGAGCCGTGGAACGGGAACCAGGTGATCCTCATAGCAACGTTTGACTTCATTTCATTGTCCGCTCTATTGTCCACTAAGACAGCAGTTTATGTCCATATGAAACCGCATTTTGAAGGCCCGAAAACAGCATCTTCCCACAGGACGCGATTGTTGTTTTCTCGATTCCGCCTTCAGACGGCCTGGTCGACGCCTCTGCAGCTCACCATTGGATGGCAATCTGCCGCGACCCGCACCACCTGCATCAACCGCATCCGGATCCGCTTCGCTTCAACCCTCACTCCACCCCACCACAAATTCCCATGCCGCTCGTGAGAAACTTAGACTCTCTTTTCTCTTCCTTCCTCAACTATCAATGGTTTCGTGGTGTAGTTGGTTATCACGTCAGTCTAACACACTGAAGGTCTCCGGTTCAAGTCCGGGCGAAATCATCCCCTTGGGCGAATGGTTTAGTGGTATAATACTCGCTTAGCATGTGAGTGGTCCAGGGTTCGATTCCCTGTTCGTCCATCTTTTTGCCGTTCTGGCCTACTATTGTGGTTGTGAGGCCTTAGACTCTCCAACCCGTGCGTTTTGACTCTCTGAGGGCAGTGAGAATACACGATCTAGCTCAAAAGGTACCTTTACCGACTGCTCCATTTGTTTTGGCCTAGTTGTTGGTGTCCTATGGCTGAGTAAAGATTTGTCCCTACAGTGGCTGTTTGCTACCTTCACTTGCCTGGGTAAGTAAACGCACTTTCGAGTCAGCGTTTTGCACTTTGCAGTTTATGCTTACAACTTCCAGCCCAAAAAGAGATACAAATTAAGAACTTTTCCTGAGATTATGAATGCTGAATCAACTACAAATGGCTGCTCGGATCCGGAATGAAGCCTTCCTCCTTATCTACTGACACGCGATGACAACACTTTTTCTGGGCCCTATCTACTGATCATTCAGATCCTAATCGGCGCATATAATGTAAACACAGCTTCAATAAGGCCAAGATCTCATTGGAAGCACTTCATACAGACATCCAGACTCACGACGCCGGGTTCAAGCTCGCCACTCCACGAAGACTACCCAGGTTGCTAGATCTGAGATGAGCATGGTCCGAGAAAAAGCAAAGGGGCTTCAAGTGACCTCAAAGTACGTAGAGAAGTCGAGTGGGACTAACATCGCTTAATATTTAACCTCCGAACTTGAAGTCTACAACGTTGGCTAGACAAAGTTATGGGCTCATGATTCTAGAAGTTGAGTGGTGTCTGAAGCATTTGGACTTGTTGTTCTATTGTCTAGTGCCTTTCATGACCTCTATGAGGCACAAGGCGCCTGCTTTGGCGGTCTGCTACGGATCCGCATCTACATAGAGTGATGGATGGCAAAAGCTGCTGGTGCGGGACTAGACAGTTGATATTACGAATAGGAAATCTGATTGTTCCAAGTCACAAGAGCTTTCTGAGCTGGAGTATGTCATATAGACTTATATCCACATAGCCAGGATTTAAGAGATCTTACATTAATGTCCCTCTAGCATCCACGTGGGGTTCCTCGTTGCCGTGCATGTTCTGCTATCCCAGCCATCCCAGCCCCGAACTAGTCTTCATCCCAATGCCTCCCGAGACGTGTCGCTTAATTGTCAACACGTGGTCCAGCTGAAGAGCCACGCACCCGATGAGCAACTAGCGTGCTCAAGATATGTTTGTAGGTGTACTCAGTATCCAGAGTGAGAGTCAAATGCTCCCTCTAATTTGAGATCTGACAATACAGGCGGGCCGGACCTTCTGATCCTATTGATACTCGAGAAGCGTCCACGATTACCGAAATCACGGATCCTGCGCACCACGAAGGATTAAGCCAGCCACGTATGTTTTTGCCGCTTTCAGAGGGCGAAGTTGGTGCCTAGTATGTTCGACCATCTAGCTGTCGGTGGTCAATAGTAGCACGCATCAACCAACAGAAAACAGAGTTCGGGCCGGCGCTTACTTCATGTCCTTTAGTCTGATAAACCAGACGACAAAGCAAACGTGCGGGTTTCATGCCCTACCTACGCGAACTACCCCAATCCTTCGGGTCCTCTAAACCGAAAAGAAAGGATCGAACATGTCTTAGCCTGTGAAGCCGTTAGATCCTCAGCCTCAATAATCCCAACCAGCTGGCGTGCTCTCCATATGTATCGCCTCGCCACTTCCATTCGCTCCATGCCTACCGCAGTCTATCCGTAAGGAGCGAGTGAGACCACGTTCAAGACAAGGGGTTATTCGACCATTAGCGCGATAGTCCAGGATCCTTCGTCGTGCCGGGATGAAGTGATTGGATACCATTCTGTCGGGCGCCCCGTGGCTGCTTTCTGGTCAGCTTACGGACAAGCGCGATAGCTGTGCCGATTCTGTCGCTAGCTTCAGCTTCTGACACGAAGTCATCTCAGCTCACCACACCACCCGTCGACGCCTCCAAAGCCTCCATGTATGAGCTGGCTGCCATTTCTGACATTAGTTACCCAATTCGGAAATCTAGGCCCATCTTCTAATGGGAATTCGGCAGAGTTTACGATGTCTAAACTCTCATCGCTGCCGGGGAGGCGTCCCGTCGCAAGCTTCGCGGGCAGTTGCAGGTTTGTGTAGCATTCCGCCGTTGCCGAGCTCAGTTTAAATCGGTCGGAAGCCCCCTCGACTTGGCCGTGGCGACAATTCCGTCTTCCGTCATTCACGCGTCTCGCAGCTCTTGACTCCATTTTGACGGGAAGAGAAGAGCGATGGCACCCACTGTCGACACTCTCATCATCGGCGCCGGGCCGAGTGGCCTTTGTGCCGCAAAGACCCTTCTTCAACGAGATCCGTCGTCCGACATTCTGCTCGTCGATGGACGGGCCAGCGTTGGCGGGGTCTGGTCCAAGGAGCAGATCTACCCGAACCTAAAGACGAACAACTTCACCACCGCCATCGACTTCTCCGACTTCCCGATGGACCTCGAGGCCTACGGTCTGAAAGAAAAGCAACACGTCCCCGGGTCCGTGATGCACGAGTACCTCGTCTCCTACGCCAAACACTTCGGCGTGTATGAGAAGGTGCAGCTCAACACCCAGGTCATCCGAATCACCCGACCCGATGGCGAGGAATGGTATATAGACGTGGACCACAATGGAGAGGCCAAGACGATATCTTGCAACCGTCTGATCGTCGCGACCGGCGTTCTTACTGTTCCGCACATGCCCGACTTCAAGGGTTCCGAGGAGTTCGATGCGCCCATCGTGCACTCGTCCGACCTCGGGCCACGGAGCGACCTCTTCTCATCGCCCGATATCAACACAGTTGCCGTTCTGGGTGGGAGCAAATCAGCGTACGACGCCGTGCATCTGGCCGCGTCCACCGGGCACAAGGTCCGTTGGGTGATCCGCCGCTCGGGGCGGGGTCCGGCGTGGGTCTTTACGGCGTTCACGCAACTCGGTCCGTTCAAAGTATGGAGGGAACGTCTCGTGACCAGACGCATTGTCGCCTTCATGTCGCCGTGTATATTTCCCGATATGTCGGGGCTGACATGGATCCGACGGTTCCTGCACGAGAACGCGCTCGGCAGGGTTATTTCGAAGGCGTTCTGGAAGTTGATACGCTATGACACTATCAAGGACTGTGGATATCAGACGCACGAGAAGACCAAGGTGTTGCAGCCCGAGCAGAATCAGTTCTGGTGAGTCCGCCTTGCCGATATAAACATGTACGCTTCTTAATGACGATTCACAGGTACGGCACTACTTCTGGTATTCTTAGTTTCGACGACGACTTCTTCGAATACGTGCGCAACGGTCAGGTAGAGGTCTACCGCGAAGACCTCGACCACCTTTCCGACCATAGAGTACACCTCTCTGATGGCACATCCTTCCCCGTCGACCTCCTTGTTGCTTCCACCGGTTTCTCTGCCAAACCCACCATGAACTTCGAACCTGCGTCCCTGCACGCCGAACTCGGTGTTCCGACCACGGAAATGAGCCCCGAACAAACAGCATTCTGGAAAGAACAGGACTCGAAGGCCGACGCGGTCATTGGAGCTCGGTTCCCCCGTCTTCTCGATGGTCCCTTCCTAAGTCCCACCTCGTCGAAGCCGAAGCCGTTCAATCCTGGCGCGTCAGTCGAGGTGTCGTACACTCCCTGGCGCCTATACCGGAGCATGGCGCCACCGGGTCTCGCGGCGAAAGACGATCGATCGCTCATTTTCCTCGGTGTCTTCAGCAACCTGGCCAACATCATGAGACTGGAGGCTCAGTGCCTGTGGTCGCTTGCCTACTTCGAGGGCAAGATTCCCTCGCTTGACAGGAACATTCGCGCTGGAACGGTCTACGAGGAAACTGCGCTCCTCCAGAGATGGGCTCAGCATCGCGCACCATACGGACACGGACGGCAGTATACGGATATCGTGTTTGATCAGTTAGCGTATTGGGACATGCTGCTAGGCGAGGTCGGGGTGCAGACACAGAGAAAGCCGAGCAAGTGGGCGGAGTTTTGGGAATCGTACACGCCTTTGGATTATCGAGGAATGGTGAAGGAATGGATGGATCAGAACCCCAAATGGGGCAGTGGAAAGGTCTAGATAGCCGATACCCCTTACTTCTCAACATGAATGTTCGTTGTTTTTGAAACTGGGAGATTCACAGTGGTGTCATCATACCCTATGACAAGGAATTCTCTCTATGATAAAGAATTGAGTAGATTTTGCAGGGATAAATCCGGGGAAACTCACAGCAGCAGGTCGTTCCTCCAGTCAGGGATCCGGATTTGTATGACAGATTAGGGAGCATGCGTAGTGTCGTTGCCGGCCAATGTTACCAGACTTGTTTCATTACTGGCCATTGAACAACCTGATCTACGAGACTAAGCTCACATAATCTCAAAACTTGTAGCAGTTAATCGTGCTGAAGCAGCTAGCGAAATGTGTATAATCTGGCCAGCCGGCCCGCGTTTTCATTGCAGGTCTTCCGGACGGGGCCGATCCCTAAAACCGGGCCTGTGCCGTCCTAGCCGGGATACTCGTCGCCGCCAGCAAACGGTCAGATCTGTTTCTTGAAAACGGCGTTCGACTAGAGCCGCTGGTTCAATCAGCTTGAGATTTCTGCTCTCAAAAGGATTTGATCACAGGCTGGCGCGAGCATCTCGCATCAGTCGGCACCGGCGAGGGCCATACCGAGGATGATGAACATGGCAATGTTCCAGAGACGCATCATCTTGGAGGTCATTCACCTCCTGTCAGCACTTCGGGGTGCCACAGAGCGCCCCTGCTCCTCACCCGGAACGGGTTCGGACCGAGATGAGACGCCTGAATCAGCCCAGAAGCCGGCCTAGATGCTAGTGCTGTCTGAAAACACGGGGGTATTTGGGTGGAAATAAACGAACTCGGCATGAAACAGAAGTGAAACTCCAGCCCAAGTCGTCAAAAGTTCCCCATCCCAGAACGCTGGGACCTTGCCGTCTTGGCTATAAGCAACCTTGTGTCCTTGGCGCCTCTCAAAAGCGACACAGGAACTCGAAATGGTAACTCGTCTCATGTCTAATTTCTTTTTGGTCCTTTCGGTGTTGTCTGATTGATCAAAGGCCATGCTCTGCCAAGGCCAACCCCAAGTGGTGATCTCCTTGGCCGCCGCCCTCATCATCGTCTGGAGTATCCGCCTATTATTCGTACACGATGGAATCTCGACGTTGCTTTACCAGTTCGACGAGTCGACCGGACAACAGGTGGAGAGCGCGTTCGTCCGACAGGCCATGAACGTCGAGTTTCCCGAACCCATCGACTACAGGCCGATTCAGTCAGTGTGCGCCGCCACGCAGTTCCGGCCAGGGCTCGTTTTCAGCTGCGCAGGACAGCATGGGGGCATCGGCATGGTGCGCGACCAGATTCTCAAATGCGTGCGGTATGCGATACACGGCGGCGGCGCCATCGTCGTTCCCTCGATGCAGCTACGCAACGCCAAAGACATCTCCGACATTGAGACGGAGAAGCTGGTGCCTCTCGACTACTTGCTCGATCGACAGACATTTATCACGCACCTGACGGAGGGATGTCCGGGAATGCGCATCTACGAACGGGTGGAGGACTTTCCCCACTACGACCAGCGAGCAGGGGAGCCTCTCGAGCTGGTGGGAGACCAATTCGAGCCGAACCATCCTCGCGAAGGACTGGAACACCCCCGCGAATGGCGGCGCTTCTTCGACGAATGGCTGCACAAGCAGTCTGTGGAGATCCGGACAGACGCCCCGGTGCACGTCAAGATCGGACAAGCCTTCCTCGAGTATCCCGTCCGCGACGACGGGCCGGCCTTTGTGCACGAATACGGCAAGATCCTCTCCTTCCGAAACGACACGCGCGAACTGGCTGCGAAGATTCTGTATCAGTTGAAGAAAAGGTTCGCGCTACCTATAGATCCGACAAGAGCGATCAACCCCGGCGCCTACTTTGGCGCGCATCTACGACTCGAAAAGGATGCCATTGATGCATGGCAGCCGGACGAGTGGCGTTTCTCGCGGATGGACGACCAGTTCGAGGAGCAGTTCCAGTACATCGAGCGCATGGGTCTCAACGTGGTATACGTCGCGTCCGGAAACCAGACGGTGGTCGAACTGTTCGATCAGGCGCTCAGGAAGCGTTCCGCGGCGAAGCCCGGAGCGGGGAATAGGCATGTCTCCGTCGTGACGAAACGCGATCTGCTTCAGGGGCCCGACAGGAAACTGTTGGACGATCTCACTTTCGACCAGCATGCCCTGATAGACTTCCTGATGCTTTTCAAGGCGAGCGCGTTCATGGGTGTCGCGCACTCGAGTTTTCCCTGGACCGTGGCGCTGCGGAGGCATGAAATGAGCAAATACACGACATACGGAAACGAAGGGTCAGATATCCTACGGGACGAGTATAGCATCATAATGGGAATGCAAAAGGATTATCCAGAAGTTGAGCCGTTTGTCTACGGTCTTTGGCCATAGGCTAGATGTATGGCGGCGAAGAATTAGATGTGAAGGGTTCAGCGAGACATCGCGATGAAACGGAAGAGGAACTACAACATACACAAACATGGGCCGGCGCAATGAAGGTTTGCAGCGCCATGAAAACGGCGCTAAATAAGGCGTTTGGAACGTTATTGGGTTCATGGATTTCAACACATACAATACTCTCAAATAGATGAGCCACGCATACATATCGACATACATAATACAGTCAAATTAACAACTGATTTAATCGCTCAGTGCGTGTCGAGAGTACCAAAGTCTACCTCAGAGATTCACCCCAGCGGTGAGCTTCTTATATCCCAGCTGTTCAAGATATGTATAGAGCTTTTTACTCAGGAGGTATTTTATTCCATTAAGGGCTCAAATCTAGAGTAATTCTGACGTTGATAGACGTTTGCTGTTCGCTCAGGCGACGCTGTGATCAGCGAAAGTGGAAGGTCAACGCCACGGGTTGCACCGTATACGGGTTTCTTCCAGTCCCATTCAATGCCGTTGAACATATTTACATGATTTTAGCGACTAGTGACCTTCGTGGAAACGATTACATTCAGTCTTTAATTCCCCTCCACTTGGCTGAAATTCTAGTTCGCACCTTGCTGTCGTCAACTTCTTTTCTGTTTCAACGTGTACCATCCCCATGCCCAGTCTTGAACATTTCTGGTCCCTTGTTTCTAAACTCATGCTCAGGAATGACGTTCTCGAGCAAGATGTTCTTCCACCCGGGATGGGGTACCACGATCTCAGAGCTATCCAGCACCGTGAAGTGCCAGCCCCAACTAAAGTCTTTATAGCTTTTGTTTTTTTCCACGAGTTTTCCAACGTTCCTCGGTACGCCGATGTTGAAGTTGAATCTTACAACAGATTCGTTTGCAGCAATCTTCTCCATAGCTGTTGGAAAGTCCTCGAACGTATAGCATTGAAAGTATCCAGCGTATGACCCGAAAGACCGTGACGAGTTGGGGCCTCTTCTTTCTATCCATGATAATGGAGTTAAAGTCCCTTGCCTGCATGCCTCGTCCTTGGCAAGTTGCCACGCGATATCTCTTTGAACAACTTCTTGGAGGATGTCTTCGCATAGTCGGACGTCTGGGTTTCCGTCTAGGACCAGGGAAAAGGAGTCTGGCGGCATTCCAGCAGACCTGAGAGCCAATGCCTCCATAACCCAGGTAGCCACATTCCAGGTTATTTGTCTGGGTCCCAGACTGATATCCTCGTCTCTCTCGCCGAGGAACGGGTCAAAGACTCTAGCGTGAGGGTCTTCAGCTCCTTGATCCGGCTGGAATACATTCCGCCATAGGTTGACTCGACGTTCAACGCGAAGAAGGGGATTCTCCTGACAAAATGGGATCAGCCCTCGAGCATGGCTAGGGGAATCTGCCACGGATTCCTTATCCTCGTTCAGGATGATCCTTCTGATGGATTTGCGTTCCTTTTCTTCAAGTGAATCCAAGAAGCGAATAGCCGAAGCCGCAGCTGATAGTCGATATCTCGAGCGATCACCTTGTCTCAACTGGCGAAGAATTTTGGTTTCTGACGAGTCCCCCAGGAACTTGGCCAGCTGCTCGGCGCTTCGGCTGGGATTGAAGTAGGAAGCCAGTTCCATGACGTTATCGTAGGAAGGTATGTCCCAAGGCTGAACTGAGCAGTGTACGATGCGCAAGGGGTCAATTCGACGAATGTCCTCGGGACGAGCGCCTAATTTCCGCCACAGTCGATCAGCTCCTCGCACGAGCTCACCTTTGTAGTGCGTCGATGCGAGTTGCAGTGCATGCTTGACAAACTCGCGGTAGGATGAAAGTGCTTCGCCGTAATTGTCCGGGATGTTGTGCGGGTCCTTTCTGTTCGTCACCTTCTTGATGTGATCCAGGACAGGAACGAACTGCGGATAAGTCGCAGCAAGTTCGCTGTAAACTCGACCGATCATGCTGTCCCCGCTGTAGTGAAAGATGGTACTTCGGAGGTTGTCGAGAAAATCTGTTCGCAGCTTGGAAAAGGTGCCCGCGAGGAAGCAGAGATCATCGGAAAAGAAAGTCGAGAATGTGATGGTGTTTACACCTAGTGTGAGAAGTTTCATCTCAGCTGCAACCGTCTTGCAAGTGTAGGCGAACGATAGCTCAAGAGGCTGGCCATCAGCTTGCTTGATGCATCGGTGGAGTTTGCCCTGAATGAGCTCGTCAGTATCACAGACATAACCGCCATCGACGGACAGGTAGTACGTGTATACTATGTCTCTCAATTCCCGAGGGAGAAGAAAGAATCCGCTGCGGCTGTTCATAGTGCTTGTTCTCCAGGATTCTCTGAAATTTTGGGAGATGCCGGGAATTGGTTCGAGGTGGTGGTGAGAAAGGGCGTGATTAGAAAGGGCACGGGGTGGCTCAGACTTGAGAAGTTGAAAGTGAGGAGGGAAAATTTGCTGATGCGGGTATGCGTCTGCATTTATAGTCGAGATTTGCCCGTAAGCGCGAACTATCGTACCTTGTGTCTCTGGTGACTCCCGACTGAGGCCACAACGAACCTTAAAAAGCCTCCTCATCAATCGACTGCCATGTGCCAGGATTGAAAATGACTCACGGACATTGAACTCAATGAATGGCTTGGCCTCAATGAACAGCAAGGTCTTTAGCACCTTGATGTCTCCCGCATCTAAAGAGAGGTTGGGTAGAACTCGCCCCTTCGTGGGAACCATCGCCACCTTACTTATTGTCAGAGATCGCAGACGGTCCATACACACACGATGGGTCTTCAACGCGGCTCAGATGATGTGACAGATCATCAGTATGGCCACTAGCAGCATAATGAATGTGGGATAAAGTTGGTTGTATTGCTTAGTGTAATCTGCTGGTCCTGCAGTAGATCTATATAAACAATTGGCGTATATCCCTTATAAGGTAATCCTGGCTTGACTATATAGTTAACTGAGTAATAACTATAAGCAGTGAGTTTCGTATAAGCAAGGGCATCCCTGGTTCTGTCACACCCCCTCAGAGACTGCAGTGAAGCTATGTCTCTGGATAATATCGTTCCCATCCTACTTTTCAGTCTTCTTGCTGAATCTGACGAATTTGTTGTTCAATATCGGCCATTCCCAGCTGTGCTAAAAATTGACTATGCTTCTGAGCTGGAAGCGCCTTTGTGAATCCGTCTACAACTATCTGATTGGTCGGAATCCATTGGTACTGTATTAGTCCTTTCTAGAGTTCCTATCGTAACCATAAGTTATTAATGTTGATGTGTCGTAGCTTGCTTGTCGCTTGGGGCTTTTCTGCGGTTAAAAGTCTCAAGGTTTGCTGATTGTCACACTAAAGGTTGAAGTCTTCGTCCAGTGTTAGGTCGAGTTGTCCCATTAGTCTTATAGCTAATAGGTATTCCTTTGTTGCAGCTATGAGTGCTACAAGTTCGGCTTCTATGCTTGAAGTGACGACTCTTTATTGTTTGATAGACTTCCAAGTGATTGGTCCTCCAAATAGCATCATGGCGTATCCTTGTGTACTCTTCCTCGTGATAGTGTCGTCAGCAAACGAGGCATCTGATGCACAAAGTAAAGCTCCTTTTCCTTCGCAGTTGAACTCAATAGCGAGAAATCGGTGTATCCAGCAATACAAAAGGCAGTCTTGAGCTGCTTTCATATGTTCTGCTGATGGATTGGCTGAGAATTCTGACAACCTGGCTGCTGTTCTTGCTATATCTGGCCTGCCGAATATTGACGCCCATAGCAGAGATCCGACGATACTTTGGTACTTATAGATCTCTTGTGGTGTGGCTTGTTCTTCGTTTGGTGTGAGGCTGTCGGTGGCCATTGGTGTTCCTGGTGGTCTCCTTCTCTTATTGACCTGGAAGTCATCGCAGATCTTGCTGATGTAGTTGTCGAGGCTGAGCCAGAGCTTGCGCTCCTTGCGGTCTCTGATAATCCTTATGCCTAGGAAAACGTTGAGTTCTCCTAACTCTTTCATTTCATATGCTGCTTTGAGGCCGCTGACGATATCTTTCGCTGTGTGCATGTGTCTCTTCCTGTAGATAATTGCGATGTCATCCACAAAGATAAAAACCGTGATGCCTTTTCCCACATAGACACAGTCGTCCTCATCTAGAGGGGCTAGTCCAAGTGACTTGAGGGTGGTGTCGATGCTCTTTTGCCATAGTAATGGACTTCTTCTGAGTCCATATAAGGCTTTCCGGAGTATGAGGCAGTATCCAGGTCTGCTGAATCCAGGTGGAAACCAGACGTAGACTGTCTCATCGAGTGTTGCGTTGGTGAAGGCGTTCACAGCGTCTAGCTGCAGGGTCTCAAGGTCGAACCTCGCAACTATTGCCATTAGGCTTCGGAACGATCTTCCAGCAAGTGTTGAGGCGTAAGTCTCCATTCCGTTGAGTGGCTGTAGATCGCCTCGAACGCAGATTCTTGCCTTGAACTTCACGAGGTATCCGTGTTTGTTGGTCTTGTAGGTGAAAACCCATTTGAGCGGTAGAATCCTGAATATTTCTCTGTTGACATCCTCCAGTCGAGACAGTTCAAAGGTTCCTTTTCTCCATACAGCTCGATTCTCGATGTTCATTGCTGCTAGCCACTTAGGCCAGTATGGATGTGATTTTGCCTCGTTCCAGTTGCTTGGTGGCTTTGGTAGATCTTTCCGATGGACTGATCCTAATCCTTGTGCTGAACTATCCCACTGGTCTTTGTCTTTGATTGAATCTGTGGACTGAAAGAATGAGGTGGATTTCTGGCTTGACTGCTTGAGCCGGCGAGATGATCTTGTTGCTGACTCTGGTTGATGGTTGATTTGGCCGATAGGGACTTCTCTATTGTAGATGTTATTGTTCCTTCGTCCTGCAGGTCTCCCTCTTCTTCCTACTTGGCTTGACGTTGTTGTCTCGTCTTGTGTTGCAACCTCTATTGTAGGAAGTATCTCTTCTTCCTCTTCATAAGTCTGGAAGTTATTTGAATCTGGAGTTGGCTCTTGGTGTATGTCTTGGACTGTGGTTTCCTGATCTTCCTCTTGGTCTTCCACCCCCTCAGTTGCTGGCGATGTCTGAGGCAGCAGCTGGTCTGTTCCTGGTTCCATAGACTCTTCAGGGGTGACCATTCCCCTTGAATTGATCTCTTTGCGAAGCTGTCTGGTATCGACAGGTACTAGTGGCTGGTGAGGATTGTCGCTTTCCCAAAGTGCTGAGTCCATAGGCAGTTCTTCGCTGATAGGGTCTGGAAAAGGGATCTCCAGCTGATTGAACTGTTTCTCAAGCTCTAACTTATGAAGCATTGAGGTATCTTCTTCCCTGGGATCATAAAGCTTTGATTCATCAAAGGTGACGTCTCTAGTCCTCATGACCTTATTCAGGGCTGGTATCCAGATCCGATAGATGTTGGTGCTGTCATAGCCACAGAGATAGCCGACATGGGCTCTTGGCTCTGTCTTGTTGGACTTCTGTTGTCCGCTTTTGTAAGTAACTGTTAGGGGATAGGCCCTACAGCCGTATCTCCTGAGATGTGCCATCTGTGGCATTTCGGGTCGCTGGTGAGTGGCGTCTGGCCGGCTGTTTAGCCATGAATTCACCACCCCCTCAGGCGTCTGCCAATTGTGGCGTTTCCGAGGCATTCTATTGCCAAGGTACACTGCTGCTCTGATGAGTTCAGGGCCAAGCTCTTCAGGGAATCTTGACTGAAACCTGAGTGCCCTGACTATCATGAAGATAATCCCTCCAGCTCTCTCTGCTGGATTCTGAGCGCCTGTGTAGTCTGCAGAGCGTTGGATGAGATAGCCTTCTGTGGCTGCCCATAGGTCGAATGCGTTCCGCAGGGCTGTATCCCAATCAAGTCTGATGATTGAGACTCTGAAGCTGTATTGCCGCTCAAGAAAGGCGACAATTTGTGACAATGCTTGTAGTCCTTCTTTTCTCGCTCGAAGACCTCGTATCCAAGTGAACCCACTCCACTCATCTCTAATCAGAATGATGACCTTCTCGTTATTGTATGCCTTGCTGATGACGAAGAAATCCATGGAGATGTAATCCCCTGGGGCTGTAGGGTTATGGTCAGGCTTTCTCCGAGATACCCTCTGCATTGCTTTGCCCGTTGAGCATGCTACGCACTCGTCCTTAGAGATGCCTTCCATCTGTATACCCCTTGTTGTCTTCATCATCCTGGTTAAGGCCTGGGCGCTTGGATGACCTAATCGCTCATGCCAAAGCATAGCTTCTGCCTTTAAAGGTCTGAGAGGTTCTGTGGTAGAAGGATGACCTGGTTTGGCTTCATGCTGGCTGGATAACTTGAATCTGACTTGCTTATTGCTGACAGGCGTATTGCTGAATGAGCTAGTGGATTCCTCTGAGGCGACGTAATCCAGTAAATACTGACCGTGTTGCCAGGGAGTTGTAAAGAGAAGTTCTCCCTTTGAGTTCTCAAGACCTGGATGTCTGACTGTGAAGAATAGACCGATTTTCTTGAGTGGTTCAGTTCCCAGAAGGCTGACAGGATAGTCCGGGATGTACAGGACTGATCTGACAATAAAGCCCTTCTTGTGGGGTCCTCCTCGGTTTGGTTTGACGACCATAGTGCCTTTAGCAATGGCCGTAACATGTCCCCCTCCTGTAAGGACCTGTTGCTGGGAGGAGTAGTCAAGGTCTCTCATCCTCTTCAGGTTGTTGCAGATGTGGTAGGAACTTCCAGAGTCGACGATCACGCTGTTCCTTAAGGGAGATCCAGAGAATAGGCTAGCTGCTGGGATCCTTGGCTCCTCATTGAAATAGGATGACGAAAGTGATCCATCTGAGTCCTCTCCGTCCTGAGTGAAGTGGGAGGATGTCGTGATTGTTGTCTGTATGTTGTTCTTTTGGTTGAACGTTTCGATCCTTGTCCTAACCCTTGGATTGTTCTTGAGAAAATTCTGGGCTTTCTCGATTGCCCTCTTGTTGCTACTGACATTTGGGTTATAGGTCGATTTTCTAATCGCAGGGTTGAAATGGGCGCAGGTTTCAGCAAAGTGTTTCTGACCTGGGCAGGCTGGGCATTCTGGCTTCCACTCTGATGGGAATTTCTTTACTTTCTTATCTTCTTCATTTCTTCCTTGCCAAGTAGCAAAGCTGGTTGTTTTCGCCTTTCCCTCTAGCCAGTCTGGGTGTTCAGATCGAATCCAGTTCCTAAACTCGCTTGCGGCGATGGCTCCATGCCACCTTTCCCCTTTCTTTGGTCGTTCGAGAGTTTTCTTGGCCATCTGGTGGGCTTCAGGTGTTGCCCAGTCTGGAGCGACTGTCTTAACTGCTCGTAAGAAGTCTCTGACCTGTTCTCTTGGATCGCTCATCGATATAATGTCCAAGACTCTAGCTTCCTCCATAATGTCCAGGTAGGTATTGAGCCAGTCTATAATGTTTTATCTCTTAATAGATTCAAGATGGAGGATGTACCTCCTTTTGACAAGTTCTTGCCTTGCTTGGCTGCTTGGAGCCAGATTGTCCTTCAGAGACTTGACCATATCTCTGAGGCTGCTGTGTCTGCTGACTTGGTTCATATGCTGAGCGTCAACAGTTGAGATTATCCACTTAAGGACATCATTGAGGCTCTGCTGAACCCTTCTGTATTCCCTTTCTCGCAATTCGAACTTAGCCTTTTCAAGGTTAAGAAGATTGCTGAAGTTCGCTAGGGAAACATCGTCTGGATAGTTAGGCTGTGGCTTCGTGTTTACCACCGCCTGATCTGGGTCGATGTAGTCCCAGACGTCGTGGACTGTAGCTACCATCCTGAGACTGTTGAACCATTCGGTCCAGTCAGAATCATTCTGGAGCCGCTGAATGTACTTGGCTGTATCCATTTTGGATGCGAAGCCTTGTGGTCTTGCTCTGCACTCCTTCTTGAGCTTGAGCTGATGTGTCTTTCCGATTCTTCTCGTGCGCTGACGGAGAGTCGAAAGCTGGTTGAGACTGTCGTAATCTCTTGGGCTTGTCTGGTCTGGGGCTGGCAATAGCCCTGATCAGGTTCTTTGCTCTTCCTGAGCTACCTTCGTCTCTTGACTAAAGGTTCTGATTGGGACTGAATTGCCTGAGTCTACTGGGCTCATAACTGACAGATCATCAGTATGGCCACTAGCAGCATAATGAATGTGGGATAAAGTTGGTTGTATTGCTTAGTGTAATCTGCTGGTCCTGCAGTAGATCTATATAAACGATTGGCGTATATCCCTTGTAAGGTAATCCTGGCTTGACTATGTAGTTAACTGAGTAATGACTGTAAGCGGTGAGTTTCGTATAAGCGAGGGCATCCCTGGTTCTGTCATGATGACTGTTGAACCATGATAAATCAGGTCAGAGTTGTCATAGAATGGTTTCTGGTTACCTATTTACTTTTGAACTTATCACCTGAAAGGTTTCTCGCACCCTTCAAGATCCTGGCCTTCAGGGACTGTGCCGCCAGCTCCAAGAGATGCTCCGTGTTGATCGCCCGCTGCGCCGGAAGCCGGTGATCGGTGTTATGTAGGGCCGACGGAGCCGGGTTCGACTGAAAACGCCGACCGATTGTGAAGTCTTCACAAACAATGCAAATTTCCTCTCTCGCAACAAGATAAGCCCCCAAGGCGATTTGATCTTGCATGCAGCATTCCGGCAATTTCCTGCGGTCTCCCTATATTCTGCTTGTCAATCCCTGCACCTAGTCAGGTCTGTACAAATCGTAGCACTTGAAAACTTCCAGGTCCTCGCGATGGCGGCAGTGAAGTGGGTCTGGAATACGCGTGTAAGGCCACAGCCGCATTCTCTCAGGCCTAGGCCATCGCAGCCAATACCATTCATTGCAAAGGGCGGGAAACATTCATCGCAACATAGCACCTCTTGAATTACTTAACGCGTGTTGCAGTCCTCACTTTGTACCCGCGTATTCCGATTACCTTTCCTCAGTCCTGAAGGTCCATACGAACCTTTCTTCCACCCACAACCTACTACCATCTCATCCGATGCCAAATCAGCGACGAGATCAGCCTGGCGGCCGACGGTCCCACAGGAAATCCAGAAACGGCTGCAGCGGATGCAAAAGGCGCCACATCAAATGCGACGAAACTCGCCCAGAATGCCGGAACTGCATAATGAGTGAGCGAAGTTGCTCATTTCTCGATTCAGACGCTGGATGTGAATCATCCCTATCCAAAGCAATCTGCGAGACATTTACTCCGAGCAACGATACCGACTTGAGCGTGGTCGTTCCCAGAGCTCCACCAAAGACCTCGCCAAGTACTGTGGCGACCTTCACGGCATCTCATATGGCGTTTCTTCATCATGCCGAGTCTCACATGTCAGAGTTCATGAACCTGCGCGGCAATGTGGGACTCATTATCGACATCGCCGTCGAGCACGCGCTTACAGCGCCCCATCTCCTGGATCAGTTACTCGCACTTTCAGCGCTTCACCTTTCCACTCAAGACACGGCTTTGGCATCTTCGTTCAACCGCCAGGCCACAGAGCTGCAAACGCGTGCTCTAGGCTGCTTTGCCGACGCGAAAGAACACATATCGGACACCACGTACATGCCGACCTTTGTCTTCGCAACGCTCTTGGGTATACATGTCCTCTATGAGACACTCCAGAGGGATTACGGATCGCTGGCAGGTTTTGTCGATGGCTTCGTGGGTTACTCACGTCTTCACCGTGGTGTCCGAGCAGTCACCGAGACATACTGGCCGAAGATTCTTCAGTCGAACCTCAAACCTCTTCTTTACATTCCGGTTCTAGCACAACAGGTGGACTCGCAACCGCCCGGTTCCGAAACAGAGCAGTTCAAAGAATTTCTTGCAGCATCTCCAGCAGTATCAGCATCCAATAATGGCTGTCTCCCAGCACTCAGCGGTATTCAGTGGGTGCTTGATATCGCGAGACAGGAACCTTCAAGATTCGACGTTGGGGTTAATGCCGTCATGGCTTGGCCGCTGTGTATTTCGGAGGAGTACATCGAGGCGCTTCGCCAACACCAACCAGAAGCTCTCGTTGTCCTGGCGTTCTACGCAGCTACATTGCACAGATATCGACAATTTTGGGCATTTGGTACTTCTGGATCTTCCATTGTCCATATGGTCGCCAACAGTATTGGTTCATTTTGGCAAGATGCTCTGAGTTGGCCACTCCAAGTTTTAATAGAAAGCTGACGCATGCTCCTTATGGACTTCCAACTTTTCATTATTCATCCGCCGTTTCCTGTGAAACTCATTTGCATCTGGTTGTGTTGGTACATGTAGGCGTGGGAAAATACTTTTTCACGTGTCAATTGGATTCTATCTACATGTACTTTCATTTCCGTCCTGGCCTTGGAAGATGACTCTACATACATCCATGATGGTCTTCAATCTTCCACCAGCAGCGCATGCGCTCATCCCCGTGTCTTGTGGGCATCTATGACCGAATTGGACCAACCATTTCGCTCCATGACAGCCTATTTGAGACACAATCTGCCCGTGTTCAAATCGTAGTCCCACAAGTGACTTCCGACTCCTGAAAGAACATACAAGCTCGAAGTAGGGTCGTATTTCCGCTTAATATCCAACAATCTCTCGTAGTTCTCGCCGTAGAAGTCTTCTTGGAAGTTTGAGTTGAACGGGTTTGCTTCGTTGATGTACGCGCCTGATCCAGGTGCCCACCTACGCCAGACAGCTTCCTTGTTTTCCTCTGTCCACGCAGCAGCCATAGCCAGGGCATCCTGAGGAGCAGATTCCGTCGTGTTGATGTAGGCGCCGGTACTGATAAGGTGGATGTATGCTTTCCTCCAGGCAGGGTTTACTGCGCCACGCATCCCGGCCGGTACGCTCGCAGTCCCCAGTCCGCCCTGGAGTCCAAAAATCAGAGAAGCGGGACGCCCTGTGACTTGTGACCTGGTCATGTCGTGCAGATGGGACCGTAGAGTGTCCAGCGGAACCTCCGTCAATTCCTTACGACCTAGTAGGCGACTGGAAACCAGGCTGATCTGTGCAACGGGCTCTGGAGACTTGTTCAGGTCGTCAAAGAAAGACGTGTATGTTGGGAAAACGGCTGGCGCCGCGATGACCACTGACAACGTGTGATTGTCGCCCTGTGGCAACATGCGCCTTCTCACTGGCTCCAAAGCGGCAACCAAGTCATCCAATGTTGTGTTGAAACCAAAAAAGGTGAAATCTGCCTCAATGCCGCGGCTGGAATTAACGAAAGGTTCCTGGGAGGCCAATGTTGTTGTGGCAGTGCCGAATCCTGCTATTCCGGCGTCCATGAGGTCTGGTAGAGAGCTGGAGAGTGTCGTAAAGGCATCCCAAGATGTTGCGAGTGTAGCCATGTCTGCTTGATCTGCCATTGACATGGAGAAAGTTGTCTTCACCACGTTCCTCGGTATGGGATGTGTGCACAAAACATACTCGGTGACGATTCCATAGAGGCCTGGCCCACCCCCTCGAATAGCCCATAGTAGGTCCCGATTTTGGGCTTCATTGACCACGAGAATGTCGCCGCCTGAGGTGACGACCGTGGCTTGGAGGACCTGATCGGCAGCCAAACCGTAATGACTCGAAAGGGGGCCATGACCGCCTCCACCGATGAAGCCGCCAAGGCCAACTGTGTTGACTTGGCCGCTGACCAGGGTCCTCCCAACACCGGCAGCAGCTGCGAGAGCACTTCCCCAGTTATTACCACTCCCAAGGATTGCCACGTTCTCGGTGCCATTGCCCAGTGGGAGCGGCCACTGAGGATTCATCTCGATATTGCGAAACTGATGAGTCCAGATGGACAGCGAGTACGCGCCACTAGATCTACTTCATATCAGTATACCTGTACTTGTTCGATGCTTGCTTCGTCCGGCTCTTCTACGTACCTGCCATTCAGATCGTGCCCAGTTCCCTTAGCAATAATGCGGATATTACGCATACTGGCCCACTTCATAGCCACTGCAATCTGGCTCGCAGAAGTGGCATTGAGGACGAACTCGGGCAGCCCTCCCAATGTACATCCGTCATCCTTGTAGCCGTAGTCGCTAGGAGGAACGCATGAACTGTTCGCCCAATAGGGATAGTCGATGGACTCCGGCCGCTGGGCATGGAAACTGCCGGAAGACCAGTCTCTGTCGACTTCGTCGCAAGATAACGGAGAGGAGAACGGGTTGCCTTCGAAGCACGAAGATGCCGAAGGTTGCGTCTTGATCAACATGCCGCCAACGGACTGGTTGAGGGCATTCCATTCGTCAGGCCGGGCCCAGTTCGCGTCGAGGGGGGTATTTTTGCAGAAGACATCTGCGGAGACGAACTCAGCTAGAAAGAAAAGCGCACAGAAAGGTTTTGTCCACATGTTTTTTTTTTGGATATTGATCTGTCTTCAAATGTAATGTGAACTTGTCTTCAGATCGTGCGGCAGACATGAGACGTCTTCAGGCAATATAAGTAGCCATCAGCTACAAATACAGACATCTTAACACGAATGGATGGTGAGAAGCGCGTGCATGAGAAATCAAGTCACGCAAACCCCAGCTGCCTTCGTTGATCAACACGCGTATATACGGGTCGCAGGGCTAAGTTCCTTCTCCGTGCTGCTAATCTTGAACCTATGTTGGTTCCGCGTGTTCTCTCAACCTTAGAACCAAATCATAAGGAACATGAATACTCCACATTTCAGGAGGAACATTGCAAGTGTTGCACGAAGCTGTGGTCCCGGTACCCTTTCATTGTCTTCGCTCACGTGGGACCACGTCATGATCTTCGCATTTCCTGGCCCTAAGCGTTGAGTCACTAGCGGGCTACTGTGACGTTCTTCAACAGCCACTTTTACGAGTATTGGACATGCCATCAATTATCGTAACTGGTCCTCTCCTCATATCGCATCCACAGTCTGCCAGGGAAGACGAGTAAGACGGAAAGACAGAGGTGTGACAGGCAACACTACTCCATTTGGAGAGTCAGTGCGCGCAATTTGCCATCTTTGACAGCTTCAAGGCACCCAAGATTAGGTATCCATCTATCAAGCCTGCATGTACGAGCGGAGACTCAAGAACTACTGGATTGTAACTCGTTTTCTTTCTTGAAGACAGCTAGAAAGTTTCTAGGAGCTTTCGAGGCCAACCCAATGTAGTGATCTTCTCCACATCTCTTCGGCCTTGGAAGCGTCCAGACACTGAGAGCTGTAGCCATTGCTGAATTGCCCCGCGGCAGGATCCCATTCTTCCGAAATCTGTGCGTCCTCGAGATATCCTCCACCCTTCCCCTCCAGAGCTGAAGCAGTAGCTCCCCAGACTACAGTAGATGCACCCTGCTCTGAAGTCTTGGTTATCTTCCTCATGATTGGGTTGGTTTGTTGAACATTGCGTTCATCCTCTGGGAGGTTCCGCGCAAGCTCTGTCGATACCGAGCCTGGATGAACGCTCCAAGCATGAATTCCATCCTGCCCGAATCGTCGCTCAATCTCGTTGGCTGTCCAAGAGTTACAGAGCTTGCTTCCGCCGTATGCTATCATGCCGTTGAATGTCTCTTTCTCGACGTCTTCGAGGTTGAAATTGAAGAATCGGTGGGCAACGGAGGAGACTATGATAACGCGGGAGGCAAAGTCTGGCGATGCTGCAGACTGCAGTGCAGGCTTCAGTAGGTTGAAGAGGAGAAAGTGTGAAAGATGATTGGTGCCGAAATGGACCTCGAAGCCGTCGTGTGTTTTCCCAGGCATGGGGTCCATCATTCCAGCGTTGCAGATCAGAATGTGAAGTTTCTCGTTTTTGGACAGAAAGTACTCGGCACACGAGCGGACACTGGCAAGAGATCCCAGGTTGAGTTGAAGAAGGTGGACTCGGTTGCTGTGAGCTATGTCCCCTAGTGCAACGCGGGCCTTGGCAAGATTCCGAGCAGTGAGATACAGAGTCGCGCCGGTCGAGTACAGTGCTTTAGCGGTTTCCTTGCCAATTCCTGCTGAGCAGCCAGTGATAAGAATGGTTTTTTCCGGCCACCTGTTCTCGAGGCCTTCATCAAGAATAATTTGTCGAGCTGTAGGGCGAGAGTCACCTGGTCCCTCGGGGGACTGGTGAGCGGCGACGTAGCGGTCTGTCATTATCACCTTGAAAGAGAAAGAATGACTGAAAAATGGGATATGCTGAGAAGATTTTGTGACTACCGTGTAAGTCCGACTTTTCTGTGTTGGAGGGAACCCTCAGTCTTTTATGCTGGCCATGTCTTGTAGATAGCGCTGCCATTTCATCTTGTTACGCAGTACCGGCTGCTTCAAATCAGTTCACTCTGGAAAGCCTTCAGACTCCGGGATGATGTTCGCTACAGTTTTCGCCGATGGTGGATACTTGAATTACGCCAGGCATGCTCACTGACAGACTATGGAGATTGAACTTGAAGCACCTGGGACCGATGAGCTGTGTCAGCAAGTATAGTCTAACTGCGCTATCTCCGGCTTTATTTGGTGGCTCAGTATAACTGAAGACTGGAAATCAGTGGCATGCGTCCTTTCGAATTTTACCCGGTACCGATAACGCATCGCATGACGCTTCCCGCGGCCCCCTTCAATGAGATATAAGCATCAGAGGCTGAGCAAGTATCTTTGATCTCACGAGTAAGAACATCTAAGTGCTGCCTGTCCAAATTTTTAATTGAGTGACCGCACGCGCCATCTCATTCAAAATCCTTTTTCCTCATAGTTGTTCAATATCACCAGTTAAGTAACTTATATCAGCTCTTTTTTCAACGTTCTCCTAGATCCTTATGTATCTTTAATATCCACGCCTATAAATGTGATGAAGCTCTAAATTTTTAAGGCACCTACATCAAAATCAAGGACTTCGATGATGCCTTCCGTGTTTTCGAGGCCAAGTTGCGCGGTCGTCCAGTCAAACATCATCTGCAGATTGCTTACACACATCCATTGATGGTTCATGAGAGTCTGTTCGATCGTGATCATCTGCTGCGTTCTTTCGAGTTCAAAGAATATGACAGCGTTTTGCAGCTGTGCGGATTTCTTTCTTGACTCAGCGTAATTCGATGACATTCATAATCGCTTTCAGTCAAGTTGCCCTGGCGAGAGACTGCGATTTCTATGGGCTCTCTATTTTGTTCCTACCGCATACACCGTGCTGAGCCGTCGCAAGGTCTTGCAGCTTGTTTAACTGTACAGCCCAGTGTACAGAAATATAGATGACGGTAGAGCAACTGGTATAAATCTTAGTCGCCCATCTCACCGGGACTTTCATCAGACCGACAGTCCGCCGCCTGCAACATTTTCTATTCTCATAGCCACCAATTGTCATAAACAAGGTCGGCCGCGGGCGCCGGTTCGACAGCGGACTTAAGTTGCAACTGTCGTTATTTCCGCTGACATTGATAAAATCGCCCATCCCATCTTGACTGATTTTCTAGAATTCGCCTAATCCTTCCATTTAATAGCCCTAATCCGCTAAGATATCCCGAGAGGACAATATCACAGGTAAGATTTCGCCTGATCCTCGCATTTAGAATGTCTTGAATACCTCACCCTTGCAGGTCTGTGCTGTCTAATCGCAGCATGCTACACAAAGTCTATGAGATCCATCACTTCTGAACGCCTCAGTAAGACGTTATCGGACGCTGGCGCAACTCTCGGGGTCCGATTTGTGTCTTCCCATGGCATTGCCTATTCCTAATCGGCTTCTTCGTATCTCAAAGAACACTTTGCCCTAGCCAGAGTTTGTGCCAAGTGCCGTGGTTAGAAGGCGCAGCTTAGAGGAAGTGTCACTGTGACAATCTTCGACAGATTACATCGAAAAGCAACAGTGTGTTTTTCTTTACGTAGGTACTTAAGACCCAAATACTTTTCGTGCTTCAGCTGATTTTTTTCGCCAACATATCCAAGATTTATCATATATCTCTACGTCCGTTTCGGTTGATCATGATCTTTGACGGACTTCTTTCTGTCTTGTCCCTCTTTCATCTTACCTGTTGCCTCGCAATTTCCATGGTGATTCCAACTTCCTCAGCTATGTCTTCGGCGCCAAACGCATCTTTCGGTTTCCAAAAGGTCGATTTCAAAACTCACCTTGGTATCAATCTCGTAGGCAACCTGCGTCAACCGACTGGCTTCGATAAAGCCATGAAATACTCGGCAATCGTCACTGTGGCTCCTGCCGGAGGTGCCAAAGAGCAGACATCTGGACTCTATGCACGGAAGCTCGCAGATGAAGGCTTCGTTACGATTGCCTTTAATGCCTCTTTTCAGGGAGAGAGTGGAGGAGAGCCTAGAAACCAGGAGAACACCATCGCACGTGTCGAAGACATCCGTGGCGCGGTGGACTTCCTCGTGAGCCTTCCTTACGTGGACGATAACAAAATTGGCGTCTTGGGAATCTGCGCTGGCGGCGGTTACGCTACCAGCGCCGCCATGACAGAGAGACGCATCAAGGCCGTTGGAGTCTCGGTTCCTGTCAACGGAGGCCGGGAGAACAGGGCGGGTGGACAGATTGCGACCATTTCTGCCCTCGATCAGATCGCCCAGCTCAGGTCTGCAGAGGCTCGCGGAGGAGACCCGACTATTGCGGAGTGGATGCCCGACAGTTATCAGAACGCCACCGACATTGATCACCGAGAGGGTTACGAGTACTATCGTACGTCAAGGAATCCGCATCCGGGATGGCAGAACATGGTGCGATTCTCGACCATGGACGCCGTCTACGGCTTCGACGCCTTCTATCTCGCAGATGTGCTTTTGACCCAGCCTCTGCAAGTCGTCGTCGGTGGCAAGTTGGGTGCTTTTGGATCCAACCCGGACGGTCACGCTTTATACAACGCCGCTGCTTCGACTCAAAAGGATATCTTGGTAATGGACGGCGCTTCCCACTTTGACTTATACGACAACCCCGAGTATGTCGACCCCGCCGTAGCTAAATTCTCCGAGTTTTTCAGGGCCAACCTAGCTTGACTTCGGGTGAATCTCTACTTGGAAATACTCTGATTGCCGTGCTTGGTTCCCAACCCACAGTAATGGGATAGCTAGACCTTATATGAACAATACACATTCGTATAAGCTCGTTTTCTGCTCACCACACGTGGATATCATATGTGTCCCGTCTGATATTTATAACAGCACACTGTCAATCAGAACAGAACGTGATTTCATTCGGCAATGATGATTCCGATTCCTACCGCCTACAGAATTTCTGGGACATGGTAATGCTTTGGGCTGTAACTCTCCTCGAGATAATGCTCCTCCTCACTATTCAAGCGCTTTTCACCAGCCTCAATAGCCTCATCGATCCTCTCGACCTTGCTGAAGCCAATAATGGGGCTCGCCACTCGATTCAAGACCCATGCGAGAGCGACGTGAGACATGGGCCACTTTCGCCTGCCTGCGACTTCCTGCACTCTCTCAATGATCCGTTCATCGGCCGCAGTGAGAGTGTCACCTTCTAACCCGCTTCTCTTCGTAGAACCCTTCTGCTCCAGAGGTCGAGCCAAATGACCGCGAAAGAGTGGCGCCCATGGGATCAAGCCGACACCAGTATCCTGGCAAAACTGATTCATCTCTCGCTCTTCCTCGCGATAGAGCAGACTGTACTGGTTTTGCATGCTGATGAATTTGGTCCAACCGTTACGCTCAGCACAGTGCTGCATTTGTGCAAATCTCGTAGCGAGCATGCTGCTGGCGCCGATGTATCGAACTTTGCCGGATTGAACTAGATCATGCAGAGCCTTCATAGTCTCTTCAATTGATGTGGTGGTGTCGAATCGATGTATCTGCAGAAGATCGATGTATGACGTTCCCAGTCTCTTCAACGATGCTTCGACTTGGTTGAAGATTGCAGCCCGCGATAAACCATACTGATTTTTGTACTTGGGTTCACCTTCGAAATATTCCCTGCTACTCCAGTGCAGAATTTCTGTTGTTACATGGTAAGATCAGTGTTTCTGCGCAAGCTGTTGTTCAATCTAGACAGGACATACCGGGTTCCTCACTCACGCCCCAAAAGCACTTGGTCAAGATAATCACCTTCTCGCGAGGGATCTCATACTTCAGCAGCGCTTTGCCGATGATTTCCTCTGAAGTGCCATTGCTGTAGCAGTTGGCGGTGTCCCAGGTGTTGAGCCCCTTGTCGTATGCGGCTTTCAGAAGAGGAAGAGCCTAGAAAAGGTGTTAGTCGACATTCCTTACAGATAACAGCAGTGGGGGCTTGCCAAGTCCTCGTCGATTGTCCATGGCATCGACTTCCCGTCTCCGATACTCATGCATCCGAAAATGGGCACAGACACTGTCAAACCGCTGTTTCCCAGCTTCGCATACTTGACTTTCGTGCTGTCCACAGACGTGCTGAGTCCCGCGGGTAAGTTGGATGACATGATTTCGTCTTGATGGCGCGGATATGTTCTTGATTTGACGTCAAAGATCGAAGACTTCTGAAGAGCTCAGATGGAAGGTCGCTTGCCGCTTGCGGTCGAAAATAATGGGAGGTCCGAAGAGAATTTATGCTTGAGAGACATCACCCCGCGTGCAGAACTAATACCACGAACTTCCTGGCTCGATGGCTTTTGTACGTCATCAGTTTGTTGCATTCTCGTATGGTATGAGTGTTTTTGCCCTATCATATTCGCAGGGGTCCGTGGCAAGTGTCAGCAAGTTGCATCTGCCCAACCAACATGAATCGAACTCCACAAATTCTCATCATCAATATCACCACAGCGGTTCCTGATCGGCAGACAAACCATGTGTTGCCCAATTGGTAATCAAGACGGACGCATGAAGCTCTCTTCTCCACACTCGAGGTAGGCCAGGTTAGTTCCTGCAGCTAAGCATCTGAGCTTGTACGTACCACGCGTTGCAGGAGTGCTTGAAAGTGCTCTTCTTTCCAGAGTGATATTTCCTCAAAACGCAACTGCACTGGCAAGCAGCGGCCACCAATTTCTTGGGAATAGTAATCGCAACTCCTGTGGTTCTGATGGAGCGCAGCTGCCATGAGGCTACACTTGGCTTTGATCGCCAGGAAAGACCGCGCGTATTACGAGTCTGATAATACGTCCACCTCTAGGATCGTTTAAGCCCTGCTCCAGACGACATGAATATCGAGGACCAAAGTCTCAATGAGTTTGTTGTCGATTTGATCATGAAATTTGATCAGTTTGGTCAACACCAAACTTCGCCTCATCGCGGAGAAATCGAGTTCTGCTACGAGGAGCGCGCAGCCAAGATCAAATCTATGCCGTCTACAGCTCCCGACTTCATGTTCCTGGACTGAAGCAGCATCGCCCCATACCTATTCGCCAACGTCGATGCTTCACTGGTGCTTTCCCACCGTCAATGTCGCGATATTGCTTGGGGAAGGAGCATTGTCAGGATCTTGATGGAACGAGGTGATGAAGATCCGGCCATCGAGGTGTACTGGTTAACGTTTTTATTGGCTGTTGGGCCCCGAAATGTAAACAGTGTCGTTGACGACACTCATCTCCTTTGACTGTATTATACCAGCATCCAATCAACAGGAAATTCATCGCAAACATTACGCGTCGTCTGGGCGCACGCTTTTCTATCTTCCGATTTCTTGGCCAGAATATTCCTCAACTTCACACCGTCGGTATGTCTAACTCAGGTCGACATCCATCGAAGCCAATTGGCGACGGCCGTCGAAAGACTACAGTCGGCCCAACGTTGTTATTCCAAGACAGATACCGAGCAGATTTCAGCAGAGAACTCCCAATTTGCGACACCATTAAATTCGATTGAGAGCCAAGACCGAGAGGGCCTGGTTCAACAAGCTCCACACCAAAAAGAAGAACCAGCAGCGTCGCCAGATAATGGACATGAAGAACCAACAGATAGCATTGGCTGTATGAATAATAGTGTAAGTGATAATGCTGTCGATTATCAGCACCGTTCAACTTCCCTAGTAGCTCTAGTATTGCCCTCATTATCCGTTGTCACTGCATAAGTATTCGACCAGGAATAACTGCTTTGGAGTGGTGTATGACTATGAGTTCGTGGTTTGTGATGGAAACGAGGAACCTCTGAACTTGAAAACACACCCAAGTCTACATGTATTCATGATGTCGTTACCATCCACAGCATAAGGAGCCTGATATCCCAAGCCAAGGCATGTGTACTGATTGGCAAAGCGAAAACACGAGTGTAACGCGGGAGCTGCTGGGGCGCCCGACTTTGGACATCTTTGTGTTCTCAAGTAGAAACTCGAAGATCAGAGAAAAGAAAGGTCAATTTTAGCAATATCGAGAAGACGGCCCACGGAACAGTTGCAAGGGAAAATGGCCGTAGATGACTGTATTTGCAAGCTTCAACTGCCCGGACATATGTTCAAAAGGGGTAAGTATGTTCCAACAAGATCTACAGAGACCCGTTGCAAAGCATCCTCAATAACTGGGTCCAAGTCGGGGTCCAGGTCGGAGCCGAGTTGCCATCCGTGGCCAAACAACCAAACAAGACTAGTTAGAGTTCTAGCCATGTGCCGATATCCACTACCATCGGAGACAGGGGCCGTTCCGTTGAAAAAGCCCGTCTAGCGTTGTCGCGCCATTTTGTTGTATTGCATATGTCTCTGTCGATTGGTCAAATGAAGATGGATGCCTGCTGTGATGTATGAATTTCCGACCATCTTAGAGGTTGGGCTTGGTCTTATCGCACCATTGTTCTTCGAGAATCCCACACATTGTTCATTGAGTCCCACAATTCTGCGTCTCGAAATAGACCTCGGTTCCCAGCTTGAGATACCGCGGGGCTTCCGCTACATTTTCCAATTCATCTTCGGTTGTTCACGCAAGAATCGCTTCTGGATGTTGGTGATATCTTCTTTGGTTTGTGGTTCTCGTTTGATTCCAGCAACCGTCTAAATCTCTGTCCCGCAATTACGTCTCGGCACATCATCCTCAGTGTTTCGCCACCAACAATTGTACGTTGCTTCTTCCCACATGGATACCTGATGCTGGCACGGCCATTGATATATGCGAATAGTAATCTATCACCCGGACGAAACCCATCAGTTTCCAAAACCCATCGGGCAAAACCCATCATCTCTGGAACACGACCTATCGCCAAATTCAAACTCTCTCAACTCCGTCCGTTGGAACTTGGCAGCGGGATCATCTACACTCCGTTGCACCGGAAGTTCTGCCGCTCTCCCGTGCGTCATGTCCCCACCCAAGATCGCATTATGCTTTCAACTCCAGCAAACCTGTTCTGATCAATCGTAGCTGCTTGCTCGCTCTAAGTATAAAGTTGAGGTCGAACGCTGCTGGATGATATCGCTTGCCATCACTTGTCTTCAGTAACCAGAACTTGAATCACCGCCTCTTTTCCCTCTTACTTGAGCAACTCTCCTCACGCGTCAGTGACATATTCAAGATGCCAAGCAAAGACTTCACCGTTCTCATCGCCGGCGGCGGCATAGCCGGCCTGACGTTAGCCAATATGCTCGAGAAAGTTGGTGTCAGCTATCTGATCCTCGAAGGGTATCATGAAATGGCCCCTCAAGTCGGCGCCAGCATTGGTATTCTGCCGAATGGCAGTCGCATTTTGGATCAGATAGGACTGTACGACAAGATCAGGAAGCTCATTGATAAGCCTCTCTTTGAGTCCACTCTTCGTTACCCAGAAGGCGGCGTCATTACACGTTATCTTGGAATCGGTGGTCAAATTAACAACCGGTAAGTCTCAACGCATAAGTCGTGTGGTGATTTGTTCAGGTCATTGACATTTCTCTAAGCCATGGTTACGATACTGTGTTTGTAGATCGACAGATGATTCTGGAGGCATTGTGGAAGAACTTGAAGAACAAGGACAAGGTTCTTCCAAGTAAGAAAGTTACCAAAGTCTCACTCGAACCATCTCGAGTCAAGGTGGAGACAGAAGACGGCCAATCTTACTATGGTGACATCTTAGTCGGCGCAGATGGTGTCCACAGCAAAGTCCGGAACGAGATGTGGCGACTGGCTGATGCCCTCGAACCTGGCTACATTCCTGCCTCAGAACACACTGGTAAGTCTAGTCGACGGTGACATTGCGTAACATACACTTACAGCTCCAACAGAGTGCCTTCCAACTGTGTACAAGTGCATCTTTGGCATCTCCATTGACAAAAGCTGGGAAGCTCAGACTGTGCAGACGAATTTGAACAATGGGTACTCTTACCTCGTCATCAGTGGCCCCAACCATCGGGTCTACTGGTTTCTCTTCGTCAACATGGGTAAGACAGCATATGGCCCTGAGCTTCCTCGGTACACCAAGCAGGACGAGGAAGTTTTGGCAAATGCGCATTTGCACGACAAGATCACCGATAATCGCACTTTCGGAGATCTGTACGCTACAAAGATCTCTTCTGTTCTCACGCCACTTCCGGAGTATGTCTTCAAGAAGTGGCATTTCCAGCGAATCATGACGATTGGGGATGCGGCTCACAAGGTAATTTCCCATCCATCATTTTTGCGAATGTAGCCTTCTGACTAACATCAATTTTCCAGTTTGAACCAATTGCTGGCCAGGGAGGAAATAGTGCGATTGAAACCGCCGCGGTCCTCGTCACAAACCTGGCAACCATGCTCAAGGCAAAGCCATCGGGCGTCACAACCGCCGATATCGACGCTGTGTTTTCCAAGACGCAGGAAATCCGCGAGCCCCGTACCCAGAAGCTCGTCAAGTCATCTCACGAAGAGCAGCGCTTCGCCGCCATGGAGTCCACTCTACTCGAGTTTGCCGGCAGACATTTAACTCCAATTTTGTCCGTAGACGAAAAGTTGCATCCTTGGACTGCCAACATTGAGTCTGGGCACAAGATAGACATCATGGATGTGCCGAAGCGACCACGCGCCGTCCCTTTCACCGATGAGCTTGCCAGTCCACCTCTGGAAGCTTCCTATTTGCCCAAGATTACTGTTGGGGCTGCCCTTTGCGGTCTCCTTTACATTGCGCAACAGGCTTTGGTCCTGTCTCCGGAGGCGGCCTCCCTGAGCACATTCCTGGGTGAGACCTCCAAGACCTCTTATACAGGGGTCGCTCCCGTCGATGCGGTACTTTCTGTTCTGGTGTGGGCTTTCTCTGAGGCGGTTGCCGGCCCAGAGCCCAACAAGAGAGTGCAGTGTCTCTACTTCCTGGTCAACTTGATTCCCATCATCTACATCTGGACTGTCGAAGGATACCGTAACGGCAATCTTCTATCATTCGTTTCTTGGCCTTCCATCTTCGTCATTTACCAGCTTCTGGGAATCGGCAAAGTCGCACCTTTCTACTTTCTTCTGAGCATCTATACCACCGGCAAGCCCGTCTACAGCCGTCCGACTGGCCGAGCTATTCCCTCCAACGTCGCCAAGGCTCTCCTGCCGGCTCTTTGCCTCGGATATGTCATCCCCACCGCTCTCATGTTCCTGCCCCACGAAGATCGCATCACCCAGCAGAACGTTATTGCTTTCTGTCAGCCTTCCCCATTGTACGTCTCCATCCTCGTCTGGGTCTTTTCCAAGGTACTTTCGAGCCAATGGCCGACCAAGTCCCTGGACTGGGAGATATTCGGGAAGAAAGACTTGCCCTTCCTGCAGTCCGGGTATGCCTTCTGCTTCTTCGTCACCGCTGTCACCCACCTCTGCACGCTTCTCTATGCCGGATTCAGTCCTTCTGTGTCTGTTTCTCAAGCCTTCTTCAGCCTTCCTGGGTTCGAAGCTATTGATCTCTCTGCATTCTTCAAGTACGACATGATTCTTTGCTTTGGATCCGTGGCGGTTTGGCTTCTTTACAGTGCATTTGAGCTGAGAAGACTTGGGTATGTGACTACCGGTACGGCGTTGAAGGCCGCAGGGATTGCCTTGACTTCCGGGGTGCTCGTCGGTCCCGGGGCGACTTATGCAGGTTTCTGGGCTTGGAGAGAGTCAGTCATTGCAAGCTTCGTCAAAACGGGCCAGTAGATTGTCCTGAACAAAAGAAGGTCTTCTTCGGAAGAGGTTTTGTCATAGAATCAGGGGTTAACATCCCATTCACGGGATACAGAGGCTCTGCTGCGTTAACTGGCTTGTATGTTGACTTACTTAGATGTGCGTACGCAATCATGCAAGCAAACCCAGTATATACGACATGGCGCGTAAATGGATTCCAAATAGAAATCACCAACCTCTCCTCTCTGCAATTTGAGTTATCAGTACTTTTGTGACATCTCGGTGGTATTCCTTATCGGCTTTTTCGCCGTAAATGGTATGACTTCTCTGGTTTTCAGCTTGCGCCAAGCAGAATTCCGGCGACCATTCGGGCCTTTCCAGGACTCCGCTCGTGCTCGAGGGCTATGCGCTATCCTGCGTCGAGTCGGCTGAACTCGTTTTCTTCGAGTCCTTCGGTGCTGCCGACAAGTAAACTCAATGACTATTGCCACGGCCAACTACTCGTTGTCAAGTTCGATTTCGATAATGGCCATGCCATGGTGCTTCCTGGAAGAATCTTGCCGCGTTTGAGCCGGCATGAATCCCTGATTGAGACTTGGGATCTCACCTTCGTGCTTGTAAAGAGGGTGGCTGTGCTCGACTCCCGAACTGACCCCCACAACGCTAATGCAACCTGATGACCGCGGCCTAAGATCCCGCAACTTTAATATGAAGTCAAGTGAGATGAACACGCAGATGTGGATCCATGCGAGTTGATGACAGTCAACTCATCTGCTCACCTTGGCTCGCGATATTCTTTCTATTACCAATCGAGGCTCCTCGTAGATGGTGATGATCTCACGCCAAGGTTGAAAGCATTACGACGCGTGGCGCATGCAATCTACAATATCCGAATCAGTCATCATGATGGTTCCAGAGCAGCAGAGCTGTATCTGGGAGACACTGAGCCAGGCTGTCCACGGACTATAAGAAGGTTGGAGGATTTGCCTCCTCTAGCATAGAGAGTTGACCTCCATCATCAACTTGCAAACTCGTCACTTTCGTTATTCTACAAACAAAAGCACCATGACCGTCATTGGAAAGGCCATCGTAGCGTGCTGCTTGACGACTGTTACCAACACCATGTCTGCCGCAGCGCAGAATATGTCTTACGGGGCAGACAGCTTCTACCGCAGCGACAATGTGACTGTCCAACCTGTCACTTTTCTGAACCAGTACAACTTGAGTGTCGCTGGTAACCTGTTTTCCCCCAACGGACTGAACCGCAACACCACTGCGCCGGCCATAGTTGTCGGACACCCAATGGGTGCGGTCAAGGAACAAGGTGCGAACTTGTACGCCACCAAACTCGCCGAGCAGGGCTTTGTTACCCTCTCCATCGACCTCACTTTCTGGGGTGGCAGTGAAGGCGAACCGCGCAACGCCGTGTCGCCGGACCTCTACGCAGAGTCTTTCAGCGCGGCGGTCGACTACCTTGGTACCCAGACATTCGTCGACCGCGAGCGGATCGGCGGCGTGGGCATCTGCGGCAGCGGTTCCTTCATCATCAGCGCCGCAAAGATCGACTCACGCCTCAAGGCCATCGCGACAGCGAGCATGTACGACATGGGAGCTGTCAATCGCAATGGTCTGCAGAAGGCCGTGAGTGTCGACCAACGCAAGCAGGCCATCGCCTCAGCGGTCGAGCAGCGATGGGTTGAGATGGACGGTGGAGAGACCCAGTACACCAGCGGCACGGTGCATGAGCTCACCCCGGAGTCCACCCCTATTGATCGCGAATTCTACGACTTCTATCGCACCCCTCGTGGAGAGTTCACCCCAGAGAGCACCACGGCAAACCTCACGACGCATCCTACTCTCTCGAGCAATGTCAAATTTCTGAACTTCTATCCGTTCAACGACATCGAGACGATCTCCCCGCGCCCGCTTCTCATTATTTCAGGTGACCAATCCCACTCCAGGGAGTTCAGCGAGGATGCCTACCAGCGTGCTGCCGAGCCCAAGGAGTTGCTCTGGATCCCTGGTGCTGGCCACGTCGATCTATACGATCGTGTGGGCCTTATTCCTTTCGACAGGCTTACCCAGTTCTTCCGGACTAACCTGGCTTAAGAAGGAGTGGCCTGAGAATGATTCTATTCTTGAGCACGAGTCTCTTTCACGTGCCAGACAAGTTCTTAGGGCTAGAATTGCTTTATTCTACTTGTATTCATCACGAATATTTTGGAGAGTCCAGAGCCAGGCTATGTGGACTTTTTGTCCTTTTCAGAGCCTAGCAATTCGGTCTCAGGAGTTGGGGATGAAGAAGATCAACGTTCAAGCAAAAGAGGGTACAGTCGAACGCATACACCGGAACGAGGCAAGGTCGTAAACTCGACCCCCTTAGTTAGTTGTAAATACCATGTCATTGGGCCCCCTGCTAGTCGTCTCTGAATGCTCTCTTGTCGTTTCTTTTCCGGTGATTTCATCGTCCTGTTCAGACAACATTCCTCTCAACCATTGCCTGACAGCATGGAACATGCCGTCAAAGAACCTTCTGGTGCTTGGTACAAGTCGGTGTGGTGATCTCAGCTCATTAACAACGTCTCAATCTTTTGAAACAGTTCCGTCTATGCCATCATTTGATTGAACGCGGGAATTCTTGAGACAGCCAAGTGTCATCATAGCTATCGAACCTATTCTCCTGTGTAAGTCGAAGCTGACACCCGTCGCTAACTCCGGGTGGGTCAATCAACTTCAAGTGGAGCGAGTGTCATCAAGTTGCAGCTGTCATCAGGTTGCAGGTCTGACTCGACCAATCGCATGGAATCCCGGGATCGGCTCCACGACCTCACTTACATGCCCGAATTCCACTCACGACCTTTGGCGACGTCATGAGACCCGAGCAGAACGCTCACTTCAGGACCTGATTATTCACAAAAAGACGCCTTTGTTGCCAGTCGTAAAATGAAAGATGATGTCCAACGAGCACGATCTAGAAACATCGACCTCGCCTCCTTGACCACTATTCGAGCCGCTGCCTCACGATGTCCTTCTTCGAATACCCCCCGAAACCGAAGACAGCCCTAGGCTATCATCGCATCCTCTCTCCCAATGCATCCGTCAAAGTCTCCCCAATCTGTCTGGGAGGCATCGGCATCGGCCACTCCTGGAGCACCATCTTCGGCAAGAACGAGGACCCTTTCAAGCTTCTCGACACGTACTACGACCTCGGCGGCAACTTCATCGACACCTCGAACATTTACAACTCGGAGGACTCTGAGAGACTCATCGGAGAATGGATGGAGAAGCGCGGCGTAAGAGACCAGATGGTCGTCGCTACGAAGTACACCGCAGGTTTCCGTTCGTACAACCGCGAGAAGGAGCCTTTGCAGAGCAACTTCACGGGCAACTCGGTCAAGAGCATGCACATCTCTGTGCGAGAGAGCTTGGAGAAGTTGAGAACGGACTACATCGATATTCTATACGTACATTGGTGGGACTGGGCGACTTCGGTAGAGGAGGTCATGAGGGGTCTTCACGCCCATGTTATGGCGAAGGAGGTGCTCTACCTCGGAGTGTCCAACACGCCAGCTTGGGTCGTCATGAAAGCTAATTCATGTAAGAGTTTAGTGATATGTTGAGTGTCGAAAGATATCACTAACGAGTGGCCCAGATGCCCGGGCAAACGGTCTCACTGCCTTCTCGGTCTACCAGGGAAGATGGAACGCCGGATTCCGCGATATGGAAGCAGAAATCATCCCCATGTGCCAAGACCAAGGCATGGCAGTCGTGCCTTGGGCAGCCTTAGGTGGCGGCAAGTTTTTGACTGCGACAGAGCGTGCAGAACGGGACAAGGATCCAGACGCTCGGAAGTCATCTCATGGACAAGAAGTGCCAGTAGAGCTTTGCGAGACGATGGAAAAGCTTGCGAAACAGAAGGACACGAACCTGCGATCCATCGTGAGTATTCATCCTGTTCCTGTGGCAACCTTCGAAAACCAACATCGGTCTCTCACCTAGGCTCTTGCATACCTGTTCCATCAGTCTCCATACGTCTTCCCCATCGTCGGCGTCAACACCGTCGCCCACGTCGAAGCCATCCCGGAGGCGATCGGTGTCGAGTTGTCCAAAGAAGACATTGACCTCATTCACGAGGCTTCGCCCTTCAACCCGGGTTTCCCCATGAACTTTGCTTTTGGATACATGACGCCTGAGAAGTATGATTTGAGTCTCACGGCAGGCGACAACCAGCAGTATCGCATCGCAGCGTGGATAGACGCCCCTCCAAAGCCGTTGGTGAGTTTATGATCGCAAATTTGAGTGTGAAATGATCAGATGAAAGCTAACAGCTCTTGAGCCGTACAATCCCAGAAAATAGTCGGACGACAATTCCGATGAGTGAGGTAAACCGCCACGTGTTGTGGGAGGTACCAGGGTTAAAGGCGAAGTAAGAAAGGTTGTGCATCGCTGGTTTCAAGTATTCGCATTGTTGTTTTTCGGTTCCTTTACCTTGGTCACTGCCTGCAATCAGGCATCATTGCGGTCTTGACTCAACCATGTAGTGTATTTTCGAAATCAGGAACCAATCCGTCAGTCATTACTCTGTGCCCCACGTCCCGGCGGGTGCATGCCTTCAATTGGCGACAGCAATATTTGAAATAGAATTGCACCATGCTCGGACGAGCCCCGTTTCCAAGGCTTTACAGCTTACAAGATAGACTCGGGCCGTTGATGTTTTCACATGGGTAAGCGATTAGCCTATCCGGCCCCGCAATACGGGACCGATGACGCCGCGCCGGGCAGCACCGATCCTCACATCCCGATCGTCTCCATAAGCCGGCGGGATGAATGCAACGACGAGCCAGAACAGGCAATTCGCAGGCCAAGGCTGGTCCAATAGAAAACTACCTCGAGTCAGCATGTTGTGCTACCATCAGTGACAAATACCCGGAGATCTGGAAATGCGTCCTTCGTCCCCATAAAGAGCGGTCGATATTTTCGATCATATTCTAAGCAGGTCATGAAATCAGTACAGAGAGCATGAAACACATGACAGTCCCAATAACGAGTCCCGCCAAAAGGGGTTTAGACGCCGCTGGCTTCGGGTCTCGACGGGCCCTCTGGGCCCCAAATTGGTTCCGAAGAATCGACAACTCCGCGGCGGACGATCCCGCCTTTCCCGCTCCATGTCAGCCGCTGGTGAAACCCCTGCACGCCATGTTTTCTGAGATGCATGGTCTCGGGAAACCAGGTTCTCGTAACGGCCAACCGGATCGTCCGTATTACGATTTGAATTTGACGTCTGCGGAATGTCGCTCATGATCAGACCACGACAAGCGGGTACAGCCCGCCAAAGCCTTCAACCCCATCACGAGATGTACCATCGTATACTGTTAGCCATCAGCTGAAGTCTATACTTCTGACGAAAATAGAATGACGTAGATTTTCGAGCAATTCAAATTGTATAAGTATAACTCGTGTGCTCGTCTCAAAAGTCGCTGTGAAGAACCGTGACCAAGAAACTCTCAGTCTCATCTCATGATCTCATCATCCCGCCTCCTCAGATCTCCAAAGATCGCATCTCTAAGAACATCAATCACAACCCGCAAGATGACCACTACCGAAATCCCCTCCTTTCCCTTCAAGCGTGCTTCTGGCCTCGCGCCACCGGCCGAATACGCTCGTCTTCGCGCCACAAACCCCGTGTCTCGCGTCAAGCTCTTTGACGGGTCCATCGCATGGCTGGTGACGAAGTACAAGGACGTCTGCGCCGTGGCGACCGATACTCGCTTATCCAAGGTAACCATCTCAAATTTGCTATGATCTGAAAGAATCTGACACGATGCATCGTAGGAGCGCACAAGGCCCGGCTTCCCCGAGCTCAGCGCCGGCGGCAAAGCAGCCGCCAAAAACAAGCCGACGTTCGTCGACATGGACCCTCCAGCTCACATGCAGCAACGATCTATGGTCGAGCCGCTCTTCGTGAAGGGGCATGTCGAGACGATGAAGCCGTACATCCAGAAGACGGTTGAACAGCTTCTTGATCAGATGATCCAGAAAGGATGCAAGGAGCCCGTTGATCTGATCGAGAGCTTTGCCCTCCCGGTTCCATCCTACGTGAGGCCAACTCTACTGAGCTTCGATAGAAATGTGCGCTCGCTGACTTGGACAAGATCATCTACACCATCCTCGGCGTCCCCTTCGAAGACCTCGAGTACCTTACTCAACAAAACGCAATCCGCACGAACGGCAGCGGAACAGCCCTGCAAGCCCAAGCCGCAAACCAGTACGACTTTTCCTCAAACCTCTCTCTGCACTTCGACTAACTCCCCAGGGAACTTCTCGATTATCTTGCAAACCTCGTCGAAAAGCGCTCCGAATCCCCCAAGGACGACCTCATCAGCAAGCTCGTTGTCGAGCAGCTTAAGCCAGGCCATATCGAAAAGTCCGACGCCGTCCAGATCGCCTTCTTGCTTCTGGTTGCCGGCAACGCCACGATGGTCAACATGATTGCGCTCGTGAGTCTCTCTCCTCCTTCTTTCTTGCGATCCAAACATGCAGCTGACATTCTTCAGGGCGTCATCGAACTCATCCGCAACCCTTCGCAGCTCGCTGAGCTCAAAGCCGACCCGTCACTTGCGAAAGCCTTCGTCGAAGAGCTGTGCAGATATCACACTGGCTCCTCGATGGCGATGAAGAGGGTTGCCAAAGAGGACATCGTTCTTGGTGGTCAAGTAAGCCTTCAACTTTCCTTCTTCTTTTCAGAATCAAGAGTTGCGGGGTGAGTGATGAGATAGACTGACAAGTTTCAGACCATCAAGGCGGGCGAGGGCATCATAGCCGCCAACGCATCTGGCAACCGCGACGAGGAAGTCTTCACGAACCCAGACGTCTTCGACATGCACCGCACCCCAGATCCCAACCACGCTCTGGGATTTGGATTCGGCCCGCATAGATGTGTCGCCGAACCTCTCGCCCGCGCCGAGATGGAGACGGTATTCGGTGAGTGAACCCTCTTTTCCCGTTAAATCCGGATTCTTCCCTAGGCTATCCGCTCAAACTACAGCATCTCCGCACCATCTCGTCGGTCGTTACTGGCCTTGAGTTCATCAAGCCAAGCATGATCCATGTAATAACCTCACTGACATCCCGAAACAGCAACCCTCTTCCAAAAGCTCCCCGAGCTCAAGATTGCCGTGCCTATCTCCGAGCTGGAGTACACCCCTCTTCACAAGGATGTCGGCGTGGCAAAACTACCGGTGACATGGTAAGCGACCTCTCGCTTCCAATGAACGCGGGAGTCAAACGGGGCGGCAGCATAGGGAGCAGAGAGTAAGGTGGACGGCACAAGGCGTGCGATGAGGTCGGGCGGATATTGAACTCTGCGCATGTACAGTAGAAAGGGCGTTCTAAGGCGGACACATCCAAGCTTTCCCCCACCTCCTCTCAAAAACAGATATCCTCTTTCAAAGAAGCTTCATCCAGGTCCTGTTGGATCTAATTCGGCAATAAGTTGTTATATCCTGTGGAACATCAGACGATCGGACAGAGTTCAACGGATCAACTTGGGGGCATGACCCAGTCGCGTTCGTGAAACAGCTAAGGTCGCCTTGAAAGTCTTTTACGGGTGATTCCATCCCATCTTCAAAGAGGCAGATTCCCACGAAAGCATACCTGGCCGACGTCGGTTCCGGGGATATGGTTGAGGGGGTGGTATGAAGACGAAGGGTCCGACTTCATAAGGCGGTGACATCGTCTCCGTCTGAGTGGGTGGAAGAGCTACCAGTACGGGATACTCAGACAAGCCATTCAAAGGAATTCAAGAAAGAAACATTAAGACAAAGACAAGATGCAGGCTGTAGACAACCAGATCGTCTTCGGTGACAGAAACAAGGCGGCGCCGTGGTACACGCACACCCTCGAAGCCGAAATCTCCCCCGAGGCCAGAGACCTCCTCGAGAACTACGCCCACATCAAGCCCGAAGACGTGAACAATCATGTCCTCACCATGGTCCGTCCCCTTCTCCCCTCCCGTGAACTAGAACCTAACACACGACCAGCGCGACAAGATCTGGGAAGTCTTCCCCTACCCCTGCGTAGGCCACTTCTCCTTCCTGGACCTCAACCTGCGCCAACGGCCAATCTACCCCTCCCTCGTGGCCCGCCTCCAGGAGCCCGACGCCAAGCACCTGGACGTGGCCTGCTGCGTCGGCCAGGACCTGCGCAAGCTCGCCTACGACGGCGTGCCCTCGCAGAACATCACGGCCATCGAGCTCGAGCAGGGATACATCGACGCCGGGTACGAGCTCTTCCGCGACAAGGAGACGCTCAAGACCCGGTTCGTCAACGCGGACCTCATGGACGACGGGAGCCCGACGCTGAACGCAATGGACGGGCAGTTCGACAGCTGCCACATGGGCCTGTGCCTCCACCTGTGGAATAGGGAGGAGCAGATGAAGGTCCTGAAGCGGGTGATTCGTTTGTTGAAGCAGAAGCCCGGGGCAGTGATTGTGGGACATGCGGTTGGGCATGCGGACGGCATCGACTTGCCGGGCATGTTCAACAAGCCGAGTCTTAGGCACAATCTGCAGACGTGGGAGAGCATGTGGGCTGACATATCAAAGGAGACGGGGACGCGGTGGAAGCTGAAGACGGAGATTAGCGACCAGATTGGTAGTGCGGAGAGGGCCAGCGCGAGGAAGCCAACGTGGTGGGATAAGACCTGGCGATTCGTTGCCTTCGAAGTCATGCGCGACGATTAGGGCCATTCACCCAGGCGTGAACAGATTGGCAAGACATCACAGTAGAGAGCAGAATGGGACTCGGAGACAGTGTCATGAAGCATTTCCTTTGCTAGCCTAGGGCCATGGCCCGATCCTCCAGTTGCAAGTTCATCATAAACCCGAATCCAGTTCCCAAACCATGCCTGAAAGGATAACTTTTTCATCCACTGCTCGTAAACGCCATTCCCATCATCCGAGAGACACCTTACGCGGTCTTGGCGGCGGTGGGGACGATCTTCTTGCCGTCCTTGTTGTAGCGGACGCGGGGAGGGGGGGCACGGTTGCGGCGGCCGACGACGGAGCGGACACTGCGAGAGAGGGTCAGCATTACGGTTCACGGCGAAAAGTCCACTCAAGGCCACCGGCTGGGAAGCCGGCGCCGAGGGACAGGGAGCTTCGAACAGCGCCAAGGGTCTTCTGTAGCGCCTGCTAACCACCGGCACGGAGGCCGGGGCGTGCAGTCGTCGCTCCCGCGGACGAACGTACCGGACAATCTTGCCGTGAATGGCGCAAGAGACACAGTACTGCAGCTTCAGGTACATCTTGGGCACGGTGTACTCCGCGAAGACGGAGGCGTCCGAGATATCACCTGTGGAAAGTCAGTCAATTGTGTTCGAGGAGGTGGGGGGAGGGAACGTACGGATGGCAGCAGACTCGACCATGTTGCGGATGGTGAAGCGCTTGATGGCCTTGTCCTTGGGCGTGCATCGCGAGCAGTTGCTGCAGCGGATGGGCTTGACGTGGCCGCGGCCCTTCTTGTTGCGTCCGCTGTTGGAGGGAACTCAAGTCAGCAATGGTGATCTGGGAGAAGGTGCTTGCTCGCCGGCGGCGTCGAGTCGCATCATGGTGTGGTCGACGACAACAGCGAGCCGCGCGGCGGAAGGGCGAGGAGGGGCTTGGAGGGTATCGTCGTACTTGTTCTTTCTCTTCTTGACCATTTTGGCGACGTCTGCTGTGAGATTAGTATCCGTGAAGGAAAGGAAAGGAAAGAGGAATTTCGCGGCAGACGTACTTGAGCTTTTCTCTGGTTTGCTGAGTAAAAGTTGCAATCGGTGGGCTGGACGTGGAGAATTGACGACAGCGAGAAGCGCAAGTGACAGCCAGGGCTGGAGCGCTGCCTGACCCACCTCCAGAGAACGCCTGCTTAATTGAAAAAAATCAAAGTCGCGCCTACATTTTTCGCGCACAAGTCGAATTCCACCATTATTGAGCCAATCAAACGCTCTAAATATCACGTGCACTCGCTAAAGGCCAAAACTCGCCCCACTCGCAGCAGCCCTGGCCCGCAGGCGCGGCCGTGCGGTTTTCCCGTCCTCAGAGCAAGTGGCAGCCACTCGCACTTCCTTTTAATTTTCTCTCCATCCCACCACAAACCTATCTGAGGATCTGCTTAGGAAGGCAATAGTCATATTGTCGAGGTACGTCTGAAGATGCTTCTGCTCCTTCTTTGCTGGCTCTGAGCCGTTTCCCCTCGATTCTCCCGTCTCTGGCTTTGTATTTCGTCGCCAACCTGCGCACCCGACCGACGCAATCGCGAAATCGAGAGCGTCGGATCCCGGCGTCGCAGCATCTTTCGTCGTCGATTTTTCGGCGAAGCGAGTGTGGTGCGCGACGTTGTGAAATCCATCGCCACCACAGCTTCGCCGATGTCGACGATGTCGGCTCCTTTCGCCAAGTCCAGAGCGGGAGGAACGGGGAACGCCAGACCCAGCATTGAACACGAACTTCTGGAACAAGTTTCTAACCTCTCACCAAGTAGGCAATCATGCAGATCTTCGTCAAGACCCTTACGGGTAAGACTATCACCCTTGAGGTGGAGTCTTCCGACACCATCGACAATGTCAAGTCCAAGATCCAGGACAAGGAGGGCATCCCCCCCGACCAGCAGCGCCTGATCTTCGCCGGAAAGCAGCTCGAGGACGGCCGCACCCTTTCCGACTACAACATCCAGAAGGAGTCCACCCTCCACCTGGTCCTGCGCCTCCGTGGAGGTGGCAAGAAGCGCAAGAAGAAGGTCTACACCACCCCCAAGAAGATCAAGCACAAGCGCAAGAAGACCAAGTTGGCCGTCCTCAAGTACTACAAGGTCGACTCCGACGGCAAGATTGAGCGTCTCCGCCGCGAGTGCCCCTCCGACACCGTACGTCTCCTCGTCTCCATCATGAACAATTTCAATGACTAACAATCTCTCAGTGCGGTGCCGGTGTTTTCATGGCTGCCATGAACGACCGCCAGTACTGCGGCCGCTGCCACCTCACCTACGTCTTCGACAAGAAGGAGTAAGCTTGTGCCAGTTTTTCGCGGGAGCGATGGATTAAAAAAAGGATTGTTTGGGAGGAATGGTTCCGGTTTAGCATTCTAGTCGGCAGGAAGCCGCACAAAAAGGGGCGTTGATGTAGATACCACCACATCACTGGCTGGCAATGACGATGCAAAATTCACGACACTCATGACCATTCCTCCATCACTCGTCTCCTACTGGTGACTTCAATCGTGACTTCATTTACATGCGTGACCTCAAATTGCGTCTACAATTACATCATTGATTTGGGAACCCGTTCCGCAAGTTCTCATACTTGGTCTCCGGGTAGGTGATGCAGTTGTCCCGTCGCATCAACGCGTGCGGCCCTCCGAACGCATGCACGACGTTGCCGATAAGAGACTCATGGCCGGGCTTATCGGCGCTGCTCTCCCACCACATGCCGCCTCCGAGACCCCACCCTCTGATGTATTCGCCCTTCTTGCGCGCCATGTGTACGTTGTCGTAGGTGATCATCTTCCTCCTGCTGGGATCGTAGGAGTAGCTCGCGCCCGTCTCCTCATCGACGTGCTCTTGCGAACCGGGCAGCGGCAGCACTTTGTAGTCGAAGACTCCATTCTCCCAGCTCCCCTCGCCGACGCCAGAGTAGGGCGCGCCGGGTCCGTCCGTGTTCTCGAAGGCGCGGCCGTACAGCGGCATGCCGAGTACGATCTTGCTGGGGTTTACGCCTTGCGACGTGTAGTACGAAAGGGCGGCGGCGGTGCTGAAGGGGGTAGCTCTGGGGTTCCGTTGGCATGGCTGCAGGTTCGCCTGGTGGCCCGCTAGACTGTCCCAAGAACCGGCGTAGTCGTAGGCCATTAGGTTCCAAAAGTCGAGGAGACGGTCCATGGCGGGGAGGTCGAGCTTCTGGTAGTTCTGCGCGCCGGCGGGGCAGGCGACGGTGAGCTCGAAGTGGTACCACTCGGGAAGCGTGGAGGCGTAGTGATCCATGGCGCTGCGGACGGCCTGCAGGAGGGCGACGAAGTCGGCGGCTTCGGCGTGGTTCTGCGGGTACTCCCAGTCGATGTCGATGCCGTCGAAGCCCAGGTTCTTGATCAGGTCGACGCAGCTGCGGGCGAAGGTGTCGCGGCCCTGCGGGGTGCTGGCGGGGTTCTTGAAGTTGGACGAGTAGGTCCAGCCGCCGACGGAGAGCAGGACCTTGAGGTTGCGGTTGCGGCGCTTGAGGAGGTTGAGCTGCTTCAGGCAGCCGTACAGGTTTGTGCCGACGTCATTCCAGCTGTCGCCCTCCCAGTGGATGTCGGTATCGGCCCAGCCGTCAGTCAGGTGAACCTCGCCCGAGTCGGAGCGGACGTTGGCGAAGGCGTAGAGGATGTGGGTGAGGTTCTCGACGGGAAGGTCTTGGGGACGGTGCTTGCGAGCGTAGATGGCCCTGGGAATACCTGTTAGCTCTGCTGGAAGTAGCAGGTGATGACGGATGGACTTACCAATTGACGAAGTAGGCCACCGAACGGAAGCCTTCACCTGGACCGCCACCCATGTTGTCTGATGGTGATGGTGATTTGAAGATGGGGAGCGGGACTCGAGAGAAGAGGCCGGTGTAGGTATGCGTCAGGAAGAGCGTAGCCAGGAGAACAACTATCGAAGTGATGATGCACGTCGGGCGCTGGAAATGCATACAGATGGAGGCGTGTATATGACGGCCAGATCCAACTCGAGGTCGACTGTGCCAAGAATGAATGCAAGAGGGACGAGAAGGTCTGGTAACAAAGATGGGAGACGAGATTCTTATTGCTGACGAGAAGCTGTTTGGCCAAGATTCATTAGCTGAGACCCAAGCAGGATACGAACGGGCTGTGATGCAGGTCCACGTCCTCTTCCCACATTTCGAGGTACACGTCTATCCAGTCAAGCAATCACAATATGTAGAGGCAGCCATGGACCCCGCGGTGGACAAGACGAATGGCACCGCCCCTCCGCCTCCCAACTCCCTGCGAGGTTCAAGTGCCAGGACGGGATGACGGTGCCGCAACGCTTCTGCGTCTGCGCAATTGGAGCTATGAGATACTAAGGTACGTAGTAAATGAGGCGTGAGGTGTCGTCAGCCCCTCAGCAAGCCACACGCGCATCAGCCAGAGGCAACCCGGTTGATGAAGCATCCTTCCGCAGTGGTTTTCAGGCGGGTACGCGTGGCGCGGGCGGGTGATCTGCAAGTTGGCTGCGTATGTACCGACACTGGGAATTCTCTATGGACGGTACTTCGGCAGTTTCTTATGTAAGAATGCTCAACCTCTGCGGTACCTTCGGAAAAGTGTGCTGAGTGTTTGGCCGTTGGGGTGCCGGGAGTTCGGGGGCGCATGCTGTCCGTCTCTCGGTAGAGTCGGTACTTCTGGCGCAGTGACAGTGACATGGACGGGCTGCCAGTGACAGCGCAGTGTTGGCAGTGACATGGGACGGAATGCTCGGGAAAAGAGAAAAAGGGTGACGACATACCCCTGAATCGTCGAGTTTGGCCCAACTCAACGGTATTAGGGGTCTTGGGAATTGGGATGGCGGCAATCAAAGGCAACTCAATTGTGTTCGTTGCCCCTGACTTTAGCCGGTGACATTCTTTGAGAGAAGATGACGACTATGGGTTGCGTGTAGACAAACATCATGTGTGAGAAAGCCCGGTTTCAAGAGACTCAAACACAATCTGCAACAGACGTCCATTTCTGATTTAATGCCCGTTCGGACATTTTTGTCGCATTCCCGATTGCCTTCTTACTGCGTAGAGGGCTGGATGTGTCCCAACGCATTGGAAAACTGCAACCAACAAAACAACACCACGGGCTTTCCGTAGAGTCGTAGTTTGCTTCTTCTCGCAGTGATCGCCCTTAATCAAACGGCAAAGACAGAGAAAACTCGTTCCAGAGCCCCTCTCCCTCCTTCTCCCGAGTCCCCAGCAACACATCAACAACAAAAAAGCAGCCAGCTTCCGCTGATTCCCACCGGGTGGACCGGAACAAGTGAGAAAAGGAAGAAAAACGCTGCTTACCGCAGGCCCAGAGGTCACCCGCGTACAGCAAAGGCCTGCGATTCGCCGAGTCGCTAATGACTTCCCCAGAATCCCCCTAGACGCTGTCGCTGCTGGTCAGACACGGTGAGAATTAAACCCATGTCACTTCTTTTAAGATTGAGCCAGCTCCACCCTAATTCCGCCTCCGGTGCAAGCCACGGGGGAAATTGAAAGAGGTAGAAAAAAAAAAGCGCCCCCGACGACGCCGACCGGCCGCTTCCCTCCTCTTCCTCCTTTTGACAAAACAAAGTCACCGCGCCAGCGCCTTCTTTGCTCCTTGACCGACTTTTGTCTCGTCGTCAATTGCAAAGGGCTGCGACTCTGCGACTGTCTCTCCTCCCCCACCACAAACACCACATATACAGTTCAACCTCCTTCGGAGCAGCAACCTTCAGATCAAAGACAATCCGTATCAACATCGAGGCATCAGCCGCCGCACGCGACAATGACGGCCGCCGAAGAACTCCCCCTCCAAACCTCTCCGGCACCGACCGGCAAAGACCAACAGCAGGCCGTCCGACGACGTAGGAAGTCGAGCATTCGAGGCCATGGCCAGCCCTCGTCCGCCGCTGCGAAGCAGGACAAGCTCAACAACCACTCCAACATCCGCAGCCGCGCCCTCGCCCTCCTCCGTCGCTGCAAGCACATCGCCGTCAAGCACACCTGGACGACCCCGCTCGTCCTGGTCATCGCCTTCCTGTTCTCCTACGCCGTCAACCCGACCGAGTCCAACATCGTCCACCACTTCATCTTCCCCTCCTACAAGCTCTCCGACGGCGATGAGGACACCCCCGCCCAGTACGGCAAGGGCCCCTGGGACTTCGCTTTCGTCCTCTTCTACTCCATCGTCTTGACCTTCACCCGCGAGTTCGTCATGCAGGAGCTGCTCCGCCCTCTGGCCAAGTCCTACAACATCCGTTCGAAGGGCAAGCAGCTGCGCTTCATGGAGCAGGGGTACACGGCGTTCTACTTTGCCATCCTCGGCCCCGTTGGCCTGTATGTCATGAGCCGCACTCCCGTATGGTACTTCAACACGACCGGAATGTACGAGACCTTCCCGCATAAGACGCACGAGGCCATCGTCAAGTTCTACTACTTGTTTGAAGCCGCGTACTGGGCGCAGCAGGCGCTGGTCATGCTCCTGGGCATGGAGAAGCCGCGCAAGGACTACTACGAGCTAGTCGCGCACCACATCGTTACTCTGGCCCTCATCGGACTGAGCTACCGCTTCCACTTCACCTACATGGGAATCGCCGTCTACCTCACCCACGACATCTCAGACTTCTTCATGGCCGTAAGTTCATCCCGCCTTCGAGCAAGCCACGGTGCTAACAGTGTCAGATGTCCAAAACCCTCAACTACATCGACCATCCCATCACCGGTCCGTGGTACTGCGTCTCTCTCGGCTCCTGGATCTACCTCCGCCACGTCATCAACCTTAAGATCCTCTGGTCCATCCTGACCGAGTTCCACACCGTCGGCCCCTACGAGCTCAACTGGGAGACGCAGCAGTACAAGTGCTGGATCTCCAAGGTCATCACGTTCAGCCTCTTGGGCCTTCTGCAGGGGCTCAACCTCTTCTGGCTGTTCTTCCTCGTGCGCATCGGCTACCGCTATGTCTGGCACGGCGAGGAGAAGGACGACCGTTCCGAGGCCGAGGAGTCTGACTACGAGCCCATGGAGACGATCGACGAGGTCTCCAAGATTGACGCGGCGCCTATTGCTGAGGTTGCGAACGGCGTCGCGAACGGTGTGGCCAAGGCTAATGGCAGTGCTGCGTCGAAGCGAAGCAGACGCGCATAAGGGATTCTGACCGGGCTTCACTTCGGATTGGCTGGCACTCAATCAGTCTTTTTGTTGTATATATAGTATGCTTATCTAATGTGTAATGTGTAATGATCATGAACAAGTCATTCGTTTAACACGGTCTTCCTCTTTCAATGCGTCTTGAGCTGGTGACATTCTGATGGTGACATCATGACGAGCATGTGAGAGGTGGTTGGATGGAGCTTCGGGAGACTCGGGAGTCCTGCATATGCTTTTCCTAGTTCCGGTGAAGCTAGATTGATGGCTTAGTGTTGGGTCAGCATCCAACGTGGCAGCGCAAGTAACTTTGGTGGGGTTCATCTTTGCATGTGAGCGGCGCCAACGGCGTCAATAACGATTTGACTGCGTCTCCCATTGGCCTCACTGACTGCCGATATGCATGAAAAGCAACATGTTAAGTGCACTTCGTTTGTTTGTATTCCAATTGGTTATACTTGGATCGGGCCATATCATCCAGTGATAATAAGTTGGTCGAAGTTGAGCGAGACTTCAAGACAAAAGTTGCTAGATTGAGTGACACTTTTTGATTTAAAGATAATATCAAAAGATATTCTGAAAATCATAACTCCACCACAACAGTCTCTCATAAGCTGAAAGCTAGTCAGAATAGCTAAAATGACACAATACTTCATATTCTATGAAAAAACAAGAGACTTTAAGGGATATAAGATGTTGGGTCATTCTGGTCTATTCCAATATTGCCCATGTAAGCAGTCGATATAAGCACGAAACGGTTTTGATAGCGGGCAGACAGAAGGCCAAGGTGCTCCTGTGATCGCATTATATGTAATTACTAAAAACCTGAAATGAGAAATGATACTCGTCAATAATTCAACAATGGCAGCCGTCGTCTCATGTCTGCCGCTCATCTCATGGAGCTTCACATTCCAGGTTCTGGGCACCTCAGCGTACGATTGTCACCAGCCACAATGCTGACACAGCTGCAGCCCGGCCACACTTGACCCCACGTCGGTGCCGGCCTCAAGCAGCACCGAGCCCACGTGACTCTCCAATCGCACTCGTCCAATCAGACGTGGCCCGTGCACCCAGCTTTTGCGAGCTCCAGAAAAATTTCCAATTGACACCAGTGGGGGTGAGGAAAAATTGAAGAAACAAAATCCGATCAATCTCGACCTTCGAACCTCTGTCTCGAGACCGAACCTGCCTCTCGCCCCAAAAACCCACAACTCCCCTCCGCGCGCGTGAGGCTCTCTGTCGTCGGCTCTCCTCCAATTCCACAGAGACTTGTTCAACAAACAGAGTCTTGAGACAGACGCACAACAAAATGGCCGCCGTCAACTACCTCCTCTACGAGGCCCCAATGGGCTACGGCGTGTTCCACGTCGAGCACCAGCCCGACAGCATTGGTCTGCGCCAGAAGGAGGCCCAGGAGACCATCAATGACCTCGCCCGCTTCGGAAAGATGATCAAGCTCGTCAACTTCACCCCCTTTGAGTACGAAGACACCCTCCTCATCCTCTCGCGAACATCCCGCCGCGGCGCGTCTGCGATTGTGGAGAACGACGGAAGACGGGAACATTTTGGAAAACATGGCTAACACTGGCGTTCCCCCCAACAGCACCGGAAAGCAGGCCCTGGACGAGATCAACCACATCTCCGAGGGTCTCATGTCCGACCACCTCAAGTCCGTCCTCGAGCTCAACCTCCCCCAGACCTCGGGCAAGAAGTCCAAAATCACCCTCGCGGTCGCCGAGAAGAACCTGGCCTCCGTCATCAAGTCCACCTTCCCCGGCGTCGACTGCGAAACCTCAGAGACATCAGAGGTCGCCGGCGATCTCCTCCGCGGCGTCCGCCTCCACGCCGACCGCCTCCTCAAGGGCCTCCAGACCGGCGACTCCACCGCCGCCGGCCTCGGTCTCGGCCACTCCTACTCCCGCGCAAAGGTCAAGTTCAGCACCACCAAGAACGACAACCACGTCATCCAGGCCTCCGCCACCGTCGAGTTCCAGGACAAGGGCGTCAACCAGTTCTTCATGCGCGTCAGGGAGTGGTACGGCTGGCACTTCCCCGAGCTCGTCAAGATCGTCTCGGACAACCTCACCTACGCCAAGCTCGTCCTCGCCATCGGCGACAAGGCCACCCTGACCGACGACAAGCTCCACGACATCGCCGCCCTCGTCGAGGAGGACGGCGAGAAGGCGCAGGCCATCATCGACGCCGCTAAGGTCTCCATGGGTCTGGCCATCACCCCGGCCGACCTCGAGATCGTCAGGGGATTCGCCGAGGCCGTCGTCCAGCAGGCCGAGGCCCGCCGCGCCACCGCCAACTACCTCGACAAGAAGATGTCCATTGTCGCCCCCAACCTGCAGACCCTGATCGGCACCCCCGTCGCCGCCCGCCTCATCTCCCACGCCGGCTCCCTGACCAACCTGTCAAAGTACCCCGCCTCGACGCTGCAGATCCTCGGCGCCGAGAAGGCCCTCTTTCGCGCCCTCAAGACCAAGAGCAACACCCCCAAGTACGGCCTCATCTACCACAGCAGCTTCATCGGCAAGGCCTCGGTGAAGAACAAGGGCCGCATCTCGCGCTACCTCGCCAACAAGTGCTCCATTGCCAGCCGTATCGACAACTACACCGAGAACCCCACGACCAAGTTCGGTGAGGCTCTCCGCCAGCAGGTCGAGGACCGTCTCGAGTTCTACGCCACCGGCAAGAAGCCCGCCAAGAACGCCGACGTCATGGTACGTTTGATCACAAGAACCCCTCTCCTTTCCCCCCTGAGCGTAGCAAACTAACAATACCTCAAGGCCTCCGTCCTCGACCAGGTCGAAGGCGACATGGACCTCGACGACACGGAGATGGTCGACGCGGCCGCCACCGAGGTCAAGAAGGAGAAGAAAGAAAAGAAGGAGAAGAAGGAGAAGAAAGACAAGAAGGACGACAAGAAGAAGCGCAAGCGCGATTCCGAGGTCGCCCCCGCTGAGCCCGAAAAGGCCGACGGCGAAAAGAAGAAGAAGAAGAAGAAGTCCAAGGACGAGTAAGAACATAAAATATCCCAGCCAGCTGCACGCAAAAACTACTACACCATGTGTGGTGTTTGTATATGTGTTTGATATGGGTAATTTTTGTTTCCACTCGGGTCAGGATGCCATTCTTTGTTTTTTCGAAAAAGCATTCTTCTCTTTTTTTCTAGTACTGCTACTACTACTACCCTGTCTGTCTACCTTGGTTAGGTAGACACACAACGTTGTCGGTTCTTCTTCTCGGCGGCACAACGGGAGGAGGGGGTGGGTTTCTCACATGGCATCTGGCTTGCGTCTGAAAAGAAACGCGCGGCCTTCTCTCTCTCTCGAAATCTCGATGTTTGTTTTTACTGTCCTGGGGAGTTTATTGGGGAATCGAAACCATGGGCTGTCGGAGTCATTTCTTCATTTTGGGCAATCAAAAGAGAAAAAAAAATCAACCATGTTAATGCATTCATGTGTATGTGTATGTAAAACCAACAAACCTCGTCCATACCCCCTCCATAACGACAAGATATCAGAGTATTCCCACCACTCGCGTCGATGTCTGTTTGAAGTTGGTAGTTGCTGCATGCGTGTGTAGTTCGTCCGTGTTTGAAGGTCTTCTGGCCGCTGTCCTCTCAGATGAACACGTGCTCTCATCCAAACAACACGAGACGATATTCTGATGCCGTAGCATTAGTGTACTCGATTTTACCTACGGAGCCAGGACAATCGGTGGAAAGAGAAAGTCAAAAGTCTTCCTTTACTTTTTTACGCTTTACGGTTGGAATCAAAAGGAAGGCTGCAATGCAGTAACGATAAAAGAGATAAAAACCACACACACACAACGTTGTGCCAATAATTTGTTTCCCACCCAATGCCCGGCCGTTCGAAACGCCAGAGGACGCCATCTTTCTCCCATCACTCCAACCTCCCTTCCCGAAACAGAAAAAAGGTTCTTTTTTCCCAGAGGGACCCGGCACACACAGCGCGAACTTATCAAAGAAACCCCCTCGTTCCATCAGCCATTTCGTCCACGAAGTCTGAATTCTCGTCTCCAGTCTTTTCGTTCTTTCGAAAGCATAAAAGGCGTTTATCTCCAAACAGTCGTTGCCGTCTTCACTTGTCGGCTCGTCGCATGCTCTCGGAGAATATTCATCTGCGAGAGCAGCCTGCGCAGCGAGAACGGCGAGATCCCAGCCGTCCGCTTCTCTCCCTGGGGCGACAACGGTCCAGCTCATGCGCCCTCGCTGCCAAACTCGTTGGTCCACTCTATTTGCTTGGCGGCGTCGTCCTCAGAAACGGTAGGGTGCGAGTCCCTGAGCGCCTGCTTGAAGTCCTTGAGCTCGATGATGGGCGCCATGAGCTCCTCCGAGTCGACGTCGTGGTACGTCATCTCCTTGGCCTCCGGGTCGCCGGGGGAGCACGGGGTGAGTTTCCTGACGCCGTCGACCATGACCTGTGCCTGTTAGCCGACCTGTCTCGTCTCGATTATGGTGATGAACGCTCCAACTTACCGCCTTGAAATGTGTCGCTTGAATGATCTTCCGCACGGGCCCCATCAGCGCCTGCTGCACCACGTTGGAGATATCGCTGCCCGAGAAACCCTCCGACATCTCGGCGAGCACGCGGTAGTCGTCCGCTCCAAGATTCGTCTCAGTGTCGCCGACAGCGAGCTTGAACATACGCGCGCGGCCGTTGGCGTCGGGCAGACCGATATGTACGCGGCGCTGGAAACGTCTGCGGATGGCGGCGTCGAGTTGCCAGGGGATGTTGGTCGCGCCGAGCACCAGGATGCCCTTGCTGTCGTTGCCCACACCGTCCATCTGGACCAGCAGCTCCGTCTTGATACGCCTCGAGGCTTCGGACTCGCCTTCGCCACGGGGTCCGCAGAGGGCGTCGATTTCGTCGATGAAGAGGACCGAGGGCTTGTTTTCTCTTGCCATGCTGAAGAGAGCCTTGACGAGCCTGTTTGTCGTGGGTTAGCGTGCCGTCGGATAAGTTGTAATCGAAGAAAAGCATACCTTTCACTCTCACCCATCCATTTGCTCACCAAGTCAGAACTGCTGACACTGAAGAATGTGCTGTTCGCCTCCGTTGCGACCGCCTTGGCCAAGTAACTCTTACCCGTTCCCGGCGGGCCGTACAGCAAAATACCCTTCCACGCCTGGCGTTTGCCCTGGAAAAGCGAGGGAAACTTGATAGGCAGCACGACGGCCTCCTTGAGTGTATCCTTGGCGCCTTCGAGACCAGCGACATCGTCCCACCGCACATTAGGCCGTTCCTGTAGAATGGCACCGCTCAGGGCGTTTCGCAGTTTCTTGTTGTCCTCGTCGCCCTCATCAGCGTTCGCCTTGCCCTTGCCGCCGCCGTTAACGCCCATGGCCCCAGGCTTGCCGCCGCCGCCTCCACCCCCGCTCTTTTTCTGCTCGGCTTCCGCGAGGTACGTTTTGAGTTTCTCGGCGCGGTCCATGTACTCGGCCGTCTTCTGGCGGATGAGCTCCTTCGACTTCGGGTTCTTCTCCCATTTCACGGCGAGGACGAAGAGCTCGAGGGACTTTGTGTAGAGGTTGAACGCCTTCTCGTACTCGGCGGCGTTGTCGGCGTCGATGGCCTGTTTGACCGTGCTGATGGCCCGACCGAGGAAGTCGGTGATGCCCGACATCTTTACGGTTTTATTAGCCCGTGATTATCTGCTTCGTTTGGCTGGAGGTCGGGTTTCGAGGGGATGAGCAGGAGGGTTGGTCGTCGGCGCGAATTCGTGATAAGGATGAGAAGAGCGGGGAAGCTTTGGAGCCGCCTGTCCTTTTGGCAACGATTCGTGTGGTTTCGACGCCGCGCGGGGATCCAGGAATTGAAGATTAGGCAGATGCGATAAATTCGATTCGGCCCCGAGGAGGATTGGGTCGGCGCTTGGCACTGACGGGTCGTGGGTTTGGCTGGTTGGGAACCTTGGAAAGGCGGGTGCGGGCGATTCTGTGACGTTGCCTGGGCAGTTCGTGATGCCAGACACTGACGCTAGAGGTGCCTTGTTGGCTGGTGGGGGTGGGGGCCTTGGTATGCTTAGATAAATGTACTGGGTAAGTAGGTGAGAAGCTTGCTTACTGAGACTTTCTGCTTATGCATCTTTTGTCACTTTTCCAATAGCGTCTTGGTCAATGACTGATTTTGGGAAGAATGTTCCTGTAATACCTAGAATTCTACTGGAATACTGATTTTTGAAAGTACGAAGAATTTCCCTGAGTTGAGTGGTTATCTCGTTGCTTTGGTGTTCCAGATATCTTTGGACTTCTTCAATATTCACATAAAGCTGGTAGTGCATCTATCCAGTATCAGAGTCTGTCACCACTTTCCCAGCGCACCGCAAACGCAACATCAGAGTACCAGGTATCTTCTGCAGACCACGTCCAAAGTCGAAACGACGACTGATTTTCAAGACCTTGGCACCAAAGAACGTCTGAAATTGCGACAAACGTCTCTATTACTCAACTAGTCCGGAGTTCTCACCGCGCGTACTCCGTCACTGCCCAAAAATATTGGGCCCTTTCCTTTTTTTCCTCTCACTTGAACCCCTCAGACATCCTCATCCACCATGGCTGAGATTCAGGCTAAGCTGCAAAAGCTCTCGGAGGAGTACCAGGCTCTGCAAACAGGTGGGCGAATTGAGTTTTACACGAGAGGATCGCTGCTAAAATCTCACCAGAACTTCAGACCACCGTCCAGGCGCGGCAAAAGCTCGAGGCTCAGAAGCAGGAGAACGAGGGCGTCAAAGAGGTGAGCCTCGCTCGCGGCCGCAATTTTCCGTAACTAAAATGCTCATGAATGGTGCAGGAGTTCGACAAGCTCAAGGACGGCGAGCAGATCTACAAGCTCGTCGGCCCCGTGCTGCTGAAGCAGGACAAGGTAGAGGCCGAGAGCACAGTGAAGGGCCGTTTGGATTTCATCACCAAGGAGATGTACGTCTGCCAAATTTACGTCGATTTGATCAGTTTCTTACTAACGACCGCAGTGAGAGGCACGAGGGTCAGATTAAAGAGGCCCAGGCCAAGCTCGAGAAGAAGAAGGGCGAAATCATTCAGCTGCAGACCAGCGCGCAGGCCGCTGCCAAGAAGGGTTAACGAAGAAACTACGAAGTCAAGTCTGGCGTGAGTGGTGATACAATTAACGACAAAAAAGCTACTAGGACTATGAATTATACCCAGCAATGCTCCGATAGCAAACATTTCCCGAAAACGCCTTGCTGATGCGCCTTTCCCGATGATGGTCCCCCGGCCGGTGACATTCGACTCGGTCCCAAATTCCTCCGTCTCATTAGATGTTCATTACGATCGCCTCTCTCAGTTCAAAGCCATGATGGTGAATCCCCACGGCAATCCCATGTTTCTCGAGGGCAGCTCCGTCGCCCAGCCGATGGCGTTCTGGTACTCATCCTCCGACGTGAACTCGGCGTCGTTGACCTTGCCCTCTACGGCGTCCATGATGAGATCTGCAATCTGGGTTTTGGTGTAGCAACGGCCAAAGATGCGGCTCTCCTCGATCTTGCGAATCATGGCGGAGCGCAGCTCGCAGTCCGCAAAGCGCTGGACGTCCCGGTCGAAAGAGGCCCGGTCGACGGGGTTGTGCTCGTGGTGAGCGGCAAGCTTGCGGAAGAAGGCGACCATGCCCGCGATGGCTTGGGCGAGCATGTGTGCCTTTGTGAGGTCGTCGATGCCGTGCAGCATCGTGGAGGAGTTTTGCTCGACCAGGCCGTGGGCGTCGTGGTCGAAGGTTGCGTGCACGACCGCGGAGATGCTGGAAGGGTCGGTGATGATGGACTCTGGATCTTGGAGGGCGAAGGTCTTTGCGATTTCGTCGTAGCATTGGGAGAGCGTTGTCCACATGGAGACATTATTTTGGACGGAGGCCTGACCCATGCTTAAGGTGAAATGGGACATGGTCTTTTCGACGCTTTCTGAGGGTTGTTAGTGCCGTTCAGTGTTGTTGTAGTTGCGGCTTACTTCTGCAAAGGGAGGAGGACATGGTGACGGTTGGTCTTAGTAGTGGTGATGTGGATGAATCAGGTGAGATAGCACTTGAATGGGATATAGACTGGTTTGATGTTCGATGAGTGTTTACAATCACAAAATACTGAAGAGCTCGGCATCACCAGAGGAGAAAAACTTGACCTTTAATGTAGTCGGCGTTGTCGCCTTGTGGCCTCACCCGGGGATGCTTCCAGGTCCAGGCATGCGGGACGTGATTACACCCATCCCTGAATCTGGAATCTGGGCGACCACAACACATGGCCCAGGTCCATTATCCGTTAAGTATCGACTACTCATGCGGCGGTACCCAGTTTCGCGGGAGATGTCCGCGGCCGGTCCAAGGCACAAGACACGACTAAGAAAGCTAGCAAGACGGGTTCCTCCACGCCCTCCACACTGCCCGCGACAACATCAAGCCATCTCGCCGTCAGATTTGGCGGGATCGCAAGATGCGATAGCTGATAACCTGACGACTCGGCACCGCCACGCACGCGAGTCTGAGACTGAGACACTGGCTGGTGGGAAATTCACAGAAATAAGGCGGTCTCCAGACCAGACCGCCAGGGAGATCTGTCTACCATCGCTCACCGGCGACCAGCGGAAGCGTGGGGGTTGTTTGCTGGGCAAGCTGCACGTCAAGCTGCAACGGAAAAGGGACGTCTGACCCGGTCCGACTCGTTCGAGCAGGCGGTGGGAGCATCCAAGGATGGTGCCACGCTCAGACAGGCGTCAGACTCGAGCCGCGGGGAGATCAGTGCAGTGAAACCAGGAACGCAGGTTGGACGGACTGGCGGGTTGGCCGGCCCGCCGGTGCAGGTGTTGTTGTTTTTTTGCCAGTAATGTCACTGGATTTACGAAAATTACAGAAGCAGGGCGGCGTTCCGAGAATTCCCGAGGTCTTGGTATTTTTGTTGGGTGAGGCGAGCAAACTCGTAAATCGAACGGAAATACGGACGGACGAGAATGACGTGCCTCTCCTTTTCTTTTGGTGTCCCATGATACTCTGGTCGGAGCTGAGAGAAGCAAGGCCAAGAGCCGATTCAGCTGTGTTGCATCAAGGAGATGACCGGACATGGCTGATGGTTGATAGTCGACAAGGCCCGGGTCCTCCCGCTCACTGCCAGCTGTTGGCTCACCCTCTGCTGGATTGGCTCACCGAACCTCACCTGAACTCTCACCTTTCTCCGGGCATTAGGTAAGCCGAGCTCCGAATTACATAATGTAATTGCACGTGATACTGCAAGGGTCCAAGCTCTACCCCTCCATTGAAGTGCCATCCATGGACGGCAAGAACCTTGTCGGCTTCACGGCGGGGTGTGCTTCAGCCACGGGTGGCTGGTCCAGCGCTTCGTCATACGCTGCGGTCTCTGGGACGAAACCTCCAAACGTCCACGAGTCTTGACCGAATGGTCGAGCATCTGCTACCTCCAGGCTGCCACTTTCGGGCTCCAGACCTACGAAAAGATGCAAACGGTTACCTGATCGGTGTCCGTCACCACCCGCGATCCTGATTCCAGTCACGAGATCATCTTCTAGTGCTCCGCGAGAGCTCACCATCCATACCCATCACCATCTTTGCCTCCGTGCGCACTTAGCCTACGAACCACGATCAAGATGAACGGACCCTCGAGCCCCCGGCCCGCCCGGCCCATGAGCATCAAGGAAATCACCGATGCTGCGGAGGATTTCGAGTTTAGGACAACGATTCCCTTCAAATACTGGGCGCGCTCAGCAGATACCCTATTCCAAGAGGTTCGTCCAACCCCTGCGGGTTGTCAACGAGGCACTGACTGACCGACCAAGGCAACCTTTGCGCTACAAGATAACGATATTCGAAAGGCATACCAAATGCTATGGCGTCATTCGATGCTTGTCCTCAACCACCTTAAAACCCATCCCGATGCGAAGCTCCCCGAGAACAAGGCTCTCACGAAACCGCTTTTCAAGCGACAACAGGAGGAGGTGTTCGGGCTGCTAGAGAACCTGAAGCCGCAGATTGAGCGCGACCACAACGAGTGGCAGCTCATGAATGCATCCAAGAAGAAGGCCGGCGCCGAACCCGAGAAGAGACCCGCGAGCTACGACGAATTCGCTGCACGAGACCCTACACTCAGTGGAAATGCCAAGATCCTCGACGCCGCCGAAAACCAAGAATTAGCCGTGTCTCTGGCGCAACGGGACTATAAGCGCAGAGATGCCGCAAGGAGAGCGACGAGACAAGCTGGTGTTACCGAGGAGGAGGAGCAAGAGCGCCGGAAGGGCGGTCGCTGGGAAGACTGGGAGCAGTTTGGCAACCCAGCGACAGACGACGATGAGATTCGGAGGCAGATCGAAGCTACGAGGAGAAGGCTGGACGGCTCAGATGGTGGACGCGATGTGGATTTCAGAAGCTCGAGGCCCCTTGTGCCACCCCCCAGACCGCCGCCACCGAGTTACTCGTACAACTATCCCTCCATCTCGAGACCCAGCAATGTGGAATGGGAGGCTTCACCACTACAACCGCAGCGCCCATATATGCCGACACCACCTCAGCCACCAAAACCGCCGAAGGAGGACTTCACGATATTGCGCCAGGAGCTCGACGCCGCGCCACCAATGAGACCAGGCAAGGAGCCCTTGCCCTCATACATGTCACCAACAACTCCCCAGTCGTTGCACCAAGATGTTCCCGAACTCCCCGCAAAGGAGGAGATTCCCCCACCCCAGTCAGAGAAGGAGCGTCTTACCTTCCGCCCTGCAGCATACCTCGAGAATGGCGATCCAATCCGGCCCGTCTTCCTCCCGACCCAGCTCAGGGAGGCATTCTTGAATATCGCGGCGGACAATACCCGCAAGGGACTCGAGATGTGTGGTATCTTGTGTGGACGGCCGGTTAACAACGCGCTCTTCATAAGCTGCCTCCTTATCCCGGAGCAGAAGAGCACACCGGATACGTGTGAGACAGAGAACGAGTCGGCGATGCTCGACTACTGTATCAACGAGGATCTGTTGATGGTGGGCTGGATTCATACGCATCCCACGCAGACCTGCTTCATGAGTTCAAGAGATCTGCACACGCAGGCCGGATACCAAGTCATGATGCCAGAGAGTATCGCAATTGTCTGCTCTCCCAGGCACCAGCCATCGTAAGCGCCTCTCACTATGAAAACCTTCCGAGGTCAAGCTAACAAATATGCAGTTATGGCATCTTCCGCCTCACCAACCCCCCCGGCCTCACACACATCCTTCAGTGCACCAAATCTGAGACCTTCCACCAGCACTCCATCGACAACCTCTATACTGGGGCCGTCAACCCGCCTGGCCACGTCTACCACTCCGACAAGCTCGACTTCTACGTCAAGGATCTGCGACCCCACCGGTAGGAGTCGGATGTGCGGCTACGGAGTAGATCACCACGACGTCAGAGCAAATCGGTTCAGCGACGAAGTAAGTCGCCACGATGCAGACGGCGCCTCATAGACAGCATGAGGGAGACGTAAAAGATTGTGATGTCGAGCTGGAAGTGAGAATGGGGCCGAACTCGACATGTGCGGGATGGGGACCTGGGATGAATTGCTTTTGCATGGCGAGGGCGTTTGGTAGTTCGTAACTGGACGCTCGGAGAGCGTCAACAGGGATGATAGAAGCTCTGGGTTGGGACATGTGTTCATAATCATCATGACACAATGAAGCAGTATGAGAAATACCTGCCGTGGTCTCTCAAGCACATCGCTTCCTGGGTGCATCTCCATGAAGTACGAAACTGACGGTTGCTCGAAATCACGTATCACTACCGCTATGTCCAGTCCGGTAGAAAACTCTAGAAGCTCTTGAGTCCAGCTTTGGGAAACGAAACGTTTGCCTATGCCGGTGCTATCGAATGATGTTAGGAGGGTAGAAGCTGCGAATTGTGACTGAGGTATTCTCTATGCTTAATCCTCCTAGACCATATTACCTCATTTGTTATTTGCATCCCTAGGCATCGCCCAAATCAACCCAAGTAAGACGAGAGATCTGTCCAAAGAAACCAAAAATAAAATTTGGCAATAGACTGCCCCCAAACGAGAGAATGTGTAGACCAGAGATCACGGAGACAACACAGCTTCTGCCAAACTATATGGAGATAAACCCGCTTCAAAATCCATACCTCCCAAAATACACCTTTGCCCAGGCATAGCTATGAGTCACAGATACATCCTGTGTTTGATTGTCATTCGGAATCTCGCCATGTTGTAATTGTGAATGTTGCGAGTGAAACATCTGCTCAACCAGCTAGCTCTGCTCATCCCAGGCTCATGAATTGACTCGTATGAAAGGTAGCGAGAATCGATACAGAATAAGATTGAATTTCACGGAGGAACTTCACTGAGGTGATTCGAACTACCTCAAGCCATTCAGAAGCTACGAGAAACGAGTCACAGTAGATGAGATAGTTCAGTATAGCTCATACCAAACAGTTTAATACCAGTAAGCTACAATGAACACTACATGAAGAGAAATGTATCTCTCTCACGTGCAGAGATCATAAATGGATAGGCCTCAGCATACTTCCCTAATACAATACAAAGCAGACCAAGAATGATATAGTCTCATTGGAAACATGTTCCAAGTTGTCCACTTTCAAGAGTAAGTACCGAGAAAGATTCTTGAATTATGCAATAATTTATCCCTATTCTAACGATTTCCTAGGTCCAACAAGTCTTTTCATATTCAACTTCATGTCGCTCTATTTCTTAACTAATATGAAGTGACAAAACTAAGAACGAGTAAGGCGCCGTAGTTGCAAGATCATAAATGAGCACAGAGACAACTCTGCAAGTGAGAGATGAGAATATTGGTTTTCGTCGAGTAGCTGAGAGGGCAGCCATCGGCAATGACCACTTCAACAAGAATCCATGAGCTCATTGAATCCTACTCAGAAGCCATAAAGGTTTCGAAGTCAATCGATGCGAGGCACTAAAGGCCAGAGCGTATCCTGCGTTGTCCATCCCATCGCGTGGTGGAGGGTTTAGAAGAGTGTGGTGACCAAGGCCAGCTGAAGATGGATTTCAGACCATGACGTCACTGCCGCGGCCCGCAAGCCATACGCGTCTGCCTGCATGTGCTCTCTCTCATGGTCCTTCTTAAGAAACAACATCTCTTCGCAATCGACAGTTTTATGCCCTATTCTAGCAAGTTGAAGAACACCACCAATACGGAAAAAGATCGAGCTCAGCTGGCAATACCACATCTATCCACCACAATCATCAGCACCCTCCGCAACGACCATCCCTGCAGAGAAGATGGCCTTCCCCACGAACATGCTAGGCGTTCTCATCGCCATCGTCAGCGTCTTTGCGCTCGTTCATTCGGCAGACTCGATTCCCAGACTCCTCAAGTATGAGGATAAGGCCAAGAAGGCAGCGGAGTGGAGTAGGACGGCGGAGAAGAATCTCTGGGATATTCGTTACACCGTCGGCACGGGTTTCGTAGGCGTAAGTGATGGCGTCTTGGTAGGATCAGATGCCGTGTTATATCCTTACTAACGACTCTTCATAGTGCTTGTTGTCTGCCGTCAGCGGCCTAGCATTCACTTTCGTCGTGCCCCGCGGCATTGGCATTTTCACTGTCGGCTGGCCCATCATGCTCGCTGCCGGCTTGACATACGGACATCAATACATGCGATCCTTCTGGGCCTCTAAGCCCAAGGTTCCATTGATGAAGGATTTCAACGAGGCGATCTCCGATTCGATGATGGTGCAGGACATGATGAATCCGTTGGCTGGAGCATGGGGCCTCATGACGTTCTGCAAGTTGGTTGGACTGTAGATATTACACTGTTACCATGGATTCAAGTCAAAGCAATTGAGAAGCTATGCTAATTGATTCTCATGTGATGATTTACTCATACACCTGCATCTCTCTTCATGTAGACCCATTGATATGTGCCCCATGACTCCCGATCTCCAGTAATGCCTTCGTAGCGTTCACCAGGCATGATGCCCTCGGCATAGATATTCAAGTCAGCCTCCAAACTGCCAATTTCCCGAAAGCCATACTTCTCATATGCAGCTACGGCACTCATTGAAGACTGAACCCAGCAAAAGCTTCCCTCTTGATCCGCCTTGTCCGTACCCCATCGTATGAGCCGTGACCCAACTCCTTTACCCTGAAAGTCGGGATGCACGACGCAGCTCACCACGATCCGACACCGGCAGCCTTCCGGCATGAGACGACAAACCCAGTACTGCATCGAATCATTCGTGAGATCCTTGAGGTCTTTGATCTTCTTGGGGTTCGCCGGGTCGACGGCGGTAGCAGCCCGTGGCTCTTCAATGGGACCGGTGAGGGGCAGGTCCGTGTCGCCGGCGAAGCCCCGCCTAGCCCACCCGACCCAACCCACAGGCTTCCCAGAGATCTCGGCGACGATGAGATCGACCTTTGGCGAATCAAGCCACGATTTCAGCCCCTCGCCCATGCCATCTTTGAAAGACGAGTCGCCGTGGAAGACTGCTTTGAGCTGAGTGTGTGAATCCGTCCGAAATGCCGCATCGGCGATAGCTGCGAGGGTGCCGACATCGTGAGCCGTCGCTGGCCGGAGGATGACGTCCGGACGGCCCGGCGTGGGGTGTGCGGAGGCCATGAGTCGGAACGCTTGGCGGTGTCAAGTTTGATGAGTTGCCGGCTTTGTGGGGGGCTAGAACTTGGGACTTGGCACGGTGAGAGAGTTGAGGAAGTTCAGATAAAGTCACTCACCTGAGCCGAGAGCCGAAAGCAAATCCGCTAGTCCAGACATTGAATAGTTATATAAGATCTGGTACTGGCTAGGGTACCCTTATATTGTGGCCTACTTGTGGCTATTGCCCGCCGTAGACTCATACGGCGAAAACTCAAATCAAGCTAGTCCAGACATGGTGGGTGCTGACAGGCTCGTTTCTGTGCTGACGTTGACAGACCGAAACGAAGTTTGTTCCTTATCCTTATCGGAGTCGTTAGACCCAGGTGAGTGACTTGGAGAGATCTTATTCACCTTGATTGCAGCATGCTTCTTACAGACTGATAGGGTCGCACGTAAATGTGTAATCGTTGAGTATGGCGAGGTATTGACCAGAATAATAAGGGTGGCTGCATTGTATTGCGCAGCATATTGCATTTGTAGGGTCGCACGTCACAGCTCCTTCTGGTACTGCAATCGCAAAAGAAACCTCAAAACAAGTTATTAAGTAGAGACTGAGAATGAGCGGAATACGACTGATGTGAAGAATGATGATCCTCTCGAGCAATTTCATGATGAGTCGTACCGGTTTGCTGCCCTAAAGTGAGAGTGACAGACCAAGACTTATGGACTCCTGTGTGGCGGTGTGCTAGCCATTTGGTCTCATAGACCGTCAATTGGCAATTTGAGCAGGATATGGGAGACCAAAACTCCGAAACCCGGTGGAAGTTGACTTGATTCTTATGACTAGGCAAGGTCGCGATGCGGCGTCGGCTCTGCAGGTTTTCACTCATCGTCACCACGACGATGTTTCTGTGAATAAGCCAGTGTGGTATTCGCCAATTCCAAGGTGATCGAACACTCGGAATAGTTTCCGTAAGAGTTAGGAACAGCGGTGTACATATTTTTCATTCACAGCAACTCGCCACAAGCGTACCATCTCCCACTTCTCAAAAACATCTACCACCCCTGAGTCTGCACACTGTAAGCCGTTGGCGTGAACAGAGACCGCAGTCCACCATGTAAGGTGAACTACCTTCAACTGCTCGAAAGCATAGCCGCAAGTCAATATCTCAACGGCAATCAAGGAGCAATTACTCCGCTCCCAGGTGCTCAAAGAACTCTAGAGACTCATTCTGCAAGTCACCTTTACTATGAGTATACGGCGAAAATTCAAATCAAACAAGTCACCTTTGCCGTGTACTATGGAGTGGTATGGTCACTTGAAAACATGACCTCGAGCATCGCGTATTCGGATCATAAGGTTGCATCTCCACGAACATCGAGACGTTCACTGTCGTATAGCAATTGCCCCGTTGCCCAGAAAAACCCGATCCTTACGATCTTTGAGGCAACAGCTATCCGTCAAGATCACACCAGTGATCTTTTACGGTGGGTACACTTGCCGACTGGAAAGGGGTGCCAGGAGCCACGACGTCGGCAAAGTCACAAGCGTGTCAGGCATGAGTACACCTCGGCTCTGTCGCCGACCCTGTCCCGCGGGGAAGCCGTCTCGAATTGCTGCGCTGTGTGCTGCCGATGGGGACCACGGCTTTCAATCTTAGGATGTCATCGCTTATACTGCCGAGAAAGCCACAAAGTGTTCTCGAAATTCAGTTGAAAGCCGTCATTAGTGGCTGTCAATGGCATTAACTCCTTGAGCGGATGCCGTGTCTTGATCCTATCATCCCAGACAGGGGCAAGTTTTGGCAAATCGTGCCTGCATCATGTGGTACCACCAATTTCTTCATTTTCGAAATTTTCGTAGAATCAGAACAGGTGTATCATTTCTTGAAATTATTTCATTGCCTCCTACATTTAAATCAGTCAAAACGGCCATGCACAATGCGGCATCCAGAACCGGAGAAGCATTCAGGATCTGATACAGTGGCGATAACGGAAGCAGTAATACTTCTAAAAATGCAACATTGATTGATAAAGAGGACAGGAGAACCGATGATGAAAACCTTGCAGTATCGCGACTCATCTGTAAGATCGCCGAGTACGCTCGGCCGGTAACAGTGAGGCTGTCGAGGACGGACGACAATGGCACAAAAATCAACACTCTGGGACACTTGCGGCCAGGGCTCAAGTCAGACCGTTTCTCGACGTTGCACAGAGGTTCTGGAAACTGCTTGAGGATACTGTTCGGCACCATTTTCCGTAAGGAGCAGACTGAAGCAACGGAGAATGTGTATCCCTCAGCAGCTTGGAAGCTTAAAGTGGCGAGTTTCTTGCCGGACTGACGTTGAATTATGAACAATTACGCTGGTAATGCGGGTAGTCTTAGGGCAAGATCTGCACTTTAGGGGGAAGGAGAATCGCTTCCATCGATTCCGTCCCGCGATGAATACGGGTACGAGCACGCTTGCAACAAATTCGAGGACATTCGACGTTGGCAGACCGGGCCAACCCAGCCTATCCACCATCCAACCTGACGAACAAGCTTGGACAGCGCACCTTCAACTGTAAAGTCATGCGAGGCTGTCCTAGTCGGAACGATAATCTGATTATTCTATTGGACGTTATGCATCAGTCGGCGCGAAGCGGCATGACGTTAGTTTCTCATGAAATGCCCGTTGCGGTAAGACTGTCGCAATATGGGCAGGCCACAACCCTGCTACCCTCAGACAACGCAGCAATAACGCTCCCGCGAAGATCTGGACCCAATGCCCCAAGAGTCCTCAGATGTCGGCAGGGACCGTTGGGCAGACCGTTGTAGTTCAACAGCATTCATCCCAGCGTATCATCCCAATGCGTTGATGTCGGGACGGTGAATGACGTACTGACATGTCTTCCGATCGAAAACTTTCTCGATGCCCGTCGGAGGCATATTAAGGAGGACCCGGGCCCGAGTCACCAGGCCTAAGATCGCGGACCCAAAGCTCTTGTGGCACTTAATTGTTGTGGCTAAGCCTCTAGTCTAATGCCAAACTAAACCCTCTCAACTTCAACACCAAATATCTGCACGACAACAACCTCAACACTAAGAAAATGATCGGAATCGGTGGTCGGATATCAGCTATCATACCCATTCTCGCGTCGGCGGTGGCTGTCGCGCTATCCATCGTGCTCCTAGCCTCTGGCACCAACACTAGCAATGGAAATACCAATTACTGGCTGTCGGTAAGTCGCACTACATCTCGGACTTCCCGTCAACGTTAGCTAAAGAGTGTTGTTTGCAGTTGAACACCTCAAAACTTGGTCAACAACTCATCAAAATCGAAGCTGCGAATAACACAAATGGCAACGGAAACGGCGGCGGTGGCGGCACTGGTCTGCCCGGACTCCCCGGGCTACCGACCCCCACGATTCCAGGTATCAGTTCGCCGAGCGGCAGCGCAAGCGATCCCACAGGTATCACGAGTGGCCTTAATGGCATCTTGGGTGGCCTGCTTGGCAATTTGACCAACCAGCTCGGTAGCGGTGTTCAGGACATCGAGGGACAGCTGATGGGCAACTTGACACAGGCGTTGGGTGTGAAGGACACTTACAACCTGTTCCTTACCAAGATGTGCGAGGGCAACTACGTCAACGAGAACGACCCCAACACCAAGACCTCAATCTCATCGTGCTTCAGTTACGACTCCAAGGGACAAGGTAAGCCATTCCGGTTCATTCACAAGCTGGTAACGTACACTAACGTTTAATCCAGGTCTTCGAAACATCACTGATTCAATTCCATCGTCGTTTGTCATTGCGACCGCCAATGTCTCTGTACCCCTGATTTCAGCGATGAGAGGTACCATCGACCAGGTTGTCTCCCTAGCCAGCGGCGGCGCGAAGGCTATGACGGCTCTCCTCGCCATCGGTACCATTTGTGCTGGAATCACTCTTCTCGCGACCTTACCCATCATCATTGTTGGGTTCCTGCGCGTTCTTGTCATCACCTCACTCATCTTTTCCATGATTGCGGCAACTGTCCTACCACTCTTCGCTGCAGTTGTGACTGCGATCGTAGTGGGAGGCCGGAAAATGCTTGACAAAGAAGGTGATGCCTTCGGTATCCAGATCAAGCAAGGAGGACCTTTCATCGCCATGTCTTGGGTGGCTGCAGTTGCGTCTATGGCTGCTTCTTCCTACTGGTTTTCGATGTGGTTCGTCAGCTTCAGGCGAACCGCCTTCAGCAGGCGTAAGCGTACTGAGAGCGAGATTGGCAACTGGAGGGGTATCTTCCGCGAGGTCAAGGGTGACTTGAAGACATGGGAGGGTGGAGAGAAGTGAGGACGAGGATGACCTGCGACATCGGAGAGTTTAGGATCATGACGCTTTCTACAGACAGCAACACATCATGCGTACATATGGATTTGGATGGAAATATGGTTGAACGGCACATATTCAGTAGGGCTGTTGATGTTTTGAGCGCAGTCTTGGTAAATAATAATTGTCAAACTTCATTGGTACACATGTGCATCGCTGCAGGAGCATGATTCTTCAACGTCCACACATAATCCTCTTGCGTACAACGCCGCGCTAATGCAAACTCAGGCTGAGATCGTCCGAGCGCGCGTGCACGGCGTGCTTTGGTGCCATGTGAGACGGGGACAGAAGGTTTGCGGCTTCTTCGTGCACATGAGGCTTCGGGCATTGCGATAACCTTGAGCAATGATAGTTCCGCGTGCAAAGAAGTGGGCTCATGAATCTTCATTGCTCAAAGTCATCACAATGCCCGGACGCCCCATTTCACTCATTCAGGGGCGAGGTAACGGAGTTCGTTCCATTTCACTCTGTAATCGATTGAAGATGCTGCTACTTACATAAGAAGCTGCGGCATGATCTGTCACAACTGTGCAGATCTACTTCTGTCCCTGCGGAGGCTTTGCAGGCTGGCTTCTCACCGTTCACGCTCGAGCCTCCTAAGTAATAGTTAAAGTTATAACGTCTGTGATCAGTCTAGAACACTTGAATCCCATTCTGTGCTGCGACCAATGCGTACCAGCGTGATGTGTTTCATGATAATAAAGTTCGTCTTCAATCATACGGCGAACGGCTTGTCTGACTGTTGCCCTACCAGATACCAAATTGATGAGGACAATCTATTGCTTCTGTGAAAAGGCTCATCACACAATCTTCTCAATAACCATTTGACAGAGAGTCAAGTTGACGTTGAGAATATTAGGTATTGATCCAATCTTTTCGAGGCTAATTAGACTTCCTCCCCTGTACACACCACCATATTTTGGTTAGTTGCAGCTGTCAATGAAGGTTCCAACGCTCTGGCTTCTCACTATGTGTGTAGGTTGGATCTCGGGACGCACCTTTGAAGTTTGTTTTGCACGTGTTCAATTCTCCATACGATAAAAGACATCGTGTATTACTGCTTTGTGATCAAGAGGAACTGTCGTGATGCTATTGAACTCGACCACTGCGGCCAGTAAAACAGCTTTCTTAGAGCCAAGATTAACGAGAATTGACTGCTTCCTGCGATTGGCTATTAATATGCAAGATACCAAGCTTACCTATGTGGAGGCACATTGCGCACGAAAACGGGAACCAATGAACGCAATGCACTCAGGATTCTGTCCAATTATCATCGTTAGATTGGAATGAGTTCTTGTATCCCATGTGCCCTGGTGACCCAATCAGGTACCACCTCATTAAGGCGGTGTGTCTCACTGCATCAACCCGTGGACGTAGGCAGCAGCGAACCCCTCAGGAGATCATCCCAACCGCCCGCACTCTTCTTCTCTGTGATCGCACCTTGTCATGAAGGACGACGATAAAGTGTCGTCAAAAGTCGAAAACATGGCCAACTTCTCATGTCTGCCGCCGGAGTTGCGACTTCTGGTCCTATCGGAGCTCGCAGCCGCGCACGATGAACCGAGGGCACCAAGGCGCGATATCGCCGTTTACGCCAGCGTTTGCAAGAGCTGGCAGTCATTCTTTGAGCCCCTAGTTTTCCGTCATTTCATTCTTCGTTACGATGACTTGTCTGAGTTTCAACGAGTTACAAAAGATTCCGGCAGGAGTCACCTTGTCAGGCACATTTGGCTCAGACTAGAAAACCCGTCTCCCCAGCGGCGGCAAGAATTGGGTCTCGACATTAAAAATTGGAGCAAAGACTTCTTTACTGATATCATCTGGCGCCTTTGGACTACCTTATCGGAATGGGGCCAAGTTGGCGGACATCCGGGCCTCACGCTCGAACTCACTGCACATAAGTGTCTTTCCGAAAGCCCGGCTCTGGACACCATACCCAGAGAAGATTGCAAGATGTATTCGAAATACCTCGAGACAGGCTCAGTAGAAGGGTATGAAGATACAGAGAAACTTCATTTTGGAAACACAGATGAACATGGCATGACCACGAAATCCCGTCGGGATATCTTTTGCCAGGGGGTCAGGATCAACGACACAAAACCCCTTCCGAGAATCGAGGTGGTAAGACAGTTTTTGGTCAGGAGAGCTCATGTGCGCAACATACGACCGGAGGTTCTGTCTCTTGTCTTCAACAGCCTGACAAAGGTTCAACATATCAGACTAGAGCGATGGCGACATGGGATGGTCGCGCCGGAGAGATTCTGGCGCCAAGGTGAGCTCACGAAACACAACAAGAAGACTGAATGTGGCTGATTCCAGTAGGGATGGAGAATATTCTTCCGTACCACGTTCCTAAATCATTGAGAACGCTGTCGATTTTCCAGGAGACAGGGGCGAAGAATGCCAGGTTTGATTTGCTAGCCACTAGGAAGATGACCAAGGCTATCATCTTAGGCACTCTTCATCTCGAGCGACTTTCTCTTTGCTTCTTCGTGGACGCAGAGGACTTCTTCCGGGAACTCTTAAAAATGGACGTCGAAACTCGTGTCGATGGCGGCCAACCGCGGCAACCACATGATGGCTACGCGGGATTGACGTCACTGACACTGACGTCGGATAGCCTCGGAGTGAACATTGACGAAGATTGGGACTTGTCATCTTGGCTTGGTGGCGTCCAAGACATGATAAAATCGGCTGCCGCCGCAGCTATGAAGATGCCCAAGCTTCGGCTTATGGAAATCTGGAATGCCGGCAACGGAACGGCTAGCATTTTCCGGTACAAGGTCGGAGATGACAGTAGTTGTGAGATCAGTTGGCTGAGCGCAGAGGACTGCGATCCGTTTGAAGACCTCAAGTTATCACAAGATTGGTCTGATGTTGCTTCAATGCATGGCCACAAAAGGCTCGGGGTACAACCTCGATTGCTTTTGTCAGGAGACTTTGACTATTACGGATCAGCAATTCGGTACTTGGAGTCAAGAGAGCAGGTACTCCATCCTATATCAACGGTACAGCTAAAGTAGTAGTTCAAAGGTGTTAACTATACATAATCAAGACAACAGATATCCATAATTATTAGAAAGTATGCCCCAATCACTAAATATAGAGTATAACAACATTACTACTAACTATAAAGAATAACTCAAGTATTATAGATACCTAATTCCAATGCACTACAACCTATATAAATATTTACTAAATAGCAAATAAACAAATACAATACGCCGCGCAATACAATGCAGCCACTCTTATAATCTAGTTATAAATATCTCACTATACCTAATAAGTATATATTTAATATTTTATTATAAGTTAGCTAGTGCATACTAGGTTAAATAGAATAAGAAATGTCACGGGCTAGAGCCCGGATCGATATCTCCGGCTTTGCCGGAGCAGTCTCCAAGATGCGGCTCCGTTGGACCCGCTATTCTGCCGGGGTATACCGCCTAACCCGGTCTGCTTCACCGCTATTAGGCGCCTACCCCTGTAAAGTCCTTTCTTCCTTCTTCAGCTTAGAATAGTCAATCAACAGCACCCATACTGTTAAACAAACACTAGGCCAGCCCCTTACATATTCTAAGCTCAACAACAAAAGACGCTATACAAAACCTCACGAGAGCGATACAACAATTCGCTGAGGGTAGCGCAACGAGAAGACGCTATACGAAACCTCACGAGAGCGATACGACGATTCGCTGAGGGTAGCGCAACGAGAAGACGCTACATGGAACCTCACAAGAGCGGCACGATGGATCCGCCAGAGGGTAGCGCAAACGACGCAATAAATGCTGAGATTGATCGCCAGATCAACAAAGCAGTCAACGCAAGCGTCCATCCTCTTCAGGACCAGATAGCCCAGCAGACAGCCCAGATAACACAGCTCTTAACAGCTCTAAACGAGCTTATATCAACAGATAGAGCAACCCCTACGCCGCTTACAAGCAGCATACCAACCCCATCCACAACCAATACAACTATATAGGCAATAAGCAATAGCATTACAACAATAGTAGTTAAGCCCCATAAACCAACCTCAACTAGACAACCAAGGCTAACGCTTCCTAACCCCCCAAAGTTCAATAGCATAAGACAACAGTTCACACAGTAGGCTCTAGAGATGAACTCGAAGCTACAGATCGATGCGGAAGCCATAGGAGGAGAAAAGAGCGCGTTCGCATATATCTACGCCAGGCTAGAGGGGACCACCCAAGCAACGTCCACCGCCTTCTTCGCCAATGGGGTAGCCCAAGAAGACCACTCCCCAGCCCAATTCATGGACTATCTCAAGAGAACGTATAGGGACCCAAACGCTAAAGCCCGGGCCTTAGACAAGTTACGCACTATGCGGCAACAAGAGGAAGAGAGTTTTACTTCCTTCTTTCCTAAGTTTGAGAAGGAGCTTACAGCAAGTGGAGGAGGATCTTAGCAGGATAAGATCAAGATCAACTACTTAGAGGGCGTATTAAATTCCCAGCTAAGCAACTTATTAATAGGGGTACCAGAAACGCCAAAGGATTACCACCAGTTCACAAAACTGCTTCTTACTATAGGATCCCACTTAGATAGCCAGAAGCTTAGGGAACGCTATCTCAGCTACACTTCCCAGAAGGTGCTGCAACCCAACCGCCAACAAGACGCAGACGGAGATACACTGATGTCTGGCGTCAGCCGCGCTAAGGGTAAGGAGAAGACAAAGTCACGTCGCCAACAAAGCAGCTCCTCATCTGAAGACCCACCACAGCTCACAAGAGACAACCGCAAGTGCTTCAACTACAACCAGATCAGCCATATTGCTATACAGTGTCCTAAGCCAAAGCATTTAGGACCTAAGAAGGTTAAGAAAGTCAAGAAGGCTATAAAGCTAGAGGATAGCAGCAACAGTAGCGCCGCAGAGGACCAGGGAAGCTCTAAGACAGAAGAGAGCTCAGGAAAAGAGTAACTCCAACGCAAAGTCGGGCGCTAGA